GCTGCGCATATTATGGCTGCGCTGAAAATAGGGAAAAGAAAGAAATGAGGGGCATCGTAACAAAAAGCTGTGCTGTCTGTCCCAAGCTCGACAGACCATGAAATATGAACAGTTGAAGAAGCGCTAAACGAAGAAAGGATTTTTTTGTGGGCGATGTAGGCGTGTGATGAAAAACTTTTTGGTGGTCCGGGGTACGCTGGAAGACGCGGCAAAAAGGATGAAACTTTTCGAACAAATGATGAGACCAAGAGGCACCATGAAACTGCTGATGCCGGTCGCTTGGACAGTCTATAAGGTCGGATTCGACGATGGTGGTTCGTGCAACTAACCGACAACAGTTTGGGCTGGGTATCCCGAAGCACCCATAAAAGGCATGTACTGGCGGGCACATGCCATGCAGTTGCAGCCAGGAGGATGGGAACCTCCCCAAGTAGACTGGTTCCAAGGAGAATAGTAAGACGAAGTCAATGCGGGTGGTAGAGGCAAGGCACAACCACCGTAGGCAGTGGATCTTCGAGCCTGCTCCAGGGCGGCAAGGCTGTTGGAATTGTCGAGCTCATCCAGTGTCGGGTAACGGTGCTGAGAGTTGTAGAAAGCCTCGACCGAGACGGAAGGCTCGGTGCGGTTCCAGGGGTCAGCCGAAGTATAAGGGGTGCCTGAGTAAGTAGAAGAAGGCCTCGATGACTGGGGAGTGAAGTCGGCGAAGCTGCCCTTGTATTGTGGCTGAAAAGGAGAACGCGAAGCGCGAGGTGACTGGCGCTGGACGTTGGTGTTCAGCGGAGACAGACGGGTGGTGCGCGAACGGCTGACGGCTTGGGCGTCGTAGTCGTTCCAAGCACGCAGCCAGTTAGCCAGACCAGTAGGGTCAGTAGGGTCACAGTGCAGATCGAAGGAGATGAGGGCAAGCCATTCCATCTCAAGGTTATTCAACTCGGACACTCTGATGCCTGTGACGTCGGACCACGAACGGTTGATGAAGGTGTTGTCATCGAGGAACTTACTGCCCAGAATCAGGGCGACGGCGAGCAGACGGTAGATGTGGTTCTCGGACGAAGAGGTGGTCCTGGGNGGATAGTCTCGCAGACGAACGGTCAAGTAGTGCAGACTGAGGAGAATGGTTGCCGAGGGCAGTCTGGTGGCTGACAGGACTTGCGAGACCCATTTGCGGAAAGAGGGCTGGATGGGGACACTAGGCTGGATGCTTCGACAGATGTCAATATCTGCAAGGCAGATGGGGGACAGATGGAGAGCATACATTCCCGACGCCGATTCCGCCACAAAGTTCGTCATGCGTTCCATTTCGTAGTCGAGCTTGGCCGATACTCCACCTGTTGCCTTGTCTTCCTTCTGTGTCGATTGCTGTGCCTGCTGCTGCTGTTGTTGCGCGGCTTGGCTGCGTTGTTCCTGCTGCAGGCGAAGGCGGTAGTCATCCTCGATGGCCAGGNNGCGCTCCTGCATCCTCAGAGGAGGTAGGATGGGGGCGCTGGCCGAATCATAGTAGTTGTTGATGGGAGGAAGAATCGGATTGCGCTGGAAGGCAGGCTGCTGCTGGTATCCTCTTGAGTAGTCATAGGCAGCATCCTGGCGGGAGTCGCAGGAGCGGTATGAATCTTGAGGATACTGCATGCGCTGGCAGCTAGAAGGGATGAACTCGGGCGGGGTGGGAGGGAGCTGGCGGGGGTAAAAGGACGGCATGATGTCGACAGGAATTGAAATCGAGTGTGACTTCACACCCTGAAAGGAGTTAGTGGAAGGCGAGGCCTCGCAGAAGCGTTGTTTGTGCGAACCGATTACTTCGCGCCAACGGCGAAGCGCAAAGCGCTCTGAGCCCACGCTTTAGTAGAGGCTCAGTTGCATGCGCGACAGGACAGGCGTCGGTGCGAGAGAGGCGAGGCAGACGATGGCAGACGTGGACAGTATGCGAGGCGATCGGATAGGGATATTCGAATGGACCAGGCAGCACAGAGGGGCGTAGGTGGTTTGCGACGACTCGGGGTCAGTGGCGAGGGATGCGACGGGCGGGCTGGACACTAAGTGAATAGGTCGAAGCGCGGTAGACAGGCGTCGATGCGGAGTCGTTGCGGGCAGTGACTGGCGATGAGGGCGATGGGGGTCGAGTGAAGCCTGCAGCCGTCAAGGCGAGCCGTATGCACAAACTGCGGTTGCCCAAGGGTCTTCGTCAGGGAAACGAAAGGTTTCCTTGCTGCAAGGGTCGCTCCTCAAAGGGGGGGGCGGAGGGGAGGGTGCGAGATGGTGGTTGAAAGAAGAGACAAAGAGAAGGCAGAACAGCAGCCTGCGACCTCCAGGGCTTTCGTCTCAAGCGCATTTGGCCCGGCCAACGCTTCTTCTGCCCAATTTTGTCCCGTGTGAGCCCGCCAAGCCTGGTCAGACTTCGACTCACCGCACGTCATGACCATCGAGGGTCCCTTCATCGGCCACGAGTTTTCGACTGTCTCGCTTGGGCCGGCTTCGTTTATGTAACTCGTACATGTGCATCACTCTGTCCAGCGCATACCAATCCTCTGACCATCCTCGCACACTCCACCCCTATCCATCAATACGTGATTACCATGCTGTACTCGGCCAAAGTACCCCAGCCACCTGTTTTTAGTGCCTGGTGACCCTTCAGTCTCCAGAGGGGCAATCCTGTCGGCTGCCCTCGGCTCCTCAAAGACCTTCCTCATCGCCGTCCGGCCTCCGCCGTCTTTGTCCAACTTATTCTTCCGATCTCTCTCGTGTCTCATCGTGTCATCACTCTCATATCAGCTCCACCATGTGTGCTTTGCTTCTGTCGACCTCGATTCTTGGTAGCTTTCGATTATACAGGCACGACTGCTTGTGAAAGCTTGTATAAATCAGGTATACACAAAACTCGACTTCCTCATGGAGCACTGTCAAATATCTCTTCGTTTCTTGAGAACTCTGGGTCAGAACTATATGGATACCAGGTGTCTTCTTGCTTCGAGTGCTTGTCAACGATACCCTACGAGCATAAAAATTGGTAAAGCGACAACGCAATCAACTGGGACTGGTTGACCGAAGGGCTTACCACGCTTTGGAAGGTAGCGCAGCCATCTGATTCAATGTGTTGAAGACAAAGAACTTTGTAAGATGAGAGCACAAGCAACTGAATCTAGTTGCCTGAAGGGTCAACAGAGCTTTACAGGGCAGATTAGCCATCTGAATCCAGTTTTCCGGAGGTCAAAAATGCACCGCAAAGATGCAGAACTGATAAAGCGAGAGCGCGAGCAACTAAATCCGGTTGCTGAGAGAGTCAACAATGCTTCAAGAGATCCAGAACTGGTAAGGTCAGACCGTGAGCAACCGAATTTAGTTGCCCAGAGGGCCAACAAAACTTGAGAAGGTAAAGTGACCATCTGAGTTCAGATGATAAATGGGTCAACAATGCTCTACGAAGATAGATGACTCTGGTCCATGACTGACTCTGACTTGGTTGGATGCAACGGTCTCTGAGTAGAACCCATATTGATACCAGGTGTCTTCTCGCTCCAGTGCTTGTCTGATGGCTGCCAACAGACATCATATACTTTACGCTGACATTCTGTCCTCAAGAACACTTCTCCCACATCCTCTCACAGCTCCCGTGTACTAAAGCTTGTAGTGCATATAGCTATAGAGATGCACAACAGTCTTGAGAAGCAGGGCGACTCCCATGGAGAGACAAATTATCATCAGCTCTCTTTGGTCAGATCTTCGATGTTGGGAAATACTGTGCCTTTTTATGGTCGAAAAATGCCTCCACGTTCCAGCAGGAGCAGGGAAGGGAAGGTTACAGACTTTTATACACGACGTGGAGGGAAGAGATTCGAAAATACCATGCTCTTGATCCGCGGATCGAGCAGCATCCCAAAAGGTGCGACAAGGCTTCATGGTGGGGGTTTCTGCAGCGGGAAAAACAGATCCAAGTATTCGCAGGATCTTAGCATTCAACTGGCAAACTCCATGAACATTCGATCTGCTTGGAAAATTGCTTATTGAGATATGCTTATTTGAAGGTATCATGCCATATTCCTTTCTGTAAAGGTACGATTCTTTGCAGCCGGTAACCCAGTTTGCCATTCTTTCCGATTACGAACACGTATCAGAAACATATAATAGACGATAAACACAGAGGACTGGCCTTGTTGCAAGACTATGACTATCATCAACATGAATGCGGCAGACAGGCAGGGAGCAGACAGGCTTCGGGCGTCCGATGTCGCCAAACATATTGATTGTTTAACAGATTTTTTGATATTCGGCGTTGTGGCGCAGTGGTAGCGCATCTGTTTCCGGCAAATCGCTAGATCCGCAGAAGGTCGAGCGTTCGACCCGCTCCATCGTCGTCAGGTTGATCCTTTTGCTACCCCCACAGGAAAAATAGATAATATGCCACATACACCTTTATACCGTGATATTTTGTCTCGACCTTTTACTTTTTGATCATAGTAGGTATTAATACGTACTACTCAAGGATGGAAGTACCCTTGTGCTAGATTCCATATCTGTTATGGTAGGATAGGATAGTTATGTTGCTTTAGTACCTCTACAGGACTTGTCAAGAACTAGTCATCTTATATTATTATAGACTTAGTGGACCTAGCGATTTGTCAGAAACAGATGTGTTGCCACTGCGCCACAACGCCGAATATCAAAAAAATCTGTTAAACAATCAATATGTTTGGCGACATCGGACGCCCGAAGCCTGTCTGCTCCCTGTCTCCATCTATCATAAGCTTTGAAGGGACCAATCCATTACTGTACTTGGGCAATTTTCAAGGGCAGGTCAAGTATCTGATTGGAGAACTGGACACATCGTATAACTTCAAGAGATTACACCTTGTGGAGCAGAAGGAAGGTCAGTCGTGATGAAGCGCCTCGGTCCAAGACCATTTCCCCGCTCCAGCATGCCCTCGGTTTGCGTATATCAAAACGAACTCTCGATGCAAGAAGTATCTTGAACCAGACATACATTTTTGAGAATCGAGTCAACAGTAATTATGAGTGGTCCAGGTGTCGGCTTCGAGTATCCATCAGTGCCCGTTTCGTGGTACAAGCGAGATGTCTTGCTATTCGCAAACGCCATTGGCTGTGATGCCAAAGATGAGCTTCACTTCCTATATGTACGTGTTCTTGAAGTTCAATTATCAGATGCCGAACAGTTCTAAAACGTGGATAGGNAATTCCATCCCAAGTTCAGCACCTTCCCTACCTACTCAATCATTTTGCCATTCAAAGGAACCTCTGCGGAAATCATCGACTTCTATGCTTCTCAGAACTCCAAACGTGCCGCCATCCCAGATGTTCCAAAGTTTGACAGTCGCAAGGTGGTGCATGGAGAGCAGTCCATCACTTTCCTGAAGCCTCTGCCACCGACCAGTGAAGACCGCGACTTTGAGATGAGAGCAAAGGTTCTGGGAGTATACGACAAGGGCAAGCCTGGCTCGGTAGTCGAAACCGAGAACTTGATTGTAGACAAGGCCACTGGAGAGGTGTATAGTAGAGCAGTTGGCATGTCCTTCTTTGTCGGCCAGGGAGGTTGGAATGGACCTAAGGGTGAGATAAGCACTATGACAGCATGATTCAACTTTGTGCTGACGTTGATTCATGTATAGNGTCCAAAGACAGTCAACTACCCTCCTCCTGAGGGCAAGAAACCAGATGCAGAATATGTATTCCAGACAAACGCAGAGTCGGCACATCTGTACAGGTAAGTAAGAGATAGTTTTACGTTGGCTGCCTCGTTGCTGAATGTATACAGACTTTGTGGTGACTACAACCCTCTGCACGCCACTCCAGAGCCTGGCCAGCAGATGGGCTTCGGTAAGATAAGCATCACACTAGTTCAATATTCTGCCAGCTAATGTTGCTAGNGCGGTGCCATTCTCCATGGCTTGTTCAGTTGGAACACTACAGCTCACGGGCTCCTGAAGCTTCTTGGAAACTCGGATCCAACTAACATCAAAGAGTTCGCTGCACGATTCGCAAGTCCCGTCAAGGCAGGTGACACTCTCGTCACACAAATCTGGTGTATGGGTAATGTCGATCAAGAGGGCTGGGAGGAGGTAAGATTTGTGACCAGCGTAAAGGGCGGCAAAGTATGTTTGAGCAATGGTCGAGCAAAGATGAAGATTACAGGACAGAAGAGCAAGCTGTAGTAGATAACAATAAGTCTCAGCACAGTCGAAAGCGAAATAATATCATGTCAGAAAGCAGGAGGAAATCGTATCGAAAGAGTCCATGATGAATCGTGTCTAGCTGAGGCTATAATTACAAACCCGGATATGTGTCGTTCACTGAAAGCGCCTCTAACCCCGCCAATGCAACAAAAGACGAATCGTTTAGGCGTAGATAGAGATCCTGAGATGGAGTTAGCAAGTGAAATATGGTCAGGAATGAGCAAAACATACGATTCCTTCTTCTTCGATTGCACCTCAGCAATCGCATCGACGTAATGCTCGTGGACAATCTTGGACTGTCCCGAACGTAGCGCAATCATTCCAGCTTCGACACAAACAGCCTTGAGCATAGCACCACCGAACTCGTCGGTACTTCTTGCCAACTCAGGCCAGTTGACACCCTCGTCGACAGTCATCTTTCTGCTGTGGATACGCAGGATTTGAGCGCGGGACTCCTCGTTGGGCAAGGGGAACTCGATCTTGCGGTCAAGACGACCAGAACGAAGCAGAGCAGGATCAAGAACGTCGACTCTGTTTGTTGCGGCAAGAACCTTGATTCTGTCATCACTGGCGAAACCGTCGAGCTGGTTCAACAACTCGAGCATGGTACGTTGAACTTCACGGTCACCACTCTTGTCGCTGTCAAAACGCTTGGTACCGACAGCATCAAGCTCGTCGATGAAGATGATTGAGGGAGCCTTCTCCTTGGCCAGAGCAAAGCAGTCGCGCACCAACTTGGCACCGTCACCGATGAACATTTGGACAAGCTGAGGACCGGCGAGCTTGAGGAAGGTGGCTTCTGTTTGGGCGGCGCAAGCACGAGCGAGGAGGGTCTTTCCGGTACCGGGTGGGCCGTACATGAGGGCACCNTACAATACTGGTTAGTCGAAAGCCTTCTCAGGGCAACAGGACGGTTGTGTACCTTTGGGGGCCTTGATTCCGATCTTCTTGAAGCGCTCAGCCTCCTTCATGGGCCAGACAACAGCCTCAACCAGTTCCTCAATCTGCTTGTCTAGACCACCAACATCGGTGTACTTCTCAGTGGGCTTCTCATCAACCTCCATGGCCTTGACTCTGCTGTCGTACTCGGCGGGAAGTGTGTCGAGAATGAGGTATGAGTCCTTGTTGACACCAATCAGATCACCAGGCTTGAGCTTCTCGTGGTCGACAAGACCAATGAGGGGCAGGAAGATGGTTTGGCGAGTCGATGTCTTGATGACGGCGGATTTGCCCACGCGAGTGGCATCCAGATCAACGTTGGCGCCTTCTTCGGCGGCATCTGCTTCGACGTCCAGGTCGAGGATCTCGACAACGTTGCCGACGAGGTACGGGAGTTGGNNCTGGATGGGTCATGTCAGTAAGGTCAGGAGGGATGGACGAGTATTTGCGGCGGCGCACCGGTTATTGTCAATCTTGTCGACATTGTCCTTGATCTTCTCAAGCATGGCTTGCTTCTCGTGTGTTAGGCGCTGGAACTCTGAGCGCATGATGCGCGTGTCGTTTTCCAGCAATCGCCGCCTTGTGACAATGTCTCGTGTGCTTGAGTTGAGGATGTCTGCGTCCAGCACCTCTTCCTCCTCTTCTTCCTTCTTGTCGCCGTCGGCATCCTTCATGTCGGCATCGCCGCTCTGGTTGGGCTTCTTAGGGTCTTGGTCCTCGCCTTCCTTCTTGTCCTGGTGCTCCAAGGCGTCCAAATCTTCGAGCGTCGACATATTTGCGGCTTTTATTTAGCGGATGTGAGAGAAGGATGAAGGTGATACGTGTGGCGATGGGACAGAGATGTGAGATGCGAAACGGGTTGTTGTAATACACAAGTCTGTAAGTCCGAACGCCTTGAGCTTCCAAGAGTGCAATGACATAGCTCGGCTTTTGCCGCACCGAGCACCCTTCCACTCAATACTTTCACTCTCTGTATCACTTCTTCACATCTCTTATTCAATCCGTCTTCACTTTTCGCGAGGACTGTTCTCTCTCTAATCCGTATGTCATAGGTATGAACACTAATGGTGTGAGTATCTGAGGTTGACCAACACCTGTCCTGCACCAGCAAGCTCAGGTGTGGAGCTCTGTTCCTTCACCATATCTCAGGTAAGNGTAAAATAAGTCACCGTCCTCAATTCTTATCCTGTCACAGTCGCCTCAAGTACTTCATCTCTGCCTGAGTTTGTCAACTTGAACTTGGAAATGAAATCATCACGATTGACNTGTCTATGTCAGCTTGATCCACCACACCGCTGCCTGCATTACTCACTGTAACCTCCGGCCATTCGTCTCTTGCCTGTGAACACGCTTCTTCCGTGCAACACTCGCCAGTTGTCAAAGACTNNGTTCAACGGCCTCAGTATATGACCATGTCAAGTCGCTTACTCGCACTTACTCAAAGGCATGCCTGGCTCAAGTTGTGTCCAGTACTGGTTTTGTGGGTCGTTCAAGATGCGGTTGAACTTCCTGTTCTTTTTCAGCACACCTTCCATTACTCTCGTAAAGCACATTTCTTACCTGGCAGCTTCGTACCACTTTTCTATCATGTCGCTAGGCGCTTCGATTGCCGCTCGGTCTGCAGTGTTCCATCTCACCTGGATCAAGTGGCCTAGAACAGGATCGTGGGAAAGCACAGGGAAGCATACATATGGCTGGATGCTAACATCCTCGTTGCCACTTGCATGTGCCCAGATGCCCACTGTACTGAGGATCTTGTATGCCTCTTTGTCTTCGGCATAGAGCTGTCTGGCTGCTGCAAACCCATCAATCAGCAAGGATTCACCACCAGATCCACCGGTATGAGAGAGCATATGGAACATCTGCAGTCCCGCTGGTTCCGAAAAGTATGTCGTGTCGGTATGTGCCTCGAGTGCCAATGATGTATAAGCAGTATCTTTGCTTGCCATGTTCGACGTGAAGTCGTAGAAACCGCCTGTTCATGTCAGCTGAGGTTCTATCCTTCGAAACACAAGTTTCCGATTACCATAATGGGTCTCACGGATGGGCCCAATTTTCTCTAACAGCTTTTGTGTTGCCTCGGGATCGATTGGGCAATCCTTGACGAACGACAATCCATGCACATTCTTTCAAGTCAGTTACCGACGACTCCTTGGTGCTGATATACATACGATCTGACGAGTCCATTCGGCGATACCGTCTGACTCCATGATGCTCTTGTAATCAACCGTCGGTGGCTTGGCCGCAATCGAATTGTCAAACATGACTTGCCTTGGACCTGTTAGTATTCTCGAGCTGTTCGACTGGTATCCGAGTAATACTTACTCGACAAGCCCTCTTCTTTGTACGCTGGTATGGGTTGGTCTGCCCTTTCGGAGCACCTTCAGCGGGTATCCACTCTGATGTCCGTCTTGCCCTGCTTGATCGTTAGATATCTATATGATTGCATATAAGCATGTATATACCCANCACTCAATCTGTATTGTCTGCTTGTCCTTGGTTTGGATATTGAGTTTAGTAGGCTTGATGCTGGGATCAATCTGTGTTTTNGTCAGCCATTGTTTCAGTGTTCGTTCAAAGGAAGTCCGCGTACCGAAAAGGTATCAAGCTGTCTCTGTCGAGTAACAGGATGGACACATTCGCTACATGGGCATTGATCTCTGTTGCTAGTCAATTCGAGCCCGACTTCCCGATTACTGTGGTCCTGACCTTAGCCATAGATTGGAGCTAGAGCCATATTTAGTACGGGTAACAGCGCTCAAAGATCCTCATGGCTTACACATAGGTACGGTCCTCGCCTTCAGCATTTTCGAAATAGAGCCTCTCGCCATCCCAGCGTAGAGCTTCACTACCGGGACGCTCCTTGACCTCGAGATCCGCAAAGGGTGTCTGTACTCATCAGAAACGGGCAATCAGAAAGTTCGGTGCGACATACAATGCGCAACTTGTTTTCGAGGTAGATGCCATTCTTCTTGAGCGTGATGCTCCCAAGGTTCTGACCATTCGAAAACCCATGGGTTGCTGCTGGTGGTGTCTCGCTCGCTTGGGCAAAGCTACGTGTTCCTGATCGGGGGATGCAGTGCCTTCTAATTGCACCCGAACTGTTGACCCTAGATCCACATAGTCTTGTGAAACCAGAGTGTCTGATCCGTAGTGCCATGTCCTTGCTGTAGAAATGCCCAAAACCAGGTGACGAGGTAATGTTGGTGTGGTGGTTGGTGGTTGCTGATCTGAAGCCCCCACACCAGACGAATCTTGTCTATCCAAAGCATCAACCCTGGCAAATGGCTTCCAGTCTGTCCCAAATTCTCCATCCTTGTTCGGTGAGCTGCTTTTCCACTGTATACCGCCATTTTTCAACCATATCACCAGCGCACGCTCAGCACACAGCTCAACCGCGACATGTCCTTTACCTGAGTATAATTTCCACAACGTCTATCATGATCTCCATACCAGGATAATTCATCGTTATAAACTGATCTTAGAGGATCGCTTTATTGTGTCACAACTTTCGATCTAGCCGGCTATACACGTTTTCCTCTATTAGCTATTGCGATGGGCTCCTTACGATAACCAGACGATTCTCATGATGCACGGTCGATCCGTTCGACGACTTTTGCCCTTAGAAGCGACGAGCAGTCACGCGAATGAGCAAGCGCTAACCGTATCGAGCTAGAGATTACATCTGCTCGCGAGGCTCATACGGGGCTCTGCGAGAACACCCGCTAAGTTCACCACCAATGTTTCTGAGTCCTAGGACGTAAGGAACTTCAATATCCATCGTGATACTGCTATAAATACATCATGGCTGTAGTCTTAGGAATGAGTGATCGTTATAGGCTTAGAAGGACTCTGAAATCAGGAAACCATGGATTTGATATCAATATCTACCCAAAGACAATGAAGGCACTAGAGATAGCTACTATGCACACCGCTGTTATTCGATAAGCATCTTATAAAGGACCGATGTCACTTGATATCCATTCTAAAGACAAATATGTCTAAGCCTGGCTTTTCTTATGGTCATGTACACTAAAGGGAACCTAGACATGAGGACTAGAACTATGAAACAACTATGGGCCATAGACATACCTAGCACTATAGGTCATGTGAGGTAAAGCAGTAAGCCAGGAGTGAAGGAGATTTCAACATGTGTAGGTATTCACGTCTTTCAAACCAAAGATATGATATATGCGGGAGGAACGCTGGAACTTTAGCAAGCTGTGTAACCGTAAGGAAGACAATGACGGATGTTGTCGCAAAAACAGAAGGGAAGATTCGAGTAGCTAAGATGAGGAAAGCCTCAGGGAGATGAGGAATTGAGACAAGTGCTGTATATGCCTAACGTCATCCGAAAGATTTTGAAACAAGACATGAGCAAGTATGCTGAGTTCATGAAGATGCACAAAGTGTCAGAAACGTGGAGAGCTACATACAATTGACAAATTTGTGACATTTCGATTCGTGTATACCATTGGAAGCAGAGCTTCAGAGACCGTCGCCATCCTATTGAGAAACGTATCGGTGGGGAGAGCAGTATCCACTGAGAGCTGACAATCCATCGGTTCTCTTCGGCCACCTTTCTGCCGACGAAGACAACTGTGTCGTTTGACAGTGTGTCCCGCTCTATACCAACGTGGGGGAGGGTGAGAATTGCAGACTTTGTTCAGTACCTGGGAAGAATGGCTCAAAAGAACACAGGAGATTGGACCGTCCATATTATAAAGGTACAAGGTTGATACTTCATTTTGCTCACTCATAGCGCTTTGCCAGGCTCCGGCCCTTTNTGTTTTTCCTCGAACGGATGCTCGATGAACACAGAGACTCTACCCGGATGAACAGCTGATACATCCGAGTTCAATCTGTGCTGCATGGATTGCCCACCAAGCGAGTCGCGATTGTGGTCCTCGGGTTCTCGGCCAGGGAAGAACGATGAAGTCGGGCTATCAACCGGACTCACAAGAGGTGAGAGATCGTTCTTGTTTGTCTCCGACTCCAGCGGTTGATCAAAGGTGATTCGCCTAGGCTCTGCGTTCAAAAAGTCCTCGCTGTCCCTCCTCCTTCTCGATCCACGTAAGAGCTCATGCCAGGCCACGAGTGTGCTCCAGCGCATAAGAAGAGCGAATGTGTTGAGACCGGTCAACTGCAGAAGGATTGTTAGCATCAGGATCAATGGACGGCAAGATGAGTACGANCTTACAGCGGTGATAATCAAACTCGCAGATACGGCAGCCTCTGTGATACTAAGTTGCTTGGCCAGTGGCAAGCACTGGTTTTTGTCCAGTGTGATGACGAGACAAGCAGCCCAACCCGCAATCTCCTTTGCGCGGAAACCACGAGCCTTGTCTCTGGCCAGGGATGTGTTGAGCGATACAAAGACACCCGAGAGCATGGCAACAACCGCGGTGGCTCCCATACACAGCAAAATGTTACGCCACTGCAGAATGATNACTCGAGCCCATGCTTGCTGGCGAGTCGCCTTCCAAGGCTTGTCTGAAGGCGACTCGCCAGCAAGCATGGGCTCGAGTGCGTANGGAAGCTCGCTTGAGGTGCCAGTGTTATGTGAAGGTGATGATGAGCTAGTCTTCCACAAATTCATCAGATAGACGTAGAGGCAGTAGATGCTGGTCGCTATCTGTAAGACGAACGCCAGACTGGCGAAGGCGATCATCCATCCGAAGTAAGTTGTGAAGGTATGTTTGTCGTTGGGTAGACAGACGTTCGCTAGGCGGTACGAAACACCGGTGTATTTCATGCAGACTGCTGTAAGAACTGTGGGGATACCCCAGCAGAAGACTTGAGAGGATACCAAGAACACTTGGGTATCCGATCGGTTCCAGCATACTCTTAGATGTGTCCATAGTGCACGCGACAAGACCCAAGAAACGGACGCCATGCTCNNTCCCCACAGGAGCATGGCTCCAGAGAAGGCACAAGACAAGTCCGAGTACATGTCGTTGGGCGTGATGGCATCGTAGCACATAGAAGGGTTTGATCCTAGTGGAGCTATGATGGACAACTGTGTTGACTGTCAGCCTTGGGGACGTCGGCATTTGGACACTAGCTCAGCACATACCTGTAGGATGACATTGGAGACGATAAGACCTATACTGAGATAGTGACGATGACTTTTCTCAGGAGCCAAAACTGCGTAGGTCAGGAGCAGGAATACACTGCTAATCAGACTGACAACACTAAGCCAGCCAGCTGCTAGCTCATGTGTAGGGAACGCNTTCAGGCAAACAATATCAGCTTGATCTTGAACAGTTTCTCGAGAGATGTACTCACAGTCGGAATACACCAGTTCCGTCAGTGGACAGGGCAGGCAGCACTCATCACTACAAAAACGACCCCCAATATCTAATCATCCGTCAGCGTATATTTTTGCGGTCGCCTTCAAATCTCAACATACANNTCCGCCTCCAGAAGTATAGTTGTTTCTATTCAGGAACGGTAGTGGGCATGAGTTTCCTGAAAACGACATGTTGCCCGCCATTTCGTCGCGGCCTCTGTGTCGCAGCGAAGGAGTTTAAATTTGATGGTGGCTTTGTAGGCGAGGTGAAGTGTAGTGGTTGGAAGTTTCGTCTTTATCGACGAGAACAAAGACCCGAAACCGGCGATCTATTCGATTAGCACCAAAATAGGGACGACTACTACGTCTTTGTACGAAAACGCTGCGGAGCCTGGGCTGGACTTGGGGAGGAATGCAGTAACATGGAATGCATTCCCTGCCACCCACTTTACTATTCAGAAGTCATGCGGAGAAGTCGATTAGCCATTCATAGAAACAGAACATTCAGATGCCTTTGACCTTATTTTTGGGTATTCCGTGTCAACTAATCTTGCCTTCGCCATGCTGGTCGAGGAATAACGCCTGCGCTCCGAGAACTCCTTGACAATAACAATATCCTCATTATACCATGCATTCGTCTAATGCCTCATACTGGAAAGCCATTGAAACCGATGCGCAATTTGCCGCGTGCGCCGTCGGTGTGTTCGTCTTGCCATTTGGACTTCCAAGCAAGTTCGGCGTTCATTGCTTCTTCAAAGGCTGCTCTGCAATCTTCTGGGAGCTCGTCTAGGACATCTTGTGGAATTGTTGAGAGACCGTTGGTGGAAAGATCATCGACATCGCCGTCTGGACCAGGAACGCCCAGATTTGCTCTAGGTGCGCTCTCGAAGTAGGTGTCGGTGACGAGATAGTTCCTCGCAATAAGATCGGAAAGAGGTCGGAAGGTGGTGAATTCTCCATTGGAATCCTTCTCTGCGCCTGGTACAACAGGCTCCCATTTGATGTGGGTCGGTTGCATGATCTTGGGATAGAACATCAGGTTGGTGTTGATGTCGTAGATGCCATGGAGATTTGAGCGGCGTGCAGCGGTGAGAGTAGAATTGAAGCGACTAAGGACTATTAGCAAGTGTTAAAGAATCTGAGGGGAGCTGAGATATTACCTTGCCTCCCTGGCGTGCTCAAACTGCCAGTTGCCAGTGGTGATGTTAGTCTTTTTTNNCTTTCCTGGAGCAGGTTTGCCTGGCTGAAGAGGAACGCTAGGAGCATTGTTGTGGTAGACCTGACTGGCTCCGTGCCAAGCGACATACTGATTCTTGTTGTATGCCTCACCTGGAGCAGGCAGACGATCGTTGGGGTCGGCCAACTCACCCTCGATGTCGCCTCTCTCCTTGGCCACCTGGACTTGGTAGTCGTCGGTGATCTTGCGTCCTCCGATGACAATGCGCGCACCAAATTCGCGGAAAACAGAGCGGGCAGTAACCACACCGATTGCGCGACCTTTGTAGGAATGCGGGATGATGTCGCGCGAGATCAAGTCTTTCTTCTCCTCCTCGCCGATGATGATTTTGTAGAGCTGCAGGTGCTTGGTGAAGAAGAGGTAACTGTCGCGGAAGCCAGTACAGCGAGCGGGCTCGGTCGACAGCATGTAGAGCCTGTCGCCGCGGCCTAGGATGGTAAAGACGCGCACACGGTAGTCGCGGCCGCCTTGCAGATGACCGTCCTTGTTGACTTTGGTCTCTCCTTCGGCATCTTCTGGGAGCGCAATCTCATCGTTGATGACGTCCATCATGTTGCCCTCCTTGTCGATCGGGACTCGTGTAGAGTGTGAGGGTCCTCCTCTTGGTCTGCCTCTAAAGCCCCCGCGTGGTCCTCCAACACCCGACGGACGTCCTCTCTTTCTACGTGGAGTGCCAGATTCTGAGCCGTTACCAGTACCAGGTTCCGGAGTATCCCAATCAGGGCGGGGACGTGTGGGAGGGCGGCCTCTGCCTCGTTTGCGCGGAATCGTCTGGACAACTGGAGGACTGCTGCGATCTCCGCCGTCTTGGTCGTCATCTACGTCTTGTTCGCCATCATCATCCTCGGCGCCGTCGTGCCCGACATGGTCATCATCTCCATCCTCTTCATCTTGCACAATCGGATCCGGCATTTCTTCATCTGATACATCGGCTTTGACGGCAGGAGTCGAATTTCCTAATCAATGGTCAGTGTGAGTGCGCGCAAACTTGATGAAAAGCTGTACACACTTGCTGACAAGCGTAGCCTTGGGCCACCACCTTTACCCCTTCCTCGTGGCATGGTTGCGTTGTGTACAAAGTTGTGTCTTGCTCGCGCGTCGAGCTGCTCTGTTCTTGATCCAACGCCATCTCGACTTCCCAGGAACGCGCCGCGGCTAACCACGTCGGCGTTTCGGCAACTCCCGCCCCGACATCTTATCTGTCGACTATCCAACAATCCATCAACCATCATCCCATCTGTTCAGATATCGACCATGGACTTCTTGGGTCTTGCCATTGTCGAAGAGTGTCGCTTAGTCACATATCATCAGGAGCACACTTGCTATGAACACAACAGCATATAGCATTGAAGACACTGAAACTATAATGTTGACTACTGGCAATCTCTTCTCGTCCTCGAGGCTGGCTTGGTGTGTTTCTGGAAGATACCTGCCTATATTTTCCTACACAGAAGCGTTTAGACCATGTCATGTTTTGCAGAGACTTGTCATACAAACGCACTATTGACTGTTCGCTTTTTTGGCCATTTGCATTCAGCTTCCGTTGCTTGACAAGAAATCGGTAAGGTTCATCTGCTTCGGGACGTCTCAGCCAAGCGTTTTGATCTGCAACCAGTCGCCGAGGGCCAGGGCGAGTTTTGGGGGTAGTCTGGCAGATGATCCATGGTTTATGATCCAGACAGGCTGCACATGATGTGGCTGCGGGATGCGGCGAGGCTTGTACCGATAGTATTTTGCGGCTGCCTGCCTTGACCTTGATTCTTCAGCTCTGCAACACTGCACAACACGTACCAGGGTAGACTGCTGGGAATAAGAAACACCAGCCCTCGAGTCTTGAACGAGCTTGAGCGTTGGACTGAAGTTTCCCGCTAACGCCATCAATGACATGGCTCGCCCAGACGCTGCTTCATTTCTTGCGCCGGCCTTCAGCACCATCTCATCCTCTAATTATTCTCCTCACCAATCTTTAGTCGCACGCTCTGAATCGTCATCAATCCTGGCTGTAAATCGCAGCAGCAATCTTAATCCGTCGGGCCCCTCTGATAGGAATCAGCAACCCGACCGACAAAAACGAAAGCACTCGCCGTCTTTCTCTTCCAGCAAGCAGGATTCGCTGAGAAGACCACGTCCTCCGCCCTTGTCATCAAAGTCTAGCAGTCTGATACCAACCGTCTTCATCGAGCCCGCTCCTGCCGACCCTTACTCGACGAGGTCTTTGACAATGTCTTCACCTTCGTCCAACAACCATCCTCAGCAGTCCCCCGCTGCGGACTTGCTGCGGCAAGCAATGATGCAAAAGTAAGCTTGCTCCGCTTCTTTCCCTCGTGCTTTTGATATTATTACCCACCACCTCGGCCATTCCCGCCGCCTCCGCTGCGTGGTCGTTTATTGCGATACTGCCATGCTGCAGAGACCCGAGCGGTCGCTACAGTGTCCAATAATCAAGAGCCGCTTCTAGAAGCTCAGGTTCATGCGGAGAATGATTAATAAATCCTTCTCCCGCTGGCATCTGCAGCAGCGTCGGGCAGCTCGGCCAGCAAAAAAAGCTGTCGTCATTCGGGCCGACGTCAGTCAGGTCCACGGCAAATCGCAGATACGCAGTTAGATCCAACAAAACACTCCAACTCTCCTTCCGGGACCGTGATTGTTTTGGCTGACAAGCCTCTTGCTTGCCCTTGTCAATTTCACACCCATCCTCAGTGCTTGATCCGTTTCAGAAAATTCACCATGGCTGACGCTAATTTTCTTCGTCCCACTAGTACTCGAGCACCGGATGAAGATTCCGATCATGTTGGCTCGGGCGCATCTACACCTCAACTTCTTGACGGTGTCTCAACGCCTAAACCCGATTTTATGGATAAACGTCAACCCGGTTTGGCCCATGCCTACTTTGCCCAGGTTTGTGATTCTTTTCGTGCTCCTTTCACATCATCCTCGCATCCTGTCTGCCCCTCATCTCTCTCCCGCAGCATCACCCATGGCCCGAGTCTGAACATGAACCCCTCACACCCCTCCTTTACTGCCCCCATCGGTGTCCCTCCACCTACCGCACCCAGCTCGCCCAAGCACTCTTCCGACAGCAGTCAAGGGCCTCCACTACTCCCGCACGAGCAAAACGACGCCACTCTGCCATCATATCCTACCCCGCCTCTGTCGTCAGCTTCCTCCCTCCACGGCCAGCAGGTTGATGAAGAGGGGCCCGCAGAGGTGCAGGCGTCAATCGAGAAAAACACTTCAGCAGGACCGGCACGGCTTCGTAGTTCCACACTGTCAGGCACAGTAGACACTATCGTTTCCAGGCCGCATGTTTCAGCACACATTTCCAGCCCTACTGCCCATCCCACCAATGTTCCCGATTCCTTAAATGCTTCTCTTACAGCGTCGCAAGAGCTTGAGCCACTTGACAGGGAGAATCAAGAGCTAACAGAAAACACAAAGAGCACCCCTCCGAGAACCCCTCGAGCCCTGTCACATAATGAGCCCGCAGCTGCAGTCGATGACGCCCCAGCTCCCANNCAGCGCCCCAGATTGCCAGGGATTGAGAAGAGCAGTCGATCCAGCTCAAACCAATCCAACAGCCAACCCACCGTCGGTACAACCAAAGGCCAGCTTTCGGTCAATATCGTACAGGGAAGAGGTCTCAAGCCTAGCACCGCCCCTTATGTCGTCTGCATTTATCAACTGAATGAAGACATCTCTGGCGGTGCTGAGGTTGATGCCGATACCAAGACACAAGAACAAGATGGCAACCAGAACGAAAACCTGGCTAAAGGAGTCGCTATGAGAAGAATGGGTAGCGACTCAGGAAAAGCTATGAGCATTCCTGGCGGGCTCGGCAGTCGTCAAACCAGTCAAACAGACATCCCTAAGCTCAAGGACTCTGCTTCGGACCCCCTCGTTACTGAGCCATTGTGGAACCATGAGGCTGTATTGTACGTTGCTGATCCATGACCTTTCGCACATCTCAGGCTAATATGGTTGTAGTNNGACGTTGTGGGTGATCAGTCTGAACTCGACATCTCCGTATACGACAAGAAGAACCAAGAAGCCTTCATTGGACATGTTCGTTTCAGCCCCAACTTGGAGAACTACGACACACCTCACGAGGCTTGGTTTAAATTGAGGCCCAGAGAAGGCGAGACCGACAATGTTCCCGGCGAGATTCAGCTCAGACTTAGCTTCCAGAAGACCGACAAGAAGACTTATGGACCCGAGGACTTTGAAATTCTGAGACTCATCGGCAAGGGTACTTTTGGTCAAGTTTTCCAGGTTCGCAAGAAGGACACACAAAGAATCTACGCCATGAAGGTGCTTTCGAAGAAGGTCATCATTCAGAAGAAGGAGATTGCACACACTATCGGCGAGCGTAATATTCTTGTGCGCACCGCCACCGCCGAGTCACCCTTCATTGTTGGCTTGAAGTTCTCTTTCCAGACTCCTGCCGATCTCTACCTGGTTACCGACTATATGTCAGGAGGAGAACTCTTCTGGCATCTTCAAAGAGAAGGACGTTTCCACGAAGGTCGTGCCAAGTTCTACATTGCTGAGTTGATTCTGGCCTTGAGACACCTTCATCAGCACGACATTGTCTATCGCGATCTGAAGCCTGAGAACATTCTGCTGGACGCGAACGGTCACATCGCTCTTTGCGATTTCGGTCTATCCAAGGCCAATCTGTCAAAGGGAGATACTACAAACACCTTCTGCGGTACCACTGAATACCTCGCACCTGAGGTTCTCCTGGACGAGCAAGGCTACACCAAGATGGTCGATTTCTGGTCGCTGGGTGTTTTGGTCTTCGAGATGTGCTGCGGTTGGTCGCCGTTCTATGCCGAGGACACACAGCAGATGTACAAGAACATTGCTTTCGGCAAAGTTCGCTTCCCTAGAGATGCTCTTTCGACAGAAGGCCGTAACTTTGTCAAGGGTCTGCTCAACCGTAACCCGAACCACCGTCTCGGAGCTAAGGCGGATGCTGATGAGCTCATGGCCCATGCCTTCTTCGCTGATGTTGATTGGGATGCTCTTGGTCGCAAAGCACTTGTTCCACCTTTCAAGCCCAAGCTCAAGGGCGAACTAGATGTCAGCAACTTCGATCCAGAGTTCACAAATGCTCTATCGAGCGGCAACTCGTCATCCCTCAATGCTCGTGCCGCAGCTCTGGCCAGTGGCGTCAACCCGGCTAGCACACCTCTCAGTCCCACACTGCAGACAGCTTTCAAGGGCTTCACATTCGTCGATGAGAGCACCCTGGACAAACAGTTCGGTAACGACTCGAGCCACGTGCAGCAAGCACAGCAAGAATCACAAGAAGATAACGATGAGTTGAGGAAGACTTCAAGTAAGGATGAGCGCATGACTGGTGTGGTCTCATCATCAAACGAACCCCAGGGCATCTTCAACGACGGCATGGACGTATAACGTCCTTTACATCAACCATGATCATATTCAAAACTTCGAAATCAACTGCTGGGAAGCTCTCCCATTCCCAAACCTTCTTTCGTGTCGACATAGTCTCGGGGTTCTTTCTGCTGGTGTTTTTATGTTGGTTGGTTGTACGGAACACGAAACAAATGGGTGATGACGGCCACTTCTGGCTTTTGGGCTTTTGTCTGCTTTCTTTTGCAAATGGACACGAGTGCTTTTCTGACCAAGTACGCTGCAACAGCTCGGTGTGGAGATCGTATGCTTTAGTTGCATTGGGAGGAGTTCTGTTGAGGCGGCCGGCTGTCGACAAGAGAGAAAGAAGCACATTTGTATATATTGACAAGGGTCTCATTACTACCTATCTACCGACCGTCTCGATGTTGTATCAAGAATCTCACCATAGGTTTTTCGACGGCAATATCATGGCTTTCCCCAAATGCCATGTTGAAGCTATCATCAAGTGTTGGATAATCCAGACATCTCGAACAAGGTCAGTAAAGCCCTGGTGGTGTGTATGAATCCATACTTCTCCCACAAGAGCGTAGAGCGAATTGGATTGATGGACCCCGTCTCCAGGATGCACGTGATACCGATGTCTTGTCCGACTCCGCTTATCGATGATATCAGTATCCTATCAACCTTCGTTTTGTGATTCCAATCATGAGTGAAATATTCAGTATTGATGTCGGGGACATTTTGCGTCTCATGCTTCGGGCGAGAGCGTCAGATACCGTCGATACTCTGAGTGACTTGGACAATAGCAACGAGCGCCGACGAAGGGCCATTGAAAGCATACTGTTCTCCCGCAGATTCATCCTGATCTACAACATTGTACTTGTAGGCCTACTGGCTTGTTTCACAGCCTGGTATTGGGGTTCTAGGGTCGCCAGACTTCGACGACGTAGACATGCTTTCTCTCGTTCGCCACCCAGTCAACCTACAGCTTCGAACCTGATTCGCAAAGACGACAACGAAGGCGAAACAATACCACTCCTCAGTCAAAGAAAGGTCCATGTTGACCGTCACAAAAAGGTCTCGGCAGTTGCGTCGGTCCGAGCTTGGTTGATGTATCAGCCTTCCAACATACCATACGTCCACAAAGTTCTTCCTTCGAATATCACCACTATTGGTATCCTGATTTTACTTGGTATCAACTTGTTCTTCCTGCTCTACAAAGCTGAGCTGTCGGTCGCTACGGCATTCATCTTCGCCGATCGAGCTGGCTTGCTATTTGTGGCTAACCTACCACTTCTGTACCTTCTCGCGGCAAAAAATCAGCCACTCAAGGTACTTACTGATGCTTCGTATGAAGGTCTTAACATTTTCCATCGTCGACTAGGCGAATGGATGTGTTTGCTTGCCCTCTTACACGCTGGTAGTATGGTTTTGGTCTGGTATACGACCCTCTCAACCCGTCTCAGCTTTTCGAGATTTCTCGCCTTGCCCATCATCTGGCTCGGGCTCCTTGCATTCCTCTCTTACGAGACGCTGTATCTTTCCTCGCTTGGTTCATTCAGGAAGAAGTGCTATGAAGTGTTCCTCGGGCTCCACATCATCCTTCAGGTCGCTGCGCTCGCCTTCCTATGGTTCCATCACCACAACAGCCAACCTTACGTGCTGGTAGCCTTGTGTATCTTTGCAGTGGATCGCCTTATTTTCAGACTGATTCTCAAGTCAAGAACAGTCAAGGCTGACCTATCTGTCTTGCAAGATGAGGAGACTGTGATGTTGAGTTCAAACTGGCAGTTACCTCGTTCTCCCTGGTGGAGATCTTTTGGCATCAAGGAGGGCTGGAAGCCCGCCGAACACGTCTTTCTTACCGTACCAGCCTTGTCACACAAACATTTCGTCCAAGCACATCCTTTCACCATCGCTTCTGCCGCTCCCACCAGCGCTGACTCACATGCCTGGCTCAACTTTCTGATACGAGCTCAGGACGGCTTCTCGCGAGATCTCCTCCGCTACGCAGAATTCCATAGCTCTGTGAAGATCCGTGTTGACGGTCCCTATGGATCGTCACACGCCCTGGACATGCTTCATGACAACGAAGTTGCTGTCGTCGTGGCTGGTGGCTCAGGTATCGCTGTAGCCTTCCCTCTCGTCTGGAGTTTGCTTACCGCATCTTCACGGGATCCGGAGCCTGAAAGCAACAGGCAGTCTAAGTCTCGAGTGTCCCTAATATGGGTGGTTCACGATAAAGAGCATATTGACTGGATCTCACAAGATAGGCTCGATGAGCTACGCGAACTTGGTTGTAGCGTCATGATACCTCCACCAACACGCAAAACAGGGAGGCCAGATCTGCCACATCTTCTCGAAACCGCCGTGAATGCATGGAGCCATGAGATTGCAGACCCTAGGGTTGGTGTGGTTGTGGCAGGACCAGACGGCATGAACAGAAGCTGCAGGAATGTATGTGCTAGTCTTGTGAGTCAGGGTACTCGGTTGGAGATCTCGGTAGAGAAATTCGGTTGGTGACCTAGCATCTGTGGTGCCTCGGAGGACGAGGAGCCTCTTTGGTGTATTGACAGTCATTACGCAATGAATATCTCCTATCCGTTCTGATCTCAAACATTCATTTCTGAGCCGTGCGGGCTTTGAGATAAGAAGGAAGCCTCTGAACCATATCACCATGCATGCATGGGCCGGTGCCGAGGCCATCTCCAACCTTCCACAATCTCATAGGGAACACTTCAAGTACATTCACGAAAGTCAAGGGCATTTTGATGAGTCATGTGAGTCATGCGATGTGGATGTGCACCTGCAGTTCTCCTGTTCCTCCTCCCGCAACACAATAAAGCGATGTGTCAACTATAAAAATGCACGATTGTTTTCGGACTTGGAGAAGTGGCCAAGGAGAGTTTATGAGATGTCACTCTTCAATGGACACTGTCCTATCTCTCGACGATATCCTGCGTGTCCATAGCTATACGCGTTACATGCTTTTTGAGTTGGGGATTTATCTTGATCTTACTATTTTAGAAGGATCCAGGGCACTTGACAGCAAGAATGTCGAATCCAGCCGGAAAAGAAAAGAAAAAGAGAAAAAGAAAACCCCTATACGTTAACTATTTGCCGATTTGGGTCTTCGAGACATTGCTACGCAAGCTCAACTTGGATGGCCTATTTGTACTCGAAGGAAACTTGTTATGATCCTCTTAAGTCGTGCAAGTGCTGGACTCTTGGACAAGCAAGATGTCGCTCTCATGACTACTCCAAGAGTAATGACCGTAGTGTTATTGTAACTCCAAGAGCACAACGGGCAGTTGCAGATGAGACGGCGGCCTCGGACACTTGACGAGGTCAAGGACTACGTCAGCAAGAATTGCATTCCTTCTCGTCAGGGAACGATCGATAAGTGGAAGACGAAAGATGCCGATGATTTTGCAAAGGGCATGTCACAAGAAGGAATCGATGCCCGTACGAGAAAAAGAGTTCAGCAATCTCACACGCATATCATGTGAAAGCAGCGTGCCGAAATTGTAGGGCTCCAGGTCAGCCAGGTCAAGCAGATTGAAATCATGCTCGCAGAGCAGAGTCAGGTCATCGGTACCAACCTCTGGAGAAAACTGATCATGCCAAAAGAGAAGCTTTCGAAAGGTTGCTACGACGAAACCTCAAAAAGCTACACCCCGATTGCGCTAGTTCTCGGGAGTGCAAGCTTCCAACAATATCTCGCCACAATGCCATCTAGCACAATAAGAGTGCTCTTCTCCGACCAATTGCTGTTCGGACATGAGGCGTCGCTTTACATCGAATGTGGCGAAGACCGCCATATAAAAAGGCTGGCGCTCCCAGCCTTGCACCCTTCAACAGCGTATTATAAGTTGAAACAGATGGGACGGGCCGAAGTATCCGGTATGGTATGGAACTTTGTCACTGCTGTCACAGGCAACACAACCTTCAATGAGGATGATTATACAGGACGTACGATCAATTGCTGCTTGGGCACGAGGCAGCGCTGTACATCGATGGCTAATAGGTCCCAACATGACAGAAGAAGCGAGTGTTCGCCGAAGTGTATACTGCCGTATTGCTGATAAAGTCAAGTACAGGGGCATAGTATCATTGGCACGACGATCCATTATTTCACAAAGCTCATCGAGAACTCTAGTAATTTCTATTTTCTATTTTGCAAGAAGAGGGTTCTTTTTCCATGCAATCTGATAATGAGCTGGATTCAGAAGCTCATTACCAACGCCAGGGTTAACCATTTGCAAAATTTTCCTCTGATAGAGGACCATCGTAGAAAGGGCTTGCCCATTGCACCATTGCGGCACAAGTCACTCCATCTTCGGCATCGCCACGATAGATACGTAGGCGTGACGAGATTATGCCTATCATTGGTGTAAAAGGAAGTGGAGTCATTTTTGTACCAAGCACTGTTGAACCGCGCTCTACTTCAGAGCAATTGAACGTGGAAGTAGTAAGGTTGAAGCTGACAGCAAAGTCGATGGTATAGTATCAATGATAGAGTAGAGCACTGCGAACGGCTGCCGACTATGCAAATAGCGCATGCTGATATGGGCCGAGAACTTTCTGGCCACTGTCCTCCTTATGTATCTGGACGAGCTTGAACGGCTTTACTTTCTTGTCATCATGCATAAGAAAGAAGGTGCCATCGACAATTCCTTGTTGGCGGCCTGGTAGGTGTGTACTTCATGTCTGCGCGGCACATAGAAGACCGTTAACGATGTCGTTATGCTGCTTGCGGCAATTGACGTACTTTGAGAAGGAGCGTACGTACTGGACGTTGTCGTATTGGTTGACTGCAGATGATTCATCGAATGGTGGCTGAAGAAGAGCACTATCTTCTTCCTCCACTGCTGCCGGAACGTACATAAGGGCGGTTGCTTGAACACTGACATCTCCCTCGGTTTGGGTATCCTCGGTGGCATTATATGTAGCGGTAATGCTTGTAGAGTGAATGTCTGTACTCACGGCGCCTCCAACCAGATCCGCTTGAGCAACGATACCACTGTTCATATACTCGTCTTCGGTCAAAGTATCGGCGTGTATGTCTTCCATGATAGTATCTTCGGCTGGGATGTCTTTTGGAGTCTTGCCGAAGTGATCAGAGTCCATATATATCGTCAAGTCTGTGCTGGCCAAAAGAGCCTCAGCGTCAAGAGGCGGGCCAATGTCGGGGTTGAATAGACGGCATGTGCGATAGCGATCGCGCTGGAGTGACCAGGATTGGTGACGGCGGCGAGCATTTGCTACGGTGATCTGAGGGTTACGAGGTCAGCTAGATTGCAATTAAAAGTAGACACAGGCGCTTTGTACATACCCGTTGCATGTGCCGGTGGTTGTGCAGACGGGTCTTCTTGTTCTCGGCCTCTTTAATCTAGGCCCAGCCGGCGGCTGGAGTGTGAACTTACCGTCTGCGCCTGTTGCGCGCCGAAGACAGACCTCCTTCCACGAGTTTGCCATTGACAAAACAGGTGGCCCCGAAGGCGCCGTGGATGAAGTTCGACAAACATAGTCACCTACAGCAGTGAGCTTTGCACGCTCGAACAATGGCTCCATATATGTGGTTGTATAGAACTGTGTTATCTGATGTGAAGGACAAATAGTAATGGTAAGTCCTTGACGAGAATTTGTATATTGAGTAGGGATTGGCAATGCTCTGGGAAAACAGGTAGCTTCATCAGCATTATTTCTGTTTACTTTTTCTCTTTATAACACTCACCACTTCACACAATTGCTTTACCTTCCGTTTACTCATCACTCAAATTGCTCTTCAATTGGCTACAACAGTCCGCCCTTTGGTCAATTAACAGTCGTCGCCATAATGCCAGCATCAACCGGCGCCAACATGAACAAGCGATGTTTGCACCTCTGAAACACAGACCGGTGGGTCGACGGCTAGGACCACTGGGGCAAGATCAACACAACTCGCCGGCATGGATACGCAAGGCCAAGTCACAAAGCCTGTCTCGCCCTCATGTGCGACACGAATAGACCATACAATCACTGCATACTTGCCTGGTTCCTCAACCTCACTCAAGCAGAGGTATACGAACTCCGCTTCCATATGAGAGAGGTACTGTGCGAAGACTCCTTGTATCCAGCACGACGCAACTTTTGGGTTTCCGACGAGCTGATATGCAGAGCCGGCGAGACTCCATAACTCTGGATCATCAACAACGGCAGCGAAGAGTTCAAGTTCGATATGCAAGACATCCACTCCTTCTTCGAAGAGCACGAGAGATGGAAGCAATACGTCGGACATATGACTCGCGACGAAAAAAGACCTAGCTCAAAGTCAACTTTGCTTCGAGATACGATGTCGCTCTATACGCTGTTCGTATGGACCTTTTGAATCGTCTTATCTCTTCAACCATTGCCGAGATAAGGGATGATCCGAGCAAACCAACACGTGTTGCCGAGTTGGCACAAGCAGGACCTCCAGAAAGAGCAAGGAGGCAAATACAAGAGCCCAGGCTCCATACCAATTTGGCCACGACGATCCTGAGCCAGAAGAGACAGCTAACGACGAAGACGGCAATCAAGAAGACGAAACGCCTCGTCCTCTTGAGAGAAAGAGGACCGCCGTAAACGCTCATCAGTTGAAGAGTGCTCTCTTGGTGGTTGACGAAGAGGGCAAGCGGCCACGCAGTGTGTCAATGTCTTCGATTTGTGGAGGCAAAGTTCCCAAGGGCAAGAGTGACATTGCCGTTCACGACCTGCAATTCAGGTCCATTTGACCCGCAATTAACAAGAAGAGTGCTGCTGGCCTTTGGCTTGAGTGGACTTTTAGAGGCGACAGTATCTACAGCTCAAATGACAAACGTCTTCAAGCAATGGGTAAAACACAAAGCAAGGACAAGAAGCTGGTCTACAAGCTTACGCTAAGATCGGGCCTCGAGCCCAAAGATGATGGATTGAGGAACGTATGTGGTATACGAAGATGCAGTGTCGCTTGAATTTTGTGAAGATTTCCGACCTGAACGAGTGTCAGGTATTCTTAACGTGTCCGTCACGATGGTTGAGATTATCGGCAAGCACACATTGATGGAACTTTGGGTTTATATGATCCAAACCATAGCCAAAGGTTTATTTGACACCATAGGGAGAAGGTTAGATCGGTCCTACAGTATGCTTGGAATAGTCATAGAACACATGTCACATATAGTTCGGATCACAATGAGACAATTAAAAGATGTGGTGGGAAAAGACATTGAACGTTTTGAGAGCTTTTGCCATGAGCTGCATTCTACTTGTGATGCAGTGCCCGTGGGATGTCATGAAAATCAAATACAATGCCTTTCCGTTTGCGCCTTGCTCCACCTAGAAATCAACCAGTTTTGTCGTCAAGCGAACGCTTAGTTCATGCGGGCAACGAGGGCAGAGATCTGCTCCTCGCGGTTGCCAAGGTCACCACCCTCGATCNNTGGATATATGTTAGCACAACCGGAAGGAAAAGAAGAGAAAAGGCAATAAATTACAAAGTGGTTGAACTTGCGCTTGTGGAAGCCACCGAGAGGGTTGGAGAGCTTGAAGGGCCAGAGGAAGTTGGAGGCCTGCTTGAAGTTGGGGCCAACGGTGAAGATCTCGTGAATCAGGTCCTCCATGCAGACAATACCGTACTGGCCGAGGTTCTCCTCGACAATGGCGTTGTCGGAAAGAGCGATGCGCTGCTTGTTGACCTTACCGTAACCACGCTTGTAGACGAGCTCACGGACAGTCTTGAGGTTGGGGTAACCCCAGGCGACGAAGGGCTCGACGATCTTGAGCATCTCAATGGTGGCCTTGGTCAGACGGACGAAGACACCGTTGTTGATCTGAAGAAGACGGAGGAGCTGAAGGGTCTTGCGCTTCTTGGGGTCAATCTTGTTGATACCCTTGATGCGGACAACGAAGGCAAGCTTGGCCTGGGCGGGGACGTAGAAAGAACCCTCCTGCTTGGCGACACGCTGGAGGCGGATCTTCTCGCGCTCTGCATCGCGGTACTCCTTAATATAGGACTCGGCGCGCTTGAAGATGACCTGGCGCTTCTCCTTGTTGGCNCTGAGATTTGGTCAGTACGGACTGAGCGGTTGTTGTGTTTGTGCCAGTGAACAGGATGTGTGTCGATCAGACCCGAAAGATGGTTAATTTCGACAACACCGACCCGAAGGTCTAGTCGAGGTGTGGTTGTTATGCATCATGTAGACAACATCCTGCTCTTTCGTGGCGGCGGTGTGACTTACAGCGCGCTTCTTCTGGAGGTCAGCGGTGCGAGCCTCGCGCTCCTTCTCCTGGGACTTTCTCTTCTTGAGAAGAGTCTCAGGAACGATGTCCTGCTTGGTGGGGACCGAGCTGCAGGGAGAATGTCAGAACACAAGGTTGCGTCGAGGGGGAGCCTCGTAGCGGAGAACTGCAGCACAGCGGCATTCTCTACTGGGTGTGAACTCGACGGATCGATGGGGCCATGGGAGACCGATTCGCAATGGCTTGCGACCAAAGACCTCGACCGTACATTCTAAGGCGCCAGACGTGCGGAGACACTTGACGGCCAGAGGACTACGGTCGGCTTCAAAAGTATCGAGGTAGCGCTGGTGTTTCGCAGCGCTCCAGCGAGCGAACCGACTGTGTCTGCATTTCTCCGCGTGGAGCAGGAACAATCAATGCACATACGTCTTGACGGTTTGGGAAGGCATCTTGACTGGTTGTTGGTTGGCGAGGTCGTCGGCTTGTCAGGTCGCTGCTGGAGAAAGAAAATCAAAATCAACCTGGATTTGCATCGGAGGACTTTTCGTGCGTCGACGGTTGTTCCCGCGCCACGCCAAGATTCCTTGTCTTGGCACCCATCACTTCCAGACCGGCAACGACACTCGGAATACAACTACTCACATGAGACACAGTAGTTCTCGTGATAGATTTGGTTTAACATGGCGAACAACAGAAGAGGAGTCGGGCTCTCGGCCTTCTCGCGCAACGCCCTCACTTCAGATCATTATGCCTCTCACGGCGCTGCTCTACGCTCTGCACATGCCGACTCTCTAGCGAACCAGCTCTCAGTGTTCCAGGCCGCTCTTCATTCCTTTTCTCTCACTCATGGCGCCGAGATTCGCTCCAATCCAACATTCAGGGCTGAATTTGCCCGCATGTGTAATGCTATTGGAGTCGACCCGCTTGCCAGTTCGAATCACAAGACCTCTAAGGGTGGTAAGAATGAAGGCGGAAGCTTTTGGTCACAGATACTCGGAGGCAGTGTCAACGACTTCTACTTTGAGCTTGCTGTCAGGGTCGTCGAGGTCTGTCGCGAAACTCGATCAGAGAACGGTGGCATGATTGAAGTGCCTCAAGTCCGGAAACGGGTTGAGAAAGGACGTGGCATTGGTGGAGGACTTGAAGTGTCTGAGTATGTGGGTGTGCATTCTATCAACTGTCTCATACTAATTTCAACTCTANGTGATGATATCCTGCGCGCCGTCAAGTCACTGGAACCCCTTGGCTCTGGTTTCACTGTGATGAAGATCGGGTCAAAACAGATGATTCGGTCCGTTCCAAAAGAGCTCAACACTGACCAGTCGACTGTCCTTGAGGCTATACAAGTGCTTGGTTATGTGACCGTTTCTATGCTTCAACTCAACCTAGGCTGGGAGCGTGCACGAGCTGTGGCTGTCATTGACGATCTTGTTGCAGACTCTCTGGTATGGGTAGATGTCCAAGCAGATGAGAAGGAATACTGGAGTCCAGCACTAATGCATGAGATTGGCGGCGATTGAGCTCTGTCACCAAAGCCACTCGATCAGGCCACGCATGCTTGTCAATGATCATGCAGAGCCCTCCCTCCTGACCGATGTCTTCTCCAGAGATTCGTACAACTGGATCAAACTCCCTATCAAGAACGCCCAGGATCCCCAGAAGGTCGAACATGATGCCTGATATTGCGCCCAACTACTGGTGTCGTAACCAAAGGCAGGACACAAAGTGAAACTGTAACAGTCAGCACGCAGACCAGGACAAGAACCGGAGAGCCCCTACCCGATGCCACCTATAAAATTCCAGAGACCAATGTGCCATCCCAAAACTGTTGGCGCAGGCTGCCACCAATGCTTCTGAGTCTCGATCATGAACAACCATCCCGACACAATGAAGCCGCTACCACCGATGACCTGGGGTGTCCAGTAGATTCCATCGTTCAAACCGGGAGAGAGGACATTGAGAATTTCAGGAAGGGCTGTGAGTCCGCTTATCCAGAAAACGGTAGCACCCAGCAACTGGCTCAGGCTAGCGATGAAGCCGAGCTCATGAAAATAGTGATTTTTGAGCTCGGCCCAAGAAGGCCACCAAACCCACGAGTTGGTCTTGCCTGATCGTTGTTTTTCTGAGTCTAGGACAGGTGGCTTGCCCACCAAGTTTGTTTTGTTGCGGTGATGGTGGGTGCAAGCGTCATCTCTAGGCACAACCCTCAAGCCGCCTTCATCGCCAATCTCAGTCCTACCAACATACTCATCATACACTGATTCTACTGCGTACCCAAAGCAGCCTTCTCGATTCTCGTTTATGGCTTCCAACATCAAAAACACACTTCCAATCTCGAAAATGGTGGCTCCGATGAAAGCGGTGATTCCTCCACCGACAAGAGCTTCATTGTGGAATGTTGATGAGGGACGGATCAGAGGAAGGAAGACAAAGAGCGAGTTGATTACCCACAAAACACTTCCCAGGGTGAAGATGTAAGCCACGCACCACGATATGTCCCATACAGGGTAGAACGATATCATCAACCATATCGTATGCAGGATGGATCGCCAGTGAGTAGTGCTTCGGGGGGGTGCGACGTTGGTCTCTGGATGTTCTACAGAAGGACTTTTTGTGACGAGAGTATGTCGACCTTTACGGTTGTCTCGAGCTGTCCATTTGTACTCGATATTGGCGGCGGATAGGGTGGGAGCTCCAGCTGGCGGGACCAAGTCCGTCGTGCTAAGAGGCGCTGTGGTGCGACCAAGGTGGTCTCGGCTGGGCGGTATTTGTATCTTGTGTTCGTAGCTTGCTTGTGTTGGATTCAAGAAGGTGACTGGTCCTCTGACTTTTGACTTAATGAGTTGCAAGGTGTCATTATTGCGAAGGGGCTCTCGATCGACTGTAAACTGTTTATTGCGATCTGCCGGTATAGGCGCCATCTTTCTGGCGAGTTACACGAAGAACAATGCTATGAGAATAAAGACGTGTTGGTATGCGTAGTGCAAGCTGACGTTGATCTGGACGCGACATGTTGAGATGACCATCCCGTTGATTGCGCCTTCTTAACGTCACCCAAACCTGAAATCATCACAACGGAATGCGGAATGGTGTCGACTTCCTCTTCTACCATCTTATTTGCCGTTTTCCCGTTCCTACCAGCATAACGAGAGTTTGCATAGCTGTCTGTTTATGCAGGTGAAGAACACTGTGAGGACACATTTGCTTCGTTTCATCTCTTACGCGTAACCCTGGCCAATTTTAGCAAAGCTTCGGTTGCGTGCTGCTTCACAAAGCAGATCTTTCTGCGACGAACGGTCAAAGGTGTCGCAATGCACTACCAAGAAGCTCGAAAGCATCTCTGACAGGAGGGAGTTTTGAGTTGCACGGCCTCGCGAAACACTCTGTTTCGGTCTGTCGCAGCACCAGGGTCTTTGTTTCACGCATCAGGAACTGCACTGTGACACAGTTCCGCAACCACAGCGGATATCGGGACCAGTACCGCGGTAGAGGGCTGGTCTCTAGAGGTCAGCTGGAACTCTCTCCGACACGAATCTCGATCCTCAGTTTTGTATGGATATCAATGCCAGGTTCAATCGCGACTTGCCGCAGCTTCCAGCATACAGGAATACCCCAGGTCGCATCGAAGATGCCATGCCTTGAGCAACATAAGGGTGGGAGAAAAATTTCTGCTGTCTCGTGGATCCATCTCAACGGCATCCACAGTACTCGATTCTTCGCTTCAGCAACAAACATCACTATCGACTCGATTTTTAGTGGCTTGCACGTCCAAGAAGCGAAATGATGTGATGGACAGCGGGATGACTGCACTCTGCGATCGAAAGATTGTGACAGAATCTGAGCAGCGAACATGCATGTGCCGGCTCGGCCATCTTGCCGAATGAGATCAAGAAGCCACGAGCAAAATGGATTTGACCATCAGCACAAAAAGAAATAATCAAGGATGATAAAGATCCACCATAATTGAGAGCGGCAGGGCAGTTCTCGAGGATGTACATAATCTATGGGCGGACTAGCAGCGCTTAACCAGCCACCGCGCAGCCTTTCGCCCATGGCATACGTGCATAAAGCGGTACCTCACGCCAATAGGCAAGGGGCTTCAACTGTCTGACCAGATCTTTTCGCTACGTGACCTCTTTCGATGCGAACATGCGATTTGGATTATCCAATCGTGGCCATCACTCTCGCCAACACTTGTAGACTCTGACCACTCGCGTCTGCAAACCTTCACAAAACAGTCATGGGCAAGCGAGAGAACCACCAAAAACGTGCATCGTCCTGTACGTGTCAAAACTATGTGCAACGCGAGGCGCAGTCAGCGATGCATGGAAACGTACTGTATATCGTGGCGCCAATTGGCTGGGTGGCTGCGGCCGTGTGATTGCATCCCGCTGTGCTGCTTGCGCACTTCTCGTCGATGCACGACGGTGGATTGGGATCAAGGCTGCATACAGACTACATGCTGTTCACCAAATAATATTGTGCTGAGCACAGTCACATCTGAAGAGTTTGTGGGACAGTAAAGTGAGGTATCGACAAGAATGATGTTATTTTGTACAAAGACACATAGCTTGATAGCTTGTGATAAGGTATCTTCTCGAAGACCAGAAAACAAAACGCCGATGGTGATGCAAATCCTCCGTTGACCATGTATGCCAGTAACGATGTGGTATATAAGTGCGGAAATGAAACGCCTCCAAAAGATCTAGGCCACAGCCTGAACCGGTATATTTACAAAGTATGTTTTGAGAAGATGAAAGAAAACGTTGATCGTATCATCGCAATGAAAAGAAAACAGCCCATATCATGGGCGGGTGAAAGCAGGTCGTAATTTGTTGGCGTGATTTGCGTCGTTGTCTCGTGATGGTGCTTTTTAGTATGTTAAATGTCGAAAGTAGTGAATATAGACAGGCGAAGTGATAAAGGTGGGTGTTTAGAAGACACGCGTCGGGAAGATCGAAGCGTGCTTTGGAAGAGTTGCCATGAACTGGCTGTACCATGGCGCAATGTATGCTTGAGGAGTGCATTGGCCATTGGTGAAGAAGGCGAAGGGGCCGTTGGCCTTTTGAGGCTCTGGCGAAGGCATGGGCGGAGTTCTGGAAATAGGAAGTTGCTCGAAGTGTGACACGGCCGTTGGCGCTTGAGAGTACTGGAGATTGGATGCAGGCAGCTGAGACATGGGCGGGATTGGCTCCATGAGGTGACCAGATGCCAGGTACGCGGCATCTCTGGCAGCATCGGCAGCACTGTAAGATGGCGAGAGCATGGGGACGGGAGCAGCGGGCTCGCTAGTAAGCTTGGGGCAGAGAAGAATGGCCTGCTTCAGTTCGGGAAGTGTCATCCTTTGAGCAGGGTTCAAGTCGAAGACTCTTCTCAAGATGTGGTCAAGATCGTCCGAAAGGGGAAGGATGGACTTGAGGAAACTGCGATCCTTCATGTAGGCACAGAAAGTGGAATCATCCATGGAAGCCCGCTTCCAGGGGTTGCGACCACAGGTCAGGTTGACCAAGATGACACCCAGAGACCAGATATCGTTGGCGGCAGAGGCGTAGCAAGCATTGGGGCGCGAGTTGGACTGCTGGCACTCAGGGGACATGTAGAAGGTAGATCCACAACCAAAGTCCGAGGTGTAGTAATCCTGAGTGGCGAGGCCAAAGTCGGCGAGCTTCAAAGTAATACCATCTGAGGAAACCAGGATATTCTCAGGCTTGAGATCCCTGTGGTAAATACCAACCGAATGGCAAAACTCTACAGCCTCAAGGATTTGGAGAAAAGCATTCTTGGCCAAAGCATCCTGGCCAATGTAGAAGCCCTGTTCGGTAATTCTTGAGAAGAGATCACCCTCGGGGCAGAACTCCATCACAACAAAGGTACAATCGGTGGAATCCAGAACCTTGACCAAAGAGACCACATTGGGATGTTGGCTTACTTGGTGGTGCAGTTGAATTTCTCTCTCCTGGAAAGTCCTTTGTCTGGGTTCGAGGCCAACCTTGTTCAGTGCCTTTACTGCATACTGAACTCCTGTGCGCATATCGAATGCTCGGTAAACGACTCCGTAGGCACCGACACCAAGGACTTCAGTCAATTGGATACATCCGGCAAGGACTTGACCAAGGCGGTCCTCAGGAGCGCAAGCACCGCACGACCTGGGGGAAGGAGGAGGAGTAGGAATCATGTTAGAGGCGAAGTTGTGAGATGGTGTTGTTGATCCAAGAGAATGATGCTCAAGCAAGCATAAAATCAAACAAACTCCTTGTATGGTCCGGATAGGTTGTTGATATAAAAGCCCAATACAGACAGCCACCCAAGTAACTTCTTATGTTGTTGAAGGGTGGGCAAGGAAGGTATATGAATGAATGGAGGTGGTCGACGGAAAAAGAAATGTTGGTCGGGATAGGTGAATAATAGTACTAGTCGCGAGCTGTACGACGAACAGGAGGGTGTATGTATGTATTGACGGGAGAAGGTGGCTCAGGCGGGTGATATGACGAACAAACGTCCCGGCAGCGTCTAGTTAAAAGTAGCTCGGAAGCAAAGACATGCTTCGTGTGGCATAGAGTGTTCGATGGCCTTTTTCTGGCGGGGCTAAACAGCTCTGTCCCTGACGCGAAGCATCCTGGGTGATCGCTAGCGCCGCTCGAAGCCTGTCACCCACGCCCGCGCTTGCAGACTAGTGCACCGGTCACTAGCTGTGTGGCGCAACGTGTGCCTATTTCTGAGTCGTTGGAATGGTGGGTCCACAGAGCGCATGCACAAGCGCGCCAAAAGCAAAGGCGTCTCGGGAAAGCTTGCACCTTGGGTGGAGAGGTGGCACTTGGCCACCCTGCCGCATGCATCCTTGTGCTTTATTGGTCCGACGGCTGGGTGTGGCAAGGATGGACAAAGAGTGGTCGTCATGCCACTCCTTTGCGGCAGCAGAAGCAGCCAGCACCAAGGGACAAGCAGCAACATCCCTCGCGCATGCGACACACGGTTCGATGGGGGTGTCAGATCTGCTGCTGGGATGCTCCTTGACACCGCTGTGCAGGCTGCAGCTTCGTTTCGCTCTGTGGTCAGCGCTGATTTGCCGCCCAGGCTCCTCTCGTCTGTTTGCTTTGCAGAGATGAGGAATGACCAAGCCATGACTTCGTCTCAGAATGATTTACATTGCTGTGCAAATGGTTTGTTCGTTGCAAGCGCCGACGAACGAGTTACAGCAGACTACAGCCTTGCAGCTCGCCCAAGGCTGCGTGTCGTTTCGCAAAACTTGCGCACCTCTCCTTCATGGTTATGAATCCTACTGATGGGAATCTGGCACGCCAATTTCTGTTTTGCAACTACCCCAACCTTGCTGTCTGCTTTCCTTGATACTGAGTCTCGTGGTCGGCGGGTGTGGCAGAACTATCTGCGCCTATTCGCTTGGAAAAGAGATAGTGTGTGCGGTAGTGCGTGGTATAACACATGGCTATTGCCGATCGTCCTTCCAAGATTTGACGTTCTCGAAGATTTGGGCTGCGAAGAGGCTTGACGCTTGGCCCGGCTTTCCTTGGGTTCATGTTTAGGAGCCGCGAGCCGCCGATTGGAATCTTGACAGGTTGCAAGTTTCAAGAAAATCAACGATGCCTATTGGTGCACGGAAATTGGCCCTCCCGGTTCTCTCGATACACAGAGTCAGGCGCCATGGCGCCCAAGCAAGAGAAAAAAAAAGCAGATCCTTTTGATTGCAAGCGTTCATTCTCATTTGCTGGAAATTTGTCGAGGCAACCATATTGGGAAGTAAATCCTTTGTAGTTACGTGTACACGTACGATCAGCCTCGCAAGTTGCGCCTCTGAAAGCTAGAATTGAACGTGAGCAGATTCCAGGCAGCCAGAGGAAAATCGACCTATTGTTGTTGGTCTTGCCACGAAACAGGTGTACTGTACGAGAAGACCCTGCCTGCCACACGAGTACCGTAACGCAGCTGTTGGTCTCTGCTCTCCTTTGCTACGCAGGATCGACCATCAGCCCCTAGCCAGCCCGCGGGTTGCATGCAGAGTGTGTCCACCAGAACGTCATGGCACAAGGGAAGTGGATGAGGTGGACCGAAAAGTCAAGGGTTGGCAAGGCGCTTCTAGGGGCATCCAGACTCCCAGACCGCATGCAAATGACTCAACAGCGCAGAAGGCAGAAAAAGAAGATGTGGACGGTGCAGAGAAATGCAAGCACCCTCTCCTCCACTTTCACGATGAGGCCAGTCTACTTGCAGCAAGTCCCCTGCCTATCCAAACGCGTCGTCAAAGCGTAGTTACGATACACGTATTGCACTCGCGAGCCTCATCCGCAACAACCGGCGACAGCCCGCGGCTGGGATCGTGACTGTGACTGCTCTCTGGTACTGCTGCAACCAGACCGATGCGCTAGGATTCGGGATGCTCGACGATAAGCACGCATAAATTCACTCATTCTGTGATTGTGACAGCGTGGGCGCATGCTTCCTAACCAACACCAAGCACATCCCATCTGATAACAGTGCATGTCGTCTTGGGTGAGCTGCAGATTCAACAACAATCGTCGTCCTGTGCCATCTGGAGCCAGCTGTCGTTCTGCAGGTGCATCTCCGATACCTCAAAAACCAAAACATAGCCCATCGCACTATTCATGCATCTCACGACTACTATCGTATGGGCGCAGCGGTTGGCACGGCTTTGCAAATTGTATCGCTAGATTCATGGCAATCTCAATTTTGGGACCTTTGAAACTCGCGTGTTGGCAGCTTGGAAGGGAAAAACACGTCGAACGATGTTTGGCGCTAGGGCCGCTTTGGGCGTTAGTTCTGGCTGTCCGCTGGTTGCTCTCAAGCCCGTCGCCCAGCTTTCTTGCACTTCGGAGCCTTTTGAGTTGTTCGAGCATGCCAACGCTTACACCGCTCCCTTGTGCACGATGCACATCCCTCAACCCCCTTTTCATCGTCCGTTGCGCTAAGCAGACAGCTCGAGAAACGGTTTGAAAATCCAAACCTGCGGTGTCCACTTGGCCAATCAAAAGTGTCTCGACGTTTTCTCAGCGGTCAGCCCACAGGTCGATGACCGTAGGCCCATACCGACCTTGCTCGTGGTGAGGTGGCTTTGAAGTCGATCAACGACACTCGATGACTTTTGATGTACAGCAGCAGTCTTTGCAGAGGCCTCGGGCACTGCATGCAGTAGTCGCGTTCAGTCTTGCCCTCTCCCTTTCTCTCTTCCTCTCCTTGTCTCATGCTCGTTTCAATGAATCGGTTGCAATCGAAGAAGATCATCTTACTCCAACAGTCGTCTCCACGAACCTGTGGTCATGATATTGGGAGTTCCATACATCAGAGACAGCCTATCAGACACCAATATGTCGAACTGTCCTCGTGCTCAACGGCTAATATAGTATCCATAAGTCACAACAAGCATCATTTGCTTCCTCCCCAAAACACGTCAACAGTCGAATATACCAAACGTCCCGTTTCATGTCTCTCTTGTTTCTCTTTTATTGACATGCCTCTCTGCTTGTCGTCGTCGTCCAGCCGTTGCCATACTCCGTGTCCAAGCGTTTCAGTTATCGCGATAGTAACGTCTACTCTGATCCGAGGTGCGACTCTGCCAACCATCCACTCCACCTTCCCGCCGTTGCCTCTCCCAAACGGCAGTGCCTACAAGAACCCGTCCGTTCGTCGCTACGGGGCGGACAAGTGCCGTGGAGAAAGAGGCAAATGACACTATCGATTGGGACCGTTGCTATAATTCTCATGCGACGCAGCGCCCTTTGCAACGATCTTGCATACAGATCTTACGCCCACCTCTCCACCACATATCACTAGGGAGATGCAGGGAACGGGTTTGACGTCCGCCAGCCATCGTGCAGACGCTCGTCGTGCGAGGCACGCTCAGCTCCGTGAAGGAAGTCCATGGCTGCCTGCTCATCCTCACACTCTTCGGCCGTACCTGCCAAACGTCCTGATACAAACCGTTCCTTCGAGGGAATACCAAAGAGTACGTGTCCTCAAGACAGTGTCTGAAAGGTAAAGAGGTCGATGTTCAAACACAGTTCCCTTCTGGTGAACAGTATCGCACTTCTAGAAAAAACGCTCGCGTACAGTTCGCAATGAGCATACCATAAGCAGAAGATCTCCGAGTACCGAGCGTTTATGATCAAAGACACTGGGAACACCATGTCTCCAATCTTATTGCTCTACTCGGTTGCCATCCTGCCAGAAGAACTTGTTTGAGCCACATCGCAACGACGACAACAACATACCAAACTCGAAGCGGCCGTTGAACGAACCATCAGTGCACTCATGGAGTGTGTCCACTGCAGATTGCTCAAAACACTTCAAAGCTCAAGTCATATCAAAGGATTGTTTATTGGGCAACAACGCGGTTCCATCGCTCCACCACATCGCTGACTGACCTGAGTCGGTATAGATGTCTCGGTGACACGTGCGGCTCAAGGCAATTTATCGAACGGCTTTTCCAGAAGATCGGTCGAACACGAAGTGCGAATACGGCCGCAACTTGACACTGTGTCCTAGTATTCTATATTGTTGTTCTACTTCATTTCCACGTTGCTGACTGAACTCTAACTAATTATTACAGCTCGGATGTTTGTGCCGTGAAGGGCGTCGACATCAAGAGCAGGCCCCACTGAGACAAAATTTGAGACGTCCACATCCGCCTTGGCCGTGCAGTCTCCTCGTTTATATGTCTACTCTCAAACAATAGATTGATGTCCAGGCACGCGACCGTGCCGAAGCGACAGTAGTCAGCTTGGGTAAGGTCAGCAAAGAAGATAGAATAATCCCTCTCTACAGAAGAGGAGCGGTGAGTAACAAGGTGAGCAACGCGGTGAGCCGCTCGTTAGGGCGTGGATGTTGTTGTCTTGCTGGCCTTAAGACAGCAATATCTTGGCAATGTGACCGTTCATGATGCTGATCTCACTGAATATTTCTGTTTGTAAGAGATGCTTTTGTAGGATTGTGGTCAAAACAATATTAAGGATCGACACATTTTACTTCTCTTCCTGTCTCCCTTGTAATAGTGACAACACTGATATACCAGTTGTCTTATCTGATGTTGTGAGGAGGAACGGGTCCTGGGCGGGAAATGAATGGATGTTTGAGAGCATCTGTAGGTGTGATCCTTCTCACAGGGTCGACAGCAAGACACTTGTCCAGAAGGTCGGCAAAGAGATTCAACTCTTTGGCATCCGCGGGGCTCAACCCCTTAGAACTGGCAAACAATCGTGCCTTGAGCTCCTTGGCAGGTACGGTCCTAGTGATGTTCATGCGACGTACCACTTCTCGACGAGTAACATTGTCGAGTTCCTGGCTCAAGAAAGTGCCATCGGGCTCGAAGTGTTGGGGCCAGAACTCTGATCTTTTGAGCATGCGGTTTGGTATCTTTCCGCGACATTCCAGAATGCCCTTGAGCATCTGGTTATTTGTCGAGCCAGTGAAGCAAATCTTGCCGGTGTACAGCTCGAAAAGTGTGCAGCCAATACTCCACATGTCGATGGCATAATCGTGCTTGATGCCGAGCATGATCTCTGGGGCACGGTAAAAGCGAGAGACAAGGGCATCAGTAACATCGTTGTCGTCAGCAGACATGGCAGAGCCCAAATCAGCAATCTTGAGCTGGTTGCGCTTCTCGTTGACAAGGACATTGTCAGGTTTCAGGTCAGCGTGCAAAATCTCGCACTTCTTGAGAAGGGTGAGACCAAGGAACATCTGCAGAGCGTACTGGCGCACAGCTATGATGTTTATGCCTATGTCACGACCAAATTTCTTCAAGACCTCACGAAGGTTGATACTCAGGTTCTCGAATACCATGCAAAGATGGCCCTTGTGCTCGAAGTGGCGCTCGAGACGGATGATGTGCTTCTTGTCCTCGGGGTCTGCTTCGGCGAGTTTCTGCAAGATCTCAATCTCCTTCATGCCAGCTTTGTACNNCTAATGGCAGGTTAGCTAACTCTTCGCAAAGAACGGACACAGGAACGAAGCTTACATGGATTCTTGCGTACGAATGATCTTGATGGCGACAGTGCGATTGGTGGTGTTATCGAGAGCACGAACGACGGCAGAAAATACACCCTTTCCTAGATTGGTCTGGACATGGTAGCGATCGTCGAGGAGCTCACCCAGAATGATGCGGTAGTAGCCTTCCGGGTCGTCCCAGTCGTCGAGCAGGCTGCGATCGAGTTGCTTTGCCTCAGGGACGCGCACGGCTTGAGTGCCATCTTCCTTCTTGGGACCGGAAACAGGCTCGGGAGCAAACATGTCGTCGTTGTCATCGTCTGCGAACATGTCTAGTTCCCTGGATTGAGCAGATCGATGAGGAGGAGCAGTCGTAGTGCTGTCGGACTTGGTGTCTTGATCCTTTGTCTCGTGACGGGCAGCGGCCGAGAGACGGGCGTTGATCCTGTCTTCTTGCATATCCATGGTCGGATCGTAATCAGCAGCTGAGGGAGCATTGGCAGCAGCGGGAGAGTTAGGGTCAGCATTGACAGGATTGGCAAGGTCTTGGTCGTTTGTGACGGAGAAGGAAGCAGGAGAGGCAGGAGTAGCAGGAGACGAAGGTACTGAGGCAGCAGGCGAGGTCATGACAGAGTCAGGTTCTGAAGCAGTAGCGACGTGCAAGGCTTGTTGGAGCAGAGGTTGTGGTTGGACTCGATGCTTCGCACGCAGAGCTTCACGGCGCTTACGGCGTTCTTCGATCAGTTTGGCCTCATCGACGGGGGGCTCCTCGGGTACATCAGGGACAACAGGCGTAGGTGTCTCGTGAATGGGGGCTTTTGGACGGGTGACGGGCTCCTGTTGTGACGCTGGCGCTTCTCTGGATGGTCTTGGTTGTGGCGGGAGTGGGTCGAGTGTGTCGAGTGACGGTCGTGTGGGTAGCGATCGTGTTGGCGGTAGTCATCACGGCGGGAGTATGGGCGCTTGTGTGAGTCGTGTTGATGGTGGTTATGGTGGTTTGCGCGAGGTTTCTGGTTGTACCTCGATGGGGGCGATCGAGGTCTGCTTCTGCGGTCAATGGCGTGGTCACTGGCTGGGGAGGTCGCGATCTAGTTGCCTTGTCTTGGACAATCTCGCCCTCGGATGCCGAACTGTAGCCCATGCTGAGGCGCGTGGTGCAATGAGTGATGGCTTGTTTGTAGAGGGAGAGAGAGGCAGGCGCATCCATGTTCTGGGACTCTCGTCGTCAGCGGCCCGTGCTTTTGATAGCCATGTGAAGCAGGAAGTCACCAACTTTTTATTCCCAACTCTCCTTCCTTGCAATCCTCCGCAACTTCCATATTCAACATGCTCGCCTTCCGTGCTCGAACCGTGCCACGCTTCTCGCCCCTGGTCAGGCCGGCCACTGCTGCTCGCCGCTTCATGGCCGACCAGCCAAACATGTCGCCATCCTCTTCGCCATCCACGCCCCCACCTACCACGACAACTCCTACTTCTACTGCTCCTGTCACTACACCCATCACTCAACCTAGACCTACTGCCTCTCCGGATGCCGTTTCCATCCCCCAGCAGCAACGTCCACGCAAGATGCAGGATGGCTACAGTGGCGCCTTCTATCTGTCTTTGTTGGGAGGCTTGGTCGTCACTGCTCCCATCATTACCTACTTCTACTGGGAACATCGAAAGACTCATATGAGAGAGAAGAAGGAGGCCATACTTCACGAAATCCACGCCAGGGTCCGCGCCTCTTGATTAAACATCTGGAACAAGAATATCTCATACAAGAACTACCATAAATTCTCCCCACCCACTCAGCCCTCGTGCAGTCTACCGGCGACTAAGTAGAGTTGATCTACTTGAGTCTGCTCGAGCGTCTGGGCTCTCCCGACTCGGTCGCTGCCTTCTTTGGCTCCTTCTTGGGCTTGGACGATGATGATGCCTCGTTTCCGTTCTTGGCGGGCCTGCCGCGCTTCTTCTTGTCGCCATTCTCCTCGCCAGCCTCGTCCGTCTTCTGCTGCTTCTTCGATGGCTCCTCGTCCTCTTCCTCGTCGTCCTTGGCCTCGCGCTTGTCGCCAGTCTTGGCTTCGCCATCCTCCTTCTTCTCATCCGACTTCTTTGACTCCTTCTTGTCCTCTTCTCTGTTCTCTTTCTTCTCTTCGTCTGCCTCTTCCTTCTTGTCGTCATCCTTCTCCTTGGACTCATTGTCGTCCTTCTTGTCGTCCTTGGTCACCGTCTTCTCCTCGCCCTGGTCTTCCTTGTGCTTGTCGCCAGCCTTGTCGACATCAAGCTCATGAGCTCGTTTGACGACATCGTTGCCGGAGCGAGAGATCTTTACGGCAGGGTCTTCGGGGTCGGCATTCTTCTTGACTGTGTTGCCATTCTTGGTCTCGATTGAGAGTTCACCTTCCTTGGCAATCTCGGCGACTTTGCCTCCAGGACGGCTGCCAGACCATTGCCACGAGACTAGTACCTTCAGGTCAGTGTTGGGTTGGAGAGAGGATGAGGATTCGACGACTTGACGCGCCAGCATGACTCGACACCCTGGAGTGAATGTCGTCGCGTAGACAATCGCGCGTCATTGGATCGCTGGATCGCAAGCTGCGCGAGATTCGCGCAAATGGGTCTGGGCAAGGCACTTACCCTGGTCTCCTTCCTTAATTTCCTTGTCGCTCATGGTTACGATGTGATGAAGGTGGATTGGTCGAAAGGATCGATGAGAGCAGAAAGCTTCGTGTAGAATGTCAATGCGATCGCGTAAGCTAAGCGATTCCGAAAAAGTACAATGAAGAGAGCAGTAGACGCGTTTGTGTTGGATGCGAATGTCAGGAAGTGAGGTTGGTCAGAGTTGGAGGTCCGCCAGCGCGACGGGGTGTGGAGGCAGGTACGACTCAACGTCATGCTTGGTTGCCGCGGTAGGAAACTGATCGGCGCTACTGCCCGGTTCTTTGGTCCTTGGGAACAATGGCTTTCTCTGGCCCTCTCGCCCTACCTTGTCTGTACTTCGAGTCCTTTGCAGAGCTATATAAAAATGGTGCGATTTTAATCGCTGTCTTGTTATACCTTCGATGTGATGTGTTGACATTGATGTTATGATGGTTGCTCAAACAGACGTTGCAAGCTCTCGATCAGCTCGACCTTAATCATACCACCATCGCCATCCCAACCGTAGTATACTTTCCAATACTATCAATTGTTTGTTTACTGGCCATCTACATCCTGAATGTCATTCTGTGGATGTAACATGAGCCTTCGTGTGAGTCTCAAAAGAGCTGTTCACTATATGCTCATTTCTCTTTGTAAGAACACGACTGCCAGCTCTTTGGCTCTCGGCTTCAAGCTTCGTTATCACAAAATCAATCACCTCTTTTGAACATTATGCTCACATTCCTGGCATCAATTCTCTCCAGACCACATCTAGGCCTCTTTAGGCACATATCAAGACTCAGCTGCTGTCTCTCAAGTACATCGAAGCGTATACTCTCGTGCTAGACATATTACATTTTATAGGCAGGGTCTCCCGCACGACTACACGGGCGACCCTGGCGTACAGAGGTAGAGACATACTCTAGCAAGTTCTTTCCGCCAAACTAGCCATATCTTACTGGATGACGTCCTCACATCTCCATCGTCGTTCTTGTATGGTTATAAGATACTAAAGTCCACGCAAGGCTTGATCTCTAGTTCTTTATGGGTACCTCCTCAAATCGCAGAAGATTTTGCCTGTGTGCACTCACAATGACTGACAGAATATCTCAACGTTGTTCTGAGATATAGATCTGTCTTACGCCAGGGAATTGGGACTCCGGAATGGACACCACGAGGAGAACAAAACCTTGACGTGTAAAGTTTACTCGATGGACTTTGCAAGAACGTAGAAATGTTCTTGTTTTTGCACCTCCCCGAGTGCTAAAGTATGTAACGTGTGTAGCTACGAAAATGCACAGTGCTATTAAGAAACAAGGCACTATCCACCGAGAGCCAACAGCTTAGCGCCTCTCTTTGGTTACTCCTCTGCTCCGGACAAGAACTGTGCCTTTTATAGCGTACTCTTCGCTCTACGCTCTTGTGGGTGGAGGAAATAGCACATGGGGAGGTATGATGAATTCTGCAAAAACGAGATCATTCATCTTCAAATTCACTCCCAGCAAGAAGCAAAAGGATATTCCGACACGGGGAATTGAACCCCGGCCTCCTCGGACCTGGTTGTTCTTTCCGAACGGTTTGAGAGCGAGAAATCCTAGCCACTAGACCATATCGGACGTTATGGTAATAAACCTTGCTCAGAATATTATATTTCTTAGGCATATCGGACACAGGTGTCGAAAGCGAGAAACGACCCGAGCCGCCTCGCACGTCACATCTTATCAATCACTCACTAACCACCCGAATAAACAACCATGAATAGCTCTCTTTTTAAGCTCAGACGCCAACAGTGTGTCCCCCTTCCACGGGACATGGCAACAGACAGCAAGCTCACGCATCGACAGGAGTCAATGCAGTCGAACTCAACACCAAGATAGACGCCGCAATCAAGAAGTCGGGCACCGACTGGGACAACCTGCCCGAAGGCCATGCGCTGCTTAAAATGTCAGCCAAGCTAGGCGAACTCGTCAAGGAAGCTGGGTATAGCGAGATGTATGGTGTTGAGCTGTCTGCGCCTGCTGAAGAGTATGGTGTTGAGCTGTCTGCGCCTGCTGAAGAGTATGTTGTCCTGAGCAGTATCTCACAGTCAAGAGCTAACCAGAACAACCACAACAGAGGCAAAGCAGCACCATTCAGCACATTACTCATTCTCCAAAAGTTTCTTCGCGCAAACCAAGGCCAGGTCAACAAGGCATGCGAACAACTGCTGGGAGCGCTGAAATGGCGCAAAGAGTTCAAGCCGCTGGAGGTCAAAGACCAAGTATTCGACAAGGCCAAATTCGACGGCTTGGGCTATATTGTTCAGTTGAAGAATGTCCCCGACAGCCCCAATGAAACCGACATTGCAACCTTCAACATCTACGGCGCGGTAAAAGACACGAAGAAAACATTCGGCGATCTTGACGAGTAAGCACAACCAACACAAGAAGCTGGAACGCAAAGAATACACACTAACCACCCTCCACATCACACAGATNTCATCCGCTGGCGCGTCGCCCTCATGGAACTAACCATCCAATCCCTCTCCCTATCTTCTACAAAAATACCCATCCCCGACTACACCAAAGGCCCGGACCCCCACCAAGCCCTCCAAATCCACGACTACCTGCGTGTGTCCTTCCTCCGCCAACCCGCAGAAGTAAAAGCCGCCTCCCAAAAAGCAATCCAGCTCTTCTCCGCACACTACCCAGAAACACTGTCGAAAAAATACTTTGTCAATGTGCCCTTGGTTATGCAGTGGATGTTTGGGGCTATGCAGGTGTTTATGGCAAAAGAGACTGTGCAGAAAATGCAGTGGATGAGTTATGGTGAGGAGTTACATAAGTATGTTGGTAAGGGTGTGGCTAAAGAGTATGGTGGTGAGGGACCTGGGTTGGAGGAAGCGGGCGTGACGCCGGGGTATAAGCAGCAGGGGGCTGGAGATGCGGTTGCTGATGCTGCTGCTGTCAAGGAGATGGCTATCTGACCATGGCTTTATGACTGTTTGCTTTCGTCGAGATGATACCTCTTGCTGTTTTGCACTGCTCTCCCTCGTAGGTAATGATAATGGAACCACTTTCATCTAGACATTCCAGGTGTGACTCCATGGCATTGTCTATGCCTCCATGTTGCCTGGAATGGCCACAAGTTGGTAGTCAGACTTTGTTGACTCCTCGGCCAGGACACAGTGTCTTACAAACGGTCTTTCTCGGCGAACTTCTAACAGAATACAGGGATGTGTTGCACTTCTCTTCCTGGTATGGAACGAGTTGAAGAGATAAGACCAGAAGTAGTCGTGATACGTTTCATGAATGGGGAGTCATGGGATAATCCAATTTGATTTCACTCATACTCAAAGAGATAGCGGTTTGTCAAGAATCACTGGCACTCAATAGTCGTTCATGCTCGCCATTACCAATCCCAGGTCTTGTCACCCTCATTCGACAACGGGTACATTGCAAACACAGCACTCTCGAATATCTCCTCACTCAGACTCTTGTCTCCTCCTAGAAGAAAGCAGGAATGCAAAAGTCAGACTCCGATTCCCAGGCTGACTTTGACACTCTGCGCATATTCGATCCATTGTCAGCCAATTCGCGAGCAGGTCCTTCGTATGCAGAGCTATCTTCCAAGAATGAGTCTTTCAATGGCAGCAGGAGCACTTCCACGCTCGAGCATGCCGAGCTGCTGTTCGAGATACAATTGCTTAGATTGCCGTTGTGGGACGACAAGAAGGTCCACTCGTAGATTTCAGCATCATGCTCGATCATGACAAGATCATCAGAACAACCGTCAGCTGGCTCATCAACCCAGTCTGCAAATGGTTCTCCCCATTCAAGAAAAGGCTCGTCGTTCCAATCACCAATGATATCGTAAGGCCAGTCTTCGACTGGCTTATCGGACCAATCGACTTCGAGAGCAAAGGTCTGAGCAGTGGCGGACTTGTTGTGTACCACACCTGGCATTCTGCCTTCTTCGCAAGTACACAGAAACTGGGAAGAGTTCAGAGATGGCTCCTCGGGGTGATGATCACCCTTTCCTCGATATAGAGTGCACCTCGTCGACTGTGGCTGTGGCTCGAAATGTTCGTAGGTGCTTGGCCTAGCATCAAAGGTTGGAGGGACGGCCAAGTCGAATGGATCGATGTCACGGAAGTATGATAGCTTTGCTGCCACAAACGACGCCTCAATGTCATCGTATTCTGGAGCGTCTACAGCCAGACGTGGACCCTGGGTGATGGGTGTAGTGGCGGAAGGGCAAGGCATCCAAGGCGTCACAATCGGAGCGTCGCCTACATGAGTCATAGGAGCTTGCGGTCTGTTTGTAAGTTCTGGCAAGCACACTTTGGGTGTCAATGGCGTGAGTAGACCAAGTTCGGCCGCTGTCATGAAGGAGATAGGCGGAGATGGAAATGGAACAGCCAAAGTCTTTCTGGCTGGGGCCGAGAACTTGATTTCAAGGGTTGACCAGTCTGCATCGGATATAGGTTGGAAGTGAGTGGTGGGTGTGCGTGCTGGCGACAGTGCTGGAGGTTGCCACTTGACTATTTGCATAGGTGAGAGATCAAGGTCCGGCAGCTGGACATTGGAGTTGTGCTCATTCGTCCTAATGACATGATCGAAGCGAGTTGACAGTTCGGCGTCCAAAGAAGCAAGCTGAAGTTCGACGAGCTCCTTTCTCTTGTGCTCCCTTGCCCTTCTGCGTTTTGAATGGCGGTTGGCGAACCATCGAGATTTGCGGTCGTGAAGATGAGTCAAGGGCTCGAATTGGTTTCCTCGATGATGTGAGTATATCGTCTTGAGTATAGTAGGCACAACATACTGNTTTGGATGCCAATCGGAAGCGACGGTCAGAGGAGGATCCATCATCCAGTTATGATTGGCCATGGAAGCGTTTGCGGCATCTGCACAAAGTTGGTGCAGTCTCTCTCTGCGAGTCAGACGTCTGGTGTCTTCGAAGTTACAGCACTTTTGGATGGAACCACGGTTACGAGCCATGAGAATAGGTGTTCTAGGCGAAGAATAGGGATAGTTATGAAGATCAAGAGTGATGCTGTGATGAACTGCAGTCATGGAGAATGACAGATGCAGAGTTCAACACTTTGGTCACCGCTGGTCGCGCCTTCCTGTTGCATTGGTATCCAGGAAGTATGGAGCACGTGGCTGAATTCGTTGTTTCCCTCTCGATATACGACATCCTAAAGTCAGGCATTTCTTACACTTCAAGGTCGCTGAATTGAGAGTGATCCAATGGTTTACTCAAATTACAGATGTTGTACATAGTGATAGTACTAAATATCTGTACGATGCATGAAGAAGTACACCTCACCTGTTTTTGCTGCCTGTCGTGAAACAGGGTGACGCGTACATTTTCAAGGCAGTTGTACTCGGTCGACGAGAAGTGGCTCTCAACGAAGTTCGGATCGCTTGAAGGCTTTACCTGGCCAGGACTTGACAACGGGGTGGACATGAGGATGAGTTGGTGTCTGTCGAGATTTACGAAGCAATACGGGTGATTGACTGATCGACATAGCGCAACGATGCTTCTTCGCAAGTAGTGTCAGGGCGCGCGATGGTCCATGTCGGATGGCAGCTTCTCGGATCAGGCGGAGGGTGGAGGATTCTCGAGACAAAGAGGGCAGTCGGATGCGGGGTGAACGGACATGATGTCACAGGCGAAGCTACACGAAGATATTTTTGGACTTTCAACGGCGAGAATACCGGGGATAGCATGCTGGGGTCGAAGAGCAGAAAGTCGCGAGAGAGTGATGGTTGTGGTATAAGAGAGAAACAGCAATACTGGCGAGGAACTAAGTATCAAGATCGGCATATTCGAGCAGTTGTGGCTTGAAGAGATGTTTGTGGACCTGCTTCCTGAAACGCGCTGCAGGAACCAGGTAGGTGGTCATAGCGCTCTTGCAGGGTCTTGTTGGCCGACGGTTTGGAGTACGCGTGGGCGTCACCTTTTTCTTTCTTGTTGCATCAGAACGTCAACAGCATTGTTTCGTGCCTCTTGCCACGTATCCCTATCCTCGAGACCTGCGGTTCTTTTCATTCCACATAGCCGACTTTCATCGGGCTCGTTCCACCTAGAATATCTCTCTGGTATCCATCTACCAGCCCCAGGTCCCACATTCATTTCACATCTGTAGATCCGACAGATCGCCAAGGCACACGACTCGTTTCCAACCGGCAGAGTCATCGAGAACTCTTGTCATAAAAGCAAGACGCTTCGCTCGTCGCCCAGCGCTCGCTCGGTATTGACATGTCCTTGAGAGGCTCCAACTCGCACCGTCTGTCTCGCCAGGGCTTCTCCCCCATCCCAAACGAAAACATGAACAACGGCGACGCAACCATCGACATTCCCTTGCAAGAGGTCCACTCGCAAGCTTACAGGAATGACAGCAACACTCCCNTCACCCCCAACGGCCATGGCCTCACAAAGACGTCCTCACGCCAACCCNCACGCAACATTGCCGGACGACGAGCCAGGAGGAACATGGGCGAGTCGTCGGTCGGCTACGACGGAGAAGAAGACACGCTCAATCGCATGGGCAGAATCTACAACAAGATCCTCAACTTTAGCATCATCACTCGCTACTTTGTTTACGTCTCTCCCTTGGCTCTCTGTATCGCTGTCCCCATTATCGTCGGAGCCACAGCCGCCCCCAATGCAAAGATTGGCGGCGTGCCAATCGTCTGGTTCTTTACCTGGATCGAAGTTGGTGCGTAATCGCGCCACTCTTTACTTGGACAACAACTGACTCTCTCGCAGNTGTGGTTGAGTCTGTGGGGCTCCAAAATCGTCTCCCACTTCCTTCCCTTCGTCTTCCAATTCGTCGCTGGTGTCGTCAGCTCGGGCACTCGCAAATATGCTCTCATCATCAAGGCACTCGAGATCCCTCTATCTCTGGCAGGCTGGGCCATCACCTCTTTGGCCACTTTCATGCCTCTCATGACACGCAACCCGTACGGCCGCGCCCACAACCAAGGTCAGACACATTGGATGAAGATCATGAACCAGGTCTTGGCCGCCTGCCTGATCGGCACCCTCGTGCTACTGGTCGAAAAGTTCTTCATTCAGCTCATCAGCATAAACTACCACCGCAAGCAGTTCAACGCCCGCATCAAGGACTCCAAGCGCAATGTCTTCCTGCTGGGTCTGCTCTACGACGCTTCGAGAACTCTCTTCCCCGCTTATGAAGTCTTCGCCGAAGAGGACTATATGATTGCCGATCAGCTCAACCTGTCCATGTTGGGTGGAAAGAAGGGAGGAGACCACAAACGTTCCGGATCAGTCACTCCCTTCCGCTTGCTGCAAAATGTTGGAAGATTTGGTGACCAGGTCACTTCGGCCTTTGGAAACGTCGCCCAAGAAATTACCGGAAAGCAGGTCTTCAACCCCAACAGCGCCCACTCGATTGTTACTGGCGCTCTCGAGAAGAGACGAACCTCAGAAGCCTTGGCTAGACGCTTGTGGATGTCCTTTGTTATCGAGGGCAAGGAAGCCCTGTACGAAGAAGATATTATCGAGGTTCTTGGCGATAATCGCAGAGAGGAGGCCGAGGAAGCCTTCATCATGCTCGACAAGGACTGCAACGGTGACATTTCCCTCGACGAGGCTGTTCAGCAGGTCATCCAGATCAGCCGTGATCGCAAGGCCCTTGGTACCAGCATGCACGATGTCGATCAAGCTATCAACGTCCTGGACAGACTGCTTATGGTCATTGTCTTCATCATCATTGTCTTCACATTCATTGCCTTCCTCAACGCCAGCTTTACCACTACTTTGGCCACCGCCGGAACTACTCTGCTCTCTTTGTCATTCGTCTTCTCCGTCACTGCCCAAGAAGTCTTGGGATCTTGCATTTTCTTGTTCGTCAAGCACCCTTACGATATCGGAGATCGTGTTGACATCGGTTCTGACCATCTCGCTGTCGACCACATCTCTTTGTTGTTCACGGTCTTCCGTCGTATCAGCGGTTTGGAGGTTGGCAAGTGCGTCCAGATCCCTAACAACGTACTCAACGGTCTTTGGATTGAGAACGTCAGCCGAAGCAAGCTCATGAAGGAGCAACTTACTCTCGACGTCAGTTTCGACACGACATTCGAAGATATTCAGCTCCTCAAGAATGAACTCCTCACCTTTGTCTGCGACAAGGACAACAGCCGCGACTTCCTCCCCGAAATTGACGTCGAAGTCTTGGGAACTTCCGACATGTCCAAGTTGCAATTGAGAGTTGAGGTTAGACACAAGGGCAACTTCGCCAACGAGACTCAACGTGCATCTAGACGCTCCAAGTTCATGTGCGCACTCGTCCAATCTCTTCGCAAAGTACCTATCAATGGTCCCGGTGGTGGTGGTGACGCACTCGGTGGTCCTGCCAATCCAACATACTCCGTCTCTGTCTCGGATGGTTATGCTACCGAAGCTCGTGAAGCTTCTGCTGACGCCAAAGACAAGGCTAGACTCGTACCCAACAAGAAGGTCGAGGAAGCCATGAGTCCCTCTCAGACACGTTCAAAGCACACTGGTACCGGTCCCCTTGGTCTTTCGGCAAAGGAGACAGCAATCGTGGACAATCTGCACTCACAAGCACCTGGTCTGGATACCACGCGTGATGAGCCTTGGATGGAGACTGGTAGCAGCACATTGGACGAACGCTCAAGCTCTGATCGTGCTCAGGACATTGAAGATGTCAGAGGCCTGCTGGAAAGAGCAAATACCAAAGGAAAGCGTCGCCCTTCGAACCACCCCACAAATCAGCCTGGCATGCCAACAATCACTGAGCCCGTGCCTCCGATAGCATACACTGGCTATGCCCAAACTGCCGAAGCTAGTCTTGAAGTCGACGAGTACGAACAATACCGCACACAAGCTCAGGGTGGCCAAGGCTTGAACCTCAGTATCCCCAACACTGGACCTGCGCTTCCTACCAGCCCGTCAGCGTACGTGCAAGGTTCGAGCTACCTGGACAGGACGACATCGGGACGCCAACCTTCAGGTCAGCAGAACATGGGCAGAAGCCCAAGCAACCCATATCGTCAACAGTCCACAAGAAAGGCATCGAACCCTTACGACAGCGATTGATTCCCTAATTGATGAGTAAACATCAACTTCGAACTGCCGATCGACTCGGATGTCAGTATGACCGCAAGAACATTTGTATCTTTTGATAGCCTGATTTTCTCACACGTTCCTTTCTCTTTCATGTACATTCGCATAGCATAAAAAGCACGGGCACAGGAGTTTTTTTTTTGATAGCATTTCACCGGATAGAAAGGGGCACCAATCATGTACAATGTTCGATGATTCTTTGAAGTCAGATTGCAAAAAGAAGTACAAGGAAGATATGAACCTGTTGGTATTATGAAGAAATGAACCCGATAGAATTCCCATCGATCCGAATGCAAATGTAGACAAGCTTCGAGAACAAGACAGCCGTAATGTTAATGAGACAGTGTGTCTCGCTCGCCCAATCACCAACAAGAAAAAGTCGCTTCCTTCCTAGAGATAACCAAAATCCGAAGTCCTAAACACAGGATCCTCAAACGGCAGAAAAGAATTCGCAAGCCCAAAGTCAGGCATCATGAACGAATCATCCCTGGCCATATTTCCAAAGTCGTTTTGTGGTCCAGCAGCCAACACATCCATCTGCTGTGCCATACCTTGATCAGCAGACCTGCCATACTGGTTCTCATTCATGTACTGGAACCCACCATTGAACAGTTGCGCAGCAGCCTGCGTGGGCGTCCTCATGGACGCCTCAACCATCTTCTCCAACCCTTCCGCCATGAATCTGACTAAATGATATTTCCCCGTCGGCATAAGACGCAACTGTCCAACAAGCCGATTGATCAAATCGTGGACTGTGGTTCGTTGCACCAAGTCTCCGTCATATTTTGTAGTCATCTGGAGGAGGAAGCCGCAGGCAAAGGCGATCATGGTGTGTAGGTAATGTGGCATGCCTACTAGGCCTGCGCGCATGTCTAGGTCCGAGAGAAGGACTTCGACGATTGTTGTTGCGGCGTCGACGGCTTTGGCGGCCGAGTGCCGGAAGTANGTGGGGAGGGGGCTGGTTGCTAGGCCCCTGAAGATGTGGGAGTGGAGGTGCAGGCGGGCGAGGTTGGAGTGGAGGAGGACGCCTTTGGAGGGCCAGTCTCCGATGTCGTCGCGTCGTTCTGAGGTTTGTGTTAGTCGTGTTTTTTTTCTTTTTCATAGTAGAAAGAGGGCTAGGGAGGGGAGAAAAAACTTACTCAGGTGTTGGAACCAGGTTTCGACCCAGCGGTCGATTTGGCGGTCAAAGGAGGCAATGTGTTCGGTCAGACTTTGGGGTAGTGTTTGAGTGTCCCTGCTGTGTCGTTCGAAGAACTCTCTGATGGCGCCCATGATTACCATTATTGCCACCTGACTTGCTGTCCGTCGATCTTGCTCCACCGCCACGCGGACCTCGAGATATCGCTCCCAGCCCTGTAGACTAGGGTCATCGATTCGTATTGTGGTTGGGCGACCATAGAGAATGCTCAGATGTTGATCGCAGATGTAGAGCAAGTACCATAAACGAAGGCAATCGGCAGCATCTTCCGAACCATCGTTCAGGACTCTGTAGTAGTTTGAACTCAGATTGATGCCCATGGCGCGCCGTATCGCATGTCCAGAAAGTGTGTATGATATATCGCTCAGCCAATAGGATCCGATACACATGGCTCGAAGGTATTCACGGTCGATGCGGCGGACAAACATGGATTCCGAAAGCACTCTTTTCAACTCTCGGCAGCAAGGCCCAAATAGTTGATTGCTGTTCGGATCATGCAATGCAGCAACAGTCAGAATTGCGTTGGTCAATGCCACTGAACGCCGCCGTATAGATTGCAAATCGGTGAATTTGTTTGCAATGCTGTAGGCGTAGTGATCCAGTCGTCCAAGATATAGAGTCGTCAATCTCTCGGCTTCTTCAAGAGATACAATGCCTTTGGATACCACGTCCGAGCCTTCATCAGCCTTGCTCTCGTCTCCAGAGTTTTCAGCTCGTAATGAACGCAGTCGCGTGATTTGATAAAGCGACTCGATCGGAACGTTTTGTAGAGACTCAGTCTGTGGTGGTAATTTGGGAGAATTGTCGCAAGAAGGTCCGACATCTTCGACCTTTTCGACCACTGTATCGTCGTAGGGTGATGTTTCTTGTTGATCTTCTGTTGTGGAGGGNGCTTTTAGTGGTTGCAGTGCAGGCATCGATAGCCTCTTCAGGATGTCTTGGACGGCTCCATGCATGTTTGAGATGTCGCGATGCATGTCATCTTTCCATTGCGATCGTTCACTGATCAGGGTTTGCAGACTTTTGTTCAAGACACACGAGAGGCCTCGCTCTATACAGCGTCGACATGGCGGTTCTCCGTTATTGTCCATCAGACATTTGATCTAGTCAGACATGAGCCATCCAATTCAAAATGTCAGCAGTCTTCAAGCAGTGTTACCTTTNTGTTTGCGACAAGCAGCACATGCTTTGACCTTTCGTGATATCTGGGGTCCATTGGGAGAATCCTGCGGAGGACCTTGTGGTGGAGACATTGAAGTAGGGTTGGTAGCACTACGAGAGCCNCTACACACGTTTTCCATGAGCCTCTATCACATCGAACCTATAAGGATCTCAATCACCGAGTTCATGTCGAGTAAGCCCTGAGCGGCGTTTGCCACGGACCAGGATCTCTTTGACATATCGCAACCTTTCTCCTTCCAAAGTTGGCGGCTGGTCAGATTCGCGGTGTCATGCGGCTCATATCGTCAAAACGGTTTCGATATACTCCGAAAATTCGTACGAAAAAGTGTCGCGACGAGACGAATAGGTAGAAAGGTAGCTTCCCCAGTCGCCGAGGCCTTCGAGAACTCCTCGTGTCTCCGCGAGCGGAGGCAGGATGGCGGGGAAAAGACTTGGCGAGATCGGATCACATTAGCCGACACGGCTTGTTTCTCACCTCTCCTGCTTCCTGCCTTGACTCGAGATGGGACTCAATCTTTGACATGCGGTACGAGTGATGCCTCACGTGCTACTTTGAGTTTGGCACGTTGTACAGCTGAAGTTGCCGTGTTGGCAATGTATCACTGTGGTCGATACAACACGATGTGGTAACGGCATGCTGACATGAGAATGTCTACAACCACACGTACGATACGAGTAGCGTATGCACGAACATGTTCACGCGTCCAGCTTCACGAGTGGTTGCCAAGGAAGGAACAGCCAGCTGAGGTCGATCAGTCAGACCCAGAATTATGTGAGTACGTCTTGTATATGCAGAAAGCCTTCGGTGCTCAGCCATGCACCATTGTTCAACTTCGGTCTGTCATCACAAGAATACTCATGTATGCCTAGTTCGAGCTCGTATTGCATGTTTATATTCAGCTCATGCAGGAATCCCATCCTCTGCTAAAGGTCGACTGCGATCGCGATGTATACGTCTGATCTTAGACCGGAGTGCTACGTAGCAGCGAGAGTACGCTTGAGAAAGTGGCTGTACTGTTGGTCCAGTCAGCATACCAACAAAGTCGAGCAACGCGGGTATCACCTAGAGGACTCTATGTATATAAAGGCAAGTCATCGCACACTTTAGTCTTCCCATCATCAGCTCCGTCAAGCAGAATACCTCATTCACAAGCCATCAAATCACTATCAGTCAACACCCAAGCAAACATCCACTTCAAGATGCTCTACAATTCCGTCTTTGCTTTGGCCATGGCTGCATCAGCTCTCGCCACTCCTCTCATGGCCAAACGCGCCGCCGCCTTCGACTGCAATGTCGCCTTCGTCGCCTGTGTGGCAAATCCTTACCTCGGAGAAAGCTACTGCAACGACGTCCGCAACACCTGCGAAGCCTGCTGGCAAACCGAACAATCCTGCAGAGTAACCGCCGACTACGCCAAAGGCATCCAATGCACCGTAGATGCCCAACTCTGCTTCCACACCGCCGAGAACCCTGCTTCGGTCTATGGTGCCTACGATTGTGATGCTGCGTTTAGCACTTGCGCTTCTGCTCCCAACACCAATCATGCTTTCTGTGCGGCTCAGCAGGGTGCTTGTAACGCTTGCGAGACGCAGGAGAATCAGTGTCGTGCTGCACCTGGTGCCAATCAGGCTGGATGCTCTGCGCAGTCGGCCGGCTGCTTCAGGGATGCTGTTACTTCTAATGGCTCTTACACTGGCTAGAATGATAGTCGTGTGTTGGTCACAACCAAAAAAACTTGAGAGTCATTGAGAATGGAGGGAAGATGAGTGTCATGGCTGGACATGCTTCTCGCAGTCCCTACTCTGATCGTGTTTGGTTGGAAGCTGGCAATGTTAAATTCTTTTGCATCTCGTAATCATACAAGTTTGGTCCTCCACCTAAAATATGTTCATGATCAATGCGAACCGAATCCCATCTCACTTTTAGGAGTCATCACTTCACATGTAGTCAAGAACCAATGAGAAGACCGGAAGGTCAGCATATTGCCAAAGGGCCGAGCGAACTGCAAGAATGGGATGTTTCGGCCTATGCCAAGAGAAGACTCGATGATTCTGGAAGCGGCTGTCGCGTGAGCTGGTAATCAAGGTCTCTCTGATTGGTTCGCCGGATCGCACTCCGTTCATCAACGACCTGGGTCTCGTAATCACCTCTTGCGCTATTGGTCAGTCGATTGAAGCTGAACAATAGAGCTCTCGTGATTGGGCGACAGCTATGTCATAGGTAAACAGCTCACCCTCTCTCGAGTTGATATAAATACCACAGCCACCTAACCTCATTATCACTCACCATACATCCAATCCAAGCATCTCAAACCACTCTACCACCTCTTCTACCTCTTCCACCAACCAAACACCACACCACAATGTCCGCCCCTACCGCCTCCGTTCCTGTCACCTGCTGCGGCCGTGAAGGTGGCTGCGTCTGCGCAAAGGAAGCCACCTGCTCCTGCGGCAAACAACCCGCCCTGCACTGCACCTGCGAAAAAGCCGCCACCGAAAACAAAGTCGAAGGCGCACGCTGCTCATGCAATCAACGCGCCGCCGGTGCCTGCACTTGCAGCCGCTCCTCCCAAGAAAACACAAAGCCTAGTGGTAGCACCTGTGCTTGTGGCAAGAGATCAAAGGGTAAGTCGATGTCGATGCAAAGATTGATGATGGAGATGGTATACTGATGTGTGCTTTGCAGATTCTTGCTCTTGCAATGGCACTGAAGCTGGTGCTGGAGGCGATTACCCCACGAAACCGACTTCACCACCAAAGCTTAAACAACCTTTTACGACTTTCATCATTACGAGCATCTTTATTTTGCATGACCATTGAAAGGTCTCACTGGCGTTCTTGGGATTCGGCACTTTATACCACTTTGGAGGAGGAAAAACACAACTTTGGAATCATACTATTTTGGAGGAGAGGGCTTGTGGGCACGCAGAGTTTACGGAGGGGCGGACGAGTTGACTGTGGTTGCATACCATGCAACCAATAGGCTCTCCGCACCAGTTGATTGCCTTCGGGGTCGGCTGTTCAACCTTTGTGACTATGTGCTTGATTTGCTCGACATGGCTTTCTTTGATCAGCAACGATCTTGACAATCATAATCACTTTTTCACAATTACACCCTTGTCTCCGTCTTTGTCCCTTTGTGAACATGCCATCACTTTCTTCTATCAGTCACCATGCGTGTTTCCTGACCAACAGCAGTGTGCATGTCTTGATGGCATCCTCGCGCAACTGGTGCATCCCCAAGAACTATCAGCTGTCTGATTCAGCATCGAAGAAGCACGCGGACAAGACCGAAAGAGCGAAGGCTCGGGTGATTCTCATAGCTTTGTATAATACATCATTCATATTCGTTGCTGAAATCTATCTACTTTTACATTTGATACACCATCATCTATGCAGCACCTCCACGTCCACCAACACGATCCAACGCCTCAATCTGCTCCTGTGTGATCTTAGCTTCAGGAAGCGTCTTGACACCCTTCTTGGTGGGCTTGGGCATGAACCCTCTAGCAATGAGGAAAGAAAGATACTGTCCAACAATATCCTCGGTGACTGCACTGCCAGCCGAAAAGTCCTGGCCAGATCTTGCAGCATCAGCCTTGAGTGCAGCAGCGGAGTTTCTGTCGTCGAGTTCAGGTGCGATGGTGCTGCCGGGCAGGTCGCCGGTGACCATGTGGTAGAGACCGAGGAGGGCGTGCTCTTCCTTGCCTTGCTCGACGAAGCTCTCGACGGCGTCTCTCCACTTGGGGAAATCGACCTTGGGGGCTTCGTAGCCGAAAGCTTCGAGGGCGGCGAGGTATTGGTTGAAGGTTAGTCTAGGGTGACCAGTGACGTGGCAAACGACCATGGGTGCCATGGGCTGATTGAGCGCGGTGGCGATGACGAGTCTGGCGACGTGGTCGACAGGGACCATGTTGATGGTGTTGGTGATGTCAGGTCTGGAGCCGACTTGCACACAGCCTTTGAGCATACGAATGAGGAAGTCGTCGGTGTTGGTTGTGCCTGTCTTGGGGTCACCTAGCACGTAGCCGGCACGGATGATTGAGCCAACAAGACCTCTTCTTCCGGCCTCTTCCATGAGACGCTCAGAGACCCACTTGCCTTGACCGTAGCCAGTAGTAAGACCTTGTCTGCTTCCCTCCATGTCATCGGATTCGCTAACACCAGCAGCGCCAGAAGCAATAAGACTCTTAGACAACTCCACGTAGTGGTCCGAGTCGAGAGCACTTGTAGAACTGACGAAAGCCATCTTCTTGACCTTGCCAGTAGCACATAGCTTGATTGCCGAGATAGTACTCAGAACATTGGCAGACTTCAGAGACGAGAAGGGCTTGAGCCAATGCACAATGGCACCATTGTGAATCACAACATCAGCCTCCTTGGCGACACGATCATACACATCTTGCTGCATGCCGAGTAGGGGTTGCTCCTGCAAGTCACCAGTAACACACTCAAGGTTGGATGTCCATGAGTCTGACCAGATGCCATATGCCTGGCACGTAGCCTTGACACGCTGCAAAGCATCCTCTGTAGACTTAGCGCGAACATGTGCAATAACTCTGTTGCCAGATGAGAGCAGATCACGAAGGATGTAGGACCCCAAGAACCCAGTCGCTCCGGTGAGGAATACTGTCTGTTGCTTAGCAGATTCTCTGCTTGCAGACTGAATCTTGGCAGGAATCTCCTTGATCAGGTCAGGTAGCGTATTTGAGTAGAACTCCTCCTGATCGTCGGTTTCGGGAGCCTGTGCATCAAGACGGAGCCCAACGGGATTCAACGAACGATCGATGTCTCCTGCGAGCTGTTGCAGAGTAGGGTTCTTGGAGATGGCACTGACTGGAACAGTAACATCGGGCCACTTCTTGCGAATTTGAGATGGGATCTGAACAGCGGCGATACTGTTACCGCCAAGGTCAAAGAAGGGAACATTGGAAGGAATGCTGTCAGCCGCATAACTGCGAAGATAGAGAGCCCAAATCTCAGCGAGCGCCTTCTCGGTCTCAGAACGAGTAGCAGCATCCTGAGCAGGCTGGCTCGATGAAGCAGCGAGCAATTCTGACTTCTCAGGGAAGGGAAGTGCTCTTTTGTCAACCTTGCCGTTGGGCGTTAGAGGAAGTCTGACCATAGGAACGAAGAGAGTGGGGACAGCATAAGAAGCCAGCTTCTTCTTCAAGTGTTCTCTGACATCGTTGGTCAAGGTGTTGAACATCTTCAGTCTCTCGGGGATGCTCAAGTCGTCGGCAACGTTAGTGTCAGCCTCTCCCCTTTCCTTCTTCCAAGCTGACCACTGGTTGAGGTCAGGAACGTAGTAGCTGACAAGGATCTGCTCCTCTTCGTGATCGCGCTTGACCAGCGTAACGTTCTCTCTGATGAGAGGATGTTGTGAAAGGTGAGTATCGATCTCTCCAAGCTCGATACGGAAACCGCGAATCTTGACTTGATCGTCTGCTCTGCCAGTACACTCGACGTTGCCGTCAGCAGTATATCTTCCCAGATCGCCAGAACGGTAGAGTCTGTCTCTGGGGCCCTTGTAGAACTCTCTCCAAGGCTCATCCTTACCAGCTTTAGCAGCCTTCTCTTGGTCCTCCTTGACCCACTTCTCATTATCAACAAACCAGTTCTGCACGAACTTGGAGTTGGTGAGCTCCTTGAGTTCGGGACCAAGGTAGCCCTCTGCAAGACCGCCAGCTCTGACATATATTTCACCAATCTCGCCAACCTCGCAGATGCGGTCTCTGTTTGAACGATCGACAACAAGCAGCTGCACATCAAGCATACCCTTGCCAGCAGGAATAACATCACCCATCTTGTCGAGGTATGAAGAGTCCTCGGACTTGCTAGGGATCTCGTAGAAACTGACGGCTCTCTGAGTCTCGGTTGTGCCGTACATGTTCTTGATGCGAACATTGGGGGCCAGATCTTGCAATCTACGGCAATCTCTCTTCAAGAGGATGTCGCCGACAAAGAATGCCGAATGCAATGAGTTGACCTTGGGCTCCAAGCTACCGAGGAGAATTTGGCCCATGGCGGGNGTGAGATGGGTGACGCTGATCTCGTTGTCGCTAGCCCACTTAGCCAATCTATCAAAGGTGATGTCCTCGGCAGGGGGTACAATAAGACGGGCACCAAGGAAGAGAGGGGTGAAGATATCGCGCTGGATGGGATCGTGGGCGATACCGCTGAGCATGGAAAAGTGGTCCTTCTCGGACAGTCCGAAGCGCTCCTGCATCCAAGGGAAGTAGTAGGCCAGGGAGAAGTGGCGGCCCTTGACACCCTTGGGTCTGCCCTCTGAACCAGAAGTGAAAGATAGGGTGGGGGTGGAGTCAGGGCCGACCACAACATCGGGAAGCTGAGCACGAGACTGTTGCTGAGACTCGAGGCAGTCGCGACCGTCAACTTTTCCACCAATGACAGAACCATCATCCTGCAATTGCAAGCCAGGAACCTCGGTTCTTAGTCTAAGGTTCTCCTGAATATACTCACGAACGGTATCAGAGAGCTTGCCAGCTTCCTGAGAAGCCTTCTCGATGACCACGAGAGCACGAGGCTTGGCGACATCAAGGTAGATTATTTGACGATCGGCAGGGTATAGAGGGTCAATGACGGAGAAGGTAGCACCGGCCTTGAGTACACCCATGACGGCAACAACCAAATCAACACCACGGTGAGCATAGACCATGACGACTTCACCTCGTTGGACGCCGCTGGCTACAAGGTGGTGTGCCAGGACATTACTCGATTCATTGATGTGCTGATATGTGAAGACCTGCAGAATTTAGTACATGTGCAATTGGAATGGGATGGCAATGGTGGTCACCCTCTTGGGAGAGTTGGAAGAGGCGGTTTCAACAACACATGTCCTCTCAGGGTGCTTGTTGGCATTTGCAGCAAAGATTTGGTGGATAGCACCTCTGTAGTCACTCCAGTGGAGATCTGAGGTGGGACTGGGTCTGGGGTCAGCCATTGTGCTGGAAGCTGTGGCTCTATTAGTATGTATAACAGCTCATGGAGGTACTCTTGGGCGTACATGATGTGAATGTTGGTATATGAGATGATGTAGTGAGAGCAGTGAATTTTTGGTGGCCGGTATCGGCGGTGGATGGTATAGAGTCGTATATGTCAATTGAGGTGGTATGCAAGACCAATTGACAATATAGTGATAGAGATAGAGGGTAGTGGAGTTCAGAAGGGAAGGTCAAGACCGATGAGTCGAAATGTGTCATAGCAGACGGAGTTTTAGTGTGACCTGTTGGTGGTCTGTGCGCGCGAGGTTGGTTTGCTTGAGCAGCATTTCATCTATATACATGGACGCGGCACCTTGCCAGGTGTCCACGTGCCATCATGGCAGCTTCTTCGCGCCGGGGCAGCGTGAACAAGGCGCCAGACACTGTTCGCTATTACTATGAGCCCAGCAGGTCCAAGTCGAAAACGTCCGTCTCTGTGTCAAGTGAAGCCAAAGGCAAACACAAGAGTTCCACGCTCCGGACGCGGCCCAAACTGCAGCGAAGCGCGAGCACAAGTCAGAGCAGCCCGGCCGACGACAAGATCATTGAAAAGAAGCACCACCGTCGCAATTCGTCATTCCTAGGCTCCATCTTTCGACCCTCGGTTCTCGCACCAGCCGCCATCTCATCGCCTGCACCGCCTCGAGTCCGCACTGCCGAATGCCTGACATGCGGCTCCGACAACGTGCCCGTGTCTCGCTCAGCCAAGCTACCATGCGGCCATCGAATGTGTCATGCATGTCTCCGCCGCATCTTCACCATGTCCATCAAAGACCCCCAACACATGCCGCCCAGATGCTGCAACCCCGACCACATCCCGCTCAAGCACGTCGACCACCTCTTCGACGATAAATTCAAGATCTCGTGGAACGCCAAGTATCAAGAGTACACGACCAAGAACCGTCTGTACTGTCCTGCAAAAGGATGCGGTCAATGGATCAAGCCTGCCAATATGCACAAGCTCCAAGGCCGCAAGTATGGTCGCTGTCCCAGATGCAAGACCAAGGTGTGCACCCTATGCAACAATAAACTGCACACCAGTGGCGAGTGCCCCGAAGATCCAGAGACTAAGAGGCTTGTTGATTTGGCCAAAGAGAAGGGATGGCAACGCTGTTACAACTGCAAGGCTATGGTCGAACTTAACGAGGGCTGCAACCACATGACCTGCCGCTGTGGCTCAGACTTCTGCATGCTCTGCGCCAGTCCCTGGAAAACCTGCGAGTGCCCATGGTTCAACTACGCCGCTGTTACTGACCAAGACCGCTTGAACCACATGCGCGTCCCAGAAACCGTCTTGAACCTTCCCCGCCACGATAGAAACGATAGAAACGATGCTCACGAAAGAAACGACCGACACGAGAGACGAAGAGACCACCCTAGAAACCCATCCATGACCTACCAACAAGAGCTTGATGCCCGAAGACGTCAAGAGCGTGCCGACGAAGCCCTGGCTCGCCGTCTGTCCACCACGCACATCTCTGACCGACCAATGTCTGACCGCCCCTGTCCTCGCCGACGTGATACCGTCACTGAAGAGGTCTTTGGCAATCGCGGCGACCACTTCCTCAACGACAATTACATCTCAACCACGTCCCGCATCAATGCAAGCGTCCTTGGTGATGCTGCGTTTGCTCGTCGTGGTGAGCGTGAGAGTAGCCGCAGATCCAGACGTCAATCTACCTCTCTCTTCGACAACGACCCCGGGCTTGCACCTAATGCATTCGGTACTGAGAGCATGCTTGGTCTGGCGCCACCCCCAGCTTCTGTTCAACCTCCCGCAAGACGACCAAGCTTGAAGCAGCGGCTGGGAAGTATCAGCAGCCAGAATGGCCGTGAGAGAATAGGTGGATGGTTGAACAGACTTGGTTGATATGACTGCTTTCTTGATGACGAACAACGATATTGCTTGATCGCACTTTACGACTTTTGCTAGATACCCCTTTAATTCACGACGAATCGTTTTGCTGTTTTGCTTTGATGGTTCGGACTTTCCTCATTTTTGTTGTCAAGTCCATTCTCAAAAACATCGGCTCTCAGACTATCTCCACTGACAAGCTCACTACATCGAGATCTTAACACAGGATCCCCACAGCTTTCTCTCGAGCCAAGCCTATAACAACGCGAAGGATTGCCAAGGCAGAATTAGGACCAAAGATCATCACAAACAACTCAAGATAGGTAAAAAGATTGGCAAAGGATTGTGTATCATAGGACTACCCGGACGTAATGGCCAAGAAACAATTGCTATGAGGATGACTCGTGCAGACTTGCTATGAAGTATAAGGACTATGTATTTCCGAGGTTAGTCTTCTCTGACCAAGACCAGTCAATGACCAAAAATGTCAAACTCAACCAACATAACCAGCAACCCGGCGGATGCGTGCCCGAGCACCCTTGGATGGTACGCTCCCGACACATGGAGAAATTCAACCTCCTCGAACTTTTCACAGGCCGCATGTGCCGCCCCAGCCTGTGACAACTTTCCGATGAAGTTGGCCGAATGCTGTGGACGCCCACACAATGTCCTCCAATACTTCGACACGAGAATAGGCCCATACGCTTCTTGTGCACTTGCCGATAACAACGACACTGCAGCCTACCAAGCTTTCCAGAGTTGTTTGGCCGATCAAGAAGTCAGAGGTTTCAGATGTAACAGCCAAGATGGCTTCGCCGTCGAGTCTGGTTGCGGAGCCGGTATCTCAGAAGCCCCCATCAACAATACCGACTGGCCAAACCAGCAGACCTGCAGTCTGCCCATTTCTGTCAATGCCACTAGAGCTATGAAGAAGTGCTGTTCGAACTATGGTAATAACGGTGAAGGCTTGGTTGTCTTTTCCGAGGGATGCAGCATTGGCTGCATGTCTAATTCGACCAATGGTACTTTCAACGACTGTATCGGGGACAACTACAACAACCCACAGGGCTACCTTTGTACTATCAATGATGGTAGGGAGAACCCTAATACCGGTGTCGGTGCTCAGGCTTCGCCATCTCTGGTTGGCGTCTTCACAGTTCTGTTGTTGGGATCGTCGATGTTGTTACTTTGAAGTGTCTATCACCAGACTCGAGAGAGCATGTTCAAACAGGAGGTTATAGAAAGTGCCATCGAGGTTACATAGATAACCTCGGCTTTTGGCAAAATCTCAACCCGAAGCTATTTTTACTCTGGTTCGCGGGAATGCACCTGCTAAGGGTCCAAGGGGCATGGCCGATCTTGTCCTGAGTCTGTTGTCGAACATCAACAACTCCATTTTTCTTGCAGATCGAGTCCATACCTTGCCTCAATCTGTTATTCCCGTCGATGTAAAGTCTTCTACATATAATGGCACACTACTGCCGCGATCAGATCCCCACAACCTCCACATTCAGCGGCTGTTACCGGAATCGATACGAGGAAAGGGGCGTAACTGCCAATCCGATTTTGGCTTAGACTCAGCTGTCCAAGCAAACCTAGACCTGCTTGGCCAGCGGCATTCGTGGCATGCATACGACAACGATTGTTGACTGTGTCTGTTTTCCAGTGCGTCATGCACAAAATCCTCAACAACTCTTACACATCGACAGTATTCTTTGACCATGCATGAATGCCTGTAATGCCGCGATCCCAAAACTTCCGTCTCTTGGGAGTCGGTCTCCTGGTATTGTTGACTTTTGTTTATTGGGACGGCATTCGATCTGCTTTTGNNGGTATGTTGAGTGATCTGTTCGCCCCCTGATGTTGTCGCTGATGTCTCGGTCCCAGTCACCAAAATCATGTCACAGAACAACAATTCACCAGCTTTGGCGATGTTGTGCACAAAGCATTGAAAGAAAACTCTCCTGGTGAAGTCGATATACAGCGAACGGGCCAAGCAGCTGCTGTGGTTNTTTGGACGACCAATGCAGAAACACTCAGGCCGGATCTTCTTAATCTCACATCTACTGATGTTGCCACTATGCGATTTGCGCATAACGCATACTTGGACTCCGTACGACGCATCAGTCTCCCTTTCCAAAAAGGTGCTTCAGGCATCGTTTCCTCAGCGTCTGGAAAGTACCTGCCGGTCTTTGTCATATCGTTGAGGATGTTGCGGAGAACTGGATCGCAACTACCAGTTGAGCTCTTCGTCGACACTGAGGCAGAGTTGGCTTCACACACATGCCGAACGCTCCTTCCTAGCATGAATGCACATTGCTTGCGATTGGAAGACCGTCTTGGACGATGGGCAAAGTACCTTGCAAGCTTTCAAGTAAAGGTTNTTGCCATTCTGGCTTCTTCATTCGAGAACGTGATTTTCCTGGATGCCGACGCTTTTATGGCCAAAGACCCTTCGCATGTCTTTACGCAAGAGCCATTCTCGTCTACTGGCCTAGTCACTTGGCCAGACTTCTGGGCATCGTCTGCCTCTACTCATCTCTACGAGATCACCAATCAACCCGTACCAGCTGTGAACGCACTCGCCTCGACAGAATCCGGACAGCTTCTAGTATCCAAATCCAGTCATGCATTGACTCTCCTCATGGCAGCCTACTACAACTACTACGGTCCTGACATATACTACCCACTAATGAGCCAAGGCGGCCCCGGCGAAGGCGACAAAGAATCTTTCATCTTCGCCGCCAGAGTAGCCAAAACACCCTTCCACCAAGTCAAGAAATGTGTGGATACCATAGGTTACTACGAGCATGGAAGCTACCACGGAGGAGCAATGCTGCAATACGATCCCACTCAAGACTCGTCGTCTTCTGCTGCTAGCGTTGCTACCATGGATATCCCACCAGATGCATTTTCCGTGCATCACAATATCCCGAAATATGATCCTGTGCAGTTGTTTGATGCTGGTGTGCTTGTCGATGCAAAGACGGGGATACCGCATCGATTGATTGGCACCAAGGAAGAGACTGAGAAGAGATTCGGTAGGGATGTTGAGAAAGAGCTTTGGGAAGAGATCGACTATGTGTCTTGTGAGCTTGGAGATCAGATTGTAGGATGGAAGACAATACCTACGACACAAGATGAAAACGGCACTTGCGACAAGGTCCGCTGGTATCGAAAGGAGTTGTTTATATAGAGTTCGTGCGCAATGCCATAATGTCAGTATGTTTAATGAGCAGGATACAACTTTAGTTTTTCAGTTTTCATTTCTTACTCTCCCTACATATGCTCTTTTAAAGTATGTTTATAGCATTGAATGACTCGACTAGTAGGGTCCTCTCACAACTTCCACGTTTTTGAAGATCGCTTCTTGCAGCATGGTCACGCCATTACCTGTCGCATACATGCCCACCCTTGCGCCCTGCCAGGAAATACGTCCTTCGTAGTGAGGAGCCATCCACGAAGCCGTGTAAGCAGTAAGCCATGTGGTAGCATTATCCGACGGCAAAGAGTAGCCAAGCTGATAAGTCTCTGGCGTTGTGCGGATGCTCAGACGCACAGTCGTACCATTCACAAGCTGACTACTGTTGCCAGACTGAGAAGAAGGCAGAGGATAATAGACTGTCGTGGTATTGCCATCGTCATCGCCTAGTCTGTCGCCAACAGTCGTCATGGTCTTTAGGCAAGTGGAGTTGGATTCATCTTGACACAAGACCACGGAAACAGTGTTGTGATAATGATCGTTGACCCACGCGACGATACCGGCCTCATGGGTCGGCAGTGTAGGATTGAACGTCATGTCTACGCCGAAAGTGTAGAATAGCGCATCTTGCTTCCTGAGCACCAAAGCCATACCATCTAGAGCAGACAAAGTGGCTGTCGTGCCTCTGAGCACCAAAGAGTTATCCTCTACTCGCCACCAGCGTCTCGAAGGCGTACCCCTAAACTCCCAGCCAAGCTGCAAAGAAAGTCCTGAGAAGTCGTCGCGCAAGGTCTTGCTGGCATTGGACTGTGAGGGCAAATCTGGATCCTGCATGTCGAAAGTGATGAGCTTGCCATCATTTGCCAATGGCCAGCCACCCTGACTCCAGGTAACAGGGCTCAAGAATGTCTCACGGCCAAGTTGATAGGTACCATTGATGTTTTGTGGCAGCTGGGGGCGATTAGCGAGGAAGACAGTATACCATTTACCATCTGGACGCTGAACAAGATCTGCGTGGCCAGTCTGCTGGATAGGAGCCGAAGGATCACGACTGTTGAAAACCATGGGACCCAAAGGACTTGCTTCCCATGGTCCAGATGGCGAAGGGCCGCGATGGATGGTTTGACGATGCAGCACTTCCGTACCACCTTCGGCCACGGACAGATAGTAAGATCCATTGATGTAGTATATGTGAGGACCCTCGGCCTATCGAATGTTCTCGGGCAAGGAAGAGCGATAGATCAGACTTGGTTGTGTTGAGGAGTGACCAGTCGTCAGATCCAACTTGGATTGATAGATTGTGCTGTTTCCACCTTCGGGCCCGAATTCCGGATAGCCAGTGCTCAGGTACACAGTGCCATCGTGATCCCAGAAGAGATCAGGATCAATACCTGCTTGGTCCAGATACATGGGCTGAGTCCAGTTGTTGGAGAAAGGATCATCAGTAGTTATGATAAAGTTGTTTTGCTGCCAAGGTAGAAAGNNTCTAATGATAACAACTCTTGTCAGACATGCTCAGCGATGAAGAAGGAAGCCGATCTTACTGTCTGCATAAGTCGTGATGATGTAGAAAGTGCCGTTATGATGGCGAATCGTAGGAGCGAAGATTCCTCCGGTAGTCAATAACTGACGATCTTGAATCTTGTTGTTCTCATTCAAGCCATGACCAATGAGGGTCCAATCTACAAGATTTGTAGAGTGATACACGGGAATGCCAGGGAAGTACTCAAAACTTGACGAGACTAGAAAGTAGTCATCGCCGACACGAATAGCCGATGGGTCAGCATTGACGCCTGTAATGATGGGATTGGTAAAGGCTAAGGCATTTCCTGTTCGAAGACACACCTGTCAGCATGAGATGAAGAACTAAAATAGAGCATCACCCTTGCCTGCTAGAGCTGCTAGGATCAGTAACTTGACGAAGTGGAACATCTTTGTACTGATCTGGACGAATTGTAATGGCCATGGTCGAAGAGCAGATGCTCATTCAATTTTATATCTCCATGTCGGTGGTGGAGGAGCCGATCTCATTGAGGGGTCGGACTTGGCTGCGGCAATGAGGTAGCCGAGTGCTGGTATGAGTAACCATTAGCTTCTCTTCGAGTGCCTTGAAAGGTCGTATATCGAGATGATTGATGGTGAACCGAAGGTTTGCCTTGGTTGCATATCCGAATGCTCGGTTCGGCAACTCATCTCGGTTCGGCTCAAGACTTCGATGTGGAGAAGTGGGCAAGCAGCTACCTTCCTAGGGGAAAGCGACCATTCAGAGGATTTCCTTCCAGCTCTGGCAATACGTACAAGGATCGGACGTACAGGAGTAACATTACATGGCAGGGAAGTGCATCACTAACAAGGCCCAAAAGACTCGAAACGAGGTCAGAAATGTTCGTATTGTCTGAATGAGGACTAATTGACAGACACACACATCGAAACTACAACAAGAATCGGAATCCTTTCTTCGCTGCCTCGCCAGGAACTCCCTGTCCAGAAGACACAGCACCCTCCACATGCTCGCCTCTATCCAGCTTCTTGTTGAGCCTGACCAAGATCGTCCTCAATGTAAAGGCCATGACGATTGCCAACCCCGCCATAACGCAGTTCACACTCATCGCAACAACATATCTTGGCCCCGCTGAGCTAGGGTACATGTACGAAGCATAGATACTGCTGGCGTTGGAGATGGCATTGATTCCAGCGAGAGCAGCGGCACGCTTAGCTGGTGGACGCGGGATGGTGTTACTGATCCAAGCAAGTGCGACAACGTATCCAGTGTAGACTCCGGGGACCATGAGCATCATAGCGACATAGCGGGGTGCGGTGGTGGTTGTACAGGCGGCGAGAATGAAAGCGGCTACCGCAAACAGGAGAGGAATCGTGATGTGGAAGAAGCGCTCTCCAGTGCGGTCGGCATGTATGGCGTTTGCAAAGGCGGTTATGACGGCCAAACAGTAGGGCGGCGCGGTCAAGCACAAGCTGATGATCTTGCTGTAACCCAGAGTTTGCACAACTACACTATTGTCAGCTAATGATCATGTCTCGACGAAGGTAGATATCGTACCTGTTGGGAAGAAATTGGTGACAGTACCACTGGCGACAATGCCAAACAACAAGGCCATAAGAACATATGTCTTGATGTCTGTGAAGGCAAGCTTGAACCCATGCCAGAACGACTGTCCCTCACTGCTGACCCAATCATCCATACCGATATCCTCCTGGAGCCTCCATACAGCGAGTTGACGCTCTTCTTCCGAGAGCCACTTGGTCGTACGTGGAAAGTTGGGGAGGACGAAGAAGGCGAGGAAAGCAATTCCGACGGTGATGGTACCTTCGATGATAACTAGATTCTGTTAGTATGCTATGCGCCGCAAGTAGTTAAAGAAAACTTACAGNAGCCAACGCCATGCCGACAATCCGAGATGTCCCTGCATGCCATCGAGAATACCTGCGGCAATAAGACCGGAGAACGCGCCTGAGATCAACGAGCCAGAGTAAAGTACAGCGGAGCGGAATGCAAGCTCCTTGCGTGTGTACCACGAAGACAAGAAGAACAAACAACCNGGCTTGACTGTTGTTAGCATCATGACCAGGACCAAACCAGAAGTTCCGGACTTACGAAAGTATGCAGCTTCAACAAAACCTGATTGACGTTTGTTAGCATCATGAAAAGAAAACTTGAGAATTCCTAAAAGGCACGAACCTAGCACAAATCTGACCGCTACGAGTCCTCCAAAGCTCTGGACAGCAGCAGTACATGTCGAGATAACACCCCAGACACACATCACTGCAGGAAGATACAGAGCGGGTTTACCTATTTTGTTGAGGAACAGGTTGGAAGGGACTNNGATAATGTCAGCATAACGATGCGCAGAATTATGACATCCGCTCTTACTTTGCATTAGCAAGTATCCAACGAACAAGATCGAAACACTGGTCTCGTATTGTGAAGATGTCAACGCCAGGTCAGTTTCCAGTCCTGCTAAGCGTGCTGAAGCGATATTGTTGCGGTCAAGGTAGTTTAGAATGTACATCAAAACGAGCATGGGCATGAGTCTGAAATCGATCTTTCGAACCAGGACCTTTTCTGCATGCGCTCGCTCTTCTGGAGACATATTGCGAACGATTTCAGGCGCTTCCATCCGTGTCAATCCTGGTGTATTCGCGGTTTCCACTCGATCAATCATGTCGACAGTGGCCTTCTCATCGTATACTTCGTTCGAATGACGATCTCCATAATTCGGAGAGGTGAAGACGTTGTGGCTCATGATAAAGCAGAACACTACAAGACAGAGGGAAGTGATTCGAAGTCGGGGTCGAGGTCGAGGTCGAGAGTGTGATATAAGCACAAGAGCGGTGATGACGAGAGGAATGTAAGAAGGATTAGAAAGTTATAAGAGAATATCTTAACCGGCAGTACTTTGTACAGGTGATCAACGGGCAAGCACATGGTCGTGACATGGGCCACGACTTGATATTCGTCTCGGACTTCTCACCTGTAACTTATCCGTTGATCTATGCCGCTTTTACTGAATCGGCAATCCGACACATCTGTTCTCTGACTCCCCACAATACCTTGTCTGGGGTCCCCATAAGATTGGCTGCGACTCTGCGAGAGGGTGAGCGATGTGCCGTTAAAGCCGCTGTTTTGGGGGCGTACACAAGCTCCACACAAAGTCTTGTACAGGCTAAATTGGCATGCTTGATGTAACTGGAAGCATGCGTCAACGGCGTTCGCCTTACTTCAGCACGAATCGCAGCAAAGCGGGAGGAGAGGACGAGGAGAAAGGATTCCTTTCTGTCGATCATTTGGGGTGATTAGGCGGGGAAATCGATTTAGGAAGGAAGGTCGGCCGAAGGTGATGTCACTGACACCGGCGTTCTCAACGACAGCATCGACATTGCAGTCGTTGAAGTTCTTACAATCGTACCCAGAATCAGTGCTTCTGCGTTCGTGAACCTCCTACTTATAGACTGTTGTTTAACGTATATATCGTCGAGAGATGATGCATACCGGGTGACATGTGAGCATTCCTTACTAATCAAGAAGGAGCCAGGATGTGTGCTTATCTAACCGGAAGCGACAGGCCATTAAGGCTGGTATTCGACATGACTATCAAAAGTTTTAGAAAAACGTGGGCACGTCTGAAATGCCATTCTCGATGGTTCGTTTTTGCCAATAGCTGGATGTATAAGGTTGACTCGATACGAGATTAAGGATCGAGGGTAAGACGTGCTGACATTACATACATAAAATTTGTCGTATCATTTGCAACATGATGTTGTCAAGAGAGAGCCAAGTCACTTCCTCTGTAAAGCTCTTCCGAGTACTCAGCGGGACACAGTGTATCCCAATCAAGGAACTGTGGTTGTTCGTCCTTCTTCCACGCCGTAGCGCCCATCCGCCCACGTCCAAGACGTTCAGAGTTCTCCACGATCCACTTGCCATACTGCTGGACCCAGAACAGTGGCCAGTAATACTCCCGGGCGGCCTTTTGACCTGGTGAGTTGAAGTGGGCCATGACGGGTATAGTACCCATGCAGAGATGTGTATACAGGTTGACATGTTCCCAGTTTCGTTTGTTGGGCAACAATGTTGTTTCGTCGTACATCTTCATGTCTGAGGGAATTTTGTAGTCGCCCTGGTATTCGCAGTCAAAGTCATTGCGGTTGTCTCCGCGTGTCTTGTCGAGAAAAACATCTGGAGAATCATCGTAGCGCATCCACATTGAATCCTTTTCTGAATTCGCCGTCTGATGACCTAGGTCGGAAAAATAGTCCAGGCCGATACCATACTCGTATGAACGGCCTTCAAGAGCCTCCATCTTCTCGTGTGTAAAGGCAGGATTGAGGATGTCTTGAATCACTGTCCCTTCGATCTTGTTGACAGGAGATGTCTTCTTGTGTTGCCAAGTCCAGGACGAGGAGTGACGTCGTCGCAAGACTTCTCGTTGATACTCCTGCTGTCCAAAAACGATTGCAAAGACAGACTGATCACTTGCATGGTACACCAAGTCCATGCTACCACTTCCATTGTCGTCGGGACTCGGGGTGGGCCAGTTTTGTACAATGTCCCAGGCGGTTCTGAACATTTCTCTCATGTCTTTGACAGGACCAATAATATATCCAGAATTGAGGTAGCGTTGGCGATGACTTGTGTGTGGGTTGTGACCCATGATTGTGTCCGTGTTGGCGCCGTAGATATCGTCTGGTACTGGCGAAGCTGGAACTGGATAACATGCGATACTGTGTAGCTGGTTGGGTGCACAGCGTTTGCCAGCGCCAAATATGATAGTCTGCTTGATGTTTTCAACCTCGGCGGCCTTGCCCATGCGCTCCGAGATTCTCTTATCCGCTTTCTCGTTGATTGAATAGTATCTCTCGATCAGAGTTTCGGGAGGNAGTTGGAACCAGATGTCAAATGCGTCCATCATAAGAACCAGATCATCTTCTTGCTCAGGACTCATGCTTTCCAGATATTCGAGAACTCTCGAGATCTTCGCGAGATGCGAGCCGCCAGCAAGCAAGTACCACGTATCAAACGTGTCTCCCCATCCAAGGATCACGGGTTCGGGATAGCCCATGGCCTTAGCACTGAGCATCGTCTTGCAGAGGTTGACATCGCCAATGGTGGTGGGAAGAAGAACATGTAGTTCGGGGTTCTTGAGTCGTTTCGCTGCTGCCTCATTTTCGTTATGGGTGGTCGAATGCAGAGTCGTCTCTTGCGTCTGAGGCAGAAGGTGGTATAACGTGATGAATATGAATACCAGTAATGTTGCAAAGAGAATGTGATTCCGTTGGAGTGGTAACATCGTCATCGATTGGTTTCGAGGACAGGCTCAGCTTGTGCAAGAAAAGAAGTGTATGAGGTATCTTGAAGGAAGGCGGAACCATCACAATATAATTGTCAGGGAAACCATGGACATCATCGTCCTGGTTCACTACGCGTGTTGTTCGATCCTTCCGAGGGATGGGAATAAACTCATTGCACGCCAAAGCTCTAGTTGGGGGCCAAGCCATGTATTTCGAGCCAATACATCATGATAACCTTTGTCTGTCAAAAGCCACAGTCTTCGAGGAAAGTCCTAGTAAGCATCAAAACATTTTGCATGAGTTTTGTGTGATACCAGCTCGTTTGTGATTGTATGAACATACGGCACTTTCAGTAGGCAGCGTGTTGTTCGCACGACTCCCATTCACTCTACAGCGCTATCAATATTGGAGGCAAACTTCCGAAGGCGGCATAATGAGGAAACTGTTTTCGGCACTCATGGCAAGAATGCTCGGCCAAATGTGCCAAGACACGGTTGATTCGGTGCAAACTTCGATGTCCTCGGAGTCAAGTTGGGTGGAAGAGCTAGCCAGGCTGCAAGTGTCGTCATGCTGTGGGTTGTTGCATCTCTGTTTTCGGTGCTGTTGGAGACTCATGACTCAAGGCATCGCCATGAGTACTGTGCAGTTGTTACAAACGAATTTCGGCTTGACCGGCTTGGCCGTTGATGTAGACGAGGTTCAGCTCATGGGTAAGAAGGTATGGTCCTGAATGGCTGTGGTCGCAAGTTCAGGGCTTTGTTGGAACGAGGCTCGAAAGGAGCGTGGGAAACTGTCCTCGCCTGCCAAGACAGAAAGTGGCGGACTTTGAACAGAGAAGACAAAACGTTTGCACCAAGTGTCAAAAGTCTTGGTCGTGCTATCCATCGTGCACGAATCAATTACCGCTGGCTTCATGGCCAGCGAACAGCTTTCTTTGGCTTATCGCGTTGATAAATTTGCGAAATCTGTATTAGATGCTGACAACAAGAACTGGAGCATGCCAGTTCGGAGTCGACACGAAGACGACGCGCGAGAAGAATTCTTTGAACCGAGTCAGCTTCAGGCAACGAGATCATCAGCCAGGCAGCAGACGCGATTGTTGCCTTCGAACCATATACCTATATTAACACTAATCATCAACTAGAAACTAAACAATCTAGCAAAACTTCAAACACGAAACATGACCTCCACCAAAGAACTCGCCGACACTTTACCACTCTACCCTCCGGATCCGACAGGTGGAAATGCACACGATTCCCAGCATAGCAGCTGGGCAGCTTATTCACTAATTCCTCTGGAAGAAGGCGATCAAGAACGCCTCTTGGATGACCTGAACACTGGCGATTGGACAACAGGCCAGTGTATTCTCGCGACCCAACCAGACTTTTCCGGTCGCACACTTAGAGACATCTACGACCACCACATCGAAGCGAGCAAAGAAGACAATGAAATGCATCCCCATTTCATCATCGTGGCCGACCAAGAGGATTGGGATAACAACGGTGTTCTTCTGGTGTACCTGTACGCTTCAAGACAATTGTCTCCCCGGNATGATGATGACTACGATGACGAATTCGTCGTTGGAGTCCTGCGCTGTGGAGTCGAAATGGTGGATTGCATCTGCTGCAATCTCGAAATCGCCAATATGGGTTGGGAGGAATTCAAAGAGCAAGATGAACGCGATTGGGGTGGTGAGGATCTCGAAACGAACCCGCGATACTCCAAATACAACCTCAAGACGGGCGAGTTGAATTAAAGTCAAGACTTGTACCATTTAAGATCTGGTTGTCTTCGATTACTTGTTCTCATTCACGAACTCCCTCAAGACTCCAGCTTCTATATGAGCATATTCTTTCCAGACTCCTCTTACAAGAACAACCCATCTTTCGGCGGTGCACTTATGAGTTGATCCTTCTGAATCTCCTTCAACAACTCATACTCGTAATCCTCGAGATCGAAATCAACGTATCCCTTACTAGCCCACTTTCTCGCCGACAAAAAGAATGAATGGCCATTGACTTCCGGGTCACTCAGTATCCTTAAAAGACATAGGCCCGCATCTTCCACGGTCGCGAACTCGACACCTTTAGACCTCACATGCTCAAAGGCTTCTTCCGAAAGAATCTTGGTCTTGACATACNNCTGGTCCAGTGTCAGGATTGTTGTCAGCTAGCACAGCGAGAGGACATACCATGGCGAGATTACATTGACTCGACTACCGTAGAAATGTGCAGTTCGTCTTAGCGAATGCATGATACCTCTGACAGCCCACTTGGTAGCTTCATATTGTGGTGTGCGCGCCACATCCAAGAATGCAGCACCAGACCCAATCAAGATAAGACAAGTGTCTTCTTGTTGCTTTGAGGGAGTCTGCCCATTCTGTTTGATGAAGTGGTGAAGGCATAGTTTTGTGGTTTAAAGGACACCTTTCAAATTGACATCTACAGTCTTGAGGTCTGGTTCCTGGGGCCCGTTTTCTGTATTGCTGTCAGCGAGTAAGACACAAAAGGTGGAATAAAGGTACTTGATGTTACCATTGTATTCGAACACTTCATCCTTTCTCGAGATTCCTGCATTGGCGACGACATAGTGGATCTTTTTGGTCGGTGAGAAAGTCTTTGCAGAATCGAAGAGATGAACCTGGTCTTTCCAGCTCGTGGTATCGCACTTGACAAATTTGGTTCTGCAATCAAAGAAGTTAGAACAGGAAAACTGCACCCTTGTGAAAGGGAAAAATCTTTCTTACCCAGTCAGCTCAGCCTCGAGTTTCTTCCCACCTTTCACATCCAAGTCACCGAAACACACGCTCACGCTAAAGTCGTCTGTCAGTACAATATCTTAAAGAATTGATGTAGTGGCCATCCTACCCNNGGCTTTGACAAGAGCTCTGACATATCCTTCACCAATACCATTGGCACCTACTCTCGTCAGTATATACAGATGAACTCGGATTGGGTTCAACGTACCACCAGTCACAATAGCAGTTTTGTCTTTAAGCGTCGAAGTGTCAAAATCGACATCGCAGGGTACGGGGCCGGTATGTTTGTATCCAGGCATTTCTAGCGTTGGTCAATAATATTTGTGGAATGTTGAGTTAGTCTACACATGGCACATGCTGACACAAGGATAATTATATGTATACAGTAGATGGTTTCGGCCGATGAGGCATTTCGGCCGAAAAATCGGTGTACGTCATACAGTCAACTTCTAGTAACCACTGCGACGTCAAGGTCTCTATCAGCAACTATAACATGTCGGAAATTAGAAGGAGTGACTAGGTACAGCGCTACATCTATGGATGATTATGTGCAAAGTGGAGATGGTACGTCTAATGATCTCAGAGTAGTATAGAAGATCACTCTGACAGGCACTTAAGGCTGGACAACATACTCCCAGGACAGAGCATTGTCAACCAAGAAGGTAGCAGTGTTTGTTTTTGCAGCAGCAGTGGAGTTGGTAAGGCCACAGGTCTGAGCAAAACTGCCCTGAGACTTGGCCTTCTGCGCGATGAGTGCAGCATAGTTATCGAGATCGCAAGACTTTCCGGGGCCATTCTGGCAGGAAGTTACGGCTACAAATTGTAAGCTGAAGTGATGTGATGGCGGTACTTTGAGTTACTTACGATAGACAGCATCGTTGAGTACAATACGGACATATTTCTTGTTCGAGCAAGTCAGACGCTCAAAGCCAATGGTACCACGCATGGTCACATAGTGGCTAGCGATGTAGATNCTTTTGACAAAGTTACAGTGTTAGCACAACTGAAAGTATACAGAACACCAAAGGGTTGATACCTGATCGTTGGGGATCTTAGTGCTGGGCAGAGGCTTCTGCTGATCAAAGACACCAACCTCAGCAGCAAGCTGATTGATTTGACCATCATTGGTGAACATGGGGATAAGGGGNCCGGGAGTCCATGACTGGCCGTTGCTGTTGACATATGTCTTGTTAGGGCCATCTACAAGTCTCTGGACAATGGCATTGAGGACTGGTTGCATCAACGTGTAGTTCTTTCCGGAGCCGGGGCCNTACAAGAGAGGTTAGCGAACGGAGACCATGAAACTGTGCGTGAGGTTTGACTGACCAGAACCATAGTAGTAGCGCAGGTCCTGTGCGTACTCGTACTTGCGGAGTTCGTCATCGGTAAAGATATCACACCACGGCGATCTACGACCAGTGATCTGCGTCTCGAAACCGCACAAGTAGGGGNNGAAATTTTGGACGTCGGAGTCAGTGAAGTTGAGGTTGCCTTTGATATGGCTGTTAATGCGCTTAGTGACAGCAGGTAGGTACAAGTTGTTCCAGGTGGTGAGGTTGTCACCGCCACCGTTATCACTGTATGTTGGGCAAGAGTCCGAAGGAGCAAGAGAGTTGGCGACAGATTCCGGGACATTAGACTTGAGCACATAGACATCTCCATGGGTAGTGTTGGGGCCCAAGTATCCTCTAGCAAAGAGTCTGNNGAAGATCACGTTAGATTAGATACTGAGAGGTATATCAGAAACCACTTACCTCGCGGAGTTGATAACTCTAGGTGCGTTAGGATATTGATTGGCAAAGACTGAGAAGGGGGTGTTCTCGGTGTAGAAGTCGGGATATCTCCAGCGGTAAGAGACACCCATGTCATACAATTCTTTGTATCCTCCTATAGAGATATCTGCAATCTCAGCAGCCGGGTTGCGGAGTACAGGCTCCCATGATGAGATAAAGCTGTAGTCGCCCGTGGCGGTAAACTGAGCAGCATGAATCTGTTTGGATCAGTAAAGAAGCCTCATGATATGTCATCGGAAACGAGAACAAACCTTTGCTGCGAGTGCTACCCACTCGCTGTAGGCGCCTGTGTCTGGGTATCTCGAGCCGTGGCGAGACACGAAGGCCGCCATATCGACAGAGCAGCCATCTAGGACCTCGTATGGAATGTCGTTAACGTCGGGGCCTGGGAACCAAGGGCTGTTTCCACCAAGCTGTTGTGTTGGGTCGGTGGCTGCTTGAGCAACATTTGCAGTCAGAAGCAGGCAATTGGCCAAAGTGGTAGCTGTGATGAGACCCATGTTGATTAGCTTTGCAACTTAGGCTTGCTGAAGATTGTGAAACATAAGCGCTGCTGCATCTTTATAAGTGATCAGCTGCATCAAGGATCGTGGTTTCTGGCATATTGATGGCAGCTAGAAGACCATGCAAGCGAGATGTTGCATGAGATGAAGGCTTGTTCGCGAGATGTGCTTCGAGATTAGATGAAAACGTGCTTGAAGCGTGTAGATTCTGGTGGTCGCAAGACGGTACGCGGTATGCATTTATCCCGCATCACTCAATCAGCCGGCCTGTCTACTGTTTCGAACATGAAGTCTGATAGATTCAGGAACATGTGCTGTATCAAGCACTCTGGTTGGCCCGCTCAAATAAGGCCTTGGGTGAAGAAGGAAGGTGCAATCGATCCGACGACAGGCAAGCAAAAGACGGGCAATCCGAAGCGAGATTCGGTCGCAAAAGTCTTGGGACGCATCACCCGCCTCGCGAGTCTGCAGACCAAAGCACAACTCTCCTTCTATCAATTCAGACATACAAGTTTTCCACGACTATCTCGCGTGGACATCAAGTCAAATATCGAGTACGGTACACGTGCCAAGATACGCATGTTCATCTTGCTTGTGATGCTCTATCAAGTCGCGACCATGGCTTGCACGCGCGAGACTATTGACTGTAGATCTACGCAAGCATGCAGGATAAACGGAGACTTGCTCGAGGTATAGATGTCGCGTAGGACAATTTGCAAGCATTTGCAAGTATAAGAAGCCAAGGCAGGAACGAACGAGATGAAGCTTTTCTAAGCAGTTCACCGAGTGTTCGATCATCATGAAGCTCCTGCCTCTTGTGTCGGCCGGCCTTTTGTTGGCACAGTCAAGTTCTGCTACTTCCCTCNAGAAGAGAGACACTGTCAGCGATATTCTGGATGACATCAAGAATGCTGCCACTTGCACTGCTTGCCAGGTCTGATTGACAGCTCTGCTAGCAGCAATATCGGCTAACCTATCAAAGTCCTTGCTGGGTGTCCTGCAAGCTGTTGCCCATATTGGTAACGATGCTTTCGTCGGAGTCATTACTGCAGTCTGCCAATCGCTTGGAGTAAGTTTGCTCAGGACGTCTGTCCGGTGCTTTGTACTCTGACACACGTTTAGANCCGAAGACAAAGATGTCTGTGCTGGTGCGATTGGACTCGAAGGACCCATCTTGGCTCATGACCTTCGTAATCTGAAGATCGGCTCGCACACTGCCCAGCTCTTCTGCGGCACCATCTTTGGACTGTGCGACTACCCAGCCGTGACACCCTACACTGTTTCGTTCCCCTCGGCCAAGCCTGCCGGAGCTGCTCGTCCTCCACCTAGTGGAAAGACCCCTTTGAAGGTCGTCCACTACAGCGACATCCATGTAGATCTCTCCTACACAGTCGGTACTAACTACAACTGCACCAAGAATATCTGTTGCCGCCCGTACACGGCTGCCGATGCTCCTGGAAAGACGCAATTCCCTGCCGGTGCTTACGGTAACACTCAGTGCGACAGCCCACGCAGTCTAGAGCAGAGCATGTACAACGCCATCAAGACTCTGGTGCCCGACGCCGCATTCTCCCTCTTCACTGGCGATGTTGTCGAGGGCGCCGTATGGCTCGTCAATCAGACCGAGGTCACCGGCGACCTCAACAATGCATACTCGCTCATGTCTGGCCTTGGTATGCCTGTGTACGGTGTCGTCGGTAACCACGATGTTGCCCCTGTCAACAGCTTCCCTCCCGCTGCTGTTGACACCACCATCTCAAGTCAATGGGTTTACGACACTCTGTCGACTGCTTGGACCAAATGGATTGGCTCTGCAGGTGCCACCGAAGCTGACAAGTTCGGCGCCTATTCGGTCAAGAACCCCAACACCAACCTGCGTATCATCTCCTTCAACAGCAACCTTTACTACAAGCAAAACTTCTGGCTATACGAGGAGCCCATGGAGACTGACCCTAGTGGCCAATTGGCTTGGCTGATCTCTGAGCTCGCTGCTGCTGAAAAGGCTGGCGAACGTGTCTGGCTGACTGGTCATATGCCCATGGGATCTGGCGATGCTTTCCACGATGCCTCAAATTACTTCAACCAGATTGTCGAGAGATACAGCGCCACTATCGTTGCCCAGTTCTATGGCCACACCCACAGGGATGAGTTCCAGATCACCTACTCTGACTACAAGACTCAGACGGCTGCCAACGCTATCGACGTGTCGTACATCGCCCCTGCTCTGACTCCCACTTCTGGCAACCCTACTTTCCGTGTCTACTCTGTTGATCCCGTCACTTTTGGTATCTTTGACTACACCGTTTACTTTGCCAACTTGTCCTCCNCCACGTACCAGAGTGGCCCAGTCTGGCAGAAGTTGTACTCTGTCAAGGAACAATACGGTGCCAAGCTCAGCCCTCCCGTCACTGCGGCATCTGCTGAGCTTACACCTGCCTTCTGGCACAACGTGACCGCTCTTTTCGAAAACAACGATGCCGTGTTCCAACAGTTCACTGCCCGCAAGTCTCGTGGTTATGACACGTCGACCTGCACTGGCGACTGCAAGACAAGCACCATCTGTCAACTCCGCGCAGCAGAATCTCAATACAACTGTGTCACAATCAAGCCTGGTGTCAACTTCAAGAAGCGCGATCTTGCCGCTGATCTAGCTCACTCTGACGAGTGCGATGGCTCTGCAGGTGCCAAGATCTTGAGTGTCCTGACCGACAATATTCCGACCTTCGAGCAGGTCCTGCAGAAGCAACTCGGTGCCAGTTTCATGAGCCAGAGTGTCAATGGCACCACCTCTTAGGTAACGAAGTCATGATATTTTAGTTGAACTCTCATCCTGGAGAGACTATACAATACTCGCTTTGGTTTGGAGAGGTTAGTTTGGATGTGAAAGTCGGACACGTTTGGAACACTTTATGAACTAGAAAGTAGCAAAACAGTCAATCCTTTATCGTCGAATCTTTTGCTTTGCGATGCGTCTCTGATCACCCGTTAGACGCTCGCAATGTTTTCCTCGCTTCATCTTCTACATCACATTAGAAGTAATGGACGACAAGAAGATGGAAGGAAGTAGGCGAATGACGCTAGGTAGAGTGTCAATTCTTGGCGCGCTTCGCTCACGTAAGCCTCCACCTATCTTCTTCATCTCAATTCTCATCAACAACATCCATATAATTCAGCGACTCTCGGTAGGTAAAGCCGTTGCAAGAAAATAGTGAGAGACAAGACTTAGCCATCAAAACAAACACCAATAATGCCCACTCGACACCTCTCAAAAGACTACCCATGGGTATCCTCACCACCAATCATCTCAGCACCCATGAGCGGTTTCGCTGGTCCCGCTCTAGCTTATGCAGTCTACAAAGCAGGCGGTATAGGGTTTCTCGGTGGTCTCCCAGACATAGAAGCCCTCCGTACAGCTCTCCAAAACGTCACAGAACTAGTCACAGGAACCCGTGCTCCAAAACCTGGACACACATTACCCATTGGCTTAGGAGCCCTGTTGTTTGCACAAAGGCTCGAGGATGTCGTCGGGTTGATTGCTGAGTTTCGTCCTGTGGCGGTATGGTTATTTGCCGCATACGAGTCTGCAGATTTTGCGCGTTGGGCAGAAGAGATTCGCAAAGTGAGCGCGAACACCAAGATCTGGATTCAGATCGGCAGTGTAAGAGGCGCAGTCCAACTAGCCCAATCCTGCAAGCCAGATGTACTTGTACTGCAAGGCGCAGATGCAGGCGGCCACGGCGGTGAGAAAGGCGCAGGCATCATCTCTCTGATCCCAGAGACCTTGCTCGCATTACAAAGACTGAGGTTATCGGGCAACATGTCCATTGTAGCGGCAGGCGGTATAGCAGATGGCTCTGGCGTTGCCGCGGCTCTGACACTCGGCGCAGACGGGATAGTGATGGGCACCAGATTCCTCGCCGCAGAAGAAACAACAGTACATCCCTTGTACCGCACCGCAATCCTCGAAACCGAGGATGGAGGCCAGACAACCGTTCGAGCGAAGCTTTTTGATGAGTTGGCTGGTCCAAACATCTGGCCCAAAGCTTTCGACGGCAGGGCTCTGATTGCTCAAAGCTACAAGGATCACATCGAGGGTATCTCGATTGATGAGATTCGCAACTTTCATGCTGAGGCGAAGCGGACTGATCATCTCGGCTTCGATCAGGAGAATAGGAGGGCAGCAATTTGGGCAGGTACGGGAGTCGGCCTCGTGCGTGAGAAAGCGCCTGCCGCAGAAATCCTCACAGAGGTTCGCGAAGCTGCAAAAGTGGCACTGAAAAGAGCGCTGTCGAATTTGGAGTGAGGCAGGTACGTTTGCAAGTTAGAACGTGTGAAACGAGTCATGATTCAATGATATATACGTTATGCTGCCAGGTAATGAAGATTCCTTGTGATGAAAACCTTCTACCGCCTCGAGCACATGTTCTATGCTTAGATATTTCCGATGACGCTCTTGGCGAACTGGGCAGCGGGAGTAGTATCCTGGATGGCATAGGAAAGATGAGCAGCAGAAATGACGAAAGCGCCATTGCAGACACCATCGAGGAGGTTGCAGTAAACCTTGGTGCGACCAGAGTCAATGTTTCTGAAGCCGGTCAATTGGAGCGGGTCACCGAAAGTAAGAGCGACNCTATACAGTCTGTGAGCGAATGACCATATACTGATTCAGTGTAATCGACTTACAGCGACTTGTCCGTTCTGGAGGTTCATAAGAGCACCGTGAACCTGCTCGGCACCTTGAGAGTAACCGGCAAGAATGACTTTGGTGTCGGGGCACTTGCTCAGAGCCTGTTGAGTCAAGCTAGCCATAGTGCGGGCACCCTGAGCAGTGGCAGGGCTGAGAGCACCACTTATGGCACCAGCGACATCTGCAGGGTATGTGACGCCCTGGGTAGCGACGTTGTTGCTGCCAAAGGCAGACTCCAGGGCTCTTTCGAGAGCTGGGCCGACAGTGGAACCCATGTTACCAATCTCCGTGGTACCACGAGCGAAAATGTAAGTCACGGGCTTGCAAACGCCGCTCGTGACATCGTTCTTGGTCGAGCTACCAAGGCCACCAAGGCCACCACCAAAGCTAGGGAAGCCGCCAGACTGAGGAGCGGCAAGAGGTGCTGCAAAGGCGCTAGTTGCAGCAAGACAGGCAACGAAGAAAGACTTCATATTTGACATTGTATGCCTCTGTTATTGTGGAAGCGAAAGACAAATTGAGCGAATGGCTGTGGAGAACGAATATCTCTGGCGGTTGAAAAGTCCAGGTTGCTGATGGTTCAATTCCCACACAGGAAGGGTGTCAATATTTATACATGAAGCCTTCGCACGACAGACTCGAGACCGAGGCATTTTTTCGATATAGGCACTGCTGCGGCGAAGCCAGGGCGGGCCGGTGGTAGGATCGTGTATGGGCCAAGATGACGCTCACCACCATCGAGAGAATATACAAGTGGTCGGGAGTAGTGTTGCTGATTCATAATAGCTAGGTGCATGGTCCAAGTAATTGGCTGCCTCGCTTGAGCTTGGCCTATGGGGCTGTATGGGGACCAGTCGGAAAAGCATGACACCAAGAAGTCATGGCAGGATGAACCTCAGTGCTCGTCTCTAGGTCGTTAAAGGGCTCTCGGAGCTTTGAAAAGGTTGGAACAAGGCAGTCCCGAAGTATTTATATGCCAGATATCGCCTTCACTGCAAGGCGAATATCATCTCCATCTAAGACAAATGAATGTAACTCATGCAGAAAGAATTTGGCATCTTTCTGATACTGCACCGCTGCGAAAGCTATGCATGTCTGAGACCTGAAGTCTTGGAGGGCGACTTCTCAATGACCGATGACCGGATCGTGCGGCGCGCTTGCTCGGAAACTAAGTCAGCCAACGACAGTTTACGGTCGGCGATGCATTGATGGATTGCTAACAATCCTGGCCATTGATCCGGGGGATGTGATTGTTGTGGAGATCTAGTGGGCCTCTCGCGTGTACCGGGCTCTAACATTAAACGAAGGCTCGAAGAGGGAAGGATAGGACTCTACAAGTGCTTAGTAAGTTGATGGTTCATAAACCGCGTAACTTGGCCTTCTGGGCTGTGCAATTGTAGGCGGAGCTCGTCTCTGTATCCTGAAGAAAAGCAGAAGCGTTATACCAAGGCTTGTCGTCGTGTCTTGAAACAGCGGACGACAGCATCTCGGTCCATAGTTCACAACTCGATGAAGTTCCCTTTCCGTATCATGCTGGCTGCGACTAAAACTTGCAAGAACGATTCGGACTGTTCTTTCCTTGTCGATCATCATCGAAGAGAGTGAGCAACGGACGTAAAGTCGATGGCAGGCACGGTGGCTGACAAGAACCAGCCCTGGGAAAGTGCATCCGTGCCTCGGCTCTGATTGCATGTTCGCAACCTCAAACACCACTTCCTTCTTAGAACTGGAGGAGCAAAGCACAGTTTGTGTTTACGAAGCAACGACAAATTCGCACGATATCCTCCACCAGGAATCGTTGCTGTTGTTGGCCAGAAGGATGGCCGTGTCAGCTCGACAAGCGACATTTTTCGTCAACAGCTCGGACGCCAGCCTGTGGTCAACGACTTTAATCTACTCTAATCTAACATACTCTATTGATCGAGTATAACAAATGACTACATGTAGCATGCTGCATGCGTATACAAGAAAGGTTCCACATCACTGTACAGCCAGTCCCATTCCTATATTGCAACTGAAAATTCTAGACCCAGACAATAACAAACACACCGCTGCTACACCGTACATCGCGCATCGTGTCACTATCAGAGCATCTCAAGCAACCACCGTGCAAACCATGACACGCAGAACCGGAGAGAGTTCTATTTGCTCGAAAAACGGAATTACCAGTACCCAAAGGATCTACCAACCACACCAACAATCCACCCATCCCAGAACTTTTCCGTTTGTGCCCCTTTTGTTTAGCCAAAGAGTAAGAAAGTTCCCTGCCACCGTGGTTCATCCAGCCAAGATGAACCAGATAAGATGATACTACAACAGCCCACCATAATGCCCTTGTGTCCCTTCCTCCGGAACCAAAAAGTAAAACCACACCGAAAGAAGGAGAGTACAAAAAAGACCGACATGCCGAGAACAGAGTCAAAAGGTAAATGATAGAAGTTCATAGAGAGGTCGTCGTGAAAGATGCTGATGCTGTGATTTTTCTGTTGTCGATGTGTTGTGTCGTTGATCGTGTCATTACCTATTGTCGATGTGTTGCGAAGAGGAAAGAAAAATGGAAGAAAACCAAAGGTATCATGTGAAAGCAAAAATCATCCGAGAAGCGCAGTGAGCCAACACCAGAAACAAAAGAAGGATGCAAAACTGCCATGAACGAAGCCAGCAACACAATGCTCGGGAGCAGCAGGGGCAAAAGCAGAGAAGTGCTGAATCACTCCTTCTTCTCCTTCCCTTGCTTCGACCTGCACATCCCACAACCACTAGGCCCTACAGTGCGCGGGCAAGGAACAACCGGGCACCCCTCCTCCTCCCAAAGGATATGAACGCCAAAGTCCTTGCCAGCCTCTCCGTTCAAGAACTTGAGCACGACTTCCTGGTCTGGAGCAGAGTCTCTGTCGCGGACAAGAGCAAGCATCTGAATTGGCGAGATGGGACAGTTACGTCCCTTGGACTTGGACTTGCCGTTCAGCGGCTTGTTGCGCTCGCGGACGAGGGGNTCGTTGGCGACGAGGTAGGCTTTGACATGCGTCCAGTGGTGGGACCGCGAGTTGTCGTTGCGGTTTTGCTTGCCGTTGCCCTTCTTGCCTACGGTGCATTGGGTCTTGGGGTCTTCAGGATTGAGGCGGTGATCGGAGATGTAACACGCGTAGTCGTACCTCTCCGAGTGGCTATTTTGATGCCTTTTACAATGTTCAGACCTGGCGAACTTCAGTCCGCAGCCCGGGTGCTGGCATTGGTGGGATTTTTCTCCNGTATTGTAATTCTTCTGGTCCTCCTTCGACAGCTTGCTGTATGCTGCCGACTGCTCATCGGTCAAGAGCGTGATCGATGTATCCGAGTCATTCACAGGGACACTCCTGCAGATGGAGCGACGCTTGTCGGCCTTGGACATCTTACGGCCTTTCTTGGTGAGGCTGGAGCGAGATGTAGTGCCATAGAGAGAAGACGACGGAGATACATCATGGTTGACATACGAGGCATCGAAAGAACATTCGAGAGTGGATGGTGTCATAGGCGAGAATTCTGGNGGAGAGGAAGAGTGCAAGATGTTACTGTCATGCACAGGGGTCTGAAGGCCACCCCATCCAGATATGCTCATGTTGTAGTCTAGCTCTGGCGGCTGATGGACTGCCTGGCTAGGGGCGATGAACGTGGGAAGGTGTTCTTGATGAGAGTCGACGTCCGTCATGAAAGACGCCGATGGATCCTGGGAGGGCAGCATGAATAGGGAATTTGGGTCTGGTGCATAGTCAACATTCGAGTAATGGCTCATTGTGGAGCTGTTCCAATCATGATCGGTTGATAACAACGCAGAGCTGTCCTGGTAGAATGAGGTGTCGACTTCGGGCTTCTGTGCGAAAGCCATTGATGAATTCCATGTTGGCGAGTTGCAGGCAGTAGCATAGTGCTGCTGCCCTGAAGTGAAGTCCACAGGACTTGGNGGATACTGCTGAAATGACAGCTTTATCTTGTCCGCTGGCCCAATGTTATACATGTCTTGGCCGGTGAAGTGAACGGGTGTGTTAGGGTGATAGTTGGAGAGAGGTGTCTGATGAAAGTTCATGTCGTAAGAAGTACGACGAGCACTATTTGCCGACTCTGGAGGCGATATCAAGGCCTGCTGTCCATGGAACGCGTTGGTATCAATTGACAGATTGGCCATGCGGCGGTGTGACATCTCGAAAGAAGCTGAAGACATCATTAGTATCGTTGTTGTTGTTGGTGAATTCCACACCCAAGACCCGTTAAAATGTGGCTTGAGATAAGAGGAAGAAGACAGGAGGGTGAAGAGAAGGGATGAAAGCACGTTACTTCTCCCTTCATTATATCTGCTTCGACTTACCACCGTACGGTTGCTGTTCCCTCATGATGACTGGCTGGACGTTAGTTGGCTTGTGCAACCGCTCGGTCGTTGAATCAATGGCCTGGGTTCTGTAAGGTTCGAGCCTCCTTCGATGCTGGGGCACGGCTAGGCTAATTTCCAAGGTAGGGCCGCTCGATCTGGATTGGAATGTGACTGCAAGGGATGCGGATGACAAGTAGGGGCCCAAAGAGGAATGAACCCAGGTACAGAGAACGAACGCACACCCTCAGAGTGATGAAAGGGTAAGCAAATGAGAGGGAAATACACAACATTGGTTCGTGCCTGTATCAACCCTGCAGTAAAGTTTTTGAGTTGAAGGGTGCTTGTAGAAAGAAGGGATGTTTAATGTTCGCCCCTGCAGGGACTCTTTATGTAGAGGCGTGAAGCCATATCTTCCCCACCGACTGATGGCTCCCATCATCACAGCCCAGGCAAGAAAACATTAGAATAGAATCGACTGGACGAGACGCGGATCAACCCCACCAGGCGCTACCAGCCTAGAGAGTCCCAGAAAAAGCCGCATAGCAGGAATGATCCTCAGATCTCCAAGAGACTACCGGGCTTGCCAGAAAGCTGTTGCTGAATGTGTGGTGTGTGGCACCAATGATATGCAAAGCAACACTACGCACAGATCAACAGACCGAATCTTCGAAATCTGGTAGAAGAATTGCTTGGACGAGGTGTTCCTGATACTCTGTGGAGGCCGTCTCGACTTGCTGCTGTAGAGGCTCTTGATCTACGCAGGGGGCTGCTCAGACGCGATCAAGGGTACACAACAGCTTGTCTGACATTGTCCGAATTGAGCAGACGCGGATGCTGGCTGAGTTATTTCTGATATGGTCCCAACAACCAGTTCTTTGTTTTCTTCCCGTGTCTCTTTGCTATCTTCGAGACGGGTTCCAGCAGGTGTCAATGTAAGAAGCCCTATTTCGACGACGAGAGTAAATCTTTTGTCCAGAACGTCCATCAGATGAATATTGCAACCAAGACCATATCAATTGATGAAAAACGGATGCTCTCACATCTATGATGATCCATCACGGGGTCTGTCGTTCAGCGGCTCAAGATGGTGGTCCGTGACGTTTTGTGCAACGCGAATGACAAGGATTCGGCTCTCCAGCCGGGTTCAATCGCGCCACCACAAAAGACATTCATCAGAGGCTGCGTCCTGCAGGTCTGTTGCGCATGTTTGATGTGCAGAGCATTCCATCGAGAGTCATACAACGACGCTGTCAGAATTCAACGGAAGTTTGACCCGGATTGTTTATCGACGTTCGAAGGGTAGGCACATATTGGCAGACGGGTACCAACACCATCAGCCGCGCGCGTCGCATTGTTGTGTTGGAATAGACGCGGGCAAATGCCTCAAGGATGAAGGAATGATGCAAGCCCTAACGTCGTTCGTCTTGTCAAGAACAACCATAGGTCGCACCTGCCCAGTGGCTGGTGCGGGAGAGAGAAAAGCGAGTGAAGTGGACAGCAAAAGGCTTGACTTCGGCATCAGGAACTCGTCCAGTCAATTGGCAAGTCAGGCACACACACACCGCCCGCAACAACACCCTCAGGCAAGTGGTGAGGATGCAGGTTGCTTTTTGCCAATGTCCGATTTGCAGGAACCAAAAAGGCACAACAGGAAGATACGATACAGCTGCAGGTCCCGTTCTCTAGAGCCGTTGAGTCGATTGCAGATGCATAACTGGTACAGCGGCTGCACGTCAAGTTAGGGGCGACATTGCGGAGATTTAGGAAATGCTTGTAGGAATAGGTGAAGCTATTGCTTTTCCCCTCAAGTGCGGTGAGCAAGCTGTGCTGTTTCAGATGCTGCAATGAGCTGCAAGCCCAGGATTTTAGCCTAATCCTCCGTGAATACGGTGCCTAGATCTCAATCAACTCGGGATCGGGAAAGCATGCTGCGCATCCCCCAGGAATGGGTGATGTTGTTGCTGCGGTGCGCCTCCCGGTCTCCGTGTGACGTGCGTTCCAATGAACAAGGGGCAATGTAACAATGACATGGATGGGAGAAGAGGCTAGCGTGATGGCGGTGCGTTGTTTCGATGATGAGGGAGGTAGAGGCACGGTGTTCACGGCAAAGCGGGCCTCATGTTCCTGTCACGCCGTACTGCCAGTCAAGCCTTGTTGACCCGATACAGGCATGACGCTCTTGGTATGCAAAGACAAGCCCTCCAGACGATTTGCACGGCGGTACACCACTTTGGAAGCCAAGACAGTATGATAGAATGCAGGATACATACATGGGAATGCAAGTGATTGTAAGCTCCTCACAGCTTTGAACGGCCGAGTATACTACCACCGTCGATGACGATGTGGGCGCCGTTCAGATGACTGGCTGCTCTTGAACAGAGATACACGACGGTACCAGCAATGTCTTCAGGTTTGCCTAGTCTCTTATTGGGGTTTGCATCAGCCAGAGCCTGTGTACCACCAGTTAGAGCCATCAGGCCGTTGGCCATTTTTGTTGGGAAGAAGCCAGGCGCAATGCTGTTACAGAGAATGCCTCGGGGACCCAACTCGACGGCCAGGTTACGAGTTAGATGAAGGGCTGCGGCCTTGGAAGCGCTATAGCCTGGGGTTGCATTGTCTCCCAATGAACCAATTCCAATGCCCGCAACAGATGCTGTGACGAGCACACGAGAAGGATCTCTCAATGAAGCCTTCTCCTCAAGCAGCGGAGCGAATCTGGAGAGACGATTTAGCTGACAGACAAGACGTGAAGCTTGTGACTGTACTTACTTTTGAATGCAGTAAAAGACACTGTTGACGTTGAGATCCATGACCTTGGCAAAGGCCTCGGCCGGGTGCTTGTCAAATGGAGCACCCCAGGTTGCTCCAGCATTGGCAAACAGAATGTCAACATGATCCGTGTGTTTTCCAACTTCTGCTACCAGACGTTCGATCTCTGCAACCTTTGAAATGTCGGCGGGGATGGAGATGGCCTTGCCCTTGATGCCAGGCAGCTTGTTAAGGGCATCGCATGCTTCCTCGCATGCCTTGGCCTTGCGGGAGGAGATGAAGACCTTGGAACATCCGGCCTGGAGGAGACTGTATGCATGTGANCTCGGTCAGACAATGAAACAACCACAGGTGTAACACATGGCTACCCACCCTGATGCGGCGTGGAGACCGAGACCTCGAGATCCACCAGTGACGACAGCCACCTTTTGGTTCAGGGAGAAGATGGACGAGAAGTCCTCGAGCTTGACGTCTGCTTCGGCTGACATTTTGAATGGTGATTATGATTTGTATCTTGGTTGTGAGAGAGCCTTTGAGCTGGAAATAGGTCGAGTCGTCTGCCCATCACAGTAGCCGCGGATGCGGAGGACAATGCGGAGATTAAACAACATACCGAGGCATCTGATAAAGGTCTTGGCATTATATCTTTGTTTCTCGGAGCACCCTGTCTTTTAGAGGTCCTGTCCACGAAATGGCCATCCTGCTTCTGATCAAGGATGATACATCTGAACCGTGACATACGTTGCCAAAACTGTTTGTCAATGTATGGTGGTCAGCATTCATTGGCATTACATGGTCGTATATCGGTAAGTGATCTTGTCAACAAATCCGAGTCTGACGGACAGCGAAAGTATTTACACATGCCCGAGCAATCTTCAAGATTAGACATAATTCTTTGAGCTTTTTTCTATGTACAAGTTTCTCCAAGCTAAGAGAGAACGAGAGCTCTTGAGCTATCCAGACATATTCCCGAAGACGCCTGCTTTTGTCCCCAGTCTAAAGAACAAAACCAAAATCATCTCTTACGGGGTATCAAGCCTCCGTTCACCAGCTGCTGTAACAGCACCTTCCAAAGTTCCCCATGACTTCATTCTATCATGTCAAACCCCAAATGACAAAGGAAAATAAACGCCGTTAAAATGCGACAATATCTGCTCTTTCGTGCGATCATTGCAGCACACCATCTCCTGCAGCGTGCTCGAAAGAGGTTGTTGCGAGATAAGCGGATCAAGCTCGCGACTTCTGCTCAGTATGACACACGACATCACCTGCCCGTCTTGTTGAAGCTGAGACGCTCATGTGAGACTTTTGCTTTTCCATTTTGCCGCGGCACACCNTCATCGTCGCTCTCGGCCAAATCGCCGAGGCTGAAACCGCCATTGGTGGCCTCAACATCGTAGTTGTGCATCAAAGCTTCTCGGTCATGATCACCGGATCTTCTGCCAGCAAAAGACAAGTTGAGGCTGTTTGAGCGACGGTGTTGTGCGTCGGAGCTGCGACGAGCTTGCATAGAGCGACGGGTCAGGGGACCAGACATGGGATCGGTAGGAATGCCGTCGAGGTCGAAGCGGCTGCCGTTTCCGTTCAGTTGCATGTGGCCGTGGCCTTCGGGATCTTCGCGCGAGAGATTGAGGAGGTAGACACCGGTGAAGATGGTGAGGAAACCGCACAAGAGAGAAATCGTGTTGACAGCGTCGCTGGTGTTGAAGCCTTGGAAGAGAATGAAGGATGCGACGAGGGTGCAGGTGGTGAAGGTGACGTAGTATAGCGGGTTGACNACTAGGCAGGTCAGTAACGAATTGAGGGATGAACGCAAGAGATGGGCATACATGTTGGTGTTGAACTGACTCAGGGCCTTGTTGAAGTAGTTCATCTGTGTCAGAATGCAGACAACCGTGACGAGGATGAAGACGTAGGTGCTGGGGTGAGTGAACTGGTTGTAGCCAGCAAAGGTAAGCTTGACGGCAATACCGACACCCTTGACGGCCATGATGGAGACGGAGCCGACGGTGCTGCAGATGGAAATGTAGATCAGCGGGTTCTTGCGTCCATAACGCGGGCACACGCGGTAGATCATGACGGTCGAGAAGACAATGACCAGCAGCACGTAGAAGAGGAAGCCTGGNCCAATGTCAGTCGCTGCGCCCAGTGCAGGCATCTTGTTGTCGCCCGACTCACCAGGTTGAACAGCGTAGTTCAGAATCTCGTCAATCGTCTGCACCTCTTTGTCCGGCGGAGCGTGTAGCACAATGACGACGGATCCAATCAGACAGATGGCACATCCCAGCTTGCCCAGCGTACCCAGGTTCTCGCCGAGGAAATATGATCCCAATACCGCTCTGTATGCGCCTTGTCAGCGTGCTTGTCCATGTGTGTATGTGCTTCCGACTTTTGACTGACCCNNGATCAAGACGCTGAGGGCTCCCAGCGGCGTTACTAGAATCGGCGGTGCGAAGGCGTATGCTGCAAAGTTGGCCACTTCACCAATAACCACTNNGCGCGGTGTCAGTTTGTTGTAAGATGTGTAGAAGACAGTTGTAGGCGTACTTGTGATAATGCCAGACCACCACACGGGACTCTTGAGATATGCGAAGCCATCTCCTTCAAAGCCATGTTGTTGACTCGCTTGCATCAAGCCCTTTTTGTGATTACGAAACTCGTTCCTTGTTCAGATTTAGCGGCGTGGTTCGCAGTGCTCGAAGCTGGGCGCATTACCTATCGCAAGTGTTGAGGCGACGGCTAACGCCAGTCCGATGTACCTGGAGAGAGCAACGTCAGCGACATGTTTGTGATGGAGAGGCGTATGGAACCGCACTTGTCTTCGACCATGGCTGGTCTGCTGTGTGTGCTTGACTCGACGAGTTATTGCGTGGGCTGCGAGGATGGAGAAAGCGGGATGCGACAGAGAAGAGGGCGCGTCGGATCGGGGTCGAAGCAGCTTTGTGCCCTCTCTGCTTGTACTCGTCAAACAGGGGGATGGATGTGTAGAGCGGATGATAGACAGCTAAGAGCAAAAAGTCAAAGGGGTCGAAGGTCGCAATAGGGTTGGCCAACTTGTCCCTTTGAACCGTTGGAGCTTCCACTGGCAGTTGTGATTGTCGCTCCCGATCCCTGTGGCTGAAGGTCAACAAGGCGTGACATAACCCATAAAACACGAGTCTAACGAAACCCGCCGCATCTCTGTCTGAATAATAAAGAGTGTCCACTTTGAAACTTGCACAAAGCACTCTTTGCTTCTGTATTTAGCTACACTAGCTATTGTTTAATGCCCTTCGTCTCTTGCCTTTGATCTGCCAGAGGAAGAAAGGACATCGCTGCTTGCTTGACGTTCCTGCCAAGCCGCATCCGCCTCCATTGCGTTTGCGACTTCCGCGCGGCGCGGAAGAGAACCTATTTTGGGCCTCTCAAAATCGATATGCTCCACCGGCGCTGCCAGTAGTAGGACGCTGCCATAATCGTATACGCCGTCACGCGTATGGTACCGTCTCTCGTCTCATTGTTACCTGTCACATATCTGCCTGTCATGCGGCTCTTCTGCGACGTCTCAAGTCTCGCGTCGAAATTGGTGTTACAGCTGGAAGCCCATGCAATTTTGTTCTCCATATAACTCCGCTCACGCTCTTCATCATGCTCCATGAAATGCGAGTGGCACAGAATCCATCTTAAATCATTGACCATCCTTCTATCCGCCCTGAATGTAACTCCATCTCTCTGAGCCAGACCCAGATCCATCTCGATCAAATATCATCAATTCCAGCAACCTCCCAGATGCAGATTGATACGCCGTTCCAGCCTAGAAATGCTGATGAATTGCATATCGAATAGTACTTCTAGAGATTGAGAGGTACAAACTTCTGACGACGGCCTTTGCCACGAGGCGCAGGAGGAGCGACCTCTGGCTGCGAGTGCACGGGCTCTTTTGCAAGTGCTTGTGTCGAAGGTTGCGCCGTTTGAACTGGCTGCACAGGTGCGTGCACTGGCGAGCGGGGTCTCTGTGCAGCAGCGACGTTGGCCGGGCCTCCTGCAAGAGTCGGGAACTGCTGGCCATATGCGTGAGCCTTGTTGACTGTCGGTGGTGGAGCCGTAGAGGCAGGCCCTTGTTCCTCAGCTTCAGTCAATTCGTCAAACAGGCCGCCTTCAGGCTCATCTCTGTTACGACCGATGGCCCCGATTATGCGCCACGCACGACGGAACTCATCTCTGATGGCGACAATGCCAGGGTGCGTGACAGTTCGCGCGACATTGTGCGTAGTCTCGAACGGATCCTCAATGGCAAAGAGATATCGGTGGCGTACTTCCTTGTTGTCGCCGACTTCAGTCTTTGCACCTGTCCAACCTTTTTCATCCTTGGACAGGAGGCCGCCTTGAGATCTCAAGCTGAGCACATCGCGCGTCCAAAAGAACCCACCAGAATTGACGGCATAGTACCGGAAGAAGCCAACCAGCAAGTTGCCCAACGACTCTTTGTTCTGTGTGATCGCACCTTGGCTCGCACGACTTTCGATCACGTCTTCCTTATCAAAGAAGCGAACTTCGTAGCCGTCGACAGTAGTGAAAGGTAGACCGTTGGCTTCAGCCTCATGTTGCAGATTAGGCAAAACAGGAGGATGTGTTACGTTTACAAGGTAATGCAAAACCATCAGCACGTAACCATACGATGACAGGGTGCCTGAGTAGGAGGAGTTGATCTTCCTGCGCTTAGCCCATGACTTGATGAAGAGGACCATGGGTCGGACTCTCGGATCACACTTTGAGTAGCAGCGCAACATTTGAGTGTTGTGAATACCTAGAGGGTTGAAGAAATTGATGTCACATTGGATGCCAACACCATCCTTGGGAAAGTCCAGAGGACCGGCAGCCTTTTCACGTCGCCAGCTTCTGTCATTTCGTTGACGGTTTGCCTGTTTGTCGTGAGGTTGCTGTTGGTGAGGTTGCTGAGTATTCTCTGACTTTGAGGTGGCTTGAGATGGGCTCGAAGATGCGTTTTGGTCGATTTGTAGAGCTTGTGTTGACTCGACAAGTGATGCGACATCGTCTGTAGGCTTTGCTGTTTGAGGAGTAGTGTCATTCTCTGCGGAAGGCTCAGCACCATCAGTTTCGGGCTCAGTCTGAGTAGGAGTATCAAGGGCGTCCTTCTTAGGAGCTGTGTCGTTGGCAGACGGCTTGGAAGTGGCATACTTCTCATCTTCAGGCAGGTTGTCCCACTTCTCACGAGATTCTCGAAGAGCACCCAAGAGTTCTGGAGGTGGGTCTTCACAAATCTTGATGATGGGCACACGTGTACGAGTAAGCAAGCGAGCGCCGATGCCATTATCAAGGAGTTGCCTTTCCAGAACCCGAGGAAGGCCGTTCTCGTGCGATGAGAAGCGCTGACTCAAGTCATGCTCAGATAGCGTGACGATGGCCAAATCCATATCTGAGCCAGCAGTAGCAAAGCCCGAACTAAGACTGCCAAAGCTAGCCAGTTCGACAGAAGGAAGAGGGTTTTCTGAATCTGGAGATTTGAGATTTTCAAAGATTCGTTGCAGCCTGATACGGAAAGCGTCCTTCATGGCAATTTCAGAATCCAGCATCTGCGTCTTTGAAATTTCCTGAGTAGCAAGAGAATCCAAGAAGGAGGCCTGGCGTTCAAGATAAGGGTTGTTAGTCTGCTGAGGTCGAGAGTGCGGTTGATACAGATGACGCTGTTGATGTTGATGCTGGTTTTGATGGTTTCGGTGGTCTAGATGGCCCGGATGATTCTGATGCTGAGAATAGGGCTGATGAGAACGGGGGTCTTGAGGTGGAGGTCTATCAAAAGTGTTTGGGTCCATGGGTCTGGAATTGGAGTTGCGATGAGGACCCTGAGCACGGAAGTTGTTGTTGTGTGTCTGTGCAGGCGCATAGCGAGGCTGTAGAGGTACTGGACCAGTCGCATGGTGCTGCTGAAGGAATTGAGAGAAATCTTGTTGGCGATCCATCGGTATGTTGTTAGAGTACCGCGGCTGAGCAGTCATGGGTGGAGGCATTCCAAAACCAGGAGGACCTCTCGAAGGATAACCATGAGCCATGTTAGAAGGTTGCGGCGGTAGTCGAGAATCAGCTTGTTGATGAGGGCCACTACGATTCATGATCATGCCTCGCAACTGGTCTTCGAGCTTTTGTGAAGCATAGCTACTGCCTTGATCCATCGTGGGCAGATGCGATGGCTTGTGATGTGATGATGAATTGACTCAATGCATCAGAATTTCCCCTTGCGAGCCCCTGGTACACAGCAAATGACAGACTGTCGATAAGAGAAAATCAGACCCGCGCACGATAGTTTTCAAGGAATTGATAATAGGTAGGTGAAGCAGTCACCGAATCATGAGCGTCACTTGAAAGTGACGACGGAAGACGGGAACGCCAAGAATTTTGAGAACAGCGCTTGGACAATGACATGGCGGCAGGCAGCACATCAGCGAAGGGCGATTCTACAGGCGCTCGACATCTTCGTCGCTGCATACCACATTCCACATCCCTCACGCCCTCTTCGCCCACGGCTACGAGCTGCGACCTTGTCATCACGCACCAGGACCGCCATCATATCGGGATTCGATGCAGAGGTAGAATTGCCGTCACAACCCGAACAAAGACTCCGTCTACTCGGCCGACACGATGAGTGCTCCTCCGCCAGGCGTGAGCCCTGCCTCGCGACAGCCTTCAACCACGCCCAACAATGGTCAAGGCGCTATCCGTCGCAGAAAGCCAACCGGTCCATTTGCGCCAAAGCCCTCTCGCAACCAAGCAAAGCGTCCTCCTGCTCCACCGCCGCAAAAGCTCACCGGAGCCACCAAGCCTCTCGCTGCCGCCGCCGTTCAGTCACAGCCCGAACCGGAAGATGATCCCTCTATGTACAGCGAGATCCCGCTCATGGCGACAAAGAAAGCCCTTCTCGAAGGTCTCCGCTTTCACGCTATCAAGTTCATCTCCAACAACGTCGTCAATCCATACGATAAAGCCCAGTTCGAGCGCCCTGTCAAACTCCATCGCCGTTTTCCTCAGGATACACCCAACACACCTGTTGATGCCAACCCCGAAGACGACAAGGATCGCGAGAAGGAGGCTATACGAAAGGCAGAGAAGGCAGCAGAAAGAGAGGCCACCCAGGCTCAGATTGCTCCGACGGACAAGGCAGCAGCAGCAAAGAAGCGTCAGCCTTTCAAGAAGAAGACCGAGGATGTCTACTATCCTACAGACACACCCGAAGCCCAGAAGCGTGCTAGGTTGCGCTACGAAGAAGGTCGCCCTTGGCATCTTGAAGACTTCGAGAACAAGAACATCTGGATTGGCACATACGAAGAGCCTCTATCCGAATCAAACGTAATGTTTGTATTCGACAACGGCCGCTTCAGAATGGTTCCTATCGAAAAGTGGTACCGCTTCAACCCTACAGGCCGCGTCCCGCTGCTTACCCAGGCTGAAGCTGAAGCTGTTATGGAGAAGCGAGAGAAGGGCCCAAGATGGTTCTTGGAGAATGACCATGGTCGCGAGAAGAAACGTGCCGAGCTTGCAAGACAAGAACGTCTGACTAGAGGCAGAGTGGGTACTCGAGGTGAACATCGCGTCAAGGATGAAGACGACGACGGTAACGAGAACGTGGATGTTGCCGATGACGTGGACGAGCTGGACTTTGAAGCCGAGGATGAATTCCAAGACGACGACGAGGGCAAACTATTCGGAGATGACGAAGAGGAAGCCAAAGAAGCTGCATCAAAGATCAAANAGGAGCGACACGAAGCGAACATCTTTGCTGGCACTGGTGTCAAAGACGAGAAGGATTGGTATGAAGAGGAGCAACTCGAGAAGCAAAGGGAGCGCGACGAGAAGAAAAAAGCAAAGAAACTGCGAAAGAAGCTGGTCAAGATTGAGAAGAACTACGAGTATGATGATGACGAGAGCGACAATCCATACTCGGAGGAGGCAAGTTTGACTATAGTTGTTATCTGTCGAGTCTATTCTAACTTTCATCGTAGGAAGAATCCGACGATTCGGACATTGAGCGCCAACGTGAAGAGGACGAACGCAAGAAGGAGGAAGAACTCAAGGCAAATGGCGACAAACAGGNCATCTCAGATGTCGACCAACACCAACACTCCATCAGGTCGTGCTGAAAAGCATGCTGGTGGTCTCCAGCCAAAACAATCCATGTCAAGCCTCAAGCGTCCTGGCTCACCTAATCTGTCAGAGACCAGCGGCAGTGAGTCGATCAACCACAAGCGCATGAAGAAGCAGCACCGCCGCGACATGTCGGGAGCTACATCGCCTATTGGACGTCTCGCCGGCTCAGGCAGCGATACGGAGACTGAAAGACGTCCTCGTAACCTGACCCTGAACCCTAGATCCACCNCCGGATCGCCCGGCAACGCGACCNCCATTGGCTCACGCGCCGGCAGTCCCGTGCCCATGCCGACGGCGGACGAGATTAGGGCTGCCATTCCTCCTGCTGGTATAAGCATTCCGGAGTTGATCAAGAGGTTCAGGGAGCAGGTGCCCAAAACCAAGGAAGGCAACAAGGCCTTTATTCAATTGGTCTTGAGTGTGGCCAAAGCCATGCCCGGCGCCCCTGGTCTTGTCGGTCTGAGATAGATCTTGCAGGTCTCGAGCGCAATCACAAATAGACACTGATCCTCGTCAAGAGAGATGACAGAAATTGAGAATGGAAGGTCTGCGGTCTGACAGCTTACGGCTAAATTGCTTTCTTCGCGTCTCTGTGATATTTGAGCTTGTTCTCTTTCAATAGCGACGTGATACAATAGAAGCATTGACGGTCGTACAAGCAACTTCGTACTCTAATTGCGTGTTCATCATTTTGGCTAGATGATTATATCCGGCTCTATCGCGCGGGCTGGATGAGAGTGGACCCCTTTATGATCGTCAGGGTAAAATAGTGCACAGTCTGTACATCTCCCTGAACATAAAAGATATACTTTGACCTCGTCAGTGGCTGGCTGGTTCAGCTGGCGGATAATCGTCCAGGCAGACGGTTAGCAGGTACAGCATTGTTGAGTCATGTAAGGAGAGGCAGCAGGATTGTAAGGAGTCGTCGAGCTGAAATGCAGGTGGGGGAGTGGTGTGTACAGCGTCGTGGGACAAGGCCTCGAAGGCTTTGGAAAGACGGAGAAGTACGATTTCACTCGAACCCCGATCGACATGAGTGATGGCACAAAGTTCAAAATAACGGCTCTCTCGGCGTGAGATAGAGTTGGACAAATACGGTCATGGGTTAGAAGTTGAGTAGATTTGTAGGCGAGGCAGTGGTCGAGACGCGTATACTTGAGACGCGAGATAACAGTGTGGCAATGTCGGATGTAGATGAGGGCATTGTGTGAACTATTGAGTGGTGATTTCGGTTGCAAGTGGAGTGAGCTGAGAGAGGCTGAGCTGGTTGGATGCACGTGCGAGCCAAATGCGGGAGGTGGAAGGAGCGAGGCCAGGGCTTGAGACGCAGGGGGCTTTTGCGGGCTTACTAGGCTATTCCGGGAAACGGCTTGGGCGGATATATAAGATGGATGCCACCTGTCTTCTTCTCGGCTTGCTTTGTGTGTGTGTGTGCCTGTCTCTGACCGTCAGAGTGTAACTCGGATCGGGAATCGTCATCAGGCAACAGCGCAAACAAAGAAGAAGCCAGCTTTCATCCCCAGATGTAGGCAGTCGCTTTTCCGACTCTACTACATCATGGCCGACGGAGTCGTCTCCNCGCCAGCTCTCCTGGCAGCAACCACTCCAGATCCTCTCAACATGAACACCCCCGACTTTGCACTCACGCCGTCGACGGCAGCCACCACCGCCCTCGCTACACCCAGCTCCATCCAACACCAACACGTCCCTCAATCATCCGCAGCCAAGCCTGCAAAGAAGCGCAAGTCATGGGGCCAGGCGCTCCCCGAACCAAAGACCAACCTGCCGCCTCGAAAGCGGGCCAAGACTGCCGACGAGAAGGAGCAGCGCCGCATTGAACGTATCAAGCGCAACCGCGCCGCTGCACACAACTCTCGGGAACGCAAGCGCCAGGAGGCCGAGCGTCTCGAAGTCGAGAATCACGCCCTCAAACAGCAGATCAACGCTCTGCAACAACAACTCGCCCAGAAGGACGTCACCCTTGACAAGTGCAAGGAGATCATCCCTGGCGGCCTCCCCGAACTCACACCGGAAGAACTGGCCAACATCAAGGTGCCCGAAGAAAGGTGCATACCATCGTCTGACTCTGCCTACTCGTCGTCATGATATCTAACCTTCTGTAGCATTGTCTCTCCTTCATCATCATATGATACCATCGACCCTCGCGCCTCTCTGGCGCCTTCATCCATCAACGAAGACTACATGACGCCATCAATCAAGATGGAGCCCATGTCGCCGGCTTCTCAGATGCACCTCNCCCCTTCGGCTGTCCACAGGACAAGCATCTCGCTCGACCAGACACAACATTCTGCTGCGATGTTGTGCGACCTGCAGTGTCGGTCGAGCGAGAACCACAGCCGTTCAAGGTGGAGTCTGATTATGATCTATTTGATGCATCTGAACATCATGACCTTCTACAAGAGTCTCATGGTAGCTTCGTGGACCTTATGGCCGACTCGTATGGCCACGATGATGACTCAGGTCTCAGCCACTTTGACAACCTCATCGAATACGATGATGTTCACTCCAACTACACGACGAACGCTACGACGACTGACGGCGGCGACGACCTCTTCAACCTCTCTAATTATGGCCTCAAGGACACTTTTCTTGCTCCTGAGCTTACTCTCGCATCGGCTCCCAACCTCTGTGACTTCAGCGCAACTTTTTGCGACGGGTCCTAGGNTTCTTGGTGTTAGCGCTCTCCAAGCGCTGCCTATTTCCGAGAGCGAGAGCAAGCAGGAAAAGGAAGTGTTTGAGAGAGACTTTACAGAGATATTGAGAGATGTGGCGGCTAACGGTTATCTAAGGCGTTCTGGGAGTAACGGGGGCACTTTGGGAAAGTCATCGTCCGAAGAGCGAAAGGACTCTGGCGGGATTGGATGAACTCTTTTATCATTTTCTTCTGATGCATGACGACCAACAACAAAAAGCACAAAGGTGTGCCTGGTAGCTTGAAGCACAAGGGCACAGTCTTCTTTTTTCTTTTACAGGGAGGGACAACGTGTACTTTTATAGAACCAGAGTCCATGACTGTATTGACTTGATTCAACTAGCAACTCTATTATCTGCAATGATCAAAGTGCCATGAACGTATTGATGAGGCTGCAATGTATGCAAAGCAGCAGTCGAGACGATCTGTCAGAGTGTAAGCCGGCGGACATAGATGTACTCCAACTTCACTCCTCACTTATCTGACCGTCACAAGACTCAAAAAGTTCATACCAACCTCACATTCACGGCGCCTCACACAATCGTTGGCCTTCACAGAATTCACCAGCTCTGTCACTCTATCGGTGCCGAACTCCAAATCTCCCGACGCGCTGCGAGAGCTACCGTGTCTCCCCGGCCCTTTCCAAAACAACATCGCACTTTCGCTATGCACTGGACACCTGCTACGACAAGCTACAAGAGCTCGCTATCGACACAGACTGGAAACAGATGCATCGCTGCAAACTTGTCACTTGCTAGACAATTGATATATATTTTGCTGCGCATTGGATATTTACCACGAAACTCGCCATTACCACTCGCAATGGCTTTGCGTCAAGAAGAGCCGCGAAAGTTACTCTCAGTACTAGCGAAACAGTAACATACTGAACTCTCTCGTGCTACCGGGAAGTCTGAGAGCGAAATTTTTATGCTAGCAGGAAATCCGGTATCTCTATCGGACATAAGAAGAATTTACACCAACGACTGGCTTGACTGGTACTCCGATCAGACAATTGATGTTCTAGTTGGTCTGTTACAACAACACACTGTCTCAGGGGTTGTTCATGTCCCAAATGCCAACATGACATATCGCCTTCCATCATGGAACCAGAAGGAATCAACACTAGACGCCTTTCTCAAGACTATAAAAGACATGATGTCAGAACGACTTGTACTCTGGAGGGCAGGAAACGCAGCACGCACAGTTGTTCCAACATGTGCAACTCGCATGGATCTAACAAGCACTATCTTTGTCTGGAACCTAATATCCATTTATTCGATAGCAGTCCAGTTTTCGTGCACCAGCGAGATTACCATTTGGAACTCTTTTACTTACATAGAAGAAGAATTTAACCAGATCTGCCAGTCTTTGCTGCCCATTATAATTCAGATTATATGGTTTGTTTCCATTGATCAAGTAAAGATCGAGTTTGCCAAAATTGCACAACATCAGAATGGCAGTAAATTTGGTTCAGCAACTGTTGCAACGCTCTGTCATCTTCTTCGAAGCAAACCTTTTGTGCGTCCACGGCATACCTATGCAACTGACTCAACTTCTTCTCCTCTACCAATATTTGGTGCCACGGACAGCTGTATATTTGCCTGTGAGTACCAGGAGCTACATAGTGCCATACTATCTACATACTCGATCAGAATCGATGGTGGACCGAGATGTTCTGTCTTGACTTCGTGGCGAAAGACATGGTGACCTTCGTTGGTTTACATTCACACGCGAAGACGGCTAAGCTATTCGATTCATGGACGTGGATATAATCATTAATGTGCAACAACCTACCAATACGCAAGACTCAGAGGTGGACATATGGTGCTACCTGAGACGTGCAGACAGTCAACGGACTGAACAAGAAGTATTCGAAGCGTTTCTTAGCAGATACTCGGTCTCTACCGAGGGCCTGATATTGCACCTTGCTGCTCCGGTTAAGGAGTCCTTATTCTGTTCTCCATTCTTCATTCCTATACTCTCCCGCGGAGTTGTTAGATGGAAGTGTGTCCCATCACTCATTCTACTAGGAATGTTGACCTCGCCTATGTACTAGCAAGCATGGGCTAGAGAGCTTCCGATTCTTTGAAGAATGAGCGCCTCGAGGTAACGAAGCGCCTTGCAAAAACCTTCCATATATGCGTCTCGTCCGTACGCTCTCTCACAAGAGTCCAGATAACACCACCAAAGAAACAATCTATCTTCACCAGAAATAATTGCGCAGATGAGTGCAGGCCTTTGATGCCCATGGTATACATCCTCAGGAAATCAGGCCAGAGGAAACCGGGAACAATTGATTGTATTGACTTGTTCCAACCAACCTGACTGTAATCGATCAACGTGAAGTTCAGATATATTGGCAAGAGACCGTACTGCATGCAAAGCAGTAGTCGACGTGGATGTTATTCAAGGTGCGCGAGTCGGTGACTGATGTCAGTCGGCTGAAGTGATGAGATTGAGATCCCCACATTCTTGGCACGTTCATACGGGGCCAGCGGGCTGGGAGATTGTTGGCTGCTCGGCAGTGACCTCTTCGGCCTCTCCCAGGAGTAGCTTGACTTGAGTGACATGTTCTGACTCGAGACTGTGAATTGATGCCTGCAAACGGCCCTCGAGACTCGCCCGACACGCACAGCTCCGACGACTCTTGACCTCGTCTCGCCTGGATCGGGACTCTACACCCCTCGACATCATCTCGAACGCTCATTCGGATAGAGGCCTACACTCACCATGTCGTCGTCAGGTAGCGGCCTGTTCAACCGCGGTGGTGGGAGCGGCAACCAGAACACGATGCGCGGCTTGGTGTCCTTCATTGCCGACCTGAGAAATGCCCGCGCCAGAGAACTCGAGGAGAAGCGCATTAACAAAGAGCTGGCAAACATACGATCAAAGTTCAAGCAGGGCGGCTTGAGTGGCTACGACAAGAAGAAATACGTGTGCAAGCTGCTGTACATCTACATTCTGGGCTGGAATGTCGACTTTGGCCATCTCGAGGCCGTCAACCTCGTCTCGGCTACAAAGTACTCGGAGAAGCAGATTGGTTACTTGGCTGTTACGCTGTTCCTGCACGAAGAACATGAGCTGCTGCATCTGGTTGTCAACAGCATTCGCAAGGACTTGGCCGATATCAACGAACTCAACAACTGCTTAGCTCTGCACGCCATTGCCAATGTCGGAGGAAAGGAGATGGGCGAGGCCTTGGCTTTTGACGTTCACAGACTGCTCATCTCTCCGTAAGTCAAGTCTCATACCTCTACAAGCCATCAGCTTCTGACAAGTACACAGCNNACGTCCAAACCATTCGTCAAGAAGAAGGCTGCCCTAACTCTCTTGCGTCTCTACCGTAAAGCACCCAGCATTGTACAGGCCGAATGGGCAGAGCGCATCATCTCCATCATGGACGATACAGATATGGGTGTTGCTCTTTCCGTTACATCGCTCGTCATGAAGCTTGCCCAGGATGACCCCGATCAGTACAAGGGTAGTTACGTCAAGGCCGCCCAACGCCTGCAGAAGGTCGTCGTCGAACACGAATGCGCTGGCGATTACTATTACTACAAGGTGCCTTGCCCCTGGATACAGGTCAAGCTCCTACGTTTGATGCAATACTTCCCTCCCTCGGACGACTCACATGTACGCGCTCTAATTCGCGAGTCTTTACAAAAGATCATGGATAATGCCATGGAGGCACCCAAAAACGTCCAGCAAAACAATGCTCAAAATGCCGTTCTCTTCGAAGCCATCAATCTTACAATCCATCTCGATACCGAGCAAGAATTGATGATGCAGATTTCTTCGAGGTTGGGCAAATTCATTCAATCCAGAGAAACCAATGTGCGCTATCTCGGTTTGGAAGCAATGACACATTTGGCTGCACGTTCCGAGAACCTTGATCCTATCAAGAAACACCAGAGCATCATTGTCGGATCTTTGCGCGATCGCGACATCAGTGTGAGGAGGCAAGGTCTTGATCTGCTCTACAGCATGTGCGACACAACAAATGCTAAGCCCATTGTTGGTGAGCTCTTGAAGTACTTGCAGACCGCTGATTATGCCATCCGCGAAGAGATGGTACTCAAGATTGCGATTTTGACTGAAAAGTACGCCACCGACATCCAGTGGTATGTCGACATCTCACTAAGACTGATCGCCATGGCTGGTGATCACGTCAGCGATGAGGTGTGGCAGAGAATTATCATGATTGTTACCAACAATGATGAGCTCCAAGTATATGCTGCATCCAACATTCTCGAGTACCTCCGTGCAGAGCAATGTCATGAGATGCTTGTCAAGATTGGCAGTTACCTGCTAGGAGAATTTGGTCACTTGATCGCCGACAGCCCCAAATGCAGTCCTATCGAGCAATTCATGGCATTGCAGTCCAAGTTCAATGGCAGCTCGTCCAGTACGCGCGCCATGATGCTATCTGCGTTCATCAAGTTTGTCAACTTGTTCCCTGAAATCAAGCCACAGCTTCTGCAGGCTTTTAAGACATATAGCCATACCCTGGACTCTGAGCTCCAACAACGCGCATGCGAGTATCTGACATTGGCAACAATGCCGACAGACGACCTGCTTCGAACAGTCATGGATGAGATGCCTCCTTTCCCTGAGCGTGCTTCCGCACTGCTTTCTAGACTACACTCCAGACAACATAACACAACAGACAAGCGCACATGGGTGGCAGGCGGCAAAGACGCGAACAAGGATCTCAATGAGCGAAACAATACCTTGAAACGCACTTTCAGCGCTGGCAATCCTCTTGACACGACGGCTGCCGCGCAGTCACCCACCAAAGCCAACGGCAGCAAAACACCAGCAGACGAACTCGCCGGCCTGGACTGGGGCACAGAAACGAAAACGCCAAACTTTGCCAGTGCAGACCATCTATCACCAGGCTGGGAGCGCGGCCACGCTCGCATGCTCATGGTGCCTGAAGGTATCCTCTACGAAGACAGTCAAATCCAAGTCGGCGTCCGCTCAGAGTACCGTGGCGAGCTGGGCTGCATAATCCTCTACTTTACCAACAAATCCTCCTTCGCCGTCAACTCCTTCACCACAACCCTCAACAACCCTTCTCCTGAGCATGTCAAAATCGATATAAAGTCACTGCCTGAAACTACAGTGCAGCCTTCAACACAAACACAAGCAATGATCATGCTGGAAGCCAAAACCGTCTTCACCCTCGCTCCCACAATCCGCATCTCCTGGCTCGCAGGCGCCCTCCAAGCACTAACACTACAGTTACCTCTTGCCATCCACAAATACCTTGAACCCGCCTCTCTGTCTGCCGATGACTTTTTCAAACGCTGGAAACAGATTGGCGGGCCTGGTCCCCGTGAAGCCCAACGCATCTTTGCTGGTAAAGATGTTGCGCCAGTGCCCACTCGCCGCATTCTTGAAGGGTTCAAGTGGGGTGTGCTTGATGATGTGGATCCGAACAAGAAGAATTTTGTTGCGGCGAGCGTGTTGCATACGAGTCAGGCGGGCAAGATTGGGTGTTTGATTCGATTGGAGCCGAATACTAACAATGGGGTAAGCTCACATATCGATCTTTAATGAGGCTTTTTAGAAGCAAATGCTAACTTTTGAATATAGATGTACCGACTTACCATCAGAGCAACTGACGAATCCGTTCCTACGGTTCTTATGGAGGCGATGTGGAAGAGATTGGCTCTGGGCGAAGCACCTTTCTACCCACCGTAGATGGCACGTTCTCAATGTCAAAATCTTCCTTCCCTTGTTCTTTACCATTTGTTCTCTCCAACTTTTTGAAGACTCCTTGACCTCGATCATCGCTGTCTTCTTACCCAATTGCTGTTCTTCTCATCTCATCCTGATGTGTTGACATACATGTAACTATAAAATGCATAATATGTTCCGGGAACAGAGACATCCTGCTGAGAAAACGGTTAGTCTTGACAGTCCCGGTGGACCCATCTCTGCTGTTTGCATGTCTTTTGTGCATTTCTACAGCTAAACTCAGTTGTTGTGGGAGAACCCTTCCTCTACTTGGGCCAGGGTACGTCGGTCATACACTGCCGTCTTCACTCACAACATCATGCAGTGGCAATGTGTAGACTGTAGAAAAACACAATACGTCTGAGAAGCGAGCAGAGCCTTCTGAGAGCCATCTCATTAACCACTTCTCCTTTAACAACCATAGAGGCCTATCATGTAGGGTACCAGTTCAGTCGCATCCTCTTCCTCCTCCAGCTGCTTCTGCACATGTAACTTCTGGTATCTCCTTTCTGTCTTTCTTACCGTCTCTCTTTCACCTGCTCACCATTCATTCTCTACAAGGTCGCGACACCAGGTGAAGACTTGGACCGCATCAAGGTGACCACTGGCGCCGCCGCTACGAATCCTCACGCTACTCACCTCCACGTCCCGATCATCACCAGTCATCCATCTGGCGTAGAGGTGACGACCTTGATAGATACGAAGCCTCACGCTACTCGCCGCCACGTCTCGATCGTCGCCAGTCATCCATTTCGTGTAGAGATGACGACCGCCGCTTGCCTATACAATCCGATCAATCTCAAAAGTCTAACTTAGACAAGCCGTCCGAACCGCTCCAACAACATCTGGACAAGCTCTCCGAACCACTCTAACAGTCGTCTGCTACTCCAGCCTTCTTGCAGCATGCAGCCTCTAATCCAGACAAGCTCTCCCAACCATTCCAACGCCTACCTGATACTTCAGCCTTCTCCTAGCATGTAGTCTCTGGTTCAGACAAGCTCTCCGATCTGATCAAGGAACTGTCTACTGCTCCAGCTTTCTCCCGGCATACAGCCTCTGATCCAGCTTGACCTTCTTTTTCTGAAATCAAGTTTCCGCCCCTGGTGATGCGCTCGTCGCCAATTAACAAAGTCACCAGGCAAGAAAACTTCTAAGAAGCATCGACGCAGTAATACTCATGCCCGAATTTTCGTGTATGAGGAAAGGGCCTATAATCTCCCTCCACATGTACCTGCCTTTCGCCCTTTGCTTTCTTCCGAGCGAGGATCAAGGCAAGCACTCAACACAATGGCAACTTCCTGAAACAATGATCGTATCCTTGAAACGCGACAGAGATCTAAAATCTAATAAATCCAGTGGTTCTAGTGCCTGGGTTTGCCCCTGAACTTTACCTCGATCTTGGCATTCTCACGTCCAAATCAACCTCTGTAACAGCTTGTGAAAATACAAGAATGTTTGGTCAGTTTGAGGAAGGCCCAGTGAGATCATTGCCAATATCTGTACATTGACTCTGCGAATGTGAGAGGGTGTCGATATGACCTCTTACAGCTGCCAACACAATCACCGGAGGCAGCAAACACAAAAACACAAATTTGGCTCAGATGCTTTTTATCATTTCGAAAATAAAGAGATATACAGAAAACGCTCCACACTTTCTAGCAACTTTTCTCTAATGCAGAAAGAAAGACTCTAATCAACACGAAGGACTCTAGGGCCCTTGCGCTTGCTAGTCTTCTTTCTCTTGTTGCCCTTTTCAAATGCCATGGCGCTTTGATGGTCTCTGTTGAGGTTGTCAAGGTCCTTGACCTTGTAGATTCTGATGATCCAGTTCTCGCTGGTGAAAGCTTCCTCCAGAGTGGAGAGTTCGGGACCTTCGGCGGGGAGCTTGGAACCGCGGACGCGGTCAGTGGCCTGACCAGCAGGGAAGAGCGAGTTGTAGTTGTAGTACGACATCTTGTACATCAAGCTGTTCTTCATGGTGTCGGAAGCTTGGTCGTCAATGCGGTACTCACCACGAGCGGTGAAGTAATCACGCTCCTTGATCTCATCGGGCCAGATACCCTCGGCAATACGGACCATCCACAAGAACTTGTTGATGTCGTCACCCGAGTAACCGATCAGACCACCAAAGACAACGAGGACGTAGTCGACTTCGTGCTGTCTCATGATGGGGTAACTGACCTCCTCGCGCGAGCTCATAGCCTTGCCGACAGTGGCAATGTGGGTGTTGTTCCAAGTGTTATTGTCGACAAGAGTAGGACGATCGGCCATACCACCGATCTGGTAGCCGTAATCCCACCAGGACATGATCTTGGCGTTCTGCTCGGTGTTCTGACGGAGCCAGTAGTAAGCCTCACGGTAGTCATCGATGATGTGCTGCGAGCCATCGGCCATCTTGGAAGCCAGGACAACCGAGGGGGATGAGTAGGCGTTCGAGGTGACCCAGGTGCAGTGAAGAACGAAGAGCAGAAGGTAGGCGGTGATGGTACCGCTCATGGCAAACTTGGAGAAGCTCGAGTAGATACCAACAAGAGGCTTCTGGGTAGAGCGCAGAGTGTCGGGGATCAGGGAAGCAGCCGTCTTGGCGACATCGGTGTTGCCGTTGGCCTGAGCGGGAGGCGCAACAGGGGTCTTGGTGACAAGGAAGGTGTCGAGGATTTGAGAGAGAGCAAGGGCGGCGGCAACACAGACGACAGGGGTCAGAGTAAGCATCAGACGAACCATGACACCAGCGAAGTAACTGGCCAAGACAGCGTAGATGACAACAAAGACCTGCTCGTCCTTGAGGTTGCGGAAGCACATGTAGACACCAGCAGGGAACAGCCAGATCAACAGGTTAAGGTCGAAGAAGAAGGCGGGCCAGGCGGTAGGCTGGTGCTCCGAGACGGACGCAATGATGGGAATGTGAATCTTGGCGTATCCAGTATCCCAGAGCGAGTAGAAACGACCACCCCAGGGTGCGACAACGCCAGAGAAGGTGAGAAGAACGAGCACTCCGAATGCTGCAAGGAAGACGACCAGGACAAAGGCACGGAGCAGCGTTTGGAACTGCTTGCTAGGCAGAGTCTGGCGCACAAACTCGACGAATCCGACAAGCTGGAGAAGACCGAAGACACCTAGNAAGAAAGGTCAGGAGAGAAGGTTCAATGGAGAAATCGGCAACATACCGAGAGCAGCCATGTGGTCGCTGGTACGGATGGGCAAGAAACCGACAAAGGGAATCTGCATGCTCGCAAGCGTGCCCAGAGCGTACCAAGTCGTGTAACTGACGTACAGACGAGGGCTGTATCTGCCCATGCACAGCAGGACAAAGACGTGGAGAGGGAGCAAGTTGGTGATGAAGACATAACCACCCCAGGCCGAGACCATGTATCCGTAGAAGAGGGCAGTAAAGGCGCCCCACATGACGGAACCCTCCTTGACACTCTTGATCCACAGGTAGAAGGTGAAGACGAGGAGGAAGATGGCAATGGCTTCGTTGTCGTAACTGCCAGCGACGGAACGCGAGATGTAGCCAGGAGCAATGCCCATGAAGATGGCGGCAAGGAGACCGGCCGAGGGCGAGTCGGACATTTCAGAGGTCAGGAGGTAGGCGGCAAAGGCAGTCAAGCCAGAGCATGCGGGAGCCAGCATGACACAGATGTTGCGAATGTCGACGGGGAAAGTCAGAAGGCGGAGGAAGTGGTAGATGGCGCCGCTGGTGACCATGAGGCCAGGGTAGAGGGTACCGCCGGTGACACGGCCGAGGGGNTGCCATGTGCGGTCGTCGAACCAATCCCAGAAGCTCGTGAAGCCATTTTGAACGAGGTACTTGGTTGCTCGGAAGTTGAACCAGGGGTCGACTNNGTGGGAGAGGGTTGTTAGCGGTTGTGTCCATCGAGTCTGTGTGGATTGAAAGACGAGTCTGTTTGAATGGAAGTGCTAGGGTATAGAATTGGGCTCCAGGAGAGGCATCGAGGGAAAGAAGGCAAGACTAGGCATCGACAGGAGACGCAATTGAGGGAAGTCGCGAGTTGACGTACATTCGTGAATGATGCTCTCGAAGCGGATGACGGAGAAGAGACGAGAGGCCACGGCGGTTGCTGCAATCAGGACCAGGATGATCAATCGCAGCAGACCTCTGGTGTTGCGGCCAGTCTCTCCCTTGAAAAAGGAGCTTCCCACGCTGGCTGCCATGGTTGCTGTATGCTGGGTTGGTATTGAAAGCTGGCAGGCACAAGCACAAGCGGACACCTAAGCTTCACCTTCACCCCAACTCCAATGCATGCGCGTCAATGTCCCGAGCCCCGACCGCCGACCGACCTCCTCGAGCCGGCAAAGTCCGCCTGACCTCCGCATCTCAAGACTTCCCTGCCGCTCAGAATGTTTGCTGCAACTCATTGTTTCTACAAATATGGTGAAGGTATGTTTTACAAGAAACAAATGATACGTCTGAATTCTGTTGTTTTCTCAGTCAACAACGACTTAATCTGTCTATCAACCAAAATCGCTCGTTCCTCCACCATACGCCGAACTCTCATGTGAATACGCAAAGTTGCAATCTGACATATCCTCCCATCCTCCATCCGCGCTGTTGTGTCGACCACTGGCCCCATCGTATCCGTACTGTGTGGCTGGCAAGCCGTTCGGATACTTCAGCACCACATTGGGGACCAGAGTGTTTACAATTCTGCTTGGCCTGACCAAAGTCACCATATCGGCCGCTTCATCAGGCATGTCATCCAAGTAGCCTGGAACATTCGTCTGCCAAAGCGGTATCGCTACCTGTGCTGCTTCGGGCTGTGCTGTAGTCTCGACATGCTGTGGCATTGTTGCTTGTCCCGACTGATTGTTGGCGCGTTGCTTTCCTTTACTTCTGTTCAATGCTTGTGCACTCTTAGCACGAGCAAGTTGCGCCATCTCTGCTGGTGTCGGTGTCATCTCTGATCTATACACTCTGTTTAGTACACTACACAACATCAAGGTAAAACTGTCGACTCACCTTGCGACAAGCTGGTCGATATCCATGCCTATGTGTTTGTGCATTCGGCCGATATGCGCCTTGAAGTTGTCTTTCCGAGACCATATCTTTTCGCGCTTGGAACAAGTTGGTAGCACACATCTGTAGTATGACTGGGGTCCGTGTTTTGGCTTGATCAGATGGATATCCTTCTGGTGCCTTTCCAGATCATTTGATGTCGCGAAACCTTTCGTGTTTGTGCAGTTCTTGACACCACATTTAAAGGGCCGACTGTGTGTCGACGAATGCTTTCTACACAACGTCAGTTCGTTTACAACCAAGACAGAAGTACGCAGAGTGTCTCACTTCTCTTCGGCCTTGTTCTTGAACGACTTGCCGCACTGGAGGCATACTAGGGACTGGTAATTTAGCGACGCATACCCAGAGTCTGTTTCGTCTACTTGGACGCTTATGTGAATGGGCTGCTGAGCGATGATGGTTTGCGACAATGTCGATGTGGTCGAGAGAGCCATGGAACTGCTAATACCTGTCCAAGGCTCTGCGTACGCGCTTTCAGCCACGCGCCGCTGTACAAGATCTTCGTTGTACTGAAAAGCCTCTCCGCTACTAAATCCATAGTTGGCGTGTGAGATTACGCCTGGTTCATACAGCCCGACATAGATTGATGGATCCACGTAGATGCTGCTCAAGGGGTCTTCGGCCGAATCTCCCTCCTTTCGAGAGATCGTGTAAGGCCTTTCGGACGATTCCTTTGATGTGTGTTAGCGCGATCCCGTACAACCGCTCGTACAAAGCAAGTTGATCTACAGGAACAGCCGTGGATGGGTAGCGCAAGTATTCAGAAACACTGAGGAGACGCTACTTGCCATGGAACAATCGTTGGACTCAAAAAAGGAATCCATTTGTACGAGTCTATGTGCACACCGAAACTAAAGAGCTGTTGGAGGAGATCTTGTAGTCGAGCTTTCAAGGCGATGGGCGGGGCTGAGTGAAGAGGCGGTGTTGAATGTGGTCGGGGTTAATTGGTCCTTTTAACTGGTGCTGGTCGAGCGGATGGAGTGTCGTGTATTCGCATGTGGATTCATATAGAACCGGCAAGCACCTCAACAGAAGTACCAGACCACGGCCTGACAATGCTACTGAAATTAGGTGTCGCGATGAAGACTTGGAATACTCGGAGTGTTTCAAGNNGGTGGGGTTCGGGATCGAGTTTCCTTGGGTCATGAGGTTGCATCCACACTGAGGAATCGTGACATGGCAGTCGGGGATGAGTACCGATTGGCTGTAGGGTTAGGCTTGTTCAACACTCCAAGAATTCTAAGATAAGCAAGTGATTTGGAAAGATGCTGCATTCAACGTACAACTTTGTGGTATATAACGTTTACGGACATGGTCGACATGTGGTTTTGAGCACGTCGGACGGCGCAGGCGCAAACAGAGCGTGCATGACAGTTATGCTGCCAGCTCGAAACGGCCAAAACCAATGACGAATAGTGGGTGATCGCATACAGCCTTGTTCTGGCTTGACACAATTGGGTATGGGTATCTCGTGGGCGCCAAAAGTTGCCTACTCTCTCTTCTCATCGACAAACTTGGTATCCTTTGGCTTGTCCGCTAGCGGACGTTCCTTGCTCGCAAAGTCCCAGTTGTTCAAGTAGCCGCAACCCGCTGACAGGTAGGTTGCAAAGCCAAGCCAGCCGAGGTAGGGAGCAAGAGTCCATGCAGCAACCTCGTCAACTTGGCCCCAAATGTAGGCAAGGTATCCGGTGACGCCGGTGAGGGCAACGATGTCGACGGTGGCAGCAATCGGGCGCTTCAGGGAGAAGAAGAGGGGCATCCAGATGAGGTTAAGGGCGAGTTGGATTGTGTAGAGGGTTGCGCCTTGCNNTGTGACGGAATGAGTATGGGTACGGACTCGAATATGGGCTGCAAGTACCTTTGCAAGAAGAACCTTCTTTGCATCAAACGAGTTCATGGCAGTCGACCAGGCGCGGAAAGCGGCGTATCCCATGGCTCCGTACAACATGGTCCATACCGGGCCGAAGACCCATGGAGGAGGTCTAAGGGGAGGCTGACGCAGGGCGAGATAGGTCTTTTGCGTCTCTTTGGCTGTTGCAGCAGTTGAGGGTCAGTATTGAGTCTGACAATGGTCTGCAGGGGCATGTGTCAACTCACGTCTGGTCGAGTAGCCAACAGCAGTTCCGAGTGCGACGGGCAGCAGCACGGAGAGGGCCGGCTTTTCGAAGATGAACGAAGGCAGCGTCAAGTGGGGAATGTAGGAAGTCATGTTGACGGGTGCTGATACAGGAGGAAACAGGAAAGGCTGGCTCAGGAGAGCGAGAGACGGAGTCTTTGTTGCTTAGTAGAGTCTCCTGGGTTAATCAATCGCAGCGATCGGGAGACATTCGCAACCTCTCGCGACAGAGACGCGAATCGAACCATGACGCTCCTTCCCCGGCCAAACGAGACAAGAACCCTTCAACCGTCGGAGTCAAAGCCCGCCATGAGAAGCTGCCACTCAGCGCTGTTGTTCCCCTAGATATTCATTCCGACTTCTCTTCATACCCATAGTTCATTCTACATCAAGAGAGCGGATGTGTTTTAGAATGAATGGACCCCTCGATGACCTGAAGGATGGAGCGTCTTCAACCGAAACACTCTGGATTGCTTGAGCCTTGAGCTTTCCCCAGCACCCAGCTTGAGATGCGACAGCTGCGGGGCCCGTGCCTGAACTGATTAGCGCCTGAACTCATTATAGCGTCTCTTGGCTTGATTAGCGCCGACTCGCGGTCCGCGCCTGGAGTCGGGAGGCTCGACATGGCCAGCATCACTCGCTCTCGGTGCTCTTCAACCTTCTGGTCGACAGCATCCAATTCTTCATTGATGCGTCGCCGTCTCTCGGCTTCTGTCCTGCCCAAATTGTTCGTATCGTCTCTCTTCTTTCCGCGAGACCTTTAGCCAACCCGCGTCTTCGTCGAGTTGTCGCGTCTGCTCAACCTCAACCTCCCTATCACCATGCACCTGCCAACTTGCTACATCGTTACTCCAAAGNCTTCACTGCGATATGCCCTGATACACTCACTCTCTTTGCTCCCCGAGTCTTTCTTGTTTCGTTTCGCTCTCTCAACCTCTCCTGAACGAGCTCTAACCAATCATGGCCGTAATCAGTGCGCAAGAGTCGCTTTGTTGAACTTCTTACACAACATGGACGCCTTCGACACATATCCCAACAAGTCGCCCAACGATCTCTCTGGGGTCGACAGCTACGACCGCGAGTCTTACAACTCCCGTGAGAGGGATCCATACCGTGAACGACGCAGGTCGCCGAGTACGTCCNACATAACCTCGCTGCTATACCACAGACAATTGGCTTACATGCTCTCTACAGACTCGGATCGGCGTGTTCGCCAAGCTGGCCGTAATCGCTCCCGCTCTCCCACACAGATCGACCGCTATCAGCCTGATCGTTCGCGCGACGACTACTACCGTGGACGTGAGGACTATCCTCGCGACAGACGCCGCTCGTCTCCTCAAATCCAGCCGGGTGCTCCAAAGAACATCGATCGATACATCCCCGGCGACGATGCCGCCCTTCCAAGAGCCATCCCAGTAAACCAACTAAGAGATCCTCTGCTGGAAGCCTCACAAGTCGGATTTAGTTACTTCGCCGAGTGGTGGAAAGCCGAGCAAGAGATCAAACAACAGCGTGAGCGTCAAAAGAACGGAGGCCGTCGTCCTGAGCCCGTCAAGGAATCACGCGACGAACAGCGATCGAAGATACAAAATGCTTATGACCAGTACAAGCTGAACTGGAACACAAGAATGGCCAAGCTCTTCGTCCATGGTCACAAATATGACACTTGGTTCCGCGAACGCTATGTACCAGAAGTTCGCGATCCTCTGCGCCAAAAGGTTCTCGACTTCAGACGCGATCTCTTCGCTCGGTGGGACTCGGACTTGACGGCTGGTACCTTTGACGAGTTCACCCTCGAGGGCATCTACAAAAGCGAAAGCAATGGTGCTGGAGGTATCGTCGAGAAAGAGGAAGGAGAGACCAGCGCTGCAGCAGAGGTCCTGGCCGTATCAGATCTGTTGCCCTCCAAGGGCGGTGATGTACGGGACCCGGTCGCTTTCCAACCAACGCTGCTCGTCAAGACCATCACTCCGGCTGTCTCGCGCGAGCGAATGGAAGAATTCTGCAAGGAGCATCTTGGTGAGGGCGAGGGTGGCTATAAGTGGCTGAGCCTGAGCGACCCAAACCCAGGAAAGAAATTCCATCGTCTTGGTTGGATCATGCTCAATCCTGCATCTGACGTACCTGAAGAAGACACCAACCGTCGTGGAAGCCGAGACGACGACGACCAAGACGCTGACGGAGGTGCCATGGATCAAGACAAGCCAAGCCACGCTCAGAGCATTTGCGAGAGGGCTTTGAATGAGATCAACAACAAGACGATTCAAGACCCCGAAAAGGGCGACTTCACTGTCCATGTTGGTATTCATCATCCTCAGGAGAACCCTAGGAAGAAGGCTCTGTGGGACCTCTTCTCTGCTCCTGAACGTGTTGAACGCGATCTGGATCTCGCTCTTCGCCTGGTCAGAAAACTCGACTCCGAGATGGGCGATGACTATGATGGTGTTGGCAAGATCGAGCAGCGTGTTGACGAGCTGGCTGGCAAAGGTTACCTGCAACCACCCATCCCAGCCCCCAAGGTCGTCAAAGAAGAAGATGTGGATGACGGCGAGATGGAAGAAGGCGAAGAAGATGAAGGCGGCATTGACGAAGACGTCGACGATGAAGAGCTGTTGATCAAGAAGAAGAAACTTGATCTGCTCGTCGAGTACCTTCGCCGTGTCTACAACTTCTGCTTCTACTGCGTATTTGAGTGCGACTCAGTGCACGAGTTGCAACGCAAGTGTGCAGGAGGCCATCTTCGTCGTCCTCGTGCAAGTCTTACTTCGGCGGCCAAAGAAACTGCCAGAGCCACCGCGAATGGAGACCCATTCCCACTCAAGCGTCAAGAAAGTGGTCCTGGGGACGAAGATGGTTCACCGGTCGAGGAGAGGAAGTCTGCACCTCGAGCATACGGTAAGAACCAGCTTCAGAAGGCATACAACTGGGTCAAGACCTTTGAGGAGAAGTTGCTCATGATTCTCGAGCCTTACAACGTCGATCTCAGAAAACTCGGAGGCAAGCCTGTGGAAGAAGGCCTTGAAGAAGACATGAGCAAGTTCGTAAAACAGGAGGACGAGTTCAAGTTCAGATGCAAGGTTCCCGAGTGTACAAAGCTCTTCAAGGGCGAAAACTTCTGGAAAAAGCACGTGGAGAAGAGGCATCAGGACTGGCACGACAAACTCAAGGAAGACGTAAGTAATATTGCTTCCGCAACAAGAACGACCACTGACTCGGAAACAGNNATTGAGCTTGTCAACCGCTACGTGCTTGACCCTGCCAGACTTGCACAGGGACGCAACGATGCTAGCAGCAACGGCCACTTCCCTGTTAATAACAACATGCCTACGGGCACACCTCGCAACTTCAGCTTGAACAACATGCCCTTCTTCAACAACGGAATGCCCATGCCAAACGCAGGCGGACCTCCTGGCTTCAATCCTTTTGTCCCAGGACAATTCCCTCTCACTATGCCTGGTTGGAACATGCAGGGTGGTGACCGTGGAGCCGGACCAATGAGGACAGGCGGTATGCGCACTAACAATGCCCGAGCACCAGGCCCATACGATCGTGGCATGAGGGTCGAGCCGCGACGAAGCATCAGCGGCCGCCTAACGCCACCTCGCCGGGGCATGTTCATGGAGGGAGGAGAACACACTGTTGGGCCCAGACAAGCAGTCGAGGGTCGCACGATGAAGAGTTACAATGACCTCGATGCCGCTGGCAGTGCTGGAGGAGCAGAGGAGCTCAACTACTAAAAAATGGGTGGGCGTACGTAGTTGGTCGCTGATCGTACTCTTGCGAGTCGCAATTGAAAATGACCCTTGCATTCTGATGTTCTTGTGCTTGACGTGGCTGGCTTCGACCTTGGTGCTCCTTCTTACTAGTTACTGTCTGACTATGCCTTGCAAACAATTCCCGGTGCGGCCAGTGTTGATTGCGCATGCTTATAAAATGGGCGAGGAGCGAAGTTGATTATCAGGACCACACGGCAACATCATGTCTTTCTCACACCAATGACCCGCAATGACCTCGTCGTGCACACAAAGCATCAACCCAAGGCGCATCTTCAGGAGAAACACATATCGCGATCGTGTGATGTGGTTGACAGACTTTCCAATTGTCATCAGGGGGACGACCCTGTCCTTCTTCCGATATCCCGACCATTTTCTTCGCCAAGTAGGATCTGACGGGTCTCCGGCAAAGAAGTCACTCACAATTACTTCGTGAATCGCGTCATGTTCTAGGGGTCATGCCCATGCCCATGCCCAGACGAAGGAGCCCTTGTTATTTCCAAGTTAATCGTCACAGTAGAGCTCGGCGGCCGCGGACAACCTCCCAGTCTCCAGTGTACTAAAACGCGTATAGCTATAGAGATGCACAATAGTCTTGAGAAGCAGGGCAGCACCCACTGAAAGGCAAAATTCCATCAGCTTTCTGTGGCCATACCTTCGATGTTGGAAAACACTGTGTCTTTTTATAGTCCAAAAGTGCCTTTATGTTGCAGTGGAAGCAGAGGAAGAAGAGAATGGGGTTTAGCGACCCCTTCTGGACAAAGCTTTTGGTGGGGACTGTTTGCTGCTTGTGGCTCGTGAGAGATCGTGGCAGTTCACGAATGATTTGCAGGAGTGGAGATGCGGATAGATCTACGCAGAGGGTTTAGGGACTGCTGTTTCGAGTCTCGCATGGACAGAGCAGAGTTGATGACGATGTCCGCAGGTGGATGTTTCGACAGTAGTCGGCATTGGGCAACGATGCGAACAGGGAATCTGCCTGTCAGCTGCGTCGTCATCCCCCAAGGGAAAAATGATTGCGAGCTGAGGCTTGGCTGGAAACAGCGGCCGTATGGGTGTTTAGCCTGAGGCTCCGAGCAAAGCACCGAGTAGACAGGCCCATGGCAGAGCATCTATAGCATCTCCCAGTCCACCTTCAACTTCAGCAGAGCTATAGAGTTGCAGTGTACCGTAATTATGTAGTAGGTATGCTCGAGGAATGTCGAGTCACAACTCCTGATGAGAAGTCGCAGACAGAGTAGAAGGTGACGGTGTTCTTTCGCAGGAGCGGGCTCTGACTCGGGGGTCGTTCTTACCTCATCTGGACCAAACCGTCGTCATAAGGTTGCGTACGCGTATCATGCATGGATACGCCCTCTGCAAAGCAACAACATTTACTTTATACGAATAGAAGCGCTCGAAATTGCAGCCATCAATCTAGCAGCCTAGCACGATAATATGAATAGCTCAGGGCCAAACTCCGCCCCACGCCAGCCACGGTTGGAGCGCTTCAACACGGCGCCCGAGGATCCTATAGAAGAAGGCCTCGTCCAGCCAGTTGCTGTGTCGCCGCAGTCCACTCGCGTCAACATGAACCGCTCATCTGCATCCACCTACTCAGTCGTCTCCAAGCAATCAATACCGCCGCCTGGCTCCGTCCTCACGGGCAAACAAGAGCATTGTATGTTTGCAGCAGTCTGCTCGACAGCCTCGCCATGACGCTGACACACTCCAGACCTCAAGCGCGAACTCATCTCACAACAGACGGAATGGGAAATCTCAGAGCTGGCCTCCGAGACGGCCCTACAACGCTTCGGCGCCCCCTTCAAGTCAGATGCTGGCGAGGTCGCACCAGAGGACTCGGAGCTGCCTCTGCTGCGCTACATGTTTGTCCACCATGTCCGCAACTTTCCCTTTCTCGATAGAGCAAGAGAAAAGGAGTTTTGGCAAGACAAGTTGCAGACGGTGAGTCTGATCCTGTATCCGAGTACAAGCTCAAGCTGACAACCACGTCCAGNNTTCCTCGAGTCGTTTGCGACCAAGCGCATATCCTCATCCGAAGACCGCCTAGAAGAGACAAAACGACGCAAGCTTGCCGTCAAAGCCCAGAAGCTGGTAGAACTCATGATGGTATCTGGACTGCCGACCGCATCTGGCTACGAAGAGCGCATTCGCTTCTCAGAAATGGAAGTCGTCGATCGACAAGCCAACGAGGAAGGTCTAGCATTGAATGTACCCGAGGGACACCAAATAAACGGCTGGGATGTCAACGTCGCCTCTGTACGGACCACCAGTGTCAAGAGACATGTACGCCATCATGCACATGCCGAGTTTCTGCTCCGCGTTAAGCGCCAGGGCAAGCCTGAGATCTACGTTGGAAGGAGATACAGCGAGTTTGCACAAATGCACAAGAGACTTCGTCTCGAGATTCCAGGAAAGGTACTGCCGCCACTACCTCGCAAGAACCACTCCAGCTCGCTATACACCAAGGACGACGACGATGACGATTCCATCTCCTCTGTTTCGACTCAAGACGTGAAAGAGGCTGCCTCTCACGACGAGCCTGCGCCAGCCAGCAGTGGCTTCCGCAGCTATCTGCCCAACCCATTTGGCGGCGGTCACCGTAGAACTGCTTCGCGCTCAAGTCAAACAGCATCCCCTCGTGCTTCCATGGACGCATCCTCAACGACGGGCCTGAGATTCGGCCGCAAATCAGGAGACTTTAGCAGAGACCATTCACCACCGAAAGTCCTATACAGAGAAGAACAGCGCGTCTCACTACGAGCCTTCCTTCGCAACTTCCTGCAGAATGAGAGCATTGCCAACAGCAACGCTATGAACGAATTCTTGACCGGCAATGTTATCAGAATCAACGAGGAAGAGATGGAAGACGTCAAGAGACGTATCGAGATGGACGAGAAGCGCATCGAGGAACAACGGCGCTTCTATGAGATTGCTCGTCAAAGAGCCAGGGAGCTTGACGTTCACATGGAGAAGTTCAGGAGAGAAGTCGTCGAGAGCAGTAAGCTGTATCCATCAAACCCCCAAGAGTGCATCTACTGATATATAGCTNCAGATGGTTTGACAAAGCTGTTTGCCGAGGTCAAGCAAAAGAACACGATCGCAGAGCTGTCTCCCGAGTACAAGAAGTTTGCCGAATGGCTTCGTATCGAGTAAGTATCCGCCATTCCTGATTTGATAGATACAAAGCTAACTCACGTTTCTAGGGTGGCAGCTGTGATTTACCACTTGTTCCTGGCCGAAGACAACAGTCCCGAACTGTTCGCCCAAGCAAAACGCATTCACTCCTTGATACCCTACACTGCACTCAAGCAGGTCATTCGCTTTGCAAACCCGGCTGCTGTCATGGCTGGTGTGCTCGACCTATTCCTCGCTCAGCCTTTCGGCGCCAAATCATTACTTCAACGCATCTTCTCCTTGGCACTAGGAGACAGCATCAGAACTGTTCAGAAAAGTATCGACGGATTGGCTGCCAAGATCGATGAGCCTGTGTTCTGCGAAAAGATCAAGAATTACAACCAGTGCGACCAGGATCTCAAGGACGCCATTCGAAGAGAAGCTGAACAAGATGACATTGATCTTCTTGTGGCCATCCTTCGCAGCGAAGACATCAAACCAGAGTTGAAGCCCGAGGAGATTGGAAAAGCTTTCAACGCTTATGTGGCATGGAACAGTGCAGTCGAGAACGTAAGTACTGAGATTGTAGGATGTCGCACGCTGTTTTGCTAACCCAAATTCTAGATTGACGAGGAGCTAAGATCAGGTGCCGAGACATTTGCTCACTTGAAGCAATTACTGAAGCTCTACACGCGCCAACGGGATAAGACTATGATGTTGCGAATGATCGAAGAGCCCACAACCCTGCAACTCTTCCGCGATCTCTTCACTATCTTCTACGAGCCTCTTGTAAGAGTCTACAAGTCGGCCAACGTCTACAATAGCATCAGCGATTTCGCCCGCTTCATGGATGATATGATCTCCGTGGTGGAGAAGTGTCAACGACAAGACGTTTCCGCCGATCCTAACCAGACGGTCCAAGCCTTTATCGACCTGTGCGCAAGACACGAAGACTCGTTCTACAAGTTTGTACACGAAGTACATCTTCACGATAATGGCTTGTTCGACCAACTCATGGGCTGGATCGAAGGCATTCTTTCATTCCTTCGCAATGGTCCTCGCGGTGGCGGTAAACTGGACATGAACGCCCTCTTCCAAGGAGCCGTTGAGATGCGACAGATCGACAAAGACGCTGCTGTACGCGAGATAAACTCTCTGATCAAGTGGCAAGAAAAGCGCAAGAAGTGGCACCAAGACAAGACACGCCAAAAGATGGCCACAGGCGACGCTCCCAGCGGCGTGCCCGACAGCGGCGCCTCCGACCTCATCAAATCATTCAAGCCTGACGACTTTGGCCTCAACGCTCTGGACATTCAAGACCTCAATGACGATGAAGACGAGTACAGCTCTACGGATGACGATGAGGAAGACGCCGATCCCATTGCTGCGGAGAGGAAGCGCAGGGCCAGAAGACAGGACTTCCTTAGGAGGAGTGCTGGCGAGCCCGTCAAGCCTGACATCGTCGAGGTTACAAAGATGCGTGAAGGCTTTNTGAGCATGCTGAGGATGGTTTTGGCCGAGTAGAGGAGAGTTTGCAGCGATTCCTAGCCTTGTCTCTTCTTTTTCTTAATTACGATAGAGGTAATTCCTATTAATACAGATGGAGGGTTCTGATGAGCCCTTCTCGTTCGTCATGCTTTATTGAGACTCTATTCTAGAGTCGATACGTTTGATCACTCGCAGGAGATGCAAAAAGTGTGAAAATTGGGTTCCAAGATATTGATTCTTTGGTATATCAAAAGCTTTTATCTATATTCATGATTCGAGTACTCATTGTCGAGGTGGCTACTCTGTCTTGAGATCGATTCTTCCGCCTTGGAAATCGGGTCTGAAGGCCACGGCACCACCCTTTGTCAACTCGCGCAGAGCCATGGTGGCATATTGGGAACTGCCCAATTGCATCTTGATCACCACGGCCAATCTCTGCTCTTGCTGTTGGGCGTCTGCTGCTGTTGTCTTTGCGCCATCTTCAGCCATCGTGACGTCTCCATCTGTCTTTTGCGCATCCAATGACTTTTCAAGACTCTTGTCTGAGCCCAGCAGGGCTTCGGCACCACCNAGCGCATCAGCATTACCTTCTTCCTTTGCCTTTGCGATGAGTTTGTCCAAATCGGTTTGGATGAGTTGTTCTTCGTCCTGGAAGTATGATTTTACTTCCCAAGCCAGTCCTTGGGGTTTTGCCATGAGTTTGCGGTAGGAGCCTGATAGACTCACGTCTCTCCATTTCCTGCGCATGTCTCTGGGGTTGAGTTTGCCGCCTTGTTCGCTGCCCATGTATTCTGTGTAGTAGGCGCCGAGTTCGTTGCTTGGGTACATGACGTCGAAGCCTGGCAACGGCAACACCAAATCGAAAATGGTGTATTTGCCGCTGGAAGCTTCTTCGGGNGTTAATGCGCGGGCGCGCTCAAATTTGTCTTCGAGGGAGGTGGCGGTGTCGTGGGCGGCGGGGCGGACGATGATTTCACCGCAGTCGTCGATGGTTTCTTCGTCTTGGTGGGCGTTGTAGGCTTCTTTGTCTTTGTGTTCGTGGACGAGGACGAGGTCGCCGGCGACGACTTTGTTGCCGTAGAGTTGGTATCTGCGGCCGGCGACTGTGTTCCAGACTAGCGATTGGTAGGCGTGCACGTACATGAGACGTAGATTGCGAGGGATGTTTTGGAGAGCGCCTTGCCAGTCCTTTGCGCGGAGTAGTTCTCCTGATTTGCGGTCTACCCAGCCCAGGTGTCTGATCAGGGCGTTTTCGGCTTGGAAACGGCGAGGGAGTTTGTCGAGAGCGGCTCCTGACTTCTTTGTCGTCTGCCAGATATGCAGAGCCTCGGCGCGAGCAATGTCGTCGTGCGAGATCTTGGTTGATGCCTGGTCGGGGTTTGAAGCAGCTGCCAAAGCTTCGGGGCTGAATGATAAGATGTCTTCGACGGCGCTTTCCAGGTCACCACGCAGCATCTTTCTGCCGATGGTATCTGTTGAGATGGCGAATGTGCCGAAGCGCTGGAGACCGTAGTAGTTGATGAAGCCGCGCTCTTGGAATTGCGAGACGGCGTCATGGGTAATCTTCTTTGCGTTCTCGAGCTGTACAGCCGCGTCACCTTGCTGGCCAGGGAATGTGCAGTCACGGAGGGTGATGGTGAACTCGTTTCCGTAGAGATCACCCAAATCCAGACCCTGGGGCATGTACTTGAAGCCACCGAGTCTGGCTTGTCTGAGGGTAGGGTTGATGCCCTGCAGACGATCGGCAGCGATACGGTAGGCACTCACGCGCTGAACTGTGACACCTCTGCGATCTTTTGTTCCGGCGAATTGGAAGTTCTTGACGTGTAGCTTGAGCTGACTGGCAATCCAGTAGAGCACCTCCATGGTGTCCTTGTTCTCCTTGTACAGGGTGAAATGCAGATGTTCACCACCAAGCTCTTCCCAGCCGACCTTGCCCTTGGGACGGGCGTTCTTTCCTTTTGAGCCAGGAAGAGCGCGAGCGTTGATCTTGTTGGCCTGAGCAGCGATCTTGATGGCGATTGTGTTGTCGTCGTTGGTCATGGTGTCTACTCTGCCGTTGAAGATGCGACGGACGTTGATGTGAGCATCGGTGCGCATTTGCTTGTCCTCGATCACGTCCGATTGCAGACTACCATGGTCTCTGGTCTTACGCTCTGGGCGGGCGATGGATTTGGCGTAGAGGTTGCAAATGTCGGTCGTTGTCTTTTCGCCAAAGATGGTCTTGAGAATGTCGACGTCTGCGGACGCAATCNNTGTAGCCCGTCAGATGTGTATTCCTTCACGCTTTCCAGTCAGACATACCGAAGCAATGGCTTCTTCCATGCGCTCCTTGACAGCCAACTCTGCGTTGTCCGGCTTGGGCTCTTCCTCCTTCACAGGCGCAGGTTCGGCCTTGACAGGCTCGGCAGCCTTCTCCTTGTCCTCTTCTGCTTGCACATCCTTCTCGACCTTCTTGACTGCCTTGACAGCGGGTCCAGTCAATTCGTCCAGGTGGAAGACAGTACCATCTGTCGAGATCTCATTGACCAGGAAATCGGTGTAGCGCTTCTTGACAACACCTCCGAAACCAGCAGCTTGAGACGCAAAGACGGTGATTCCAGCACTCTTCTCTTGTTCCAGTTGTGCTGCTACAGCCGCATCGACTTCTGGTAGCGATGCTGAGATGGAGTCCTCGGGGCCTGTAAGGCGGACCTTCTTGCGCGGTTGTTCGTCCGACATGTTTGATACAATGATTATCCTCAAAGTCGAGTCTTCGAGTACGAGACCGAGATGGCACTTTTTCGGAGTTTGCTCTGTTTGTCTTTGATGACGGCATGTACTCCGACCGTGCCTGCCCAACTTCACTCGTCCATCTTCTCTTTGCTGTGCAACATGCCTGTTGGAATATAAGTTGTCCTAAACAGGTCTTTCCTCTGCAGAGAGGTGAGCCTGCTGTTGAAGGTGGTTCGAGACTGCGTAAGAGGGCCGTTTCTAGCTACCGATAAACCAGGACCTCAAACAGGCAGCAGTTCTCCTTGCTGGATACTCGGCAGCAGTCGTCTTGATATTTGTGGGCAGTTGTTATTCTATTCACGAGCTCTGGAGCCAATGGCAGATGTAACTTTTGTAGTCGAAAGGAATGCGTAAGTTTTCGTGCTTTTGACATTAGTGGTGAGACTCAGTTGTTGGCTTGGTCGCGCCTGCTTCTTCCAGCGTCAGCTTGTCTCGCAACACAAACACTGCCGCTTTCATTCACTCACGCCTGTCTCGCGACTCAAAAGACTCATCAATCGCTTTCAATCCTTGCTCATCGTCCGACCATCACACTTGTCACACTCGTCACACCCGTCCAGCAACATCATCCTTCACGACATGCATCATGCCTCCCAAAGCCCCCACTCACACTGAACACAACGTCTATCTGACAACCTCAATCACCTTCGACAACAAGACAGATGATTTCGGCAGACTCCAGGTCTACCAAGCCTTTTCCTCACTCGACGAGGCCAATGAGTTCTGCGTCGCCAAGGCTGATGAGCTTGCTCTCACTCTCGACATTGACGCCCCCGAACCGAAGCTGAGCCACTACACTAAACATGGCACCTTCAGGATGGAGCTTCCTCTGAAGAAGCGTAACAGAGATGTTGTGGTCGAGACGCTCATCATGCCTCTCATGGGCGGCGTCATAATGCATGATAAGCCCGTCTCTCGCAAGACCTCCAAGTCGACAAAGACCTCCAAATCAAAAGCCACCAAGTCAAAAGCCAAGAAGTGGCAAGACTCCGACGAAGAAGATCAGGACGTTGACATGGACAGCGACCCTGCTTCGCCGAAGACTACCAAAGCCACCACTCGCAAAAACTCAAAAGCCTCAAAAACTGAGCAACGTGACTCTGTTGTCGAATCCAGTATCGTCACCGAGGCCGACATCGCCGCAGCCCCCAGTGGTGTTTCTGGTTGTCTCAACTATGGATCGTACACTATCATCGGACATCACAAGTATTGGAGTGAAGAACAGGTCAAAGTCATCGTTAAAACATTCGGAGGCAAAGTCAACAGGACGCTGCCTGTGTACAACAACGATCCAACCCACCATCTTGTACTCGGCTCCGACGCTCCTNCGAGGCTCTTGGGCAGGATTGCACAGAAGGAATTTAAGCCCGTCACTCCTGATTCAATCATTGCTCAAATTGGCTGGATGTCAGGTCCAGATGCTACTGCACGTATCACCAGCGAGGAAGTCGCCAAGCTCTGCAAACAGGTCCCTGGAAAACCCGCTGTGAGAACGAGAACTGTCAAGAAGGAGGAGGAGGAGGCTGATGGCGATGTCGAAGTCAAAGACGACTACACTACCGACGAGGACTGAGATCGTTTTACCCAACCACTCGATATCGCAATGCTGGGAGGAGACTGACGGAACTGACTGATCAGATGAGAATTGCAGCATGCAACATGTTAGGTCGTTGAGAAACATTGCTTGGAGTGAAAGACCATGGCTACCAGACACCACTTCAAGCTAGCTCTCATTACAAGAAAGATATGGCTCGGGAAGCTCTTTTCTCATCTTCGCTAGAAGAAGCATCTATCATTACCATCCAAGACTATGTGCTGCAATTAGTGTATCTTCTCCTACATGTGCTATGTCGTTTGAAAAATGAAGACGACGTTGATGCTTCGCAATGTGCTGCGTCATGATCAGAGTTTCGATCGGCGATCCCGCAATCTTGACCCTGAACGCTCCCGAGTCCCAACGATCTCGTCCTCTGCTACATCCTGTTCGGGATGATGCTTCAACTTGATCTACTTGTTCATATCTCGTGCGTTGCTTTGGCAAATGCATGAGCGTTGTCACTGAGGACTTCAAGGAAGAAAGTCCGTCGCTTCTTCAGACTCGAGCGTGTGCCGCATTCCCGTGCAGCTCGGCTTCATGTGTTTTGTTGACTCAACATCAATCATCCAGCAAGCTTCGAGAAGAAGACTGTTGACACTTTCGCTGCAGGATGGTGAGTTGATGAATCTTGTGCTACCGTAAACCTCGGTATGGATTTTTGCATGCAAGATGTTGTAGGTCCTTAAAGGCTGCCGGAGAGTCTTTCGTGCGAAAGAGTGGGTTCTTACCAATTCAGTTCGTCGCTATCTCGGTGGATCCTTGATAGACCGCAGTTTTGAAGCTGTTCCATCTTTGGCGAACGCATCATTGTAGATCTCTGAAGATCTTTGAAGGTCACTGTTTTTCCATCTTTCTTCTTTCTCAACACACAGTGAGCCATATCCTCAAATCTGTTTGCCCTAACGGCCATTTTCTCCCTCTACAAGATCCATATCCATAATTCCTCTACTGGGCTTGCGACAACTGAAATCCCTCGAATTTGAATATCTGCTTGATTCTGCTTGAACCCAACGGATCCTGGAATAAGCCATCATGGCTAGCACATCAAACGACATGGACTTCCCATCGCCGGAAACGCCACCAGAAGGTCTTCCCACACCAGGAGAACATGCACGCCTTCATCACCTACTCGCCATGGTTGACGAGCCAGAACAACCACCTTACGTTCGATCCCGCATGCATTCGATGACACCTACGCTACACGAAGACTACAACGACCGCCGTAGCTCGAAAACCACAAAAAGATACTCCTACAGCTCAATGAACGAGAAGGAAGTAGATAATCGCGAACACATGATCCAGCAAAAATATGCCGAACGTCTCTGCTCGAAGTGCAAACACCTAGATCGGGACCAGGAAGCCGCGCTGGAGGCCATGCAAATAGTGCCGCCAGGGAAGGAAGAAGATAGCAAGATTGTCACCTGGGATGGCGAACACGATCCAAAGAAGCCGATGAATATGTCCGAGACTCGTAAGTTAAATCGAAGTTACAGATACCACGGCTAGCACTAGTGTTTTGTCTCAGTCTGTATGCAAAGTCCGGATCGCGTGTTGTTGAAACACCGTCCGGGATGGTATCTCGCCGGGCTCAACGCAGACACCCAGCAAAGCCGTCGAGCCATTGCCATTGACCTTGTGAGATCATGCTAATTGTACCTTCGCTTTAGGTAAATGGATGATTGTCATTTCGACTGGTCTGATGACTTTCTGTGTCTCATTCGCCAGTTCGGTCTTCTCGACTACGACATTCGTGACGGCAGAATTGTTTGGTGTCAGCAGCGAGGTCATGATTTTGGGTCTTTCGCTATATGTGCTTGGCTTTGCTTTCGGTAAGTTGTTCGTCGTCATTGTTTGTTGAATGCTTCTAACGAATCTGCAGGACCCTTGATCTGGGGACCACTCTCAGAAGCATTTGGCCGTACTCGGCCTTTATTTGCTGGAATGGTCATCTTCTGTATCTTCCAGATCCCTGTCGCCGTCGCTCAGAACCTGCAGACGATCTTTGTCTGTAGATTCTTTGGTGGAGTTGCTGGCTCCGCTCCTCTGGCAATCGTCGGAGGCATGTTTGTTGATTTCATGGAGCCAATCAACCGTGGTGTGGCTACAAGTGTCTTTGCTGGAGCAGTTTTCGCTGGTCCCGTAGCAGGACCTGTCGTTGGCTCTTTCATCACATACAGCTACCTCGGATGGCGATGGACTGCATGGATTACCCTCATCATGTCTGCTTTCTTCACGATCCTCGCTTACCTGATGACACCGGAGACTTACGAACCCGTCTTGCTGGCGTGGAAGGCCGATAAGCTCCGTCATGAAACTAAGGACTGGGCCCTGCATTCCAAGAGTGAGGAGGATCCTCTTAACCGCGACACAATCGTCAACAAGTATCTGATGAAGCCGCTCGTCATGATTGTCAAGGAGCCAATTTTGATCATCCTCACACTTTACATGAGTCTTGTTTACGGAATTCTGTACTTGACATTTGAAGCCTATCCCATCAGTTTCGAAATGGACCGTGGTTGGTCTCCCGGTCTCGCCTCTTTGCCCTTCATCGCAATCTTCATTGGAGTTGTTCTCGCATGTGCCACCATCGGAATCTTCAGCAAGACATGGTATGCCAAACGCCTCATCGAATCTGGCAAACTCAATCCTGAGGATAGACTACCACCTATGATCGCTGGCTCCTTGATCCTACCCATCGGACTATTTTGGTTTGCTTGGACTTCCCATCCGTCAACTCATTGGGCACCTCAAGTCGTCTCGGGCATTTTCATTGGTCTGGGCATTATCTTGATCTTTATGAGCGGTGTCACATACATGGTTGATGTGTATTTGCTCAACGCCAACAGTGCCATTGCTATCAACACATTCATCAGATCTGCGGTAGCCGCTGGATTCCCCATGTTCGCCACGTATATGTACAATGGCCTTGGTGTGGACTGGGCAACTTCGCTGCTGGCGTTTGTGTGTATTGCACTTATACCTTTCCCTCTTATCTTCTGGTTCTATGGCAAGAAGATCAGGGGTTGGAGCAAGTTTGCTTTTAACCTTGGTTAAAAACGTTGAGCGTTATTGCCTTCCCTTGTGCTGTACACCATTACAGTATAGCTATTGAGATACACGCGCGTTCCAAGAGGCGCTGGTTAAATCACGACTTCAAGTGGATGCTACTCATTTTTGAAGAGTGTTGTGCATTTCTAGGGCTTCCAGCATTGCTGCGCATCACTATGGGAGGGGTTGATCGTGAATTGTGACTGCATACAGCAGGTGCGATGCTCATGGGACGGAAAGACGATCATGTTGATGAATTTACGAACACTTCTTACATATACAACTTTGTCTAATAGATTCATATAGAATATTCCGAATGACTAGACAATATACTTTACACCAACCCGAGAGTGCCTGGCGAAGCCCATGGTTGGTCGACTGTCTTGCATCAACCTCAAACTAACTCACCCCAAGATCTGAGGTCACAGCCATATGACTCCAAGAACTTTTTATGACTCTCCTCGTCATCACATCCCACATAAAAAAAAAAGCCGGTCCGTCCTTGTTACTGCTCTTCTACTTCCCTGTACTGTAGAAAATCCTGTATCAGGAAAGCTATCACAACAATCATGCGCTTCTCAAACCTCTTGCTCGCACTCACGGCCATGGCCGCCTCAGTCCATGGCCAACCTGAAGACTCCAACCTTGACGATATCCGACCAGGCCACATGGAGGACATGTCGCTACTACCCTACGAAACCGTAAGTCTCTGTTATAAAGCCTAGACACCCATCCTCACTGACACCTCAACAGNNCAACGCTGCATCAAACTCCATATGCCCCTCGCCTGGGTCGGCTACGAAAAACAACTCGACCTTTTCTGCGACCACTCCACCGGTGCATGGCATCAAAGAGTCCCTGAGTGCATCAAAGACGAGTTACCTTCCGATCCTACAGCCGCAATCAACCAATACAACGCCTTCAACGCCGCACTCTGCTCTGGCTGGGCAGGTCCAGAGATGCCCATGACCACTATTCTCTCAGCCGACGGCAGCGCAACAACCTCCACAATCTATCCTACGCAATCACAGCAAAAGGATCGATACCAGTTGCCGGAATTCACGCCTAGGCACTCGATATATACGAGTCATGCGTGCTTGAATGGGAAAGAGGGGTGTCATACAGCAACCATTGGCAGGAAAACGTATGTGATCAAGACGACGAGCAGCAAGTGGAGGAAGCCGACGCATAGGTTGTTGGCGAGCACTACGCCGTGGGGTGGGAGTACGAGGCCGGCTAGCACGAGGGCTAGACCCACAAGCTCGTGATGGAGGAGGGAGAGACGGATGCTGGGGTCTCTGTAGCGATGCTCTTGTCTGGAGAGCAATTTCGCATTTTTGTAACATACGATGACAATGTATGTCGTTGCGGGAGAGAATGTTTCGCACCAATCAAGGTGCATCTTCTCTCAATGCCAACAGACAGTTGCGGGATAGCTTGCAAATCCAGAATGCTTTCCGTGACCAAGCGATATCCACGGAGAGACCATCGCATATAAATATCTCAATGCCCACATCTCTGTGTTGGAAGCATCTCCGCATTTCTATAACATACGATGTCACTGTATTCAGTCATGGGAGAGCAAAGGGTCATGCTCCGACGACATTTTGTTCTGATCTTCCCAAAGCCAGAGTTCCACCTCGCTCACGCACAGAATACACGTATCGTCCAAGCCAGAAACCTTCTTTTTGTTCATCGGGGCGTACAGATCCGTAGACAACATATATGCATAATGCCAGATCGTGTCATATTGGACGAAGTTGGCATCGTCCCAGCTCTGCTTGGGATGATCGTCACCATCAGAAGTCGAGGGCCCACTCACAGGAGCCATGAAGCGCACTGTCGCTCCGGCGGAGCTGCCAAATCCCTTCTTGAAGTCTTCCATGTAGTCGTCGTGGACTGCACTGCTCCCCTTGTACTTGAACAAGTTGAACAGGCTGACCGGTTCGTTGGAAAGCTCAACAGGGAGTGCGTTAAACAAAAATTCGGTCATTAATGGGTCGAGGTGAAGCTCGCCGGGCCTGAGTGAGCCCTCTCTTGCGGAGGTGATGGCCGACTTTGGTATATCTCCACCCTGCCATTCTTGCGGCAAAGGAGGTGTCTTGTCAGAAGCCCTCGGCCGAGACGTTGAGGTAGATTGGAGCTGCTCAAACTGATCTTTTGGTAACGAGAAAGGAATGGTGATATGGGCTCTGACATGTTCCAGGGCGCCGTTCTGCAGCTTCGATTCTTTCGTCACGAAAAATAGATGCCAGGCATGAGCAAGAAGTCGATGCCTATCGAGGGAGTGAGGTTGGTGGACCCAGCCGTGAGGCTTGCCTTTGATGATCAGGCCGTCCGTGATCGTTCGTAGCACATCCTGAGCTGTACTGCCTTTCTGGAGGGTGATGAGATGGATGTGGAGTTGCTGAGATGCCATAGTGTTAGACGTAGCTGTAGTTGGAGGGGAGATTGTGTATGTAAGAGACAGAGAGGGCCGGGAGGGACTGTAAAGATATGCTGTGTAACTTTTCTGTGACCTCTACATGTCTTCTACCCCTCAATTGTCTGCCGATGAGCGTCCAAGTTGTTTGTTGGGCATGCTATCGGTCTCGCACGCGGGGGAAAATGTGCTTTGCTTTCATGAGGAAGTCGATCATGAATGTGTCAATATGATCGGGAGCCAGATCCAATGCTTGCTTCGAATACCCAACGCATGACGGCGTCTAATATTACTCGATTAGGTCGGGCATGCTGGCGGTCAAGGAGCGATGTTGGGGCAGCGAATCAAAAGGACGTTTGGTCAGCCAAAACATCTTGACCAATTAAGAAAAAAGCGATTTTCCGCGCGAAAGTGTGGGGTACCAAAGCACCTTCCGAAGTTTCAACTCGAGCAAGACACTCTCCAAGCAAGATTGAACATGTAGGTGACTGGCATGAAGGCAGAAGCCAGAGCATGGATCGTGGTTCAATGCTTCCAGGTACTCAACATGTTACGCCTTCGTTTGTATGGCTCCGAGTTACGAGTGCTTGGAAGAAATATTCGGACAGAGATATGCCGAGGATAAAACCAAAGGTCAACTCCGCATCTGGGCCGTCTGGTGTGGGGATTCAGCGACATGTTCCCTATTCCCTTGTTCCGAAGAGGGAGAGAACAGCGAATGCCAACCGATACTTCTAGACCCGAGCGGTCTGCTTCTTGTCCATCCTTTCTCTCCGCCTCCAGGTCGACGTGAACAGCTTATCGTCAACATGAACCACCCTAGCAACAACACGCAGGCCGTCAAGTTGACTGGCGAAGAGGTAGCCAAGCACAACAATGCCGACTCGTGCTGGGTCATTGTCCACGGACGCGCCTACGACGTGACAGAGTTCCTCCCTGAACATCCTGGTGGTCCCAAGATCATCCTCAAGTATGCTGGAAAGGACGCCACGGAAGAATATGAACCCATCCACCCACCCGACACACTCGACAAGTTCCTGGACAAGAGTAAGCACTTGGGCGAGGTCGACATGAACACCGTTCAGCAGGAAACAAAGGAGGAGGACCCCGACGAGGCTGAGAGACAAGAGAGAATAAAGCGCATGCCCATCCTCGAGCAGTGCTACAACCTGATGGACTTTGAAGCTGTAGCCAAGAGGGTTATGAAGAAGACAGCATGGGCCTACTATTCGAGCGGTGCAGACGATGAGATCGTGAGTCTGACAACGCCACATCATGCTATCAATCACTGACAGAATTCTAGANCAATGCGCGAAAACCATAGCGCTTTCCACAAGATCTGGTTCCGACCGAAAATCCTTGTTGATGTTGAGAATGTTGACATGTCGACGACCATGCTGGGCACCAAAGTTAGCATGCCTTTCTACGTAACAGCCACCGCTTTAGGCAAGCTTGGAAATCCTGAGGGTGAAGTCGTCTTGACTCGCGGCGCCAAAAAGCACAATGTCATTCAGATGATTCCCACTCTGGCCTCTTGCTCCTTCGATGAGATTATGGACGCTGCTGAGGGCGACCAAGTGCAGTGGCTCCAACTCTACGTATGTTTACTATCTCTTGACCATACGAGATCAGAACTGACAAACACTCCTAGGNTCAACAAAAACAGAGATATTACAAAACGTATTATCGAACACGCCGAGAAGCGCGGCTGTAAGGGTCTCTTCATCACCGTGGACGCCCCTCAACTCGGTCGCCGCGAAAAGGATATGCGTTCCAAGTTCTCCGACGTTGGCAGTAACGTCCAAAATACTGGTGGCGACAACGTTGATCGAAGCCAAGGTGCTGCAAGAGCCATCTCTTCCTTCATCGACCCCTCGCTATCTTGGAAGGATATTCCCTGGTTCAAGAGCGTCACAAAGATGCCCATCTTGCTCAAGGGTGTTCAAAGAGTCGAGGACGTTATCAGAGCCGTTGCTGCAGGCGTCGACGGTGTTGTGCTGTCCAACCATGGTGGCAGACAGCTTGACACATCGCGATCCGGAATTGAGGTTCTCGCCGAGACCATGCCCGAGTTGCGTCGCCTGGGTCTTGAAGACAAGATTGAGGTATACATCGATGGTGGAATCCGCCGTGCCACAGACATCCTCAAGGCGCTGTGTCTTGGTGCCAAGGGTGTAGGTATCGGCCGTCCTTTCCTGTACGCCATGTCAGCATACGGCTTGCCTGGTGTCGACCGTGCTATGCAACTTCTCAAGGATGAGATGGAGATGAACATGCGCTTAATTGGATGCAACAGCGTCGATCAATTGACCCCTGAACTTCTGGACGTCAGGAGTCTGCACACGCACACTGCATCCGTAGCGCCAGACACACTCAGTATTGCCGCATACGATCCTTTGGCTGGGCCCAAGGAGAGATTGGCCAAGTTGTGAGGGCTTGTACACTTTACATCCTATATGTTCTTATATACCGTCATGCATTATGGAATCTTTTAATATGACTATTCGGGGTCTCTCGTGAGCCAGTCCGAGCAAGCCATGATATGCGTATTTACCAGTTTCTTCATACCAAGCCCGTCCAACTCAGTCCCATAACGACTGCACTCAACAGCCCTGCAACAATTATTGCCTTGATTCCGGCTTCAAGGTAGATTGACCACGCAAACCACATCAGCGGCGACCAGTCCCAGACTCCCGTTACCTCCTCCTTCCACCCGGACTCAGCAATTTCGAACAGCAATATGATAAGCGTGATCAAGCCAACGAGAATTGATCCCAGCACACGCGTCTCTTTTCGAGTCGGTATTCTGTCTTGTCCACAAGCGATGATCATCCCGCGAAGAGCGAGATAGCCAAGTGGTGCCGCGAGGTAATGCCCTGCAATCAAGAGGAAGGCGGTCACTGCGAGCAAACAGAAGACTGCGCTGGTCGTGACCACGGCTTCCGAGAGGGTGTTGAGTGGCCCTGATGAGAGTCTCAGCATGTCGAGTACGTTGTGGACGTGTGCTGGTTTCTGATCGAGAAATTTTGCTCTTGCGATCGTAGAGGAAAGAGCAAAAGAGATCCAACTCGGCAAGTGACGTTTGGCTCTCGCGTCACGTGTGGCCAATTCAGGATGCCGACAGGAAGCCCTGTGCTGTTTCTTCCTGATCACACGTACAATCATCCGGATCCGTTCGAACTTCGTATTATCCAGAGGCATCAATTTTGTCCATCATGCATGAATGCGTGTCTTAACATTACTCTTGCGGACTTCACACAACATTCGCGTTCATGGATCTCAAAGGCTCAAGAACGGACGTAACTCCGACGACACTCGTTCAAAGTCTTCGTCTGGAGTGCGGCTACTTTGACAGGATCAAGAATCGTTGGCGACCATCGACGATGTTATGACTCGAGAAGAGGAGCTAACAGGTTTGGATCACAGTCTCCATATCCTGTTTGCACTCTGCAGAGAACGTCTTGATACGAGACATAACACCCATCAACAATCAGCCCAGGGACAACCGCATTCGCCCAGCAGCATCTAAGAGTCATCATCAGAAACGTGGCTCCCGGCTTTGCAAAGCTCCAAGTCCTTGGTGACAGAGTCGAGGTGTTCCGTAAAGCCCCATAGTGTTCTGCTTGGGTGAAGGCGCTTCTTGTTGAGAGGTTGCTGCGCGATGCTTCCGTCAAGTCTGCGATGTCGATCAGTACCGGTTTTCAGTCACGATGATGGCATGTTACGCTGACCAGGAATGAATCCCTTCTCCTTTGCGCATCTGATGGATGCTTCAGTCATGACGACCGAAGCTTGCTGTGGTTCGACGTTGATACAGGTCACTCATCTTTGCCCTGGGAGCTAAAACTTACAAAACGAGGACGGTCTAGACCAACAGTAATCAGACGGTATCATGGCGCTTCCTTACTTCCAGCTGGAATTCCATCGCTCGATGATCCTCGATTACTGGACGGTTAGTCTTTCGTAACCACGTTTGCCCTGAGTTCTAACATAAGACAGGTACTCCTTGACCTAAACCTCCCTGAGGAAGGCGAACGCGACTGGTTCTCAGAGAAGGTTCTCCAGAAGATGAACGGAGTCTACAACAGACACGAATAAATTCTGAATATTCTGCTCAAGAGACTAATCAGGGAAGCTGGTAAAGATCGCGACCTGTTCCTCTCTGGTCTCCGAACTATGTTGACAGAACACCGCGGTAATTATATAGAGTCTGCTCGCATGTTCATCGTCACGGATGAGACCTGTAAAGCAGTTCCCTCTTCTCCCGATCCTTGGAGCAGACAGAGGAAGCAATTGGAGAGCAGTAGCTGGTGGGAAGCAGTATCGAGCGGGGAGTGAGAAGCTTCCAAGGGCAGAGCAGCACAAGGCGGAGAGCAGCAACAAATGGAGGTCAACGGCTAGCGGAAAGCATTATCAAACGAGGAGCAATGTGCTGAAGCGAGAAATGAAGCAGGTGGCAGCAAGATGCGGGCAATTTAAAGGGGGAAACCAGTATCAAGCAGTAACAACTAGCAACCAGCATCAGAATAGAACCCGTTTCACTCTTTCTAGATGTGTTGAACGATTCGAATAGAGAGCACTAGCTTGCAGGAAGCAATTTGAAGCAGGACGCAACGTGAAGCAGGACGCAACGTGAAGCAGGACGCAACGTGAAGCAGGAAGCAACGTGAAGCAGGAAGCTATATGAAACAGAAAGCTATACGAAACAGGAACGAAATCGGAAGATTTGCTTGCCGATTAACTGAGTTCTCTATGGAGGCATGACATGCAGTCATTGTAAATACATGCGGGAATCAGCGACCTCTCTCCTGAAACAAGGGCACCAGAGCATCATCTTGTCATGAGCTCTACGGTAGCCGGGTGTGCCCGCAAAGTCTGCACGACGAGCTTTATCTGGTCACTTGAAGCAACAACCAGTGTCTCGATAAGACGTCGATGCTCTGGCGATTTGCGCTCAAGTTCCTCCATCGTATCCAGCCATTCGATAACGCTCTTTCGTTTCTGAGAGTCCCATTCATGCGCGAAGATTAGCTGATCAAGCTTTCGGTTCAATCTTGCATTGCAGTTAGCAGGTCTCGGCGGCAATGTTATATAGCCTCCTGATGCATCGCTTGCAGGGATGTACCGGCTTGGGTTGTTAATGAGCGGGTTCTGCAGCCCCATGGCAACAAGGAAGTCGTCGTACCAGGTCCACATGTAGTGCTGGGCGTAAGCGACGACGGCTGCCTCGAGTCGATAACTTGGCGGACGCACCATCAGACTTGCGATGGATTCTTGCAGCTTCTCTGAAGGCTTCCAGTGCCACTTGCGCTCGAGCCGGTCGGCCAAATCGGCCTTTTGTTTCTTGCGGCGTTTGCCTGTGAGCGAAGCGGTTGCTACTCACTTTTGCATACCAAGATCGGATGCCGTAGTCGTTCCAGATGCAGCAGGCGTGAGGACGGATGGCGCAGGTGTGGGAACGATACTGGTGTTGCCTGGTATTTGAACATCGGACATTTCAACGTCCTCGCCGGCCATGTTTTGATTGGTCGTGGCCTGATATCAAATGGTCAGTAGACTGTTCGAGGCCATGTGGTGTTCGAGTGGCAGAAAGCAAAGAAGCAACAACGGAGACTGGTCCACTTACAGGTGGACGGGTAGCAGCCGGCTTTGTAGAGTGATCTGATGTTGGCAGGCTTTGGCGGGAATCAAAGAGGGCGATGGGCTTCTTGTACCAGGTGATGGTCAGTAACAGATCTGAGCGATGGGATGTTTTGAGTAGCAGCAAGAAGCAGGGAGGGTAGTAGAAGTAAGTAGAGGGAGGTAGTAGGAGGAGGTAGACAAGCAGCAAAGGTAAGTAGTTCACTTACCGGCAAGACAGGAGTAAGCTGCTCTGCGGAGTACTCCAAGGTTGCGGATCCTTGACGGAAAGCCAAAGAGTCGATGGATGAGGCTTGTTGTGAGGAGCGGTTGGATGCCGTGAGATGTTGCTCAGAAGCCGCTTGTTCTGCGCAGTCGGTCAAGGTCGTGAGGTCTTGGAAGGAAGACGCTTGTTGTGAGGAACAGTTAGATGCCGCGAGATCTTGCCCAGAGACCTCTTGTTCGGTCGAACTTCCGAAGAACGCAGGATATCTGGGAGCAAGAGGCTCCTTGTGCCGAGAGATCGTCAGTCGTGACCACAATGGCAAGCAAGCTCGGTTCACTTACACCCGAGAAATGAGGACCTCATTGCTTCAATCCTTGGTTGTTTGCGCGGAAGAGTTAGTGCTGAGAGATCGTGGCTGCAGACGAGAAAAGATTCACTCGAGGGACGGAACCTCCGTTGAACTAGAGATCGTGAGCGATGATATCACACGTTAAGCTGTTCAATCAACAAAGATCACTTACTGAAGAGGTAATGCTGTCGGGCTTTCTAGCAGAGCCTCCCTTGACAGAACTTGCGAGTCCTGAATATGTATAGCAATATGGCCTGCGTTGATGAATGTTGGTGGCTTACTCACGCGCTCCTTGTTTCACGAATCCGCGTTCTTATATAGCAGTTGTGATGTTGTTGGTAGAGTGAGTTGGAAAATTGAGTGAGCGTTGTGGTTGGAAGTAGAAGCGGAGGCTTCGAAGGCTTTTAAAGTAGGCGGCGGGAGTTTCGCTCAATGCCACTCGTCACTAGCTCACTTTGGATCGTGGCAGAAAGGGTAGCGGGAAGAAACGTCGACACAATCCATCAAAGCACGTAACTAGACGGTAGAAGTTTCCATCTAAGGGAGTGAATGCCATTCGTTGTTTGCTCACTTTGGACTGTCGTAGGTATACGATCAAACAAAGGAGTAGACCTAGAGATCAAAGCTTCACTCACTTGTTGTCCTGCTTTGTATGGTTGATCGTACACGCAGCGATGCAAACTCTAGGGACTTTCTGGAATCATGTGGTTGCAAAGCCAGTATGTTCAGGAAGGCATCCTTTATGCTCTCTCCGTGTGCCAGCGACCGTCTTAGACGATTACGGAGATGCACGGTAGTTTCCAAAAGGGGTTGGTCCCATAGAAAGGATCTTGTCGTACGGTGTCTCCATGGCGATGTTCCTGTCCAGCAAGCAATCCTGCTTTTCATAGCTGGTTAAATCGTTGTTCATCGACGTGAGAGACAGCCAATCAAGAGATGTGATGTTCGATGGCATTTGAAAAGGGGGCTCTTTGGAGAACATGCGGTGATCTTTCCTCTTCCATCCGATCTCGGTGCTATAGTATGCGATAGAAATGCACACTTGTTTGTTGAACCAGATATATGACCATGGAGACGGCCAAAGATAATGGTCTCTCCTTGGACAATACCTTGTTCCAAAATGTATTGTGCATTTGCATAGCTACGCATAACAGTTCTTGGACACAGAGAGAACAAATGCCTCGCCTTTGTGGTCAGTGGTCGGTATGGTAGACCTTGTAGATTACATTTATCATTCATTCCCATCCTATCATACAACAATTAAATCCCCCAACATAACAACCTAATCACCCTTCTCAACATCCCTAATACTCTCCGCCTTCTCTCTCTTCCTCTGTCTCCCCTTCTCACTCCAAGGAAANTGCGCAACAGGCACTAAGAAGAAACTATTGCCCCTATCCGCAATACCAGCAAACATATTCCACCAAGCGATAAACGCAGCAATGATGCCAAAAGCACCGCCTGCAAGATTGAGACTGTTGTTGGGAGCAGTAACACCGTCTACAGTGGAGGTATACATGTATCCGGTTGCCAGCATGAGGAAGGTGAGCCATACANNAAGAAGAAAAAGGGAGGAAAAANNGGCGACTGTGGAGCGGAGGGTGAGGAGCCAGAGCAANAAGGTGAAGATGAACCAGCCCTGTGATGTGGTGTCAGTGGAACACTCTTCTAGGGTACTTTAGAGTGGGGCGAGACATACGTAAAGATAGAATCCTACTGCTGCGTAGAAAGCTGGTGTTGCACCTCCATACGCCGATGCAATTTCGAAACCGCCTGGTGTGAAGATAATACCCAAGCCAATCCAAAAGCCACCATACGATGTCAATGCCGTAGCACCAAAAGTGTTGCCTACAGCCATCTCCNNCTGTCATTCAAAATCAGCTTTCATCCCAACTGACAACAATCATTATGACAGAAAAATTCACCACATGCCAGCCAAAATCTGAATTAACCCTCCATACGCATACGCAGGTCCAACAACAATATTAGGCGTCGCAATACCCCTCGTCCCCAAATTAATCAAGCTGAGCAAAAANGTCGTCAACGCGAAGCCGGCCAATCCCAATGGCGCCGGGTTCGCGAGCTTTCGATCTGGGGGTTTGTATAGACCGGGTTGGAAGGCACCTCCAAAGGCAGGGAGATAAGATTCGTCGGTGGGGATGCGTGATAGAGGGCCATATCCAGGTGTCCAGCGAGGATTGATGGCCGAGTTTTCGAGGTGATCTGCTTCTGCTTTNTGGATGGCGTCAGGGTCTGAGTGAGAGGATGTCGAGGACGCCATGATTGATTCTGTTGGTCTCGAGTCCCTGTGGAAAAGATTGATAGCAGCAAAACAATGAAAAGGGAAATCAGAGACAAAAGACAGAGAGACAGGAAGGAAGAGAGCAGTACTTATTCCATCAAACACCTACTAGTCCCAAACTCTTTTCTACTGTCTATCACTCTTCCATACCAAATCCCCTCGATCAGCTGCCATACGGACTTAAAGGCATTGTCCTTGCTGCACCTCAATTGGACAGCTGTTTGACCTGCAACGGCCGACACACGCGGAGCCAAAAACAAATCCCACCAAAAGAGGTGCGGCTCGTCGTCACAGGACTCGATCTCCAGAAGCTTGGAGGCAGATGTGATGAAGATCGCCGCCAGGAACAGCAAGCATGACGATGAGACAAACCGGGGTAACGGAGCCCCGGACTCTCGCGGACGTGGAGAAGGGTCGCTTCCGTGATTTTCGGATGTGGTTTCCTGTCAGGAGCCGCGGCACGACTTTGCTCTTTAAGGTATTCTTGAGACGCGCTGAGATGCGACGGAAGACACGTCCTAGAGTTGGTGGTGAAGCGATCGAGTAACGGCCTGCAAATTGGTCTATACATGCACCTGCTCGAACAAGTCTGTCATACAGGAGTCAAGATGCAAACACTTCTTATTCCCGGCGCGTCGCGCGTAGGCCTTCAAAGGTGATATGACAAGATCTATGGTTCGATATTGTAGCCGGGCATGACTTTGGCATCTTGCAGATGCTCTGTGTGCAGTGACTGCTTGTGCTGGGTTGAATTGGTGCTTGTTTGACGACCAATGCTGAATGTATGATTGGCAAGTGAAGGCCAAAGCATACGGCGGAGTCCAAAGACTGAACCATGAGATTATACACTATACACATTGCAAATGCCTTTCCTCAATCACCGTTCCCAAGAAAATCTAGTGCGCCCCTCTTGCCTTGTGTCCTCCCTTGGTGGTGATTGCACAGGCTCACTACCCTCGAGTTCGTAAACACCACCTCTCGTTCCATCTTTCAAACTTCTGCCATCCAATTCTGGAGGTTCCCAACCTCCTCTCATCTCAACTCTAGGCTGCACCTTACTTCCCTGCACCTCATGTGGTTGCCATCCATACTTTTCGTTGCCCGCGGGCATCTCGTTCAGGGCAGCTTCTGAGTCACTAGGCAGTTCTAGCTTTACAGTTGCGTCTACTTCTGCGGGTGGAGAAAGATGGGTTGATGGTGTCGAGTCGTCAGAATCTGGATGGTCATGGAGAAGGGCTTGTGCCAGGCGTTGACGGCGTCGACGACGGATGTAGAAGACTGTGGCGAAGATGAAGCAAACGAGGGCAGCACCTGCGACAACGCCTACAGCGATGCCGATGATCACGTTACGTGAGAGGATTGGTGATGGTCTGGTGACTACGCCATTGTCACCTCCTGTTGAATTTGTTGCGTTGACGCCGGGTGGTAGGATAGAAATGAGGTTCTGCGCAGGCATGGGGTTCGCGAACGCAGCTTGTGTGATGGTGAAGTTGTTGCGTTCATAGTCGGCTATCAGGTATGCTTCTTGCAGAAATGTGCGTCCGAGAATGTATTGTGTGTCGTTCGCCGCCCTTCGGATAGGGAAATATTTCGTGCTATTGCTGTAGTATGGGTAGCTCGCTTGTAGATCGAAACTCGCGTAGGGTAGGACGATGTTGATACTTGGGCCTCCATCTGTGGTTTGTGGAGATAGTTTGAAGATGATGGTCGGGTTTAGTTGTTGAAGCTTCGTATGCATGGTGTCGTTGATTAGGTATAGATCCGTTTGATTGTCGTATGTCAAACCGAAGTTGGACGCAAAATTGTCGCACGCCGCTCGAGGCATCCAGATGTGTGGGACTGTACTGTCGACCAGCGAGAAGTAGCCTGTAGAATATAGGGTTGTGGTGCCGAGAAGTGTGTTTCGAGCGGTGATTTGGGTGACGCCCACTTGGAGTGGTTTCGAGTCGTCCGAGGCGAAGGGGAAGATGGTGCCGTTTCCGTTCATACGTGATTCGTCGTAGCCGCCGAGGGTCAGACTGCCGAGAACCTTGCTGTANTCCTTGTACCATGTCAGTGGGTTACATTGATAGAGAAAGTGCGACGTACGGTATGAAGCGCCTGCGGTATAGGCAAAGGACTTGGAAGGTATGGTGTTGTTCTGCCTCAGGGATGTCAAGAACGAGGGCTGTGGATCCGACAAGACTGAGAAGTTTGACGGCCTTGGTCCTAAACCAAAGACACCATACATGAAGCCTTTATCGGCAATTCCTGCGACGACCTGGTGTGTCTGTTGGATACCTCCCGAGTTCTCGACTTGCAGACCGATGGTATCGAATCCGTATGCACCGTTCGCGTTGATGCCGATGTTTGTCTCCAAATCTGTTGTATAGATTCCAATGTCGTCCCAGGTCGTCGAAGCGTTGCTCAAGAAACCATTGCTGACATCGCCCTGGAAAGGCATCGCACCTCGTAGGTTGCCGCAGTTGGTTGGATCATCTTTTGTGCAGCCGTCAGGCACGGGTATGAGTGTCTCTTGTCCGAAGGTAGAAGGAAAGACTCGAAAGTCTTGAGGCGGGGTTCCTATGCGGACCATGAACGAGCTCCAGCTATGCAATGGTCAGTCGAATGCCGGAGATGGCAAGGATACATAATCCTTACCTCCCNNATCATTTCCATCCCAGTATTGTGAAGGTGCGAAAGAAAACGGACTCGGTAGAGCAGTGGCCGAGGTAGAAACGGTCGAGGAAGACATGGCAAGGACCAGCCGCGCGGTCAGATGGACGTGTGCTGTACAGTCATACAGAAATAGAAGAAGTCACACAGGAAAGGATGAAGCGGCTAGAGGTAGTGGTGAGAAGCAATCGTATTGTGTTTCGTGTAAGCGTATAGGGCAGGATGAGAATTAGAGAAAAGAGAGCAAGGAAAAGGATAAGGCAGCGAGCGGGTGTTGGTGAGCAAGCGCTCATGGCGGGACGATGTGCATATCCAGCACAGCACGAGGCTGTACGGCTGCAGAATAAGGCCTCAAAAATAGATGGAGTGGTGTTGGGAAGGACCAATCAGCGCGTGAAGGATCGTGTAAATAGATTGGAGTTATGCGCGCTTGGTGCGGCGGTGGATTGTTTCTGAAACACACGAGCATGAACGCAGAGAGCGTAGTGGACTACTCAGTACTTGGCCACGGATTGAAAGCTTTACCATGATGGTCAGAAGGTCGACAAGACAGAGATGGACACGACTCGGGAGTTCGGAGGAAGAAGTTGGGAGCGTCGCGAAACAAGCAAGGGGGATCGGAGTCCGGATGCTGTCGAGCGTCAGATGCGGGCCCGGCGTCAACAAGTCGATGATTGAGACAAACATGACTAGTCCATAGCAGATGCTAGCAAACATCCTTGACGCTTCGGTCGCTGACACCATACTTCCTCTCTACATCCTTAACACCTGGCAGCATCATACACCATGGCAGACCCATACCAATGGCGCGAATCCGTCCTGTCTACACGCAGTCTCTCCTATGTTAGCACCCTAGATGCCCTCGACGCCGCCAGACCCTCAACCCTACGCAAAAACACCCTCACCTCGATAACCTCGTCATACGCCGAAGACGAAGACTTTCACGATGCTCTCACTCAAGTCCCCTCTTCCGATAACCTCCCTCCCTCGGTATCCTCCAGCACTCTGTTCCGCCTACCACGCGATCTTCGTCTCCAAATCTACTCCTACCTCCTCACGAGCAGTCGAAATATCCTCTGGCCCACAGAACACCAATCCCACAATCTCGACCCTCAACTCCTGCGCACCTGTCGTCCTGTCTACGAAGAAGCAGCCCACGTGCTCTACCAAACAAACACTCTCACCTTTGCTCACCCCAGTGATGCAAACATGTTCGCTCACGCTTTGAGTAATCGCTCTTTTGCGTCCTTGATGCCGCACATTACCCTCCGCATCCGCAGCAACGATACTCGTCTTTGGACAGGCTGGTTCAACACAAACGCTGCAGAAAGAAGTCTTGTGCGCGACTTGCCTGGCTTACGGCAATTGACTATTCGCTACCGAGGACCTAGATGGCAGCCAAGTCTAAATGAGAAAGCAAACGCGGATTTGTGGCTCAAGGATCCAAAGCTGCAAGAAATCATACTCAGCGTGAGGAAGTGTGTTGCTGAAGTCAGGTTGTTGCTGTGCGTCAGATTACCTGATGAGGTGGCTGAGGAGATTCAAAGAGGGCCGGGGCAGAGTGAGGAAGGAGAAGAGAAGATGCCTCATGTCATGTTCAGGAGGTGGGTATGGTTGAATGGTTGTCATATTCGTGTCGAGCCTCTGGGCAAGGATGACGACGCTTGAGCCATGTTCAAGGTGTTTGGTTCATGGGCATATTCACGGCTGCACAGAGATGGATGGACGATCAGCATGATTGACAAGAGTCTCGCGTGGTGTGCAGAGAGCTGGTCTCGTCACCATTAGGACTCGCTGCACTTTGTCGTCTTGGATCTGATCAGACGGGAGATTGGCAAGTGCAGAGGATTTGAGATGGATTCTCGTCAACGCGACCTTGCAAAACGGTCGTCGAAGCATCAGTCACTATTGGATAAAATAACGAATTCACGAAAAGCACGACGACATGACGATATGACTTGAAGGATAAAAAAATTGTTGCATTTCACGCTCTTTAAGCCCGTAAAACTCCCAGGATGATGATTTGTTTGACGCCACAAAACGCCGACTGTCCCCAAAAGCCATAAGAGAAGAAAAATTGCCGTCTCTCCTCTGACACCCATTTTGTAATCAGCAAGATCGTACACATGTGACAGACGCAAAGCGCAAACCCCCAAGTCAGACCGATTTAGTCTGTTGGAAGATTCGTTTATGCGGCGCGCTGGTAGATACCAGCGACCATGGCGTGGTCTCTCTCGAAGGGCTCAAGGGTGAGCTGCTCCTTGGGCTTGATGCGCTCCTCTCTCATCTTTTGAACCTCACGGGCGAAGACGGCCTCGGGGGCAGCGGTCGAGTCGATACAGTTGGCCTTGATGGAGACAAGGACACCACCGCCGACCTTCAGGAACAAGTGGGCGTTGAGACCGACGATACGGGCCTGATCGGGCTGGGCAACATCGGCGAAGATGCAGTCGACCATGCCAACGAGCATACGGTACTTGAGAGGGTGACGGGCGTCCTCGACAATGGGGATGACGTTGGTACGGTGGGTAGCCATGTTGATCAAGTCACGGCCGGAACGGTGAGAGAACTCGACGGCGTATACGGTACCAGTGGGACCGACGATATCAGCGACGTGAGAAACGGAAGTACCAGAAGCGGAACCGAGGTAAAGAACCTTGGAGCCTGGCTTCATGTAGATGTCCTGAAGACCTCCGAGGATACCAGCGGCGATCTTTGAGCGGAAGGGGTTCCAGACGCGGTACTCGATCTTTGTAGTAGCGCCAGTTTCGCCGTTTTCGACAACGGGAGCAGGAGAGTCGACAGTGATGCGCTTCTCACCATACACCGCAACTCCTGGTGCCATAGAACGGGTGCACAACNNCCAAAAAAATCAGCAAATGAAGCTCAATAGCGACAGCACCTTGACTTACATGTCCTCTTTACCGCGCGCAATGTAGACGCCCTCGTGTCTATGCGGCTCAACAATCGCCTTCTGGCCTCCACGGGCGCCAGCGCCAGCACCGCCTCTTCCTGTTGATGTAGTTAGCATTTGGTTTGAGCTTGTGAGGGTGAAAAGTGCCTACCTCCACGAGCACCACCGCGAGGAGCACCACGGCCTCTACCGCCTGTCGTATATCGTTAGCATTTGTTCCCAGGCTTGCTCAGAAAGACGACATACCCCCTCTTCCGCCGCGATCACCACCGCGCGAAGCAAATCCACCGCGGCCGCCTATTGTATACTGTCAGTGTTTGGCTCTCAGCCTTTTGAAGAAGTCTTCATACCGCCTCTGCCACCACGGTCGCCAAAGCCGCCTGTGTATATCGTTAGAAACTGGTCATCCGAAGCTGGAACTGATGCGCGAACCTCTGCCGCCCCACGACCTCCTCTATCGCCAAATCCACCGCGTCCGCGTGGTGCGCCACCTCTGGGAGTGAAAGCCATTGTTGATATGAGTAAAAGATGGATGTGAGTTGTCGACGTGGATATCTGGTCGATGTGCGCAGTCTCGAAGGGAAAAATCTCAAAGCAAAGCAAGCACACTTTTTCGTGGTCCAAGCGTCACTCGAGCTTGACTCCAGCGGAGGCTAGGTTGCCTTCACTGATGACTCAGCTAACCTGCCAAGACCAGGACACTACTAACGGAAGTGAACTGCAAATGCTCAATTGACGGGTCTTCTTTGTGAAAGAAGCTTGCGTTGCCAGACCGAGCTTATCTCGAGGCAGTAGAAGGGCTCTAGATAGAATGGAAGGAAGTCGTCAGCTCAAAGCTTTATGAGATTGGCAATTGATTTATCCGTAAGTGTTTTGCAATCAGGAAAGCCGTACATCACACGACCACTACAAATACAGCTGTACTGACATCTCGAAAGACCACAGCGAAATCACTGACAGAGTGTGGCCCATCATCAAGTATAGGTAGCAAAATTGACGCACAGGTCGAAGCTGTTTGGTTTTTGTTTCATCATAGGAAGAACACACAAGTTTTTCTTTCGTGAAGGAAATGGGCAAGGAGATAAAGAAACCGCTTACATCACCGTGGATAGTGTCGACTGACTGCGAGTTTTGGTGTGAGTGGTCTCGATCTGGTTGCTCGCATTAAATCGCAGTACACAGGAGTCATCTTTTGCACGTAAGTGAAGTTGAGCTCCCGATTGAGAGGGTTCAGATGAAGCAGTTTGGTCGTGGTAGGGTAAGTTCTTGGTGTTCGTGTGGTCCGGGAGGCTTGAAGAGGCATGTCAGAGGCAAGTGTACAGGTCTTCGTGCGAGGAGAACAGTACATGATCATTGCGCTCAGCAAGTATGGACTGACGTTGGATTAAAGCAGCCAGGGCGACATGAACGAGAAAATGGAAATCACATGCAGTTGTTGCAGGGCAGGAAGGAGCGACCCTCGTGCCTTCCCAACAAAGTCCATTGGTAGTATCTATTCTCGCATCTTCTACAACAACTGAGACTAGCAATTGCGATTATGACGAAGAGAAAACAGAATCTCCGAATATAACAAGGCACTGAGAAAGCAAGGCTTCTCGAGGTATGAGCAGTAAGACCGATGTACTTGGAGATGGATGATTTGCAGATGTGGGACATCTGAATGGCGTCTTCACATGAACAATCGTATCCTTCTTGAGGTGTAAAGACAACATCGAGACCGCCACACCTGTCTATTAAGGCTCAGCGTGACTGGACTTTATCTCGAGCATGTTGGGCTTCATCAGGGTTGGCCTGAGGAAGGCGCCAAGGGTCGCGGCTTCCCTCGATAAGCGAAATCTGGGGCCCACTGCCAAGACCAATTTTGGGAGTGACATGCGCTCCTGCTTTTCGCAGACTGTTTTGCTCTCTTCGCCCGCGACTTTTTACACGAACGACACGCAACATTCAAGATGGTACGAGTCTCCTGCTGTTCACCGACGAATCATACATACACGCTCTTCTGCACCATCAACTCGACATTCCCTGGACGGCCATCTGCTGGTTTCGACCGCCGCCTCGCTCGATTGCGCATTACTCGGAAGATTCTGTCCGTCTCGCTCAGTCTCGCTCTGCGCGCAATCGCTTCGTTCTGCGTTCGATCCAGCACCTGGCCGCTCAATCCACTCCTCCACAAAACGCCCACCTTTCACAACAATCCAATGCGACATCGACTAACACATCCTTTCCCTCCAGGTCCGTTACGCCGCTACCGAAATCGAGAACGCCAAGAGCGCCCGCGCTCGCGGTTCCTACCTCCGTGTCTCTTTCAAGAACACCCGCGAGACCGCTCAGGCCATCAACGGCTGGAAGGTCACCCGTGCCCTCCAGTACCTCGAGAACGTCAAGAACCACGCCGAGGCCGTCCCCATGAGACGTTATGCCGGGAGCACTGGCCGCACCGCCCAGGGTAAGTCTGCCAGCTGCGAGGATGCATATGGGGATTGAAAGTCCACCTGGGAATAAGAACACACATATTGATATCTTCCAAAGNGCAAGCAGTTCGGTGTCTCCAAGGCCCGCTGGCCCGTCAAGTCTGCCGAGTTCATCCTCTCGCTCCTCAAGAACGCCGAGGCCAACGCCGACACCAAGGGTCTTGACACCTCCAACCTGATCGTCAAGCACATTCAGGTCAACCAGGCCCCCAAGCAGCGCCGCCGCACATACCGTGCCCACGGTCGCGTACGTTCCACTCCTTCATGTCCGTCTCTCGCCAACAACTAACACCCTCTACAGATCAACCCTTACATGTCCAACCCCTGCCACATTGAGATGATCCTCACTGAGGGCGAGGAGGTCGTTCAGAAGGCCCCCGAGGCTGCCGGTCGCGAGACTGCCCGCCTCAACACCCGCCAGCGCGCTCAGCGCAACCGCCGCGCCATCACCGCCGCATAAATGCATCAACCATTGCGTTTGTGACGTTCGAATGATGAGAGATCGGTCTGGGAAAAGCGGTTATGGGAAAACGGACTATCTACCAGCGATAAAAGACAAAAAGCGGTGTTGCCCCAAACTTTCCTTTCACGTTCTTCTTGCATGGTGTGCATTATGACGGAAAAATTGGCGTTTCTTATCTCGAACCAAAATGATATCCCTGTGGTTCGTTGTGATGGCGGCACCCATGCAAAAAGCTTTTGCTTCTCACTTGACCTTCTTCGTGTGTGATATTCCTGTCGATTCTCGATCGTATCTCTAGATGTCGTCGCCTTGTGTTTGTGGACACACATGTTGAGACTGGTATGGCACTCTGCCTCCGCCATGCTTGTATCTTCAGTCAATCATGTCTTCGACATCACAGTCCAAGAGGTTCCGTCGTGTCATCAGCATAGGTCATGTGTCTATGCTTGCGATCGGTGTTCCAAGTCGGAGATCATCATAAACATTTTATAATATTCAATGTCCACAAGAATCGCGACGGCTGCCATAAAGGATGTGATAGACATTTTACAGACACAAGCGGGAAAGAGGATATATAGTTCTCTAGACAGGCTTATAGTGGAATGTCAAAGATATATAGTAAGCCCTAAAGATGAACGTATCTTTTATAAGAATGTAGAAAGCGGTAAAGAAAGTATTATCTATATAAAGACTATCTACAAGGCTTTTGCAATAAGCAGCATTAACAGCGGTTTTTAGAATATAGAGGATATAGCAAAAAGTAATATAAAAACAATCAGATGCTGCTAATATTATTTGTTAAGTACTAATTAGGTACTTTTGCTTGCCATTGTCATGTTATGCCGGGCTCTTGTACAGACGACTGATGGGTTTGGAAGCGTCAGACACGTCAAGAAAGATTTGTATAAGCAAAGGAGTGTATTACAGTCAGTATGGCTAACTGTTTTAGATATTCAGTTTCAATCTGTCCACCTCTCATCCTCCTTCTCGCCATTCCTAATCACCCATTGCTCTTCCCACTGCATACCCGTCTACATCTTGCTGCACTCTCAACTTCCATATCTTTGCAGACGCGACATCTAGAACTCCCAGGTCTTGACGACCTTGTACTGACCATTGTTGTTGACGCAGTTGTCCTTCTATATCACAAACCCAATCGTCAGCATTCTGCTCTTGATCTGCTATGCAGCATTTTCAGAAAAACATACCTCGTAGTTGGGNTTGTAGACAGCAAGGTGGTTGTAGCTGCCATCTCCGTTGTGGAGGGCAAAGGATGCATCACCACAATCGGTCAGGTAGTAGGTGTATCCATTAGACAGAGTGAACTTCTTGCCGCAGGGGTTGTCGCCACCATTGGCGAGGAAGGTCCACTGGCAGGCGTCTTCGCCCTTAATCCATGCGACATCGTAGGAAGTTCCCTTGAGGTTGCCAGAGGTGAAGGTTGAGGTGCCGGTGATGATGGTTGCGACGGCTTGCTCGGCGAGGGCAAGAGTAGCGACGGCGAAGACGGTAGTGAACTTCATGGTTGCTGGATTGCGTTGACTGGGTAAGGGGATGAGTGTGGTTTTGGGTCTTGTTTGATTATTGTTGCTGAACTGATGCTGTGGTGGAAGTTTGAATGAGGTCTGGCATGACCCTACTTATACTTTCAACTCGACATTGACTGTCATCGTCGTCGTCGCTCTAGAGCCTGATCTTTCTCCCATCTCGGCTCAACGCATTGGAAAAGATCCAGATTCTCACCAACGCCCTCAACGATGCCAGTTGGGACTCTCGTAAGACATGGCAATACGAAGTCATCGATACGAAGTCATGGTCTGACGAGATGCTAGGAATGTGAGCTTGAGTTGGACAAGTCCACATGCCGTGTTAGTGTTCATAGGATATTGCATGGCTTGCATGCTGCTTGTTTCTAGCTCGGTTGCACCTTTGAGTTTCTGCAACCCTAGAGATATGCAGATGACAATGCGCTCTCTGTGACGATGCAACGATACGCCGTTCAGGTTCAGCAGCAGCGAGCAAACAAAAGTGTGCAGTGGGTCTAGCATACTGTACGTTGTAGACCAGGGTGAGCACATTTCTGAAACGTCTGACGATTGATGACCGCTCGGCACCAAGTGACGGGGCTGCCGGTCTGCGTAGAAACTCTCAGTATCGCTTGGTTTGTCTCTAAGAGACAGATTGACTGCAGTATATAACTGCATTGCTCGTGTTTTCGCGATTGAGGCTACTCATCATATCCCACACCGATAGTGGGTTTGCATTGTACAATCCGTGACGCGCCACTCAGCGACTAGAATCGTATTGCTGAGGTTGAATTAACATGATCAACAAGCATTACTGACCGGTCAAGCTCGAAGCTTGAAGACCTCATGCGGGCTTTGATTGTTTGCCAAGCGACAAGTCTGTTTCCGACATAGAACGGACAATATCATGCTGCTGTGGCAGTCAGCAGTATCCTGTTGTTGATGTGAAGGGCCACCTGATCAATTCGCTTACAACTGTCCAATAGTGGAGAATGAGATGCTAGATTCTTCCTATACAGGTGTCGATCACTAAGTGTCATATGTGCTCATCGGTCACTAGTCGAGTTGTCGAGATACGCCGGAGGATCGTATGCCAGATTCGATGGATGGAGAGTCTAGACTCTGTGCGGCTGTACCTGCATCTTTGGCTGTAATTGCAATAAGCTTACATTCGTGCGACCGACAAAGGAGCAATCCAGGCTCATCAACGTGTTTGATTAAAATGCTGTATGAGGTCCCGCCATAATGCGGATTACTCTTCGTACAACTCTGCATCGCTTGTAGTACAAGCATTAATCACCGCTTGGTGTCAGCCATGCACGTCAAGTGACATTTTGCAATGCCGATGCTCCGTCTCATTGGTAGCAGAGTGTCGACTTGTGATGCACGCTACGACATTAAAGCATTAGGAGGGTTTCCATCTTCAAGCTTGCTGTGGTGGTGAGCTATGAGGAGAGCAGCCCGCTTGCGTAACACTGACGAGCTGCACGTCTGTCGGCTGATAGACCATCGAGTAAGTGCAGACAATCATCGTGCATGTCTTGCAGTTGCAAAGCTCTCTTTCTCTCACGTTGGAGGGATGTCGTCGATAAAAGGTCTGTGCTTGGATTTGTGCAAACTTTATGCACCGCGCCTCCAAACTCCATTAACTCTTTGTAGACATGGGTCTACCAAAGCGCACTTTCCCATGACCGAGTCATGCAAACAGCTTCAGAGATGCACCTAAACTGAGTGGCAGAAGCTAAGCTGATCGACCCCTTAGCTGCGCACCCCTAACAGCTGCGCGTTTCGCGATTTGTCGCTCTTATTAACATAACCACTTCCTACTTAATTAACTTAATAATCACGTCGTCGCTATAACTTAACGCGAGCAGCAGATTAATCTCGCCCTTAAGGACCTTCGTATAGGTGTTATCGCATTAATTCGAGTAGCTAGTACTACGTACGGTATCCCTAAATCGACGCTCCGCGNNCGTCTCGCCGGTATAACTAATCGACGTATTGCACACTAATATCGTAAGAGGCTCTCTACTCGACAAGAGGAGTTCCTTATCAAATGGATACTCGAATAAGAGGCTTAAGGCTTTTCTCCTTTGTACGCTTATTATTATAAAATGGCTACCTAAATTTTACGTATAAATGGCGATACCGAGCTACTTAGAAAGAGATTCGTTACTAAGTTTATTCGAGATAATCTACGTATTGCCTCGGTTATAGGAAGGCCTATTAAGTAAGCTCGTATTAACGGAACATACCCTAAAGCAATATAAGAGTTCTATACTATGTACTAAGACATCGTTCGCCGCTTTAACATTTAGCTATATAATACTTAGAATATAGATGAGCACGGCATTACTATAGGTGTATATACTAACTTTTATGTACTTAGATCATTAGAAAAGAAGCGCTTATACGTTAAATTACTAAAATTACGCGAATAGGTCTTAATTATTAAGGTTATATCCCTAACTAGCGGATTTATACGCCCCCTTATAATTTTTAAGGGTATAGCGCCATAAATTACCCATTTTCTAAATAATACTCCTAATTAGCTATATACTAGCTCTAAAAATGGCTAGACTACTAATTCTAAGGGTCTCTCTTAGCTTTAAACCATTTTTAAGCCCGAGATAAGGCCTTAAGATAGCTAATAGCGTCTACTTATCCTAGATAGCTATAGTAGCTATATAGCTATTAATTTCCTCTAGTATTATAAGCAAAATAAGATACATCTATTATTTCTACCTGCTTATATAAGCCATTTATTATAGCCTCTTAATCTTAGTGTATTTACACCTCTTAAATTAAGATACCGGTCTGAAATTATAGCGTTAGCTTTACTTAATAATGCCTTACCTATTAAAAAGTAACGCTTTATTACTTACTACTATTTAGCTCGATTAGAGACCTTTACACCTCGCCTATTACGTACTAGCTAGTAGGTAGTAGGTATCTATCTATTTAACCCCTTAAAAGGGCTAAATTCCTCCTAAGTATAGGTATTAAAACTACGTTAATCTATACTACTATAACCCTAAGAAACCACTTTAATTTTCTATACACTAAAGAGCTTACGACATATACATTAAACTACTTAATTAATTCGTAAGAAATTAGGCGAGAAATAAGCACTATATTAAGCTCTATATAAGGCTAGCTATACGATAGATCATCTTAACGTAAAACAGGTCGCTCTATAGTAGCGTAACGCTTAGCTTAAGGCCTAAGTCGATAGATTAGCTATTAAGAGGCGGAAGAAGGTCCCTACTAACCTAAATACTTAATTTGTAAGCATAGATAACATTATACGCGCGAGGGAGGCCCTCGTATAATAAGAGGCACGAGAGGCAGCGAGACAGTCGCNNTCTGCTACTGCGCGTGAGCTCGTAGAGCAGAGCTTCGAATCGCTCCAATTTGAGTGGCAGATAGACAACTTTTGATGTTTATATAGTCGAATTTATCGAGGCCTTAGAGCTGCGCAGCTGATGGGTCGCTCAGCTTACACACGCCACATATTCGTGGCTGCCGGCTATGAGAAAGCATCCATACAAACAGCGAGTGATCCTGCAGGTGGCTGGCTGCCGGCAAATGTTCTGAATCAGTTCTCCATGTCCTCAGAGACAGAGAGTACGCTATCACAAGATCTGATAATCTCCATTGTTCACTTGCTGATGTCAGATTCTGCAGCCATATGGCTTGACTGGACGTTTTCAGCTGTCATAAGGTCATGATCTGAATCGCAAGGCGGCTCGACCAATTCAGTTTTCTATCTCAGATTCTAGATCCAAGAACTTTCCTGCGATATCTCGAGACTGTGTTCAGCTCTTCCGCCCCGATGTTAGCGAATCGCGGAGACTGACCTCTCTCCATCGACTTCTTGCCACTCCATAGTGTATCACGTCAACCGGTTCACATTGCACATTCTTCTGGACGGCCCAGTCCAGTGACTTCTGACTGCACGAGCATGCCATTGTACGACTTGCTAAAGCATATGCCAATCAGAGTCTTGACCTCAACTCCGTGCGAGAGCTAGCAGGATGGAAACGGCAGTGGTAGATTGAATGAGGTCAGTGAATCTGCTGTCATTTCCAGCAATCCCTGTCTACATATAGGACTCTTACCATGATGCTTTGCAACTTCGTGAAGATGCAGGCCGGTTTTGTGCTTCGCAGACCTGGATCCTTCATCCTCCTGGTATCTACAACATAACAAAACCGGCTGCATTATTCAAGACTTCATAACTGGATCACATTGCTGCATCTGCCACATCGACCGAGTGCGCAACGTCTGCCATCGTCACAGCGCAGAACTCTGGTTGAGCTGAGGCAACTTTGATGGTTGTAGTCCTTTTATGTGGCAGAAACAAGCGCAAACAGTACCTTCCTCTTTTGATCTCTTGTCGCTTCTTTCTTGTTTTTGGTAGGTCAAGAGCCGAGCGTAGCAGGCCAATGACTCCGTATCCCGTCTTCATTTCCCGTAGCATTACATTAAAAGGAGCAATCCTGTGATAACCTTCCCGGTTCATCGAATTCATCGACCGGAGGACTTTCGTTCTCGACGTCGAGACTTCCAGCCATGGCGACTGTGTACATACGTGCAATGTGGTTTGTGATGACGCTGCTAGATGTGATGTCGAGGTAGAAGGAAGCCCCGATATGAGAATAGAGACACCTCTTTAGTATTTCAGCAGGTTATACTGGTTCTTGCTTCTTGAGAGCGGATTCCGAAATGTAACAACTTATGGTAGGTGTCCGTGAAAGGAAGGATTGCCATATATCACATACGGTCAACAAAAGAAGGAATGTACATGTTGATGTTTCTCCTTCGTGGATATTATTATCTTTACTAGACCGAAGAATGGAAAGCAATCTCTGTCATTCGTAATGCTGGTTCTTTCGTGAATGAAAGTGGCATGCTTAGTCGTGAGTATAGAGCAGTCTTGGAATATCACTGCCAGCTGAAGGAGTTTTCGTACAGGTCTCCATGCATCTCTTCTTTCCATGATGTATCTATAGAGTAGTCCAGCTCAATCTCTCACAGACAACAACTAGCAATATTTTCTCATAATTGGATGGCATGATCAGTTTGTCGACAAGTCCGGAACGTGAAATCTTCACTCCAGATTCAACCTCTGTCAGAGTACACTGCAAATAAGGCTATCAGGTCTGTGAGTCCACTCTTGTACCCAGCAGCTCGCATACAACAATTCCTGGCAGCCGAGGATATTCCCTAATAGGGAAGGGGAACACACTTCCATCTTCATGGACCTGATGACCTCTGTCTTCTGGGGGTACAAGGTGTATCTGAGGTGATGCAAGTATCACATTGGTTGATCCTCGAAGAAATAAGGGTGACGGGAGAGGAATGATGAACAAGCTACATCGAGAGAGTGTGAGCGTATGTGTAGCTCTGAGGCGCGTTTCCGGCACGAGCTTTGCGTGTCTGAAGATTCGAAGGATGCCGCATCGATATCACAGTGATATCGATTCGCAATCATGTAATATGCAGAGCGCATCAACCAGCATGACAAGAGCAATGTCCCAAGGCGATGATTGATGTAGGAATAATGATAAGCATTTTGCCATCTTGAAATCATTACAAGATGTAAACCCGTTAGACAAAAAGACGAGATTCAAACAGCGTGAGCTGCTCAATGACGTCTCGTGAACGTCAAGAATGAGAAGAATAGTAGAAGAAAGGAAAACCAAAAACTCACAGTGGGAGGCACGACCTCTACCACCACTCCCACTGCTTACAACCCCCAGCTCACATTTGCTCAATGATCATGGAACCTGGAGAAACCATACCATCGATGACGCCAGCATCATCAAGCCCCATCTGTGTCCACAACATCCTGCAATCGTCACCAAACACGTTTTCACTGTAAGGGAAACTTCTCAGTGTCTTCTCGAAGTGTGCCAAACTGTGAATCTGCAATCTCATGGTGACCTGTCTAGTGGTCGTCAAGAAAGACTCCAGCATGTAGGTCGGCATCCATGTTTCTCCTGTCGAGCAAACACTGATTGCTGCAGATGAGGCTTGGAACAGAACCCACAGAAGTGAGTCGAGCTTTGCGGTCGACTCCCATTGTAGGATGAGATCCGGCTTGAGACCGTTCCAGAGACGGTAGACTAGTTTCGACTGGATGGTGTTGATGACTGTGTTGAAGAGTGCGCGCATGTTGACCAACGAGGGCATACACGTCCAAGTGCTGAGTTGGGCACCCAAGATCAACATATCTGTATCGCTGCATTCGTTATGTGACTGGCTGTCTGCAATCGAGTTGCACAACTGGTACACGATAGTGTAGAAGGCATTCTCGACAGCCAAGAAATGTGCTTCTTCGCTTAATGTGGTGTCGAAAGATAGACAGAGTTGATGGAGACGGTTGAATAGATCATATGCCAACTCAGATGTTAGAGTTCCTGATGTTGGGATCATGCGTACGGTTTCCAATGAGAGACGGTGAGCTTCAGTATTCACTTCGGGAGGGAATGTGGCGTTCGTTGATTCCAGGCGCAAGCCATATTCAAGCATTGGTCTTTCCAAAAGCGCAGATGCTAGCTTCAAGTCGTTCCAGATCGTGTGGCGCCATTGTGTGTAGCCAAAAGACTGAAGACCACCAGCTTTGGTGACCAGATCAGTGACACATCGCATATGTGTCTTTGCGGCATCGTACTCCTTGTCGCCGAGGGCCAAGTTGACTTGAATAGCCACCAACATGACGAATGTGTCTGTTGATGTTTCCGTCAAGCCTGTAGTGTCATCCNNGCTGTCAAATGTCAGTATAGCGCTCGGACTCGCGATTCTCCACAACTTACACGGCAAAGACATGCCATTCATCCCTGTGAATTGGGGAAGACTTGACAGTCTCGAAACACCCTGAGAAACTGCACGCATGGCAGCAATCTTGTGCTCAAAGTAGCTGATTTGGTTTCGATCTCCAGTAAGGACACTGCGCTTCATCTCCGCAATGCACAATAGAACATGAAATAGCGGTGTGCTTGTAAGTGCAATGCTCCACAGACCCCTTCTGAAATGGCTGTCGACTTTGTCAAGCCAGAGAACTTTGCTCTCCCAGATGTTGTTGCGATTGATGGGACGGTGAAAGTGCCAAGTTGCCAGTTGATCTACAGCAAGGCCGTTCAAGGGNAGTGTATTGAACGGATCCCAACGGTGAACAGCAGGACTGTGCAGAAAAGGGTTTGGTGCTTGAAGCAGGGCAGACTCGTCAGACTGGAAAAACACAGGTGACGCTCGCGAGTTGATCTGAACAAGGGAAGTGGATTGTGGTGAGGCCTCCTCAAACACGTCCGGAGAAGGATGAGAGTGTGTGACTGAAAACAAAGGCGATGATGAATCGGTATAGCTAATCGAGTCGGTGAAACCAATTGGGGACGAATCGGCAGTATCGTCAAGAGATGGGGTGCGGCTAGATGATATTGATTTGGCTTCTGGGAACTCTTGAAGAAATACCAATTCGGTGGATGAGGCAGATGACTGGCGATGTAGTTGAGGATCCTTGCGAGCTCGTGATGGTCTTTTTACGGATGAGCGCTTGGGGCACGGCTGAGACGCAGCCTGACGAGTGTTGGTATCTCGCCGCCGGGAATTCTTGGTCTTTGCAGCTGAAACTTCTGGCGCAGCAACTTCTTCTGGAGGAAGGCCGTTATCTGCCTCCCTTTGGCGCCGGAAAAAGTCATGCATAACATGCTGTCTTACGGTTGGCAAAGATTGCTTGGCTTCGACATCTGGTTCGCCCGTATAGTTGACAAACACGAACTTGCCCACAGCCGCCATGGTTAGTTCTTTCTCTGTTTTCGTTCTCTCACACCCAGGGCCTCGATCAAACGATGATCGGACACTGTTTTTGCTGCGGTTTGCCTCTTGTTTGCTCCACTTCTCCTAGAGACTTGAACTTGGACCAGGAGAGAAAAAAGCCGTAAAGGGGAAAAGAGCAAGACTGCAAACTCGAAAAGGAAAAAGGCAGTGAACTTGGGCCCCGGCGAGTCCGTGGGTATAAGAATACGGAGAGGGCAAGGTTCGGTGAGCTATTGGGATCATTAACCCCTTTGGGCAAGTTCCCCGCGAATGCGACCCGCAGGTTGTGTTCCAGACTGTGATTGGATGGTGACACTTGAACAAGAGAGATGAACGTCTCTAGTGTTCAGTGTGAGATTGTCGACTTCCAATCAGCCAGTATAGATCCTGGTTTTCTGGCGAATTTGGAGATCCTCCAGCGATGTTCTGTGCAATGTGTTGAGTACCGGTCAACGATTGCGGCAAACAACGTTCGTGCCAGGAGTTGTAGACTTGTCAGCTGCGAGCTGAAGGGCTGGAGCTTCTGTCGCCGAACCGCTTCTTGACAGACCTCGGTCGTCGGGGAGAATGCTCCGGCGAAGCTCAGAAAGTCGAATGGTGCCTGTCAAAAATTTCTATCCAAGACATGAATGTCAACATGAGTCCATACTTGTACATTGCGATCGTCCAATACTGACCTTGTTAGGCGAACAGAGCAAGAATTCAGCGCAGTGTTGCATCCACACTATGGTCACACGACACGGTGTCACTGGGGGCGTAATATTTGTGCCCTTTTTGAATCGCAACAAGGTATAGAAGATCGACAGTAATGGGTAGTACAGGACGGGATGTGGGTGCCCTTTTCTCCTCCTCAGTAGTCAGACAATGTTTGCTCAACTGCAAGGCTGAGCATTTTGAATTACCATATGATGTCTTGTTGGGGATGTCTTGTTGGAAAAGGTTTACAGCCCCAAAACTGCCACGATTCTGCACCGCAAAGATGAATGCTACGAGCCGACATGAGTTACTCGGAGTAGCCGGCGGTGTGTCCGACCGCATCGACAGGTCTCTTCTCGCAATGCTTGCCGCAAGTGACACGCTTGCTTGCAGCATATGGCTGGCAAGCGGAAGATGGCAGCTGAGAAAGGATAATCTCGGCCTCGCTACGACGCAAGGTAAGAGATCGTGTGCAAGGCAAGGCTCAATGAACGGTAGAGATGATTTAACCGATGCTCATTTTCATGATATATAACTCTATGTAGTACGCGAACTGCCGTTCGAGCCGGCGACGTGTGGTCGAGACCTATGGTTACCAGTCAGCATTCAAGGCTTACGTGCAGCAGTCTTGGACGAAAAGGGTAATTGATGAAAGATCAGAAGGTCTCCAAGCATTTTCTCGACATTGTTTGTTTCCGAACAGGTCTGTGAATTTTGCGCAGGAATTTCATCACCTCGATGGGCTGGGCGTGATACAGAAGAAGATGCTTACCTAGTAGTTGGCAGGGGTGTGTTGACCGGTCCACAGAGCTCATCGCAATCAGCTGTCGCGTTGCAGATCAAGCGCTGCCGAGGCACGCCATACGACGATGAAAGCTTTCAGTATATCTCTCAGCGGCGCATGCAATTCCACGGCGGCGATGAAGCAGCAAGCAAAAACTCTTCTTGATGATGGTGAAGAGAATTGTTGATTGCGATTTGAAAATCTTTTTGAAGCTCGCGCTGCAGCCGCAGTTCTACCGATCTTCTTGGCAATGACAACTGCGCGCGCTTTCTTGATGTCGTCGGTGTTGCGCAACAACAAAGTGAGTGGCGCCTTCTCGAAGACACACAAATGTGAGACGACAACACGAATTGGTTGTTCAGCTGTCTCATCTCATAAGACCACGGTTTGTTCACTCTACAGCATTGATCCTCGAGCGCATCGCACACTCACATCAGGCTTGTCATATTTCACTCTGCTTTGGTCTTTCAACAACTACCATCGCCAACTCCTGCAGTGCTGCCGTTCATCACGCGCACGTCATAATGGACACACTCGAGAGGCTACCTCGCCGCAGCAAGAAGCGCGACAGAGACGACGCGTCCGACACAGCTCTCTTTCCAAGCCCGAAACGCGTCAATCACAGCGCAGATCGACCTCAAAGCCATGCGAACACGCATTCAATCGCGAAAGAGTCTGTAGATTCCCCAACAAGATCACTATCGCCTGACGGAGGCGTTGCTGTTGATGAAGAATCTCTTGCCAAATTTCGCGGCTATTGCCACATCGTGCTCAGTGACAAAAGCTCTCGCGACGATCGCCCATCTCAAGGAAGACTGAATGGATCAAAGCAAGTCGTCAAGCTTCTCCAGCGACGCAAAGATCCTTCTCAACCTCATGCTAGCCATCATTCTGGCCCCGATCACCAACATATCACCAACAACAACCAGAGAGCAGTTTCGCCCTATGCTTCGTCGTTGCCTGCGTTCAGTCACAATAGAAGCACTCATGTGACTGAGCCTGGCTTGTCGTCAGTTGTCTATCAACCGTTCAGACTACAATTTGCGCAACCCCTAGAATCTGTGGTGCTGAACCCTAGAATCGACATGGCCGTCGAGGGTGGTAAACTATACCTGGCTCAGACCCTACATCACTACTATCGTAAACATATCCGCTGTCCTCAACACGGTTTTATCGACGAAAAACCTGGTCACAATCGCGCGGTAAGGAAAGCGCATGAAACCGGCCGATTACATCGTATGTGGTTCTGTACATCACAGCCGAAGGGAGGAGGCCATCGTCTCGACAACACCGATTGCATTGAGATCGCGAAAGAACAACTGGGCCAGGCGTTGTTTGATCGAATCCTTTATGAGCTCATCCGCCAGCTCCGCGAGAAAGACTGTCAACCAGTTGGATGCAACCGCTCGCCTCAGTCTGACAATTTTGACTACTTTGCTTTATTGCAATACGTCGACACCCAAGGCCTCGATNATGGCTGTGTTCAATAAGAAATTGGCCGATTAAGCAGTGTGCATGAACGGGTCCTGCCCCTCATGAAGTTTCGGCTGCATGTTATACACTATCGACATCGGTTATTCTTCCGGTTGTGGTGCTCCACGTCACCTTCTAATCAGTATCTCACTGGAAGAACAACAGATCGTATGTGGAGAAGTACCATGCAGACTTTCGATCGCTCAAATTGAGACACATGTTGATGTCTTGTATGACATCTTATTACAAGAGATGACAGTGTTGTTGTCTGCGAGATGATTCGTTGTAAGCGAGCAGGTGGTCTGATTGCACGCTATCGGTCATCCTCTTCACTTGTACATGTTCCTACCCGACCTTCTGCTGATGTTTATTAGAGTTTCATGTCGAATTTCTGGAGAACAGCACGTGTTTGAGAGCATTCGACACCCCGGCACCATCAACAAGGTTTCCATGCAGTCGACTCCAAGGTCACACAGGGATCGATCGAGCAAGATCTTGTGTCGAGTTAGGTCTGTGCTTCACTGGGACAGCAGCGGACGCGAGGCTTTGAGGAGTATGCGAAAACTGTTTGACAAAAATTGCCAGAACCACCGCTGTCCATCACTGTCGCATTATCAGTAAATGCTACAAGGATATCTCTTCGAGCATGTTGAGCTCGCTTTCTGCTCTTGCTTCGCAAATTCCGGAACCCATCTTCATGCGCATATCTGAATTTCTACTTGACAACGGCCAGTAGACCTCATGCTCATGATACAAGTAACCCAAGCAAGATAAACAACCATATACAACATGTCCCACCAAACCAGAAGAGGTGCGCCTTGATTCTCATATGGAAGCTGTCCCCCGTCCTTGATAGTGGGTTCGGTGTCACAACATATTGTCGCCTTCATCCATACTAACATGATGTTATAGACTCACGACGTCGAGAGCGAAAGTCATCCGGTCCATGGACCTAATTAGCGGTCCCACTCTCCGGAACACGCTGGTTGTGATCCAAAGCTGCAAGCCACTACTGGAGTTAAACATATGGCACAGTGTCGACGACTTGCTACGCTCCGGTCACGGTATCATACATACCGTACATGTAATGAAGTTTATCGGAGCTATTAGATGTAGGCGATAGCTGCTACTCACATGTAGAAGCGGCATGTGATACGTTTGTCGGGCTTTCAATATAGAAGGTATGTACCAACCGAATAAAAGTGGGCTTCTACCTACAATTTGATGTAGTCCAAGCACGCAAGGCCTGTTTACGAGAGACTCGAGCAAGGTGACGAAGAGCAATCCATTTGATTGTCTAAAACTATAGTCATGGCCAAAGGTCTTTTATATTACATTCTGGATTACACTTCCTCATCGTAAACGTAGTCCCTCTTGAGAAGATGAGGTTAGTTGACATTGCACCTTCTTTACCTGCATGGTCTCCTGTTCGGATGGGTATTTTTGGACCGGCTTGGTCCATCAATAGGTACGACTCCAGATGTCTGATATCCTCGGGAAATACACACTTCAAGGGAATGAGGATCTTCTTACTCGAAAACTTCGCCAAATGAGTCGAATGTAGCAGGACTCAAGGGGCGCATACTCCATTTCCATTCTGATGGTCATGACACTCTCGTAATATCTCGTCTGGCAAGCTGTAGGTGTTGCTCTTGGCTGATACTCTGTAGGTCGTTTTCGAGGCTGGTCTACCTTCTCTTGCTTTAAAGACTTTTCCAATGACTGGATGCCTATCACACAGGCAATTTTGACTGCTGCACGGTTCTGAAAGGATAACAGTGTACTATCCGAGTCCATGCTCTTGCTGCTATACGCTTTTGATGCACGCTTTGAGATATCGGCATCTCTTATTCAGATAAAGGGAGCAATACACAAACGTAAATGCCGCTGAAGTTTGGGTCATGTTGCTTTCTACCTTTATTTCAACCACTGCACAGAGTACGCTTTCAGCTAGAAGATCTTGTCCATCAACTATATACGTATGTTTTGACCTAACGAAAAGAGAGCCGAAACATTATCTGTCTTCCAATCTACAAAATGACAATATTCACAGACAAACAACATGCTTCGTATTCGGGCGTGAAAGGTCGACATAAAAGCAGAAGATGTCTGGACCTCGTTGCCTGTGTATTTACACAATGTGTCAGTGCTGCAATCAATTCTATAAGGTCTCTGAGATATCTGAGTGCAGTATTTTTGGTGATTTTTGAGCAGGGTCGTCCTTCAACAGCTCTGCGAGCATCGAGATATCTTCATTGGCGGTGAGATATTGGAGAATCTCTTTATTGGGCATCAGACAATTATACTCTATGATTCTAGTCGCCGCCTAGCACTGGAAGGCCTTGATGATGTGTCGGGATGGCGAGTTCTGTATCATCCACACCAAATCTATAATTTTACTGGCGGTATGTGCTCATGCCACTAGGAAACACATAGCCTCAGAAGGCGATACGCAGCAAAGCATGATAGTGTGGCTATAGTCAATCAGGCAATAAAATAGCAAATGAGAGTCGCAGTTGTCTTTGGTATTGGAATAGAAGCAAAAGACGCTATGCCTTGAGGAACCTACTCATAGCGAAACAATAGCAAAAGAAATCTCCTCTCTCTGAGTCGAACAAAGGACCTTCTGATGACAATCGAACAATTACAGTCAGACGCTCTAAACCAACTGAGCTAAGAAGAGATTGATGGAGGACTAGCTCATAAATTTCATATATATACCTGTTGCAAAAATCGCCAACTGATCATTGTCACCCAAGCCAAAAGTGACTTACAATAGTCCAAGATACCTCGGAACGAGCAAGACAATTCAGACTGTAAAGCAGAACTTCGTTGTCCAAACCTCATACAAAATTGTTGAGGTTGGCCACCACAACTGCAAGCAACCGAGAACAGCAAGTACAACTGCCGTCTAGCCATGCTTTCCGGTACCCCGGACCGTCGCTTGTCAATGCCATATCAAAAAATGCATGTTGGCCCCAATCCGTTCTGCCATACACATGGGATCTTCTGTCGTGGGTTGAGTTTCGGAAGACCCTCGGTGCGTCTTTCCTTCTTCTCCCCATATCCCCGTTGGTCTGTTGATCTACAGAATGGAAGAGACCTTTTTGACACGAAAAGAAGGGCAAGAAATTCAGAAACAAGGGACTCGAAAGCGGAACGATGTAATAGACTTTGAAGGGTTTCAAGGGTCCTCCGTAGCGACTTTTCTCCGTTTGACGCCAACATGACAGACATGCCATGGTAGAGACAGCACCCTGGTCCGCCACATTGTCTAGCTTCAGAAAAACTACAAGGCATGTGCAGTTGCATCAGCGTGCATGTTGTGTGTTTTGCTTCGGGGGCGTGTGAGCGAGCAAAGAAGAGTGAGTCTCGGTCCGTCACAGCAGGGTCGCGGATGCTCGTGCAGAGTCGGAGCTTCGGACTGTCTACCGTCCCATTTCCATGTGCGCTGGGGCGGGCACTGCGGGAGAGGCTTGGTCTACATAATCAATTCTTGGTAAGGTGTCGTGTGTCCGTTAAGCCTCAACAATGCTTAAACGAGGCTCTACAAAGCCATTGGCAAGTCAAACTCGAAGGCAGTCCAACAAAGCTTTGATTGTGTGATGAAGCGAATTAATTGTAGATGGCAATCTATCTTGCAGGTTGCAATAGGCGGCCTGTTGAATCTCGTTTGGAGATCAGTAAACAGACAATTTACGGAGCATGCTCAGTGGGGTATATCGATCTACTAGATTACCATACGTGTTGCGGAGCAGTGGACGTTGTGGATGTGAATATCACTCCTGACTATCGTCTCAGGTCTTGCGCTGTGCAGCGACGCGTACACACTGCAAGCCCTCTTCGAGTCAGACAAAGATGGCTCTAGTTCTAGATGCGCACTCCAGGTCCGCAGCACCATCGTACGAGTTGCATCTACGCTGCGCACATGCTTTGTCAACCATTTCGTGTCCTGTCTGGCTTGGGGCAATTTCCGTGTGTGCATTTGGTCCGCGGCGTGGATTCAAAGCTATTGTACGAGGCGGCGGCGGCGGCAGCGGAAGGCGCCATACATCCCAGTCTGCCACGTTGGTCTTCTGGAACAAACGGCAATAATATAGACAGGTTGACAATAGGCGAGATATGACGGGGCGTTTGTTGGTTGCTCCAGCCATGCATACCATAAAGTGCAAATTGTTCGTTTAGCAGATTGAGTATAGATCTTAGGTAATGGCTACCGTCGGTTTAAGCTTAATGACTCGCATGGGCTTCGAGGCAGCTCGAGCAGAGCAAAGCCGCACACCCAACCACTTCGTCGGGCGGCTTTGTTACAGCTTCGCTCTTGGTGCTTGGTCCGTAGAAGCAAGACCTAGATCTTCGACGATGCCTCGAGCGATGCCTCTAGCAATCGCCATACCTGTGATCATCGGATTCACTCCGCTCGCTCCTGGGAATACAGAAGTGTCAGCTACATAGAGGGATTGTGTATTCCACACAGCACCCCGCGGATCCACAACACTGTTCATGGGCGAAGAACCCATCCTCGCCGTACCCATTTGGTGAGCTGACACCTGCCCAGCATCCCCTGGCAGCCCGTTGACAGTAAACAGTTCCAGACGGGAGAGCCACTTCGTGAACTCGGGGTCGTTTATGCTTGCCGTGACTCCAGCATCTTCCCCAGTCTGGCTGGCATCGATCGCCGATGAGTACGTTTTGACAGATTCGCGGCGTATGAATGGAGGCACGCCGGCGACACCAACGTGAATTTCGCGTGCCCCTTCGACAAAGGCGATCTTAGCCAGTGCGACAAGGCCGACTGCAATGTTCCTCTGATCCGGCTTTGATGTGTCGTACTTGACTCTGACTCGGTATTTGTCTTCTGGATCAGCGTAGACTTCACCTTCGCCTTTGTCTCTGGCGAGCGATATCCAGCCTGCCATACGCTTGAACTTGGCAGCATGCACCTTCCATTCTAAACCAGATTTCCAGTGCATCAATGGGAGGACCATGCTAGGAAGCATAGTGACGCATTCCAATTTGCAGCCGTAGCCTGTTGAATCAATATTCTCGTATTCGTTGACGACCGAGGTCAAAATACCACCTTCCCACGGCATAATGTCTTTATCAAAGACGCCGAATAGAGTGTTGACGGGATGCAATTTCAAGTGCTTGCCAAGATGGGGATTCTGAATACCGCTCCTCTCGAGAAGCAGCGCGGTGCCTCCAAGTGCGCCAGCAGCTACGACCACGGCGCGCCTGGCGTAGATTGTGACCGGACGCCTATACACCTTTCCAGACACGCCGCCGGATTCGTCTCTAGAAGTCCAAACGCCTCGAGCGCCAATGGCAATCTTGTTTCCGTCTTGTGTTTTATCTTTGGCGTATATTACTTTCTCGCACTGAAAGCCTTCAATAAATTTGGCACCATGTCGAGCAGCGTCAGGGAGCCAACTCTCTGTCGGTCCTTTCTTGCCGCAGCTACCACAGCCAAGTGTGCAATAACCACATTGGTGAGCTTCCCCAGCGGTGTTCTGGGGCACGGGCTTCGCCCTCATACCGAGCTTCTGGGCACCGTCCAGAAGCATTTGATTTCCAGGGTTGTGTTTGATACCTTGTGTTCCAACGCCCATGGTTTCGCAAACTGCGTCCATGTCTTGTTGGAATGCAGAACTCTCGAAGTATGGCAAGTTGTGTTTCTTGGCGAATTCTTGTCGGACAAATGGCTGGAGCTGGAGCGACGCAGACCAGTTGACAGTACCCCCTCCACCGAAGCATGACCCAGCTAGAATTCCCATCTTACCAGTATCTGAAAGTGTCACACCTCCGTTGGCAAACAGATGCACCATTCCGTTTTTCTCCGACATGGGAAGGTGATTTGGCTTCCAATGATAACCTTTCTCGGCTACTAGAACTTGAAGTCCGGACCGTGCCAGAACAGAAGCGGCAACTGCGCCAGTACATCCACTACCGATGATAAGAACATCAGTCTCAAAGGTGGCTGGAATAAGTGCAGCCCCCTGGGGAAGTGGAGGAAACACCACAAAGGGAAAGTCGAAGCCTGGTCCATAGCTATGATTGATAGGTGTATAGGGATAAGACAAGATGCGGCCAAGAGTAGGGGATGTGCGCGTCCAGTACGCCTTTGTCATATCGTTAAACGTCCTGAAGAGCACTCGGAAGATTTGCAAACGTGCTGTAGCCCATGATTGTACAACCCTTTCCCGCTGGCGCAGGGAGAGTTGTGCGAACGGTGTTAGGTGACCGGTCAAAAGCCAGGAAGTACGAGCATTNACTGTTTGGTGTTAGCGACCGAGTTGTTGCTAAGGGCTGAGAGTCTACTACGTCAAGGCATCAAGAATAGTCAAGAGTTCCTTTCTTCCTTCTCCGTGAATCTGCTGTGCGAGTAGCCTGTAGATGGCCTCNCTGAACTCAGGACATGAAGTTGCCGACTCTGCCAGGTATTCGGACAATAGGGCTTCATCTGTAACGTTCGTATGGTGCTTGATAGTATCAACGGCAGCTGTAAATTGAGCCTCCTTGGTTATCTCCTCGCTAGCCTGTGTCTCTGGGGATATTATAGTATCAACGATTGAAGCCAACGTAGTCCACTGGCTCTCGGTCAAGATTTGGTTGTCTTGGAAAGGAGACAGGGGACTCGGAGTTTGTTGGGTCGTACGACGTTGGTTTGACATCTCGAGTGGCTGTAAGCAACGTGGAAACCCGTTGATGGTGCCGAGATTTGGGCTTCGAGCTTGGCTTTTGAGGGATATACAGCGAACGTTCGATACTGTGTGAAACCAAAACAATCAATATCGTAGCAGAAGAACGGCCTTTCGTTGCTGTATGAATGTGCGGTTGCAAGTCTTTTGAAGATAAACGTCGAGTTCTACCCCTCACAACGTCGTTTTCACAGCCTCGGCTTGGCTCAGGAATGGATGTTGACTTGGAAAGTGGCAGAGGATTGATCAAGTTGAGGTGATGAATTGAGCGACCTGAGCGGCATGCATCAACTGCATGCATGTGTGCCTGTAGATCCTGCTAATGGGTACGAGTCCAGAAGGACGGGGTTTCAGCAGATATCACTGCTCGTGAATGCTTGTATCTACTACGAATGACTTTAATAGCGCTGGTATGCCTCATCGAATACCTAACAACCCAGGAGTGTGCTGCCCAACGATGCAACAATCGAATAGGTTCATATCCAGATCGTCTTTGCCAAATGGCATCGTATTCGAGGTCTCACGATAATCAGACGGGAGGTGATGTTCGTTTTCGCTCTACGCTTACCCACATTGTGGAGCCAATCAGAGGACAAGACATCGTCGGGTAAGAGTCATGCAGAAGAGGTTGAGATGCGAGTCTGGATCCCAAGATCATCCAGGAGTTGTTTCATCAACCAGAATACCAGTCCAAGATCATCCCTCTCGGCTTGTCGCATCACAACAATGGGCAACTGCCAGCAGTCAGCCGACCCTGACTTTGAGTCGTTGTAAAAGGTGCTGAATACCGAGAGCGAGATAAGCAACGGAAGGCCTCGGCTGAATTCATTTGATTTTCAATGTCTCAAACCCAGCCATGTGGCAGCCCTGGAAGCGATTCGCAAAGAAGCTTGGCGGGGCGAGCCAAATAAAGATGAGCCGAGCACTGTCCTTTCGTTCTTTGGTGTTGAAGTCGNCAAAGGCGGAGGGCCATCTCTCCAAGATGGATTCGATGTGTCAGAATCCAAACCNNTTCTTCGTCGCTCTAGACAGCTAGATTTATGGGCTGNTTATGGGCTTTTGTCGGTGCTTTGATTTGACGATGGGCAGTAACCTGCACCAAACAGACCGACCTGGAGGGCACTCCGAGTTGTTACATCNNCGAGTCCCCGACTCGGAAGGAGGTTGCTGGAACATCGGAAGCGGAAGCGTGAGTCAAGGGGAGTCTGGAGGAAACATCTCAACCAGACCTGTTACACGCGACAAGACAAGTGCTATCCTCGCATGAAACCTGGTTGAAAGGAGTTGATAGAAATGCAACGGACGACTCAGTTTCCGCGGCTGCAAGATGGTGCTTCCGCGCCAGAACGCATGGCTGAAGAACGCAGCGAAGACTGGGGGCCGTTACAAGTTACGATATGGTGCAGCCAACCACGAACAGCAGATATACGCGGTCGAGTCGGATGGCTTGCAGCGCTTCCTCAGTTCTGCCGGACCGTGAGTTCACACGAGAGCCGGTGGCCGCCACTAGGAATGCTAAAGACGTAGCGGCTACGAGGTTGTTGGGAAGAGAAGGTCGAGCATGCGACAGTTGACACGAGCCAATGAGAGCAGACTGGCTTATCTCTGCGACTGAGTCGAGCAGTCCCAAAGCGGGATGGAGTGGGCAGCCACTCATGCAGGATGATGCTCGCCCGCCAGAAGCAAAGTTATCTCGTGGATCTTTTGACCCTGTCGCCAGAAGGATATGAATTAAGATTTGATGAGTATTGCTTTGTAGCAGCGGTGTCGAAAAGTGTACTGCCTACTTTTCTCATTCTTGCTCGCCTTGCAGAAACAAAGGAGAGCGGCGGTTTCGTCAGTAGACGCAAAAGGCGGAGGAGCGTGTCATAATCTGTGGTCAACACGGCGCGCCGCTCTATCTCCCCAGCACACGGTCGCTCGCAGTTGACAGCGTTGAATCTCGGTCGGCCGTTGGCTTTGCTCGCAGCGCTTTGAGTCGCTTTTGGTCCCTTCGCCGCATCAGCCAAGGGTCCTCGACTATCCACCTAACCACCCATAGCGCCGGACGTAACTCAAACCTTGTTGCGCTCGCCAGGCTAGGCGTGCCGTGTCAAGCCCCCATCTGCCCCAGTCGACTGTTACGCTGCACGCGAGTGGCCTCATATACATAGCCCATCTTGCCCACCTGTCTTGTCCGGAAGGTCATCGTGTGCTACACTACATACCACAGCCACCACTCTTATTATTTACCTCTTATCTACTCCATCCCCTTTCTCACGCGACATACCTGAAACCCGGGTAGCCTTGCACCTTGCAGTAGACTGTCCACGTACCTGGTTGGCCAGCTATCTCTCTTATCTCGCAGCCCTTGTGCATCTCCGTTCCATCTCCAGCTTTGGATCATCTTCATCCCCCTGCAGACCGACATTTCGCATCGCTCCTTGCGTCTCCCCACAACCTACGACACCCTACGACTGGATACTTAACGACCACCCTCCACATATTTTTATGTTCTAGATCGACTTATCACACGACCAATATTCAACATGGCCACCACTTTTGCCCAGCACCCTCAACCTTTGCAGTCGCCCACCTACATCTACACCAGCCAGCCTCAGTATGGCGATTCGACTACTCCTCCCTCAAACAATGTCTCTCCTTCCAACCGCTCCGCATACATGCACGCCAAGCAGGTCCGCCAGCCAAAGCAGCCCCTCTACGTCCCTGCTGTCCTGCGCCCTACAGAGCTGCCTGGCTCGAGACAAACGTCGTTGACCCCTCCCCGCAGCGCACACAGCAGCATGGACATGTCTAGAGATGGTTTCAAGTTCGCTGCCCCCGTTGGTCTCGCATCTCCTCCTCTTAGCCCCGACGAGGACGACTCTAGATCTTTCGGCCCCTGGGGTCCCGCCAGCATCACTAGAGTCGTCTCCGACGAGTGGACCGAGACTCAGGGTGCTGTCACTGGCGCTCCCACAAGAAACCACTGGAAGCCCGACCACAGTGCTGCACAGTGCAAGTCTTCCACATGCACTCGTCCCTTCTCCATGCTCAACCGTCGTCATCACTGCCGTCGCTGCGGAGACATCTTCTGTGCCAGCCACAGTCCTCACGCCATCCCCCTCGACCAAGAGGCTCGCTTCCACCCCGAGGGTACCCTTCAGCGTGCTTGCGACAACTGCTGGACTGACTACCGTGGATGGCGTGCTGCCCGCCCCTCGCGCCAAAACAGCGTCACCAGCAGAGACAGCAACGAGACCATGTTCACTCAGCCCGTCGGCGTTCCCAGCGCAAACAAGACATCCGAGGAACAGCCCATCGGCAGTGTTGCTCAGTCCGTTGGCGGCAACTGGAACTGGAGCACCTTCTAATTTACGACCTTACCGACTCTACGACACGCCAGCTTCACCTATACCCAAGGCTGAGCGTCAACGTTTTCCTATTCTTGATCATGCGTTTAAGCGCTTCCTTTCTCGCTCCTCTGACTGTCGCTTGGTCGCAGCAGAGTACATTGTTTACCTTCCATTGACGCTTTGAGCGAATGATACCACTTATTGGATTGGGTATTAGCCCATTAATTCTTTCGTTCTTGTTTACTGTATGGCGTCCAGACGCTTTTGGGGCATCACATATACACGGCATTGGTGCCTGGGTTGATATGGGAGTTTTGGTTTGCTTTTTNCCGGTTGATACCATGGATAAGGAGTTCTTTCTAGACNNTATGCAATTACACGATTATTTCCACCTTCTAAANTCACATCCCTTATCATATTGATGCTCTAGTGTTTCTCGCGTTTTCTTCCTTATCCGTCGTCACTGATTGACATGTTGAGGGTACGTCGTTTCTTCTTCCGCCGCTGTTTCTGAGCATGACGCCGGATGCGCTGAGACGCCGTGCCAGGGTAAGCAATTCCCAACACGNTCGGCAAGTGACGGTCGCAAAGCTGGATCCTGCACGACGATCCCCAACAGTGCATGACATGGCTGTCTCATGGTAAGCGGTGCCAAGCCTACTCTACATGATGAAGATCGTCTATTATTTTAGTCCTTTCTGACGAGACTCCCCCATGCCCTCACGAGTAACCATGGATAAGCAAAAACGTAGAGGAAGCTTATGTAACCACATGGCTATGGCTTCGCTTAGTTGTTGTCTAAACGATGGTCAATCGAACCACATTGAATGTTTTATTTGATGCTCCACAGCTCTATTGCTTCTTGAATAACAAGAACCTATATGTGTGGAGTCCTTGTGGGAAAGGACCGAACGCAATGCGTTGGAGGAGAGAGGGCAACGGCCTGGGTGAGGGTAACACCGGTTCGAAGCAGGAAGGAGCTCGCACGAGCACTCTACAGACTGTTGGAAAGAGTTGGGCTGGGAGAAGAAGCCCCACACATAGAGCACGGCCCAAGCCACGAGGAAAGAACAGGACCGAGCCGGAACAGAGACGCAAACCAGAGGAGAGAAGAGGGTTGATGGTGGGATGTTGACTCGTGGGAGTACTGGAGGGCTGGCTTCTGGTCATGGGCACTTCTTCGATCTGAAGTATTGCTTCCTGTTTGCAGAATATTCTTCCTCACTCGACGACTTGTACGACATCTGCAGTCTTTTGGGAGCGTCCTAGCGAGCGACAATCTTCCAGCTCGCCAAACTAGATTTATTGCTTTGTATGGGCTGAATCGTGGAGAACAATTACCATATTATCGCTTCGCACCGTCGTCCTGCTCGCTGACGCAGTGTTCTGCGCGATAGATTATTGTTCGCCTGTGAGCCTGTCAATCTCAGCGTTGTACAGTTGCTATGGATCTCACGATCTCATTTCATCTATCCAATTCGTCCATCACAACAACAAGGCAAGCTGTCTCTGATGCTTGACTTCGGGTTTGTTTTTATTCCTATTTTTCTCTCCGACAACTGGTAAAAGGCTGGTCGATGGAAAGGTCGTCCTTTCTGACTCGAATCCAAGCAGATCATTCAAGATACCTGATAGCATGTACCATTTGCTCGCTGTCTCAAGCCTTAAATCTCCATCATCAACCGCGCACATGGCTCGGCACATGGATTGCAAAGTCTATCATGACGAGGACCGCCGCGATTGGAGGAAGCGATTCCGCATCCCTCAGGGACATCGTCCTCTCTCTCGATTGCATCGAAGCCTTTGACATCACTCGACCAAGTCTGGAGCGCACTCCGACGGCCCTTCTCTTGCCCTTCTCGCTTCCTTGGAGTCCTCGGCCTTCTTCCCTTGTTTGTCTGCATATGCTTTCGCGGAGCTACAACCTTGAGGTGGTATTCATGAATCGAAGATGGCTGTGATCGCGATACCATGATTCGCAGTTTTCACATGAAGAATCCTTTGACAGGTAAAAGTACAAAGTCTCAATTTACGGCCGGAGTCCCATGACGCTGGAGAAGGGAAGAACGCCGATGTCCGAAAGGGTCTCGACTCCAGGCTCGATTCATGTTATCGCCAAGAGGTGCCCTCCTGCATGCCCTCTGTCGCACAGGAACAAGAAGCCGACCTTCAAAAATGCACATCACTCTCGGTGCTCTCATGAAGCACAATTTACGGGGTCATCCATGAATAATATCTAACACTGCGTTCTCGCTGCCACGACTCTTCACATCGAAAAGATCACATCACCACAACTACTTCGATACAGAAAGATGTGTCCAAGTTTGTCGGCCGAACCCATCTCCGTCGGCCGACAATATCTCCTTGTCGAGGCAGCATCTTTTGCATGCTGAGTCACCTCTACAAGAAACAAATCGATTACCTGCGGCGTGAGAGGCCAATAGGATAACAACCCTTTGACGCCACAGTGGCGACTGCTACGAAACGCGTGGCTGAGCTGCCTATTCCCCAGCTTCTAGTACAGACTTGCCTCTTCCAGGCTCTTCCATGCTGGTGATTGGAAATGGCATTGGACGAATAGGCGGGAAGTCGGAGCTGTTGTGGCTGATGAAGTGACGACTCTGTATACACGTCTTTGATGTTGTTGCCTTGAGCTCTTGAAGGTAGGTATGCATATAAGGTAGGTTTGTTTGCATCAAATCATTTTCGTTCCTTCTCATCAATACAATATCATACCAATCATGTCGAATACTAGAAACATGAACCAAGCCAACAACTTCTGGGACTTTGTCGCCAGTCTGCAGAACAACCAGGGTGCATCTCCTTTTGCTGAAGGCAGAGGTCCTGCTGCCGACTTCGATCCATTCCAGGGTCAGGAGTTCTGGGCCCCTTGGATGAGCCAACGTGGCAGAGGACCTCATCATGGTCATCCTCATGGGCATCGCCATGGCAGAGAAGGCCACAGACCTCCACCTCCTCCCGAGCACGACGGAAATGTCCCTCCTGCTCCGCCAGTGCCTCATGTCGATGAGCCTTCTCGCTCGCCAAGTCCACCCACTCCTCCTGAGACGCCTGCAGAGCCTCAGCATCATCCCCACAGAGGTCCATCTCCTCACCAACATGGACCCCGTCATCCTCACCGAGGACCCCCTCCTCACCACGGGCCCCATCACCACCGTGGTGGGCACAGAGGAAGAGGTAGAGGCGGCCACGAACATCACAATCACGGACCTCGTGGACCTGCGCCTTTCCCCTTCGATTTGAATGCACTCGCAGAAGCTTTCGCGCCTGCTCTCTTTGGCAATAACAGCCCATTCACCAGCGCCGCCAATCCTGAAGCCTTCACCAAGGAAGCATCAAAGAACGCCACCAACAACAACAACAACAACACCAACATCGGCACTTTCACACCAACAATCGACCTCTTCAGCACCCCCACCTCCTACATTCTCCACACCTCCCTCCCCGGTGCGAAGAAGCCAGACATCGACATCACCTACTCCTCCACCCGCAACAGCATCACCATTTCCGGTGTGATTGCCCGCCCCGACGTCTCGGAGACAATGATGAACTGTTTAATCACCGACGAACGCAGAGAAGTGGGTTTGTTTGAACGGGAAGTCAAGCTAGAGGAGGGTGTCAAGGTCGACGAGGAGAGGATTGGTGCTAAGCTCGAGGATGGCGTGTTGAGGGTTGTTGTGCCCAAAGTCATCCAGGAGGAAGAGGAGGGGTGGGAGAGTGTGAGGAAGGTCGAGTTGGAGTAAGATCTCACACGACGATGTAATGAGAAATGAACAAGAAGGAAAATCGGAAGTAGCAAAAACATTTGTTTGGAATGGCAGAAAGAGGAGGAATGGGTAGTCTTTGATCGAGTATATGTCCTTTATTGAATCTTGTTTGTCGTTTGAACATACTCTCTCTTCATCTGTTGTGACATGTTGTTTCTTGTTCATCTTTTCATGTCGACACATCGGGCTGTCATCAATTTTGTCGACACATTAGGCCATCTGACACAATCGTCGACGGAAGACGTACAAGTCGATGCTGTTGTATGCGCCTGAACGTCTTCGTGTATCTATACACACTACTCGATATTACAAGCAGCTTGATCCGCCGAGGGCAAGAAGCATATAATCCTACACACAGGTGGAACTGTTCAGCTTTTCCTCGGATTGTCAATACCGCACACTGTCAGCTCCTTCGTGACCAAAGATCTGTTCTCATCCATCATAGAAACCACAACCCTAACCCGAGTATACACCCGTGAACTCTTAGAAGTCTAAAACCAGCCCTGGCGCGACTTCTTCGAGATCCTGTACATCCAACCAAAGCCCATCATCCACCTTTTGACCCCCAGCCTCCCTCATCTCTCTTCTTTCTTTCGCGACTTCAGTAGCTCTAGCTACCGCCTCTCTGACAAACAAATCCAGATATCTTGCCGTCAATGCATTGGCATCTCTGCCTATCTTCGTGCTCTTGTCTTCGAAGCTTTCGTGCAGTAGACGCGTTAGAAGCGCCGACGGAAGCAGTGGTATATCATCTTTNTTGCTGCCTATTGTTGCGGCAGCGGAGTGTGTGGGTGCAGCGGGCACAGGCTCAGGTTGGACGGCCGAAGATAATGGCGATAGAGAAGGCAGGCGTGTGGGTAGTTGTGGCATTGTCTTTTGGCGTTTGGCGGCTGGTTCGAGGGTGGTGGGTGGAGCAGGACGTCTGGTGGGCGCGGCAGAAAAGTCATCATTGTCTTCGTCTTCGTCGGAGATCATCAGGGCTTCAAGATCATCCTTGTCGAACTGGGCGCTGGCGGATTGGAAGCCTGAAGTGTGGTTTGTGTTCCATGCTTGTGGTCTTGTGCCAGACACGGTTCTGGAGATTGATGTTTTGGGTTTTTGTGCTGTGGGAGCGGGTCTAGGAGGGGCGTTGCCGCTGGAGGAAGAGGTTGCGCCACCTTTCGCGATAGCTGGAGGTTTAAAGGGGCGTTTTGTCGCTGCTGTGGCGCCTACTTGGGAGGGTTGACGGTATGGAGGTGGCATGTTTGTTCGACTGCGAGACGGACGTCGAGAAATGAGAGAACGCGTCACGCGTTGGGCGTCAGACTTTCCATCAAGGTGCTGGGAGGGTCATCATCTCGCAACACTCGTCACCTCTCTCAACCATGTTTGACTCCTCCAAGAACGATATATTTAGGCGCGTAGAAGTCCATAATGCTTATCGCCTATCATTTGATGGTCTATCTGCGATATGCGCTGTTCGTTGCCTTGCCATGGTCAAATGCTGTATCTCGATGCAAGGCAACCACCACTAATGCTCACTACTCCGCCTCGATAGCAATTCTTCCACCAACTGCACCGAGCCTCTCTGTCAAGCAATCAAAGACAGCTTACAAAGGAAGTATGTCTGAATATGTTCTACCGGCTCCTTTTCACCGATTCATCTCCTGCCCTTCGCACCCTCCTCTAGCCCACCCTTCCCGCAAGAACCGCCTAACCTGCACTCTACAACCCACAACCAAAGAACCACCATCCCACTCTCGCAAGATCAACCATCTCCCTTCTTCCCTCTACACACAAAGATGTGCACCCAATTCTACCGCCGCTACTCCTGCGGCGACAAACGCAAAGAAGACTTTCGCCAGTGCGAAAAACGTCGCGGTACAAACGTCCGCTGCGAACCCGTCGAATCGAAATTCTATAAANGAAGCCGCACAGCACACTATTGTATCGATTACATGGTTTCGGACCCGAGTGTGGGCATGAAGAGGGTTGTTGGTGGGAAGAAACAGAAGAGTTAGACGAGGAGGAAGGGAATATCCATAGAGAAACCAAGATAGGTTGGACGGTCTGTAGGGGGACTAATGGTTGTTTGCGTCCTTCGTCGATGGTAACAATACTTGTATATGTTTCGGTTCACGTTGATGGTGGCCCAGTTTTTCAAATCACAAGCACTTTGCTGTTGGCTGAACTGGCACCGTGAGAAAGTTTAGGAATGTGTGTCATTTTGAAATTCATATGGTCAAAGAGGTCATGATACGCACAAAACGCAGCAAAAAGGGACGGACGATTAATATGCAAGGGGTTCGACATTCACTTTTGTCCCAGACTCCCTTATGCAGCCCACTCGACAACCTCGAGAGCAAGCATGACCAACACAAGCGTGCTGGGCAAGATCCAGACAACGTAACTTTGCACCAGCAATTTGGACATGACACCCATGAAGACACCATTGAGCTGGCAGATTTGAGCGAGTTGAAGAGCAGAGGGAGCGCCAGTAAGCAAGAAGCAGACAATGACGAAGATAGGATCATCGAGGATGCTGACAGGGACGTATTTGGCGAAGATGGCGAGGAAGGGAGCCATGATTAGGGTGGGTAGGAGCATGCGGCTGACGAGGGCGGCGATGAGGAGGTTACGCTCTTCCTTCTTGCCTTCGGGAGTGGTAACCAGTTCTTCTTGAGGGAGGGTGTTGCGGGCGAGGTTTGCACCTAGGACGACAAGGATCAAGGGGACGGCGACACCACCGCTCTGCTGGATCGCACGAGTGACGGAGTTGGAGACAAAGGTGTGGGGAGCGAAGAATGTGTGCTGGAGCTGAGGCACCGACGCGACGATCAAGGCAGCGACCATGGCCCAGAGAGGAGGGTTCATAAACTCCCAGACGCCCTTGAAGAAGCGACCGGTGTAGTGAGAGACGGTGCTCAAGAACTTTTGCATGCCTGGAGGGAGCTTGGCGAACATGCTGTTGAAGAAGGACTTGATCGAGGCGCCGATGCGAGCGAAGAATTGCGAGATGCTGGCCTTGATACCAGTAGGAGCTTCGGACTGATCAGTTGAAGCAGTCGAGTAGTTGGGGAACTGTGTCATGTGGCCAGTCGAACGTTGACGAGGACCAAGATGGCCGGCAAGATTGCCAGGTCCAGTACCGACAATGTTTCCGTTGGCAGGTGTAGCCATGACTTCGCTGTCGACAGGCTTCACAGTGGTAACGTCGTTGGACGATGAAGAGCCGATGGAAGAGACGGTGCTAGGAGACTCGTCACCAGAGGCCGAGCCACTGATCTTCTTGGTAGAAGACGAAGCCTGCTCCAAGTCTTCTTCGTCGAGATCGTCGCGGTATCTACCCTCTTCAATCAGGTTGTCCCTCTCTTCATCAGCAAGCTTGGTGTCCTCGACAGCGGGAGCGAGCAGAACATTGTAGCCCCAGGTCCAGCGCACCAATTGGCCGAGTTGTTGGAAGATGAGCAGGTACAAGATACCTCTCGCAGCAACTTCATTGTCGTTATCGTGGGGNATGCGGTCCCAATGCAGACCTTTGAGAGTCTTGGATAGCGAGATGACGAGCGAAATGGGCAGCGAGTTGGAATTGCCAAAGACGCCCATGGCGATGACGAAGTTGGTCTGTCTCTTACCGAAACCAAAGGCCTTGGACATGAGACGAGCGCAGATCCATGAAACAAGAGTCTGGACGCAAAAGATGACGGGAATGACGGCAAGGTCGGCGAGCTTATCGGCATTGAGTTGCGAGGCGAGCTTGGTAAAGACTAGACACGGCGTGAAGAGCTGCACGTTCAGATTGGCGACCATTTTCTGGGCTTCTGCGTCGAACATGCCTCGCCTGGCTACAATGTAACCCGGCAGACTGACGCATACCACCTCGAGCACAGCTTCGAAGACCAGCAGCACCAAGTGGGCAAAGTCTGGATGTGATGTGTGGCCGTTCCCTAGGGCCAGCATGGGGAGCTCCATGGCTGCAGATGTGTATCTTCTCTCTTTCAGACCGTCTAATCCAGTTGACAAGACATTCGCGGCATTGAGGCGGTATGAGGTTGGAGCAGTAAACCAGGTCATGGCGGCGTTTTGGGTGAGAGCTCGCTGCGATAAGCTTCTTGTCGCGCCTGTGGTGGTGCTGGTCAGGTCGCGTGGGGGTGGATATCTGGACACGACACTTTTGAGTCTTGAATCGAAAAAGCGAAGGAAGGCGCGTATCAATATGCAAACTTCCAGAGGGCAGAAGTTGGTTGGCGTGCTTCTTTGACCAAGCGCCCACTTTCAACCAAAAACAGCTGCCATGCATGCGTCACTGCCAAGAAAGTGCTATCCAGAGTCAGAGCCTGTCCAAGGAACTCTGTCTCCACCACGCCATCATTCTTCTGCTATGACATGTGCTCAGCCTCTTTGCCTACATGTAGGGCGCCTGATGTGAACTGTATTGCGCCATCTCCTCACAGCCAAGCGCCGTCTTTACACAGCCTGCCTATAGCACCGTCCACCACACGGGTGCTTTCTTGGAGAAGTCGCAAGTCCGCGCGCCAATCATGACGCTGAACCCGCTACACGTTTCTACCCAGCCTCGTCCGTCGACACTCTGTGAAACCTGTGATACTTGCACCACGACGGGCACAACCGCCGGCCTCTCCTTTATCTCGACAGAGACACGACCGCATGTGTTTGATAACCTCTCAGCAATTCCACCGACAACCCCACATATCTGCATCCTTCGTGCCTTCGCCTATTAGAGACATCAATCTATTCCACGCACTACCGCTCTGAATTTGCATGCAGCCTAACTTGCGTGCCGAGTGCGGTCAGAAACTTTCCATCATGATAGGTCAACCTCGACAGAAGGATGCACTTTGCCAAAGCACGTTGAAAATCTTTTCAGAGAATGTATATCAACTTATATATGCCCAAGCACAGCTGACCCACTATGGTCGCGTCTGTAGAAGAGGGGTCTGATCAATATGGTAGGTACGACTTATATATCGGTAGGTCCTGACCGGCCCCAGCTGCTCGTGTCACAATCGCCTTTGGGCTTTGTCCTAGAACAGCACACCAGAACCGTCAATCTTATCTCAGGAACGTGTCAATCATGGCACTTCTTGACAGCCTGCCGAACGTCGGCATTCTCGCAATATCTGCAGTAGTTCTGTACTTTGCAACACATGCCATCTACAACCTCTACTTCCATCCGCTCTCACAGCACCCAGGACCTTTCCTCAATGCAATCTCTCCCCTGCCTCGCCTCTGGCTGAACATCAACGGCCGCGAACCTCAGACGGTCCTCAAGTGGCACCTCAAATATGGCCCTATCGTTCGCATGGCACCCAACGAGCTCTCATTCATCACTCCGGCCTGGAAGNAAATCTACGGCTTCAAGAAGCCAGAACTGACCAAGGATTGGACCATGTATGCGTTATCCGAGAACACAAAGAGATCCATTCTTTTGTCGGGTGCCGACCACGGAAGACAGAGAAAGATGCTGGCACCAGCATTTAGTGAAAGAGCTTTGAAGTTGCAGCAGAGTATGTTGACAACCTACACTGGTATGATGGTTGAGAGATTGGAGGAAAGGATGCAGCAGAACAGGTCGATTGATATGGCTAAAGTGTTCAACTGCGTTACGTGAGTAATGTCTTGATCCCCAAGTGTTCGATTTGAGAAAGAGATCTTTTGTGAAACGTGAGGAAAACAACATGCTAATCACCCAACAGCTNTCGACACCATTGCCGACCTGATGTTTGGCAAACCTCTCGGTCTCTGCAAAGACATGGAGTACTCGGACTGGCTCTCACAACTTTTCGTCTCCATTTGGCTCGTTGGTTCCTCTCGCGCTCTTCAATACTTCCCTATCCTCTTCCGCCTCGCAACCATGATGATCCCGAAACATATCCAGGACTCAGTCGACGCTTCCTACCAAAACACCGTCGACAAGGTGAACAAGCGTCTCGAGATGAAGACCGAGAGACCCGACATGTTGGGACTTATGCTCAAGCACAAGGAAGAGGGCGCCGAGATGACAATGGACGAGTTGTATGCGAATGCCGATTTGTTGATGATTGCTGGTACGGAGACCACAGCGACGAGTTTGTGTGGATTGACGTGGCATTTGTTGAACAACAAGCCTGTTCTTGAGCGCTTGACCAAGGAGATCAGGGAGGCTTTCACCAGTATCGACGACATCACCATGGAGTCATTGCCGAGATTACCTGTAAGTAACGTCGAAGCCAAGCTACGAGGGAAACAAGCTAATCAGAACCTAGNNTACCTGTCTGCCTGCCTGGAAGAAGGCATGAGAATGTTCCCTGCCGTCCCCGAAGGTCTTCGTCGCATCACCCCTGCCACAGGCGCAACCATCAGCGGCCACTTAATCCCAGCAAACGTACGTTGCCTTCCCTTTACCCCCACTTCACAACTCCCTACTAACCATTCCCATGCACACAGGNTCAAAGTCAGCATCCCCCACTACGCAGCCTACCACCACCCCACCAACTTCTCCTCCCCCGAAACCTTTGCCCCCGAACGCTGGCTCCCCTCTTCCCATTCCCTCTACACCACCGCCTACGCCTCCGACAAGAAAGAAGTATATCAGCCTTTCTCTGTGGGACCAAGAAACTGCATCGGTCTAACACTGGCATATCATGAGATGAGATTGATCATGGCGAATTTGCTGTGGCATTTTGATGTACAGCTTGCAAAGGAGGCGAGAATGGATTGGTTGGATCAGACTACGCATTTGGTGTGGGACAAGAAGCCTTTGCCTGTGAGGATTTTGCCCAGAGGTGAGATCCTGGGGTAGAGGGGCTGGGTTGGATTAGAGAGGAGATAAGGATGAAGGATGTCGAGATGATTGATAATGTCAAGATCAGAGAGGAAAGGTGAGGATCACAGCCGTAGAGTGTGCAACTAGACCACCATAGAATCTCGATTTGTAAAATCCAACTCCGTTTTCCTCTTTAGTACTCAAAACTTCCTATTGTTCCTGCAGTCCCTTTGCCTCTGAACGTGTCATCCAGTCCATCATTACCTTCCTCATATCCTTCCGCCTCAGAGTCCTCCGGCAAATAATCATCAGAGATCCTCAATGCAGGCAATGGCGTCCTTCCACTAAGAATATCATACAAAGAATCCTCACTGACTTCTTCCTGCGTCTCATGATCTCTTGTTCTTTCCCTTGTATCCGAAAACTGCGTGTGTACTGGCGAAGAAGGGGCAGAAGGAGCACCAAAAGGGTACGCAATGACCCAACCACGTTTCTTGGTGGTGATAAGAACAGTAGTGGAGGTTACCCAATGCACATTTACGAGATCCATAGGTGAAGTAGAAGAAGTTGATGGAGATTCTTTGGGACCAGAGAAAGGATGAGAGAGGTGAAGGGGTGCATTTGTTTCGCCCGTGGTGGAGGAGAGATAGATTTGGTTGTCTTCTGTGTGGCTGAGCAACAGTCCAGAGATCGTAGGGTGCCACTGGAGTTTCTTGATGTTGGTGTGATGGTGAAACACCAGCATCGAGGTGTTTTGATCTTCGTTGGTTTCTGCTTCTGACTCAGTGTCCTGAGCGGTAGAAGCGAATATGGGCTTGGAAGAAGGAATTTTCCAAACAAGGACAGTTTCTGGGAATGCTTCAAGTCGGCAAGCGAGGAATTTGCCGGTTGCGTCAAACTTCATCTCGATGGTTGGCGAGTAAGATGCTAGGAGTTGATGTGTAGTGTCGTCACCACTGCCCAGATAAGCCCAGTTGCGATCACCTTTGCCGTTTACTTGCTCGCGGTATACGGCTGAGATGTCGTCTTCAACCACCGTCCATGGCTCCAGAGTATATACTGGAGAGAAAGTGATCGTGGAGAGAAGAGTGATGCTGCCGTCCGCATTGGCAAGAGCAAGGTGATTGGGCCCCCATACTTGTCGTAGAGGACCTAGTGTGTAAGTCTCTTCGATGGGCTCCGAGGTTGCAGGGGGATAACTGCGATAGAAGTTGCCGTCTGCAGTATAGAGGTGTACGGCGGAGTTTGGTGCACTCAGTGGTGTGTCTAGTACGCTCAACCATTTACCTGACGGACTCCAAGCTAGTGACTGAGCATCGGTGGTAGGTGTATTCATTGTTGTGAAAGGTGCAGCTGACGAAGCTAGCATAAAGGACAACGTGTCCATTGCCGAACTACGACACAACATGGCAAGAACTGCATTTGTTAGTTGTGCTTTAGCAATCAGTAAACCAAACATACCTTCAACTTTGCCCCTGAGCCTTCGGATCCCCCATGCAGACTTTAGGCTACCAAGACCGGTCTTCAACTCGCCAATCTCCGTGACCCGACCTCTTGCCACCTCCAAGATTCCAACCCTACCAAACTCCCAGACTACAATGATGTTCTCACCAAAAACATCCGCACTAGCAATTCTACCCAAGCTAGCGCTTCCGTTGGCGATTCTGACCCTGCTAGCTGTGTTCGCCAGACTGAAGAGCGAGACATAGCTGCTGGTCTGGAGAAGGATGGATAGCGAACATGGAGTCCAATGAAGTGCGGGTGTTTCGGTCGATCGTGTCGTTGGGGCATTCGAGTTGTCAAGCGGGAACGAAGAAGCGATGGTTAGAGTCGCAGTATAGTAAACATAGAGATGATCGGGGGTCAAGCCGGCGATATAATGGCCATCTGGTGATGGTGACGCATGTGTCGTTGCTGTTGTCCCGATGTCAATGCTTGTAACGTCAGACAACCACTTTCGATAGAGATATGGATATGTTGAAGTGACGATGGTGTCTTTCTGAAGGAGGTGAAGAAGTGCAGCTAGCCATGGATCGATCAATCTCATACACGATGAGACCACGACCTAACATGGCACCAAAATTACAAACCATTCGCCCTTGGCCGAACACAAGATAATGATGCATTCAAGCATACTATAATTTTTATGTCTTCTCAATCGCGTCTCGATTCTTTTCTCAAAAGGCATGTACATGATGAGGAAGAGAGCAAGAGAAAGCTAGGACTCACATTCTATCAACTCGGAGATATCCATGATTATTGACAAAATGGTCAGCTGTAAAGTTATCAAAGTTGTGGTATGGATGTAGAATTATCGACATACAACTGTTTGTTGATGCTGCAATGTTGCGCGGAGAGTTTTGCCGAGCAACGCAGTTTTTACCGGACGGCCAGGGTGACCGCCCCACATGGTCAAATCGTCATGTTTGTTTCCAATACGACACCAGAAATCAAGTCCAGGCCTTTCTTTACTTGCACTTTGGGAAACCCCTGGGTAGAGACATGTTAACTTGATAGATCATTGTGATTGACGTATCAAAGATATTAACACAGTATAGAAAGATGATGTATTGTTGGATTCAAAGACTCGCTGACTAGGGTATAATAACGCTAAGTGACACAACAAAAATGAGTAGGAAATGCAATCAGTAAACATGGTTCTCAACTCTTGGACAGCACTGGACTTTGTGAGTCCCGCCTAACATGTGGCGTGCCCTTTTGCTCGTCTGCCTCGGGAATCACACCAATGAATCCTATCATTGACTTCCTGCCACCAAGACCGAGCTTCTTTGGTCTTGCTGAAGCTGGCGATACCGGCGGGCTAATACTCAATCTAAAAGCAGCAGCCTTCTTCGCTGCATGCTCTTCCAAAGCGTTCGCAAAGAATGGATCAATGGCTGCACCAGCAGCCGAAGCAGCTTTCTGGAGCACAGGTGCGTAATTGATCATGTCAGGTCGTAACGTATTGATCTTGCCAAGACCGGTCTGTGAATCTAGTCCGCCAGAGAAGAAAGGATTGTCATCAGGATCCGGGCTAGCAAAGAAAGGATTCTCGTCAGACTTTGCTGGAGTGTTCGAGTCGGACGCGGGTTCGGAAGGCGAAGTCTGTATGTGCAACGAACTACCTCTTCTTTTGGCGACCGGCTTCTTTATGGTTTTCGTAGTGTCGTTGCTATCAGTCTTCTTGGGTATCGAGATGCGATCCTGCGTAGAGGTTGAAGGAGTGTCGTTTGCGCCAAATCGCAGACCATGGCGTAGAAGGTTGCGATGCTGGCGGATCTCCTTTCGAATGCGTTTGTACTCGCGGTAATCATCCAGCTCTTCCGCGTTCGGATGTTCTAAGATTGGACCGAGAGGTGGCTCTGAAGGCAGACGGTCGAAGGAGATGTAATAATGGACTGCCTTGGTCTTCGGATCCTGAATGATACGCCATCCAGAAACCTTGTAGAGTCCATCGTACCTGATTCCAGCGCGAGGAGCGAAGAAGCTACGCAGAGTGTGGCTCCGTAACACGCGAATTGGTCGTCTGGAAGCAAGGGTCCCGGCGCAAAGGCGATATCGTCTAGAATCTCCTGGGGTCGAACGGTATGTGAAGTGTGCTGGATCTGTGCAATCGACTTCATCGCCATCTGCCAGGAGCAAAGCATATGCTTGTGAGTAGCAGTTAGTGACGCCGCTATCGCCTGAAGTGTTGGCAATAATGCCGTCATGAAACGCAAACATGGTGTTGATCCACCAANNCTGGGAAAACTGTTAGAGATGTCAAGAGCGTGAAGTGACCACCACTTACTCTCCCGGTTGAAATCCGAGGTCTCCATTCCGCCTTGCGAAGTTTGGATTGACCCACGCGGTTTCCTTACGCGACCATTTGAGCAGTAGTGCTTCTCGTTGAATATCCTCGGGAGTACTGATGCCATGTAGCCTTCCGCCCGTGTCGTAAAGATTGACTTTGATACTTGAAAGTGGACCCCATTCGGATTCCCATTTGAAGATAATTTCTTCGGCCTCTTCAATTAGTCTGACCGGCCATCTGGTGGCACGCCTAGAGATTTCGATGAGGGCCAGATGTACGCGAGAGTCGCGAATAGTCTCGAGATTCAAGTAAGATGTGCGTAGCTGTTCAAAGAATCTGAAGAGAACGATAACAGTATCGGGTCGTAGGGTATTCGGACCATCCCGAGCAACCAGCGGGTCGAGCTCATCTCGGATCCATGAGACGCGCCCTTTGAGGTAATTAAGGTCGAGTACAGAGGCTTTTTCGATATGAGTAGGGAGCTTCCAGGCCGAGAATGCTGGTTGATCAACCATGGTGGAGAAATGGAGAGGTCATCAAGAGAGAGGTTCGTTTGGGGTGTTCACAAGAGTTGCGCGGAAGATTGATGGGACACAGGGGAAGGAGCGGACTGGACACACTTGGACTGGACGAAAATCTGCTTTGTTGAAACAACAGAAGGAACCAGGGCGTGTATATAGCGAGTGCCTAAAAAGCTGCGATTAATCTCGCATCAGGGACGGGATAGCCATGGCCTCGATCGGCACGTTATGATTAATGATGCTGTGTGAATTTACTTTGCACTGTCTTGCTCGCATCTGGTCGCTTCAACGGCCATGACAATTCTACAGCAGCCATGGAAGAAGTCGAGCAGTATAGGACACCAACTTTTACAAGCATACATTGCTAGAACAATAACAATACTCGGTGACTCGATCTCGACAGTCAAGACGAAACGCAACGACAGCAATGACGAGAGAGCGTCAGAGCACTGACAAGCGAGTGGTCGCAGCCGGTAAAGTGAGGCTTCGACCAGCGAGGGCAGCGCAACGCCAAGGCCGACGGTGAATCCCCGGGTCAAGCGAAAGCCCACACTCGGCCACTCAGAATTTGCAGCTCGCGCCGATTTCTGAGTGATCGAAGCGACTTCTCGACACCACGCCAACCTCGCCCATTTCCGCCCTCCCTCATCACATTGCCAACATGTCTGACGCCGGAGAAATCGAAGTCGAGCAGCCCCAGGGCTACCCCGTCCTGCCCAAGGATGTCGCCCAGGAGATTGGCAGCGTCAAGCTGTTCAACAAGTGGACCTACGAGGATGTCGAGATCAGAGACATCTCTTTGACGTGAGTCGCAGCACTCCGAAGCCGACGCTGGGATGGTCATTGTCAGTCTGTGATGGATGGAAAGAAAGAGCTGGATGCGAAAGAGTCGGGCACTGGCGCAGGTCTTGAAAGAGAGACACGGCGCGCAAACATGATACCATACCATACAGACTGGCAACAGACGCACCTTCGAGGCAGAGGAAGTATCGGCACGCGCAAGCACTTAGCTGACCCTCATACCTCAGCGACTACATCCAGATCCGTCAGCCCGTCTACCTCCCTCACTCTGCCGGTCGTTACGCCCAGAAGAGATTCCGCAAGGCCCAGTGCCCCATCATTGAGCGTCTCACCAACGCCCTCATGATGAACGGCCGCAACAACGGAAAGAAGATCATGGCCGTCCGCATCGTCGCCCACGCCTTCGAGATCGTGCGTACTTTTCCGAGTCGACGCCTGCGCCCATCGGACAAGCTAACACTCTATCCAGATCCACATCATGACCGACCAGAACCCCATCCAGATCGCCGTCGACGCCATCGTCAACTGCGGTCCCCGCGAAGACTCCACCCGTATCGGTTCCGCCGGTACCGTCCGTCGCCAGGCCGTCGATGTTTCTCCCCTCCGCCGTGTCAACCAGGCCATTGCCCTCCTGACCATCGGTGCCCGTGAGGCCGCTTTCCGCAACATCAAGTCTGTTGCCGAGTGCCTTGCTGAGGAGCTTATCAACGCCGCCAAGGGTTCTTCCAACTCGTACGCCATCAAGAAGAAGGATGAGCTTGAGCGTGTCGCCAAGTCCAACCGATAAACGTATCGCCTGGGCAGGCTGCAAGGGAGGGAGAGGATTTGTTGGTTCGAAAAAGAGAAAGACATTTACAAAAGAATGGCAAAAGCTCGTCTTTTTTCGCTTCAGTGCTGCCTTGTCACACTTCTTTGTGCAAGCCGATCTTTCTTCTCTCTGGACGTGAGATGATCAAAACATTCCCAGGGAAAGGTGTATCGTTCCGTGTGATCTAACAGGGCTGGAAAACATGGGGCGTTTCTCTCTTTTCTTTCTTCTAACGATCTGGTCGCTATGCAACAGGGCTAGCCTCATGTCGAGAATGCAAAAGCAAAATTTCATCAATTCTTTTTTCACCTCTATCTGATCCATTCCTGCTGTTCACATCTCTGGATGCATATACCACGACTGGTTTTCTTTCTCTTGCGCCAGAAGTTAACAAAATAGGTACTATGATCGGGTATGGTCATGGTCGCGTGTCTTGATGTATTGTCGTTATAATCTCAAACATCAATGTCCACAAAAATCCCCTGCCACTGTCGCTGTCGCTGGTGACGTTCGCTCATGCAACATCATGTGGAGTCTCTTGCCTCCCTACTTTTCTATTTCCCCTGCCATGGTGTCCAAAGCCAGACCTTTTCAAAGCATCATTGATTGACATACCCTTCCTATCAATCGTCCATGCCTGTTGAATTTATGACCACTAGAGCAGTATATGCACACTCATGCTTACTCTCTTCATTCCATCCTGTAGTTCTGCTTGTCATTCTACATTGACTTTGTTCAGAATCACGTAGGTTCATCGGCATGAAATTCGCAATAGTGGTTCACTTCACCAGAAAGAGAAAAAAAGTGCATAAGCAAGAAAGGAATACTGCAATGCTTTGAAAACCATTACTATAAGAGTACAGCAGAATGAGAAATCGAGGAAACGGAAGAAACAAGAACAGCCATCCAACCCATCCATTTTCCACCTTCCCAGGAAAACACGCCATGCTGCCAACCTTGCCAAAACATTCCCCAGGGACATACGGAAACAAAAAACAACAAAGCCTTTCTCTCCAAACTCGAGAGTTGGTAGGTGAAGAGAAGAGAAGAAGAAACATGTACAGAGAAAACACATCTTCAAACCCTTATCTAAGGACCACGACTCTTAGATCTAGATCCGACACCCCCAGCTCCAGGCGGCGCAGAAGCATCTCTACCCAATCGTCTCGGTGTAGCCATGCCAGCAGCCCCATTACTCCTTGCTCTACCTCTTCTCTCTCTGATAGCAGCAAGTGCAGCTTCCCTATCAATGGGCGTGTTGAGGAAATCAGGAATATTGGGGTGCAATGCTGGCGTCGAGCAAGAANNAATCGTCATGGGAGTTTTGAGATGGTGAGGCGGTGCGCTGACGGTGCGGGATGAGGGGATGGGTGTACGTGGTGGTTGGAGCAGAGGCAGAGAGTTTTCCTTGTCGCTGGTTGAGGAGGGGTCTTCTTCGTCGTCGTTGAAGTTTATGGGCACGCGGAGGGTTTGTTTTGTGCTGGTCGTTGGGGGAGGCATGGGGGCTGTGGTGTTTTGAGGTGAGTCATGGGCGATTGGCGTGCTGGAGTGTCTGCGAACTGGTGTGTGGGCTGGGCGGGTCTGAATTGTCTCTAGCTCGGGGGTGTCTTCGACAGCGCAGTCGTTGTGGATGGGTTCGGGGTCTGCCTCAGCCATTGGTTCGTCTTCTTGTTTCTCGGGCGAGTCGATCTCGATGTCAAAGTCGTCGATTGGCTCCTCGCGTGGCTGGACGTGGGACACGGCCTGTTGTCGAGTTGCGAGCAGCTCGAGGTGCTCGTCCTGCATGGTCTGAAGGGCAACGATGTGGTCGATTTCCAAGAAAGCAATCAGGTCATTTGAATCGGCGCGCAGCTTCTTCTCCCAATCGGCCTCTTCTTGCAGCTGTTGTTGCTGTCTCCAGTGCAGCTTCTCGCGCTCCATGTATTCTTTTTGCATTTTGCGCAGTTGTTCTTCGTGCTTAACTTTCTGCTGCTTGAATCGCTCCTTGGCCTTTTCGTACTTTTTCTGTCGGAGCTAGTTAGGTCGTGTGCGTGAGGGGCTCGATAAAAGGTGGATAGACATACCTCATACTCGTCCAGTCTCTGTCGCAAGTCGGTCTTTTCGCGCAGACGCTCTTCGGCCATGTCTCTCTGCTCCCTGAGCTCGTCGCGCAAGTTTGTAGCTTCCGTCNTCAGCCTCCTCACGTGCCATCTCTGCTCTCCTCAGAGCAGCCTCCAATCGTCGTGCTGTGCGCTTTGCGCTGTCTTCGTCGCGATCCTTGACTTCGAGGGTGGTGAAGCGGTCGACCAGGGCATTAACCGACATGTCAGGGGCGCTGTGTGAGGAGCCCATGAGGAATTTGAATGGTGATGTGACTGCGACGTGCATTGTGCCGCCTGAGCGTGAAGGCGACGCCATGGTGTCTGAGNNAATATTGATGCTGATAGCTAGGTGGGANGAACGTGAAGAAGCTCGACTGTCAACTATGGATTGTGTAACAAGNCTCGTGCGGAAAGATTTGGGCCAGTTTACGAGTAAACACCCTTCNTGTTGCACCAGCAACAACCACGCTGCACAGACCATCTTATCGTCACCACATCCACCACCCGAGGAACCTCTTCCATCATCCACCTTCCAACCATGATACTGCTTCAGCCTGCTTTCCTGCCGTATACGATGTACCTGTATATCATGAGTCGTGGTCACTGAATTCCGCTTGTCAACTTACGCCTGGTCTTGGATCTGCCATCTCGAGTCCCTCATCTCTCGACGCAATCCGGCGAGGAACAGTTCAACCTCTGCTACTGACCATCCTGCTCGAGTCAGCGATGCCATAGTGATGCCTTGAAGTCCCATCTTGAGTTGTTCTGCATGCAAATCAGCAATTGAAACCATGTCTCTCACCACATACTCACCAACATGCCAATATCCGATCGCCCTGTGTCGCTTGTCCAATGGCCATGTTCCCCATGGCACTGGCCTTACAGCCTCCACCACATCTTCGAAACCTGCATCCAGAAGCATCTGTTTGAATTTTGACGCAACACGCATGTCGAAGCCCATCTTTCCTAGGATGCTACCCTGTATGCCAAACCACTCGTCGATAAGTGGTGGGCTCGGTCTGCCCTCGAACGCTGGCATGGGATTCAAGTCAAGTTCAGCTAACTCGATATAACCGCCGGGTTTAAGTGTTTGATAGGCCTGTGCGAGCAATGCAGGCCAATCCAACACAGACATGAACATGAACCTGCAATGCACAAAGTCGAATGATGCTGCCTCCCACAGCCATTCTTGCTCGAGATCATCTATCTCAAAAACCAAATTCGGTGGTACCCAGCTTGGTTGGACTGGCGAAATGTCGAATCCGATGACTTCGGCGGACGGATATCTGTCCGCTACCTGCATTGCCCAAATGCCTGATCCCGTTCCGACATCGAGTACCTTCTGCGGACTGTCACCTACAGGAGCAAGATGTAGATTGCCTTCGAGAACCAGTGTCCACATATGGTGCTTCATGTCCTCCCGATCGAGCTCTGTATCGTCGTTTGGGAGAAGATATCGTCCACCACCCATCGAGTGGTATCTGCGTCCGTTTTCCCAGTAGTAATCCTCGGCATCACTGCGGATGGTGCTGCAATAACTTGCAGAGACGGAACTGCCATAGTCGCTAGGAGTTGAACCCTGTTTCTGGGCTTCAGCATCAAATATACGATATACTCAACGGGATAGACTCGCATTATTTCCATCTGCCCCATCGTCATCGTCCTCGGACGGATTAGAGACGGCGTCTTGATCATCGGATCTAGTATTGGTATGGTTACTTAAGGTCGTCAACGAACTGCTAGCACTCGCAGCGCTAGCGGCCATCATGTAATTTTGTGGCTTCCTAGTTGCTCTTCGCCTCCAGCAGTCTGAACTCCAATGATCTGATCTCTTCCTGAAAAATGGGTTTACCCTTTTCGATAGTCGGATGAATCGTTCGCTGACCTGGTATGGGGCCAGTGCGATCATGCAATGATCGTCCGGCTGCTGGATGCAGCGGCACGCTCGGGTTCGTCTGTGTGAAATGTCGCGGCTACGCTTCAGTCCGCCGACGTAGAATACCAGCTTTGCTCTCTTGTTTGTTTTTGCGTGGTTCTACGCAAAGACTAGCGAGTTCGTCGGAATTGGAATCCTCCTTTTATATCTTGTGGGCCATACAACGGCCGAGTATGGCCAAATGGTTCCTGAAAGCTGGTGCATGTCGTAGCGCACTCATGTGGCAGGTCGATCAGTTTTAGGAAAGAGGGGTGATGCAGGGTGCCAAGTAAGCGTCTAGGATACATGAAGAAGCCTCCGACCTGATTGGCACAGTGTGACAGGATCGGCTTGTTTGACATGTGTCACTTCAACGTGCCTTCTTCAGCGAATTATGCCACCAATTTTCCACGCTGACAAACACAGCCCTAAGTCCCATGACTGAGCTGACATATCTCGCGAGGCAAGTGCGGGACTGGTTGTTCTGCTTGATTGGCCCCTTCCTCGGCGAAGGACTACAAAAACCCTTGACCACCGATTGACTCTCATACCTCACTCTCTTTGCCATATTACTGTCTTCCCTTCCCTTATAGCACCCACTACTTAGGAATTCTACTTCTCAAGCCTTGATCTATCACGCGGACAACACTCTATTACAATTAAGCGAACTACACTGTCATGATACCTTGCACTGAAGGCTTGGGTGCAACCCGCGTCTTGATCATTGGCGCTGGTATCGCGTTCAGATCACAAACGCGAGACGAACCGTTGACTGATGTATGGTAGGTGTGACTGGACTCGCGATCGCGCATGCACTGCAGAAAGTAAGACCGATAATTATTCCTTGTCGCACCAATCAGGATCCATACACTCTCTAGAGTCTGTTGCTTCTGCTCTCTTTTCATCCAACAACAAGCAATGCAAAAGCTACATATCTGCGCAGTCGCTCCAGACAAGAGGTTCTTCGAATGAGAGCCGATAGAATGATTGCTCTCAGTGGATACTATCCTTGTCCTCAAAACTGTTGTGCATGTTTTGACTACACACATTACAGACTCTAACTCACAAGAAGGCGATATATCCGCCTAAATGGACATTCATTAGCCAAGCATACCTAACCCTTACAAGGATACCTACAGCTCATTCGAAGGGAAGCTTACATCAGACTGCAGGCAGGCATACCTTATGCAATTTTCGACCTTGAACCCAATTCCTCTTTTCGCGCTCGCGAGTGGTCAATGGGACTGCATTGGTCGCTGCCACTTCTCGAATCACTACTCCCCGACGAACTGTCCTCGAGGATTCAGGAAACATTCGTCGATCCTTCGCTGGACTGGTCACAGCCTCCGCTTGATTGTATGCGCATGTATAACGGAATGACTGGAGAAATCATGAAAGATGTACCCATCAAAGGAAAGATCGTCAGAGTATTGAGAAAGAAATTGAGAGCGCTAGTGGCCGAGGATATAGCAGTGAAGGTAATGCTCCTCGTGATCCAACTTTGGTAAATCGAAAATGAGATAACATGCTGATGTGTACAGTATAACCACTCGCTGACCGACATTCGTTATAATCCTGATAACACAGTTACTGCCATCTTCGTCGATGGGACCGAAGAAACGGGGTCACTGCTTGTTGGTGCAGATGGCCCTCGCTCTGCTGTGCGCAATCTTCTCTTCGATGGAACAGAAGCTGCTGTCAAACCGCTGGAGAACGTTATACACACCAATGTTACTTTCCGTCCTGGGGACGCAGACAAGGCCATGTTCCTACGGTCTGCACATCCTGGTAGGTCAATTTAGACATTTATAGAGCGATCTAAGGGAGACTAATTTTATACACAGNCCTGGAGTTTATGTCTGCATCCAGACCTCTTCTGCATGCTATCCAGTAAGTCTTACAGCACAATGCTGCCACAAATAGATCTAACTACCGTATGTAGTCGCACAAGATCAAACTNNTCTCCAGACCCTTCGACCTGGTCATTCCAACTAGTTTCTGGCTGGCTAGGCTCTCGAGCATCCTTCTCCACTCCATCATCTCGTCTTGCAGAGCTAAAACGCAGAGGCCATCTCCTCTGCGAACCATTCAGATCTGCCTACGACTGTTTAGACGCAGATCTAGACGTCAGATTCGAAGAACTGGGTTGTTGGGAAACCAAAGAGTGGGATTGTAAAAACGGAAGGGTTGTCCTGGCCGGCGATGCTGCACATGCCATGCCACCTCGTAAGCAAACTTTTCAAAGATCCAGGAGAAAGAATATAAAGCTGATGACGGACACAGACCGTGGACAAGGTCTCAACCATGCAATCCAGGATGCATACAACCTCGTCAATATCCTTGTTGCCAGCCACAAGAATTCTTCTACCAGTTCAGACCTTCCATCACAACTGCAGTCTTATGCTCAAGAGGTCAGTATCCGCGGTGGAGAGGAAGTCAGGCTGTCAAAGCAGAATGCATACATGGTTCTGGATTGGAAGTTGCTCGAGCAGAGTCCAGTATTTAAGCACGCATTGGATAGAAGTCCTGCTTCAAGCAACCAGAAAGAGGCTAAAAGTAACGATGTAGAGGAAACAAAGGAAGTCGAGGAAGCCCAACAAGAGGTCACGGCTATGGTCGGTGCTTGAGATGTATCTGAAATGTAACTACGTTTCATGAAAAATCAAAGATGCCATCATACTCTAAATATTAGGAGACAGCTGATCATGAGCGACCAACGACTCGACACTCTCAACACTAGCCTGCATGAACTTTCTCGCTTCAAGTCCAGCCCACACCTTGATCATCGAGAGATCGCCTCCTTTGAGCATACTGCCCGCACCTCCAGAGGTACCCAACTGCCTGAGAATGGGAAGAGCCCTACATAGAAAAAACAAAAAGTCAGCTCACCAGTCCTCAAAAAGCAGGGAAGATCCAATATCTACGAACCCAGAGAACAAATCCAGTTCGGGGTTTAAGCTGCGACCGATGCCTTCGAGGAGAAGAATACTCAACACCACGTTGACAAAGTCGCCTTCGAGTCTGACGTGGTGGCCGCGGACCATGCTCAATACTTCGTTCAGAATGTCGCCGATCTTGATGTTGCCGAGAGCAAAAGTACGACTCTTGACACCTAGCACCAGATGTTGCATGCGGAGAGCAAAGACTTCTTTGTCAATGACGGCGGATGGTTGACGACAGCGCTCCACCATCAAGTGTCCTGCTTTGTAGCCATCAAATTCGGCGACGGATTTGAAGAGGTCGAGGAAGTTGCGGCGGTTGATGCCGTTCAACTCAGTGACGAGACCAGTGTCGATGAAGATTAGTTGTGGGCGGAAGCCTTCGCGGTCGATCTGGTCCAAAGTGTTGCCCCAGTCGACCTTTGACTTGCGGTGAGGTCGTAGACGTTCAAGGACTTGTTCTGTCACATCCGTCGATTGCTTGGGGTCAGGCTTTGGTCGACTGAAGAAACTGCCCTTGACGTCAATCTGAGCGGGCTTGTAGAATCGAACCATGATGTTTCCAGGATGCAAGTCTGCGTGGATGAAGTTGTCGATCAAGAGCATGTGGAGGAAGGCATCAAGACCCTCGTCAGCAATCTCTTTNTGGAAGACACCACCACCGTTTTGCAAGAAGTCTTCCAGTGGAATGCCCTGGGCGAACTCTTCAACCAGGACCTGACGAGAAGTGTATTGGGTGTAGGGGTAAGGGAACCAGGCGGTAGTGCGGTCGCGGAAATTCTTTCGGAAGATGGTCAAGTTGGCGGCTTCGATACGGAGATCGAGCTGTAGACGCATCATTTCACCAAACTGCTCTACTTCATCAGGGAACGAGAGCCACTCCATGGTAGGAACCAGGTTGATAATGGAAGCCATGAAGCCCATAATCTTCAAATCTCTGCGAACGATACGCTCGATCTTGGGGTGGAGAACCTTGATAGCGACATATTTGGAGGGAGTTCTTTGTGGCGTGCTCTTCAAAGTAATGTCAACACCTCTCTTGAACTTCTCACGGTAAGTGTCGGAGCTATGGGGATCGAGGTCTTCGCTGACAGCAATGTCAGGCTTCAACCTGGCTTTGTAGACCTGTGCTATAGCACCAACGCCCAGAGGCTTCTCGTCGAATTCGTCAAAGATGTCTTCGAAGGACATGCCGAAAGCTCGCTCAATTGTCTTCTTGGTGTGGCGCAGCGAGTGGGCAGGAGCATTGGAGTGGAGAGCAGACATGATGGCGCACATCTGGGTAGGGAAAATGTCGGTTCTTGAGGCAGCCCATTGGCCGAGCTTGATAAAGGCAGCACCAGCTCTCTCCATGCCATTAACGAGGAAAGCATACCACCAGAGGGTTCCAGATCTTTCATTGTCTTTTTCAGGTTGCCTTTGGCCAAACCAGATGACAGGCACTGTTGCGATGACAGGGACAAAAATGAAGATCAAGTGTAGTAGTCTGAAGCCAGTCGCAATGGGCTCAATGATCCAGGTGTCGAGGAAGGTCCAGATGCCTTTGCGAAGAGATGTTGAACTGCCGACCCAGCGAGGAACCTGCTCAGCCAGCTCTTTCCTAGAAGCCTCGAGCATCTGTTGCTCGCCGGTCAAGCCATCGTCGGACTCGTCGTTCTCGCTCAGCGACACAAAGGCGGCGGGCGAGAGGGCGGCGAGGCAGACGGTGCCACCTTTTACAGGTGGCGGTGGACTNTTGAAGAACTGGCGAGCATTTTGGAAGAATCGCGGACGGTTGTATGTTCTAGCGGTAAAAGTGAAAGAGCGAGTGGCTTGTGACCTGAAGAAGGGAAGGGCGCTGGATTGCTTTGGGAAGGCGCGTTTCGCACAGGTGCGGCGGCCAATGAGCAGAGGAGTGCTCATACTGATGTGTGGAAAGCAGCTATCGTATCGTCTGGGTATCCATGTCCTTTGTCGTCTATGTTCGAGTCAATGTCATGGTAGCTGTCATCGAGTCGCTGCCGCCTCCAATGCTGGACGTCCATGTCAACGTCATGGCCCATCACATGCAAGTCAAGCCCATCGGAACGGCTTCCCAGCGCTGCCGTCCCTTTCCTTGACTCGCCCGCCAAACATTCATCCTCCATCACTCTAAATTCCGACAAGGACGGACATCAGCCACCATGGGTAACGACGGTGGCAGTATCCCGACAAGACGTGAGCTGGTCAAGGAAGCCGCCCGCGACCCGACCACCACCGAGATCAAGCAATCGCAACACGAACGACAAGAATACGGCTGGTCCACCGATCCCATTACGCGCAAACCTCTCTCGCCGCCCATCGTCTCCGACTCAAACGGCAAACTATACAACAAAGAGTCTATCATCGAGTATCTACTGCCGTCCGACGATGTGACCACCACCAAGGCCGACGCCGACACAGTACTCCAAGGCTCAGTCAAGAGTCTGAAAGACGTTGTCGAGATCAAGTTCGACGTCGACACCAATGCTGAAAAGGATGCGAAAAACGCCTGGAAGTGCCCCGTTACTGGCGATCGTCTCGGTCCTGGCGAAAAGGCCGTCTACCTCGTCCCTTGCGGCCACGCCTTCTCCGCTACTGCCATCAAGGAAGTCTCGGGCGAGCGCTGCGTCACTTGCGATCAGGAGTACGCTTCCAACGATGTCATCCCCATCCTGCCCACCACTCCCGAAGACATTGCGCGCCTGAGTTTACGCGTCAAGACTTTGAAGGAGAAAGGCCTTGCCCACTCTCTCAAGAAAGCCGCAAAAGAGTCCAAGAAGCGCAAGAAGCGTGAAGAGGTCGACGAGGCTCCTGCTCTTGTCCCCGTTACCGACAAGAAGGACGCCAACAACATCAACAACTCTTCCACTGCTGCTCTGACAGCAAAGGTCATGCAAGAGCAAGAAGCAAAGAGGCGAAGGATGCACAACGATAACCTCAAGACCCTCTTCTCGTCCAGAGACCAGAGCAAACCTATCGGCAAGAGTGCTGACTTCATGACAAGAGGCTATGACATCCCTGCTGGCGCAAAGAGGTGAAGATTTCCTTGCCTTGCCCAGTGCCCTAAGCTATACCAAAAACGCCACAATTTACGCTCGGCGTGCCCTGCCTATCTATCCGGTCGCTTCGGCCGAACCACGCAATACACTACGCTTATCGCGTCGGACATGCTGTTCCTATCGAAGGTTGACTTCGTATACTAGCCTACCTGCACAGCAGAGCTCTTGTCTTTGGACCTCGATCATTCGGGGTGGTTATCACGCTCTATCGGACTTTGACCACTAACAGTTACGGAACTCATGGAAGGAACACAGGCAGCGATATCAAGGAATTTGCCTCTTGCTCTTCCGAAGAATAGTTCAGAATGTCGATCGACTTGCAACATCAATCTCTTGCAGCTATGTAGAGCAATGGCCATAACACTCTGAAAACTTCAGCTCGATCGAAGGCGAAGGTGTTCAAGGTATTGAAGACGAAAGTGTTCTGAACTCATAAATCGATTTGGGTATATGTCAAGTTTTCTAAAACACCTTTCCTGCGCCTCTGTGCGGATATCTTCCCTTTGCGGTATATACAAACAATGTTTTGCAACGATTCTTCTTCAACACTCCTACAAGACTCTTGAAACCTCTACAGCTTCTGTCTCTCCATACCCTTCCAGCCATGGGCCTCTGCAATCATCTCGGCCGCACGCTCACCAATAGCCAACACAGTAAGCATGGGGTTAATGGTAGGCATCTCTGGGAAAACACCCGCATCAGCAATTCTAATGCCCTGGAGACCCTTGACCTTCAACTGGTGATCCACAACCGCAAACTCATCCTTGCTCACATCACCCATCTTGGTGGTGCCAGCAGGGTGATAGACTGTATGTGCTGCTCTGCGACCGTACTCGGACAACTGCTCGTCGGAAGTGACTTCAGGGCCGGGGGCAACCTCTCTCTTGATCCAGTCGCTGAAGGGCGCTTGTTGGGCAATCTTTCTGGCGGCCCTGAAGCCGGCGACGATGGTGGCGGCGTCGTAGCCTTCCGGGTCGGTGAAGTAACGGAAGTCGAGGGCGGGCTTGATGGTGGGGTCGGCCGAGGTGAGGTAGAGGCGGCCGCGCGAGCGGGGNCGGGGNATGTTGGGGGTCATGCAGAAGGCGTCGATGGGGGTGTCGTAGCCGAGACTGGAGTATACAGTTAGTTATGAGTTCAACGTCGAAAAGTGAGGGTCGAAAGCTTACCGAGAAGTGTTCAGGCAGAAGGGGATCTGGTAGCAGTGCATCATGATGTCTGCAATGTCGCCATCTCCGTTGTTGGCATCGGGGGCCTCGCGACGGAGGAAGATGCCAGCGTCAGAGTCCATGGTGGTCTGGTTGGCAGGGACGGGCTTGTTCAACTCCCACATAATGATGGTCTCGGGGTGGTCGAGCAAGTTCTCTCCAACACCGGGCAAGTTCTTGACAACGGGGATGTTGAGCTCCTCGAGCTGCTGCTTGGGTCCGAGACCAGACAAGAGCATGAGACGGGGAGTGTCGACGGCACCGGCACAGAGAATGGTCTCGGCCTTGGAGTTGAGGATGTGCTTGGAGCCGTCCTGGAGGGTCACGTTGATACCGGTGACCTTGTCGCCCTTGACGTTGACCTTGCTGACCCAAGCGTTGGTCAGAACGGTCAAGTTGGGTCTCTTCTCGTCACCACGAAGGATGGGGTGAATGTAAGCGACCGAAGCACTGCTTCTGTGGCCATTGTCGGGGTTGTATGAGACTGAGAAGAAACCAACACCCTGCTTCAAGGCACCCTTGGACTTGATCTCCTTGTTGAAGTCGTGGATGACGGGAATGTCCATGGCAGTAGAGCACGAGTCAATCCAGTCAATGCAGAGCTGGTTACGGTGTCTCTCGTGAACGGGCTGGACCGAGTTTCTGATGTTGTCCAGAACACGCATGAAAGTCTTGAAGCTCCATCCCTTGCAGCCCTGGGCCTCCCAACGCTTGCAGTCGTACTCGAAGGGGCGGAACGAAATAAGGGTGTTGTGCGAAGAGCAACCTCCAAGCACCTTTGCACGTGAATGGCGGATGTGGGAGTTGCCCATGGGCTGCTCGGTAGTGCCGTAATCATAATCGAGTTCACCACCAAGGAGGTTCAACCAGTCCTTGAGGAGCAGAACTCTGTTGTCCATGAAATCCGAGGGACCAGCCTCGATCAGGAGGACCTTCTTGTTGGGAAGGTAGTCAGAGAGACGACTGGCAATAACACATCCTGCAGTACCGCCGCCAACAATGACAAAGTCAAAGTAATTCTCGGGGTTCGAGGGAAGGTGAGTGGTGGTCATGATGGGCTAACTATGTCCTCTGCCAGATGTCGGACAGAAGAGAAAAAGAGGTGTAGAGAAAAGGAAGGGAAACACAAAAGACCGGTTATCAGCGGGGCTACCGTATATAAAGCTTCGATGCAAACAGCTTCTGCAACTGCCAACCCGTGTCTAGCCTCGCAAGAGTATGTACAGAGGGAACATCCGATCTGTCTCAGAAGCTAACCTTACGCCCGAGCGCCCGAGCGCCCCAATATCTTGAATCCTTGATCAACGGGAAGCCCTCGATTCGTGCATTGGTTAGAGTTTGCTGTTTCATCAGGGTGCTTGCGTTCGCGTCCAAAATTTTCGCTCCAGAAGGCGCGCTCGCCTTGGCCCAGATTAGGGCTGACTTGGTGGCGTCGATCAAGCAAACCTCTCAAAGTTGTTGCTTAGGAACAGAGAAGGGCGTTTTCTGCTGCCGGAAATGGTATATAGATCCTCACATCTTAGGTTCGACGAACAACTTGGCCTATCAGCGACATACTCTTGCGGAGGTGGTTGGCACGAGTTGTTTCAATGCATCGTGTATAGTAAGCACTTCGATTGTGGCTTGCCCGCGATGGTGTGCTCGAGATTCGGAACGTTGATATTGCGATGGCGATGGATGTCAACGGAACAGCAACGCGTCCCGCGAAGGCTCCTCTGGCCGAGCGTCAAACGCCTGCCAGCTCCTCCCACGTCAAGTGCAGTGTTAAAAGTACCTAGTCGTCCGTGCCCTATCAGCAAGGTATTGGCATTGTTTCATCACTTCTGCCAAAGACCTGATCTCTTCGTCTGCTATTCGATCATACGAAAGATTACACATCCAACAAACCACCATGACTTATCCCACCCGCCAACTGTACTACGACGGCAAGCGTCAGAATGCGACTTCCCATTCAACTTTTCAGACCGTGGATCCGGCAACCGCGAAGCCTGTAGGAGAAGTCCAAGCTGCTTCACACGCCGATATTGATAAAGCTATTGCTTCTGCACAATCAGCTTTTCCATCATGGTCGACCACTCCTCCTATCGAGAGATCTCGTATTCTTCTGAAAGCTGTTGCCCTTCTCCGGGAACGCAACGATGAAATCGCAAAGGTTGAGACTCATGATACTGGCAAGCCTTTCTCGGAAACCAGCACTGTGGATGTCGTTACTGGTGCCGACGTGCTCGAATACTATGCCAACATGGTTGCCTCTGGCGGATTGAATGGTGAGACTACTCAACTTCGCCCAGACGCATGGGTCTACACCACCAAGAATGCTTTGGGTGTCTGCGCAGGTATTGGTGCTTGGAACTATCCTATTCAAATCGCTCTCTGGAAGTCTGCACCTTGCCTCGCGGCAGGCAACTGCATGGTTTACAAGCCCTCAGAGTTCACGCCTCTGCACGCACAGATTCTGGCCGAGATCTACACCGAGGCTGGCGTACCCGCTGGTGTCTTTAATGTCGTCCAAGGAGCTGGAGACGTCGGTGCATACCTGACTGCTCACCCCAAGATTGCCAAAGTCAGTTTCACAGGTCAAGTCAGCACCGGCATGAAGGTCGCCGGCTCCGCTGCTGGCAACATGAAATACGTAACCATGGAACTCGGCGGCAAGTCACCCCTAATCATCCTGCCTGACTGCCCCGTCGAGAACGCGGTCGACGGCGCCATGATGGCAAACTTCTTCTCCACCGGTCAAGTCTGCACAAACGGCACCCGTGTCTTCGTACCCAGAAAAATAGTACCCGCATTCGAAAAGCGTCTCCTCCAGAAAATGGAATACGTCCGCGCAGGCGACGTCATGGACCCAAACACCAACTTCGGCCCTCTAGTCAGCAAAGTTCACTACCAAAAAGTGCTCGACTACATCCGACACGGTGTGCAAGAAGACAAGGCCAAACTCATCTACGGCGGCGCCGAAAAGCCCTCTTTCTCCGGTGCAAGCTCAGAGGGCTTCTGGGTTAAGCCCACAATCTTCACAAACTGTACTGATGACATGCGTATCGTGAAGGAAGAAATCTTTGGGCCTGTCATGTCGATTCTTGCCTACGATACCGTGGAGGAGGTTGTCAAGCGTGCAAACGATACACCCATGGGCTTGGCCGCCGGTGTCTTTTCGAACGATATCAATGCCGCTCACAAGATTGTCGCCCAACTGCAGGCCGGTATCACATGGGTCAACACTTGGGGCGAGAGTCCCGCCGAGATGCCCGTGGGTGGTTGGAAGCTCAGTGGTGTTGGTGTGGAGAACGGCCGCAAGGGCCTCGAGGCATGGGTCAAGAATAAGAGCACTCTGGTCGAGATGGGTGGTGTTGTTGGCACTGTCTTTGCCAAGCTGTGAGCTCACATTGTCGTTCAGGCCAAAGTACATCTGTTCTATGTAAATACCAATTTGATCCGCTCTTCTGTTGTACACGGAGAATCATCTAGAGTTTCGCTGGGGACAGATCTCGGTCGATGTGATGTTGCAAAGGTCCATTTCCTAAACCCAGCCGTCTCTCGAGTAGACCGTCTGATTGTCGTGGGAAAGAACTAAATTCTGCTTGACCACCCGCAAATCAACAATGTCATGTAACATAATAGTTGTACGCAAATCGGCACGTCTAGCGATTAATCTGCAAGGAGCTCTCTAGAGAACATGTGTGAGTTGCAGAGAACTTTGCGTCTTTGACATGTCGACAGCGATGGTCGATTACACCCTCCACGAATACTTAACACTTACAGTCGATCCCTGACCACCAATGAATAATGCTATAACACGCTACATAAATTCACAATAGTTTACCGAACGAATATGTTTCCATCGAGATAGCTTTGGAACGGCATCTCTCCTTGGACATCACATTGTTAAGGAAGACATTGTGCCTTTTTATAGCTACACTACAACCGTCCTTAGCACACGAGAAAGACGAGAAAGCTAGCTCTGAGATCCCCCTATGCTCAAGACGATCTCACATCTCTCTTTCCCACGCTGGCAACTAGTGCCATAGTATGTTATAAAAATACACAATTGCAAACCAATTGGATGATCAACCATTGAGAAGTTTGACTAGTGATAAGAATATACGGCTAAGCTAAGTACGCCACGACTAGGAAGACGGTTCTGGTGAGATAGAAGGGATGCGAGCACGCGAACGCTGAGGCTCTTGCTCATATTGCACATACTGGTTGACCTTCTCGATTTCCTTTTTTCCCAAAGGGACTAGTCCCAAGTGCTCGGGCAGCTGGCGCTCCGCNACTATGTAATCACGTTAGTATGTTTATAAGCAATTGGAGCTAGAGCATAGCACTTACATGAGGTATTTGACCTTCATTTCTCTAGCTTTGAAGCGGATATCTTCCGCGGTCCGATCTCCAAGCGCTGGGGGNTCCCTTGCGTTATCAATCCTTTTGATGTGCGCAAAGGATATACCATGGTCTCTGATCAACCTGAGAAGAGCTCCCACTTCGTCGTCAGTCCAAGGTCTTCGCCCNCTCTGCGGCTTTACGCTTGTTGCTTGAAGTTGTCTGGTGAGCACAGAGGCGATTCTGAAAGAGTTGACTTCCTCATCGTCAGTAGATTGGAACGGTGGAACGAGCTGACCAGGATTCTTCCGCTGTCGCTTGTTCGGACTGTCAACCTCAGAAGTTCTTCGACCACGACGTTCTGGCAGAGTGCTGCCTGCTGAGGCTTGACTTGGTACAGCCGAGGACTTGGGACGAGGTCTCTTGCCGGGAAGACCGCGCTGGTCGACCTGGAAGCCTTCATCTTCGCTTGGGTCTTGCACGTCGTTATCCAAGGTGGGATCTATCTCAATCTCCGGCCTACCTGAAGCCTGACGCTGGGTGCTGGGTGCAGGCTGAGAATCAAACAGGTCGTCAGATATTCTCACACCATTGGGTTGAGCGTCGATAAATCTCCGTTGTTGACGTTCTTGTTCTTCGCGTGCGTGCACTCTCGCCAGCAGTCCAGCTAGTCTAGGACGGTTTTGTGTCGGACCAGCGGATAACGCTATATCGTCGGTGACTTGGTCGTCAATTTGTGCTGTGTTCACGCCCGGTTCTACACGTGCGGTAGCGGGTGTTGGAGCAGCAGTGGATGTGCCTGGGCGACCCCTGAAGAGAATTGATGGACGCGCTGGTATCTTTGTGCTACAAACATGTCAGTCGAAACGTTGACTGCACCCAAAGCGTTCTTACCTTGGCGTAGGTACAGGTCGAACGTTGTTTTCGATGTTCGACGGTGCTTCCTGGTCCCTTTCGTCCTCATCAACATATGCCTCTGGGTTTTCGAGGCGTTGTCTGACTTCGTCTTCCAAGGTAGTGACAATCTCATCGATGCCGCCCAACCTCTTGATACTGTTATCGATTTCCGAGAGACGCGAATTGGACCACTGCAAGAGGTATTTCTGGAATTGCTCGCGAGGGAATGTTTCCCGCAGTTTGGCCAAGCCAGATTCTAAGCTTGCTGATGTATCAACGAAGGGATCCTCAACATCACTAAACAGGAGTCGTTTTATTTCCTCGGTACGTCGAATGATCTTGTTAGCATATTCGTTGGTACCAAATGCATGCGGATCAAGTAGCTCCCATCCTTTAGCATGACGATTATGAGACAGAGCTGCCTGAAGGCTTTGCAGAGCTCCCATATCATCCTCGTAGTCATCATCGTCTTCTTCGAGGTTGAGCATTGCATCCTGAATCATCTTTGCTGCGGCATCTTGAGTTGGATTGGAAAGTTCAAGCACACCAACGAGCAACTGGGTCCTAAGCTCTAGGGCGAAGTCAAAAGTCTGCGAAATGAGAGCGCTGCAGCCTGCCGGCAACTGAGCTCTAGGTTGAGAGAATCCGACCATAAAAGATGTCGGGAAGAATGCGTCGAGGTGCACTAGGGCGTCGACAAAGACTTCGTCCGTAGGCTGGGTCATGACGGTATATACGAGGATGGCTAGGTTGGCCTTGCATATCACGTCATCCGGTCTCCAGGGCCGGGAGACCTTTGGCAATGGCTGTGTGTTTCGTTTTCTCAACAAGCCACGGAGAATAGTATTGAGCTTCAGGTATGCTCCACCTCGAGTGAATATGCCCTTCGTCTCTTCTAGTGCGGCCCAGCAACCATCTACCTTTTGGCGTTGTTTTGAGTCAGGATCTTGCGATTCGTGAATGAGGGACTGTAGCTCCTCAGATTGTCCGGTGCGTGTTTTGAAGCAACCAAGAAGTCTCCTAGCCCGTGCGTTGAGCTCTTCCAAGTTACTTTCCATTCTGACAGGGTCGAGTCTCTGGAGTTCAGTTTGGGAGAAGGTCTCGATCGGGACGGAGTCGGGGCTTGAGACCTCTTCGTCCTCAGATGCTGCCGACTGCCGGCCCATATCTTCACGGTCATCGTCTGCAAGATCATCTGCGAGATCGTCTTCGAGGTCCTCTTCGACTTCACTCAAATCCTCAGTCAGAGGCTCAAGCTCTATATCACGGGTCAGTCGAGGTCACACGAGGCGTATGCATAAGCATATTTCCAGAATCGTTGACGACCAGTCACAGACGCGATTCACTGCAAACAAGCAAGCAAGCAGGACTTACGTTGTTGGGCTTGACGCGCGTTGTGAGCTGTCCCAGCCCTGGCCTGACGGTGCACTAAACGTGGCTCGACACTAGGCTCACGACTCTGGCTCCTGGTGCGCGCCATCATGGAAGGCGCGAAATCAGTGGTGGTTAGTCGTTGTGTTGTGAGTTGAATGTGAAATTGATCAGGACAGGCAACAGCGACCGCGACGACGCAATTCCCTCATCGCGTAGCACGTGATCTACCACTTTTCTGAGCTCTTCTGACTTCTATGTTCCATCTCAAAGACAGTATCAAGTGTCATGTTGAGGGTCGAAGAGTGCTTCGGAATGGTATACCAATTGTCAGTAAGTGATACTTCTCCACATGATAGGCTGTAGAAGGTCGCTGTTCATAACCCTACACCCTAACACTTCGATATCCAATTCCAACCCTAACACTTCGGCCTCCCTGCGTGCCACTGCGCGTAGCTATGGAAATGCACAGTGCTATCAAGAAACATAGCAGTATCCACTGAGAGCCAACATCTTTACGGCTCTCCTTGGCTGTTCCTATGCTTCAAAATATGATTGTGTCTTTTACAGGTATACTTTGCTCGTGGGAGAAGAGTGGAGATAAGTTACAGACTTTAGCACATGTCAATGATGGTGAGAGTGTCACCCAGATCGTAGGTTCTGTTTGCACGGCGTTGGTCGTTGAGACTACAAATTGACATTTGATCCGTAGAATGTGTATAACATACCATATTAGAGATACCTCATCCAATACAGGCTCAAAAGACATAGGTGTCTCACGTAATGTAGCGGTTCGTCCTGTGTGCTGTTTGGAAGGCCAACAGAGCTCTTCAGCTGAAACCAAAACAGCGCACAATTGACGAGGTCTATCAACAACATCAGAGACGTGGCAACCACATCGAAAGACTGAAAATCCATGAAAATACATGCTCATACAAGGCCTGGTATTCGAGACAGGCATGCAACACGTGGCACAGCCGCCATCTCACCAGTTTGCCAGAGGCGATACAATTACGAAGCTTGCTTGGCAATGTAGAAAGGAGGCGCTCAGAATATATCGTTGTTATCCCTGAAAAACAGTTGTTGCGCCTCAACGCACCCTTTTTGTCCAATTCACTTTCTGTCCTTTTACTTTACCGTCTTTCGTATTGTCTTCCCATACGTTGGCACCTTGTAATTCGTTAAGCGACATCTCAAGACTCGAGCATTGTAATTCGAAGCAAACTTACGCTAAAGCTGTTTTCGTCAGCAGCCCGCCGATATCTACTCTACCACGCATACACGATCCGGACATCTTGACCGAAATCCGCCAATATGAGAGTGCGATCGCCACCTTCGACTCTCTTGTTACTGCTCCTGCCCGCAATTGTCTCTGCGGCAGCGGTTGAACCAAAGGCTCAAGATGGCGTACTTGTAGCCAAGGCACCGGTCGCTGGGGCCGTCAAGGACTACACTGCCATCACCACCTCGAACGCACGTGCGCCAACACAAAAACCTGTCGTCGGCACGAAAGATGCTCCTGTCGACGGTCTGGACGGAAAACCGCATGCAGGACCATTTGTCGACATTACTCCCGAGGACAAGAAGAAGCCAGCGGCCGTCGCTGAGGATCTGGTGAAGCCTCTTCCCACATCCCTCTCGAAGTTGAAGGGCAGCGATGCCACAGACTTCGAATCTATTCCGGAGAAGAACGACGGAGTCATGGACGATGTGAACCGTTTGGCCCCCAAGGAGGGCACCACTGGAACTGAAGGAGGCGTCACTGAGAGAAACAAGAAAGAGAAGGCAGCACAAGGCCAGACTGGTGAGAAGGTCGAGAAGAAGCCAGAGACACCAAAAGAAGCACCTCCACTCCCTCACAGCGAGCAGGAGCGCATCAGCAAGGACTTGCCAGACAAGGCCAAAGAAGCGATCAACCCTGTTGGAAAGCCCAAGGGCGCTCAAGGACTCGAGGTACGATATGGCGGTTTAGGCCACGTTGTGCGCAACTGACAGAGATTGACAGNNAAACCGGCCGACCTCCCCGACAAGCCTCATGAAATCCCAGCACCCGCGCCCAAGAAGGCTACTGAGCTCGAAAGTGAAAAGAAGGATACATTTGCACATGTAGCACCCGTGGACACTGGATCATCCGGGACGCTGAGCCATACCGTGGGCTCGACTCTCAAAGACACACTGCCCTACACCGAAGGAAAACAACCGCCACCAGTTCTTGGTGACGGAACCGAAGGCATTATTCAGCCTTTCCACTCCTTTGTCCTCGCGTTCACCATGATCATCTTCTCCGAGATTGGTGACAAAACTTTCCTGGTCGCCGCGCTCATGGCCATGCGTCACCCTCAACTCGTTGTATTCTCTGGCGCATTCTCCGCTCTCATTGCCATGACTGTTCTCTCCGCCGTTCTCGGACATGCAGTACCGACACTTCTTCCCAAGCATCTGACCGCATGGCTCGCAGCTGGTCTCTTCCTTGTTTTCGGCGGCAAGCTGCTGCGCGAGGGTCTCGAGATGGACAAGGACGCTGGCGTCGGAGAAGAGATGCAAGAGGTCGAGGCTGAGCTGGAAGAGAAGGAACATCTCGCACGCAAGGAAGGCCGCAGACGATCATCAGTCTCGCCATATGTTCTTGAGGCTGGTCGTGGCAGAAGATCCGGTTCGCGTCACAAGTTCCCTGCACGCGCACAATCTCCTTCATCGGACTCTTCTAGATCGCCGTCCCCGTCCGGCCGTGGAGCAAAGGCCTCTGTGAGTAACGCACTTGGTGGACTCAACAACCTTCTCGGTCTCCTTCTTTCGCCTGCATGGGTGCAGACCTTTGTAATGACTTTCCTTGGTGAATGGGGTGATCGATCTCAGATTGCCACCATTGCCATGGCCGCTGGACAAGATTACTGGTGGGTGACAGGAGGTGCTATTGCAGGACACATGATCTGCACTGGTATCGCTGTGATTGGAGGACGTGCTCTTGCTGGTAGAGTGAGTTTGAGAGTTGGTAAGTACAGCCTGGTCAATTTGTATGATAACATTAAGCTAACATTGTCACAGNTCACTTTGGGTGGAGCAATTGCTTTCCTGGTCTTTGGTGTCATCTACTTTTTCGAGGCCTTGTACGACTAGACGACGCACATATCAGTTGAGAGTGGGTTCAAGAAGTTTGGTGGTAAAATCTGCTGGTCTGCATAGCATAAAGGACATGGGCACACATGGGGGCTTCTCGTGTAAGGGGAAAAGTGACAAACAATAGTACTTAATGAACAACATCTCCTATTTGACAAAACCAGTATCCAAATACAATATCATGTCGACAGAAAGCAGCACACGAGACATTGCCGAGTACGATGATTGACGAACATGTTGGTGGAGATGGGCATGCGGAAGCCTCGGTGGTTCGGTAATGGCGCAAGACGTGATAACGAGCGTGAGGGGTGTTCTTATGCGACACATGGATTCTTAAGATTGTTATCATGGATCTGACGGCTAGACCCAGCGCAAGAGTTTTGGTAGCAAACAAAAGCGTAAGACTTGGAGTAATCCATAGGCCAAATTCGTGTAGCTTTCGTCGCGGATCGTCCTTGGGTAACGTTAGCTGCTAACATTCTCGTCAATGAAGGACATGCTACGTTCAGTAACAGTACAGTTGTGGTGGGTATCAGCATCTCCAGGGTCTCTTTCGGAGAGCGGGGACTTTGGTGGGGGACACGGACTTTGTTTAATTATGTGAGCAAGCAACTGCGAGACAAGTCGAACCATTATTCCACTTGCTTCTCTCTTCCCCTTTTCAAGTCTCTGCTTGTCCTTGTTCAAGAGATACTGTTCAGTTCTCTTTGGCTGTCCTCTACCGCAATACGCCAAATCGACCAAGACAAAGCTTCCAATCGCAACTTCCTTATCAGCTCAACATTTTGTCCCGCACTTCGCTGTCGTGTGCCCCTTGGACCGACCACCCAGAATGACCGACCGACCCCCGCCGCTCAAGCGCCGACGAGTGTCGAGCTCGGCCGAAGACATGCAACACAGCATCGTCGACCCGGGCACCATCAAAATCAATGTCAGCGGAGCATACATAATCGATAACGGCGAGGCCCAATCGCCCGCCAGCGACAGCGGAGTCGAGGAACAAGGCTATGAGCATGACCGTCGCGATATCCGTCTGCCGAACCATACCTCGGTCGTCAGCCACGTTGCCGCAGACATCGGCGGCTCCCTTGCCAAAGTCGTTTACTTCTCACGCGAGCCGGGTGCGAAAGAGCCGGGAGGTCGTCTACACTTTTTGCGCTTCGAGACGGAGAAGATTGATACGTGTATCGAGTTTATGCGTGAGCTACAAAAGAAGCAGAAGAGAGCCAATGGAGGCAAGCAGTCGGAGCTATGCGTCATGGCTACCGGTGGTGGTGCTTTCAAGTACTACGATCGCATAAAGGAAAGGTTGGGTGTCGATGTTATGAGGGAGGATGAGATGGAGTGCTTGATCCAAGGCCTGGACTTCTTCATCACTGAGATCCCGAATGAGGTCTTCACCTACCACGACGAGGACCAGGACAACCTTATACACTACACCGACGCTCGCCCCGACGTGTACCCATATCTTCTTGTCAACATTGGCAGTGGTGTGAGTATGATCAAAGTCGAGGGACCCTCCAAATTCCAGCGTATCGGTGGAACATCACTCGGTGGTGGTACCCTTTGGGGTCTGCTTTCTCTGCTCACCGGAGCACGCACTTTCGACGACATGCTAGCAATGGCAGATGCTGGAGACAACTCGACAGTAGATCTGCTAGTCGGCGACATCTACGGCCAAGGGATGGGATACGACAAGATTGGCTTGAGCGAGAGGACCATTGCCAGTTCATTTGGCAAAGTCTTCAAGCGTAAAAGAGAGGCAGAGCAAAATGCCGAGGACGGACAACTACAGCATGAAGATGGCCCAGAGAGATACGATACAGCAACACCAGAAGGTGCTGCTAAGCAACAATCAGATCGCAAATTCGATATCGGCGAGGGTCGTATGTTTGCACCCCAAGACATCTCACGGAGTCTGTTATACGCAGTCAGGTTGGTTTTATCCCATTCCTACATCACAAGCTTGCAGCTCACTGACCTTGCAACAACANGTAACAACATCGGTCAAATCGCCTACCTCCAATCCGAAAAGCACAATCTCAAGCACATATACTTTGGTGGCAGCTTCATCCGCGGTCATCGCCAAACAATCCACACCCTATCCTTTGCCATCAAGTTCTGGAGCAAAGGCAACAAGCAAGCATACTTTTTGCGTCACGAAGGCTATCTCGGTGCAGTAGGTGCATTCCTAAAACGACAACCCAGAAACTTTGGCCGAAGGGCTAGTGTTCATGATGAGGAGTGATGAGCTTTTCTTTTTCTTCTTTTTTGGCTTCTAATAATCACAATCGCTTATACCCTAGACCTTTTTCATTTTGGATACTCAATGACGGCATAGAATCTGATACAATAGAGGGCATGGGCTTCAACTTTTCGTTTCTTTCTTGTACATTAGTCTCTATATGAGCTTCAATTTGTGCTGGCGTACAAATCCTACACCAAATCCTCCACCCTCGGCCTTGAAAGAACCTCAAAAACAGACAGATTGCCTGCGCAACAGATCATATCCAAGGAAACGGCAGATAGAGGGCCAATCGAACAGCAAAAGACAAAACAGATGTCGCAGCCGTGAATCGAACACGGGGCTCGTGCATGGCAAGCACGAATTTTACCACTAAACCACTGCGACTTGTGTAATTGGACAATGAAAAGTCGCTCGTTGGATGCGGATATATTTTTCCATCTGATTCCACTGTCTTCAGAGTCGATCTTGCAGTCAAGCATTCTCACTTCTCTACTTCAATCATCAACCCATCACCCCTGACCTTGCCATCTAAAACACCTCCCCAGACAACCAAGCATCCACCATCAATTTCCTTTGCTTTGGCAGCTGCAAAACCTGTTCTGCCACCAATTCCTCTGTCTTTTTGTCCTTCTTGTATCATGACGCCTTCGGCGTTGAAGTAACGCACTTCTGCATATTCGTTGGTTGCGTTTTTCTTGCTAATGGCATCACGAGCCCGGTCTTTGAGACTCGCTGCTGTGGTAGCTGAGGAGGGTAGCTGCAGTGTCAAGAGATTGTTTGGCGTGATGTGGAGCAGATAGTTGCGGCCTTGGCCTGTGGTTATTGGAAATAATGCTGCTGAGCCCTCGAGGTAGGGTGGTAATGCTGCTTCGGTTGAAGGGAGGTGGCACCAAGGGCTTTGGGGNGTAGGGCCTGTGGTTTGGGATGAGGTGTAGGAGGGGCTGGAGAAGCCGAGGTCGAGGTGGTGTGTTGAGCTTCTTGAGACCAGGTAGAGGCGGTTGTTGTAGAAGACTATACTGGGGCTTGCGTCTGAGGTATGTGTTGTTGGAGGTGAGGGCAACTGAGACCAGGTTCTTGATGCTATGTCCAAGATCCAGAGTTCCGAGATTGCTCTNGTGATCGAGTGTCAGTCAACCATACAGTCTTGAGCAAGATGAACAGCCAAGCAACGTCTTCTCTTGTTTAAGCTTGTCGCTTTGCATGTCCTGCCGCAAGGGCATGGTTCGAAATGTGAGCTGTAGATACACACAAAATCATTCGAAACCGGAGCATATCCATCGAGAGCCACGGAATACCGGCCTTCTATGGACACAGCTCAAATTGAAGATAGCTGTGCATTCCCACAGCTCCACACTCGGAAGAATACTGTAGAGGAGGCTGAGATCGAGGGTTCAACATACCTTTCTTCGTCCTCACAACAACCTCCAAACAGAACAAACGTTCCATAAGTAACAGGGCTCAAGGGTTCAGGCACCATCTTTGCGGGATCTAGAGGTAGCTGTGGAGCCACATTCACATCCGTCCTCTGATGCTCAGGCTGAGGTTGCGCACTTGCAGTGGCAGCTGCCCACTTCCTCGGCTTCGGTACATCTCCCACGGCAGCATCAAGACTCGACCATGAGTTCGTATCTGTGTCGAAGACCCACACTCTACCTTTTTCGTTGAGAAGTCCGTTCGCATTTGAGCCGCCAAAGACGTAGATTTGATCATCGATGACTGCTGTACTGTGGCCATATCTCGCTGGTGGGGATGCAGATGTCGGTTCAAGACGTTGGTAATCTGTGCTCTCGATACCTGATGATGGAAGGATGATCATGTGAATGGCATTGTCGGCTAACNNTAGGATCTGTTAGCCATCTCGCTCACGGGTGCCTTGCTCCGCGATATCACCAACTTGACCGTCCTCCGTCTTTCCACCAAAGATGTATGCTCTCCCCTTGACTTCAGAGACACTGTGGTATACTCGTGGTAGGTTTACATCGGTGATGGGTTTGATCGTTGCTTTGAGCGGGAGAGTTGGGTCGTAAATGCCTTTGGCCAGTGCAAGGCCACCTTCGACCATGTGCTCGACTGCATATAAGATCCCTGCTGCTTCTGCCATTATTTTATGGTTTTCTGTTGGAGTAGGTGCAGAAAGTATGTTGGATTGACAAGAGAGGGATGTTTAGTCAAAGATCAAGGAACACGCAATGTAGCACCTGCATGGGCATGATGTAATTTTAGNNTGGGGTGCTCAGACTTGAGTGCCTGAGAATTCAGGCTGGCTTCTCAGAGGCTTCACTCAGCCTATCGAAGCTTTCGAGACTCTAAAAACAATGGTGGATTTTCCGGAANGGTTGATGAGCCTGATACTAACAAGCTACGTTACAAGAGGCCCTAAAAGCATGGTTCGTTTGCCAGACAAGAGTAACAAGCTCGACGTGGAACTAANNAACTGCAAAAAGAGTTGCCCATTCACGGAATCGAACCATGGATCTTGTCATATCAACTTCAGGTGAAGTTCTACGAGTGACACGCCGTACCACTTGGCCAAACGGGCCCTGTTTGTGCTTTGACTCTTATTCAAAACGAATAAGAACCAACCGAGTAATGCTCGAGAGAAGTTGCAGGCTTCGGGCTGGAGCCTCTGGGATCTCTGGTGTATACGACGCCAGCAACATGTCCAGGAGGACAGTGATTGCTTCTGCAATCCCCTGCGACGCCTGATTGAGTTCTCTGCTGCTCGCAAACTAGCTGCAGAATGTGAGTGATGCGCTGTGGTCATCTTCGAATTGGGGAGGAAAACTGCGAAAATCGAAACAAGAAAACTTCCCTTGCGAGAAGTGATACCTTGGCATGGCAGATCAAGCGATAAACTGTCTTAACCGACCATCACATCTCGTGGATATCAGGACAGTCGTTGGTTGATACAGAAAAAGGACGATCTGGTTGTGAAAAAGTCATTTTTGCTGTAGTTGAAAAAGCGGCAACAAACGACGCGGCTCTCCCGTGGCCCGAGACAACTCTTCCTCTTCCAACACTCTATTTTCTTATTGTTGAGTATTATCCCGTGTATGGGCATGGTATTTCTTCCAGTGTTGAAGACTATTTGGTTGTAAACTGCAGAGTTCGTAATGGACACCATACTGTCAATTCTCTCCACGAGCGTCTTCATCACGGCAACAATCCTAGCTGTAACAGCCTTCCTCACAGCAATCTATCTCATCAGCATGAAACTGGCCCTGCCATTTGGCGCTCTCCTCTTCGATACAATCATTTCGTCCTATAACATTCAACTGCCCTATACTCCAAAGCAAGAACACGACACCCTGCGCACCCAGAAGACGCTCGCTGGTGTAGTCGCGATAGTACTGCTTGTTGGCTGTGTTCTTTACGAGCAGATACAGGCTGGCTCTAACTACCGTCCTCTGGGGTTCAACGAGTTTTGCGGTCTGGCGGCCAAGGGCTGTGTTGAAGGTGTGGTTGTACTGGCCATGTTGAGGTCAGTGCTAGAAGGGTATAGGCGACTCACCTCGAGCAAGTGAGGTATAGTGACTCTTGTTACGTTGTGCTTGGGATCTTCACCATTCTCGGTATCCAGCTCCAGCTATTGAGCGATATACCGAGCTGTCGAAACACACAGTCGTCTCGGAGAACAGAGGTGTGTCCGCGCGAAGAGCCGTCAGATTTATGCCTTCCAATGGAGGGTTCCTGCTTTTGAAAGATACTTTGCATTCTCGTGGTCAAGCATATCAATAACAGCACACGGAGAGAGAGAGAGAGGCTGTGTTCGTGCCTGTAACCGCTGTGGAGTACATGAAGTGCATGAAGCAAGGACGGACAACCGTGCCATCCATATTAACCAGCGGTGTCCGCCATCATCGCGACTTCACAACAGACATTACACATGACACCAATTCCAGCTAAATCCACCTCAATCACATCAAGAAACACCCACAGGGCTTCTCGACTCCAAATCGCAACAAGTGGACATCATATCATTCTCGACTAAGACAATGGTCACCATACTATGGACGATACGCTCAATGTTTCTCGAGAGCCTCTTCATACTCACATTTATTCTTGCCATATCAGCTTACATCGCAGTCACCAACCATCTAGCCAACAGATGCTGGTGCTTCTTGATAGGCAATGCCTCTACTACACGCATGCCCACACTCCTCCAAGATCTAGAGCTCGACCTAGTATTCGAGGAAGGCACACCCGCATCCCAACAACAAGACACCGTAGGCACGGAGAAAGAGTCCACAAGAACCTTCTCGTACATCTCTCGAACACCACTTTACTTTGTCTGCTTGGGCATACGACTAGGCATCAGCGGCGTGTTTCGTGATACTTGGGACCTGTCTACCCTGTTCAAGATTTGTAAGGCAGTGCCCGCGGCATTCGTCGAGGCTGTTATCGTATTGCTGTTGCTTGAGTTGGGGTTCAAACTGTACAGAGCACTAATCCAGACAAAGGTCAATTTCATCATTGCGATATGATTGATGCCCAGGAAGGAATGGGAATGGTGAAAGGGCTGCTTTCGGGTAAGAGTTTTACAACAAAACTTCCAATTGGAAAGGACTGACCATAGAGACATGTAGCGAGTATAACAACTCAAAGGATATGGGCATGGACATTGAAAGTGCTTATGTTCCGACGTGTCATTTTAGAATTCTTGCCTACATTCTGCGTAAGCTGCGCTTCAAGCTTCTCAACAGGAGGTTCAGTAGCTCAGGGATCTCCTCAAAAGATAATTTGCTCAGCTGGGCTCTAGTCGCAACTTCTTTCAAGATCCATTACACCTCTTGTCTCTTGACGACGTCTTCCCCACTTAAACACCTTCTCATATTGATCTGTAGAAACACACAAATCTCTCTTGATCAGAGCAACAGTCCACCGAGGGAAGCCAAAGCCACTGTCTCTTTGGTCCCATCTCTGCTTCACCATGCCACCTTGAACTCCAACCACATCTTCACCACTGCTCTCCTTTCTCAGCAGTGGTAGGCTCTACACACGGCGCACCTATTTTTGTTCCGATCGCGCTTTCTCATTGAAAACATGTCGGTAGAGTCATGTAGATACACAAGTCATGATTCCGGCTAGATAGAGCCGATGGAACGACGGTTCTCAGTGCACACTTCTCCTTTCTTCAAAACTCCTCTGTGCTCCCACAACTACAGCTCACGAACGCACTCAGCACAAGAGGGATATGAGATGATGCAAACACGAAAATGCTGTTGGACTTTATAGTGCTCTCGACCTCGATAACAAGCCTTATGAAGAAAAAGAAGAAGATGAATTTTCTCCCCTATCCTCATCTTTTCATTCAAAAAGGAAAAAGGCGCCTGTTCCGGTATGCTCATATCAAAACTTTCATGAAACAAGAGAGACCAAAGAGAACAAGGAAAAAGAAGAGCCGACATAAAACGAGAAGCCCCATATGATGAAGCAGAGAGAAGCCCCTTAGTATCTCATCAAGAAGGAAGCAAGTGTCGCGAAGAAAAAGGAAGGAAAACAAGCGGATCAGCGGAACTGTAATCGCCTCACTGGCGATGTTTCCCTGTCTGCCGCGTACTGGCTAGCCGCTGGCTCGAGTCCCAATTGCTGACCTTGCTGATAAGGGTTGTTGTTCCACTCCAGTGCGGGATTGTACGAATGTTGAGGAGTAGGGGAGGCGCGCCATTGTAATAGTGATGGTGCTGAGCACTGNGCATTTTCGGCAGTCTTGTCGCGGAAGACGGTGAATGCAAAGTTGGAGCCAGCAATAGTAACGAATATCAAAAGGACAGAGAANAATCTGATCAAAGTGCGTTAGTTGATAAGAAGCTAATATTTCAAAGCAAGAGGACTTACCATTGCTTTGTAGGAGATGGGTTCGATGAAGCTGTTGAAGATCTCGGCAAAGGCATGTGCGCTGATCCTGGCGCGACCAACATTGTGAGGGTTCTGGTTCATACACTGCTCCCAGTTGTTGCAAGCATTCTCCAGCACTGGCGGGCGAGTTTCCAGGCCACAGCTGTTTTGTTTGTAATCCCTTGCGCAAGCGGCCATTTGAGAAAGCACTTCGGCCACGGCAATACTTGTCTTCTTGTCGACATCGCCACGGATGGTGGCCCAGAAACTGTACAGAATATACATTACGCTGCCAATAAGGAACATGTTGAGAAGTAGTTGTGCGTAAAAGGAGAGGACGTGGGGTAATGTTGGGTGTGCGGTGATGAACTCGAACAAGGTCAAGGTCCAGTGCTTGGTGGGAGCTTGTTGTTGGTGTTGTTGCTCTTGCGGTGGTGCGGGTAGATCCAGGCTCTTATCCTGCTTGCTGCTCACCTTGCGTGGCTTGGTGACTTGGATTGGTTTTGGTTCTGTCTCAGAGTCTGAAACGCTGTCTCTTCGCGTTATCAGGGCTTGCTGCTCCTTGCTCCTCTTCTTCATAATCTTGCGCTCTGCTCCGTGTGCGTAGTCGTCTTTTGAACGTGGTGAAGAAGCCAGGTCCTTGAAGCCCTTCCACCAGCTCTGACGGCGCGAAAGCGAGTCCTTGTCCTTGTCTTTCTTCATAGAACCTCCTGCAGTAAAAACTGGTTTGCTCATGGTGTCCAGATTGGAGAACTTCGATCTCAGGCTCATGTCGGGTGTAGCGTCACTATCGACGTCGTTGCGCTCGGGCGATTTGGGCGTCTCGCCGCCAGAAGATGCAAAGTCGTCAACGTCCAGTTTTCTCGGCGTAGCAAACAAGGGGTTGTTTCTCATAGACGGCGGTAGGGCAGGCAGAGGTTTGGGCGACGAGAAAAAGTGTGGCTGAGAAGCGGGTTCGCGAAGGCTGGGAAACGTTGACTTGTTTGGTGATCCAAATACTGCGTAGTTNGCCTGTCAATATCATTAGCTACTTTTGAAGTGGACCTTGGTCTGATCACACGCGAGCACATGGGACTTACGCTTCTTGTCGTTGGTGTTTGGGTTGTTGCGCAGAGAGTTGCGTCCTACTTGAGCAAAGGGCGATCGTTCATCTAAAGGCCCTGTCCCATTCTCGTACTGAAAGTCCATCGGCGTGGCATGCATGCGGTTCGCCATGTTTGCTTGTTGATGCAAGAAGAAGGAGCAAAGACGTTACAATTTACAAACAAAGGTTGTTGACATGGCAAGGGACGGCCGGTAATCCTGAAATCCGGGGTCACCCTGCCCCGTCCAACACGAACCGCGAACCCACGCTCCACCACGCGTCCCACTATCCTTCTAGAAGTCACCATTATTGAAGCTCGGGTTTGATACATCAATCAGCATTCACTGCATCGACACAGTCATATCTCTGAGAAAATAGTAGATTTGAAACTGAACTGCATAAAGAGGTATCGTGCATGAGTAGAACAAAAGAGAGAAAGAGAAACTAAACATCCATGTCTTGCTCCACCATTTTTGACCCCTTTGCTCCTAATAACTCCTGCAAGATTGGTATCTCTTTCCGCATCTCCCTAAGCTTATAAACAGAACAAAAACTTTCTTTGTGCTCTCCCTAATCAAAGATTAATAATGAGAAGATTCGTGAGAATGAACGAAGTGAACGAGTCAGGAAGACCCAAAGTGGTGGCTTTAAAACATGCCTGCCTCATTGAGGACAGGTGAGCCGACTGCATCAAAGCGAGCGCTACTTGCTGCTGTTTGAGTGGTGTGTGTTGTGTGGCTGGTCTCGAAGCTCTGCTTCATGCGAAGTGGTTGATGTTGAGCGCTGGTAGCCTCAGCAGAAGGCTTGCGCGAACCCGTGTGCTCCTGAGATCCGAACGATGGCACAATCGATCGCATAGGCGGTGAGGTGAACCCATTCAAGGGNGGCGACATGACACTCTCAGGCGTCTTCTCTCTGTCAGACGAGCCTTCTCTGCCAAAGCCAAACAACTTGCGTCGACGAGAGACCACTGCTGCCTGCTCAACCGCATAGATCTCGTCCATGCCATTCTTAAGCGAAGCTCCAGGAGGCAAATCGACAGTATCGATATTGGATGTGGACGAAACAAGTGTGGGCTCCGAAATGTCGAACTTGTTGATGGTCTTCTTACGCAACGTTTCTCCTCTGGGCTTGCCAAGAGGCACAGAAGGCAAGACTGGAGGAGCTTGCTTCGAGAATGGCGCTCTTGACATTGATGAGGAGGTACTCAGAGGAGGAGACATGACTGAGTTGAAACTTGCTGATGAATGCGAGGGCGATGGACCCATGGGTGGTCTTGCGCTAGGGTGCAGACCTGCAGCTCTGCTGTTGCTTCTCATGCGACCTCTGGGCTCTGTAGATGGTGACCTGTATTGGTTGATCTCAGGGGAGGGCCTCTGGACAGGCATCGTGGGTGGGGCTTCGGCGCCGCCACTCATAGCTGTGCCAATTTCGCCACGGTTACGACTCCGTGAACGTGCTCGGGAAGCATCAGAGCCTGATCGGTTTCGTGATCTTTCTCTCGCTTGCTGTGGAGGTGTACGACCGATCTCGCTATCTGCCTGTGGTCTAGCACTGGGTATCACAGGTCCAGGACCGAGAGGCCACTGTGCACCAGCATTGGTAGATTGAGATAGCTTGTCCTCGTAGCTTGGGTTACGTTCGATAGGATGAGCCCCCGAAAGACCCAGACCGAGCCTCGAGCCATTGATCTGTCTCAGGTTCATGGCCTCTTGACTGGGCCTAGCTTTGAGCATACCGAATGCCTTCAGAGCACCGCTTGCGCTAGGGCCTGGACTTGTCCCACGACTTTCGCTTTCAACAATGCTCTTCATCTTTTCTTGAATGGCCCTCTTTCGAGCTTCAAGTTCGTTGGCAAATGCGTCGCGTTCTGCTTGAGTCGCAGTGCTGGCATCGCGGTTGTGCTGTGGTTGCCATGGAGCGCTTGCAACGTTCTCGTCAGAAGTTGATGGCCTTGAGCCATTAGTCTTCAGAGGGAGCGGTGTGAGTCCTTGACTTTGAGAAGCAGTGGTAGCCGAGTTGGTCGAGACTCGCGAGGGAAGGTCGCCGTAGTAGTTGTCAAGCTCGTCAAGATTCCAGGCGCTTGAGTTGCCAGAGAGACGGCGATCTGAATAGGTGTTTCGACTAATCGTCGAGGCGCGATCGGCGTATGGTGGATTAGGAGGATAGATGGAAGATCCGTCACTTCTGTTGCGCAAATGCTGACTGATCATGCCACCAATGCCTTCATGTGGGCCGATTGTAGGAGAGTCGATATCTGCGGGCTCCTCAGCGCCAGCCTCAGTGAATGCGATGTTGATGGATGGTTCAGGGAAGGGAAATCCTTTGCGTTCCTCTTCTTCCTCGTCCACCTCGGGAATGTAGTCGTTGCGGAGAGCAGGGTGTTGTGAAGCAGGAGGTTGGTTGTTGGCCCCGTAACGACTAGCAGCAGAAGCTGGACGTGTGTGGTCAAATCTTGGCTCGTCCTCACTCTCGTCGTCGCTATCACCAAAGAACGTGCGATTGTTGTTGTCAAATGTTGCAACTGCCGCTTGCTCCGGTGAGTCTCCGTGAGCAACACGGTTTTGCATAGCAGCACGCTGGAAGACTGCGAGCGCGGCGTTAACCGGCGGTTCAGGAGCAGCGGCAGCAGCAGCTTCTGGTCTGGAGACTGAGCGAGAACGTGATCGCTGAGAGAATCGGGAAAAGTTGTTCTGTCTAGCGGAGTCAAAGCGAGCCAGACGAGAGTCTTGTGAAGGGTGCTCTGCTGACACTTGTCTTGAGGTGGCACCTTCTCTTGACATGGATCTGCTGAGGGGTGGTTGTTCTGCGGGAGCTTGGGGTGTTTCTGACTGGCTGATTGGTGACAACTTAGTTGGAGTATCAACCGGAGATTCGCTCTTTGCCTGACCCATTTGCATCTGTCGCTTGAGATACTGCTGCTCGTCGAACTGTTGAGCTGGCTTGTTGAACATGCCTAGAGCGGTCGCCTTTCCATGATCACCTTGCTCGAGAGCCGAGTGCAACACTTGGTACTCTTGAGTCTCAGGGATGACAGGGCTGATAGGGGATTGTGGGTAGCTGCCGACAGTTGGGCTGGAAGTGCTGGAAGCTACCTTTGCGACCAATGTGTTAAGAGGAGCAATACCATTTCTGGGTAGCGGACTAGTGGTTTGGTTTAGAGTATACGGTTTGTATGCGCGACGATCCTGAAGGTTTCCAATACTTCTAGAATGGTTGAGAGCAGATGGTAGCGTCGGAGCACGTTGTCGTTGGTTGATGGAGTTCAAGCGTGACATGGTCGAGGCTTGTTGATCCTGGATGTGTTGATTGAGACCTTGTTCGTACAGACGACGCTTGGTCATAGACCGTTCCAGTCCAGGTCCAGTAGGGTTCGGTGATGTCTTGGGTAACGTTGCGGGAGTAGAGATGGCAGTGCCAATAGATTGCGAGGCGACTGAGGTTGCCGTTGATGAGGAAGGATCTTGAGAAGGAACCGAGTTGGTGGTTGAATCACTATTGCGCTTGAGGAAGGAGAAGCCAGTCTCAGTGCCAGACAGACCAAGCCCCTTGGGAAGGTCATCTGATGCGCGGTATTCAGGGTCAATGTCAGGAGATAGTAGAGCACTGTCACTGTCCCAATCTTGGCCCATAGCAAGCAGTCTCTCTCTTTCTTGCTGTCTGTACCTCTGGAAAGCCGACATGTTCAGGTCATCGTCGTAGACCATCCTTCCCATACCACGTTCGCTGTTGCCTCCTATGCTTTTTGCGGAACCTGTGGCAATCTTGTAGACCTTCTGACGACCACCGAACAGCACATTACCTTCTCCAGGGCGAGCACGACTCATGACACTGCCATCTGGATTGGAATTGTTGTCGGTTCCATAACCCTCCTCGGATGCAAATGAGCCAGTTCGGTCAAGAGCGAAGGGTGGGCGGATAGAGCTGTTGATCGAAGCAACCTCGGCGATGTCGTTGAGATTACTGGACGAGAAGCCAAAGTCGAGTAGGCGAGAGTTGCGTTGAGGTTGGAGGACACTATCATCCGAAGCCTTTCCGAGCAACGAGTTTGGGTCATCTTGCTCTCTGAGCATACTGAATCTGGTCGAGAGGTTGGGCATGATGAGACTGGTGCGGAAGTCGTCGATTGACGGCAGAGCAGAATTTAGGTCAAGTTGTGGTTTCTCCTCGACAACTTCTTTCTTGTTCTTCTTCCATTTCTTGGTGCTTGGTGTGGGCGGTGATAGCGGGCTAGAGGCCCCATCGCCATTCTTCTTGCCGAGAAATCGATGCATGGTGGGTGGTTTCCAGGTTGTTTACGGTGTCTGGGTGACTGGCGACAGAAATTGAGAAGAGACTCTTCGAATGTGTCGGAAAGTGCTCTCACAACATGGAGCGGTCGAACCAGGAGCTGGGTACGGGAGTCTTGCGATGCATGCAAAGACAAACGAAGGGCGATTGAAAGAGTTAGCCAGCCGGTGGCTCGTAGGCAGTCGGTGCCGCAGATGCAAACGCGCAATTGGCGCAATGGTCGAGAACGCAGGTGGCCGTCGAGGGGCAATGTGGGTGTGTAGATGTGTGGTGGGGTCTAGTAGACTTGTGCTAAGGAATGTTGTCGGGAGATTGGCAATGTTCGTCGAAGACGCTTCCGGGAGTGAGTTGCAAAAATGAGCGCTGGTCGAGAGATGCGACGGAACAAGTGAATGGAAGAAAGAAGGCAGAAAGGGAGCTGGTCGAGTCTGACTCGAATCAGTCACGAAAGAATCGAGTAGAGTAGGCGGCACACAGACTTCGTTTCACTGCGGAAAGCGCAGATTGCTCTCTCCACGCGCTTGTCTCTACCGTTGCCGCTCTGCTGCTGATCGGAATTGTGTGTTTGTCGAGCAAAAACGTCTTTCAGCGAACGGCCTCAATCATCGACACAATCTGAGAAGAGCGGGCACTCCTTAATATCCCATTGACCCTCTTTGGGAGAGACTCCCTTTGCACATTAGCCTGCCCACCACGCTGCAAGAAAGCCGACCATCTGTTTCAGCTTCAAGTGACGTGCCAAACCCACGACGCAATCTAAAGCAGCTCTGTACATATTCCCAAGTGCCTGCCGAACTATCATCTCCTCCGCTTCGTCATGGCTCGTATATCTGTGACCACCATGGCTAACACGCAATACTCCCTCTCGTGCATCGCCATCGCCATCGCGGTAGGACGATACCATCGAACACAGAGGCGCTCCAACATCCCGGTCACGGCATGGCAGTTAAGGGCCCTCGTTGTGCTTGGCTCAGGGGTAGAAATTGAATGAACCACGTTCCCGGACATGGCGGTCGTGCGACATGATTGGTCCGAGCCACTTTCACTTTGGCAAGGAGAAGCCTCTTCGGCGGGCCGCAGAAGCCGTCAAGTTCGACTCGCCTAGTCAAAGCATCTTTCACCGGCTCCATGACAGCTTCCGAGAAGGCCTGTCGAGTTTCGAAACCTCCTCCTCGACCCATGTGTCAAGCTGTCTCCCAGGGCTTCAGGGTTCGGCCCAGGTAGACCCCTAGGCCTTCCATGTAGACTTCTGCGACCATACCGCGGACGACAAGCCCGACAGACCGCGTGGTTACAGAAGTAAATAAGCCAATGGCTCCTGCGCAGGGTCTCCCAACGGTCAAACATCAACAGCGGGACGTTGCAAAAGACAAATTTTTAACTCCGCTGTCCTTTCGCTGCCTGTGCGCCATCCTTCCCACCGGTCATCTCATGTTGAGAGCTGAGACAATGTGAGGCTCTTCGGATTTTCATGTTCTGGGCGAGCTCTGCATTTGCGACAACAAATCCTTGCATCTGAACACTTGGTTGCGTGAAAGCACATTTAGCAGCCGGAAGATCATTGGCGGCTGCTTCTCCTCCAATCTACACATTCGAGCCTAAGAATCCTCCGATGGACGATCACTGATTGACAGCTTTCGGTGCATGATCTGGTACGTGTGTTCTTGGTACTCCCATGTCGATCTAGATTTCTACTGGTACAATATAAGAATCCTTCTCACGCATCTGACCATCCTGCGTTGAAAGATTGTCCGCATGGAGCAAACGGGTTCTCGTGTAAATCAACATAAGAATATGGGGAGAGTCTAGAGTTTGTCTGTTTGCACAGGTTGTGATAAGGATAAGACATTAGATACTCGGAGTAGGTCGGCTGGTTACTGTTTTTTTGAGGGACATGTTCCATTCAATATTGATGTGATCGATTTGGTAGCTCTTGCGAGCGTGTGCAGGGGATGAGATTATCTGGAAGTGTGTATAGCTGTACGTCTAGAGGAGAGGGCATGATACCAGACCACCCAATATCATAACCAGGCCACTCCTGAAGATCTCACCCTAACGGCCGCTGAGCTCTTCTCATCATCATGCAGAAACGGTTGCAACCTCCAGCTGTTAAGCCTCACCGTAATCCGAGCACCTAGCTGCACAGTTCAACAAGCATGCAGGAAACAAGTCTTGTGACGAAGCTTGCACAAACGCCCTCAATCGTTCGCAGCGTTGGAACGTAGCAGTGCAGAAGTGACCTCATCTCTCGAGCTGCTCAATTCTTCTGCGCAAGATTGCTGAACATGTTGTTGGATCTCCACGCCACGCCAGGCGGTGTGCGGTCACCNCCCGTATGCTCACCCTTCTTCTTTCTTTTCTTTTTCTTCTTCGTCGATGTTTCTGTGGTATCTTGAGTAACGCCTAAGTTTTGTAATGTACTGAGGAACGCTGCTCTGGCAGCCTCAGCCTCACCATCGGCCTTCGCTGATTTCTCGTCAAGGAGTTTTCGTAGACTGGGTAGGTCTTGGAGCAAAGTGATGAGGCTCTGTAATGGCAGGAGAATTCCGTGGCCAGTGCTTTCAAGCAGGTTGTGTACGATGGTGGAGATTTGGGACAGCATCCTCAGTGAATAGAGAGAAGCTTGCATTTGGCCGCTTGCATGGATGAATGACCAGGACAGCACGCCTTCTCGCGAACCTGCGACGAGTCTGCTGATGTCGCTGCTAAGTGGCGGAGGCTTGTCATTGTCGAGGTTAGATTGACAGACAAGTTTTACTGCCACAGCACGCCACTTAGCCGCTCTGGATAATGATGAGTGATGTTCTAGATCTTGCTGCAAAACTTTCAAGCAGTCTTCTAGCATCAGACTTGGGCTGGATGTGCAGTCCAAGTCGACCACCGTTCCTGCCACGCGAGTGCCCTTNCGCTCAAACTCGGTGACTTGTGTGATGCTTGAATTCAGCACGCGTAATAACGAATACGCCTGAGCACGGATGGAAACACCAGATCTCCATGCAGATGTTCTTGTCGGATCATCGTTGATGAACGGAAGATACATATTGAGGTTCTCGGAGTCTTGCAAATCTGAAGGTGCTTCTTGATTCTCCTTTACGCGGACCAGATGGACAATCTCAGAAATCCTGGGATCCAGACGAGCAAGCGCTTCTGCTGTGTTCGTCTCGTTCATGCTTCCTGCCATGGCCAATTTCGACAGTCGAGGCAGAGATCCATATTCTTCCGCAAACTCTGCAAATCCAGCAGACATTGGTGTGTCCTTTGAAGCAAGTCTGACGTTCTCAGTAAGACTTTTATGATGGTCCTGGGACATGAAGAATGCCAATTTGACCAGATTCGGGAGCTCAAACCGCCTGGCGATAGCAGCTGGATGATACTTCTGAGTTTTTAGACATTTGCCTCTGCTTGGAAGATGAATCGTCTCAAGGTCCCGGAAGAGTATCACCTTTCCGGACTCTCCAAGATCGTGCACCAAGAGATCCGAGTCGCTGGTAAAGATGACACCACCGTGTTGCCTGGCGGCTTCTGCACAGTACGCATCTGCCTCGCCGGGAACGACAGAGACCAGAGAGCTGAAACGGCTTTCGAGAAGCATCTCAATGACTGCAGGAACCAAGAATGGTGGAGCGGGAAGAGCTCTGAGACGGTTGGCAATGGCTCCCGCAGTCAATGCATCGGCGTTCAAAGACTGTACATTGTCTGCACGAGAAGGCAAGTCTTCCTTGTTCAGCGCCTTGAAAGTGACGAGCTGGTTCGCATAGCTCTGCAATCTAGACAACCTAGTGCTCTGCTTGGACAACGGCAACAAGCCATCGAAAAACACGGATTTANNCTGCATGGGAGAAAAGAAAAATCAGCCACTTACTTTGAACAGACCTTGGTGGTCGACATACATTTTTAGTCCGTATTGCTCGATTTGCTCAAGAAAATTTATGGCGGCCTGGCCTAGTTCTTGATATGTGGGAGTCGCTTCGAAAGCATTCTTTGCATTCGTCCTACGTGACAGGCACACGTAGAAGATATGATATGCCAGACTCGGGCCGTCGATGATTGCATTCTCGTGGTCGGCAGGATGCTGTGGTAGGACCACTTTGTCGCCAAAGGGCGACAGCGAATGCGTCAAGTGCGGTATACCCATGCCAGCGACACTTGATCGATCACGATTCAGAGCATCTAGAGGAGGCCGTTCGAAGATTGCTTGGTTCGGAAGAGGAAAGTGGTCGTCCGAGGACGAAATTCGTGTTGTCGCTTTCGCGACGCGCGGAACGTCTTCCTCCCACTTTCTTCAACTCTTCGTACTCTACCAGATCAAGTAAATTACCACCAAACCAATCGCCAAGATGCCTACAATGTGGCTTTCAGACTCTCAGAGTAAGCATAAGATACTAGCTCATTAGGTGCTTGATGCTGATTGCAATGTAGAGATTGGGGTTGCCTTTTGCTCCGGCGGTAGGTGAGAGTGCGAGCAGAGTCGCATTCAACGTACGAGCAACTCTGATATAGAATGTAGGAGGCTTCTTCCTGATTGGAGGTGTAATCATGTTCTTTGATCGCTCAATGTAAGTTTCAGCGCTGATCTGTCTACAGCACAACAGCTAACCTAGAGACAAACAGGTTGGCCATGGGAAACGTACGCTCATCCAGACCATCAACCACCGACCAACACTCACATATCCTCCATAGATCCTGTTCCTAGCCGGTATTACCCTACTCCTCGGAGTCCAACGAACATTCCTCTTCTTCGCGCGTCGCCAGAAGATCAAGGGCACGGCAGCCTTTGTCGCCGGCATCATTCTCATCCTCCTCCGCTGGCCATTGATCGGGTTTCTCGTCGAGATATACGGCATCTTTATACTGTTCGGCGAGTTTTTCAAGACGATAGCTGGTTTTGCGTACAACATTCCTGTCGTGGGACCATACCTTGCCAGGGGTCTTCAGAAGGCAGGAGAGAAGGCCGGAGAGGGAAACAAGAACAAAGATCTGCCCGTCTAGCGGATGAAAGAGCTTGTGCACTACAAGGCATACCATGGGACACTCCAGCTGCCTTACGGACATTGGTCTGCTGTCGTGGTAGCAAAAAGGAGGCCACGGGACAAAGACATGACGAACTCCACGATTCACGACGAACGACAAATGCAAGAAGCAGAAGTTCGTGATACAGCCCTGCACAAGACAAGGGCACGAATTTGGTCATGACTGAGAGAAAAATGGCTCCATGTAAAGCCCCTGTATACCTAAATCTCCAAACGATACGCTTTTTTAAAATCCCAGGACTCCGTTCGTATGCTCGTCTCGTTTATTGGCCGTTGGTGGTCGACTTCTTGGCCTGTCTTCTGACTTGGACGGCCTCGGCGAGGTCCTTGAGGACATCGACAGTGGTCTCCCAGCTAATGCAGGCGTCGGTGATACTGACACCTCTCTTGAGGCCGGAGGGACCCTCGGCAGGGACCTTCTGGGCACCCTCGTTGAGGTGAGACTCGATCATGACACCAACGATACCCTCCTCGCCGGCGCGAAGCTGCTCTGAGATGGTCTTGGCAACCTTGGGCTGGTTGCGGTGGTCCTTGAGGGAGTTTCCNTGAGAATGGTTGTCAGTTTGTGCTTTCTCCATAGGACAGAGCCGAGTTCACTCACCGTGCGAGCAGTCAATCATCATGACCTCGGGCAGGTTCTTCTTGGCTAGTGCCTCTCTGCACTTCTTGACATTCTCGGCATCGTAGTTGGTACCCTTGGTTCCACCTCTGAGGATGACGAAGCAGTCCTTGTTTCCGGTGGTCTTTGTGATGGCAGCAAGACCTTGCTTGGTAACACCCATAAAGTAGTGCTTAGCAGCTGCGGAGCCAATGGCATCAACAGCGACACCCAGACTGCCGTCGGTACCGTTCTTGAAGCCCATGGGGAAGGACAGACCGGAGGCAAGCTCTCTATGCAGCTGAGATTCGGTGGTACGGGCACCAATGGCACCCAGCGAGATGAGATCGGCAAGGAACTGGGGGGAGATGGTGTCGAGCATTTCGCTGGCAATGGGCATACCCTGGCTGGTCAGGTCGCAGAAGAGCTGGCGAGAGACGCGCAGGCCCTTGTTGATCTTGTAGCTCTCGTCGAGATCGGGGTCGTTGATCAGACCCTTCCAACCGACAGTGGTACGGGGCTTCTCGAGGTAGGCGCGCATGATGATGCAGAGGTCATCCTGAAGCTCGTCGGCGAGCTTCTTGAGACGACCGCAGTACTCGATGGCAGCGTCGGGGTCGTGCAGCGAGCAGGGACCGACCATGACGAGAAGACGGTCATCCTGCTTGTGAATGATGGCCTGGGCTTCGTGACGGCCCTTCTTGACGGCCTCGAGGGCGACTTGGGTAGCGGGGATCTCGGAGGACAAAAGTTCGGGAGAAATCAGAGGGTCGTAACCTAAGACGCGGGTGTCGTCGTTCTGCGACTCGCGGAGCTGCTGCTGAGCATCGATGTTGGGGCCGGCCATGTTTGCTGTGAGTGTGCTGTGAAGAGGGAAGGTGGGATGACTGTATGAGTTATTGTTGAAAAGAAATGGCAATCGGGCCGCAGTGCAAGCCGATGGCGGCTCGGATTTCTTTGTTCTAGCTCAAGCCACAGCACGGCAGTACCCCACATTTCACTAGGCACATACAACAAGCAATTGCGTTGCTGATGGCACGTCCACCTGCTCTCACTAGTGCCTGCCTGATCTGGCCCTCGGAACACGCTCGCTGACTTCCTCAACCTTCACTCGCATGCTGGCTCATGTCTCCCTGTCCCTCCTTTGCACCCTGCATATCCTCTTGAATCTCGCTCTGCACTTCAGCCCTGTTTGACCGCCCGTTATGTTCTCTTCGCTGTCCCACAAACGTCGGCACGATGACGACGACGATGTTATGTCCATGCATCACGACAAGGTATAATCATGTCCTTCTACTGCCATGAATTTATCAAGCTCACCTTCATGTAGAGACTGCGTCACTCTGCTGGACACGATCATGGTGTTTTTGGTCATAACTCTAATGTCGAAGCTCAATCTATACCTGGTGCCATGGACGATTCAATGGCTCCTACCGTTGCTGAAACCGACTCATCCGATGACATGGATATGGATATGAGAGATGACTTCCAGATGGAGTACTCACAGTCTCCTGAACAGCCGTCTTCTTGGATACTCGAAAATACCCCGCTCCGGAACCCACGGATGGCTCTCGATGATAGAGGCTCGCGAGTTCCAACACCCATGGCACTGCTGTCTACACGTCCAAAGCCCTCTCCACTACAAGGTAACACCTCTGTCAGTAGTGCCTACGTCCCAAATACGTCCATGCGTGCTCGTTTGGCTGGTCCAAGAGAACGCTTCCCATCACCCATCTCTGAAGATGAACCTCACACACCCACCACTGCTACTGGAAGCCAATTCTCCCTGTTGACTGTTAATGACATGGACATGGATGCTGAAACAACCCCTCGACCTCCTCCACAGACACCGGAGATACACGTCCGCAAGCAAAGACAACGAAGTGGTGCATTCACATCTCCGCGAGACCAAGATACTTCCAAAAAGTTCTCAATGGGTTATCGGGATGATTGCGACAAGTGCAGGAATCGTGTGCCTGGCCATATGAACCATTTCTTGAGGTAGCTGCTATCTCTTTTTATTCTTGTTGTTTGCATCAGGCCGTTATACTGGGTCATGGGAACGCTGGCGTTTATAGGATCTCTTTTCTGGCGCAACTGGATTCAGAGGAGCATCATTACATATATCTGTGCATATGAGAACGGCACTTTTCGGGGCTTTTGAATTGGGCTTTGCCATTTGTGAGTATAGCCTGCTTCCGCTTCTTCTTCTAGTCCTTCTGTTCTGGACCAACTTTTGATATCATTTCCGTTACTTCTTCTTGGGGATGCCCATTTCTTTGGCGGTCTGATCCTTGCCCTCCTCCTCATCTTCTTCGTCTTCCTCGCTCATCTTTTCGTCTTCGCCATCATCATCGTCGTCGTCTTTGTCCTGGCTGCCGTCACCGTTGGTATCACCCATGCGCTCCTCGGCGGTTGCTGATGATGGGAGCTGGCGCAGGGTCAACGACACACCCACGCCGCTCTGTTTGGGCACAAAGTCTTGCCAGCGAGCAGGAGCACGATCTTCGGCGCTCGGAGCCCACAGGAAGGGGGCGCCGGATGTGTGGTTCGGCAGGAGGACCGAGAGGCTGGTGAAGCTACGCCAGAGACCGAGGGGCGCAACGCGGAGCAGCTCCTCGTCGTATACTCCGCCAGGAGCAGAAAGTTCCACTGCCGCTGCTTGAGGTGCATCAGCAGGGTCGTCGGGGGTGACGAGGTGGCCCTCTCTGGTGCGGCCGTCGTCTCTGAGGTACATCTATCTCTTGTCAGTGCTGGTCCATCTCGTCGACGACCTTTGTTACTTACGCCTTCGCCGCCGACCATGATCTTGTCATAGCTGCAATCGAGGCCCGCAATTATGCAAGCCGAGCAAGGTCGACCACAATCGCAGCTGATGCTGCGCAGATGGCACTGTCTGCAACCCGTCAAAGTGTCCATCTTGTTCTGCAACAAGATCAGCAATCTGTTCTTACTCCTGGTAATCATCATGAATCTTTCTTGCATATACTTACTGATCTTGGAGGCAGGGGGTATGTATGCTGCGGTCGCGGACCTGAGATGTGCACAAAACTGAACCCGTTATTTTGCAGAAATTCTGAACCGTTTATGTGTCTCTTCGTGGGAGTGCCGAGACGTCCTTGCTTAGTCGGCGGACCCGGGTGTTTGGGAGTGTTCCTTGATGGGTGTTGTTTGCAGTCCAAATCCTCGAGACATCTCGAAAGTTGTGAGACTTTTTGCTTGTTTTCTTTGTGTCGCCTCAAGCTTGAGTGTAGAACTTTGCGGTTGACTACTGCAATCGTACTTTGGATAGAGTTGGCTTGGGTACCTTGTGGGTGCTTTGTTGTGTGCCTGGTCACCTTGTCTTAGTATGAGATATTGATATTCTCCCCAAAGTGTGTATCAGTCGCTGAGACCTTTGTTGAACCTCATGATATTTCCTATCTCCGAGCATTGGTGGTCAAGAGCTGACGATATTGCAGTACTCTCATTGGACAAGGCTGCTTTTGAATTAGTTTTGTGTATTTTTATAACCGATATACTCTTGGGATGGTGCGGGCTGGAGTTACATCAGAAATGTCGACATTCTGAAACATTGAAATTCAGATATTGTCACAAACTCACACATATATAACCAAAACGGAGTATCACCAGTCTGGTATGAGTTCTCTGCTCATGACTGAGTATAACATCGACGATATAAAGTATCAATGATGTTGTTGTCCAAGTTTTTGTCTAGACGGTGCTTGCTATGGGTAGGACCCTGACCATAAACAGCTCCCTACTATGTAACTTACACATCACCACAACACTGAACAATGGCCAAAATACCGTTTGACCATCACGCATCGGGCAAATAAGACTGTCATAATCCCTCTATCTACTTTTGAAAGGGTCAACCTTCTACCCCTTCTACCCATTCTACCACTCGCTATCAGAGCTAGAATCCTCAGAGCTGTCTGTATCACTCGAGGCAACCCCAGGAGCCTCAGACCTAGCACAACAACTCCCACCCAACCTCTTGCCTCTACAGCAAAAAACTTCTACTTCTTTGCTTTGCCGTCACACAGCTGGACAACTGCATACTTGCCACTCCAAGCCCATTTACGGGCACCGCTGTCGCCGCCATCGTTTTCAGAGACGCGGAGACGCTCGTCTTCGCCGTTGGGCAGACCGACTACGACGTCGGCTTTACAGGTACGGAGGGCGAGGGTGCGCATGCCTGAGTTGGGGCCTAGAGGGCCAATGGCGGAGGTGAAGGGGGTTGTGGGATCCCAGGCTGCCNNTGTGTTGAGAAGAGGTGGTGGTTAGTTATCTATGCATGAGAAAATAGGGGAAGAGAAGAGAAAGAGAGGTAAAAAAACACTCACATCACCAGTCAACTTTCTGTAGTTCAAGTCGCCCTTGAAGATGACCAATTCGCTGGTCTTCAAGTCTTCGAAGAGTGCCGATGCAGTACCGGGAAGTCTCCAGTAACTGCCCGCCTCGGTCCAGAATCTGTTGGGTCTGAGCACAATCTTGCCCTCTGCATACAATTCACTCCAGTTCTGGAACAACTGTTGCATATCTGAAGCCTCCTGTTCTGACAAAGGAGAAGGTGTAACACCCTTGGCTTCATCGTCTTCAGAGGGCGACTCGTAAAAGTGCTTTGCGTTGACCAACACGGTCAAGAGGTCTGAGAAGTCCTTGGGCACGACATCGGAAACAAACCAAGGGATGTTCTTGGGGTGCAAGACTACTGTGGTAGCCAAGCCGGCTTGCAACAGGTATCCAGCGAGAATGACATCGACAAAGAGTTCAAAGCCGGCATTGTCGAGAACGATATCTACGCGGCGTTCCTTGGTGTCTTGAGTTTTGGCTGCGTGCAGCAATTCAAAGGCTGCGTCAAAGTCATTGGCGATAATGTTCTTCTCTGCCGCCTTTCTGGCCTTGGAACCTTGCAGTTTCTGAATGTCTTCGTAGGTGAGATTGGTGAGGAGCGAGAGATCGGTAGCGTTGCCCCAGAGACAAATCTCGCACATTTCGGTAAAGAGGACCTTCTCAGCTGCCACGCGCTCTTCCTCTGATTGGGAGGAAGCGGATTTCGAGGATAGTTGTTTGGTGAGTTCGTTGTAGCGGGAGGCGAGTTCCAGGACCGCAGGACGAGAAGAGCGGAAAGTCGACATCTTTTGCTTGTTGAAGACGTCGTAGTTCTTCCAGTGGGTCGAGAGTTTGAAGAGAGTGGCCATGCGGCGGTACAGGTAGCACTCCGAGAACAGCCATGGCACATTGAACCACTTGGGGTTGCCAAGCTGCTCTAGTTCCTTGTTGTAGCCCTCAATATCACCTTGTCCGTCGTCGGCAAGAGGTCTTTTGAGCCGTCAGTATCGTCAATCAAAGAGTGTAGTCGATCTCACTCACGTAAGCTGACGATCGTGCTGCAACTCATACTTGAGTTTCGCGAGCTCCGAAACAATGCTCTTGCCCTCGGTTTGCTTCTCAGAGTCCTCGGTCTTGCCAATTGCCTTGTGCAAGTCGTCAATGGCTCCTGTCTGATGCGCTTGTTAGTAAATGTCGTTGAAGTTTGCTTTCCCAGATCTTGTCCAGTTCTCTTCAAAAATGACAACAGTTATGGATGCTGAGTATTGATATCGAGTAGACCATATCCATTAGAGTTCAACAGAGAAGACTGATCTCATGATACCCCTAACGATTGAACGGTATGACACACGTGAGGCCAACACCGTATCAAGAGCATCGAAAGCAGCAACCAAAGTTCAAGAAGGTACTCGGAGAAAGAGACTGAGGAATCTCAGAAACCACTCACAAGAATAATAGGCCAGCGGTCGCGCGCCGAGATGTAGGCGAAAGATGTCTTGTCCGAAGTCTGGTAAAGAGCTATGTTTGCCACAATCAGTAACGACACATTGCAGATATCACTGAGAGTCACCCACGCGTCTTAGTATCGAACTCCATGCTGGCGATTAATGTTATAGAAATCCCCAAAAATGTTGACGAAGAGTGTTGGTTTCATACAAGCCCAAACATGCTGTGTCATCGAGCAGCTTCGGCTACGCTAGCCAAGTTTGTCGATTCCGGCTACGCTGGCTCGATTTGTAAATCACATGCTGCGCAACCACGTTTCTGCAGCCCACATTTTCTTTCCCGCACTTTCTTAGGCAAGCAAATTCCATCAACAAAAAGTTTGACGACGGCGAGTATAGCTTAAAAGAAAAAGATATGTCTGCGATAGGTCACAGGTAATAGCAATGTGGAGTAGCTGGGAATCGAACCCAGAACCTTCTCCAACTCAGGACTGCTCAAGAGCAATGCTAAGAAGATGTCATACCACTAGACCACAACCCCAATTGATGGTAGAAATGTGCTTGACCAAGACTTGTCAATTCTAACCTTACTGATCTTTCCCTAAACATCCTTGCTTGCCCAGACCTCATACTCTGTGTGCTGTCGCTCATCTACGCCTAGTATGTGAGATAGTGTAGTTGTTGTAATACCGACTCGACGGTGTTGAGGCCGTGGCTGTCTTTGTTGTCGGCACCGAAGCACTTGAAGCTGAAACATTCAGATACCCTGCAGGAGGCTCTTTCAAGGCCTGCGTACTGTTCTGTGAGAAACCACCGGGTGAAGTGCCAGTCTCACTGTTTTGACCAGTTTTAAGAAGTGCCAGTAAACTGTAGTGGCCGCCAGCGACAGGTCTCGCGATGAAGGTCGGTCCTCCGACTGGGTAACCACCAGTGCCAACAGTCTCAAAAAGATCGCCAAAGGCCAGGTTCGTGCTCGTGTTGTTGAGCCAGTACGCTAGCGCATTCACGAAGAGTCGACGAGTTTCAGGGGAGCATGTAGCTGCGGTCCACATCTCCCAGTCAGACTTAGTGTAGGTATGACGACTGTCGAGTTGGACNCTGCAACTGTCAGTAAGGGCTTCAGTGACGCGGCATTCCAATCCACTTACACCAAAGACTTGAGAAATGGTTGGATACCAGTCGCTCTGCATATCGTACAGACTCTTAGGAATGATACCGAGATTCAGTAGCTTGTCAGGGTAAGTGTTGTAGAGAAGTCCGAAGGATCCACGACTCTGGTAGGCAAGCATGGTATGTTTACCAGTTGGATCAATCGCGAACTGCTCCCATTGCGTGAAGTAAGACGATGCAGTAGCTGAGTAATTGGCCGCAGCTACAAGGTCACCTAAAGCCTCCGAGATAAAGGACATCGCTTTCAGCCCTACAATACCTTTTATCGCCAGGTTGGTCTGGTTGGCAAGTGTTCCAGCAAAGTCATCAGTACTCAGCTGAGCCTCTGGGACGAGAGAGTACTCAGTTACGTAAGTTGCCCATTGGCGATACTTGGCATAGTGCTGAGAGAGGAAGCTTGTATCTCCAGTGAATTTGAAGTATGCATAAGCCATCAGAAGCATGTTGCCGCTTTCTTCGACCGGCATGTACTCATCGTTGCCTTCGACATGACCAGTGGCATTCGGGAAATGCGTTCCAAGATCGTGCATGCTGTAGCCATTGGGATAGAATCCGTTTTCTTGATGGTAGAACAATGGATTTAAGACAAATTTGAGCATCTCGGGGTTGGCGTACAGGTAAAAGGGCAGAGCTGGGAAGATGACGTCAACTGTGTTCATGTTGCCATTACTCGAGATCTCCTTCTGGAACATGAGCGGTTCGCCTTGTGTAATCGAGGATGAGTTGCTGTATCGAAGGTTTGGCGGAGCGGTCAAAACATATGCTGCCATTATTTGACGCGCGCTCAATGCGACAATAGCATAATAGCTCTCAGCTTCCGAAACATCAGGAACAGCAACACCGCTGAAGTTGTTAGGACTGAGGAAACCATATCCATTACTTGAGTCGAAGATATATTCCTGGCCGAATTGGTCTATACCGTGTTCTTCTCCACCCGAAGCATTAGCATACAACGGAGGAGGAGACGGAGTACTGTTGCTGTATATTGGTCCTGGTGTCGTCGAGTAGTATGCATGCACGTCTGCCTTGAGCTGAGCCTCGAAACTAGCTCCCTTGGCTTGACTGGTCGCGAGATCGTTGTAATGGAACTCGATGAGGTCGAACAGGTCTTCTCCATAGCACTCCGCCCACCATGGCTGTAGAGGGACAAGTCCATCAGATGTCAAGAATCTGATGACATTCTGTTGCACTGTCCCGATAGTATAGAGAGCACTTCCTGAAGTTGCGGAGCCGAAGTCATGGACGAAGGCGAAGATGGGTTCCTTGCTCTGAGCACCGCGATAATTGGAGTCCACAATGTCAGAGAGCCGAAGTCTTGAGACAAAGTTGTATCGGAGGTCGAGTGAATAGCCACTTTGGAAACCGAATTTGCGAGAACTACCAGGGCTTGAGGAGTAGGTGAAATTGCCCCATTGAGGGAAGTCTGCCTGTTCTCCAAACTCATACTGGTTTTGCTGAGATAGCACCCAACTATAGACAGTAGACGGACCACCAGTCGCATTACCACTTCCATTGACAGTCAAGCCTCCTTCAAACAGGTTCCAAATCACGGTCGTGTTAGTCTCTGGTGAGATCCAACCTGCGTTGACATCGCTGTATAGCTGGACGTCATGGAATTGGTTGTCCGTACTGTGAAAGCTGACTTGAAGGTAACTCAAAGGAACACTGGTCCGGCAAAGGTCCTGTGGTATGACGGGACTGAAGAAACTTGCGATAAGATCGACCGGGCCAGCACGGATGGTGAAGTTCGAGTATTGAGAATCGAATGAGACGGCGAGTTGAGAAGCAGTTTTGATGTTATTGAGGGGTGGGAGAGATTGCAATCCGGTACCCAGGTATTCATAAGCAACCTCATCTACGACAATGATGCCTTCCCAGCCAGCAGCAGTTCCGGGCCAGAACATAGCTCCATTGGTGTTGAGAGTGCCATTATTGGCAGAAGACGTCCAGATGCTAGTGTAGGGGCTGCGGACAGCAAGAGGTATTGCTGGAGGCCGGACAGGCGAGTAGGAAGGAGTCTTGTGCCTAGAGAAGGTGAGCATGGACACCGGAGAGAGACACCCAAAGGTGTAATATTTGTGCCATAACAAGCTTTACCTGTTGGAGTCATAATTCTGGGTGTAAGGGTCCTGTGCCCAAGCAGTTAGAACAAGTAATGCAGATAGCAATACTTTGGTCATGGCGATTGATGGGTCAGGCATTGTTGAGATGCTCGAGACTTCGATGGAGGATTACATGGCTATAAGTGTAATGGACGGCAAGTGCGGAGAAGGAAGCAGCGATGGCTGTTCCTTGCTCGTTGCATGCTCCTCTCGAAGCATGTCGTCTGTGGTTGGCCCGCCAAAAACTTGATGCGGAGAAAATGAGAGGGGATCATCGATACAGCAAGTCGGTCAGCCCGGCTCAACGCAGATGAGGTGCTGCGTGCATTTTGCTGTGGTGCAATGCATGATATATGGATACGTGGTACAGAGGTAGTGGTTCAGGAACAGCGTCGTACGGTCTCTTGGCGAGTGTACAGCATGTCTTTCCAAAAGATTCATAGAGCTGATGGCTGAAGGAAGAATCTTGGTGCAGGAAAGAAGCAAGACTGATGAAATGTTACTTGAAGGAGTTGAGAGGAGCTGTGTGACGGAGTCCGGCGGGGAGATTTGATTAGAGACCGCAAGGTAGATGAGCATCATATTCCTCAATTTGTTAGCATTTTTCATCAATCTCTTCTTAGCTCAGTTGGTTTAGAGCGTCTGACTGTAATTGTTCGATTGTCATCAGAAGGTCCTTTGTTCGACTCAGAGAGAGGAGATTTCTTTTTGTGTTTTGCTTCAACGCCACGATCTCTCTCCCTGTCAGAGGACCAGCCGCTCAAGACCGATTATTTTGTGATCGCGATTCAAATTGCCATGGCTATTTCACTTCTAGACTTCAGCCATTGTCACCATCGGCTTTACATGGGGTGATTCGTATATAGTAAGAAGTAGTTGTATAAGCTAACAACAAGAGGGAGATCAGGCGAGTAATGATGGATGGAGTCCTTAACATATATCTACGCCAAACTTGCTGGAAACACTCAAAAGAGAACGAGAGGAGGTAAGCGGGTTTAAGACACTTGCTCGAGAGGCCCTCTCTCGTCCCTTGTATACATGCCGAGTTGGATCAGCGAAACACATTGAGATCTTGATGGGTGATACACAGGTAGCCTGTCTGCTATTCTTTGTCTATTACGTCCTATGTAAATCTCAGATGCCCCATGTCCGGCTGCTCTCATTCGGACGATTAGTCATTATTCGTGTGGGATACGGAGGAGCTTATTGGCTACGTCCACTTCCGTGGTGACCACCCCCACCGCCATCCTCCGCAGTGTGTACCGTGAGTCTCAGCCTATGATGCTTTCTGGCCATCTTGGTGCGCAGGAGAGTTGGTTCCGAACAGAGGCATGGGCGTGCCAAACGCTCCTAGTTGCGGCCTTCTGTAGTTGATGTTCTCATAAAGGTCTGGCTTACGATCTTCTGGCTTCCCATTCTGAGTATGCAACGCGCTCGTGACGAAAGCCTGCTGGGGAGCAGAGTGTTCAACAGGAAGTTGCAGAGGCAACCCGTTTTGTGCTGCGCTTGTATGTGATGGTGCGCCATGACGATCTACCTCGGCTGGGTCACTAGGTGTCTCGATAGTTGATGCGCTGGATAATCCTGAGAAATCTCGCCTGTCTCCACGGTTGTTGAGTGGATTGCCTATAGCTGAGCGAACTTTGAGCTGATCGGTCGGGGAAACATCACCTGGCGGGCCTTGTGCGAATCGTTCTCCAGTCTGTGGTACCGCACTGGAAGGAGGGTCACTGGGAATGCCAATGGTGTCGTTAGAGCCAAGACCGTTCTGTGGGTAATCGGCACGCTTTGCCGGATTTGGTAGAGGTGTAGTGAAAGGAGAAGCAGTACGCTGGCCCGGAGCGGAGACCTGGCGCATCATGTTCGGTTGGAGATGCATACCATATGCGCCAAATGGGCCAGGGGTCCGCGATTGGTGATGCAAAGGATGCTGAGGATTGGCCCAAGGAGTCTGCTCTATGAATCTCTCCTCGGCAGTACGTACTGATGCAGGAGCCGAATGCATATGCACAGGATTCTGGTAAGCGGGGCCTTGCTGTTGAGGTAACGTTTGTCTGCGTGGAATGTGCATGGCCTTGAAGTCATCGTCAAGCTCGTTCGTCCGTGCGCCTTGAATATCTGGCGCAGCAGGGAAGCCTCGGTACTTGGCCATACCAGACAAGATTGAGACTTCGCGATTGTACTTTTCCTGGTTGCGCACCTGGTCGGAGCGCTTTGTAGGAAACTTGTACGAATACTGATCCTGTTGGTCGGCCTGGAACTGGCGACGCTCTTTTTGTATGTCATACCATTGCTTTCCTAGCTGCTCCAATAGTGAGTCGCGTAGCTCTCTTGCTTCCTGGAAGTATTGGGTATGCAGCTGAGCGCGCTCTGCAAGCACCTGATTTCGAAGAGTACCAAGCTTGTAACGGTGCAGTGTTATCTCTTGCTGAATCTTGGTATCGCGTCGAGCAGTGATGCATTGCAACATAGCGAGGAAATCGGGGTGGGTCGCATTCGGCAGACTGAGCTGTTCCAGTTCGGTCTCTGCTGAAGCCAGGCGTTCGCTGTGCATTNNCTGGTACATCATCAGTGACAATGCACATGGTAGGAGGTATGCAACTTACTTGGTACGGAAGGTTTGGAACTGCTCGACAATGGCTGTGAAGGCTTCAGTGGCCCGCTTTCTCGTCTCGTCATCACCATCGTTCGGCTCGTCGGCGTCGTCGTCTTCAAGCTCATTCCCGATGGTTTGAGCGGCAGGAGAAATATCGCGAATGGCTTTGGATTTTTGTTTTGCTCTCTTCAAGCGAGCAGCCTTCATGGGCGAGATATAAGGGTTCTCGTCGACTTCGTCGTTGGGCTCTGGTGTTTCTTGTCGACTCTCAGGGAGCTGATCGACATGATTGCTGTGACTGAGAGCCAGGGCTTCCTCGGAGTCGGAATGCTCAGAGAGAGGGCTGTCGGCGTCGCTGATGGGACTCGGTCTTTTGCGTTTTCTGCCTGCGATGACTGTGGGAGAGGCTGGGAACGGAAGTTCAGCACCGAGATCTGTGACAGAGAAAGTGTTCGTACCTAGGCGAGCTTGTGTGGGTGAGGGCGACTGGGGTGGAGGAGCAGGCGAGGAGGCAGGCTCAGAGTGGACTTCTTGTTGGATTAGTTTTGTCGGAGAGGGGATCCATGATTTGATGGGAGAGCGTTCGAGACGTTCGGTCTCTGCTTCGGAGTCTCGGTCGTTGTTGTCTCTCTGGTCTTGATCGTCGAACTCGGCGTCATAGTCGCTCAGACTGCTGCTCCCGTCGCTTTGGTCGACTTGGTCTATCTGGTCGGGCTGTTCGACGGGCTGGAGCTGTAGCGGGATCGGATCGATGGCTGAAGGAATAGCAGTCCTCGAGGTGGTACTGAGGGGAGAAATAGANGGAGTGTCCATTCTGCATTCGCGCCGTCGCGGGCAGCGGAAGCCTTGGTCGGTCGTCGAAGAGGCAGAGCAAGGGCAGCTAGGCGACGTGGACGGACGAGTGCGCGCGGGCGAGTACAAGAGCAAGAGGCTGCACGCGGCGGTCTGTGAAAAGATCGAGCAATGGAGTGGAGCAATGGGTAGACGGAGAGTTCGCTGCTCGTCACCACGAGGGAAGCGCTTGGCCAAGGGCTCCATTTGAGCCAGCCTTATCGATAAGCCGTGCCCCGAGAGAAAGGCCCAAGGCCCCGGCAATAGCAAACTTTCAACCCCGAGCCGCCGATCCATTACAACTTTTCTTTCTATCATTCACTCCCACCACAGCAATGGCGCATTCAAAGGACAAGAAGGACAAGTCGCAGAAGAAGGACAAGGTCGAGAAGAAGGAGCAGAAGCCCGAAAAGACCCAGAAGGCTTCCGCTCTCGCAGCCGCTGAAAAATTGGATCCTACCATTTCCAGCCTGTTCGCCAACTCTGTACGTGTCGCAACCAGATCGCATACAACATGTCGCAATTTACTGACTCCTTCAGTTTGGTGCCGCCAAGCCTATCTATACCGACATCCCAACTCAATCTGCCAGAGCCACAAAGAAGGGAGAGTCGGAGGACGAAGACGAGGGAGACGACAACGATGAGGAACTATCTGAACTCGACGACGATGAGCTAGATGCCGTTGACGCCGACGACGACAACGACGAAGAGGCCGAAGTAGAAGACGACAGCGATGTTGAAGTCCCGGATGTCAAGGAAGCCGAAGCTGCTGCTCAAGCCGCCCTCGAGAGCAACAACCGCAAGAGAAAGAGAAAGGACAAGCAGCCCGAACTAGAAGATGTGTATATGGACAAACTCGGCCGCGAAGAGGAGAGGGCTATCGCAAAGGCAAAGGAGGACCGCAATTCTAAGCGTCAAAAGACGGAGAAGAAGGCAAAGAAGGACTCCGACGACAGCGACAGCGACAGCGAGGACGAAGACTCGGACGCCGCCGAGGGCGCTGATGCCATGGAAATGTCACCACCCCCGTTGCACGAGACTCTGGAACCCGACAACGACTCGGATCTGGTGAAGGCACAACGTACCGTCTTCCTGGGCAACGTATCCGCCGAAGCAATCACCTCAAAGACGGCAAAGAAGACGCTGATGCGCCATCTCGAGTCGTTCTTTGAGGATATCGCCGACCCCGAGAAGGGACAGCCAGCACACAGCGTCGAGTCGCTCCGTTTCCGCTCGACTGCTTACGCCAGTGCCATTCCCAAGAAGGCCGCTTTTGCGAAGAAGGAGATTATGGTCGAGACAACAAAGTCCACAAACGCATACGCCGTCTACTCATCGAACGCCCTGGCCCGTGAGGCCGCTCGCCGCTTGAATGGAACTGTCGTCCTGGACCGCCATCTCCGTGTCGACGAAGTTGCCCATCCTGCAAAGACCGAGCCTAGACGATGCGTTTTCGTCGGCAACCTTGGCTTCGTGGATGATGAGAGCAACATTGACAAGGCCAACGCTGAAGAGGGCAAGGGCACACGAAAGGGCAACAAGACCCCAGCGACGTCGAGGAAGGTCTATGGCGCACATTCTCCACCTGCGGCAAGGTCGAGAGTGTTCGTGTGCCCCGTGATCCTCAGACCAGAGTAGGAAAGGGTTTCGCATACGTGCAGTTTACTGTAAGTTATTTCAACAACCCAGCCTCTGTATCCAAAACACTAACAACACAACAGGAAGAAAACGCCGTCGAGGCCGCCCTCCTTCTTAACGAGAAAAAGTTCCCTCCTATGCTCCCTCGCAAACTTCGCGTCACCCGCGCAAAGACGATTAAGCGCAACGTCAAGCCCGGCAGCAACGCCGTCAAGGCACCCGGTGCCACCAACAAGGGCATCTACAACCCCAAAGCCGACCCGGTCATGCAATCCAACATGGGTCGTGCCGGCAAGCTTCTCGGCCGCGCCGCAGCCGCTCAAGTCCAAAAGGGCAAGCCGATAGGAGCAACACCTCAGGGCTTCAAGACACCTGAGAGCTTCATCTTTGAGGGACACAGAGCTAAGGCTGGGTCTGGTAAGAGTGGGCTCAAGCTTGGTGGTTCAGGAAAGAAGAAGGGTAAGCCGAGAACCAGGAGCAGTAACAGAGCTGCTGCTTGGAAGGCTGGTGGTGGCAAGAAGAGGGAGTAGAGTGTTTTGCATTTTGGTTGTCACCCCTTGAAATATTATACCCTTTCGAATCGTTCATTGGTTCCTGCTCTTGTGCTTTCTCGATTGTGCAAAAGAGGTATTCGTATTAACTTAATCATATCTCAACTACCTGCGGCATATTCTTCAGCTGGCCAGTGTTGATGTACATGGCACTGGCATTAACCATCCTCGTCACCCTACCCTCACCACCCCAAATGCGGTCCCAAACAACATTACCCACGCCATGCCAAACCACCTTGACCACATCCATCCACAACCACGGATCCACCATACCCCTGATCAAGCCGTCCGGCCTACTGCAGCCATCCTCAAAAGCCTTCTGAGCATCATCCCAATACACGACTTCCTTGCCTCTTCCAGCATGCACATGCCCAAACACATTCAACCGTGGCTTGACACGCCAGAGCTCAGACAGCAAGTGCTCACACCCCAAGCCATAGAGATCCATATGGTGTTTCGGCGGCGTGTGCGTGACCAAGACATCAACACCAGACGGCACGGTATCAAACCACGCATCCCGGCCTCTAGGATACTGAAACGCAAACTCCTCACCNCCACAAGCAGGAATCTGCGGCGCTCCATAAATATTCAATTTCCGGTTTCGATGGGATGGGAATGTTAGGGTTGCGGTTGAGTGTTGGAGATAGTGTATACCTCCCCAATCTAGACTTGCGCCATCTACATCTTCGGCAGGTAGAGTTTTCCGTGATCTGGGATCTAGGTAGGTGTCGTGGTTTCCTACAATGACGACTTTGTGCGTGTGAGGTAGAGAGTTTAGCCAATCTAGTTGGGCTTGGAGTTCTTTGGGGGTGCCGGCTTGTGTGAGGTCGCCTGCGTGAATCAAAACATCGCCGTCTGGAACCGTGGCGGGGATCTGGCAATGAGTGTCTGAGAGACAGACTACTCTTATGGGAAGCAGGTTTTGTGGTAGCGAGGGCGACGAGCGGAAGATGGAGATTAAGCGGTGTAGTGTCCGGAGGAGGAACTTTGGTGGAGAGAGCAAGAAGAGATAGAGGAGTGATGGTGGCTCGAATGGTGAAGGGGGCGCGAAAGGAGAGAACATGTTTGGTGTCTGTTATCGAGTCATGCCAGAGAGGAATACGTCTCTTGAGATCCGAAGCGGGTGTAGTGTTCGTTGAATATTCAGAGTTGAATTGGTGATGGTAGGACCGGATGCATGTGAAGGTCTTGGTAATGAAGCCTCGATCTATACTGTACATTGGCCGAGGCTATGAGAAACCTCTGGGAAGGAACATATACGACATCTCACCCTACAATCACACACACATTGCCTCTAGAGCCACAATCAAACACGTTATGCAGCAAGGTCTACACCAAAGACTAGAGGTGACAGACAGTCAGGGGGAGTCTATGTAGCTAGGGCTTATCCACCGGTCAAGACCGCATGTGAAACGGGCCTGTTGGTGACGTAGGGCGACGCAGCTCGCGATCAAGTTTCCAGCCATGAGCTCGTCCAAGTCATTGTATCGACCTCGCCCAGCTTGACATTCTCCTACTAACACCTGAGAAGTCATCAATCGCTGTAACAGACAGCACTCAGACGAGATGGCAAGCTCACCGACGGTGTCCATGTCTGCTATATTCAAGGACAACGATAAGGGCACCAAGACAAACATGGAGACTGACTATGTCATTGTCTTCCGCTTTGCGACAACCAGTATGTCTTTGCATTGATATATACATGAGCAGCTCTGATAACTCTGTAGGCNNAAGGCCGAGGCGGGAAAGAAGTTTGCTCTCCTCGTGGAAAGGCTCGCCAAAGTCGGATTGGCTACTGAAGTCCGCAACGGAGACAACCACTCTCTGTTGATCTTCGTCAAGGTCGCCAGCGAAGACCACGTCAATGCTGAAGTATACCGCTCCAGAGTCAAGGATTGGATCCATGGGGTCAGATCAGCAGCACCGCAAAAGGAGACCAAAAAGGCCATCGAGGAGGAACCGCTTCACGAAGCCGAACGCTACCGCATCATCTACCGCATGATTACCAACTCCGAAGAAGAGGGTGGTGCTGGCATTACCCCCAAGGAGGGAGAGTGGAAGAATGTTGAGTCCATCTTTGCCCTGCACGACCACGCCTACAACAAAGAGTGGATCAAGAGATGGACCAAGAAATACCTTCTGGAGCCCGAGGATCTCGACGAGATCAGAAACAGACTGGGCGAGAAGATTGCCTTCTACTTTGCCTTTACCCAGTCTTACTTCACCTTCCTCGTCTTCCCCGCTGCCTTCGGAGCCACCGCCTGGCTTCTCTTGGGCAAATTCTCGCCCGTCTATGCCATTGTCAGCACCTTGTGGTGCATTGTCTTTGTCGAGTACTGGAAGCACCAGGAGGTCGATCTCGGTGTAAGATGGGGTGTCCGTGGTGTTTCCAACATTCAGACCAAGCGCAGACACTTTGAGCACGAGCACGAAGGCACAGATCCCGTCACTGGTGAGAAGATGCAGATCTTCCCTGCCACCAAGCGTCTACAACGCCAGCTGCTCCAAGTTCCTTTCGCCATCGCTGCAGCTACTGTACTCGGTAGCTTGATCGCGACTTGTTTCGGCATCGAGATCTTCATCTCCGAGATCTACAGCGGGCCTCTGAAGTCTGTCCTGGTCTTTCTTCCTACCATCATCCTGACCACAGTCATGCCCGTCTTGAACGGCATTCTCACCACCTTTGCTGAGCGTCTGACCAAATTCGAGAACTACGAGACAGACGACGCCTACGAATATGCCATGACGCAGAAGATCTTTGTCCTAAACTTCATCACCTCTTACCTACCCGTCTTCCTGACTGCTTTCGTCTATGTACCCTTTGGCAGCGTCGTAGTTCCCTTCCTCGACGTCTTCAGCCTGACTGCTAGACCTTTCGCCCAGAACGAAAAGCAGCTGCAAGCACCCCAAGTTGGCTCATTCGTCATCAACCCTGATCGTCTACGCAAGCAAATCATCTACTTCACCGTTACTGCTCAAATCGTCAACCTTGGTATGGAGGTTGTCGTACCTTACCTCAAGCGTCAGGGCTTCTCCAAGTACAAAGAGATGCAGAGTGAGCGTGCCGCAAAGAACGGACGCCCCGCTACTGCCCCTGTCGAGAGCGACAACCCCGACGAAGCCGCCTTCCTAACCCGCGTTCGTCGCGAAGCCGAGCTCGATGTCTACAATGTCACATCTGACCTTCGCGAGATGGTTGTCCAATTCGGCTACCTGGCACTCTTCAGCACCGTCTGGCCCTTGACAGCCGTCTCCTTCCTTGCAAACAACTGGCTCGAGCTCCGTGCCGACGCCGTCAAGATCTGCATCGAGATGCAACGCCCCATCCCCGAACGCGCCGACACCATCGGCCCTTGGCTCGACTCCCTAGCCTTCCTCTCCTGGCTCGGCAGCATCACCACCGCCGCCCTCGTCTACCTCTTCAGCAACGACGGCCTCGGCCCCGACGGCACACCCAAGAACATCCGCGGCTGGGCCCTCCTCCTCACAATCTTCTTCGCCGAACACAGCTACCTCCTCATCCGCTGGGCCGTCCACCTCGGCATCAGCAAAATCGACTCTCCGGGCCGTCAAAAGGAACGTCGCGACCGCTATCTCGTGCGCCAACGCTACTTCTCAGAGTCCATCTCCGAGAGCCAGAAATTGCCTGCCGTTGGCAAGTTTGGCGAGAAGATTACTAGAGAGAGTCTTGAGGAGGAGGCTCGCGCGAGCAGTCTGAAGAGTTCGAGGATCGAGGATAGGTTCTGGGCTAGGCAGAGGAATTGGCATGAGACTGCTCAGGTGGGTGCTGGCTTGATTGATAAAGCTGCGCCAACTCCAGAGGCCAAGAAGATGCAGTAATCTCCTGGTTCACGAAGAGATGTTGAAGCGTGCAGAGATGAGGGAGAGTTGAGTTGTGGATGATGAAGAAGAAGAGAAGAAGATTACGAGTTTTGATGTCCCTTTGTCTGTATTCACATTACCCTGACAAGCATGATCCTATTACTGTTATAACCATCAAGTCCCATCCTCTTTACAGTATTCATTAGTTTGACATTCGTGCTATACAAAGCATGCAACTACCTACCTCCATATGCAGGGATGAACACCTTCCTTCATCTATCATGTCTACACCGAATATGTTGTCAGATTTCTCCCTCCTGGAGACATCAAACTAGAAGACTACTACAGAGGAGTCTGAAGGCCCGGTGATGCCACGTCTTGAGAGAGAATGGTACTACAGTCGAGCAAAAAGACAAAACAATGATGGATACCGAAACATATAGCAAACCCTACGTCGCAACACGACGACAAACATCACTCCCACCACCTCTCATCCAACCCCTCCAAAACTCCNAACTTGACGCCAAAGAAACTCTTCCACACATCAACCTCCAACCTCCACGGCCTAGTCGTGAGCGCAAAATATGCAATCGTAGAATAATTCCTACACATTTCGCTATTCTTGCCCACCACCAGTATCTTGTCGCCCTTGAGGAAAACCTTGCCTTCGATGGTCTTTTCGTATTCGTTGAGGCGCAAGCGCAAAGCGTGATGGATGCTCCACTCGCTGAACGGCATGTCCTTGGGGACAAACTTCCACTCCCAGGTGCGGCCGATGTCGTCGGCGAAGGAGGTGCCGTCGCGGTTGTCGTAGCCGAGCATCAGGGGCCAGAAGTGTGGGGCGGACCAGATGCGCATGAAAGAGAAATAGGCGTCTGGGTTTTTGGCTGCGTAGTCGCGTGCCGTGTCGAGGAGTGGTTTGACCTTGAGTGGATCTTGCATTGGTTGGCGTGGCTTCATCTCTTGTGCGTCTTCGCGAAAGTCAAAGTAGAGCTCTGGTTTGTTGGGTCTGGTGGGTTCTTCGATGACCACGGCACATCCAGAGTACTCGGGCTTGTAGCGGGGTGCCAACAACCCATGTCGGTAGAGATGAGCTATGGTGGGTCTGGTGATGTACTTCCAATCTTGCGGATACTTGTCAGAAGCCCAGAGGAATGCTCCTTGCCCGGACTTCATTACCTCGTGTCGGACATTATCCCAATCCTTCCACTGATCAGCGCCTTGTGTGCGGTTCGAGTGCGAGGAGCGAACGTCGGGGATCATCTTTGCGCGCGCTTCCTGGTCAAAGAGTGTAGATTTGTCCCAAGGCTTTCCTTCCTCGGAGGCGAAGAAGGGATTGTTTGGCTGGAAGAAACATGTCATCATGGCGTTAGCAAATGTCATGTCGCGCTTGACCCTGCGGTGCACATCTGGATCAACCTCGAGAAGCAGCATGAGCACGAATTGACGCTCGAGCATGTTCGGTGCCCAAGGACCTTTGGTCCCCTTGGCGAAGAAGTCGGCGTATGCTTTCAAGATCTTCTGCGTCTCTGCGTACTTCTCTTGGGCCCCGGGTTCAAGGTCAGCCTTGTGCCAGGCTTCCTTGAAACTGCTAGCCCTGGTTCGATCTATGAAAAGCTCCCACTGTTGTTTCATGTCTTCAATCTCCTCTGCTGAGGACATTGGGCCAGGNGGTAATCTGGGTATACGATGTCCAACGGCTTTGTTTTGGCGAAGGTTAGAAAGTGATGGATCCTCCCAAAGCTCCAGTGCCATGACCATGTCTTGCCACCTTGGCTCTTTATCGTTATGATCATCGACCCAGCGGCCTCGAATGGTCACGCCGGCTGCTTCTGAGAGTTCTTCAATAACGCCTTCAGCATATTCTTCGTCAGATTCCCAATCGCTGCCATCGTCCTCACCTTCTGAGACTTCTTGATACTCAGTATCGCTGAGCTCTTCATCGGTGTCGAGGTCATTGATCCAGCGATTAAGATCCAGACCGTGGTGTTCGAAGTTGTGCATTTTGCCAGTCTGACTCGCAAGCACACCCTCGTCACCGCCGTTGGACTCGGCATCAGCATCTGCCAACATCAGCTCATGACCCGAGTTTGCTGGTGTAAGATCCGCAGCCTTCTTTGCAACTGCAATGATCTTGCTAGCTGTTTCAGGAACCTCTTCGTTGGTCCACAGACTGCGATCCCACGGGAATAGAACCTGGTCTTCCAACATGTCTTCTTGTTTGTACAGCAGCTGAGGAGGCGCCTCTTCTCTGTGGCTCCCATCAGTACCCCTGGAAAAGTATCTCATCCTGGTACTATCGCTGTGAATCCAGTCCCAGATACTCTTGCCCTTGCCCACTTCATCTGGACGAAGGTCTCTTGCACGGGAGAGATGCTCGTCACGGGTCAGTGTGCGCAAGACATGCTCGGCTGGCTTGTAGAAGTCCTTGGGGTCNTGTCACAATATTAGCATAGAAACTCGTACAAGCAAACATGAGATCATACCTCTGAAACGCAGAGCTCTGATCAAAAGCTCTTGGATCGAGTTGTATAGGGAAGAGTAGTGTTCACCACTCTCGATGTCCCAAACTACAATGTCGTAGTAATCCTTGAAGCCGAGATGCCACTTGCGGGAGCGATCAATCGTATCCCAAAATTCTTCGTCGATCTCCTTGACGGTTTTCCATTCGGCTCGACTTGCTCGTCCAACACCAGACTTGGTTCTGATGAGCCACTTGTGTTCATCAGGCGGCTCGACGATGACATTACCAGTGCGACCATCACGAACCATGATCGCCATCTTGTATGACTCCATAACAGCGTACTGGATCCAACGTCTGGTTACTGGATCGTTGCGCTTCATGTGAGCACATACAAAGTTCCGAGTCTCGACAGCATGGTGGGTCCTACGCTGCCCATGAGCACGAGATCCTGTCTGATGGTGCGATGTCATATGATGCGCTTGGTCCATCTGGTAGTAAGGAATGAAGCCAACCTGAAGCAGCTGTTCATGTGTGATACTTCTGATCCAAGACGCCCATTGAGCAGCAGGAAAGTAATGGTTGCAGGTGAGAATATTAAGCTCAAAGAATTCATCCCAACTTCGAGCTAGGCTCACTGCCTGGAATAGAGAACAGCCTTTGGCGATGATTGAGAACTGCAGCCATCCACCTCTAGACATAGCTTTCTCACTAGCTNNGTAAAACGTCAGAAATACTCTTTGGATATGGCTTCTCGAGCACTTACGATAGTTATAGATGAATCTGCCGCAAACCTTAACACGAATCTTCTTGATGCGATATTGTTGCTGATCATCAACATCACCAAAGTCAACAAAAGTCGTGGAATCCATGTTATCGGCCATGGTTTTCTCTCGCTTCTCTTTGAGCTCCTTCTCACGCTTAGTCTTCACGTTCTTGACAGGGTACATGGGTCTCGACGTGAACTTAGTACGTCCGGCAGGTGCCTTGGTGCTTGCAGCAGGAGTGTTGTCATCGTCCTCCGGCTCGTCGTCTTCACGACCGAGATCAGCACACGCGTCACGTAGTTGTTGCAATCTAGGCTGTTCCATCTTCAGGCACAGGTCTCTGAGTTCTGCATTAGTCACGGAGGGATCGGCCATGAACTCTTCAACATTCTCAGCTCGCAAGGCGGCCGGCAGCAGACTTGCATAACCAAGCAACAATCGACAAAACAGCAACTGTTTGATGTCGGGGATCTGCTTCATCAAGGTATCGACTTCATCGTCGGCAAGAGGAAAGGTCTTGTCTGTGAGAAAGCGTGTCTTTGCAGGATCCTCGGGATCGAAGGTCTGTAGCACACCGTTCATCGTCTGACCTTCGCGCAGGCGAGTGCGAACCTCTTCCGGAGTCTCGATGTGGACTTCACCAGGCCTTGCTCCGATATTTTCCAGTGCTGTTCTGATAGCCAAAGGCAACGCCGATTTGTCCTCCAATGCCTTTGCCTTTTGGCGAGCTTTCTTCTTCGCATTTTTAGACTTGTTCGTTTCCACGAGTGTTTGAGATGTGGTAGGGTCCTTGGCGGGAGACTGCTTGTGAGCAGCTTCGAGGGTCTCGTTCTCTTTCTTGGGGCTTGAAGCACCTGCGGCGGCATCCTTTGGAGATGCTGGCTCGTTGGACGAGACGGCGATGGGCTCTGCGAGCCACAGGAAGCGTCGGATAAGATCGATGTAACTTCCGCGTTCGTCCTCGACGACGTCCTCGATAGGATCCCATTCTTCGCCGCCTTCTTCGGCAGTGAATTCGGCCTCAAACTTGTTCCGTTCCTCCCAGACCTTGTCGAGGTATTCGGCTTGCCTCTGTTCGTTCTCTTTCTGCCTCAGCCTCTCCATGCGAGCAGACACATCCTTCCAGTGACGCTTGAACAGGGCGGCTTCTTGCTTGATCTTCTTCTTCTCGGCATCGCGTTCCTTCTCTTCATCGTCCTCGAGGTTACGAACCCAGCCGAACCACTGTTGCTGTTTGTACAAGACTTCGGCGGTCCGTCTTTCAAGTCTCTCGAGAGCACGACCAGTATTGTGCTTTTCGCTGATGAGATGGTCTAGGTAATGTTGGTGACCGTAGTCGAGCTCGAGAGCATAGAAACGAGAATGATGAAGTTTACGGGCACGGATGCAGCGATCGAGCAAGCCATTCTGCTTGAAGAGGAAGGCGTGCAGGGTCTTGAGGGTTTCCTCATCATCTATGTCGTCAAAGGTAATCTTGTGGAGTGGACAATCGCCAAGGTAGGAAGGAGGATCTTTCTGCAAAGCATCTAATTGGGCACCTCTACGCTTGTAGCCCTTGTACAANACCTACAACGTGTCAATCCGCGCGTTGGTCTCTAGGAACGACATCCAGTGCTTACTGTAGACCTGTCTCGCGTGGAAGGAGCAGAACAGGCCATTGACGTTGGTCGCTTCCTCATTGCAGCGCCTTTCATCCGACACGTACAACGCCTGACACTGAGGCGCCATAGCGACGGATGCTGCGTCTACAAGTCGAGATGTATGGTGAAGATTGGTGGACGACCAGACACGAGGGTTACGCGCCTCCGCTTTTCACATGGCACCCGCATGTCCGAAGCGCTTGGTTTTGCAGTTCTTGCTGACCTCTGATCCAAAACAGCTTCGTCTGCCTCGCCGACCGATCGCTTACTTTCAAGTTGTCCTAGAGCTTAGATGCTCCGACTCTTACACCCGTTAATCTAAGCGACTCAGGGCAGGATGCATAGGTATGCATTTGAGCTGCCTAAAGCCACTCTCCGGAGTTAAGGTTCGCACTTTTCTTTGGACCGGAGCTGGCGGATCACATTATTCCTCCATTGCCGCCTTGTTGTACAGTATATATCGAGGCAGGTGGCCTGCTGTTAGCTGTGATGCTATCCACACGGCGATTGTGCAATCCTTCAATTGCCCAGAAGATTGTCAAGCACCAACAAAGCTTGTTTCACAGCAGCGCCAGAATGTCTTCGTCAACAACTTCGTCCGCTTTGTACGCAACTATCTCATCGTCTTCACGAGCCACCGGTGCCGTGCCCAAAGACACTGACAAACTGCGCCATCACAACAAGAATGGAAAAGGTTTCATCAATCCCTGGGATTCTTATGTCGACAGGACAGCCCCGCAGATCATTTCGGCCTTGATCTGGTACACATGCCCACCTTGTCATCACCCGTCGCCGCTGACCACCATCACTTAGGNNCGAAAACTTACAGGCAAATCAAAGTCTCCCGACACGACTCCACCCACTGTACCCGTACAAAAGCCACACTTCCTGCCAACGCGCGAGACCAAGACATTACGAGCAACATGGCTGGGTCACGCCTGTTACTACGTCGAGTTCCCTAGTGGCCTGAGAGTCCTCTTCGATCCCGTCTTCGAGCCACGATGCAGTCCCTTTAGCTTCATGGGCCCGAAAAGATACACGCCGTGCCCCGTTGACGTTGCCGACATTCCCATCATCGATGCAGTCGTCATCTCCCACAGCCACTACGACCATCTCTCCTATCCTACCATCCTCAAGATCAAAGAGAAGCATCCAAATGTCCATTTCTGGGCCCCATTGGGCAACAAGGCCTGGTTCACCAAGTGCGGTATTGAGAACATGACCGAGCTGGACTGGTGGGAGTCGCGAGACTTTACCTTGTCGGCGAGGAAGCAAGACGCAGAGACCACACACACTGAGGCCGGCTCAACCGTGAACGCAGGAGGTGCTGAAGACATCAAAGCTGTTATTGGCTGTTTGCCTTGCCAACACACAAGTGCTCGTACCCCCTTCGACAAATCACACACGCTGTGGGGCTCGTGGAGTGTTGAAAGCGGCGGCAAGAAGATCTGGTTTGGTGGAGACACCGGATATCGCTCCGTGCCTGACCTCCCCGAGGAAGAGAACGACTATGACGAGAAGCACACTTACCCGACATGTCCTGCTTTCAAGGAGATTGGAGAGCTTAGAGGTCCTTTCGACTTGGGCTTGATCCCGATCGGAGCATATGACCCCCGTTTCATCATGTCTCCCATGCACGCCAATCCTTTCGACAGCGTCAACATCTTTATCGACACACAATGCAAGAAAGCGCTTGGTATTCATTGGGGTAAGATCTCATGATGAAGTTTCGCAGACTAATTCACTGACATATCACAGNGCACATGGGTGCTTACTGAAGAAGATGTTCTGGAGCCTCCGAGGGTACTCAAGCAAGCCATGGCTTGGAAAGACTTGCCTGAAACAGGCGTCTTTGATACTTGCGACATTGGCGAGAGCCGCGAATACTGATCAATACAGTTACTTGCACATCTCAGCGACACGCTTGTCTTAGTTTGTTGTACACATATATATATTGAGTTATAGACTGACTGAGCTGGGCTTGTTAGACCCTTTTACCAGTCTGATCCAACTTCTAGTGAGATATTTCACCATTTGCGAAGTACAAATCCGAGGTTATCAGATACTCCATGTCCAGGTTTGTCGTTGGCTGTTGATTCTGGGTGATCAGTGCTCGACCAGAGGAAACTCCCTCATGCGACCTCCTTCCCGCCGCACTGACCCACTCTTTTCACCAACCTTTATATACGATGTTTTCTCTGTCTCCTTTAACAAGCCAAGAAGCCGTGGTGGTGCAGTGGTCAGCACACCCGATCCGGTAACCTAAGTCCCTACACTCACTTACCTAAGTCCCTAATACTCTCTCTCAAGGATCGGGAGGTCGCAGGTTCGATCCCTGCTCACGGTGCTTGTATTACTTTTTGCGCGTCCCATCGTGCGAGGTAGGAGAGCTGTAAAGTTTTCTTTCTTATGGTCGCATAAGCTGCCAGCGAAATATCTATTTCATGTTTTGAAGTCCGCTTTCGCTTCTCATCCCCTCCCTTGATGCTTCGCTGTCCTTTTCGTCTCTCCATCATTTTGCTCATCGCACTGCACACAAAAGCAAAAGTATATGTGTGATGAATCTTGAAAGGGTATATATTGTTTGCAACATCTTTAAAAAGCACCTATATCCCTTGACCTTTTCCACAAGGACGAGAAGAAAGAACAAAGGAGAATATTCGAATGAGAGACCACATCAAGGTGATATACCTCGAATTACACATTACAATATACCCATTTTCACCAAACACCCATCACCCGGCTACCAAGACAAATGCCTATTAATTAGAGGCCAGCAAAGAACACGCCCAAAGCACCGATACCCATAACTATGGAGCCCAGAGCGAAACTCTGAGCAGCACCGCCAGTGCTGGGAGTGAGAGTAGCGGTTGGTGCGGGAGGAGTGTAATCGCCAGTTGTGGCGGTGTAGTTGATCATTGCGCTGCCAGTGCCCATGGATGGGGCAGTGGTGACAGGGCTGACAGAATCAGTGGAGATGCCAGCGGTGGCCGCGACCGAAGAGATGGATGAAGCGACCGAGGCGGCAGAGGTCGCGGCGTCAGAGGCAGAAGATGCGACGTCAGCTGCTGGAGCGGCTGCTTCGGGGCAGATCTGGGAAGTAACTGCGAGAGCNCTCTGTTTTCAAGAGTCAGTTTCTGACTTGTTTGTCTTTGGGCAATGTGAGAGATGACAAGCAAGCAACTTACTGGCTAGATCGGATTCACTGCATTGGGCCTTGACGGCTGATTGCAGGTCAGAGATGAGCTTCTGGTTGCCACAGATACAGTCGGAATCTGTGACTTGGCAGCCAGAAGCAGAGATGCCAGAGACCAAGGGACCAGTTGCGCAAGCAGGAATCTGAGCAATGATGCTGGCGTCAATAGCAGCGTGTGCCACGGCGACAAGGCCGGCGAAGAAAAAGGTTGATGAACGCATAATCGTACTCTATTGACTTCAATTGCAGGAAAGGGAGAGCGTTGGAAGAGAGATGTTCTTCTTTGGGTGCGAAATCAAAACCTAAGGAGTGGTATGGAGGAAGCTAAGTTGTGCCTTGCTCGCCTTTTCCCTTCTCTATTTCTCTTTGCCTTCCTTCTATTGTTGCTTTCATCCACACTTGACCCAGAGTTCTGGTACACCTGCATACCTCGTCACTTGTTTGTTTTCATCGACTGCTGATCTTGGCTCTGTTCTGTCACTCTTTTGCTTCCATGTTGTGCTAAAACGCAAGGAATGTAGACGTTCTCCCTCGACCTACGTAACCATTTCACAATCTCGAAAGTTACTACTGCAACCGGTATGCTCAGCACCAGAGCACAAAGGAATGCAAAGGACAGTCTGCCGTCCCGCCACCTCCACAGCTTTCTTGCACGTCAGTGGTGATGGTTTGGGTTGAGTAGTTTCTTTGTCTCGATGCCGCTTTCATAAAGAAACACGGCACGAGAAAAGTGTCTCGGGACCGTCTGCTCGGCCCGTATGATAGCATTGATAGCGAGATGGTGAAGAGAGTAAAGAAAATATACCCCGTGTGTTGGTTGCGTACAAGTGCGATGATGACATGGGAAGAAGGTGCTGTTGAAGGGATGGGATGAAAAAAAGGTGAAAGCAGTCAAGAGTGCTGAAGCCTTGTGATCGTTCTTTCCTCCTTCTCTTCATCGCTCTCTTCCTCGACCTCCGATCAAGGTAGGAAACATCAACCATGGTCCCCTTCCTCTACCCACGCAAAGGCAAAAAACATCCACTGCCTCACTCCCAAGCCTTTTCACACTCGCCAAAACACGCCCGTCACCACTCGCACCCTTCAACACAACCCTCTCAAGACACCGAAGAAGCCTTTACCCACCCCGGCGCTACCCAAGACCTAGAACTCTACACAGCGAGCCTCCACCGCTGGACCCTCTGCCAACTTCATACTTCGTTCCCTACAGTACCTCATCGCCTCTCCCGCCATAGCTCCTCATACACAACACTCAGCCACACACCCACCATAGTATCTCCTCTATATCCCACAAACTCTTCACTGTACAACTGCAGCATCGTGACTCCGAAATTGGGGAGTGATCAAGATGCAGAGGTGACGGGTGATGTGGGAGAAACACCTNGTAATACGCCAAAGAGCAGAGGGTTGAGGAGGAGGAGGAGTACGGTTGTTGTGGCAGAGGGAGGGGTAAGAGTCAAGGATGAATGTTCTGATGAGGGGGAAGGACAGGCGAGATTGAGACCGGTGGAGTTGGTTAGGAGTTTGAGTTGTGCTGGTTGATGCAACGTTTTTTTTCTTGTCAGTATCTGTATTCTGCAATGGTAGTCTTGTGAATGGATGCTGGAGGTCAAACTTGCTCATCGTTGAGTCTTGTGGACTCTCTTTGGACAATACTCTGATTCTCAAGACTGTTATATCTTTTTATAGTGGTACGTCAGTCTATACTGTTCGTGGGAGACCTCGAGTGTCTTCTCAATCAGGAGAATCAGTAACGATGGGAGTCTTCTGGGCAACATGAGAATATTGGGTTATTGTACACATTGGGAACATACCTTCATTTTCGTTACAGTCTACATGAAAAAGCAGGGTCATACAATCTTTTGGTAGCGATGGGATATCAAATGACAATAACAACAAATGCTTGCTTGTTGCGTGTCCTGCCTTTCCATTTGTGGTGAGAACTAATTCCAACCGATCGCTTCGCCAGAGAAAAAGGAAATATCGACATGTCCCCATCACGTTCCACAACCGTATCATGTTTTGCTGTATCCTTAGGCACTGCCGTTGGTAGCAGGCTGCGCAGGAGCAGTCAGGATGCTGAATTGACCACCACCTGCTGCGTAGTTGAGCATCTTGCCACGGGTTGCGGTATTGTCGATCTTGGTAGCGACCATGACATCCTCATCTGTACCTTGACCGGTCTGGTAGTTGGAAGAGAAGCCCCATGAGTAGGCGTGTCCCTCTTCGGTGATGGCAAACGATTGGTCTGATGCGGCCGTGGCGAAAACGACCTTGCCTTGGATGCTCTTGACAACGGTGGGGTTCTTGAGGATACGAGGGTTGCCACGCTCGTCCTTGATCAAATCGTCTGCAGGCAAGTCTGCAGTGGGGATACCACATTGACCGCCATCGAGACGACCCCAAACCAGGCACTCGCCAGCGCCGGTCACGGCAATGCTGTGGTGGCCACCACCCTTGATGCAGCTGACTTGCTTACCAGAGAGAGTCTCGACGACTTCGGGCTTGAGAACGACAGCATCATCTTCACCAGCGTTGTCAGGTACACCGGTCTCACCAAAGTTGTTGAGACCCCACGCCCAGACGCGGTCCTTGTTGTCGATTGCGAAACTGTGGTAATCACCACACTGAATGTATTTGATGGCCTTCTTGGGGAGTCCGAACTCTCTCGGTACAAGACCTTGTGTCTTTGTGCGCTCGACAACGCGGCGACCGAGCTGGTTTTGTTGGCCTGAGCCCCAGGCGAAAACGGCACCATTCGCATCAAGTGCGAGGACGTGGTTGGCACCACAGCTAACGTGCTTGATCTTCTTGAGGCCGGGAATGAGCATGGGTGTGCGCTGAACGAGAACGTCTGCGGTGAAGCCGAAGATACCCTCGTTACTTCTGAAGGTGCCCCAACCCCAGACCTGGCCATCGTCGGTCAGAGCGAACGATGTCGAGTCGCCAGCAGCGACCTGGACAAAGACAGTATCTTCAGGGAAGACGTCGGACGAGATGGCGGTAGGTGTGCTCTCCTTGGGGTTCATGCCCGAGTCGGCGTCCTCGTCGTCAGAGTCGGAATCTTCCTCGTCCTCGACATCGCGAAGACCACCCTCCCAAGTTGTATCTCTTCCAAGAGCACCCTGGTCGTTGACACCCCAGGTGAGGATCTTGTTGTCGTGAGTCAATGCCATGGCGTGCATGCCTCCAGCGACGATTTGCACAACACCGACCGAGTCGGCAGCCAAGTTGGCATTCAGACGTGGGCGCTTGACATCGATAGCCTTCTTGGACGTACCAAGACCCAACTCGCCAGAGGAACCTTCTCCGCAAACAAAGACATCCAGGTGCTGGGTGGGAGGCTCGTTGATGATGGGGCCTTTGGGGGCGACCTTGGCCTTTTTGCGACGGCCGGCTCGGGAGTGGCGGTGGCCTTGCGCTTTCTGGTAGCCAGGGTTGCTTTTGCTGCAGCCGGAGCTNTCTGTATCAGACTTCTTTGGGCGGCCGGGCTTCCTCTTGGGGGCTTCTGCCATTGTTTTAGCCTGTCGATCGACCGAGACTTGTCGTACGTGGTGCAAAGCGTGTGACGCACCGTCTTCTGTCTTTGCTGTCTTTGCCTTTGTGTCGGCTGCCTTTGGTCTGCCACGTCCTCTGCCTGTCGTTGTGGTGGGTTTGGCCTCGGGCTCGGTCTCGTTCTTAGCAGTGACCTTTGCCTTTGTGTTGGCAGCTGCGCGTGTCGAGGTCTTCTTGATAGGCGCGTCGGCTTCGACGTCCTTGGTCTTCTTGATGTACTTTACACCGGCCACTAGATATAGTCAGCAAAACGCGTCTTTTCTATGGTTGCGCGAAGGAATGGATCCGATGGATATGAGGAATGATTGCTGCGTTTCTTGGGGTGAGAACTTACTTTTTCACAATTGTGAATGAATATCAGGTTCTAGAGTGGTCTGCGACCGCGACTGATGAGTTTGTAGAATGGCAAGATGTACAGAGTGGTTATAATGGAAGTCGAGGGAAAAACTTGGTGATGAAGCGCGTCTCCAAAGTCGCAAGTTCTTGAAATCGAGAGCATTCGGGCCAAGCTTGCTTCGGCCGCCAACTCCCGAGAGTCTCCCGCCTATTGTTGTCACTTTCTCGAACCTCCTTTGTTCTTTCCCAGACAATCACATCTTTCCTCGAGCACACCAACATACAGATGAACAGCATACGCTGTCATCTTACTTTCCAAGTCGCTGTTGCTCCCATTGAGCTCGCCGCCACTTCACTGATCGAGTACGCTCGAAGAATATTCAGCTGAAGCTCGTGTATTGCGTCAACCAACGTCACTGCCTGCAGCACGATCGTGCAGTCGTCGTGCATTCAAGAAAAAGGCAACGGCTACGCTTGCATCTACCTGTCTACGAGTATCCGTATCGCCATTGTCGGGTTTCGACTATCTCCTGACCTCCGACTAAATCTACCTATCTGATCTTGAAAAATACCTCTGTGCGAGTTCTTGCAGGAGCAAGCATTGCTTTCCCCGCATTGTCATCGGGCCCTCGGTTGCCGATCCTTCTATATCATCAACAGGTAGGTCTTTTCGAGTGAGTAACCTTCTCTTATCTACTTGAGTCTGCATTCTGTATCTTCATATTACATCTGTATCATGTCCAACACATCTGTGAATTCTGTGCCTTCGTTTGGTGAGCTGCCTATTGATAAGAAGGGTCCATTTCTGAATGCTTGGGGATTGTGAGTATTGACATCTTGCCATTGTTGGGACGACTATATTGAACAGTTCAGATATGGGGACGACGACCAACTGGGCTTCTTGAACCGTCTCACCGACGACTTGGTGAAAGAAGCAGCCAAGGAAATACAGTCTGGCACAAGGTGACTATATCCCAGCGCTGCAACAAACAGCTTTGTCAATCAATACAGTTTGACCAGCAAAACATCTCACTATCATGTATCACTCTCAATGCCTGACTGGTTGATANGGATCTCACTCAATTGGCCAATGGATGCCCAGAATGATATACCTTTTTTCGGCCGTCAAGTTTTCCACAAACACGTCTATCAAAAGCCACCTCGCGTCGTTAACGACGATGTCTGGACGTTCAACACACAGAGCAGTAGTCAANTGTACCATGCCTTATGCTTTTGATATCCACTAAGACCCATGCTGAACTACTTAGGGGACGGCCTTCGACACTTCGCCTATCAGAAAGAAGCAAAGTTCTACAATGGTGTAACTCTGGATGATATACATGGAGACAACTCGACAATCAATGGCATCGGAGCCTGGAGTGAAAAGGGTATCATCGGTCGCGGTATCCTCCTCGACTACGAAGCCTGGCGAGAAGAACACGACCATCCACTGAGAGATGCGTTCAAACCGGGTGTCATCACCTTATCCGGGCTGAAAGCAGTCGCCGAGTGGGAAGGCGTAGAGATCAAGTTTGGCGATATCCTCATCATTCGTTCTGGATACATGGCTCAATACAACAAAAGCTCTCGTAATGATCTCGAAGCTCTCAGCAAAATCATGCCGCCTACTTTTCTGGGTGTGGAACAGAGTACGGAGATGTTGAATTGGATCTGGGACAATTTCTCCGCGGTTGCTGGAGATCAACCATCATTCGAGTGCTGGCGTATGTGCTCTCAAACTTTCTCGTGATACTCTGCCTGTGCTTGACTGAAACATCTCACAGCATCTTCCCAGCCATACATGCTTCACGAAGTCCTTCTAGCTGGCTGGGGCTGTCCGATTGGCGAGCTCTTCGACCTTGAAGTTTTGTCCGTCCAATGCAAGAAAAGCAATCGGTATAGCTTCTTTGTCGCTAGCGAGCCTTGCAATGTTTGTGCACCTCATTACCTCACTTAAAATACCCGCTGACATCAGTATGCAAGGNTCCCCGGCGGAGTAGCAAGTCCGCCGAATATTATCGCTATTCAGTAGTGTTTCTCGCCAGTCTGACATCGCATGGAAATGTTTGAAATCGTCTGAATCTGGTGAAAACAGACGGTATTGCACAACGAAGCCAAGGTCATTTCTGCACCGACACGTCGATTTTTCTTCACTGCCAACTCCAGCTTCTCCTCCATCGATACTGGTTTGGGTTCTCTTTAAATTCAATGCTATTCGACTACGCTTTATATAATCTTTGTCCTCTCATACACCGTTCTTCCTTCAACAACGTCCACCATGTGGACAAAGACCAAGACCCTACTCTGCTACGGCGAGGAGGATGAACAGTCCGCTATTCCCTCAAGATGATTATACGACTCACTTTCGAGATCCGGGTCGATGTCGAGACTGCTCTCCTAGGCACAAGAGCGTAAAGCGAAAAGTACACCATAACAAGGCATAATTCTTTCCCAAAGCAGAGGAGTAGCTAAAGAGAGTCGCTTAGATGTTAGCTCTTAGTGTGTAGTGCCTTGTTTCCTAGTAGCACTCACTGAGCCAAGAATATCTCTACATTATTGCAAAGCTCATCGAGGAAATTTTACCATATCGAGATCTTGTTCTTCTCGTGGTGTCACTTCGTATCTAAACGTGGTCATCCATTCAGGCTTCAAGTATGATTTTTGAGATTTGCATCACTGACGGCGATATGGTGTATATATACCTTAGCCACTATTCTTCGCGCTTTGCCATAGACTCATGCTTCCAATGATGTTCATTCTGATTACAAATTCGTTATATTCCATGAGAGACATGTTGTTTTTGTCGCATGATACTGGTTGGGAGTACGGCCCTGTCATGCTGATGCCTATGCATGACATTGTAACAACTCCAAATCGATCCAAAGCACAGAAAACAGAATCAGACGAGTTCGAAAGTCATATAGGTGTGCAAATGACATAGCGGTACGCTTTGGTATGCAATGAAAGGTCGAATAAACAGGCTATCGATATTCCCACCATGTGTGAGCACTCTTTTGTTTGTACTCCTGACTCGTCTCCATTTTCCCAATCCGATAACACGTTCTACCAATTGCCTTTGGACTGTTCTAGCCAACCGATACTCCTCTCTCCCTCCGAAATAGTTTACAAAAACGCACACCATCCAATATACATCTGGCACAGGTTCCACGGATCCGTGGCTTGTTGAATCAACGCACTAACATGGCCCTCTACACTCAACGGCACAGTCTCTCCTCTGAGGAATCCTTTGAGTTTTCCACTGATCGAGTCTAGGACTTCCTGCGGTGTGTCTGGTACTCCTGGTGTAGTCCTCTTCTTCTTGCCAATGAAATCAGTGGTGGGGTCGTGCAAGAACGTCTCCAAAATGTTCATCAAGGTATCCTGATGTTGACGCAGCAAGCCCAGTGTCAATTCGGCTGATTTGCGGAAGGGTCCTTCGTATCCATATGCTCCCATTGCCGCAATCATGTTGTGTGTCAGGCGGAAGGGGACAAGTTCTGGCTTCTCAAACGTGAGTCCTTTGTCGAACAGACAGTTGAAGTCAACGTGGAAGACACCACCGGTATCTTCCTGCAACAGAATGTTCTCTCCGTGTCGATCGCCAAGTCCAAGTACGTGTCCTACCATGGACATGACCGCCGCTGAGCGAGCGTACCTCAACCGAGCAGCGAACCACGAGTCAGGCTCAGGGAACATCTCCGCAAACCACTCGTGAAGGATTGATGGGAATACCGACAAGACCTTCTCGGTGAAGATGTCCACGTTAGCTATGTTAGAGCTTGCCTCACTAAGGAAAACTCGCAACTCGTTGTAATTGGGCTGGACACCCTTACGCTGATATAGCTTGAGAAGGATGTCGCGCAAAGGCTTGATACCTTCGACCCACTCGATAGTACCAGATTCTTCACTCAATGGCGTCACGCCATACGTTTTGATGTATAGACGACGTTTGCTTGACTCCGTATCTCGTTTCAGTGCTCTGTTGATCATCGTGTTGAACTCCATCAGACGTTGATCCTTTCTCAAATCATCCTTTGGCTTGCACAGAAGCCCGTATTGTTTGCCGTCGGAGCCTCTCACAGTCAGTTTTCGTGGTCGTTGCAAAGAGTTCAGCACCAGAACCTCGTCACTGAAGCTTTGTATTGTGATGCGCTCTTGTGCAAACGCCACAAACTTGCGGATATGGAAGGCGTCCTGGACGACTGGAGCATTAGCCGTCAAGGTAGATTCCAAGGGTATGACAAGAGGATTAGGTGCCAACTTGTGATTGAAGTTCAGGTCCTTGGACAGGCTGACATTCGCTGACCGTGTTTCGATATGAATTTCGCAAGCTTGTAGCAGACCATCAGACAGCTTCTGACCATGCGTTATCATCATACGCAAGTCCAGACCAGCTGATTCATTCTTGGGCCTNGTTTTTGGGTCTTTGAGCTTGTTGATGATAGCCACGCCGCGACTTGCTCTGTCTGATGCTGAAGCTTTGCAGACTGCCAGCAAGAACCAAAGAGCCTGACTAGGATGAGTCGAAACAATCTTCTGGATGATCATTGCCAAAACCTCGTAAACCTTGGGGTTCGGGTGGGTGATACGCGAGATCATCTGTGGTAGAGCGTTATAGAAGATGTACGGAGGTATCCGATCGAAGTACTTTCTCATCTGCTTGTGAATCGCATCAAGCCAGTGAGAACGTTTGGCTGTCACATCGGCCTGATCGTTCCTGGTCCTTTGCATACAGTCCATACCAAGATCCAGCCAGAGCGTGATAATCTTTGGAATTGTTTGGTACCAGTACTTCGAGCCAAAAGGCACAGATCGCAAGTAGTTTTCGATGACAAGTTTGGTCAGCTCTCCGGAGAGGAATGGCTCGGACTGTTTGTGTACAGGAAGNAGTTTTCCAGCGTCCAGAAGCATGTTGTAGTGCTTGCCCAAATAGTAGTGGCCCTTCTCCCATCTGGAGTAGTGTCTGGCGGCATACTGGTACTTGCTCGCAACCTTTGTTGCCTGTGTCTGTCCAGAAGCATCTAGCCATTTGGCTAGTAGCAGATGTGCCCTTGCAGAGAGCATATTCTGCTTCTGCTGTGCTTCTTCAGGATTGCTGGTATCCACCATCCTCTGATCATAGGTTGCAAACGTGTTGGATGCAATGGCACCCTCGAGACTCTGAATGGCTTGTCTATGCTGGTCATCTTTCCAAAGCAGCCGGGCATGTTCAATCTTGGCCGCATCGTCTCCACAGCTGAACGCATTGAGTATAGCATTGTGTGCGACAGCTGAAACATTAGTCTTTCGAGCAAGGCGAGCTGTCATGAGCCAGGAACTGCCAATGCTGACGCTCGAGAAATCGACACTCGATAGTCGCATGACCGCACGACGGATACCAAGCAGATACTGCTTGTCAGAGATGTATGATCCAACAACGGCTAATCTCTTGTCCATGACTGCAAGAATTGATGTAGCGGCTGTATCTTGAGCGGCAGGGACATCGATTGCTCCGCTGAGTGCACCTATTTCATACACAATATGAAGCTTCAAGAGAACGTCATGGCAAGCCTGGAGTGAGCTTCCAGAGACGGAAGTGATGCCCTTGACTACGATGTTGCGAAGTTTGTTGACCCTGTTTGACACTTCATCATGATTCTTCTCTTGCATGGCGAGAAGTACTCTGGCAACACGAACATTGAAATCTGTCTGAGTTTCTTCCGAGAGACCAACAAGAGAATCTTTGAGCGTGTCGAACCTCTCTGTAGTCCAGCATGCCTCTGTGATATACGACAAGAGTGTGCCCTTGTCCCCCTGACGCGAGGTTGTCTTGTAGAATGATGCATAACGCAAGACTTGATCATACTGGCCAGATTCTCTCAGACAGCTCAGAAGATCGATTTGACGGCTTGCGTTGGAAGGCTCCTTGACAAGCTCAAATTCGTACCAGCTTTGTGCCGCCGACCACCTGCCTGTTCTTTGATGCTGGAAAGCCTGTTGCTCAGGACTGAGAATGTTCAGATGTGCCGAGATTCCATCAAGACCGTCGGGCTCATCAATCTGAGAGTATATCGAATGGAGTCGTTGGAACATCGCGTCATGTTCTTTGGCATCTTGGTTCGTTTGTCTTCGTGACTCGCTCCGGATATAGCTCTCCCAATGGAACAGTGCACGAGCATACGAGCCGCACTCCATAGCACGTTGAGCGATGATGTCGGCAGGAATAGAGCTTATCACGCTCTCGACACTTTCGATCTGGCCAATGTCTTTGGCCTCCTCGATTTCTGACGGAGCATGACCAGCTCGCAGGGCTGCAGTCCGGTATGCAGCTATAGTTCGCTTCTTCTCCTGTAGCCACTTTGACATGTAGTCCAAAACAGCAAAGACGTTTTCACTGCACTGTCGCAGTGCCTCTTTCTCTGACTCAACTGGTGATTCGGTTGACAAGACTGTCAGCATTTCAACCCCAACATCTTTAGCCTCTTGTACTGTACCGCCAAGGACGATGTTGAGTGCCACGTAAGGGAGAAGGAAGCTGGCGATAGAGATGTCATGTCGGTTGATAATGCGGGCCAGGATGGGGAACACCATCTCTGCATTGTCACCTTTGCCTCTCCACATCATGTCATAAGCCCATTCACGAAGCCAAGTGCTATGACGTTTCCCAATGGCAAAGACTGGGTAGTTTCGTTTTCCGGGTTGAACAGACGAATTGCTGTTTAGCAGATATCTCGAGCTCAAGAATGGAGTGAGCGTGTTCCGTACGCTTTCTGTCATTTCCGCCCAGCGACTATGGGCAGGACCAGCTTGTGACGGCCTTAGACGCGCAGTTGCAGCTTCGTTGAAACCACAAAACCGGACCAGCTCTTGCATAACATAAGCTAGGAAGCCTTGATCGCGCGCGTTTGTGGATGATCTGAATGCTGGTACCAGAACGTCTTCGAGCATGATAGCGACCCAGTTGATAACTTCAGAGGCTTTTTCGAAGTTGGAGAGCACAAGTACTTGTCTTCGGCTGCTACTCATGTCGACACTGTTTGGATCCAAGCAGCCGATGATACCAATGCATTGTGCACTTAGGTCGACGACAGTCGAGTCATGGTCGGCATATTTGGTACACACGTCGAGCAAAGCACGCATCACATCTGCTATTGCGGCCTTGGGCTGTTCGCTGACAGCTGCTTCGTGGACGAAACCTTGATTCTCGCCGAGCCACGGAACCAGCTCGCGTAGCCCTTGAGTGACAATCGCGACATTCTCATCATGCAGTCGTTTGGCAAAGGCGCGCAGATGAACGTCTGGGCGCTCGTCCTTTTTCAGCCTTTGAATTTCTAGGCCGATTTTGGACATCAACGGGATCGAAGCTAAGGATGGTATGGTCATAAGCTTCTCTCGTATCACGTTGCTGTGGGTTTTGACGATCTCGCTGATGGTGTCGTGGGTCTTCTTTTGCAGAGGCGACGAGAGGCCATCCCAATGTTGAGCCACCAGCGCGAAGGTGTGATCAACCATGTCAGCAACATCATCACCATCGAGAACACTAATCAGAGTGAGCCAGGCGGAAAGCGCTGACTCTTGAAGTTGTCGTTGATCAATGGCGCTTTGGAGGCACGCTCTTATCTGAAATGTTGTAAGACTTGAGGTCAGGTGTATGTATGAGGAGGAACGTACCTGAGGAAGAGCTACGCTGACCTTGCTCTTAGCTAGTATGATCATCTGTTCAATTGCCTTGACACAACGAAGCTTTTCTGATGGAGACAGCGATAGTGTGTTGTCTATAGAGTTTGAGAACTCCGTCATGATACCTAGAATATGTGCTTCAAAGAAACTGATAACCATACGATTGGTTTTTGCGCTCGGTTTTGAATGACTTGGCTTCCCTTCGACCAACATTGTAAAGATTTGGATAGCTTGTTGTGCCNNTGCTGCAAGCTTCTGTTTCAGTATTCGGAAAAAGAAGCACCTGCAACAAGTACTCACCTTTGAGGCATTAGAGTCATCTTCGTCTCCCGCAGTCTTGAGCATCTCACAAGCTATCAGAACAGGATCTGATCTGATCAAACTTCCCAGGTCGCTGTTCTGGAAGCCAGGAGCGACCTCAGCAAGGCACCTTATAGCATTGCCTTCCACGTCGCTCGATGGTTGATAGAGCAACGTGGATATCACAGCCGCAAGGTTGGCGGGCGGCTGAAGACAAATGTCTTGTATGCTGGTCTCTGCACTGCGAGCTGAGGCAATTCGCCGTAGAATGTCCTTCTTTTTNGTCAAAACAAGAAAAGGTACAGTGTCTCGTTGGGTCAGCAGCAGGAAATGGCTGACACTCATGCCCAGGAACTCGGAAAGCTGCTGCGCCTTCTGCGGTTTAGTAGTGAGATCCTGAATGACAGCGACTGCGATACTGCGATAGAATGGTTTGAGGAGTGTTTGTGGTGACAGAGACAGCGTTTCGGCAATATCCTCCAACTGTGAATGAAATTGTCAGAGAAGTTAACAAGATGAGAATGCGAGACATACCTCGCTATATGCGAGAGAGCAGATTAACGAGTTTGGATGACCCAAATAATCGACCAGCCTGAGTAATGCCAGATTGAGCTCTTTTTCACCACATACNCCTACTTCTGTCAATGTTTTATACTGTGATAAGTCGGTGGGTGAAACTCACAGTGCTACTCTACCCCAAGCCAATATCAACGTTTCGTGTTGACCTACGATATCTTTCGTTGACAGTGCTCTCAGAAAATTTAATGCAACCTGTCGGTTTTTGTTGCGAATCTCTCTAGGCAATCCCTCACGAAGAAAGGCGGCCATCGTTCGNCCTGTCTCTGTCAGTGAAGAACAAGACCTATCCCTGGTTTTCACTCACCCTGCAGCGATTCGTAGCTCTCTGGAAGAACTCTGTAAGTATTTCAAGCAACATTCTCCCAAGAAGGAAGTTCCGAGATCGAGTTCCGTTGGGTTCCGATTATGCAGCACGATTGATCGAATTGCCAGGATGGCAAGCACTCTTTGTCTGTCAGAGAGGTGAATGTCTTGGCTCTCGATGAGTTCTGTGAGCATCTGGAACAACTCATTCCAGTCATCGGCTCGATTGTTCTCTTCCCATGTGTTCTTGTCTGGCTCGTGCCGTAGACGGCGTTCACCGTTACAGATCGAACATTGGCTGTTGTTATAATTGTTCGTGGCAGCACAAGCGCAAGATCCAATTGTCTGCCAGAACATGCTTCGTTGGTCGTCGGACATGGCAGCATAGCAAGTCCTATCAGAAGTCAGATTACCAATAAACAGATTGTTTCAAAGTGAACTTACACAACGTCAGAATCAATCNGTAGTCATACTGTCTCCCTTGCCCAGAAGAGTGGCAAGTTTACGCTTGAGTTTCTGGTACAAGTCTTCTGACTCGCTGCTCGACGGCTTTTGCCCTGAGCCGCGAAGATCCTGTAGCTGTCTACGCTTTGTCGCAGGTTGCAAGGCTAGCACTTCGAGTTGAAGCTGAGAGGTATCGTCGCTCATAACAACATCAGCTTCGTCCTTTTTGTCGTGTCTTTCCAGACATTGGTGAACCACGCGTTGTAAGGATGCATCAACAGCCTCAAACTTTGATAAGTCGCGAGCAAAGGCTCGAACAGAAGGGAGCAGAAATTCTTCAATTATGTATCCATACTCTGCATCATAGAGGTCGATCAATTTCTCAATGGTCGACGCAAGCTCNCTTTGCAATTGGTCATCAAGCAGTGACTTCCCATCGTGAACGATGAGCTTCGAACAAGACTCGCAGAGGCTACTGAGCCTGTAGGATACGCGATTGTGTATCGTCGGATCTGCTGAGCCGTCCAAAACAAAATTCTGAAGCCGAACGATTTGCAAAGCAAATGTAGAAAAGAAAGAGTGCTGCTCAAACCATGATTTGTGTTGGAATAGTATCCGGCTCAAAGCAGCAACCGAGTCGGACACCCATTTGTACAAGGGAGATGTTGAAGTCTGGAATCGATTAAGGGTTGTTTTCGCTGAAGCGACGTTTTGCAGTGTGGAAACAAGCAGCAGCTGTATCCTGATGGCTGATAAAGGGTCATTTGTAGACAGTTGATGACCTAGAGACAGAGCTGCGTTATCCTCTGGCTGAGGCCAGACATCTGATGTACTNCTAACGGGTGGCAGCAAGACAGCGGGAATGAGCGTTGCGGACTTGGAGAAGATGCGGCTATCTTGGAGCAGTGTGAAAAGGTCAGTAACACAGTCCCGAAGCATTTGCAGCAATGCTTTTGCGTATGGCCACAGATCCAAGCTCTTGGACAAACTCAATACTAGAGAAGACAGGAGAGATGCCAATGAGTGTTGCAGCTGAGAGCCTTTTGGATGCTTGGATATCATGAGCAACTTAGGAAACAGCCAAAGCAGGAGATGCGGATGTTGATCTGGGGTCGATGAAGCATTGTGAAAAAGAATGTCGGGCTGTCTCTGTATGGTGGACTCGATGACAGCAAGACTGTCGATTGCCTGAGGGATCAGAAAGTCCCATTGAGCGAACGGGTCATCATGGAAGAGGACATCGAGACCTGCCTCGACGACAACTTTGATCAATTTATGATTAACGTCAATATCAGTCTCGGGCACTGAAGTCTTGTTGAGAATCTCTTGCAGAAGCTGACGAAACGTGACGGTGGTGTCTTCTTGATTTAGACCACGGGCAGTGTCGACATGATTCTTTACAAGCTGGGCAGCGAGTGTAGATGGTGGTGGAAGATTTGCATCAGTCAAATCATCGCCACCGAAGGAAGCGGCGCCACGACCATGACTATGTGCGAGAAGCCTTCCGACCATCTTGCAAGTCTTGATGAGGACGCGGCCGCAGCAGTAGCAGATGGCTCATCTGGCGAATGTTTGATGCAGGCAAATAGTGAATGAGGCGGAAGACGCGACTGATGGAGGGCCACGTCGTCACGTGTTTCGTAAATTGATGGAAGCTGCGGCGTCAAAGCTGGAGATGGAGATGTGCAATCAAGCAGCTGCGAATGCAACCATACAGATATCCACCGCTTCAGATTCGATTGCCCGCTATCGTCAAAGCAATTCACTGGAACAATACTTGCGAATCCTGTCGCACCCTCCACGCACAATCACCCAATATGGCCGTCTTCNCTGCCAAACGCTTCCGCTCGAGCTCGTACAATGGCACTATGCCTGCTAGGTATCGTGCACTGCTAGCGAAACACCCTTTCGCTCTCTTCGGCCTCCCCTTCATTGCGACAATGGTCTTGGGCTCTTTCTTCCTGACGCCAGCAACCGCCATCCGATACGAAAAGCACGACCGCAAAGTCAAGCAGCTGACCAAGGAGGAAGAGCTCGGTATCGGCAAGGACAGGCGAAGGATTGACCTGAAAGAGGAATACTACGTACGTATACCGCCATTGCTCGTCTACGTAACGCTATCTGACTCGAAGCGCAGANGACTGGCCGCGAAAGATCTCGACAACTGGGAGCAGAAGAGAGTCAAAAGATTACCCGGCGAGCACGACGGTATCCTGTAAACTGCTCCTTCGACACCTCCTCTCATTCCCCTCAGCATATATGATTTTCTCTCTTGGGTTTAGCAAGGCGTTGGTTTGGGAAGAATTATGGCATCCACGAGAAACATCAAATACCACGATACCCTGTTGATCTGTCTTTGAACCATCGCACCGCTCCGTCTTTGCATCGTTTCAAACTCAAGACCACACACGTTTCATCTCACAAAATACTGCACCTATGTTTCTGGCCTCTTCAGTCGGTGGCTGCCTTTTATCTTTTGTTTCATTATGCTCGAAGCCGAGGCACGTGGAGTGTCGACGTCATGTTTTGTTGATATTCCACGTCCAATATCCATCTCTTGCCTCCTGTCGAGCCGTCGGTCTTCTTGCTCGTACCTCATAGAATACCTTTGTGAAGACACTCAATATGGACGACTCGACATATGGCATCGCCAAGTTTTTGTTTCCTCGCATCCCTTCGCTGACAAAGACGGCCCTTGCACACTCTCTGTCGCTCTCACCAACCTCTTCGAAATGGAATTTGAAGACTGAGATGACCGTTGCATTTTTACGCGGTCTTATGAATGATGGTCCTTCACCAATCGGAAAGACTCAAGCTCAGACTTTGAAGGATCCTGGTGCCAAGGGCAAGGTCTGGACAGCCAAAGTCACTGTCCCAGCTCCCGAGGACGAAAGCATCCGAGATGCGACATTTACTGCCATCGCAGACCTTGGAGATGGCAACGAGACGTATACGAAACCAGGACTCTCTGCCATTGACGCTGAGTGGACTGGCTTCCGCCCTGGAGCTGGTGCCGAAGAGCCTCTGCCAGATATCTCAGAGCAGGAAAAGTACAAGAATCTAATGAGTGAGCCTACCAAGTCGAGCAAGACAACCATCCTTTATCTCCATGGCGGCGCGTATTACATGTGCGGTTTTGGAACTCACAGACTGCAAGTCTCGAAACTTGCAAAGGCTTGCAATGGAAGAGCCTTCAATGTTGGCTACCGTCTTGCGCCGCAGGCTGCTTTCCCATCGCAGTTGTTGGATGCACTAAACGCGTATCTGTATCTGTTGTACCCACCTTCTGGCTCTTTGCATGAACCAGTGTCAGCTAGCGACATTGTTTTCGCCGGCGACTCAGCAGGTGGCAATCTGGTATTTGCACTTCTCCAACTGTTGCTGCAACTTCATCGTACCAAGCCATCAGGAGCAAAGGACCCTACTGTCCGTTATCATGGCAAAACCGTTGAAGTACCTTTTCCTGCGGGAGCATCAGCCAACTCTGGCTGGTTTGATATCACCAGATCGATGCCTTCCTTGGTACATAACGCAAAGTACGACTACCTTCCACCAGCAGATCATGATGACGCCTTGGGACGATTTCCGAAGGACGACGTCTGGCCAACTACACCACCAAGAGGTGATCTGTTCTGTGATCTCAGTATGATATGTCATCCTCTTGTATCACCCCTTGCAGCCAAGGACTGGACCAATGCACCACCACTCTGGATTGAAACTGGAGAAGAACTTCTCACAGACGAAGATCTGGTTGTGGCTGTCAGAGCAAGCACTCAAGGTGTAAAAGTTCATTTCGAGCAATATGAAGCAATGCCCCACTGCTTTGCTATGCTCCTGCCTACACTTGCTACTAGCAAGCGATGCATCGACTCTTGGGGAACTTTCTGCCGTAATTGTACAGAAGACAGTATAGAGACGAATGGTACCTGGATCGCAGCGAAGACAGGACTTGAGAAAGAGGTTGACGTGACAAAAGTCACAGAATTGACTGTTGAAGATGCTATCAAACGGATGAGGGATGCCCAAAGGAGACGTTATGCTGGTTACGAGAAAGAGGGCAAAGCAATGCCCAACCCGAGCTTGTAGGCTTGGAGACTTACGCCTTTGCAACACCATAGATTTTTCCTATAGTACTGTTGTCCGTTGGCATTGGGTATTTCAGAGATGTCTGGTTATGTCAAATCTTTTGCTAGATCGTGCATAACAGTATTCATGCTATACAAGTGATTTCTCAGAATGCAGTATCCGAGACCATTTCCGGAAATCTCGGAAGACGCACTCCGAGCCCCCCTCTCCTGGTTATGACGAAGTGATCCGACAGTAACTATATCTCCCAATTTACGACCTTCGACAGACATACAACACCTGATAGTCACAGATTCTGGAGTCGGGTTCAGGACATCATACTATCTGCCATTCCACGTCTACATTCATTCCATCGCCTTTTGACAATGCCGTTCGCCAAGGTCAATTACAAGACTTTGTACTATAAAGACTGGTCACCAAAAGATGGTTCTACTCCTCGAGCAACACTCGTCATGGTAAGACATGGCGATCAAGATATGAAGTACATCTGCTGAGATATATCAGNNAGCCATGGCTTGGGCTCAAGCAACAATTACTACACAGCAGTAGTTCCTTACTTGGCAGAGCAGGGTTACCGCTGCGTCTGCTTTGATATGACCGGATCAGGTCTCTCGCCTTACACCTATGTCGAGCAGAGTATCCACAGCCTCGCAGAGGACGTGACCGCCCTGATGGATGTTTTGTCAATCGACAAGGCGATCTTTGTCGGCCACAGCATGTCCGGCATTGTTGGCCCTGAGCTGGCAGCCGAGTGGCCAGATCGTATCCAAGGACTCATCTTGGTGGGCCCCGTATGGCCTTCATCAGAGGCAGCTCCCGTCTTCGAGGACCGTATCAACAAGGTTGCAGAANAAGGCATGGACGTGATGGCAGACACCGTACCCTATGCTGCTGTGGGATCAAAAGCCACTTCCTTACACCATGCTTTCATCCGAGAACTACTGCTCGGAATGGATCCTGCTGGCTATACCAGCCTGTGCAGGGTCATCGCCAATGCACACAAGTCACCGCCGAAGTATGCAAAGGTTTCGTGTCCGACTCTTATTATTGCCGGAGAGGAGGACAAGAGTGCACACCTGCCTGGATGCAAGAAGATTATCGAAGCGCTTGGCTCGAGGCAGAAAGACATGGTTGTGATGGACAAGTGTGGCCATTGGCACTGCATTGAGGACCCATCAGAGGTCGGCAAATTGTCTTTGAATTTCCTGAAGCAGATTTCGTAGAACCAATAATTCGAAAACTCGTGCTCGAGCAATCGATGTCGCAGGATCATGCTGAAAATACTGCAGGTACCCGCTTGGTTGAGCTGCGTTCCCCACAAACAAAAACTTGATGCTCAGAGTACGAAACGCGACAGAAAAACATCACACGTTGAGTAACAAGCACGGAGAGCTGGTAACAAGAAGTAGATCTGATATGATTAGATTGCTCCGGCCAGCATTTGTTGAGGGAAAGGGGCACATTTGGTAGGGCCGTAAGGCGGTGAGGGTATGAATAGCCAACGTGTCAGAGAGTTTTAATCGACGTTTCAACGATCCAAATCCGGCAGTTGCTCCAATGCCTCCAGTCCAGGTCGCAACACGATGTAAGAGGGACATTTCTTCGACCATGAGACAAAGAGTATTAATGCGCATAGCTAGCACAGCCATCGCAATGAATATACCAGGTGGATTGTTGTCGTGCTCGAAGAAGATCGTAAGAGGTGTTTGAAACATGAAGCAGAAGCGCTTGGCGACAGGCGTTGGATAAGAAGACGTGGGAAGCTTATCCAGCGGCAGCCCCTTGAGTGGACTGATTATTTTGTAGACCAAAGTACCTTAGGTAATTAAAGTGGGAGTATAATTTGGCGCGCAGTCCTCGAATCAATCTCCACGTCCATCTCTCTACCCTCTTTCCTTCGTACCAACGCCGCTGCTGTTTCTTTGTTGAGCTTGTTGCTTCGTTGTTTCTTGCTAATATTGTTCTGATACCCCTTTCTACCACACTCTCAACTTTTCGTACCCTCTACGCCACAATGTCTGAACGCCCTGAGAACATCGGTATCAAGGCCATTGAGCTTTACTTCCCCAGCCAGGTATGTCTTTACAGTCTACTCTCGATGCCCGGCAATTGCTAACGAGCGTAATTTGNNCAGTGTGTCGACCAGGCCGAACTCGAGAAGTTCGATGGAGTCAGCGCCGGAAAGTACACCATTGGCCTCGGCCAGACCAGAATGAGCTTCTGCGACGACAGAGAGGGTGAGCAGGCAACCAACAAGCGCCAATTGAGACTCTCAAATTAACAGATTCGCANNGACATCTACTCCCTCGCTCTGACCGCCGTCTCCTCGCTCCTCCGCAAGTACAAGATCGACCCCAAGGACATTGGTCGCCTCGAAGTCGGTACCGAGACCATCCTCGATAAGTCCAAGTCGGTCAAGTCTGTCTTGATGCAGCTTTTCAAAGAGTCGGGCAACACCAACGTTGAGGGTGTTGACACTGTCAACGCTTGCTACGGTGGCACCAACGCGCTTTTCAACGCCATCAACTGGGTCGAGTCCTCTGCATGGGACGGTCGTCTCGCCATTGTTGTCGCTGGTGACATTGCCCTTTACAAGAAGGGTGCCGCCAGACCCACTGGTGGTGCTGGATGCGTTGCCATGCTGGTTGGCCCCGACGCCNCCCTGGCTTTCGAGCCCGGCCACAGAGGCAGCTACATCACCCACGCATACGACTTCTACAAGCCCGACCTGACCAGCGAGTACCCCATCGTTGACGGTCAATTCTCCATCAAGTGCTACACCCAAGCCGTCGACGCCTGCTACGAGGCCTACAACACTCGTGAAGCCCAGCTCAAGTCCAAGGCCAACGGTGCTGCCAACGGCAACGGTGTTCACGCCGAGCCCGAGACTCCCNTCGACCGCTTCGACCACATGTGCTTCCACGCCCCTACCTGCAAGCTGGTTTCCAAATCTTACGCCCGCATGCTTTACAACGACTACAAGCAGAACCCCGAGAACCCCATCTTCGCTGAGGTTCCCGCCGAGATCAAGGACATGGACCTCGAGAAGTCATACAGCGACAAGACCGTCGAGAAGACCTTCATGACCCTCTCCAAGAAGCGCTTCGCCGCCCGCGTGCAGCCCTCGATCCAGGTCCCCACCATGTGTGGTAACATGTACTGCGGTTCCGTCTACGGCTCGCTCTGTGCTCTTCTCTCCAACGTTTCGTCGCAAGACCTTCAGGGCAAGCGTGTTGGCATCTTCTCATACGGCTCAGGCCTCGCCTCCTCCTTCTTCTCATTCAGAGTCAAGGGCAGCACCGAGGAGATGCACAAGCAGATTGACCTCCAGAACAGACTCGACTCGCGTAGAGTCGTCGCCCCCGAGGTGTACGACGAGATGTGTAACCTCCGTGAGCGTGCACACTTGAAGAAGGACTACTCACCTGCTGGCAACCCCGAGACTCTCTTCCCTGGTACCTACTACCTGACCAAGGTCGATGACCTCTTCAGAAGAGAGTATGCCATCAAGCAGTAAATGTTTCGATTACAGAAGTGGTGAGGGTCTACGATGGCATCGTGGTGAAGACAAGGTGTCGGCACAGACAGTAGGGCGAACCTGGGGCCGGCTGTCGTGTGTTTGACGGCACGCTTCACGGCTTGTGTCTCGAACTCTTTTTTCTTTTTTTCTCTTCTTCTTATTTTCTCGGATTACAGGTGGACTAGCGGCGCATGCAGAATTGTAGTAGTAGTTTTGACCCGTCTTGAAGTCTCGATAGCGAGAGGCCGGACAATGACGATATGAAAAGCATGCAAATATCAAAAACTTCAGAAAACCAAAGATCGGTGCCAAAAAAACCCGGTTCGGGTTTGTTTCGAGTGCTGATGACAGACGACAAGGAGTGTCATGCTTATAAGCGGGAAGTGACGGAGGCGGCTTCCGAGGAGAGCGAGACGAGCGTGCAAGCGTCGATTCATTCTTTCCTTGGCAGGACTGGGCGTTTGGCAACGACAGGCCCTCGCTCTTGCCTATCGTCTCTGCCTATCCAACACTCGCTACTCGAATTACGAGAAATCTCCTTCTACGACCATACGCTCGTCCACCCGAAACACGAGCCGACCAAACGCGCTCGTTTTGCCGCCCTTACCATCCCCGAGCCCCAGGTGCTGGGCCCCGACGACCGACCACTCGACCGCGTCCCAACCATCGCTCACCACACGCTCGACTCTTCTAAACCATGGCCAACTCTCGTGATCAGCCTCGCACGTCGACAGACGATGTTTTCGACGACGAGTATGCCGTAGACGACTTTGACGGAGTCGCTGACGGCTTTGCCCCTGGCCGCGTCCAACCGACCAACGACCGATGGTCAATCCACTCCGAGGACCCTTCAATCCGCAGCGTTCACGCACACATGTCGGATGCTCCTCGTTTCTCCACCGGCCCCAGCAGGAATAGCATGCATAAATCGCGAGATGTCCAGAACCCCTTCAGCAGCACAGAGGACGACGATGACGACAATACTGACGAGCGTTCGGCTCTGAACCGCTCATCAAGTATCCAATCCTCTTCGACTGCCCAATATGCTCCCGGAATTGCCCACAGACTTAGTACCGCATCGTCAGCCCGAGTTTATGCTCGTACTGCGAGCCCTCCCCTCGGCACTACCGGCCCCAGCCACCCCTACTCAATGTATCCTCAAGATACCAATGTAGCCCGCACACCATCCGTATCTACGACCGCTTCTACCGTTCGTGCGGTTCAATCAAACGCCATGTCAAACCAGGGCCCTACCCACCCTTACAGCATGTATCCCCAAAACGTTTCTGAGCACGAGGTAGCGGACCCTGCTAGTACACCAAGCCATGCCCAAACGATAATCCCAGTCGGCTTTCCCGGTAGAAGTCAAGGCTTCGTAAGAGCTCGAGGACCTGAAGATGAAGAGCAGGACATCATTGGGGTCGACGGTCATTCAGAACAACTCCCACCTTACTCTGAATATCCTGAGGATGGTGTACCAAAACCAGTTGTCTCAACCGCACTACCAGCACAAACTGCTGCTTCTGCCCATGCCACTCAAATCCATATGCCTTTGATGCAGCAACAGCGCCAACCTGAAAGCATGTCAGACCAGTCCGCCGCTCACGGCTTTGCCGAGATGCAACAAATGAACTCTATCGACTCGGATGCTACTCCATCAGAGAACAAGAGTTGGAGCGAGAAGTCATGGAAAGAGAAGCGAAAGACGCGCGTCTTTGGCATTCCCTTCTGGTGGATACTATTATCTCTCTGTGTGCTTGCCTTCATTGCTATTGTTTTGGGTGCAGCTATTGGTGGCATTTTCGCAAGTGCTAGAAAGGAAGCTGTCAAGGCTACTGCCAAGTAAGTCGTTATGGTCAGCTTCTCCTCGGTTGGTTACTAACAAGCATGTCTAGACNACCATGGTAATACGACCACACTATTAGACGCATCACCCATTCCTACATCATCGATAGGAGCACCACCACCAACTGGCGTTTATGCTCTGGACTTTGGTGCGCCGAGAGCTACACAATCGGCTTGTATAGCCAACCAGAACTACTCGGCTGCTTGGACTTGCAACATTTATGGCATACCGCAGATGGCCATCAACATAGGCCTTCCACCGGATGGAAGCAACAACGAAGGCGCCTCACTGTACGGATTCAGCAACGCTACTGGCATCAACTATGGCACTCAACCCNCGAACACTCATTTCGCTCCCTTCATCTCCGTCGAAGATGACGATGAACCTTATCGGGGCCCTGCTTTCTATTTCCAGACCTTTTACGACAAATTCGTAGTTGTCCCAGAGAGTTCTCTTCCCGCAAGCAACGCTGCCAACGCGCAGAAGCGTTCAACGATCAACACTGATTGGTTCACTCAGCACCAAGTTCAAGCTGGAGACAAGCCGTGGTTTTGCTGGTTCAACGGCACATTCCTTGAAGGTTTCATCTACGCCAACAACTACACAGACCCGAGCGCGTCGTCATCATCGTTATCGTCATCATCTTCGTCTACGTCCTCAAACGGCAGATCTGCTAAGACCTCGTCGTCTCCGCTAACTACTTCCACTATCATTGAAGTCTCAGGCCCTTCGACAACTGCTACCTTGACTTCTGCTTCCCAAAGTACTGCTTCCCAGAATACTGCTTACACACAATCCGTCTCAAATCCATACACGCACACGCCAAATGGACGGAAAGCAAAACGTGACTGGCACTTGGAAAAACGTACATGGACGTTTGCTGAACTGTCTTCTTTCGGCTATGTTGTCAAGATCGAAGAACGTCGTGTGCCGGACAGTGTGCAACCTTACTGTCAGCAGTTCCAAATCTTGGACAATGGCATGGCAGGTGGCCTCGATGATCCAGCTACAGGGCAGCAGATAACAGTCTACCTGCAAGAGACTGACCCCGACTACAGCGCTTACAACCAACAGACGTACGGAGCGTCTCCGACAGGATCGTCAAAGATCAAGCGTGATCCCATAGCTGGCGCTTGCCACTGTGAATGGTGGAGTGGATCTTCACCTGGTTCGTAATCTTCTCTGTTTTATTATTGTGTCTATGATTTCTTTCCTCTTCTGGTACCAGGGAGATATCTTGTTCCCTTTGTTATATTATGTTCTTATCGGAAAGCGGGCTTAGAAAGCGTTGCGGCGTTGATGAACTTTTGGAGGATCAGATTGTGGGTTATTTTGGGAGCGATTATGTTTTGTTTTGATCATGGAAAGTAAAGGGAACTGCTGGTGTTCTCGCTTGGGAGGGAGGGGGTGGTGTTGGTTTCAAACTGTGGTTTCTCTTTTCACACACAGCAAAGTAGCTTGATAGTCTCTTGCTTTTGATATTGAATCATTCATGGGAACATGCAACTCACATGTGAAACATCAACTTTCATTCAGCTTGTCGTTTGTCTGTGAATTGTGTCTTGCCCTTTCGTGTCGATTGTGTTTGCTTGGCACTCACTTTGGTAGTCGAGCTGAACTTTTCCGCAGACGCACCTTCCTTGTGTTGCGACTTCCTGCGAACCATGTAAATCGCCAACCTAAAGAATATTCTTCAAGATGTTCTCCGCCGACTATCATCCATCACCCACTTTGTCCGAAGCAGACATGGATGCCATGACTGCGCCCGTCGAAAACAGGCCCTACCATGAGGCTTTCATGCGCGAGGCTATCAATATGGTACGCTTTCCCCCATTCTGCCAATGCTTTCCATCAGCAAATCATCCCAAACACTTGAATGCTGACTCCTGGTTGTTTGATTAGGCCGAGCTGGCACTTGCTTCTGATGAGACGCCTGTTGGCTGCGTCTTTGTTCATGATGGCAGAGTCATCGCCCAGGGCATGAACGGCACCAACGTTACCATGAATGTAAGCAAACATATCAAAAACATCACGTCCAATTGGTTTCCCTGCATTCAGTCGACACCATCTACACCCTCCGAAAGCAACAATTTCCACTCTATGCAACCATTATCTGACATGGTCGCTGCCAGGNGAACACGCCATGCCGAATTCGTGGCCTTGAGCCAAATCCTGGCCGAACACCCACCATCCATCCTCCAGGAGACGGACTTGTATGTCACCGTTGAGCCATGCATCATGTGTGCCTCTGTTTTGCGCCAATTCCGCATCCGCGCCGTCTACTTTGGCTGCCTCAACGACCGCTTCGGTGGCTGTGGTGGAGTCATGCGCATCTGTGATGAGTAAGTCTTGCAGCTTCCCATCAACGTTGAGACCCAAGATACTGACAAGTGTATAGTCNCCAACATCGAACCTCCCTACAAGATCTACGGCGGCATCTACAGAGCCGAGGCCATCATGCTACTTCGCCGCTTCTACGTTCAGGAGAACGAGAAAGGTTTGTGTCATATTACTTCCCCAAATCATCTTGCACTGCTAACTTTTGACGTCTTGAAGNCCCCTGAGCCCAAGCAGAAGAAGAACAGAGAGCTCAAGACCGACATCATGCCCCTGGTCAACATGAAGAACCCTGAAGGTTGAAAGTGACAAAATGTGCTTTTCCTGACGAAAGCTTGAACCAACCATACGATACCAAACTGCGTCGCCGCTCTTCCTTGCTGGTCCTGGAGATTGAGTCGACTTATGCATATCATAACATGATACGCAGCGCGCAACCACTACGGACCGGATCGACCTACACCAGCAGCATCGTTATGCCATGCGTCTTGTCAAGAGATGAAGGATTGATGCATACTCATACAGCAGAATTAGCTCAACATTGTCATGGGAATGCATGGAATTACGAGAGAGAGTGAGACAAGTCCTCAGCTTGTCTAGTTATTAGCATAGAACAACAGATGGTATACATGAGAAACAAAATATCAAAGCATTCACGCGTCGATACGAGCAATCTCTCGAGAATTTGGTTTCTCAATTGCTATTCATACAGCAACAACTTTTGCAGATTGCTTCTAACCATTACCATTGTCTCAACAAGAAGGAAGGCAATATTGCACGACGGTGACAAGAACATGCTTTGAAATGACAAAATAACGTCAAGGCCCATCAAGAGGACAGCAGAGGAGAAGAAGGAGAACTATGGTTGCTTGAACAGAGGAAAGTAAGCTCTCGCCTTTGGTATTTCTGCCACCCTTCCTCCCTGTCCTATCGTGAACATGCTTTCACCTTTTGTGTGTCCAAGAAAAAACATGTGGTCAACTTTATTGTGTATCCTCCCTTTCCTTCTCGTTCGATCTTCCTGCTTGCTGCTGCCGTTCACAACATATTCCTTCCACTCATACACAAGAAAAAAAAAGGAGTACTCGAAACAGGGTAGCAGATGTCATCCTAGACCTTCAAAGCCTTCTGTTTGGCTTTGATCATATAGGTGGGAGTGAGAAGAGAGAAGGCAGGGTCATGCCTGGGCAGAGCTTTTGAAAGCCCTTAGTGCACTATAGCGACTCCTGGGAGAGGGAAGCTTTCCTGCTTGCCAGAATGCGGAAGTGAAGAGACATAGGCCGTAGACTGTTCTTGTAGAACGGCCATTGGTTCGGAGTATGGTTCGTTTTGGTGAGCTTCTGCGTTACACTTCAAGAGAAAGGGAAAAGAGGAAAATCAATGTGTCCGTCCGTTTGTCAATCGAGCTCATCATGCCCAGCCGCCACCGCCGCCGTTGTTGCCACCTGTCCATCCTTCTTCCAGCGTGCGATCCTCTAGTTGTCGTACAAAGTTTGTCTGGCTTCGGGCATCTCTTGGTCCTCTGCTCATGCGTCTTCTGCCACCGACATTGCCGACGTCGCCTGTTTGTTCGTTGGGAGGGGGNTAGTAGGCCGGGCTGGGCTGAAGACGAATGGGTGCATTCGGATCGAGGTGGGATACGACTCGTTGCAGCGATGAGGGAATCCCGTTCGCCAGGTCCATGGTGGAGGCACGTTGACGACCAGCTCGTGTGGTGGCCTGAGCGTAGAGTGACGATTGAGACTGGTTGTGCTGATAGGCGTGTTGCTGAGGCTGGTGGCCGTGCATGGAAGCGATCGGCGGTGGTTGCTGCAGCATGGGCGCTTGATTGTATGTGTTGGGTACGGCGGCCGAAGGGTACGGGGTGGAGCTTGTNTGCTGCTGTGTGGGAGTGTACATGTTGGAGTACATGGGTGATTGCTGAGCGTGAGGAGAGGCCGGGTAGCCAGGGGTTTGCATGTGCACGCCGGCATAGGCGGCATTGGCAGCAGACTGGGCCTGCTGTTGCTGATGTTGTTGCTGCTGTGCAGCCTGGGCACGCTGCTTGGATAGAGCTTCAGCTTGCTGCTGTTGTTGAAGGCCAGGGGCGGGTGAGCGAGAAGATGACGGTTTGAGATGCATCTGAGGCTGGAAGGGGCTGGTAAACTTTTGTTGGGTGATGAAAGGGTGGGTGCGAGCCTGCTGTGGCGTCCATCTCTCGAGTGGGTTGATGTTCAGAAGACCGTGGACGAAGTCGATGAAGGCGACCCTGTTGTTCATCTCTNNGATAGAATGTCAGTACTCGTTGATGTTCATGATCAACCGAAGATACTTACCACGGTCAATCTCTGCTTGCTTCATGCCCTTACGCGGCATTGGGTAGTTGCGGATGATCTCAGGAAGGGTAGTAGCAGAGAAATATTTCTTGCTGGGCTGCTCCTTTGTGCCGTGCTCTCTGGAGTACTGATCCATTGGTTTGAGACGATATGTTTTACGACCAAACTCGTCATGTGTTTTCTCGAAGAACTCGCCTGATTGCTTGCCGACTTCAAGCATCCAGGTGGGAGGGAGACCTAGCATCTCGGTGATTCTCGACACTTGATTGTACTCGGAGGAACCAGGGAAAAGAGGCAGGCCGAGGAAGAGCTCGACAACAATGCAGCCCAGAGACCACATGTCAATAGCCGCTGAGTAGGGCAAGCCGAGGAGAACTTCTGGAGATCTGTAGAAGCGCGATTGGATGTATGTGTATACCGTCTGACGTTCGTCACATGCAGATCCGAAATCGATTATTTTGATTATTGGACTCTCCAGGCTGTCCATTCGTTAGTTGTTACTTCGTGTTCGGATGGGTAAGGATTGAGACAAACTTTTTNNGAGCAAGATGTTCTCAGGCTTCAGATCGCAATGAATCAAGCGGGCTTTGCTAAGCAGACACAAGCCACTTAGTAGCTGTTGGGCAAAGACTCTCACAAGAGTGGTGCTCAGTCCTCTGAACTGATTTTGCTTGATGAGCTCGTACAGGTTGACCGACAAAAGCTCGAATACTAGACACAGGTGTTGTCTGTGGATGAATGTGTCCTTTAGTCGGAGAATGTGATGGTCGTCGTTCTTGTCCATACGTCCGTTGAGNCTAGGTGACGACGGTTAGTTGACCCAAGTCGTTGTTGTACGTGAAATCTTGTTGCTTACCAGATCAAGAACAGAAACCTCCATCATGCTCTGGTTGAAGTAGGCTGTGCGATTCTTCACCACCTTGACCGCAACAACCTCTTGGGTTTTGAGATTCTGACATTTCACCACCTGGCCAAAGGTACCCTGGCCGAGGACATCGAGAATGAGGTAGCGATTCTTGTTATTGGTGTCGTCGCTGCCGAGAATGTCATTGACATAGAGAATGTAGTCGCTATCCTCGTTATCGTAGCCGTCGTTCTTGGTACCCTTGGATGGCTTGGTGAGGACTCTGCGGGGGTTGCGCGAACTCTCATACTGGAAATTTGGGTTGCAAATTCTGTATGTCGCAGGCAATTGTGTAGTCAAGGCCTGCAGAGGCGAGATAAAACCACCGTCTGGATGAGCTCTCCTGAAAGGCGGCTGGGCGTTTACGCGAGGCTGCAAATCGCCGACATTGTCGCACTTTGTGAAGACAGGGACATGGCCGCGAGTGGGTGGCTCGGATTGAGACTGGTTGGGAGGAGGTAGTCGCGGAGAGTGAGGACCGCTCTGATTGAAGGGAGAGGGATAGAAGTCGGCATTGGATTGGATTGGGGGNAGGTTCGGACGCGATTGAGTCGGCGACGAGTACATGTGACGCGTAGGCGATTGTCGCATCTGCTGGGGCGTGTATTGGTTCGGACTGGTCATGTATGGTGAGGTAGGAGAGGTCGTGTTCATTGGCGAGTAGCGGCGGGCAGCGGTCGAGTCCACGTTGGGTTGCGACGAAAGGTAGGCGGCCCTCTGAGTTGGGGTGCGCGAGCTGGACGAGTACTTCTGGCGATTGTATGGATCGGCGTCTTCCATGACCCTGTCTCCGTCGGTATCGCCGTCAAGAGGAGTGTTTTGCGATGAGGGACGAGTCATTTTGTAGGGGTCGTACTTGGGCGGCTGCTGCTGCTGCGACGTAGCTGCAATGGAGCCGTGTCTGGACGCAGAGGCAGCAGGATTCGCTTGCCATGGCGACTGCTGCTGCTGTTGTGAATCCATGGCTGTAGCGATGAAAGCGGCTTTTGTCGCGGATGGCGGCGCGCTTTGTGGTGATGTTGCTGACTTTGGGTGGGATGGCTGGCACGAATGGAGCAAAGATGGGGTGGATGATGCGATTACAGCAATAGAGCACTGCGGCGCTACCTGTCCACGTCTGCACGAAGCAACTGCGTCAGCCTGCAAGATTCTTGACGATGTGTGTTGGCATGGCCTGCTCACCTCTTGTTTATCCCTGGGGCTCTTTAAAGGCCTCAGCAGCCAACGAAAGGGAGTAGCGGCTTAGAGTTTGGCTGTCAACGACGACCAAGGGACACCCAAGACGCAAGCGGGGCTGATTCCTCACTCGAGAGCTTCAAGGTCGCTCCTGCCCAACGCGACATGACGCACCCATGCTTTTCTCACACGTTTTGAATTCCCAATCTCGCCAGTTCACAGTTTCCATCCGACACTTGACCATCATCATTCAATATACATTTAAACTTGGGTGTGTGGCCAGGGAGGATTGATGAGATGTTATTCTTCAAGGATACTGCCCAGTCTTGACGGTATTGTGCATTTTTATAGTTACCTATACGGATTACGTGCTTTTGCACAAGGGAGGCTCTATCTGCATTGTTCACGCTTCACCATGTTTGCCTCCATGAATTGACCTCTCACTGCAGACCCACACTGCACACACCCTCCGCTCGACGCTTGGAAGTAAGTACGTTCTTTTGCCATTGCATCGTGCGATCTAGGGGATAGAGTAAAGAGATAAACTGTAAAAGGAAACATGACAATCCTGCCCGGCTTTTGGTGTCCTTGTGCGCTGCAATAACGTACAGAAAATGTGTCACTATGAGAAGAACGCCAAACCCATCCGCAGCATCCAGACCCTTACGATCTGATGGCGTTGCCCAAGACACCGCCCTGGAAACCGCCGCCGCCTCTTCTGATGCCGCCTTGGCCACCTCTTCCACCGCGTCCGCCTCTGGCACCTCCTCTGCCTCCTCTCTGTGCGCCTTGTCTCTCGAAGGCGTTGGCAGTGCCTTGTGTTCTCTGCTCCAGCGTCTTCTCGTTGCTCTCAATGAGGCCACTGGCCTTGTCACTGAGGGTAAGGGCCAAGCTTTGCAGTCTGCTGAGCTCAACACCCTTTCTGAAGATGATGGCGCCGTTGACTTGGTCGAGAGCAGCAGCAAGCTCCTCGTGGCTGATCATCTTGCTAACAATGGCCGAAACCTTGCGCTCCGACAGCTCGAACATGGACGCAAGCTTGTCGATGGAAAGAGTGTCGTAGAAGGGAGCGTATGTGAAAAGGTAGGTGCGGAGACCCTCCTCTTGGATCTGCTCCTCGAGCATAGCCTTGATCTTGGAGGCTTGCGGCAGAAGGTCCCAGATCTTGATAGCAGTGATGAACTCGGCAGCCTTGCGCCATTCACCCTGAGCGAGGGCCTTGCTTGCCTGCATGACGTGGTCACGAGTGTTCTCAGGAGGACCAGTGAAGATCTGGCGCTCATGGTACTCGAGCATACGGCGGTAGGACTTGCTGATGACACGCTTCTTGAGGTCAGGCGAGGAGCCGACCTGAGCAAGAAGAGGAATTTCGAGCAGCATGGAACAAGTGAGGTAGACACATTCGAGGAGTTCGAGGTTGACGTGCATGTGGAAAGGAAGCTGGCGTTGGCGTTCGATACGTTCCTGCTCGGGTGTAATTTGAGAGTAGCGTTGCATCTGGAGACCTTGGGCAAGCAGCTCCTTCTGTCTTTGCGAACCGCAAATGTCCTGGAGTGAGTTCTGGGCCTCGTAGACGAGTCCAGCGCGGAAAGCACAGAGACCGACCTGTGTCAAGGTACGGTTAAACAGGATCTGGGTGTTGACATCGAATCCAGAGATGGTCTCTTGCAAATGCGACATGAGGAGCATGTCACGAGCCTTGTAGTACTGGTCGTGAAGAGCGAGGTAGTAGACTTGGCAAAGCATAGCACGGGCACGGATGATGCCTTCGCTGTGGGTGTAGAGGTATGTGCAGATGGCGGTGACAAGGGTAGAGCTGTCGCCGGCGGCAGAGCGAGGGGTGACGGAGGAGTCGAGAGAGGTGGGGAGGGCCTTCCAGACGTTCTCCTCGAGAATGTTGATAACCTGCGAAGGCTTGAAGTAGATGTGCTCAAGTCTGCGCATGGCAATGCGGTTGGCGGTCTCTTGGACAAAGTTAAGCTTCTCGTCCTTTGCTAAGCGCTCACAGTACAGCTGAGTGCGGACAATGTTGGTGTAAAGGGAAGCCTCGTCACTGAGACGCTCGACGTACTCGGCGGTGTGTGGGTCGACGGCCTGCAGAACACGGGTAAGCTCATCGTCCAGACGCTCGACCAGNGAGACAATGCTGCCGGGAATCTTGAAAGTCTCTTCGGAAGTGATGGTGGGGTGCTTCTCGTCATCCTCCCAGTCCTCGGCGCTCTCGATAACGACCAGGTAGGGGTGCTCCTCGAGAAGGGCCAGGAGGGCAGCGATTTCTTGCTGAACCAGCTTCCACTGTTCCTGTGCCATGGTGTTGCCACTGCCGCTGGTCAAGTCGAAACGGGTCGAAACAAGGGTCAGGAGCACGCGAGCCTTCTGGTACTCGGTGGCAGCCACATCGAGCAGCTTCTCAAGAGTACGGATCTGCTCCAGACGGTCGGTGTTCTTGCGTCCTCTGGATTCGACAATGGTGCGGAGGTGCTTGAGGATACCCTCAGGGGTGTAAGTCATGGCCTTGCCGCCGGCGCCAACCACGGTGAAGCCGTCATCGTCGGCACCAACAATGGTCTCGTCGGTGAGAGCCTTCTTGGCCTTCTTGGGGGCAGTAGCGGCGACCTCCTCAACAACATCGTCCTTCATGAAGTCGTCGGGGCTGTCGCGGTAGGCCTTGATGTCGGCATCGTGGTCACGGTTGTTCTTGCGGATCTTCTGGCGCATAGCGTTCAGGCCCTTTGCGGCAACAGGGTTCATCTTCTTGGCCTTCTGCTTCTCCAAGGCCTCAAGCATGGCGGTTTCAAGGTCGGCAATGGTCTTGATGTACATCTTGGGAGCCTTGCCATCGTTGTCACGCTGGAGGACAGGCAGCTGGCGGTTGAGTTTGTCATAGTCTAGACGAGGGGTTAGCTACCGCGTCGGAGCACAAGCAGCAGTATAGCAGTCGAACGTACTGTCGTTGATGACGCTCCAGTCGTTGATCTTCTGGGCGTTCTCGATCAGGCGGATGGTGCCTTCGAGCTCGTCGAAACGCTTGTCCTTTGCACTCTTGACCACGGTGCGGTCGTCCTCTTCGTCACTCTCATCCTCGCTGGATTCATCGCGCAAGAAACGGTTGGCACCGGTCTTGCCACCCTCGTCGTCGCTGGAATCCGAATCCGACTCTTCCTCGTCAGACTCCTCCTCGCTAGACTCTTCTTCGGACTTCTGTGCCTCCTCCTCTTCGCTGTAAAGTTCCTCCTCGTCCGAGGAAGACTCGCTGGAGCTGTCGCTGCCGTAGAAAAAGCGAGACATGTTGGCTGACGCTGGTTATACACAGAGTCGAATCGCGATGCGCGTAGTCCAAGTGGTTGTGGATTTTTCTGCCAAGACGTCGACCCGCCAAGTTGGACTTGTGTGATGAATTTCGTCGCACGTGATGGCTTCGGTACTGCCCGCATGTTCTACTTGTGATATCTAACAGCCTGATGGTAAATAAATCAATTCACATGTCACTCAACATGTCTATTATGCTTTCGCCCTTGTCTGTGGCTCGCTGGCGTGTTCCCAGAATAGTCGGCACTGTGCGCAGCAGCTCGAATAGCAGTCAATCAACCCAAAAAGAACTCGAAATCATTCGCCGCCTGCAGAGACAAGAGCGTATCACCGCCGCCACTCTGGATGCTGACATTGATGATTTTCTACAACGATTCGATCATTTCTACAAACCAATGTCTGCTATAGACAAATCCGTCCAATCTGCTCTACGACAGAACAAGTATATTTCTACAGAAAGATTGGGCCACGACAACAATATCAGCGTCTTCAGCAAAGAAATTATCGGACATTTCAACGACTTGAAAAAACACATCAAGGATTACAAGGAGGAGCCTTTTTCTACCTGGCAACCTGGCGACTCAGATGTGGTCCTTCGTCAACTCAATGACCCCAATCTAAAGCCCGAAGACTTGGAAAGCGAGATGAGAACCAGAGAAAAGGATGTCACACGTCTTCTTGACCAGGCTGACAACCATTACGAAGCTTTGGTCAAAGCCAGAGAGACCTTGCGCGAGAAAGGCGTACGCGCTGCTGAAGCCGTCGCAGATAGTTTTGTCAACTCACATACATCCGACTATGCAAACATTGATGCTCCTTTGGATCCTGTCGATCTCGATACTATTGATGAGGACACTACAGCCATTCTCGCTTCTTTGAGGATGAGAAAGACTCCTTGAAGCCAAAGCAGGCTAGCAACTTTATATCCCGATCCTTTCAAGATGCAAGATGTCTCGAATCGAAAGAGATGTTCAATCTGACTGCTAGAGACGCAACTGCTCTTCTACATAAGCACAGCCTTCCACGGTGGCAATCTGGCGGCCAAATCACAAAACATGCTTCGACTTGCGATGCAGGTCAAGCAGCAGGCACAAAACTTTGCCATTCTGCCATCCAAATTCACAAGCTCAACACCATATTTGCGACGTTACGCAAGCCAAAAGTCGATGATGGATAACAACTCCTGTCGAACGTCACCAAAGCAAACGTAACGAGGCATGCGCGGAGTAGGCAAGCCCTGGTCGCATGTATCGCCGTCGCTAAGAAGACCCGCGTCGTTCGCCCGGAGGCTCCAGTGTTTGCCAATCATACATTCCGCACAGAGATGACGACCGCTGGCCCTTTGAGAACTCGCGTCGTTTGCCCGAGTCCTCCAGTCATCGCCAACCAGGCATCTGGCGCAGAGACGACAATCGCCGTTCCCGCGCGTTGTTTGCATGAGTACTCCGGCCATCGCCAACCAGACGAAAGTGATGACCGTCGTCCAAACGAATAGTTCTCGTCCCAAACTACCCATGGAGGTTACTTCAGCCCTCTCATAGCACTCAACTTCTGAATCAGAAAAGCAGTCCGCACTATTTCAGGGAGCTCCTGCTACTCCAGCCCCTCGAAGCACATAGCCTCTAATCTGAACAAGCCACCCTAACAGCATTAAAAATCACTTGTTGCCTCGGCGCCCTCGCAGCACTCGGCCTCCGATTCAGACAAGCCGTCCGATCAACTTTAGAGATCGCCTCTTACTCCAGCCCTCTCGCAGCATGTAGCCTCTGATCTAGACAAGCCATCCGATGTACTCAAAGAACCGCTTGCTATTCCAGGCCTTCCGCCACTCATCCCTTCCGACATCGAATTGTCACCGCTAGTGATACGCTCGTCACCCATCAAGCAGCCCATGAAAAACATCGACGCGGTCTCTTGGCGAAACCCCACTCGAAACCAAGAAAACAAGACTAGATATTGGCGAAGATCCACCTAAAACCAAGAGAACAGAACTCGTTGAAACGGAAATTAAGACAAGAGAGTCTTCAGGAATTGTCATCAGAGATCTGGCAGCAAGTCTCCGAAGCTCGGGGCATGCATGATGAACAGGCTATTGCTGGCTACTTTGCTGAGACCAACGACTTGCCATAAGTCCACTTTCGAGAAGGCTGGTATCACAGTAAAATAATCAATGTCCATGTCGATCTTTTTCAAAATTTTGCGTTCCATGCGTTGTGGTATACATCCCTAACGTCCCACGAACCTCACTACCTTGACCCTCTCTCTAGACCCAGAAAAACTAACTGCACAATAAAACAACACCTTATACAAGTAAAGCATCAGATGCAGAGGTTCTTCCTAGACTATGGATTTCTGGTCGCAATCGATTAAAATTCATTGTAGGAACTTTCACTCAATACTTAATCCACCTGACCCATATTGAGTTGCTAAAAGAGTCTCGATTAACGGTGATATCATTGTCTGAACCCCACCAGAGAAATCGTACTACGAATTCAGGGGATTTTGTGATAGCTTGCTATTGCAGTTTACACATAATTTTGCAGCTCATGAAGCCAAGCCTGCAAAAGTCCATACCCTTTGTCAAGAAAAAAGGCCCATAACACATCACATCACACCACACCACCCCGAATCTGAAAGAGAAAGAGGGGCGCGAAGAAACAAGAAAAATGCAGAAAAGAACCAGGCAGCGGCTGTGCGGTGGGCCTTTCCTTGTATATTACCATTTTGAGACAACCTCATGTTTTTGACAGCTTAATATCGAGGTGTGACCAAAGGTATGCAAGCGCAAGCTGTCGGATCAAAACAATCTCTTCGGCATTTGTTTTGCGATATAGTTCGGACACACTCATCTTCGCCTCAGGCTGCGAAAGCGCCATCGGAATTGCTTCTGTAAACCAAAACCATATATACCAAGCCTTCAAGAAGCCAAACTTCCCAGAATGCAGAAAAGAAACCAACCATGCAATGCAAAACAAAAAAACAAAAAAGACGTGAACACCTATATTCCCACAAATGCTTTGGCTATACACGAAAAAGAAAAATGAACAAAAGAATGGACAAATAGAAGTGACTAGCAAGAACACGCATATGCAGTTGTTGATCATCTGCTCTTGCCAAAGACTTCGACGCCCAGTGTTGGGGTCTCGACGTGCTTGTTGGTAGGCACTCCCTCGCCTTTTCTGCGCTCAAANAAGCCCTGGCACTCCATAAGGATGCACATCCACTCGGCTAGAGCTCGACCAGAGTATGTTGACTGGGCCTTAGCCTCGCCGACAGGTTCGGCAGCTTGGATCGCTGACTCGTCGCCATTTTCCTGTTGAAGGTAGAGATGCGCGGCGAGAGGAAGTCGGGGTGATACTAGACGCATGGCAGTGGGGTGGTGTGCTTTAGGGTGCATTTCAAGAGAGAACTTGAAGCAGAAGTTTCGGTGCCTGATCGGTGATGTGGCCCGACTGGCCAGGGGTGTCACCTGGGGCGACTGCTTAATAGCAGAAGCACGTGATCGTGGTGCCTGGGTAGCGGTTGTTGCTGATCGGGTCAATTTGCCACCAGTTTCTGGAGCGGGTGGTAAGGAAGCGGACGGGGGTGTCTTGACTGTCGAAACAGATGCCGCCTTCGAGCGGCTCTTGCCTCCGATTATGCTGCGAAGGAAGCCACGTAGACCGCCACTCTCTGGGCGCTCAAGTTCCATGCCGAAATCAGAAGATGCCGATGAAGTGGGTCGAATGTCCAATGAAGCTGCCTGTGAAATGACCGAATCTCTTTTCCAAGCCTGGCTAGGAGCTCCAATCGGGGCCGATGGATGAGGTGGTACGATTCCGTCGAAGGCCAAGAAAGAGCCGCCCGGTGCAACCTGAGTATCGGTACGAATAATCAACAGACGTCTACTAGGGGCAGGATTGCAGGGNGTTGTTGAAGGTGGCAGCATCTTTCCCTGAGCGGCCTGTTGTCTTTGCCACAAAAAGTGTGACCAAACCACCTGTAGACGCTGCAGAAGTGTCTCAAAGATCAACCTAGAACGGTGTAAGTCAGCAAGTCGTTCAAGAATGGCACAATGAAAGTCTACGCACTTATCACCCGAAGATTCCTCCCCATCGTGACGACCAAGACGCCAGCAGAGCAGTCGCATGTAGTAGGCGCGTACCATGGGGCACCAGTGGTTGAAGGTCTTCTCGAAGACTTCTTGGTCGAGCAGAAGGTCGATGCATATCTTGGTCTTGCGGTCTGGGCTGCTATTGACTATGCTCCAGATTGTGAATAGAAAAGCGAACAGTCTGATTTCGGTCATTGTGTTTTGACTGAAAACCATTCTCTTGCACACGTCGATCCAGAAGTCTGTGTCGATAAGGCATGACTGCGAAGGATGCATCTGCTCGTATCGAACGATGATCGGGAATGCTTCTTCCAGGAAGTCGCAAAGAGTGTAGCAGGCAAGATGGTTGTAAACGGATATGCCACGTGCACCTGCTTGTAGCAGACGTGCAAATGACTCCGCAAAAAGTTGTCGAGCAAAAGGATGCTCTAGGGCTCTCTCTGATAGAAAGTCTCGAATTAGCATTATCAGGCGATTTTCCGCCATTATTCGGATAGCATTAGTAGGTGGTAGAGGCAAAGTTGACGCAACTGCATCTGGATCAACCAGAACATCGTCAAAAGTAGGAGAAATGTTGTTTGAAGGATCACCGTGTAATTGACCCGCATCACGGTGAATGGTAGAATCGAGATTGACCAAGATCTGAGAGTGCACAAACAGGAGACCTGGAACGCAGATTCTTTCCCTCTTAGTAGCATCCGATGGCAGATAATCGGCGACAAGGATATGGAAGTGCTTGACAAAAGCGAAGAAGAGGTCACTCTCGCGACCTGACCAGCGTTCAAGCCAATATCCATACCATTGAATGTTTGCTGTTCCAAGGGGCAAAGGTGTTTGCGTTCTGAGGTGTTTGAGCATCTTACCCAGCGAGATAAAGCCCAAGGATTGCATAGAGGGAGGAAANGCTGAGTTGATCCTTGCAGCAGTCTCAGCGAGATTGTCGAATCTGCTTACACCACTTTCGGAAAGAACTCTACGCATGACTTCTGTTGGCGCATCCCACAGGCGCACAAGCACCTCCGCGATTCCCGGACAGAAGAAGAAAGCATAGGCGGTAGCTTTTCCGCAAAAGGTGACCAAACTGGCAGATGCGTTTTTGAGCGACATTCGGTCAACCACAAAGGCCATCTGGGAGTTCAGATTTTGTACAAACATATTCCGTACGTTGTGGTGAACCGATTCAGTCAANAAGTCGATACCGGTCGAAGACAAGGATGTTGTTGACTTGTTTCTTACGGGTACGACAACGTTCCTTCGATCTAGAGGGCAGAGTGGAGAGGGGGAGAGGCGCCATTCTTGACGATCCATTATGCCTGATATGCCGTCCAGAATGGCCGGACGGTCAGTGCCGGAAATTGACTGATTGTTTCTTCCATGGAGCATATCAAGAAGGCCAGTCCACCACTTGTTGAGGATGTTGGTGCGTCTGTCCAGATCTTCTGCTCGTAATGCGAGGTTCGATGGATGATCGGCATAGTTTCGTAGGAAGGGCAAAAGCGAAGATCTGACTACATTTGCTTTTAGAGTGCTCGACTTGGACTGGAATCTGGAAAGTGTGAGCTTGAGCAAATAAAGTGATGCTGAGTGTACTTACTTGGTGTAGTCGCCATCGAGCGATCTGAAAACACTCCATAGCTCATCTTTCTTACGAGGTAAAGTAAGTGCGGGTAGAGTTTGGTACTTCTCAGCGGAAGCCAATGGTGGCATGGGGTTCGCACGACCGGGATGCAACTGTGAAGTGGTGTGCAATCTGTCTGTCGAGAAGGATTTGGGCAGCTGCGGCATCGGCGGTTGAGATTTGGTAGGCTCTTCCATAGATGCTCTAGCTGTAGGAGCAACAGGTTTGAGCGATCTTCTCTTAAGCACCGTGCCCTTTCTGGCCAGGAACCCACCACCTTCTGCGGCCTGGGTATCATCTTCCTTGTTCTTCTCCGAGTCCCGTCTTCGGAACATCGACTTCCTGCGAGGGACTACCGGTCGGTTGGCCACTGGTGTTGAATCACCTGCAGAATCTTGGACAGGCTCATCGACTTTTGGCTCGCGTGTTCGGTTCGCTGGTGAAGGAGAGGGTGAGCGTGAAAGGGGCGCGCTAGACAGCCTCCTGCTCAGGCGTTTGGCTAGAGACCTTGACTTCGAGGGGGATCGAGCGCTGCCGACGAGCTTGGGAGCAGGAAGGACTTTGGCTGAGTCTATACTTGACGTTCCATCCTTGAGCGAGGCGGGNGGACTTGGGTTGTGCTCGCTATTCGCCGTGACTGTGATCTTGGGACTCTTATGTAGCTCGGCGACCAGGTCCTGAGGCAGGCTGACAGCCATCATCTGGTCGTCAGCAGGTGTCGACCAGCCGGACGACTCAGGCGGCGAGGTGTCGGTACTGTCGTCCACCATAGGAGCGATCAAATCTTGTTCGCAAAAGCTGCCTCTATTGGTGATGGGCATGGGCGCGTTGTAAGCGGGATTCTTTGTTGCCGCATGTCCCAAAAATGTGTAGCTAGCGCTACGTGGAAAGTCTGGACCGGTGGAAGCCTCGACGTACGATCTTCTTGCTCGCGGGTTTGCGAGATCGTCCACATGGTTGTGGTAATTGTTGGCAAAGCTTGTCATGGTCGATGATCGTGCTCGGTCCTGCTCTTAGATGCTCTTTATCCCGACTTAGGATGTGCGTCGTCTTCCTGCAAGAACCTCGCGATATGTTCTGTTCCAAGACTCTTTCTCTTTCTGTGCCTCCCTCTTTCGTTTCAGGGGGTTGATCAGACACTGAGCGCTGCTATTACAGTCCAGTCATGTCCGAATACAGCAGTATGGCGCAGATGTGTTCCAGATGGTCCAAGACAGGTCAATTCGCTGTCACCAGGCGTACGCGTGCCGAGGTGGAAAGACGGTAGATTGTGGTAATCGAATTGAGAGGGTTTCAGTCACTTAGACGTTATAACAGTAGTATATAAGCGGAGGCGGGAATGAGGGCGTATGTACAGGCGACGGGTCAGATGTAGAGGGGCGGAACGGTGAAGGCACGAAGAACAATCTGAGACGAGATGGAGAGGGACAGGGTAGGTAAAAGTCGTTTGAAACGGAAGCAGGCACCAACAGCACCAGCGGCACGCTATGGTCATCTATCGTCTAACCATCCCGACAACCGCTGTCTTCACCTCTTCAACCATGACGTTTAGAGTTTTGGGAACCCCTGCTGTCCGACTCGTCGACTACGCCTGTTGCGCGCACAGCGCCATTGCACCAATAGGCCAGTGACCGCAAGTACGCGTGAGATGGCTGACACTGCCAGCAAGACGTAGATCCAGAGCCGAATCTTGTCGGGGTGCGGGCATTCGGTGAGCTTGGCGTCGTCGAAGACACGCTTGCCGACTCCGTACCTGCCGCACGAGCTCTCTAGCAGACTGGACCTTTCTCCCTGCCCTTCCCGGAACTGTAAATAGCAACAGCTTGCTGTCAAAGCTCAACAAATTTAGCGGCACTCTGCGACCATTCTACTCGAGTAGCATATTCATACTGCAATAGTATGTCTCGTTCATGACTTGTTCGCCCCTCGTACCTCTTGTCGAACCTTTGACCGCTCCGGGCAAATAAGCCATGATCAACGACTTTGCCGGTGGTGGAAGCAAGTCTTACTGCGTGCCAAGCAAAGTACAGCTTCGCAATCTCCAGTTCTTTGTACCCTACCCTGGTTCGATCTGTCAACCATCTGGTTGAATATGCACAAAACATCCTAGCTCACGCAAGAGTCCGCTGAACTGCCGTTCGCTTCCGCCAACAATAATCGCGCGTGCCAGGAAACTGCGCTGTAGGAGCAGCCTTGCCCCTCTCAATCTCAACGTTAATGTCAGTCGGATATGGCACCATCGAACAATGTGCGAGCACGAGTCGGCCACTCGTACTCGTCGAGGCAAGTTATACCCGCATCCTTGATTAAGAGAGTTCGGAAGGCCTTGTTATTCAAGGCCGGCTCAGCTACCTAGTACGCGTCGACGACTCCTTGGATCGATCTGCGCGGCCACAACGGCCAAGTCCCGACGGACGTCTTGCAAGTTTCCAACCCGCATATTCGGTGCTGCACTCACATCATGCTGGCGGAACGTTGATTAAGCTATTCATGCAGTGTCTTGCTGTGCTTCGCCTCTGCTCGGTTGTCATATGCACGATGCTCATTACATTATACAGCTGCAGAACATGGCTCGAAGGTGATTGAGTCCTAGCCATGCCACCATGCACGTCAAAGTCAATAGGTTGTGATTTACACGGCTGCCCGCCTCCGAGATATCTTAACAAGAAGACAGTGGCTTGTAGTTGAGTGATAGTAGTGGAAGGTGACGCGAGCCTCACATAAAACACACTCCCAGAGCCTCTGTGCTTCAGGAGGATGGCTTCAACGCTAGCCGACGCACGTCTTTGCTTTGAGATGCTTGTAACAGTGAACATCTCAAGCAGATAGTGCGGCTCATCTTACCTCAATATCGACATGTTACATTATGCGGGAGATATCTATCTAGTCACACTGCAAGATGAAAGATGGGCAAATCTCATCTCGCCGCAAGACACAGGGGACCCTCATCTGAGATGAATATACGCTTTTGGAAATCTGTGAATCATAAACGGGTTGGTCGACGGCTGATGCACTGGAGTAGATTGTCTCATTTTTGCTCCAGATTATCATATGCAGTAGCAATGGCTTGCTCAATTTCAGCTGGAGTGCTCGTAAAGAGCCCATATAAGACATGTTCGAGGCATGTATTTTGAGGCTTGAGTCGGAAGGATCTCAATAACAAGCTCTAGTGAGGGAGATGGGAGGGCATGTAACAATTTTTGCCCATGTATGACTCGGTGGTTGCGAGATCGAAGACACGAGCGGAAGTGGAAAGAGAAGGTTATGTTTGTCAAGCTCTTGAATGCATTTTCACACTGTTTTACATGGCGGGTATTACGGGAGCTTAATGGTGGGCAGGCTCCTCGTCGGCAAGCTCGCTCTCGTCGAACNNCTGAGAGTAGCGGTTAGTGATGGCTGCCCGTGACAGGGTATGTAGGTTGTGGGAGTGATACCAATCCTCGACGGGGGCGGCACCGGCCTCAACTTGACCCTCAACCTCGACCTCCTGGGTCTCGTATGCGCTGAGCTGGCTGGCAATGTCGGCCTCTTCGGGGNNGGAAGCAGGGGCTTGGGGAAGAGCGAACTTCTGGACCTGGCCCTCAGAGTCGGAGGCCTTGACGGTGGGGGCNTTGTAGGCCTTGAGCTCGCGGAGGTAGAGGTCCTGGACGAGATCGGCTGTGGAAGAATGATCAATGAGCAGGTGTTCGGCGGGGGTGTTGAGTGGTATGGCGTATCAAGTACCTTGGCGAACGGCAGTGGGAGTGACGAAAGTACGGCGGAAGGTGGTGGCCGACTGCTGCTTAGCAAGACGAACGAGCGACTGGCGCTGTGGCGGGTGTCAGCGGACGGAGCTCGTTTGTGCGCAAAGGCGTGAAAGTGGACAGCGGCATACCGAGGCCCTGAGAGATTGACCGAGCATGGCGATTGAGTCGAGTGTGGATATGATGGGCTTCCTTCTCTAGCAACTGCCTTCCAACAACTCTTTCGCAGTCGCGCCCCAGTCGTCGTTCAGTCCCGTGATTTTGTGGCCCGTGCGCTTGAACCTCCGGACTCTTCCAACAACACCAACAAGCACAGCACAATGCCTTCTACGCCTCGTCAAGTCGAACTCGTCTTGATCAGCCCGCGTACTCGTCGTCGACGTTTGTCTCTCCTTTATCGGCAATCTCCTTTGGCACACGTCTCACTCCTGGATCGACGCGACCGCCCACTTGACTGCTCTTTCTGCGCATCCGTCTCGGAACACTGAAGGCTCCTGCTGCCTGGTCTCGCCAGTCGCCTGTTCCAAGACAAGACTCGCAACGAAAGTGCCAGTCACTTCCCAGACACCTCACAAGGGCCATCTGCCGCTAGATGTTTGGGTAAGCCGCGCTGCTTTGCGTTACACTAGCATAGCACTCCGAGTCGCCACTCAACTTGGCCTCTCACACCCATCACACGTCGTCTTGTTCCTCAACATCTGCTTCGAGCTAATCTCTTCACTCTAGTTGTCTATCTCGTGCCATATAAGTCGCCCGTCGCCAAAGTGTATTCTCCGCTCTTCATCCGTTGCTGCGCAAAACAATACAATCTCAGAGTGACCGCACGAGCCATCAAGCGTCGTCAATCACTGCGTCGAAGCTCGCAACAAAAGTCAAAGACCATCATGAGCTACACTTTGTCGCCGGGTGCCATCCCCGATGTTGAACCACAGGTCGAGGCTCCTGACGAATGGCGCCAAAATCTCAGCGTGCGCATGGTATGCCCCGACTGCAAGGAAGACCCACCCAATCTCGTCGAAGATCCTCAAGCGGCCGACGTCATCTGCGAAGACTGCGGTATGGTCCTCTCGCAACGTGGTATTGATCAGCGTGCCGAATGGCGCACCTTCGCGAACGACGATCAGGGCAACGATGACCCCTCCCGTGTTGGTGAGGGCCCCAACCTGTTGTTGAACGGCAGTCAGTTGCAGACCAACATTGCCTTTGGCGATGGCTCGCTGAGAAGCAAGGAGCTACACCGTGCACAAAGCAAGGCCAACGCCGATAAGGGAAACAAAAACCTGCTCNAAGCATTCAAGCAAATTGGTGCTTACTGCGATTCTTACGATCTTCCTAACGTCGTTGCCGACGCTGCCAAGCACATCTTCAAAGACGCAGAGGACTCCAAAAATTTCAAAGGCAAGTCGACCGAAGCGATCATTGCCGGCTGCATCTTCATTGCGTGTCGCCGCAACAAAGTCCCTCGTACCTTCCGCGAGATCTATGACATGACACATGTCTCCAAAAAGGAGATTGGGAGAACATTCAAATTGCTCGAATCCATGCTGGCGAAGCAGGAGAGGCAATCTGGAGGCAAAGCCAAGGTCATGGGCAACGGTGTCGTCGGCATGCACGAAGCCTACCAAGGGACTGTTACTACCAATCCCGACGAGCTCTGCAGTCGTTTCTGTGCTCAGCTTGGTATGGACTTTGCCACCACCGAAGTCGCCAAGAGTCTCGCTCTGGGAATGGCCAGTATTGGTGCTCTTGCAGGCCGCTCACCCTTGTCTGGAGCTGCTGCATGTATTTACATGGCCAGTTTGCTCATGGACCAAGTCAGATCCCCCAAGGCCATCGGAGAAGTTGCAAAAGTTAGTGACAGCACAATCCGAAGCGCCTACAAGAGCCTGTACGCAGAGAAAGAGACTCTTCTATCGGAAGACATCCTCAAGAGAGGCGCCGATGTGGAGAAGCTCGTCAAGCCCACCAACTAAACAGAACACCCAAAAACGAACATTCTCTTTCTTCAACTTGGGAAGGAGTCCTTGACGTACTTCTTTTCTTTCTGCACGATACCACAAAACATGATAAACAGTTGCTTCCAAATCAGGGAAGGCATTCTTATGGGAACTAAAGAGATGAGATGCGAATGTTATCCAGGACAGCTTTGCTGAGTTTAGAGAGTGCACAACGAGGAAAGCCTTGTGCATCTCATATGAAAAATAAAGATGAAAATGAAATTTCCTTTGTTGCACATCTTGCCATTGACATGTGTCGGTCATTTGAATGCAGCTATAAGAAAGTCACGTATTGTGTTTTCGTGTCTATTATGCTCGTCACACAAAGAGGTATATGGCATTGATATCATTGAGACTGGTTGTCCTTCTACTTAGGCAATCAGCTGATGCAGCAACGAACAGTACGCTGTGAGCCCATAGCAACGAAAGGGAACATAGGTTGCTTCCGCCGGCAGGAGGTCATTCGTTTCCGTAAGCAAATGAGTAACGTCCTGTTTTCTTGATCTCTCAGAGCCAGCTGTAAAGCCACTGCAACAAGGCATCATAAGTGACTATCCGTGTTTGACTTTGTGGTGTCTTCGCTAGAGGACCTCGGTGGACTCTGTTATAGGCGGTGTTTGATGATGCTTTTGCTCTGAGCGCTTGGAGTTTGTAATCGTAGCCAATGGATTGTCACGCTGCCAGCCGCTTCGTCTGGCCGCTGCGAGTGTCGTTCGCTCATCGAAACGAGGACTCCATGTTGGGCAAGCACGCTTCTTGCTCCCTTCCGACAATGCATTTGTGGGCATGCTGTCTATTTGGCGTGGCAAGATGGTCTGGCGTTTCACAGCCCTACGGTGTTCCTGGGGTCTTCGAAGTCTTTGGCTGTGAGAGAACTCTAACTCCTCCCATGAAAACGGGTATGGTGCAAATTCTCATCCAAATCATCCACCTTTTGAACCTTGAGCGGCATGTTTCTGCTTCAACATCTTTTCCGTGCGCATAAACTCCCTGATGCCAACGGGTACATTGGCGAAAGGGTCTGTTTCTTGCGCCTTGGGTTCACTTTCCTCTATCCATAGCGCTTCGCTACCACCCCCATCATCATCCATACTACTCGCATCAACAACAGCTTGGCTTGCCCGTTGTGCCTCCATCTTTACCCTCGCTTCCTTGGCTTTGGCTCTCCACTCTTCAAACTCTTCGCGGTAAATATCCCAAACGCAATTTACACAGCCACTCATACAGCAATCATCGCCTTCTGGCTCTTTGGGTTTTGGCGGCACAACAACGCCAGCGATTTCTTTGCTCGCGGTCTCGATATCGTCTTTGCGTTCGCCGGGGCCGGCGAGCCGTGAGCCAAATACTATGCGTGCTTTTTCTAGTGTTTCTTCCTTGTCGGTTTTGGGGAGTGAGGTTGTGGGAGGAGGTGTTGGTGCTGTGTGTGTTTGTGGTTGGATCTCTTTGGTGGGGGTGTGGGAGAGCTGGTCGCTGAGGGATTGGCGCGAAGAGAGGATGTCGGCGTAGTAGCCTGTGAGAGGGTGGACTTGGTTGTCCTTTTTGGTGTCGCTGCTGCGGTAGCGGGAGTGGTGTTGCAGTGGAGTTTTGAGGGTCCTCGAGGGTGTNGATGTTGGTCGGTATTGTACGAGACGGATCGCGTGCCGTGTCACGATTCGATTCATGGTTTGGTGTAACTCTTGTTTGTGGATATCAAGCACGGGAGCAGTGAGGAAGAAGAAGTTGTTATGTCCAGTCGGATGGCTACGTCATCAAGATTTCCAATCGATGCTGTGGGTATCACCCTGGTACGAAACATCTATACCATTCAAAAGGTATACACTTTCTCAAATCGAGCTTTAAAGGAAACACAGGCTTTGCAGGTGTGCAAGTAGCTTTGACTCAGGTATGTTTTCGGATGTCTGCAATCAAATAATGGCTGTAATGGTTGTGCCTCTAATTCTCGAACGCTATGCATTTTCCTTGCTCAAGACGTAAATAAGACGGACAAGTTTAACACACTCAACTGACCGATCATATCTGCCAAACAATGTAAGCAGGTTCGAACAATCTGCCCGGGTACTTCGCGAAACAGATCTAAGACGTTGCAAGAGAGGGACTGCAAATAGCCGAGCTAGCGCATCATAGCCTCTTCTGCTTCTCTCATTTTCCTCTCGTCGTATGCAGAAGTGCCGGGTGCGGATATATGCCATACGTTCACTACCGGAAGGTATTGGTCATTTGGAATCTCTGTTTTCTGCGGGTAAAGCTGCCATCCTACGTTGCTCAAGTCGCCTTTGATATCTTCAATCAGTTCTCCATTGACGTGTGAAAAACCTCTTACCCTGCGCATCGTTTTGGATTTGAGTTTTGCGACGGCACGGTCAGTCAATTCTCTGATCTCGATATATTTGTCCATAGCGAGTCCGCGGTTCTCATGCCGTTTAGGATGTGTGCCTAGGTGTACGTCGACGGTTTTCTGACCGCGAAAGGAAACTGTGACTGTGAGCAGAAAGCAGCCAGCCAAAATTACACTCAGGGCCAAAGAGTCGAAACATTGCAGCAACAAACTCTGTCTGCAGACAGATATTTTCTTGGGCCAGAGAAAGCAGCGCAGATCCTCGCCCTGGAAATACTGGCGAGGTGTGATGGCAGCCCTTGGGACCACAAAGGGAGTTGGATTCTCCGACTCCTGGATGACGGCAGCTCTCCAGCCTGTCTTGTGTTTTCGAGACTCAACACACAGTCTCAATCCGAGTAGGAGGAGAGACCGCACTTCGCATTGGATTTGACGTGAAGCCATGAGAAGTGAGAGCATCTCTTTCGCTTGGTATTTGCTGAAGTTAACGTAGTCACGAGTGTCCAAAATGAAGTCTGAGAATTGTTCTCGTGAGGGATCTCTTGAATAGTCCCAGTAGAGGTTTTGAGGCTTATCGCCCGAGCAGTCTGTAGTGAAGGCTGGAGAGTGTCCATGTACGAGATATTTTAACCCTGCAAATGGATCGCTGCCGACTAATACGGCTTTGTAAATCATTTTGCGGATTTCAGGCGGAAGTGTGATGAAGGAGGATGGTGATGTAGTCATCGTGTATCTGATAGTGTTGTTCACGGTGAACGTGGTTCAGACGTCGTAGTCAAATGCTGTTAGGGGAGAGGATTGCGGTGAGAAGAGAGCGGCACGTCTTCTGAAGAAAATCCTTGTGTTGACTCACGCGGCCAGTCAGAGGCCCACGGAACTGGCGCAAAAAAACTCACCTACACGTGGCTTGCTAAGACCGACCCCAAGGTCCAGTCATATGTTCAAGTACGTTGGAATCTGCCTCATAACGCAGTGGTCTTTGAGGTCGATTTTATCTTTGCAGAACAGAATAGCTTTACTATCGCGGCGATACCTCCAGCCTGGAAGTCAGATCTGTGCCATCCTCTCCAGTATTGCCAGCGGTAAGAAAGTAGTCGTAGAAAGCAGATCTATCGTTGAACTCGAGCTGTTTTCGACAAGCATTCACATTCGTGGAGAGTGATATTCGTGAGAGGGCGCGTCCCTTCCGGATATGCTGAGCTATCTCGACATAGTGCAGATGCACAGGAACTTGCCGAAAACACAAAGGGTCCTGGTCATGAGCCTGTCTGCTGAGCATCGATCAATACAGAGTGACAAACGATCAGAATTCATGAAGTGCACCAAGGGTCGACTATGAAGGTAGTGCATAATGGTGGTATGCACGGAACATATGTTTCCGTAGCCAAGAGGAAGAGTTCATCGTCTTCTTGATTTCTTGGAAACGAATGTTCTGTGCTTCCAGCGGTGAAACAGACACAGGCTTGTTATATTTGCTCAAGAGCCCTCACGGCTAGACGGCGGTGAATGAACTTGATTCCAACCTGGCTGGTGGGCTCGTTGGCGATCGGGAGCGGGCCGACAGTTGAAGATACAGACCGAGCCTAGATAAGAGCGGACTAACGCATGGCAAAGCGCAGACGTTTTGTGGCGAGTACAAGCACAAAGTAGGATGGTGAATTGGAAAAGGAGTCGGTTGCAAGGTAGAGATGTAGGGCTGCGGAGAGGAAGTTGTGGGGAAAGAGCGAGCGCCTCTTGGTCAATTCTCAATGATTTTCCCTGCCACTTCCTTCTTGAATGAGCTGGATTCGCATGTTTCTAGAAGACGGCAGTAGGCAGGAAATCTGACAGACGGACGGTCGGTGTGTGGTACAGTGACATCTTTGAATGGGAGGCCGAGTTTCAAGAGAGAGCTTTGACATTACTAGGACCGAAGAAGCCGTTGGCTTTGTTGTGAGAAACGGCAAATCAGGGATGGCGCGTGTCTTGACCTTGATGCATGGTGATTGTAAATAGCGACAAGATGGCCGCCTTTACATGTCTGCAGTTTAAAACGACCTGCACGCCGACTTGAAGTCTTTTTGTCGTGTGAGTAGCAGAATCAATCATCAGTCGTTAGCAAGGAGTCATCTGGCACCGAGTCACCCAGCTTCCATACAGCTAGCGTGGTTGAGCTCGTAATCAATACTCCAGCATAATCAAGATTGCTTTTAATGCGCAACTGAGCATTTTGCAGCAGCAGCGCTCCACGCGCCACAGCGAAGAACACACGACAGAAATCATGGCACCCAAGGACGAGCAGCATTCGTCACAGGAGTCCAACTGGGGAGAGACATCCCAAAGCTCCCTCACCGCCCTACAGCCGTCAACACAGAGCCTACGAGATAGCAGCGCCGCCGCTTCTCACCGCCCACCATCGCGCCCTGAGTCGGTCGTTGCGCCCGACGACACTCGCGCTCAGACGTACGACCCAGTTCCCAAGCCTGATGCACCCAGAAAGAGAGCACCATTAAACTATGGTAAGNTCCTACAAGATGTGGCTGCCTGCCCATCATACTCTCGCTTCTCGGTTCTAACACGCGCAGGATCTATGGCCTCCTCCTTCACAAGGCCGTCTCTGAACTCGCCCCAGCCCTCAACTCGAGGTACCNCTAAAAAGCCTCCTCTCGGAAAACGCACTACATCAGCCGGACCCAAGCGCGGACAGGAGTTCTCAGTCGACGACGACGTGAACGAGGTTCAACAGGACAAAGCTTCATCATCATCATCAAGCCATGTCCTGAACCCAAAGCCGTCCACACTCCGCAGGCGGCCGACAGCCCAGCCACCACAGCTACCAAGAGTCGAATCAGATGAGCGAGAGGACAACCCACAAACCAGGCCTCAGACAGCCGAAGCAAACAGACAGGCCGACTCTGACGACACAGAGACCACACTGCATGTGGAGGAAGAAGAGGAAGATTATGCCTCTGCCAAAGATCAGGACGACGAGAATGATGATGACGATGACGACGACGATGCTGACCTGAGCGACGCCGAGAGTTTTACACTGAAGGATAGGCAAGAGGCCATTAACGAGACACATCCTTTCGGTATCCGTATCTGGAAGCCTGCCTTGTACAAGAAGAGTCGCTCCGTTCAAGTCACAGCCGAAGGAGACATTCACCAAACTCCTGGTCATCATGTCAGCCTCGGCTTGTTGTTCTTCAACCTCCTCTGGACTCTAATCTTCGGCTGGTGGCTTGCCTTGCTCTGCGCCGTTGGATCTCTTGTTTGCTTTGCTCTACGCTTCACTCCTGGCTGCCGGGAATACGGCTATGTGTTATGGCAACTCGCTGGCTACATCTTCTACCCCTTTGGAAAGTATGTCATGCTCGAGCACGATGAAGCCTATCTGGACGAGGATTCAGGCGAAGGTCGCAGCATTTCCGAATATGAGCGATGGCAGACTGGTGACCTTGAAGAGGGTCGCCTGTTCTTCGGTCCAACAGACATCAACCGTTCCCTGATTGGTCGTAGAAGAGACAGTGTCGAGACCACGCCCGACGAGACTGATAGCTTACTTGGTCGCCCCGGTAGACGCTCTAGCGGAGACAAACAAGAATCAAAGTCGAGACTCTTTGGTCGTGGAAAGTGGACTGTCGGCAGAATCATCTTCTTCGCCGTTTTCTGGGGCTTCATCACTCCTTCGCTTTGGCTTATTTCGGGACTCTGTTGGTTCCTCGTCTTCACCATCCCTATGGGAAAGGTCACGCTTCTCTTGCACCATCACTTGAGAAGACACCCGCTGGCTCTGTCATTCCATTCCGATACCCATGATGCCAATCGTGGACCAAACGATACCNCCTCAAGCGTCCTCCTCTGCACCTATCGTGCTGTTGGTAGCAGATACTGGAAGTACACTATCGATGGTACTAACATCTTCCTCATCAACCTGCTGAGCATGGTTGCTTTTGCTATCTTCGATTTCTACGTCCTCAGGGAGTATCTGGAGCTCGACCTCTTTGTCGCCTCCTCTGGCTTCATCTTCATCCTTGGCCTGTTCTCCATCATCCCCTTGGCCTACTTCATCGGTCAAGCTGTTGCTTCGATCTCTGCACAATCGTCCATGGGCGTAGGTGCTACTATCAATGCCTTCTTCTCCACCGTCGTCGAGGTCTTCTTGTACTGTGTTGCTCTCAACCAAGGCAAGGCTCAGCTGGTCGAAGGAAGTGTCATTGGTAGTATCTTTGCCGGTATCCTGTTCCTTCCGGGCATCTCGATGTGTTTTGGTGCCATCAAGCGCAAGACTCAGCGCTTCAATGTCAGATCTGCAGGTGTCACATCGACAATGCTGCTCTTTGCCGTCATCGGCTCCTTTGGTCCTACTCTGTTCTACCAAAACTATGGTAGTCATGAGCTCATCTGCCACCAGTGTGTCAGAGGAGACGACGCCAAAGGAGACAGGGATTGCAGACGTTGTTACTTCAACCAGGTCCCTGCCACCAACGACCGCTTCTTCCTTGAAGCAGTGCGCCCGTACATCTGGTTCTGCGCCTTCTTCCTCTTCATGTCATATCTCATCGGTCTCCTCTTCACTCTGCGTACCCATGCAGCAGTGATCTGGAACAATGAGCTCGACGAGAAGAAGCTGGAAAAGATGGAGCATCAGGCATTGCACGTTGAAGCTAGACATGGCAGCATTCCCGAAACCATCGTTGTCAACCCTCATGCACACCTGAGCCGTAACAGCACTGTAGGCACCATTGGTACCCTATCTCGCGGAAACATTCAAGAATCACAACTATACAAGCGGATCCTCGGCCAATCACTAAAGCAGGCTGGCTTTGGAAGTACTGCGCCTAGCGAGCAGCACTCCNCCGATAAGACCACAGCTCCTCCTTTCGGGGGTCCGACGCATCTCGTGCCTCCTAAGTCTAGTGAGGAAGAGGGCGACAAGATCCAACAGCGTAAGCTACGTATTCCCGGTCTTTCTGCGGAAGACAACACCGCTTTGGTACGTCAGGTCGCAGAGATGGCAGCAACTGCAGCAACCGTGGCTGCCCGTGATGCGACCAACGCTCCGCGTAAGGCTTCTCTGATGGCCAGCACCCGTGCTGGCAGTGTGAAACACCATGGCTCCATTTCCTCTTCGGTCGGTCATTCGGCTCATGCAACTAAGAACGGTGCCACACCCGAAGACGCCGGAGAAGTTCATGGAGAAGTCCACGAAGCTTCAGCCCATAAATCGGGTGGTCATGACGCACCCAACTGGAGCCGGACGAAGTCTGCGGTGATCCTGTTGACCGCTACCCTTGCCTATGCCGTTATCGCTGAGATTCTGGTCGATACCGTTGACAGTGTCCTCGAACACATCGATATCGACGAGAAGTTCCTCGGCATCACCCTATTCGCACTCGTGCCAAACACTACCGAGTTCTTGAACGCCATCTCGTTTGCCATGAACGGAAACATTGCACTGTCGATGGAGATTGGTTCTGCCTACGCACTCCAAGTGATGCTCTTGCAAGTACCGGCTTTGGTTCTTTACTCTGGTGTCTGGGCACAGTGGATGGAGCCCGAGCATGTTGCTGCCCACACGTTCAACTTGATCTTCCCTCAATGGGATATGGTGACCATCATCCTCGGTGTCTTCTTGATGGGTTGGGTTGTTGGAGAAGGCAAGAGCAACTATTTCAAGGGATCGATCTTGATCCTTGCATACTTGACCATCATCATCGGCTTCTGGTTCTCGAGCTGGAGCAGCGATGNNAGGTATGTCTTACTCCTCACTTTGTCTTTTTCGCACCTTGCTAACGTTTTGTGTGGATAGGGTGGCATTAACCGCTTCATGGGCATCGACCGCTTCGACACACTGGCCATGTCAAGCAACGTCCAGACTTTTAATACGATTGGCAAGTCCACTCGAGGACAGGCTTTTGGTTGAAGTACAACTCCTCCTCAATAACCACCCCTTACTGTAATAATGTTTGAAAGACAAATTTGAGCATGGAATTGGCGTTTTTGTTTGGATACCAATTGAGTTTTGTTCGATCGTGTTCTTTTCGGCGTGGGTCCATTGTTTTTGGCTTTGCTTATACTTACAGATATAGTTGATATACAAGATTACAGAGAGTTGCAGCAAAGAAGCTTAATGGGAGCGTACCCTTAAATGTCAATTCTGTGATGAATGCCCCCTTTCTCTCGATCGCTCCTTCGTTCTGTCTGCAATGTTCCTTCCTTGTCTCTGTATCGCTCCTTCCTGGTCTCTCTATCGCTCCTTCCTGGTCTCTCTATCGCTCCTTCCTGGTCTCTCTATCGCTCCTTCCTTGTATCTGCATTATTCCTTCCTTCTGTCTACATCATTCCTTCCTTGTCTCCATATCACTCGTTGCTTTCATATACATTGCTACTTCCTTGTATATATCTGTGTCATTTCCTCTCCATAAGTACCTAGAAGCGGAAGGAAACGCAAGGTATAACTATTAGTATTACTTACTTTCCACTTGTTCTCTCGAGTGCAGTCGTTGTTTCCTGGTCTAGATTTCTGTGCTTCCTTGCTCATGCAGTTTGCCGTCTATCGTTTAGACACTTAACACTCTGTCTTCAAGAACATTAGATGGGGGAGACTTATTTAGTATAATTATCCTGCTTTGATCTTAGATAGAAATACCATATGGCTTGTGTAGATGCCGGAAGTGGATGCAAGAATGTGAGGGTTTGGCAGTCAACTGAATCTATTCAGTTCTACGGGGTTTATCTATAGTGGGACCTGCTCTTTACACTTTGCTTTAACCTTTAGGTTTGGGTTCTTAGTTAATTAGTAGTATAGATGACTTTGGGCTTGCAGTTATGCTATGTGGATATTGAGTTTAGTAGAAAAGCTAATCGTCTAGAGTGAGGACATGGTAAAGACTATATAGTTAACAAAGTAGGTAGTGGTATGTCTCGATAGAGATTGGCACTGGCAAGACAGAAAGACCTTGTGCCTCAAAAAACAACAACAGGAAGGTGGCTTACCCGCATTGCATACATCGCAACTGCCATGACAGATCGAAGCTGACGGTGTGGAGCTGCTTTCAAATAGCGCGTCTAGGTTAGACGTCCTTTACATACTCTCATTTTTATTGTAAAAGGGGTGACCAGCAAATGTGATGAATGGTGATGTAGAATGCAGAGTGTTTGTCAAACGAAGCTTATAGGCACGAGCAATGTGTTATAAGCGTGCCGTCCTTAGAGCGTTGGAAGACTGTGCCTTTCCAGTCGGTGTAGCCACTGTAGAGTGATACTCGAAAGTCCAGCCCACGTAGGAGGAAGGGCAGCGCCTCGGTTCATATCTCTTGCGAAGTTTTGAGGATTGAGAGTACTGCTTGAGCTATGAGTCTGGCGGCATTGTATGGTTCGTGGGCACTGCACTTTCGGCAGTAGCCGTATGCAAGGTGTTGCATGACATCTAGCGGATCGCTATCTCCTAAGACGAATCCATAGATCATGGTTCGGATCTCGGGCGGGAGCGTCTTGAGAGATGGTTGTGCAGTCATCGTATTTGCCATTTGTGTGTGGCAGCTAGAGTGGATTACCAGGTCCGGCAACGGAATGCTGTGATGTGAACGAATCGAATCACGAGTGGAAGAGAGCGGTAGCATATATGTCAAAAAGAGCTTGCGCTGACTCACACAAGGCAGTTACTGAAAAGCACCAGTCGTCATCTAGGTAGAAATCAGAGCACGTGGACTCAACATGGCCATCAACCATATCCAACCATCTGATCTGTTCTCGCAAAACTTGTAGTAGGACTGAGGGTCTGGTGTCGCAAGTTCATATACAGGATCCGAGTGCAGTGTTTCTTCCTTTCCGAGGGGTTGTTGTCTTCGTCATTGCTCTTTCCTCGTCCGGACAACATTTTGTGGAGCGAACATCTCTATTCGACGACTTCGGTATGAAAGAACAACGCATCAGGTCGCTGCCAGTGTCTTTGGTCTCGAAAGCGTGTTCATGATTCCTGCCCTGAAATCATTCGAATGCATGACTTTGATTGGTAGAACAGAGACAGAACTCAAGGTCGAATGTGACGCGGCACCCAAGCAATACGAAGATCTTGAGAGATTTTGGGGACCCGCTACAACGATGGCACAGTCAAGCAGAGCTGTCCGAGTCTTGTGAATTGCAGTCGTGAGAGCCGCATCCGTGATCGATGTTAGATTCGTCAATCGACCATACCGGTTCCAGGACAGAAGACAAGAGTGGCAATGCTGATATAGCCATGCAGACGGATTGGACAGTTTTGCATCCAGTAAAGCGTAATTCCAAATGGCCAGGCGAAGCGGATGGAAAAGTGGCTATCGCATTGCCGTTTCAGTTGATATCTTCTGATACCGCACCTATATCCAAGATGACGATTATGGAAGACGTTGGTGTAAGAAGCTTGTAGGTTAGTCGCGTACAGAAATAAAGGCTGATAGTAGCTTGTGTGGTTGTAATGTGTTTCCTACCTGCAACGTGGAAGATGTGATTGATATCATCTGCCGTCTGTGTAGCCATACTCGCAGGTTGATTTGCCGTAATGGTCAGATACGATTGCGAGTTACATCTCGGTTGGCTGGAACAGCAAAGACCGCGGTAGAGACTCCGTTACAGCCATTCGCTAGCAACGGATATTGATACATAGCGTGTTGATAATGGTCTCCAGAGCAAGCGCATCCAGTGGTCCGGCAGAAGAAGCAGGACAGACACATCGTCAATGAAGATCGAAGCATGGTCGCTCGGACTGGAGCTGAGGATCTTCTTCTTCCCTAAGCCTTGAAATTGAGATCATTGCTCGACGAGTCAAGAACACTTGCAGTCAGCCTGCACAAGCGGAAAGCGCATCCTTTGGTTCTCTCCAGCACCGGACTCTCATCCGTACTCAACCGCTAGTAGGAAAGACGGATCCACATCCAAGCAAACCGTTAGATAAGTAAAAAGAGTCATGCAAACCGCTATACCCATCTGGAACCTTGGTGGTTGACTGGTAGTATGTGCTTTGGCGAATAGCACTCCGAGGATGCTGGCTGCAACGACGTTGAGAGCCCACGAGCAAGAAAAGCCTTTGCCGAGCAAAAAATAATGGACCCTCCCTCTCGCGTGGGAAAAGCCATCGCATCGGCAAATAATCAAATCTGCCAACGGCGAAGAGAGGTTATTCCACTTCTAGAATGCATTGCTTGGGACCGTCAATTGCTTACTGCAGGTGTCTGCTCTCCCTAAGTACAATCAATGGTTGATCTGTCGACATCCACCCGATATAGATGTACAAAAGAAATAGGTTGTTCGATATATTAACTCGGCCCGCTCCAGAATTCAGGGGTGCATGTGTTGCGCTTCCGAAAGGACCGGAGCTTTGATACTTTGATACGCGATGTCCATGTGGAGTAAGCAAAGCAGCCAAAACAGGTGAGCCGCAGACAGCAGACAGTAGATCAAGAACTTGACATGCTGATGGCAGAGTCAGAGCAAAGGAAGAGGTTTGACCTTCTCAATAGCACAGGGGTCATCATGTCGATCCACTACCTACTAATGTTTTGTAAGAGGACTGGCCGCAAGGCCAAGCAAAAATCAAGATACAAGTGTTCACCCAAAAGGAGAAGAAGCACAGTCACCCAGTTGATGTTCCCGACTATCGACTTTATCCAAGGCTTGCCCAAAGCGTTTTTAAGATGAAGCAACGACCACCTTGTGGTATGTATGCAAGAATGGGCAACAAGGCAAAGAAGATGGATCTACCGGTCTCCAATGTTCAACGTCTGTGGTCGCTGCAGAACACAAAGGCCAGCAGAAAAACATATTGCAAGGTTGGTGAAAACAGGCAGAGCGGGACCGAAAGAGTCAAGTGCTGGACCCAGATCCATGCAAGGGACCGGCTTTGTGGTGTTTAGAGGTCGGGGATGGGTTTGATGGCGTTTGAAGCTAACAAAAGGCAATTCACGATCCATGGGCTCGCAAGTGTTTCAGCAGACGGATCTAAATTCACAACACCCAGAAAGAGAAATGGCACCGCTGCTGGATCAAGCGGAGTGGAGTGAGAATTGTTAGCTCGAGCCTCGCGAGCGAAAGCATAAGAGACAGAGGCCCGTCAAAGGCACAGACGCGGGAGTTGGTGGAGGTTGCACGACAGGATATAATACTGCATGCTCTTGCTCTCTTGCTTTCTTGACTATCCAATTCAGTTCATTCAGCTTTCCACTCTTTTACAGCAAAATCCAACTTTGAAACACTCTCTATAATCATCTTTTCTTCTACACGACAACCAACCACACACACAAACACCGCCATCATGCAGCTCCGTGTCTACACTTCCCTCGCCATCTTCGCCGCCACTGCCATGGCTGCTTCGGCCTCTACCTCTACCTCTGCCGCTGCCGCTGCCTCGACTGCCGTCGACCTTACTGCTGGTGTCCCTCAGTGCGGTGTACGTTCCTGCTTTTCGCCTTGACTGAGATATAACCACCACTAACAATCTCGACAGATTGCCTGCGTCACATCCGCCGTCGGCGCATCCGGCTGCTCTGCCAATGACCCCGTCTGCCTCTGCACAACCGGCTCCAAGGCCTTCCTCGCTGCCGGCACCACCTGCCTTCTCCAGAACTCTGATTGCTCGGCCGAAGACCTCCAGAGCATCCAGAGCCTCGCCAAGCAGCGTTGCGGCACTCTTCTCGCCAGCACCGGTGCCTCTGCTTCCGGCTCTGCTGCTGCTGCCGTTTCTGCCTCTGCCACCAAGGCTGCCTCGTCGGCTTCTAGCACTCCTTCTACTGGCGCTGCTGTCCAGGTCGGTGCCAGCATCATGGCTGTCGGTGCCGGTGCTCTTGCCTTCATCCTGTAAACTGGAATATGTACAAAAGTTCTGTGGTGGTGCAAGAAGTGGGAAAACAGCACACGGTGCTGGTGTACAAATGAGCCTCTTTTAACGATACCCAAGGGGTTGCGTAGCATCTTTATCTTTCTATGACGGTGGTTGCATTTTTGGGGAACAATATCTTTTTTCTTTTCTTTTCAAATTTTCTTCTTCTTATTTGACGATTGAAGTCCACTTTGTGACCCATGCCGTGAATTCGTCGTCTTTGTCGTTCCAGTCTGTCTTTAGGAGGTCGGCAGCTGAGCATGCATTGTCGATGCATGTACTGAGGATAGTATCGACTTGATCGGCGTCGAGCTCGTAGAAAGCATTTGCGAGATCGTCGACGAACTCGGGCAATTCTTTGAGCAGATGCATGAGTTTGTCCAAAGTCAGAATATTGAACTTTTTCGAAGCAACGTCTGGTGTAAAAGTCGTGAGTCTGCGTTTGGTGATGGCGGCGTAGAGGAATTGTATCTTTTTGAGCTTGTCGGCAGCGGTTTGCAGGCGTTCTTTCAGGTCGGGGCGGTCTTTTGGGAGTTTGTTGGCGGCGGAAAACATGTCGTCGAATTCGTCTTGGTCGTCTCTGTCTTGTTGGTCATCGGTGGTGGAGTATGCGTCACTGTCGTCCTCATCGTCTTCGTCGTCGTCGTCGTCGTCATCCTCCCCATCGCCCTCTTCCCACTCTTTGAGTTCTTCGATGGCGTCGTTGATGGTGTCCCGTAGTTCCTGAGCCTTGAGGACAGCCAGGCCAGCAATTCCAGTCTTCTCCAGTTGAATCAGAGCGTCGCAGGCTTCCCACAGCACACCAGTAGAAGCAAGAGTGTCCTTGGAGTGGTTCGACGAGTTTTCTTGTCTGGCAACGTCGAGGACTTCTTCGAGGAAAGAGACCATCTCGCGCATGACAGTGCGAACTCTGGCAACGACCTGGTGGTGTAGGAAGACACCCCAGATGTCAGGACGACAGAGTTCGACAGCAGACATCATGGCGGGAAGACATGTTTGGGTGGCATCTCGGAGGACTGAGGTGACGGCGGTGGGTGTGAAGGGCTTGTTGATTAGGAGAAGAGCGAGCTTGGTGGTGTGAGCCTTGAGCAAGGTGGCACTGTCGCGAAGGACATGCAGCGGGTTCGGTGGGTTGGGTGGCAGTCGACTTGACGAGTCGGTGGAAGCATTTGGAGCGAGAGAGGCGAGGAACTGAGCGACCAGAGCACGCTGCGTCTGGGCAAGGTCTATGAGTGTCTGCGAGGCGGCCATGGCTGCAGTGTGTCTTGACGTGTGAGGAATGCGACAAGTCCAAATAAATTCTAGAAAGCTGCCAAGATATAGATGCAGTTGATGTCGAAAGCCGTCACCGACCGCCCCGGTCTCGTCACCGCCAGCACCAACATGGATGAAGACTCTCTCTAAATGTCGCCAACCCTCGTCGTCGACGTCGGCGCATGGTCTCTCAAGGCTGGATACGCCTCGTCCGATAACAATGGCACCTGTCATGTTGCGCCAAACTGCATCGCCAAATCGCGCGACAACAAGACTTATGTTGGCTCGCAACTGTCGCAATGCACCGATTATGGTGACATGACCTTTCGCCGTCCAGTCCAGAAGGGTTATATTGTCAACTGGCCTGCCGAAGTCGCCGTGCTGGATAACGAGCTCCAATACCTTCAGTGCGACTCGAACGACACCAACCTGATCATCACCGAACAGCCCAATGCGCCCTTGCAACTCACTCAAAATCTGGATCAGATGGTCTTTGAGCATTTCGACTTTGCTGCCGTGTATCGAACCATTGGCCCCTCGTTGAATGCCTACAACGACACCCGTTCTCTGTTCGGCGACCCTGCTCTTGCAGACCCATCACAAATCCAGCCTGCCGATGCCCTTCTCGTTGTAGACAGCGGTCACAGTCACACCACCATCACCCCTTTACTACAAGGCCGACCCATTCACCCTGCTGTGCGCCGCTTAGATGTGGGAGGTAAACACCTAAACAACTACCTCGCCGAACTCATCTCCCTCCGCCATTTTTCCCTCATCGACGAACCACACATCGTCTCCCAGATAAAAGAAGACGCCTGCTACCTCTCCACAGACTTCTCTCAAGAACTGGATGCTGCGAGGAACAAGGACCCTAGCATTGTAATAGACTATGTCCTGCCTGACTACGAACGCCATCATCGCGGTTTCATCCGCCCACATGATGCTTCACATAAAGCCAAGATGGAACGCCTGGGTGTAAGGCAACCAGATGACCCCCTCAGTGTCCGAGAAGAAGTCTTTCCTCTGGCAAACGAACGTTTCGTTGTCCCTGAAATGCTGTTTACACCTTCGGATATCGCTATGCCACAGTCTGGTATCGCAGAGACTATACTCCAGAGTCTACAGTGTTTGCCTGAACTGCTATGGCAGCCTATGCTTGCCAACATTTTGCTAGTGGGAGGAAACACTCTCATCCCTGGCTTTGTGCAAAGAGTGGAAACAGGTGTGAGGATGCTGGCACCCGAAGATATGCTTGTCCGTGTACGGAGAGCTGAAGAGTGAGTGTCTATTCCCCCATGGTTCTTCGCAGATACCAAAGACAACAACAAACTAACACAACCTCACAGTCCCATAACATCAACCTGGCAAGGAGGCTGCCGCATGGCAAACGACCAAGACCTCCTCAAAAACATCCTGATCACCAGACAAGAATACCAAGAACACGGTCCCAACTGGGTGACCCGACAATTCGCAACAAAAAGACCCACAAACGCAACAGAATAAACATTTCGTAAAAAGTTATCATACGTAAAAAAACACACGAATGAAAAATGACATGTACTCCTACATGACCTTCCAAAACTCTGCATTTTGTGTTCTCTTTATATCAAATGACCCACAAGGCCCAGCAGCAAGAGATTTCATGACTAGACTCTTGCCTCTCTAAAAATGAATCTATATCTGTTTTGAACGGCAAGAGCTTAGGATATATCCATCATCACTTTGCATATCCACAGCCAAAGGCATTGCTTCGACCGTTTTCTCGGAACAATGACCGATTGATCGAGAATTGTGGCTGAGTGGTATTGGAATATGTAAGTAATGACCTTGATGTACATCTGCCGCTTTGATACCTTCCATTTTGTCCAAGCAAGCAGAGTTCAGAGATGGAAGACACCGATGGGTCTAATTCGATGACCATGGCCTGGAGTGATTCGGTTTCAACCCTACCATCGCCGTTGACATCGTTGCTGTTAGATTCATGTCTAGTCAATGCAACGAACAACCACAGGAAGAAAAAAGAGGGACAACGATATAAGACACGATGAAAACGATATCTGTGATTTCAAGAGAGCTAGAGCCCGGCTCCTGCAGAACGAAGGATAAAAAAAAAGATCATGTACACCTTAAACCCTCTGCCCAAGAATAACAACTCCACCAAGCGCCTTCGCCAATGCCATGAACGAAAAACAATGCTGACAAAGAACGTGAAATCGGGACCAATGAAAAATAGCAACATGAGGAATGACTGTACAACCGCCCAGGGGTTATGAATATACATGTAGACATTCGTTTCTCCCACACTCGTAGAAGAAACGACAAAGAGCACAGAGTAACAACCTGTACCAGGTCTGTGTCGAGTGAGAGAAGTCGTTAGGAACGGCCAAACCAAGGAGATGCCTGTCCTTTTTTGCATTTGAGGACGAAGGACTTCAACCACGGACGCTCGGTAGTACGGTCTGGGGAATCATAGCGCTTCTAGCGTCCGAACTGAGCAAACAGCTCTCCCATGTCCTGATCACCAAACGTCGTGTCGATCCTAGTGAGCTCCGGCAGTGTTGGTGGNGGCGAGAAAGCTTCTCTTGCCGAGGGAGAGTATGGAGTTCGATGTTGAGACGACGATCGACTAATTCTGCTCTGCGAACTGAAAGTTCTGTGTGAAGCAGGTCTCTCGGGTCTCTGGGTTTGAGAAGGCTGAGAGTACTGCGAAGATTGTGTTTGGGTCTTGGACATGGGCGACAATGGCGGTAGAACAGGGGGATACTGTGTAGTTTGTGTGGTGTAGACGCTGGCCGCTTTGTCGCTCGAAAAGTCACTCTCGATGGCCTGTGTGTGTTCGGTGGTTGGATGGACGTTCTCGGGCTCGTCTAGCACCATGGCATCAGGACCTTGAGGCATGTCATAATCATCTGCTACAGCAGAGGCGCTGTTGTGGGAGTTGAACGTGAAGAGGGCGCTCTTTCTGCGGAACCACGAGTTGCTCTTTCTCTTTCTCAGCGGAGGCTGAAGGTTGTCCTGGCCATGCTTAACGACGACATAGTCTTCTTCCGCAGCGCGCTTGACACCTCTGGAACTGGTAGTGCTGTCGGAGGCCGGACGGTCGGAAGAGGCGGTTTGTGGAGGGTTTTGTGTAGAAGGGGTCGAGACGAGGGATGTGCGTGAGTTGCCGAAGCTGCTCTTCAGGCTCGACAGCGAGAACAGCTTTTGCATGCTGATGGATCTGCGACGGCCATTGTTGTTGTTGTTGTTGGCGCCCTTGGGTACAGGCAGCTGGGAGCCGAAGCTATCGTGGCGGTGGTTGTCGTGGTGTGACATGGCTTCGACGCTGGCGAGGTCGAGCTTGAACGACGTGTCGTGGGAGTTGAGCTGATATGCCAATGGTAGATGATGCAATTGAGAGGAGCTGCCGGCAAAAGAATTCGTGTCTTGTCGGTGCAGGGAGTCGGTGGATGGTGAAGCAGACTTTGACAGGTCGGGCGTGGAGAAATTGCTCGGATGCTTCCTCGGGAACAAGGTCAAGTTGCTAGGCGACCCAAACGGCAGCGACGATGTACTTGCAGATACGTTCCTGCTGTGTTTGGTCGACCCCGAGTTGCTGTGCTGCTCGCTGCTGCTGTTGCAAGTCCCTCCGACCACTTCGACCGGTGTTGGCGGATGAGAAGACAGTGGGCTTGGTCTGGCCGGGAAGACAGTAGCCTGCTGCCCTCGCCCAGAAGTCGCGATAATGCCCAACGATGGCACTCTTTGCCTGTGCTGAGAAAGCTGCGACATGATCAAACCCCTTGACTTTTGGATAGATCCGACCTCTGGTTCTAGTCGCCGTGCGTATCTGTCCTGTCCGACTCGCTACTGTGCTGATGGAGCGTGGGGTTCACACCATATATTAATCCTAGCCGACCGCTTGCTTAAAAGTGGCCCCTTTCGTGTTTGGCGGCTTCGCCAAATCCTTCTGTCTACGCTTTACTCCTGGCTCAGGGAGCACATGGACTTCCAGGAACAAGAACGACGACAACAACAACTCAACGACCATACACCAGGCTATCCACGACTAAAGTCCCTTTGATGCAAAGACCATCATCGCCCTAGTCTCGCCAGTACCCCTGCGTGTGCCCTGCTGCCCTGATCCACCCGTTTCATCATGCATACAACACCGTGCAAGTACCTCCCCGCATGTCTGTGCACCCAAAGGACCGTTTCAGGCCCGTCTGAGACCGACATTTATCCGTCTGCAAACACCAACAACTCTATCCGACTTTATGAACAAAAAGATTGCATATGTTTGGGAGCCAAACTACAAAAGTTGAAACGGTTACCCTCTGCTCGACGCCTTGCCCTATACAAGCCCGGTCTTCCCCCAACCAACCCACAACCAACAAGGCCATGACTCCGGCTGTCCCTCAGCCCGTGTTTTCAGTCACCGCCTATCTATATCTCAGGAACCTCGACGGCGGGAGAAGCTCTGCAGTAGCATCCGCGTTTTGACGTTCTCTGCCGTATGCATCTCCATCCAACCTTGATCGATGCCATGTCTGTGTACGCAAGCCACGCAGCCCATCTAGTTAATCGACGTTCCTGACGTGTGCAAGACGTTCACATCGCCTGCGTGCTTTGTCTCGGTTTGCTGCATCTGTGAAGCCGATCCATTATGAACCTGTACAGCATTGCCATGCTTCGATGTTTCCCTCTCATCCTCGTTCAACGGGGGCAGTCCAGAAGAACCGTCGCCTTTAGACGACGACGCGATCGAGGTTTTGCGCTCTTGATCTGGCTTCTGCTCGAAGAACTCGACATGATCTGCATCTCGGTCCTTATCGTCGTTACGAATCATCTCGGTCAGGCTTTTGAAGTTGAACATGGATTCCGTATTCACATCGTTGCTTGGTGTGCCGGATTGTGTGTCAGGCGTACCAGTACCATCGTCCAGCACTGTTGCACTTGCATTGGGAGATATTTGGTGGTTTGGCGTCCGTTGTTGATAGCTGCCAGGTAGAGAATCTAGCATTGACGATGCTGCCGACGAAGCGTTCGAGATATGGCGAAGATGAGAGCGGTTTTGAAGGGCCTCTGGGAACGAAATGGGCTGAGTTGCTTGAGGTAGATTAGCTCTCGATTCTTCGAGATGTCTCTGAGAGTCGGCTGCCTGCTCAGCAATTTCTGTGTTCAGAGTCGAAGTAGGTTCGCTGAGTGGGTTGAAGCCATAGGCCGTGGTAGCAGGTGCTTTGCCCTTGCCAATGACTGGAGGAGCGGCTGGCGGCGGCGATGAAGCCATCGAAGCGGCCGTCTGCGGTCGTGGGATATTGCTCGTAGAGCGGGACATGTCAGACCATGCGACTGTGCTGCCGTTCATGCTGGCGCTGTAAAGACTTCCACTCTTCTTCGCGGCCTTCTCTGCCTTCTTGGCATCTTTGCAGCCTCCTTTTCTCGCTTCTTTGCTTCCTTTCTCACTTCCTTTTCCTCTTTCTTCNTTACGATCTTCTTCTGAGGCCAAAGAAAGTCGAATAGCTTCCATCATCATCAAATCCTCGAGGTCGTGAGCGCGGCTTCTTCTGCCTGACGGACGAGGTTCTGTGCTTGATCCCTGACCTTCTATGTGAGCGATCAATTCAGACAGACTACCCACTTGGCCGTTATCAGCTCTTGGAGTACCCGATCCGCTTGCACTAGCAGAAGTATCTGCCAGAAGCGTACGACGACGGCGACCCAGACCGCCAAATGAGCGCGAGTCCGATGGCTGCTGGTTACCGAGCATGTACGCCGCATTATGGAGAGCAGTCGCAGCAGCAGATCGTCGCAGGGCATGTGCCCTAGCATCGGCGAGCTTCTTTGCCCAGTCTGGTCGTACTCGGTCGGTAGTGATTACAGTAGGGGCCGAAGCTGATAGAGAGGTAGTACGTCTTCTACCATGCGGCACGGCCAGAGACAGAGAAGACGCGTCTGGTGACGGAGCGCTGGTCGGAGCTGGACTGCTCACTGGACCGGAGTACACAAGACCTCTACGGAAAGAGGGAGGTTGATAGCTGACTCCAAATTCAGGGGTCACACAGAAGGGACAAGCAGCAGGTTCCGAGACGAGCAAGCCTTCTTCGTCGGTTGTAGGATTTCCTTCATCATCGTGATGCTCCGGAGGGTGGGGATCAGGACGCTTGATTTGTACAAAGCACTCGGAGCAAATAGGCTGGTCGCAGCAGCGAGTCTTGTTGAGATGCGGAGGATAGTACATGAAACAGATGGGGCATTCGGCAGCATCTTTGTACAGAACAGCCTCGATGGGAGAGCCGTTGACTCGCGGGTCTCGTGGCAAGCGGATTTCTTGAGGGGCAATCGAAGTAGACGAAGCATTGTTGTTCTTGTTCGAAGTGCCCAAAGATGCCAGCGTCTTTGCACGGTCGCGGAAGAGACCTCGAGATCCCGAGGCCGAGGGTAAAGACGAAGTGCCTGGGCGAGGGAAGGTGGCGCTCTGAGGAGTCGATGTGTGATCGGATTGATATGATTGGGAGCGAGAGGAGATAGGAATAGTGAGCGAGTCGACATCGCTGCCGGCGGCTGTTTCCGGGTCGGGGAGTGGAGGGTCATCAGGAGCGGGGACGGGTAGTCCTCGTGCTACAGCTACGAGCTGGTTTTCGGTCCACGAGTCCGAGTGGTCGTTGAGGCCTTTCCAGAACGGCGCCAAACGACGTTCGATCNNTGGGCTGTGTCAGTGGGATAGAAGCAAAATCGATAGCAGATGGCATACCATGAACTGGCGTACGACCGTCTTGTTAAAGTCCTCAGGGCCGACGTACGTTCCCAGCGTGACGAGATAGCCACCATCAACGCCTTCCTCCTTCATACTCCGCTCGCGTTCATTCTCTCGAGCCACACGCTCCTTCTCGCGTTTGCGTGCTTCTCTTTCTTGCTTGGTCTCGCGACGCGGTTCCTCGGTGCGTGATTGGTCTCCTCTGCTGCTGGAGCCCAGATGGAGGAAGGAGAGATTCTGTCTGCTGCCACGGCCGCTACGCACATTGTACATGGAGTTTTCGTTGGAGCCAGTGTTAGAGCCTCCATTGTTGACAGTGCCGGAGCGCGACCGTGAGGATGTCGTTCTCGACTCCTGGTGGAGCTGCTGGTATTCCCCATGGCGGAGCGATCGTATGTCTCTCAGGCTCGTTGCGGGGAAGCACTTGAGAGACGGCGCATTCCACGCTCAAGATCCGAGTAGCCTTTGGCCAGTCCACTCATGCGACGAACAAAGGACGGGCGTCGAGAGAGGGAGAAGAGGTGAGCACGTGGGGTGGGACAGAAATGGAGATGGAAGCGTTCCAATAGCAGAATAGGCGAAATAGGATCGAGGTGGATAAGTGTTGGAGCAACGGCCGACAAGTCCGCCCTCGGCCTGTACTAGTAAATAGCCGTTCGCAAAGCTGCCGACGAAGAGCGATATGCTGTAAAGGACAACGATTGATTCAGAATGCAGAAATCAGGAATAACGACGATGACATGGGAAACCTTGGGTATTTTCAGCAATTCAAGGTTTCTTCTTGGAACCTGATGTCGCCAGCATCCATGTCTCTAAGCATCACGCCGATGACGAGGCCCGCTTTGTGCCCCGGAGGCCAATCAATTCCATCGAGCACATCAAGACCGAGGAAGCTGCCCGCTCTTTCCCCAATTCCTTCCCCAAGCTCCTCAACTCAACAATCGCTCGAGACAATTTCACTTTTCAACAATCGACTCATCACTTGTCTCTTTCTCGGCTCTCACGTAATAATTATGCCTGTATCTTGAAGTATTTTCAGGCCGCTGAAGTGGCTGGTCTCAATCGCTCTGTTTCAGCGGATTTCCACCCATCTCCTGCTTGCTGTTACAGCTCTGGTCTGAAGGCATCCCATGCGAACCTTGTTGATAAACCCAGAGTTGTCCCATATGGAAGGCCTCATGTCTGAACTAGACATACTCATCCCCCTTCATCCATCCAAGTTGCNNCTGGACTCTAGTCAGCATCTGCCCATCCTCAGCCCAGGTCCGTGTCTTGACTTACTTCCACATATGCAGCTTATCCCAGTCCTTAGTAAAGCTCTTGACCTTGCCATCCTCAACCTCAAAGATAGCTGCCGCACTCCACTTGGCCTTGTTCCCAGTCTTCTCAATCCCATTATGAGGCTCACCGCAATGGCTGCCCTCAGCCGTATATCTCAAAAGCACATGTCCATCTTTGGCAAACACTTGATCGTAGCAAACAATGTGAAGGTCTGCGATACTAGCCATGACATGTGAATGACTCTCTGCATAATCCTGGGGTGATTTGACGCCGGGGAAAGTGGTAGGAGCCCAGAACCAGGCATCATCTGCACAGAGGTGTTCGACAGACTTGCGGCCTTTGTTTTCAGAGGGCGAGTAGGCAATTCGCATGTATTCTTTGACGATGGAGATGTTCTTTTCTTCGTCTGAGGATTGCTGCGTTGTCATGCGAGCTGGTGGCATCTTGTTTTCAGATCCGCTGGACGACATTTCGTTGTATTTTTCAAAAGTATGTTGTTTGATAGCCAAGGTTCTAGCTGTCGGAATCTGAAGAGACTGTGATGAACGTGAGAAATACAGAATGATCCCGTATGCATGGTGATGCAGGTCATGACATCAAGGTGTTGTTCTCCGCACCAGCAGGCACTGCATGATCTGCAGTGTCAACACCACATTGGAACTTCTGAATGAAATAGAGAAGAACAATCGTGAAATTTCAAGGACGTATCCAAGGTATATGCAATCGAATCTGTAAACAAGAACAGAGAGGGATATCTAAAAACTTATTAACTAACCCGTCGTTAATATCCATGACATGAAATAGAAGAGAAAACTCAGAACTACAGGATCATCTGAGCGCAATGCTGATCTCCTCAGGNAGGTCCTGCTCGGCCTGCGGGCTCTGAGCAGGAGTCAGCCAAGGAGCATCTTCAGCCTGAGGTGCCGACAAGTTTTTGGCCGCTCTCTTGTTGACATAGTCCTTGCCAGGGCTGTCCCATGCGAAGTCGAGATACTCTGCCAGATGCTCCTGAATGCCGTCTGCCATGATCTGGACACCGTGCTTGCGATTCAAGCTCCATTCGTGGTCTCTCTTCCAGCGACCGGCAAGCTTGACGGTCTCTTCACCACCCTCGAGACCATCGAGAATACTACGCCAGACCGACATTGTTTTCTCCAGCTCACCAGCGTTACTGACACCCATAACGCTAACACCAAGCTTGTGACCTCCAACTTGCTCGTTCGACTCACGGGTCCACGGAACGCCGGACGCAGGGTCGCCCCTTGAGCCAACACTCGCACCCTGTGTCAACCATGATTCGAGGGCATAGCGGATGGCAATAACCTCGAGACGTTCTCCGTGGCGGTCGCAGAAGTCGCTTGCACGACGGACAGCTTCTCGAACGCCAGGGCCAGCGGGATGCCAGTCGCCTTGACCCGCAACAGGAGGACCCGCGCGTCTCAAAAGACCCATGCCGAGTGGTGAGGCATTTGGGACAACGTCGACGCCTGCAGCACGCAGACGTGCAATGCCGGTTGATGCGAGTGTAGTGTTTTGTAGTGTGAAGTTTGCGTACGACATGACAGCATCGAGAGGCTCGCCTGTCTCGCGAAGAACGCGCTCAGCGAGCGAGCAAAGCAGAGGGACGGGGTATCCTGAAATGCCAACATAGCGTAGTGTGCCCTCCTCATCGCGAATGCGACGCAACTCTTTGATCGCTCCGAGCACTTCGTCCTCGCTCACGAACTCGACATCGTGGCAGTAAACGATATCGAGGTAATCAGTGCGCAGTCTCTGAAGACTGCGTCCGACACTCTGGCGGACCCATTCGGGNGAATAATCGAACTCGTCTCCAGCAATGCGGCCACACTTTGTAATGTAGAAGAGGTCGGAGCGAGGCACGTGTGCGTGTACGAATTCTGTGTTGAGGGCAGCTCCTAGTAGCTCTTCACTGGGTCCGTAGTATGGGCTGGTATCGAATGCTCTGATACCAAATTCGAGCGCCTCTTGTACCAAGCCAACAGTGTCCAGCTTGTTGACATCGTTGTATTGTGAGTTGAAGACGGCACATCCAAAGACGAGGGGTGGTAGAATTGAGGAGAGTTGCTGGGCAGGCTTGCCCTTGATCAGTGATGAGGCCATAGGGTGGTAGCTATGTGAGTTTCGCACGAGAAGGTGATGAGGAATTTGTGATNNTGCTTCGGAGTTTCGGTCCGGTATGTTGGACAAGAAGGTTTTGAGAAGCGCAAAGAATCGAAAAGGTGTCAGAGACAAAGGGTGAGATGCGAATGCAAGTTTGAAGGAGAGAGAAGACNNGACCAGCAACAAGACTAAAAGAAAACAGTTGAGAGGGAAAGCGTCCTAGCTCCCAAGATCCATGATATCTACACTACAATTTTGGGCGCTCGGAGCCGGAGGGATTGAGCAAACTGGCGANTCTTGCAGCGCTCGTGCACAAGACACGAAGGCGCGATCGCGCCGCGAGATAACCTCGATCCAATCGTTCGACCATGTTTGTGCTCGATTCGTTCTAGGCTGTGTCTAGGCTCCATCACGTCAGATCTTGGTTTGAGGAACCTGCCCTTCTTGCCTTTCAAACCGGAAACGGCAGCGCGAACCGTCCGTAAGTGATCGGCAAAATCAGGGACCGACTCCCTGCAGGGTGGGATGCTTCGGTTCGAAATAGACAAGACGAAGGGAGTCTGCATCTCTTTGCCGACTTGACTGGCACTGCGTTGTCCTGCAATGAACCTCATATGCTTGCTAAGTACCGTTGGTCTTGTCTTTCGGTGATGATACCGGCGACTCTGATGGCAGAGGACAGGCTGGAAGTGATAAAGTATCAAAGTACACTGGTGCCTGACCAAGTCTCTTGAACGGAACAAGCCGGGGCTTTCGGCATGACTGATTCCATCAACAACACCCTTCCATAGCAGAGGCGACAGCGACCTCTCATCCTCTCTTTGTGCGCATCAGTCATCTGCGCGTCACCACATATAAACCTCACATCTTCAGCGACTTGCGCATCACACAGCGGTCGATATTCAAGATGGCTGAACAGGGCATGTATCACGAAATGTACCGCAATGCGTCGTATGTTACCATCGACTCATCACCATCCAACATTGTGCTGAGAAGGATGTGTATANGCATCGGTGGCACACTCGCAGATACCCTGGACGATCTCATCAGCAGTCGTCGCATCGAGCCTCAGCTTGCCATCAAGATCATGACCAACTTTGACAGGGCTATCGCGCAGGTGCTTGGTGAAAAAGTCAAGTCCAGAATGAGCTTCAAGGTAGGAGACCGCTCATCAACAAGTCCAATACTATGCGCACCTTTTTCTGTTGTGTTCTTGTCCTCCACATTAGTACTCCGAACAGCCCAGCACATTGTTTAGCCCTCAGGCGACCAATCAACACTTCTCCATGCTGACCAAACCCATAGGNGACACCTCGACACATACCGCTTCTGCGACGACGTGTGGACCTTCATACTTAAGGACGTCAAGGTCAAGCTGGACAACTCGCAGCAGATCGAGGTCGAGAAGGTCAGAATCGTCAGCTTGCTCAACGCCACCTCTGCCCATAACGGTGGCAGAAGTAGAACTTCAGAGGCAACAAGTCCAGGTGGTACAAGATCAAGTAGCCTCTGGCGTGGAAGGCACAATGGATTTGATTTAGGGTTCATGGCGTACAGGAGCAATAAAGGAGTACGAGTGAAATTATAATGAATACTCGGCACTGAGAGTGCATCTAAAGGAAAAGAGGGTGAGAGATTGAGAGAGATTCAACCAAAGAGCAGTTCATAGGACAACTCCCTATGGACATGCATGCTTCGTGATCTTGATCTTGTGTATAATCTCCGTGATCTTTCTTGTGTATAACTATGCCGATATTGAAGTCATTGGCCAAGGGTCCCTTCACCGCCTTGTGGTTGCTTGGCAGATCAGACTTGGATGCGGAGGACTTTTCGAGCCCGACCGCGGCAAAAATTATACCATCTTTTCGCGCCTCGCCAACAAACTCGCGGTCCACTCCTCGGCACTTCGATTTTACTGCTGTTCGGATAGAAACATACTGCCGACCACACATATTCTGTCATATTTGCTGTCGGACCAATATCACCATGCCCGCACCTACCGCCCTCCAAAGAGCTGCCCCCGAGGACATTGCTCAAAACTTGCACGAAACTCCCGTCGCTGCCAACGATGAGGACGATGAGATGCTCATCAGCACCACCGACGCCCCTGCTGTCCAGGCTACCGCCCAACCTTCAGAAGACACAGCCATGACCGTCGACTCGCAACCACTTTTTGCTGCCGAGAAGGCTACCAACGCTCACGTCCGTTCCGAATCGCGCAAGGTCGCCGTGCCGCCTCACCGTTGGACTCCCCTGAAGAATGCCTGGCCCAAGGTCTATCCTCCCNTGGTCGAACACCTCAAATTGCAATGCAGAGTCAATACCAAGAACAAGAACGTCGAGCTTCGCACAAGCAGATTCACCGATGACACCGGAGCACTGCAGAAGGGCGCAGACTTTATCCACGCTTTCTGCTTAGGATTTGACTTGGACGACGCTATTGCATTGCTGCGTCTGGATGATCTGTACATTGAGACTTTCGAGATCAAGGATGTCAAGACGCTTCAGGGCGAACATCTGGGCAGAGCTATTGGCNAGTATGTGACATTCAACGACCCAGTCATCAGAACCGTGCTGACTGTATTTCTAGGAATTGCTGGAAAGGACGGAAAGACCAAGCACGCTATTGAGAACGCAAGCAAAACTCGTGTAGTGCTCGCAGATTCAAAGATTCACATTCTGGGTGGTATGTTATACCGAGCGGTTTTGTTTTTGCAAAACACTGACGACTTGCGCANNGGATTCAAGAACATCCACATGGCCCGTACCGCGATTGTCTCCCTTATTCTTGGTAGCCCGCCAGCCAAGGTCTACGGCAACCTCAGAACCGTCGCCTCGAGAATGAAGGAGCGCTTCTGAGCGTAGCATCGCATTAGGTGCATGAAAGAAGAGAAGATGAGCATACAATCAATGGATAAGCAATGCTGTGGGAATGATGATCCTTTTCCCATCTGGCAGTCGAGGCGAGCAATGGCGTTGGTGGTTGGGTGTACCTTCTTGACAAAATCTGGGCAAAAGGCATAAGGGATGGCGTTTCAAATACTAAATCATGAGCTTGCTGACTATATGCATGCGAAGAATCAACTCATTTTCAATCATTTTCCTGGCCTGCGTCGAACACACGAGCTCAGGCTCCTCAAGAAGTCGAAGGGTGGACATAGAGAGGAGAAGCACAGAAGAGTGGCTTTGGAAGACCAAGGGGTTGTTGGTAGGGGACCATGACGTGATTGATGTTGTATTGGTGAACAACGAAGTCCTTCTACTGACAGTCAACGCTGTCGCCAGGCTTGTTGTAGGTCAGAAAGTGAACACTTGGATTCTTCTGGACCAGCTTCACAAGCTCGTTTGTTATTTTTTGCGCGCAATTCAGTTGCCGTTTGCTGAAGATTAGATTCTTCTCACTTCTTCCGCTCTCTGCTTCTCGCTTGCACACTGCTCATCTTCTAAAACGCATCGCCTTACTGCACCACAGCAGTTCCGCATCCTAACTTCACTTCAACCACACAGCGTAAGCCAAGCAACTTTCCCATTTCTTCTACTGCAGGCTCTCTAACGAAGAGACAGATGGCACCTTGTTCCGTGTGCGCCAAACCAGGCAAGGCGTGCTCAGGCTGCCACAACAGCTTCTACTGCAGTCCTGAGTGTCAGAAAGAGGACCGGAGAACTCATCGCCTACTCTGCAAGACGTTCAAGGCCTTCGACGACGATCACCGTCCCACTACTACCTCCAAGCGTGCCATTCACTTCCCTGAGAAGGGCAAGTGCGCATTCATCTGGGTCGAGATACGCTCTGAGAATCCTTTGTTCCACCACTGGATGACTCCCGATCTTCGTATCATCTTGGGCGAGGACGATCCAAAGACCCTGAACATGCCGCGTGATTTTGCCGCAGAGAAGGATCCGAGACACATCATCGAGATCAACTATCGTGATGCTTTCACGCAGTCTGGCTCGACTCCCAAGCAGAGCATCGCTAGTATGGTCTTTGGTAAGACTAATGTTGCTTGGTCCGGTCCGGTTGTCGCATGTGGTCGCGGTCTCAACTTTCACTCTCACATTTATCAAGACCTGGACACTACCGACCTTCGATTTCTTGACGAGTTTCTCCAACGCTACGGTATTATCAGAGGTGTCCGCATCAATTGCAATGTTACCCAAGAGCTTTTCGGCAAGCCTATTTTCGAAGAGATCTTCATGCAGGAAAAGAATGTCAGTGAGCTGTTCTCAGAAGGTCAGCAATCCCAAATTGCCCATCGAATTGGTACTCCTCTCCGCGCTTGCCTCGAGATTCCTTCCGAGGATATGGAAGATCCACTCATCTCTATGAAATACTCGTACGCTACCTGGCTCTACATGAACTGCGATCTTGACACCAAGCATGACTTGAAGACTTGGGGCAACGCGCCTGAGTATCAGGGAAACGCTATCGTTGTGAGACAGGACAAGAAGCGCCTTTGTCCAAAGTATCTTGAAGCGCTGTTTTCTTGGTGCTGGCAAAACCTACAGCCCAAGTTCAAAGCAGTCACGAAACAGTCAAAGGCCAAGCGGATGCAAGTCTTGGCTCAAGTGACGAAGGAAGACTTCGAACTTTACCGAGAAGAGTACGAAAAGGAAGGAAAGACTCCGAGCTACGACTGAGACCCTATGGTAGATCTCATGTATGGTCTTCTCAAGCGTACCAAGATCCCTACGACCAACAACGGCCCGACCAACGCTGTTCGCATCAACTGCAGCGTCAGTCAGAAGATTTACGGCAGACCTGTCTTCGAAAGTGTCACAATGCCAGACAAGGTGGTCGAAGAATTGATGGAACCTTGGGTGCTCAATGGCCAGTCATCTCAGATCGCCCGTCGCATTGGCACTCCTCTCCGCGCATTCATCGAACATCAGCACCAAAGAACGCCTGACGTTCGTATGAACTGGCCGTACGCCGTATATCCTCACGTTAGCTGTGAGCTCAACACAGAGGAGGACTCCAACATCTGGGGATGGGCACTGGACTACTGGAAGATGAATGCCGGTGATGCCTACGTGATCAGAGAGGATGGAGAACCGCTGTGTCCTAGATTCCTTGAGATTCTGTGTGCTTGGTGCTATCAAGAGTTGAATTTCGCCCGGGCCATGGAGGAGCTCCACACTGTTCCTGTCGACAACAGAAAGGATATCCTTGCTCTGGTTACCAAGGAAAACTTTGAGGCTTACAGAGAGAAGTTCGAGAAGGAAGGCAGAGTTGCAGACTACAACTGGCAGGAGCCTTTGAGCGAAGATTTGAAGGAGATGCTTCTTGCAGAAGGAGTCCAGGNNTCTGAAGGCGTCGGAAAGAAGGAGATGGTGTTTTGAACTACACCAACAGCGGCAAGTTTTATCAGATGATCAAATCTCCGCTACAACCGACATCGGAAAGCAACCCCGACTGATAGTAAGTTTGTCACAAATAACTGATCTCCAGAGCTGACCAAGTTTCATTGCTAGATCTGTACGAAGAGTATGGCATAGCCGAATACACGAGGGTTCAACAGCAGACCATAAGTCGCTATGGACAAACATGCACCGCGGTATATATCACTCTGTGAGCAAGGATCGTCTATCGTGCATCGGCACGTGAACAACCTCATCACTGGATGGAGGCGGGGTAGATCATGTAGTAGAGGGGTGGAGGGGTACCATCGACTCGGTACCTTCAAACCTCCTGGAGCACCTTGCTCCCGGTGCTCTTTACAATCCAAGCTCCTTTTCCATATTCTCGTTATTCAAATGACCTTGACACCAATGGCGAAGCCAACAACCCGATACTGCCGAAAGGATTCGGGTATTGAATTAGACGATAGCTACGAGAAGACCTCCTTCCTCACCCTCCCAGCCGAAATCCGTACCCAAATCTGGAGCCTCGTCTTCGATCCAGAGCAAAGCTACAAAGACGCCTTTTCATGTCCCAGATGCACTGAAGAAGCACCCTCAGCTCTCCAAGAAGATTACTGGGCATCGATATACCTCCAACCCTTACTGACCTGCCGCCAATTCTATCAAGACGCCCATCTCCTCGCTTTCTCCCGCACGACATTCGTGATCCGTAACCCGTATACCGTCCTCGACATCTCGGGCCGCATAAACTCGACCCTCCGTCCTGCCCAGATAGCCTCTCTTCGCAGTGTAGCCATCATCTCCGAAGCCCGCCATTTCCGCCAGATGCACTATTGGAAGACTCATGCGTTTGGGATACCTGCTCTTCAGCTTGAAGACATGACGATTATCTTGCACAGGTCGTCGTACTGGCATTACTTGTTCGATTTCAATGTCATGATGACACAGATGCTGAGGAATTTTAGTGGCGTCAAGAAGATATGCTTTGTGAGGAATCATGCAAGAGTAAAGCCGCATTTTCATACTTGGTTCAACAGGTTTGTGGGAGCGATGATGAGGTTGGATAGGGTGGAGAGGTTTGGGAGGAAAGAGTGTCGGGCGGAGAGGACGTGGTGGAATTGGGTTTATGATGGGAATAAGCAGATTGCGACACTGATCAAGGTGCCCAGCAAAGATGCGAGGTGGGATGTTGAGACATATGATGAGGTTATGGCGCCCATGACGGAGTGGTTGAAGAAGAGTATGGAGGTGGAGGAATATGATCCGGATCCGATGTCGAGGCTTGGGTTTGTTTAATACCTACCTTTACATCTTCAACTTATGGATTCAGTCATCATCAGCCAGGCAGATGCCTTTGGATGTGCCGGATATCACTGCTGTTAGCAAAGTGTTGAAGCCTCCCGTTGAATCCAATGTCGAGGCTTGCGTTTATGTGGTACTTATCTTGTGTATTTTCAATACATGAAGTTGAACAACTAAAGCAGATCCGCATACACCTACATGTTGACTGCCACTATCATCAATAAATGTGTGGTCTTGCTGTCTTAGTGTGCGTGGCCAAAGTTTGGTAGGCTTCACAACCAAGAGGCAGCTCAGACAACGACCCTCACAATTTCTCAATACCATCTGTCAGATACTGGCCCTCAATAGCACTGACTGACTGATTGGTGTAGTGTCCCGGATAGCTCAAACTGGCACCTGGTAGCCTAGCTGTGCTCATCCCCAGTCGAGAATACCTTTACCTTCTATGACAAAGGTCGGTTAGTCTAGTGGCTATGGCGTTTCCTCTTACAATTGGAGGCCCTAGAGCAAACAAAAAGTCCCCTAGGGACGAGTTACTAGGTGTTTTGGGACCAAAAATGGATTCAAAAAACATTGATCAGTGGGGGTCGAACCCCGACCTTTTCCGCTTTACAGAGTGCTATTTGACCTTATAGGTCGTCACAAATGTAAAGGAAACGTCATAACCACTAGACTAACCGACCTTTGTGATAGAATATCGAGGGATCCTTGCAATATAATGTGGAATGCAGAAGGTGGGGGGAGAAGCCTGGGCGAAAATTTGCGCAAAAACGCCTCAACTCGAGGCTTCCGAGGCTCAGCCGCTACCAGCAGGACACTTGAGGTAAAGCATGGGAGCAAGGGGATCAAAGATCGGACAGAAAAGCCGAGAAGATGAGAAATCTTTTTGGAGAGCAGAAATCACAAGAAACCTCCAAAGCAAGACTCGAATCTCAAAGCATAAAATGACATAAAAACATGTTCCGCTAAGAGTGTCTTGCTGTCTGCAACAAGATATGGAGCACCACTCATATACTGAGATTTGCTGCGTGGATATAGGAAGTGTTTTTCGATGTCTTTTGAACAAGATGAATGAGTTTTAGAAATGACTACTTAGTCACCGATTCACTGAATACCTTTCATCATACATAGTGGAGTTGGTCCTATGTACCTGTATTGTGTTGGTAGTGGAATAGAATTGAGACAGGACGAGAGGTCGTTGAGAGCGTCAGTCTTGGCACAACGCAACACACCCAAAACGACCAGCCCGTGACTCTATCAATCTTTACAGCAAACAACAATCACAGTTATTGAATAGAAGATGGATCATACTCAGACTCAACACAATCCTCACGCTGATACCAACCAAGATCATGTTACTCGACCAAAACCTCCAGTAGATATCGAGAAGCAATGTGGTGTCCCTCTCCCCAGCGGCGCTCAGTGCGCTCGGAGTTTGACTTGCACACGCCATGGATTTGGTGCAAAGCGCGCTGTGCCAGGCAGGAGCGCTCCCTTCGATCAGCTACTTGCTGAATATCAGCTTGCGAATTGAAACAGACTACAGAGTACGTTCCATCGCGTCCATGAAACCACGTTGCCAACATTGTTTCGATGTAAGCTCGATCAATCGACGGAAATCCGAATAGCGAAATCGCTCGTTCATCATATATGAGTTGTTCCCATCTGATGATCTCATGCCTTCATCTATCGGAGAACAAGCGACCCTACCAGGTGTTCCATCAGGGTGTGAGCGGACATTCTTCAGAGCACAGGGTGCCTCAGGCGGCAAGAAGATATTGGAATCTCTTGAGCTCGCACGATCTTGAAACAAGATTCAGACTCTTGCATTTGGCTTGCAACTAGATCAGAATACAGAGCACTCAAATTCATCTGAAGCCATGATACTGGCTGTCTCCGCGATTCGAATGTAGTCCTGATGTCAAGCGGACAAAGCTCGACCTGGAATCTCGAATGTCACTCTCGGTACAGATTTGGCCAGTACTCCCTTCCCGTCTCACTGCATCTTCGCTGTTTGGTTGCTTGCTGCTGGTCGGCGACAAAGCAGAGCCAACGCGTGCAAGGTGTAGTATTGTCCAACCATGTAGCAACGATGAAGACCATATTTGTGTTCGCATGCCGCACAAGCTCAGCTTGAACAACTAAGTAAGGAAGTCATGGCATCATATGGTTAGGGGACCGAGAACAAAGAGAGCAACTAAACGAGTGAATTTCGCGGATATGACATGCCGGACGAAGGGCTGTCTCAGCATCATGGCTCTGCTGTAGACACTCAGAAGACTGCAGAGATCAACGAGGCAGCAATTAGCATACCATCGTCCCAGCTGCTTGTTGTACCCTCAACGCAGGCACTACAGGTACCTGCGACTCTCAAATGGCAAGTAACACAAGATGCGGACATCCAAGCTCCAAGCTCTCCTAAGCGATCCTCGGTCTTAGAATCACCGTACCACCACGCAACGGCATACCTCACCACCGATGACTGAGATGGTGCACGCCATCGAGAACGAGATCATGCAGTGCACGATTCGGCAGTCGATAAAGCAAGACATGAGTGACTGGAAGGTTCGCGACTGAATGCCCATGAACATGGCAGCGCAGCAGAGACTGTAGATATCTGATACAACAAGTCTTCAGACATTGTCCATCTTTCCGAAAAAGGTGTCGATTGAGACTACTGCGAGCCGATTTCGCTTGAATTCTCATGAAGCATAAATTTACCTTGATCAAATGTCAAGCACGAAGGTTTTCCAGAATCGAGACCAGGGCGTATATCTCGCTTGACATCCAGCGGTCAATCAACCTTAAAAGATAAAGGTGCCATGACGATGCGATTTTGACTGTGCAAATATTCACAGGTTGCGCGTCGAGACCTCTGGGGTTCGTTATATCGATTTTGCTCTGCCGTGTCGCGTTTACGAACCAGAAGGTCACAGAGCCGTGTTCGTAATCTAGACATGTCTTTCCAAATCCCGCGTTGCGAGGCAAGACATATTCGTCGTCAATATTCGTTGGAAGGTAAGAACCGTTTTGTTGCCTCACACAAACCACGCGATGGGGAAACTTCGGTGGAAGGCTTGATCGAACATGTACCGCGACGCCTTCTGCATCACCCCTAACTCCCAGCTCAACGGTTTTCGCGTCACATTGCCGGTATAATCGTGCGTTACACACTTGTTTGCTCTGTCGATGTCGTGCTCCCATAATATCAGACCGAACCTGCTGTGATGCCGCTTTACAAGAACCCAGGTAATTTATGATCCTTTTGCTCCAGCAGACAGATGTCAAAGGTAGGTCTTAGAATGACATTCGGCCAGACCGACTCGTTGTCAAGGCGGTCTATCGATTCAAACCGTTTCTTAAACGTCGAGATTATGGAGTTTTGTATGGAGGCGTCCAGGGCCAGCAGGAATGCTGAAATAGAAAATCCACATCCTCTCCATTCTGTTTTGTTCAGTGTTTGCTACCAATCTTTTCATTCGCTCGTTCACGCATTCTCTCAAGATGCGCAATATCTCTACCATTTCTACCTTCGCCCTGTTGCTGGTTTCAGCAGTGGCAGGTAGTGTATCTCCCGCTGATACCACCGAAGTCAAACGCGCTGTCGAGTGCGACTTGGACTCTGGATTATGCAATGTCGAGCTTGTCGACAGAGCCGTGACGAGCACAAAGCATTCGAGCTCTTCTACTCACAAGACGACTTCGACTAAGAAATCATCTTCGACCAAAAGTCTTCTTCCACCAAAAATCGTCTTCCACGAAGAAGACTACCGCAAAGACGACCTTGAGGACTCAGGTCAAGGTTGTGACCACCAAGAGCTCAACAATCACGTCTTCGTCTAAGAAGCTTACTTCGTCATCATCATCATCATCAAAGACTACCGCAAAGAGCACAGCCAAGACGACAAGCAAGCCAGCCTCTTCCAGCTCGAAGAAGACTTCTTCGTCATCAGTTGTCAAGCCTACCACTGTCGCCAAGGCTGTGACTAGTTCGAAGGCCTCGACCTCGAGCACCAAGCCTGCTTCTAGCAGCTCGAAGGTCTCTTCGACAAGCAGCAAGGTCACTTCAAGCAGTTCGAAGGCCTCTTCTAGCAGTTCGAAGGTCACCTCTTCATCCTCAAGCTCAACGGTAAGAAATCATTTCCACCTTTTGACGTGATCACTTGCTGACAAGGATGTACAGAAGCCTTCTTCGACTTCGACTTCATCTAGTCAGAAGACCAGCAGCAGCACTTCGTCAAAGGCCACATCCACATCTGTGAAGCCATCTTCAACGACCTCGTCAGTAACACTCTTGTCTTCCAGCCCCTTAGCACATCCATCCCTGCGGCAGTAACTTCTTCGCAAGTTGCACTGTCTTTTTCTGTCAGTCTGTTGTCTTCGAGCTCTGTCTCAAGCTCCACATTCGGCTCATCTGCCGCTGTTACGTCCGCTTCGTTGAGCAGCAGCTCCTTAGTGGCTAGTAGCTCGTCTCCATCGAGCAGCAGCAGCAGTTTGAGTCTCTCATCCTCAAGCACATCTAGTGTCAGCTTGGCTGCTGCTGTTTCAACGTCATCGAGCGCTAGCTCTGCTGCCCCTTCGTCTTCTTCTGTCCTGCCATCCTCATCTTCTGCCTCTGCACTATCGTCTTCGCAATCTTCTTCTGCATTTGCAAGCCCTACTCAAATCACATCATCTTCTGCTGCCCCGTCATCAACATCGACCTCCTTGAACAGTACACTCATATCCTCCAGCAGTAAAACCTCCACCTCCATTAAGCCTACCACCAGTTCGACATCTGTCAAGCCTACTACCAGTTCGACCTCTGTCAAGCCCACCACTAGTTCAACCTCTGTCAAGCCCACCACCAGCTCGTCCTCGATTAAGCCTACCACCACTTCCAAATCGTCTTCAGCAGCGTTGAGCAGCAGCTCTAGCAAGACGACCTCTTCGGCAGCCACTACTTCTTCTGCCTCTTCCTCTTCGACTTCTTCAGCGGCAGCAACATCTTCAGCATCTGCTTGCAAGAAGCGTAGAAGAAAGCTCAGAAGAAGAGCCGCTCCTGCTCCTGTTGCGACACAGGCTCCTGTCATGAAGCTTGCTGATCTGCCGCCTGGCGCTGTTTCGGATATGCTTTACTAAACTCAAGCAAGCTTGTTGACCGAGCTTCTTGTTGGATTGTTTCCGTTCTTCTTGCGGATTTGTATACGTTAGACTCTTGTGTTGCCTTTGCTTAATCTAATAAAAAATATGGTAGTTGCAGGATCCACACAGTTTAATGAACACATTTACTTGAACACTCCATCGATGCAGAACAATGCTAGTCTTGATTTGCTTATGCAGCCATCGGGCTTCTTTAAAATGTCCGATTTGGTCAGCTTGAATCGCACCTTCCCATCTTGACCCAAAAATCGTCAAATCAGGTGTAAGTATGTGGAATCGCTCCTTCCACTCTCTAGGCGCTGTACTCCCATTTTCTTCTCCTCACGACTTCAACTTCTCTCATTTGCATCCACCATCACCAGCACACTCGTCATCATCAAACCAAGCGAAGCCATCAGCGACGGTGCAGCTACGCGACGCAACGCTTTACTCTGCTTTCCTCGAGGGGATCGTGAGACCTAGAAGGTATTCGCATTATTATCCCTCTGTTTGACGCCGTCGTACTGATTTCAAGTCTGCTCTTGCGTCGTGAGTCATGGGGTGCAACGTGAAGAAGCGGGTCGCCCGGCCTATCGGACGGACAGTTGTTTGAGATGATCAGTGTGTTGATGGTAGTTGAAAACAGAGATGAGGTGAGTATTGCACGCGAGCGTTCATGACGATGCATGGCTGACGAGCCGACTTCAAGACCACGATCGATCGCTTTATTGCCGCTGCCTTACTCGTGCCCTCCCCGTCATCGACGTCGCGTCTTCTTCGACACGAGGCCTGGTCATCACAGTCAGTCACCTGTCATTACAACATATTCATCGTCGAGTGCAATGCCCGTCATGGCAAGAAGAAGTCCCGACAACCACACTGTTCTCGAAATCCGAGTATAACAAAACTCGATTGGAGATGTTCGTCATGATCATGTTCGCATATCTACTGCCACACATTGAGTACATTCAATAACCTTTACTGCTCGATGGCATCACTCTCGGGCGGACCCTTGTATGTCTTCCTGGCGTATACCACATAGAAGAGTCCCGCCAGACCCAAGAATCCAAAGAGAACAACACTGGCGTAGTTCATCGACACCTCGGTGACAGGCAGTGCACCAGGCATGGAGAACAAAACCAACTCGAATCCGATCCAAACTCCCGCAATGATGTTGATCACTTTGCCCTTTGCGTTGCCGAGATTCCAATTTGCGGTGTTGACTTCTCTGCGTGAAGACAGAAGGGAAAGGATAATCGGGATGGCGTAAGAAACCGCTAGTCCGATGACACCCACAGACACAAAGGCTGTGAAAGCAGAAGAAGAGCCGAGGTTGATCAAGCCCAGCAGCAATTGAATCAGCGTGAGGAGCAAGATGGCATTGAGTGGAACACCCAGCTTCTCGTTCACTGTCGCGAACGTACCAGGAAACGGCAGCGCATGATCACGGGCTACAGCCCATGTACACCTACTCGCGGCCGTAGTAATGCTGATGCTGCAGAACAGTGTGATCGGTAAGACCAAAAATGTCAAGCCCAATCCACCACCAGGTGTACCCATGATCTTGTGGAAGATGAATGGCAGTGCTTGAGCAGCAGGCGCGTCGACAATTTCGGACATATTAGGGAGTAATACGCAGATCGGAATGACGAAGAACAAGCCCGCAAGTCCCCCTACAGGGACGCAAAGGGCCAGTGCTTTTGGGACCTTGACAGAAGGATTGTCGCACTCCTCGGCCATTGAGGAAATCATACCCAGAGCGGCGAAGCAATATGCCGGCGGTAATAGCCCGATGAAGAAGGTAAAGTTGCCATAACCTGAAAATGACTTGTCGTAATGAGAGAGGGCGTAAGCAGCAGAATGACGTCCCGCATCTGCTTTGGTGGACAACGCGATGAGAATGATAAGGATACTGATGGCTGTAAATGCAGCACATATCGTGTCGACCATCGGTAGGAACTTGTTGCCAAATGCGCAGATGAGCAGAGTGGCGATTACCAGGGAGTAGAAGATCAACAGGAGCTCCCAGTTCGTCATCACGTAGTCTGGATGGTATATCCCGACAGCTCCTGCGATAAGCGATGCGAATCCAAAGTTCACGGATAGTGTTATTGTCCAGTTTCCGATTAGCCATGTCCAAGCGTTTATGAAGGATAGAACGGTGCGAGCCTTGGGAGAGGAGAGTTGGTATGTCCAGTAGTAGGGGCCAGCGCTCGTTGGGTAGCGAGAGGCTAATTCAGCGAGGGAAAGCGCGATGCANTCTGTGAAGGAGAACAGAAGTCAGTATTAAACTACAGAGCAAAGATAGGAAGGCGAGATTTCATACTCGTCCAGGAGACACACGACTATCCAACCAATAAATATAGAGAGTTGACCGCCGCCGTAGATGACACTCATAAGTGGACTGCCTTCGCCATATGCNTGTCAAAAATATATCAGTGACTGTGTAACAGTATTGCAGCGGTGAGTCTACATACGAACGGCAGCCATGGCGAGAGATTGGAACAACAACGTGAGCATGGATCTATTCCTCGTCAACTCAGGTTTGTAGCCGAGTTGAATAAGATCATGGATCTCTCCCACGCCATTATCTGTCCGAGTATGTGTATGTGAAAGNGCCTTTTCATCTGCCATGCTAGGTGATGGAGCCTTGACGGAGTCTTCAGACATGGTTGTTGTGTTCTGTCGAGTTGGACAGATTTAGGTATTGAACCTATGGGAAAGGAAGGGTCGCAACGAGCACAGAAATAGCTGTGTATTCTGAAAAGACACAAGAAGAGAAGATTACCACGACCAGGACAACTGAAAAAGCGACACAAAGAAATTGTACCTGGTGACCAACCTTTGTATATCTGTGTACCCCTCTTGGTCCTAGAGCCTCATCAAGATTAACCATCCATTCACGTGCGTAGAGCCTACAACGCCCACTGTATGGTACCATGTTGGCCTTATCAGTGAGTGAGACCCAAGCAAGCCTGTGTCGTTTGATAGGTTGGTCGAGATATCAGCCCAATCAGGATAGTATCTTGACCACTCTTCCGATGATCCTCCGGTTGAAGGGCTAAACCATTTGTGGTCTATCTTCCCGTCCATACAGAGATCAGGGAATCGATCCAGCCTTGGATTCAGACTTATCTCTCGTGTTGCTGCAGTCAGCGATATGAGCTGTAACCTGCATGTTGATGTGGAGGTCGAACACATGGCGGAGTAGAAGGATCACGCATGTCCTTGTGGGTTACTGTTTTGTGTTGGTAGATAGACCGGTTGAAAACCTTGGTCAGCTTAAAGGCTTTTGATATCTGTCCCATTACCTGTAACTCCAATTGATGAGAAGGTCGAGGTGTGTGCAGAAGGTGTGAAGGATGAAGGCGTCAGCCGTTCTGAAGCCTGAAGCCTGATAAGGCCACGTATCACTAAGGACGTGAGTTTCGCAAAACAGGCAGACCATACAAATGAGTCTCTCATCCTATAGCCATCCTGAGGTCCGAATTCGAGTGCGGAACAATAGAGAGGAAGGTGCGACCCTAGACATGATGAGGTGAAGGTGGGTCGATCTCAGACCCAAGCACCTCCGCTCGGTCAGATGCCTCAGACAGGGACTTGAGTACTTTGTGAGACAACTCAATAGCCGCGCAGCGCCGCCTCGGCCACAGTGAATCGTTGCAAGTCGAAAAGATCAGTGCCAAGTTGATCCTGTTTGGGCCTGCCTCATCTCACGACCTTTCCATCATGCCACAGCCATGGTCTAGGATCATTTTGGCGTTGATCTTTTCAACTTGCAACGATCCGCTGTGGCCGAGTGGTTAAGGCGTCAGACTTGAATGTCCTCGAGACCGATATCTGATTCCCTAGGGAGCACAGGTTCGAACCCTGTCGGCGGAGACATGCTTTTTGGACTTTTTGCTGGTCCGTGGGGCTCTGAACGCGTCCAGTGTCTGGCAGGCGATAGACACATATTTTTGATTGATAGTAAGTGACAAAAGAGTAGGAGAAAATGTTGAGTTGAGAAGGGAGTGTTGTGGAGAGGAAAATTGGACTTTTACAAAAGGACCGAGATTTGAAGCCGGGATACCTCTTCCACTTACTCACGCTGTTGACGAGTACCTGTACCAGTAGAAAGCATCATGCCAGTATCGCCAATAGCATGAGAATTGGCAGGGGTTTTCACAATCGAAGTTTCGAAAGTGTTCACAGCGGTTGCTCTCAGAAGTACTCACACTACAGATTTTTAGCGAGAGTCAGAATACAAACACAAGGACATTGATCACAAACTCACAAGTACTTTTTCTATCAGACACATCTACGCATTTTGTCTTGTGTCGAACCTCTCATGTGGTGAACATCACTTGTTTTGAAAGTTGGTAAGTGAGGCCTAGGAACGCGACTTCCTGACTGGAGAACTGGACGACCCTGCTTCAAGCTCATCTTGACCCATTGTCGTTCAACAACATGATGATCGCATGCATAAAAGTTTTGTGTTATCTAAAACGAGCCACATCCACATGGTCCAAATGACAAAAAATAAGAATCTCGCATTGAATGACTCCAAAAGTGCCGTCACGAATAGGCTTATAGGGACTCGCCTGCAACACTAACTATCCAAACCGAAGCATCTGTTGCATCATTGTGTACATACCCCTAGCCACGCACTTCTAGCCCAGATCTCAAATCTCCTTCGGGTCAAGTTCCATCTCTGCAGCAACCCTTTCCTCCTGTTCGAAGTATGCAGTTGCCAGCCCACTAGCCCCGAACCTCGCAGATCTGATGATTGAGTCGTCTGCGCTATCATACTCGTAAAGAACAATGACTTTGCCTTTGTGTTCGAGACTCAGAAACGACGTCTCTGCCACCCCAGCCATGAATTGGTCATATTCATTCATGCTGTCGGCAGAGATGACGTCTCTTACACTGAGTCTCATAACTTGTAAGCTAAAGAGAAGCTGAGGTTGACACCAATGAGGACTTTCCTGTGCCGAATTGCCGGAGGATGCTATTGTCGGAGTACAAGAGTGTCGACTGTAGGTTGAATTGTCTGATGAGCACAGATGATTGCTCTGTGCGTCGCAAAATGTTGATGATGGCCAGATAGAGCGGGCGCTATTCTAGAACTTAGGAAGAGTGATTTGGGATGAACAGAAGAGTGGTGAGATAGGTATCGGATGGTTCCGATTAAGGTGTGGTCGAAATAGTTTTAGATCAGGCAAGGAGTGTGGTGGGAAGAATGCCTTAGCTGAATACTGCCGTTTCAATAGAGAGCTCCAAGATCAGCCGACACAAGTTCTGCTTCTCTGACAACGTACGAAAAAGGCCTTACGCACGTAAGTCATCCTAAACCTGTTGAGTCCCAAGAGCGACACTTGAGAAAACGAAGCGAGCTGGTATGGTCATCTATAAGTAGAACAAGTCCTGTTTTCCAAGTCTCTTGTCGTAGTCAGTGATGAGAACCCACAAGGGGTCAACCGTGGCCCGCAGTGTTTAAGCTGTGGTCGAGATGATTCCCTGATTAAGGGCCAGCTTGATGCGTTGATTGCTTGCATGGCCATAGGTTCGACAAAGCCGATTCATGCTGACTGGCAGCTGCAAGACAAAGATCAGAATATCTTACATAGTGAACTGATAGTCACACCAGAAAGCGCTGGAACGTCACCTACCTACAGTTGTGACGGGGGTGGACTTTTGCAACAAAAGAATCACTGTAGCGGGAAGCATTGATCCAAATTGCCGATGGTTTGCTGCTTCTACAAGATGAGAATTTAACTGTCGAAGCGGACGATTGCACACATGAAAATCAATGACCTGAGCAAGCAGAGCGCTGTCGGAACTGCTACAGCAATAGTACAGCTCATGATGCCGGAGCACAGCAGCGGACCTGTCGGGAGTCATGCAGCGGAACAATTGGATTCGGATAACGCCGGCTCTGGTTTTCGTAACAAGTTCGGGTCCAGCATTTTCGGCGTTGCAGTTCTACAAAAGAGCCTCAGGCAAACCGATGGCCGGTTGACGGCAAAGACAAAGTTTTACCAAGAGCAAATGAACGCGGAAGAGAGAGGAAATTGGTGCCTTGAAGCAAAAGAAATAGGAGACTCATGACTCTTCTGATTTTTGTTGCCCTAGAGGAAAAGAAGACCTCGATCAGTATGTTGGAGAGAATCGCTCGATCGTCACGTCAAGTTGAGGGATGAGGACAAAACTGACGTTGCCAAGGCCAAGGATTATGGGGGACGACTGCTGGAGGAGCCGCATGTGAGAAGGGAAAGTTGAATGCGATTCAGCAAAGTGCGGAGCATGATTGGAGCGATGTCTTTCATGTCAATATTGGATGACAAGGCTCCAGGATTCGGGCATGAATGGAAAAGTTGAAAGTCGGTGACAGGCATGAATTGAGGGCTTAAACCAATCGTGTTCTCTGGTGGGCTGTGGCACTGCAGCAGCGCCGTGAGTGGTCTTGAAAGATGTCACTATTCGCGACTGCCATCTTTTCGCAGACTGACGTAACCAGGTATGCGTTTCAAGCAGGGAACGTGGTTGCAGCACGGAGATGTCGGCCGACCACCAATTTGCTCGAAGCGAACGAACCGCCATGATAAGACTCTATTTCAAGGAAGAGATAGAGTATAGGCAAGCAGTATACAAGTACTATAGTTGGCAGATAGTTAGAGAGGTGTAGAAACAGGAAAAGAGAAAGCTGGCCGGGTTGCTAACGGAAGGTGATGGATCATGATGGTAAGTGGCTTGATTCACGATTGCACGCGCCCCACGCACAGCAGCGCGGACATCATCTTTCCACCGTGCAGCTTCCTTTTACTCTCTCTAGACATACATCATAGGTCTGCCTCTCTCTGTCTTGGCTCCTTCCCTCACATTCACTCTTGAAGCCTCGTGTTTCAACTGATGACAATCCACATCTGACCACTCTGAGTCTCCACTCGTTCCTCGCACTCGCCCAGTCTGCCACAAACACAAGTCAGACACAGCCTGGCATACAACAGCATTGCTGCACACAATTCTTCAGCAATGGCTTCGACTCCTTCAGAAGACTCGGGCAGTCCGCTGCAGTCGCCCTCATCCACAGCCTCCNCCNCAGAGTCTCCAGACTCGAGTCGCCCTCAAATGTCGCCCCACTCCATCTCTTCACCCCCGGTTCCTTCGGCCGCCAACATGACCTCGTCGTCGACCCCACTCGGTAATGTCAATGCTGCCAGACGCCCTGCCCCAACCGTCAGCACTCTCGGTCGTGGAGGTGCTGTCAACCCCGACATCATTGCCAGAATGAAGGCCTTCCACATGAACAGACAGGGTGCTCCTGCTGNNCAGGTCGTGCACCTCCCACCACTCCTGGCGCTACCACTCCCGGCCCCGGCGGTCCATCTCCGACCGGTCCTCAGATGCCTGGTGGCCTTCCCGCTAACTTCCGTATGCCACCCGGCGTCCCCGGCAGCCGACCCGNGTCCTCCAAGCTTTGCTTCCTCTCCCAACATGAGCGCTGGCAGAGGTCCTTCACTCGCCGAGAAGCGTGGTCTCAAAATGCCTGGAGGTCTTCCTGGCGCTCCCNCAGCCGCCGGCGGCAGACAAAAACCTAAGATGACTTTGTCAGGCATGAACGGCGGTGCCGGCGGTGACTCTGCCCCACCCAAGCAAGAATCCGCAATGGACAGATACGCCGAATACATTGACAAGGAAACAGGCAGTCTCAAGTTCAAGGGCAAGGCTGTTCTCAACAGCAAAGGAGTCCAATTCTCGTCAGGCCAGTCATTCCAGATTTCGCTGGACGAAGTCGACACACTTGATGAGCTAGGCAAAGGAAACTACGGTACAGTCTACAAAGTCCGTCATTCAAGACCGCAAATGCGCAAGGTCGGTCAAGGTTTGGCTGGAAACAAGGCTGGACCTGGCGAGACAAGAGATGAGACGGCCGCTCCTCGCGGAAATACAACAGGCATTGTCATGGCCATGAAGGAGATGCGTCTCGAGCTTGAAGATTCAAAGTTTGCGACCATCATCATGGAACTTGACGTCTTGCATCGTTGCGCTTCCNCCTTCATCGTCGACTTTTACGGTGCTTTCTTCCAAGAAGGAGCCGTCTACATCTGTATGGAGTTCATGGACGGTGGTTCCATGGATAAGCTGTACGGTGACGGTGTGCCTGAGAACGTTCTCCGCAAGGTCACTCTCGCAACAACACGCGGTCTCAAGTCCCTCAAGGATGAACATAACATCATTCATCGCGATGTCAAGCCAACGAATATTCTTGTCAACACGGCTGGTGCCATCAAGATTTGCGATTTCGGTGTCAGTGGAAACCTGGTCGCCTCGATCGCAAAGACAAATATCGGATGTCAATCTTATATGGCTCCTGAACGTATCAGCTCTGGTGGAGTTGCTCAAGCTGGTGCCAACCCTGGTGGTGGTACCTACAGCGTCCAGAGTGATATCTGGAGTTTGGGTTTGACCATTATTGAGTGCGCCATGGGCAGATACCCATACCCACCCGAAACATATGACAACATCTTCAGTCAATTGAGTGCAAGTATTGATCTTTTGATGATATGGTAACAAGCGCTGACCATCGTAACAGNNGCTATTGTGGACGGAGAGCCACCAGATCTTCCTACCGGCGAATTCAGCGATGCAGCACGCAACTTTGTTGCAGGCTGCTTGAACAAGATCCCCAAGCTTCGACCCACATACGCCATGCTACTTCAACACGCATGGCTCGCTCCATTGATAAAACCCGACGTCATTGCCGAAGAAGACGAAGAAGAGGCCGAGGCCGAAGCCGAGGATGCCTCTGCAACGCAAGGAGAAGGTCTTGGTGCGTCGGAGAGCGAGATTGACGCAGCATCCAAAGCACAACAATCCGGAGACACTGAGAAGTGGGTCGACCGTGAGGTTGGTGAATGGGTGCGCGGGCAGATCGAGAAGAAGAGAAACGGCACATTGGGCAGAAAGGCGAAGCCTGCACTTCATGCGGCGCCGCTCGATGCTACATCGAGTACCAACTCCAACAAGGGTGCGGTAGCAGTATAGAAGGAGGAGGCATGAAAAGAGACACGGATACGAAAGAGAAGTCGAGCACAAGCACACATATACATTTTGATGGAAAGAAACGAGAAAAGAAGGAATGTCCTTCGATCACGTACGAGAAGAGAGACGAGAATCAGCAACAAGCGTTATTTCCTTTTGTTTTTCTTTTGTTTCGACTCGTCGCCGGCATACTGAGAGTATGCAAGTAGAAAGAGGGAGCCGAGAGGATACACAACATGTACATTTGCATAGGTTAGGCAGCGATTGAGATGCTCTTCAGAACAAGACGGAGAGGTATGAGATGACGATTGATCATGGAGCAGGCTGTTCACAGAGATCCAAACGCGTGACCCGGCCCGTGCCCAACTCTCTTCCCAACAAGCTCTTCACGCTCGCAGAGTTGTCAACTTCTACCCAAACACATTCGCAACCACCATCAAGGTCCCTTCCCATTTTCCTTCGCCATGCCACCACAACAAGCCTGGGCATCGCGCCAATTCCAAGACTGCGACTCGGATGGAAAATCACGCGCCGTGCAATGCAAATGGTGCATAGAGAAANAAGTCGCCTACAACAGCACGTCGCGCAAGACTTCACACCTTAAACAATGCGTCGCCTTCAACGAACACGTCGTTCAACTCGTTGAAAGCGAGAATGCCGGCGGCTACGTTTGTCGCGAGCTCGAGCTGATGCCTGCTGTTGTCTTGGAAGCTGTGCTCGACCAGACGGGCTGCAGGAGACTCCAACAAGGCCATGCGGGACAAGGCGCCGTAGGCATGGGAGCCGTGAATCCCAATCTCGGTGCCCAAGCCGCTGCTGTGCTGTATGGCAATGGCAACGTCGGTGCCCCGAGAATGAACGGCATGAACGAGACTCCTCGCTCTGAGCGACCAACTCCTTCATCAGCACTTCGCACTGGCGCAAACCCCATTTCTCACGCGTCGACTCCTTCAACCGTACCACAACGCGGTCCTGCCAACTTCAACCGCGCCCAGATCGACAGGGCTTTTGCGTCTGCTCTCAACCACCCTTCGACCACATCCCCAGCACTACAAGCCCACCAAACGCCCAATCAGTCCGGACTGCAGCCACCCAATGGCCCAGATGTGTCGAGTCTACTTGGCTCATTCAATTCCTCGACAGACCCGCGAATCTCAGATGCCCTACGTCTTTTGGACAAAGACACACGGGTGAGAATTGCAAGAGAGTTGTTGGATGAGGCATACGAAGGCGTGAAAAGAGCAGTGGACAACTACATTGAGAAACAACAATACCTCAATGCCATTCTAGAGGATGGTGCCGAGTTGGGTGCTGATGACCAGGGACGCTAGGTGAAACAAAGAGGAGAGGAGGAAGACACTTGTGCATTAACGATACCCACGAGGTTCTACAACTATGTTGCTTGTAAACAAAGAAGATTGCTAGAAAGGACACAGACGCGAAAGCGAGTCGCAACTTCCAAGTCTTGATAGATACAGGCGAGGCATATGAAACATCGCTTTTCTGTCCACTCGCGAATCAGGTGACGAAAAGAAGTTGATGCACATACACCTCTAGGGATCATCACTCAACCAGAACACATTACCCAACTCATGTTAGCAAGCTATGGCAAGAGGAAATAGATATCTAGACTAGTAGGAACATTGTAGAAAGACATGCTGGTTCGTTGTGATGTCAAGCTCCAACATACAGACTGTCGAACATCGGTGTTCCCTTCAAAGTCATCGCCTCAAACCTGTTCTCAATGTCGATTCAGACGTTGCGGGGTGGCTTTCGCAGTCTCATCAAAGGGCTGCTGGGTGTTTGAGCAGGCAGGCTCAAACTCATGAGAGAAATTCTCCCCAACTCTCCAGCCTGCTTGTCAACAGCACAATCACGTCACGTACAATCAACCAAAAATCATAGATTCAGCGACCATCGGCTTCAACTTGTCGTCAAGCGACCCAGTTCCTAAACGATATGGCTCGGTACAAGGAGATTTGTTGACAAACTGAGAAAACAGCTTGGTCTGTTCGCATGTTCTGAAACGCGCAACACACGTCGTTGATTTTTCCGAAGCCATTCACCTTTCTCCCTGTAAAGCGACTCTTCATGTCTTGTTCGACCTGATCATGTCTTTGGTGTCGGCAAAATTCAGCCAGTGGCTGTTGTGTCTGCAAGCTAATTCTAACTCCGGATCACCCTGCCCCGGTACAGAAAGCCACTATCCTGCACCACCTCATGATGTTCAGCTGCTCCATACACACCATCTCTGCCCTAGAAGCCATGGTACGGGCCGCACGGTAAAGTCAGGCTCACATTGCGTCTTAGAACAGTGTTCACCATCTCGGGAACCAGGGCCTTGATGGTTGCACGTACCTCTGGCAATTAATTCGGAAAGTCTCAGGCAGTGAGGTCGCGTTTTGGTGGGTGGCCGCAAAACATATAGGTAGGTGCGAAGTGCGTCAGTCTCTTTCTTCACTTTCCTTCGCTTCCAGCCACTCGTTTCGATCTCTTTCTTATACCGGGTTCAATGGCGCTGATCTATGATCGTGATCTCTGGCCGCGCCAATCTTTCGACCCTTTGTGTCCCAGCGGTGGATCATGGTACGCTTGCACAACTGGATCTAGGTTTGTCGGATGCTGTACTGGCAGTATCGACCCGTGCAATGAGAAGACGAGTTGCCCACAGAAGAACCTCAAGCCGGCGAGCTTCGACGCCGCTGAATATGGCACATTTCCGGACCAGACATGTGGCGCCAACAGCAACTGGTTTACTTGTGCTGGAACAAATCCCGCGTTCATGGGTTGCTGTAAGAGCGACCCTTGCGCGAGTGGATGCCCGACCAAAAACCTGACTGCTGCAAGTCTGAGCCTTGATGAGGCAACGGCTTCGGTGTTCATAACGCCTTCTTCGGCCGTTGCTACCTCGACAACAGCGGCGACTATCACGCCTGCTGCTTCGTCATTCGCGGGAGATCATGTAGGCGCAATCGCGGGAGGTGCAATCGGAGGCGCGGCTGGTATCGCTCTGATCGTAATTGGTATCATTTGGTGCTTGAAGCTGCGAAAGCAGGCACGCAAAGAAGAACACGAACGACAAAAGATGGCGGAAGAGTACAAGAATGATGATGGGCATTTTCACAACACCTACATCCCACCACAAGCGGATACGCCTACTGGGATTCGAGCCGAGGCTGCAGAAGAATCTCGAAGGACAGTTTATTCTATGGAAGATCCAGAAGGAATCGAGGTTGATGACCGACCTTCGCAGTCAAACTGGACAAGACCGAACACCGCAGGTACGGCCGACCAAGAGGACAAAAATCATTGCTCAACCATACTAATCGAAGAANCATCAGATCAGCACCTCACCTCAGTAACGCAGTCTTTCAACGTCAGCCCAAATGTCAGTCGACCACCCAGCGTGGGCAGTCCACCGAGTGTGGGCTACCCACCGAGCGTCGGTAACCCACCCAGCATCGGCAACTCCTGGTTCACACGCGACTCCATCTTCGCAAATGGCAATCCCCAACTCGCAAGCATACCCTCACCGGACGAGAATCGCCGCACTTCCTGGCTAGAGCAATCGCGCCATTACAATGGCAGTCCTATTGTCACACCAATCCACTCGCCTTTGCAAAACAGTCATTCCGATTATTTTGGTGCTTATGAGAACCATCGACGCAGTACGTCGCATGCTACTCAGTGTCCAATCTCACCACAAAATCAATACTTTGAACTGGATGATGCGCAATTGAGCCCGCCGGTGGAGCTCGAAGCTATTGAGGCAACACCAAAGAAGCAAGAAGAGGGTACATGGCAGAGTGTGCTACAACAGCCGCCACAGACACGTTGTCGACAAAACGTGGAGGAAGGACAGACTAGTTCTGCATACTTCTCGCCTGATGATGTTGGAAGGCCGCATAGCAGAGGTTGAGAAGCTTGAATTTTATTGGTGTTGGTCTCAGCACTGGAGAACAGCAGCACCCACGAACTTCACGATTTTTACATTACGAAATTATCCATATACCATTCCCTGCACCTTTCGAGAATATATGGTCAACTCCTATTCCATGTGTAACTGTCAACTCTTCGCTTTTGATGATTGCGCTTGCAGTTGCTCTCTCTGGTTCGCACGCGGTTACGATGTAACTAATAAGAATTTACGATACTCTAAAGATTCAAGTGACATCCAAGGAGATGTAAGCTCTCGAGGCTATTTTTATGCACACACATTCAATCCTGCAAGTAGTTGTGTATTTTGATAGCATACTATAGCATTATGTCTGAATTAGGAGAATTTCGATCGTAAGAATAAGACGATACTGAGCATGCCCGATGATATTGTTATTGTTATGTGAGGGACGCGCAACGGGTTCAGTTGACTCTCGAGTATGTCTTGCACATGTACGCTTTNTTGAGTCCAACTTTCTCAATGTTGTGAGCACTGATTGAGCCCTCTCTCGCAGAGGCAACCACAAGATCACATTCCCGATCCTTGGCCACTCGAAGTCTTTCCAGAAGTAATGCTTTGTGAACGCCTTTGCCTCTGGCACTTGGTAGACAGCTGTCGATGCATAAAAGTGCGACTTAGCTGCCTTCTGCTTCGATCATTGCCATCGCCGCTGTACCGAGCAAGTTGCCATCCATCGAATCCAAGAATAAGATTGTATCCGAACGAGCTACTGCGCTCTCTGCAAGGACTTTCGAGAGTTCTGCAGGGCGGCCAGTGCTACCAAAGCCTTCGATCGATGCTTCAATGAATGTGTCGTGGTCGTTCGAATCCAGTATGGAGATATCAACATCATCGTTTACCACATCCGGATAACGAAAATCTGACAGAGATCTTTGGTATTAGCACAGAGAACCAGTGATCGTATAATGAGCTGCTAGCAGGCTCAATGCCGAACTGTCGGCGTGTTCACAAATGTCTAGCTCCGGATGAACACCAATCAGCTTGCATGCATCCTCGACGACTTGCAAATCCTCTGTGGTGACTGGTCCAAACAATNNGGCAAATCCATATGTGTGATTAAGTTTTCGTCCAGGTGATGAGGGCGATAGGAGCGTGGTTGATCCTGCTACGTCTTTTGTGGTGTAGCCATCATTAGGATATAGTGATTGCAAGGCTAGCGACTGATGTTGGAGGTGTATGATTTCAGCTTTTGCGATTTTGCGAATCATGTCCATTTTCGTGTCCTTTGGGAGATCTGACATTGTGATTCAGATTGATGCAAGGCTGCTGAGTTGTGATCCGAATGGATTTCTGGGCAGTCCATTCGTGAGTCAGTTCCATCGGTTTAGTATACATATATTATGAGCGGAAGAGCGATCGCCGTCGGTGACTCATCAAGCTTGTGGTAAAGAAGTCCATTCTGAGTCACCAAGACACTTGAAGTATCAAATTTGCAAGACTGTATCGGGGTGGAAGGAGATAGCTTCTATCTTCTGGGGGAAATCCTCAAAGCATTTACGTCGATGGTTCATTCCTGTTCCTGTCACCTGATCATAGGGCCACCCTGGCGTCAGCAGACTGGTATAGTTCCTCCGAAGCCGACTGAGCATCGGAACAACATCTTTCCATTGTGCAGATGATATTGGCCAGAAAGAGTAGTTACAATCCCTCTGCCAAGTAGACTGTTGACATAGACAGTAGCACAGTCCAGGTTGACAAACAATATATAAGCTGCAGACGGCCTGCCAACACTGAACCACATCTCCCAGATCGAAGTTACCATGAAGACCATAGCATTGGCCGGAGCGACGACTGGCTTTGGTCTTACTGTCCTCGATCACTTTCTCAAGTCGCCACACCCATATACCTTGGTCCTTCTCACACGCTCACCACAACCACACCTCTCAGTCCAGGGCATTGATGTCAGGCCCATTGACTACTTAGACCACAAGACTCTAGTCTCGGCTCTCCAAGGTGTACACACTATCCTCTCTTTCATCGGCGGCAGTGCATCTGCCCTTCAGGACGCCCAACTCTCCCTCCTGTCTGCAGCAAAAGAAGCTGGCGTTACTCGTTTCGCACCCTCGGAATACGCAGGAAAAGGCTATGATGGTATAGACATATACGCAGGCAAAGCCATCGTATGGGATGCCGTATGTAAGAGCGGGCTTCAATATACCCGTTTCGACTGCGGCATCTTCATGAACACCTTCGCAACAGGAACCCCGTATGGTGAAATCGAAGCCCTGGCTAACCTCCGTCCCTGGAACTTCGTCATCAACATGAAAGCCGGTACGGCAGAGGTTCCGGCTTCGGGCAATGACAAAATCGTCTTTACAGAGATGAACGATGTGGCTCGATTTGTTATTGCTTCCCTCGAGTTGGAAGTCTGGCCAGAGGTGTTGGACATGAGAGGCGATGTCAAGACGTATCGCGAAGCCATTTCCATTGCGAAGAAAGTGCAGCGCAGAAGATTTCTGATCAGAGAGGATAGTGTCAGCGCCATGGAGAAGCAGATGAAAGAGTTGCCCGAGACCAGTTTCTATAACCAGGTTAGGATTGCTTTGACGAAAGGGTGGGGACTCGTGGGCGACGACTTGAATAAAGCGTTCCCTAACATTGAACCTATGAGTGTGGAAGATTACATGAGGAGATGGTGGGAAGGTGTCCAGCTGGAGGAGCCAAACTGGGGAGGTGCGAACAAGACTTTTGCATTTGATTAGCGGTAGAACGGTCAATTGTTTTCATGCCGCATATGCCTGTAATACTTGTAGCCGTAAAATGCACAGTCGTATTCGGTCAAAGAAAACTGTCATATCCAATGGCCGCGATTGGACGGCTGTGGTTCCAATGTAACAGATCAGCAACGATATCGAGATATTGCTCCGTACCGCCTCGAGGAATGAGGTGGCAAGTTGCCCTAGCGGTTCTCGAAGTACAAGTCATAATCAGTCGTACAGTCGCGTGAGTCTCGTACTGTAGCAAAACTGGGAAGTCACGATCCTGGAGTTTCCTAACATCAACTGTATATGAAGACTCGGCACGAAATCAGGATTGGAAAAGGGAAAGAACATCGAACGATCTTGTCCGCACGTCTGTTTCGAAGAAATTGGCAGTGAATTGAACATAACTTGCTCCCAGAGCAACCACGCAACTTCACTCGAAATCATTCTCCTGCTCGCACTCGCTTTGTCGATGTCAGAAGTACTTTCTCGAAAGAAAGACTTGACCATCTTGTAGTTGGTTAGAGACCGAACCAAGCCATGTCTTGGGCACTGTAGCGATATGTTAGCATTAATACTATGTCGGCGGTAGAATAGCCTTACCCGTTGATGGGGACAGTGTGTCCAACGTTCAAGGCGGAGATACCCTGAACCTTGCCAAGAGGGTTAGCAGAATCAACACCCCAGATATCAGTAGTGTATCCATTGGCAGGAAATTGTTCTTGACAGTCTGAGGCTTGGTTGCATCGAAGCCAAAGACACCAGTCCATTCCTTGATAGACTCTCTGTAGTTGTTGGGGCGGAGGGTGGTGTCGATGCTACCGTGGTAAACCTGGAAGCGAGGACGAGCACCGCTGTAGCCAGGGTACATGTTCTTGACAACGTTAGTCCAGTAGGCGGCTGACTGGTCGACGTTTCCTTGAGCACAGGTCGAGTTCCAGGCATCGACGGCACCGGAGGAGGATACGAAACATCCGGCAGGAACTCCGGAGTAAGCAGTGGCAGCAGCAAACAGCTCAGGGTAGGTAGCTGCCATGACGTTCTATGTTGTGTTAGCTCTAGAAACAACGGATGAGTTGTGTACGTGTCGTGAGTTCCAGTCAGCCACAACCTGCTCGAGTACCGCTCTCCCACAGCAACTTGAATGAGGACCGTGAGCTATAAAACCACACGATTGCTTCAACGCATGATACAGAACCACAGACAGCCATTGCAACAGCATCTCTTGGTGATTACTGCCTTAGTTCTCGCGTAGTTGTGAAAGTTCATAGGTACTCAGAGGTGACTGACTTCGATACGTGGGGACAATGAACAACTTACGGTCATCATGGCACCAGAGCTTGAGCCAGTAACGAAGACTTTCTTGGGGTCGGCGTTGTACTTCTTCAGGGCATAGGTGACCATGTTGGCAATGGCATTGCTGTCACCGCCACCATTGTGCTTGAGAGACTTCTGCGAAGAGACATCCCAGCAAGTTCCGCTCTAAATCTGTTGTCAGCATATCAACATGCTTGGAACTATGTCCTACTTACGTGGGGAGAAGAAGGGTAGATGACAATGAAACCCTTCTGGTCAGCAAGCTGGGCATAGGGAGATCCCTGGTAGTAAGCCTGGGCGGTGCCAGTGCAATAGTGAATGGCAACGATGATCGGAGGCTTGGCGGCCAGCTTGGTGGGTACATAAATGTACATGCCAGTGCCTGAAGGGTTATCTCCAAAGTTCTGGACCTGGGTGAGCTGGGCCGCACGACCAGCGAGCGAGTTACCAGACACTGCACCTAGCAGGGCGAAGAAGGAGCGACGAACGAAGAGAAATGCATCTTGAATAAGATTGAAGAGAATGGTGATGGACGAACAAAAGCCTTTATTCTCAGGGGAATCCTCAAGAGATATATACTAACCCCAACTTCATTTGGCTTCCTGTCATGCTGCAGCTATATTGCTTGTATGACTAGGCGATAGCATAGCGGAAGAAGTTGATACACTGAAAGGTGGTCGGATTGTTCGAGATCCGTACTCGCCTACAGAACGAATATGCAGCGTGGTCGTCTGACAGGTAGCTGAAACGAACAACAGATCAAGGCATCGGTTAAGATGACTATAGGCAAAAACCCTTGGTTACATCAAACACACTACGTGCATATTAGAGTATATAGATATGCAATACGTACGAGTGGAAGTTGCTTCCCTGCGGGGTGTCGTTCGCTTGGCCGTAGTTGAAACAGAAGGGACGGATGAGTTCGGCCGAGTTAGAGTAGACGACGCTGATGGGCTCTTTCCATTTTAACAAAGACACGTTGCTGATCGAAGACTTGCGTTTTGCCATACTTTTGATAGTAGAGAACTCCGCTTCCGCAGACCATCAGTCCTCATCTCAGGCTAAGAACTCCATGGATAATGTCACTACAAAATTTCCACCAGTCGCGGTCAACATGCAGTAGAATGTTGGTCATGTTGCTCAAATGCTGCCAGCCAGGGCATCGATCTTGAATTGGCTCCATATCAAATGCGCCTAGAGTTTGAGATATATCGGAGACCCGCCTTTCCTTGTTTGCTAACAATAAACAAAGACCAGCCTGTTGTTCCACGAATGACTTCCTTTAACACTTCCACCGAGCTTTCGTCGTTCAGCCAACTCATGCAAGGCTTGTCACCTGAACAGACTTAAGCCTTGTAATTGACGGTGCTCTTGGTGGTCTTGCCAGAAGACATGTCAACATCCTTGACGACAACGGTGTCGCCCTTCTCGGAAGTGGCTCTGACCCAAGCAGTCTTGGTGCCTGTGCCGCCAGTGACTTCGAAAAAGTTGTTGACGTTTCTTGTGGTCGCCTTCCAGGTCTTGCCGCTGTCACCACTGACCTCAAGCTTGGTGGTACGCAGACGAGCGTTCATGACAGTGGCAGCAAACCAGTATTGCGACGAGCCTCCGTGCATCTTGATCTGAAGACCATCGGTAATGGGGCAAGTAACGAACTCCCACTCGATAGGGATCTCGCCGAGGTTCTTGTTGGCGATTTGGGAGAACATGTCAGGCGACATGTCCAAGTGGTTCTTGTCACCACCAGTCTTGTTGGTGACCTAGACAGGAAATCAGTATAGTGCTCACGACGTTTACAACCCAACAGTTTTTACCATAGCAATCTTCTTAGCGCCGCCCTTGTAGGTGATGGAAACACAGCCACCGCAGTTCTCGCCGTTGTTCCAGATGGCCTCAGAAACGCAAGTAGAGCCAGCGATAGACGAAGGAAGGACATAGTCGGTGAAAGCGCAAGCGCCTTGCTGCCAGCAGGCTTCCTCGCCACAGCTCATACCATACCAGGTACCCTTGCCAGAGTTGAGGGATCTCTCATGGAGAGCGGGGTTGGGAGAGGTAGCAGGAGCAGCAAGTGCCAGAGGTGCAAGCACCAGAGCGGCCAGCGCGGTGGAAGAAGAAGAGGAGAGCATCTTGTAAAGAGTGACTGGGATTGAGAAGTGGATGTGAAGAAGAAAGTGTTTGAGGGCAGAATTCACGAAATCGAGAGAAGTTCAGATCTTATAGCAGGTCCAGACTTGAAATTGCACTTTCGATACGGATGCTCCTGGCAGGATCACCTCCAAGGTCCAACTGCAATGCACATTGCTTGTTTGACCATCGTGTAACTCGACCCGCAAATTTCGAGCGCATTGACGTCGGACCTATTTTTTGACGGATGGGTGAACTGTCGCGAAAGCTGAAACTTGACTTATTGCGTCAACCCTGTCGTAAGGTGGATTCAATGTGATGGTCATTTAGTGCCTGACATGGCCTCGATTGGTCGTCCCACCGTCTTGCCACCCCAGACTGTCTGCATCGATCACTCTTCAAAATGCCAACCGAATACTTCTGCAGATAGGAAGAGATTGGTGAACAGCGTCTATTGCACCCTTGACTTTCTTTGGTTTCGCTTGATCTCAATAGCAACAGAATGAGGTGTGTAAGCAGATTTCGTGGTCAAGATGCGTGTCAGTCTACCTCGGGCATCTTGAACTGTCCACCTGGTTCACTCGAGTTAAGCCTCCACTCATCGATCATGTTTATGATCTCTTGCAGTCCAACGCATCTTTTCACACCTTTCCAAGTGACTCTGCCACATATGTGAAAACAGCGAAAAGTGCCCATGAAAGTGAAACCATCAATTACTAAAACTTCCAGACTCGACAAATTTTTCAAATCTTCCCAGATATCCAGCATGCTGCTATCAGGGTCGTCCACGTAGCCAATCAATTTCATGTTCAGTAACTCCAAGTTTCGTAATACGTCTGAGCGATTGGGAAGCCACGCGTATGGAAAAGTCAGGTCGACTTCACAGTTTCGCAAAACAACTTTTGTAAACCACTTCTGATGTAGCACGCTTGTGAAATCGCCGTATGGTCGTGAGTAGAGATCAGGCGGTGGCTGAGATCCTAGAGGACATTGGACAGAGTGGTTNTTAAGCTCCAGACTTTGATCGCATCGCATGGTCTTCCATGAATCACGTACTGACCCGTACTCCGCAGTACTTTTAGGGTCTGCACAGAGATTCATCGTAAGGTCGAACAGCGGCTACGTCGGCTCTTCCGGGAAGATTATAGTTTCAAGAATCCTATCCAGAAAAGGTTCCCAAGCTGCGACATCGGGGTTCATGTCGAGATCAAGAGTCAAAGCTTCAGAATAGTATTTAGACTCGTACATGGCCTTCCAAAGAGTCTCCAGTGTAAGCTCGTGCCCACAGCTTCCTACGACACTCAGAACTAGCTGTCCGTAGAGTTCTTCGAAGCCATATGCTCAGCGCAAGCAAGCTCTCCAGTGAGACATAGGTACTGACTCAATTGTTCGAGGATCGTGGTGCTCGGACAGCTGATCATGAACCACATCGTCGTGTATTCCAAGACCCACTTCGATACTGTGGTGCTTGATGTTGTTCAGGGCCTTGCTCAACAATGGTAGATGATGTTCGTCTCTTTCAAAAGGATGTTGTACAAGGGCAGCTCCATATGCGACGTCGTTGTACTCCGTGTCGTCACATATCGCTGGAGAGTCTCTGAAGCAGTCTCGAATACGCCATGTGCCTAAGCTGATCGACCGCAGACAAGTTCCCGGAACAGGATGTGCAGTGAGCTGGACCAAGCCCGACAAGCTATGAGGAGAAATGATAAAGCGGCGATGGGCAAGACAGGAATGTCCGAATGGTCTTGTAGCAGCTATGCTTATATTCTTGCTGACATGACGCAGGTTGGACCGGTCGTTCGAATCCGCCGCGGTCGCAATCATGCCCCATATATCGAGAGGAAGAGCTGGGATGAATGTCATCTCTGAGATGTTCGCGATGTCAGGAACGTGAAGATGTGTGTTAATGGTAACATGGCCGAGGAATGTCCTGCAAACGGGAATAGATTGTGGTTTCAGGATTTGATGAGGCGTGATAGAGACCTCAAGAAGACAGGGAGTGCAGTTTCCTCGCCAGAGAGAGCACAGCTGCTTTTGAAAGCTCGACATAGACTTCGTGCCCCGCTCTTGAACGATATAGTAGACGAAAGTCTCCGAGCTTGACATGACGATTCTGAACGTAAGCGAGTATTCACGTCCAATCAAAGGATTGTTGGTGACTTCCAAGAAAATCCGACTGCTTTCGGCATCTACCAGGGAATCAGATCTGGCTGTCAAGTGGCTGTTCATCGTTGCCAATCCGTCCTAACTTTACGTTCGTTGCATTGACGGTGCCGATAAGGTCATCAATAGCACTGATGATTTGCTCCGAGCCTTCTCTCTCGACTTGCTCATCGACGACCAAGATGCGGCTATGTTTGTTCTCGAAGTAGAGCTTGTACATTATGATTGACTGCAAGGTCAGGTAAGTCTTGATGGTTGTAAGAAAATCGATGCCATCTTCAAGACTGTCATCATGAAATGTTGTGGCGGACATATTCAAATGGCGCAGGCTGTCTAAGTTCAAAATCAGTAGCTCAAAGATTGACGTGTCAATAAAACAAGAGTCGAGTGATACCCGCTGGAGCTGGGACGTATGATGCACAATGTTGACAAGCGAGCCATAAACGCCTCGGTCAAATTGAGGCATATCAGTGATCTCATACATCTCTAACGATATATGTTTCAAGCGCAAACTCCCGCCCTGATCATGCAGTTCAGCGATGTGCGATACACTCTTATCGCATGGATCAGTGAGCTTCACGGCCAGGTTCCACCCAGGTACGGCTCTGTCTGTATCAGGCATAGTCAATTTCTCAATCAATTGGTCCAATCCTGGATGTCTGCTGATTGCTTGTTGAGCAAGCGAATTCCATTGGAGATCGATGGAGATTCCGCTTGTAGGACATCCTGATCTTTTGCCTGCCGTGATCAGGTCCAGAAGAGTTTGTGTTGCTCGTGAGCCGCCGCAGCTAGCGATATCAATTGAACCATAGAGTTCATGATAACCATATCCACGACGATAATAGTCCTGTCCAGAGGCAGCACGAATCACATCCTCGAACAATCCGATCTTGGGTACAACACCGTGTCTACTCAAGTTCTTGAGTGCCTCGGTAAGCAGGACTATATGCAAGCCACTTTGCTGGAATCGAAATTGTGTGAGAGCTGCGACGTTTGCACGACTTGCTTCGACATGCGGGTGAGTATTCACGAGATGTTTCTTCAAGCGATAGATCCCAATCTCAAAAGACTGGACACAAGGGCCCAAAAGAGGATGTGCTGTAAGATCAACCAGGCTCTGCAAGCTGTACGGAGAAGATATGAGACGAAGATGTTGGAGTTTTGCCAATCCGAAAAGCTTGCTGGACAAGTCGCACCACTGCTTGCTGACAAGGCGTAGACTAGCCAGGTCCTCGGAGTCGATGGTAGCAGCAATCAAGTGGAGAATCTCGAGCGGGCACGATGAGATATCCGCTACCATTACAACTGTAGGTCAACGTTCACAGATGGAATCATTGACAGTCGTCCAGGATGGAGGGTTTGCCCTCAACGACACTTGACGCTTGATCGTCGCCAAGCCGCGGCTCTGAGCTGGCTGAGCCCCACTTTCCTCTCCTCGAGCTCCGGTTCCAACCTCCTCAATTGTTATCACGGATACACAAAATGGAAGCGACAGGAAACAAAGTCGGTGTCAACAGTACATTGTCGAAGGCTGCTTGCCATACGTCCTGACTCTGACTGGTGCTGACGGTGCCTAAAGACATTAACCCAATGCAGGCATTGCAGCTGCACGACGTGCGAAGTATACAGGCCAGTAATTGGTAAATTTGCTGCAAGACATGCATTCGTCAAGGCTTTGACTTTTCATGCTTCTTGACTGTAGATGGGACACTGCGATATGTTCCCATTCAAAAGCGTCTTCGTTCCCAAGTCGAGTCCTTCACACAATCATCAGCAGGCATCGGACAAAATCGTGTCTTCATCATGTCTGGTCTTGATCAGCTCTGGTGCACTCTTGTGACCGCCAACCACATTCTTGACTACTTTTCGCTCGTGACTGGTTACGGACACATTTCTGCTCGTAACCCATTGACCAACACCACCTTCTTCTTCGATCCAGTCGACNCCCCGTCGCTCATCAACTCCAACGCTGGATATCTCGAATGGAACATCTCTAACGGAGCTCCTGTGGCTAATCACTCAATTTCTCTGTCGCCCAACTCTGAGATGTGGATTCATCAAGCCATCTACAAGAGATATTCGGGCGTGAATAGCGTTGTCCACAGTCACTCTCGAGCGGTCCTACCATTCGCAGATACGAATATCCCTTTGGTGCCTCAGTTCAACCTTGAAGCAGTGCTTGGTAGTCAAGTCCCAGTCTTCGATATTGCAGAATACTACTCTCCAAATGGGACGCATAATTTCCTGGTCAACCTTCCACACTTGGGTGCAGCATTGGCGAACATGTTCTCTACGCCAGAGAACAACGCCACCAAACAGAGTGTTCTCCCAGATTATCCTGTTGTATTGCAAAGGGCTCATGGATTTTCAGCTGCAGCGGTGAGCATCGAGCACGCAGTCTGGGCTGCTTGGTCCGCACAGGACGCTGCCAACATTGCCAGCAATAGCTTGACAGTACTGGGTGCTTACCAAGGCGGTGCCGCAAGATTAGCCAAGTTCAGCGCGCAAGAGCTGAGGGATAGCATGGCTTTGGGACAAAGTGGAGAAGTCAAGGATTGGCGTTGGTTTGTTGACCAAGTGCAAAGAAGGGGGAAATATAAAAATGATGCTTGTTGATGGAGTGTTCGTATTCATGACTTGTATAAAGTCTGTGCGTTTGTTCTATAGGTCCTGTGACTATTGGGCCATCCTGGTTCCCGGGCTGCTGATCGGACGGAAAGAGATTGTTCGCTGATCAAATGAATGTTTTCCCAGAACGCCGGTGCTGGAGCATGCTGTAGCTTGTGACTGCTCGTTGATCATGAGACTGGATGATCTACTCGGACTTGTTCAACCAGTCGACGCCAGCCTGTGCGACCTGAAGATCCTGGTCGGGAGAACCTCCACTGACACCGATCGACCCCAGAAGGAAGTTGTCCTTGTATAGGGGCAGACTACCGCCAAAGACGACCAGACCACCATTGGTCTCTTGAATGCCNTACGAGGCTGTGAGCATGAGCCAGAGCGCTCGAGTCCCCACACACTTACCATAGAATGGTGCTCCAGGCTGTGCAAGATCGTAGACAACACCACTGGGCAGTCCATTGAACAGTACTGTGGTACGAGCCTTCTTGATGCTCAAGTCAATACTGCCGGGATAAGCATTGTCCATGCGCAAGAACGCGACCAGAAGACCAGAGGGATCACAGATAGCAATGCACTGCGGAGTGACGGTTTCGGCGCACTTTGCGGCAGCATTCAGAACTTCCTGTGCTTGGGCAGCGGAGATGACATGACGNCTACACGTTGAAGGCACATGGTTAGGATTGACGAAAGAACCGCCGAGCTGATGTTCTGCGCTAACCTGGGCTGGCGTGCTGCCAATTCTGTTGGTGGATTCGTGGTTGCTTGGTGCAGAGCTCATCTTGTGATGGAGTGACTTGGAGATGTCTTGATGCTGCTGTAAGGGTCTGCAATGGTTGATATGTGGAAAGTGCTCAGAAACAAGGGCTCACGAATGAAGCTCTCAACACGGAAACCTTGGACTTAAGCTTACCTGCGCCTCACTCTTGACTCCACTCACTATTGATCATCACGAGTCGCAGCTCCTAAAGCTGGTATAGCTTCACTCACGAGTCACCAGATGCCTCATAGAAGAGCTAGCATGGTCTTATCCGCGTCGTGGAGGTCATGGCTCTGGAACAAAAGACGCACACCGACTCCAGGTCGATCTCAACCGGGCCCTGCCGGCCTCGGGATCCCGAGCAAGAACCCGCTGATCGACAGCTAAATTTTAGCTCGTGGCCGTGCGCTCGCACCTAGGCGACCACCTAGTCAAGCCATCAACCCCTGGAATTTCTGGACAAGCCTCATTCTCGTTTTCTACGCAAAGGAATGATTTGACACTTGTCACTGGCTAGGCTAGAGCATTTTCCCGTGAATATTTGGTCTTTACATGGCACTTGACACTCTACGTAGACAACGTGGGAAAGAGTTTGCTGATCCTTCGCCTTGAAATAAGCGAATTAAAGATGGATATCCTATCAACTGGAAGCATTCGAGATCGAGTCACATTTTGTTCAATAGGGCCGGAAGAATTGATGCGATAGAACAAATGAAGGGTATTATTCATGAATGCATAAGGGAATAAAATCTGTCTGGTTCAGACTGTGTGCAAAGTGTATGAGAGAAGTGAATGGTGTCGAGTCTTGAGCGAGCTTATACTGCTTCGCCAGCCCTGGTGAGATCCTTCAAAGGGATCTGTGACTCGTCGGATCGACGGTGTTGGTTGTGAACCTTATTGAAAGGGTTGTTGGAGTTGTATTGAGGCGCGCCATGATTGTTGTAGTTGTTCTCGGCAGATGTTCTCGATGATATCTTGTCCAGATCGTCGTTTACGTTGTCGCTGTCAGAATCTCCAACGAAGATTTGGACCTCTGTCTGTCTCTGAATACCTTTAACATCTTCTCTGTTGGTATGGGTGCCTTGTGTGTGGCCGATATGCGCGGTGTTCTTGGCTCCATTGACAGTGTCGCGATCGTTGAAGGTACGCTGAGGATATGATCTGCTGTCAGGGAAGGGAGTTCCAGATGATGTGTTTTGGCGGACGTCGATTTCAGATGTTGTTGCGACCTTGACGATGAGGTCGGCCATACTCATCTCAATATAGAGTTTGACCATCNNTAATATTGTGATTAGCCTCAACGCAAACAAATCGAGTAGAATCGGAGAACTGAAAAGACTCAGAACGATAGGATGACTCACATATGCGACAGGGTGGAACTGGATGTAGACCACCTGGTTGGGAAGTGCCATCAAACCGAGGAGCATGACGTCCATGCAGATGGACAAGACTCCAAGACGAGTGTAATATCCGATCAACGGCTTGTACTTGCGCAGACCGTGTTGCTTGACCAAGCGAGCATCGACAACATGAATGAAGTACCAGTTAAGGCCTGCGTCAACGAGACAGATGATGATTTTGGAGACGCGATCCCAGTACTTGTTGATCTCGACGTAGGTCTGACTTGGCGGCTTAGCCATGTGAGCAGGGATCCANCTAAGAGACTGTTAGAGCTTGAGAGAAGGCAGAAAGGATGCAAATAGGCTTACAATGCACATAACGCAGATGTTGACCAGTGAGATGAAGATGGCAGTGCCCCATTTCAGCTTCTTTGCCATTGTCCTGCGCTCGACAATGATAGCAATACGGTTGATAATGATCTGAAGCAACAGCTGAACCTCAAAGACATAACAGAAGAGGATAAAGAATAATACAACAGGACTGTCCAGTCGTGGTTAGCTTTCTGGTCAGATGCTAAGAGAAAAGTCAACGTACTCAGCCTGCAAGACTCCGTTCAGGAACAGCCATCCCAAGATACCGATGAGAAGGTTCGCTAAGATCTCTCCCCAAATCATATAGACAAAGGCACTTCGATGGGGTGATTTATTTTGCTTTGTCTGCTTCACAGCCCTCCATACCGTGAGGGTTCCGAATCTTTGGTCACTGTCAGTCATGGTCGGTCAGGTATGATGCTTGGTAATTACCCCNAAAGTAAAACCTGCTGCTGCTGCAGCAAGCTGCAAATCTCCTGATGAGGTAGACATCAAGGCGATTGAAGACCGTGTTCTCCGACAGGTAAGAAGGATATCACAAGATTGACGCAGAACAAAAGAACATGAACAGTATAGGTGTAAGGTTAAAACAGGCTGATGCGCGGCAGCGGCACAACCGTGTGCCTATGTACCTGAATCGAGGTTCATTCAATAAGGAAACCCAATCTATCCGGGGTCCTCTGCCGTGGTCAAGTTTTCGTCAAGATTCGCTAGTCAGAGCATCATCATCAAAGAGGGTCCCGCGCTTTGTAGGGCGTTGTTGACAAACCGCCCGGATGGCAACTGTCGAACGGAGCGATGGCCACCGGCCGAGAGGAAGCATGGTGGACGGACGTTAGGAAAGCGAGAGTTCTGTTGCTGAACTTTCTAACCGTAAGTGTCGTAGTTAAAAGTCTTGTCGTCGACCTGGTTCGAGCTTTTCACGTGGCGCTGCGTCCCCAAGCCCTGGTAAGTCTGTCTAGAGAGATCTGGGGTGCGCCATGTGGGTCTTCGGTTGATGAGTTTGCGAATACGAGTGCCGTGCTTACCTCGGAGGGTTCATGGGATGTGCGAAAATAACCCTGCGGAAAGTCAAGAAGATGATTAGAAGCGTCTATCCACTTAGCTGTGGAGGGCAAGCAATCCAACACCCAACGTGTCTCAAGGCTGAATTGGCCTTGCGTTGGGCTATTGGGAAGAGCCGGTTTTGGTTCTTGTCAGCAGGTGTACAAGTGAGGAAGGTGCTGTGTCTACGACGACAATTTGCAGCCTATGGGGTTGAATCAAGCTTGGCACGTCGTCTAGACAGACTGGAAGCTGATCCAAACCTCCTTCATTTCGATGTTCGTCTTCACGATCAGATACCTTCTCGAATCACTCATCTCATCAATCTATGATATTATCCGACTTTGCGTGTGACGCCCTGCATGCCTGCGAGTTCGTTGGGCGTCGTGATGAGCTAGCTTGTTCGCTTCTCGATCTCATTAGCCAACGAATTGTGGCCGAGCTTTCCCGCCAACCTCTCGAAGGAATGGCGTTTTCTCGAGGCGCAAGCAGCAGAAGATTGAGTCTGTAGATGAAACGAGGGCTTGCCGTTTTTGTATCACAGGGTTGAACGTACCGTAACCTAACTATGCCGTCGAGAAAAGCAGGGTCGAAATATTCGCATAAAGCTAGGCAAAATTTCGGCATTTGATTCTGTCGTCTGCTTCGCGTTGCCCAGCCCTGGAGCCTTTTCATGCAATTGACTATCTGAGGTCGTCCCGAATACGACACCTTTTCTCACAGTCCAAGGCGGCCGATGGGCTTCGAGCACTTGTCAGGATACTGGACAAAATGTCAGAATCCATCGGATCAGTGCTTAGATCCAACGACTCGTGGTAGCCGTTGCTCCCGGAAGTGGTTCCAGAAAGCAACGTCTACAAGACTACGTGCCGCCATTTTCTGCTTGCATTTGTCTTCTCTCGGCACCCACGGCATACCCAACTGATCGTGAAGAGTCAAGTATCAAGACAGTCGTTTTGCTTACGGCAAGGGCGAGTCAAGAACGATGAGGAATCAAGCCGTTTGAGCATGACTCTGCTTCCAGACATCACGTTGCGCTATTTACACCAGCAAGACCAAAGTTCATCTTCGTTCGAATCGTTCATCGGAGGTCATACAATGTACCATATCCAGAGCCTCAATCCGAACGAGACCGAGCCACACCAGAGAGGAACCAAGAAACCTCTACTGTTGCAACTTTTGGTGGGTCCTTCTAGGACACTCTTGGATCGAAACAACAAGGGCTGAATCCGGGAAAGATCATTTGTCAAGTACATACACTCATTTGACGGCACTGAAGCCGCTCAATCCGGAGTCAGCAGACGATGCGAAGACCACAACTTGTTCATGGTTCGTTGTCTTCTCATCAAGTCTTGTTACTTATAGTGCTGGATCTGACGACACCAGGAACATACATGCATACGGAGACGGGCCGCGTAGATCCTTATGCAATTCTATACTCGAGCCTCTCACTATTCCGAGCTTTGGGACATCAATTCGACGATGCACGACGTCGTTCGAACTTGCTCCAAATGCGACTCTCACTGTCCGATTCGCACCCATTTGCGGAAAATTCAGCCCTAAGCCCTGCTCATAAAGCAAGAACATCCGCCATCCAGGTCTTCGGATTTGTCCCAAGAACATGATAAACTCCACTCTTGGTGACCTACTCGATACCTGCTCACTGCCTTGCCCTACCCCTCGTGCTGCCCTGAGATCTTCCAATATATCTCGGTGTATAAGCGAGAAACCCATGACTATCACGCAGCTTTGTTGTCGATCACCGGAATACATATTTCCCTGTTCAAAACCATCAAGATATTATGACAGTTGCATGACCCTCACATGAATCGCACTCCTGGTGCACCTTCGTTCACACAATCTCTTCCTTTCTAGCTCGCAAGTAGCAGGACACGATGTTGAACAATAAAGCCCTAGATCAGTCATCAGCACACACCTGATCTGCTCATCGTGTTTCTAGTAACAACAAGCGGCTGCTTTATGTTCGTCAACTTTGGTTTCTGCTCTACGGATATGACAAGTCATTACACAGGACGCAGAGTTTGATGCCTAAAGACATGCTGTTGTCTTGAATCGGGTTGCCGTGCTCTGTCTTGTGGAAGCGTGAACAGCTGCTCAACACGGACACAAGCACGACGAACTTTTTCTCGATATCGTGGCATAGGCTGCGAAAAGATGAGCAGAGATTCTCTCTTATCACATCAAGATCTTTGAACGATCCGTCTTCTCGACATAACACAACAAGTTTTGATCACATTGTCATCTCTAGATTCTGTTGTCTCGAACTCAGTATGTATCACTGTGAGCTGATTCACGATGCTATATATCTGTGCGTAATCATGAGATAAGCACATACGGCCACAGTCAGCTGAAAACTGGGCATCCCGTCCGCTCTGCCATACATAAGCAGTTGAACGGCAGATCAGTACTACGGTGGGTGACCACGTGGGAATCCCTGCTGCTGTATGTTTTGCATCCAGTTTTGATCACCAATGCTAGACTTTGACGTTTGCATGCATACGATCATAGAGGGACAGAAGAATGTTTCGGCGCCACTTTTGCCGGGCGCATGCCAACTTGTCTTTTTGATTTTGGGCTTTGTGACAACGAGATCTTGCATATCTAACCCTGTCATGACCACTCATCTCTTGACTACGGTCGTGGTTTCACAGGAGCATGCCTTTTTCCAGCATTGCAGCAGTTCGCTTAGACGCACCTAACGCGTCAAGAGAATGATCAGGTTGAGATAGATATATGGGTATCCTAAGCGTAACCTTGAAAGCAGCCAGAATCATGATCGATATCCTTCGACAAGACTTTTGATCGTTATAGCAAGGTACAATGGCATAGAAATGCTCAAAGTCATCACAGCACTAGACGAGAAACATCCAGGTAAATGAACCAAGACCTCCAAGATACCACTGCTGTAGACTCATTTGCTGACTGGATCCTCCACCACTAGATGCCGATGCAGAACTGGTCGATGACGTGCTAGAAGCCGGTGACGTTGTAGACGAAGTGCTCGTGACTGGGGAAGTTGTGTTTACAGCATCCAGCGTCCACTTGTTCCAGAACTCAAGCAGAAGGGGNGTCGCGTCGAAGGAGCTTCCATTGGCGACAGAAGGCCAATAATGGCCGAGGCCATGGACCCGATAGTGCGTGTTGATGCCTGGGTATGTGTTGTTACCATAGTCATATCGAACCACATTTTTGTGATAGAGCGAGCTTGATGTGTTTGAAGTGCCAAATCCATTACGTTCAGACCACTCGGTCATGAAGTGAGGAAGATTTGGGAGACATCGGTCGCGACGAGGTCCACCATCGTAAGGGATTGTCTCGTCAGCATCGCCATGGGTTGTAAAGATCGGGATGGGAGATCGGCCCGAGTTGCAGGGAATGGGTACTGTTGCCGCATTGCAGTCGTTTTCGCTATCACCCTGGTAGTACGCGCCTGAGATACCNCCGAAAGCGGCAAAGAGCTTCGAAGCTTTGGGATGACAGGCCAAGATGTTTGCAGAAAATGCACCGCCATTCGATTTTCCAGCTGCATAGATCTTGTTCGTGTCTAAGCAGTAGGTACTCGAGAGGTTGGTCAGAAGCTCAAGAGTGAAGCCGACATCGTCGTAACCGGTGGCATCCGGATCGCCCTGCCATTGCTCATCGATACCTTGCGGATAGACGACTAGGTAGTTCGGATTCATGGTTTCGTTAGACATTCCAGATATATCTTGTTGCTCCTGCCAAGTCCGCGTTCGACCGTGAAAGGAGAAAGCGAGAGGCGTCGGAGTATCCTCGTCGTATGAGGTCGGAACATGTAAGCCGTATTCTCGGACAGTCCCATCAGAGGTGACGAATTCTAGCGAGTTGGTGTTGCGGGCAGCTCCACGCTCTATTGAGGCAGGAAGAGGTTTGCGACATCCTGAGGTTGCAGCAGATCGAGCGGCTGTAGCGAGTATCGTTTGGAGGAGGATGAAATGTCTCATGATTCGCGCCGCTTGTCTCTTTCCAAGTTGTGCGAAGCTGACGATATATACTGCGACTGCTGGATTGAACAAAGAATGCAGAAAGCGTGCACACAATGGAGAGGCGCGCGCGGGGTCCGCAGATTGTTGTGTACCTGAACTTGTGGATAATTATAGCTTGTCTCTCACGCGAGTTGGCTGTAGTCTTGAGCCTGCTTCCGTATTGGCGCTTCGATTGATTGATAACGAATTGGGTTTTCACCTCTTTCAGAACTTGACGCCTGGAAGTACGGGTACGAGGATGGTTGAGACTGAGGCTTGCGCGGCTTTGAACGAGGCAAAGACCACGTCCGACCCCTTTATGCCAATGCAAGAACGCATGCTGCTAGCAGTGACGTTTGGATTTTTCATATATCGCCGAGATTCTCTCTTTGATGACCGACACCCTTGCATTGACTGAGCAACGCAGGAGCGATGGGAGATCTCACTCCTGGTTAATCTTCGGGGCTCGATCGGTCGCGATCCCGCGGAGCGCGACAAACACATGTCGTCGCGTCCAACGTTGTCTTGTTTGACCTAGATCACCCCTCTGAACGAATTGTTCGAAGTATTTAACAGACTTCAACGACATGGTCTCATGCAGGGCTGCAATTTCAACACGTTTGCGAAGCCATTGTATGCTGATTCTAGTCAACGGTGATTCGCCAGTCATCATGCAGCCTGCAAGCCCACAGGCCGGACGGCGCGTGATTGCCTGTCGAGGCTGCTTCTTACCTGGCTGAGGCCTTCGAGGCCGGAGACATATTTTTCTCGGCATTGGTCCAACTTCGTCTCGACGACAAACCCGACCCAGCTCTTGATCTGTTGCAATGAGTCTCGATGTGTCCCGAAACACGCGACGACTTCGAAGTCGCCATTATCTGTGCTCTGCCTCTGGAGGCTGCTGCTGTTCTGGATCTGTTCGACCAACGTTACGACCGATACGGTCATAGCAGACATGGCAAGCAAGAGGAGGACAAGAATACCTACTCGACCGGCCGCATCGGCCAACACAATATCGTCTTAGCTCATATGCCTGGCATGAATATAACTAGTGCAGTCAGAGTCGCTTCCAATCTCCAGATGAGCTTGAAGAAGGTCAGACTCGCCCTCATAGTCGGTGTATGTGGTGGGGCACCTCTCGACNAGCCAATTATCCTTGGAGATGTCATCATCGGCAACTCGGTCGTCGAATTCTACTTTGGCCGACAGTACCCCGATAGCATTGAAAGAAAGAGCGGCCTGAAGGATACACTCGGTAGATCAAACACAGAAATCAGAGGCCTTCTCAGCAAGCTTGAGATACCACTTATTCGCAAGGAGCTGGAAGAAACAATACTGCACAATCTCGCAAGCTTGCAAGAAAAGGGACATATGGCGACCTATCCTGGTGCCGAGCACGATAGACTGTTCGCTGCCTCGTACCGTCACATGCATCGCAGAGACATCTCACCTCGTGATTGCGTTTGTATCTTGCCTCAATCCACCGGCGAATCTTCATGCAACGAAGCACGGGAGTCGGAATGCGAGGTACTCGGATGTAGTGTCGACGCTCCAGATACACCTTCTCGACGCACGCGCTTCGCCTCAGGAGTTCCTACGCCCCAGGTGCACCTAGGCACGGTCGGCTCCGCAAGCATTGTCATGAAGTCTGCTGAACATCGTGATGCTATCGCTAGTAAGGATAACATAATCGCTTTCGAGATGGAGGGTGCTGGTGTCTGGGATGACCTGCCCTGTGTCATCATCAAGGGTGTTTGCGACTACTCTGATAGTCATAAGAACAAGAGATGGCAACGCTATGCAGCAGCAACGGCGGCGTCGGCTGCGAAAGGATTCCTTGATCACTGGACTCCTGGACGACACGACGCAGACTCAGCAGAAGGCTCGTCTGGGAAACGAGCACTTTAGGAGAATGAAGACAGCATGTCAAAAGAACCTCGTCGACAGTCGACTTCGAGATGGCAGAATCCAACATCAATCCTATCCAGGGCAGAACAAGCAAGCACTGGATCACAATCCACTCCCGCACCGATAGACTTAGATGCACGAAAAGCTAAAATGGAAGCTTTGTGTTTTGAACAGCTTGATGCTCGTCACGCTACACTTGAGAATGCGCATGCTGCCACGTGTGAGTGGTTGTTGAGTAAATCAGAGTACCTAGACTGGCAGAACGAGGAAAAGCTTCTGGAGCACCACGGTTTCTTGTGGATCAAAGGAAAGCCTGGCGCAGGCAAATCGACCCTCATGAAGCATGCGTACACAATGGCCAGAAAGACCGCAGGAGGCCCAATAGCCATCTCCTATTTCTATAACGCCAGAGGCGAACATTTGGAGAAGTCCACTTCTGGAATGTATCGCTCACTCTTGTTTCAACTGCTCACCAATATCCCCCAACTCCAGGCTGTCCTTGACACAAATGAAGCAGTAAGTTTACAAACCACTTCACCAGACTCATGGATAACCGAATTCCTACAAACACTCTTCCGTCAAGCCATCGAAAGGCTTGAGAACCAGCATCTGGTTTGTTTCGTTGACGCACTTGACGAATGTGAGAACAACGAGGATCAGGTGCGAGAGATGATCCGCTTCTTCGAGACTTTGGGACAACATGCAGTCGAAAACAAGATCAGACTCCTCGTGTGCTTTTCCAGTCGACACTACCCGTACATCACAATCGACAAAAGTGTTGAGCTGCTTCTTGAAGCTCAACAGGGTCACTCGGAGGACATCGCAAAATTCATACGCTCGAATCTCAGGACACGCAACAGCAGCAGCAAACGTGTCCAACAGATCAAGACTGATGTCCAACTGAAATCACAGGGTATTTTCTTATGGGTTGTGCTTGTTGTGCCTATGCTTCAAAAGGCATGTGACCAAGGCAAACTCCACGCTATCAGTGAATGCCTCAAAGGCATCCCGAAAGGCCTTGACGAGTTGTTCGACGATATTCTAAGAAGGGACACTGAGGATATGGAGAATCTAAAACTCTGCTTGAAGTGGGTTCTTTATGCAGATCGACCACTGAGCCCTGAAGAGTTCTACTTTGCGATGTTGTCTTCATCGAGTTCAGAGCCAGTGAGAGCGTGGAACCCCGAGGATATCACGACAGACGACATAAAGAGGTTCATCTTAAGCTCGTCTAAGGGTCTTGCTGAGCCAACGAGGGGCAGAAAACCAACCATACAATTTATCCACGAATCTGTGAGAGACTTCCTCCTCAAAGAAAGCGGTTCGGTACTCCAAGCAGGCATAGACTTTACTTCGGCAGGCCCTATACATGACCTTCTTAAGCAACACTGTCAACGCTATGTCGCGAGCGTAGCAACCCACCACTATTTGGAGTCTTCTACCAGGAGTGCAGGCAAGTTTCCGTTCTTGGACTACTCGATCTCGTGTGTCTTGAAACACGCCGAGCTCGCGGCAAGCCATGGAACGCCGCAGGAAATATTCCTGAAGCACTTCCCGCTCGGGACATGGCTCTTCTTGCACGACTTTACTGGGGCGTACGCGACACGTCGCTATTGCGGCGAAACAAGCTTGCTGTATATCCTTACAGAAAGAAATCTTCTGCATCTGTTTCGGGCTGAGGTCTACCAAAGCCAATCAGTCAATGCCACAGGTGGACGATACGGCTTACCTATCATAGTAGCCGCTGTTGTCGGTAACAAACAGATTCTGGAATTACTCATCCAATTCGGCGCCAACCCCAATGCTATCTCGACTGGAAAAGAGTATAGGAATGCTTTGCATGCAGCTATAGCTCAGTCCAACACACTTGCAGTCGAGGTTCTTTTCAAACATGGTGCCGTACCCGAAGCTTCAAATCATAAGCATTTTGCAGTTCTGCTTCGGCAGGCTGTACAGACTCGTCAGTATTCAGTAACAAGACAACTGTTAGAGAACAACCAAGAACTAGTAGCAAGTTTGAACAACAATGAGATAAACAGTTCTGTCGAAGCGGCCTTCAAACATGGAGACCCAGAGTCGATTAAACTATTTCTCAGATTCGGCGTACTTGGTAAAATCAACAAGTATGGATTCGGGTTTCCTTGCTCAGAGCTTCAGCGCTTGGTAATAAGGCTATCGTATCCATGTTGATCGAAGACGGTGAGAACGTTAATCGGTTGAGCTCCTCTCGTATGTCTGCAATTTGTGCAGCCTCTGAGAATGGACATGAGGCCGTTGTGCGCTTGTTGCTCGAGAACAAGGCGGACTTCAACGCAACAGACAAAAATGGGCGTACTGCACTTCATCTCGCTTCGCAGAAAGGTTATCAGACCATCGTACGGATGCTGCTTGAGCATGGCGCAGATGTCAATAAGGGAAACCTGCTTTACAACGTTTCGTGTCGGTCCTACCAGCGCTATGAGTCCGTCGTGGGTACACTGCTCGAACATGGCGCTGATGCAAATCAATACACGACCTCAGGCTGCCTGTCATTGCATACCGCTTTGTGCCATGGCTGGACCAACACTGTTAAGCTTCTGCTCGATTTTGATGCTGATGCAAGCATACCATCTTTCCTCTATAAGAATGCTTCTAGTGCATTGAACTCCTGTCCCGATCTAGCGAAGCGTGCTGCGTGTGAGCAACTGTTAAGAGAGAGGGGCGTCATACAATCACCAGAGCATTACTTGACCTGAGTTGACGGTGTTGCATACCCCAACTATCCGTATAGCGAATAGCCAATCGTTATTTGATCGACTTCAATGTTTGTCTGTCTCAATGCCCTAGATAAACGTCAATCTTGGTCGATGCCCTACGCGCAGGCTATATGTATTCAGATACAAGAAGGAAAGAACGACAAAAAAATCTGCACCAGATTTTTGGATTTACAGTTGCTCTTGTGACTGATTCCTTCCATGTATGATTTTCCTTCTCCTGCCTCTTGCATACTTTCTTCTGTTGTGCTATTCTTTTTTTTTTACTGATACGGTTATGGAGGTCATTACTTTTCTTCTTCTAGCCCTCGTCGTGCCAATGAAAGTGTGCGTTCGCCATTGCTATCACGTCACACGGCTTTGTAAGAACGACGAGTAAACATTTACTCCTGGACACGCAACTTCTCGACTTGCTACACGAGCTCAACCGAAGTCCTTGTAGTTTCTCCGTATACTAAAGACTGTCACGTTAAAGGACCCCTTGACAAGATCTGGCTTTATGATCAGAGACTTTTGCATATAGCAGCGGGTATCGAATCATATTCATATTTCAAATTCTTCTCTCCGGCTCTCCAGCTCTGACGGTATCACCTGTCGCAATGCACGATGCTTTCTGGAGAGCAGCAACATCCACTGAGAGTCATTATGTTGAGGGCTTTTCACGGAAACATCTCTTATCCAAACGTCACTGTGCATTTTGATGGTATATTGAAAAACAGACTGTTGTATCTGGGGAGGGTGATGGCATTAATTATTACTGTAGTAATCAGGGTGCTTTGTGGCCTCTCACTCTCCTTGCCTTGATCCAATGCACTGTCTCGTTTGTTAGAGAGCTCACTTTGACTGCGGCCTTTTCCCAACAAACACCCTCCTGCTTACCCAAGTGCTCACTTCAACTGCGGCGTTTTCCAAAGGTATTGGCGATCATTATGCGGAAGCTTCACTACCTCCGTAAAGTTTGCACAAGAAGGAGCATGGTGACCAATTCCCAAGCAGACCCAGCAATGCTTAACCTCTTCCGAACAGTCCATTCCAAAGAGTTCCAACGTCTCGCGAATACCATTGATTTTCATATCCAAGGTAATGTTTTCGCGGTCAAGGGGCTCTTCGAAGACGATCAGCCACTTGGTCATGAGTCGCGCGTTGTATTGCTGTCTCTTCTGTCTGCGCATGATGAACGTGCGTGGATGGAAGGTACGAGCTATCGTATTGATCATGTCGATCTCGACCTGTGGCGTAATGAACGAAGACTTTTCGACAAGGCCAAAGACCTGGAAGGGTTTGCCGAGCGCATAGGTAAGCACAGGTATACTGATTTCGCGCAAGATGGTGATCTTTCCAAGTGAAGCCTGAAGATCGTTGAAGGTTTTAAAGTGCAGAAGCCATGTGCTGTCGTCGGTGGGACAGAGGTTAGCGTCTTGGGCGAGGATTCTGTTATAATCGCAAGCCTGAAGGATCTCGTGCTTTGACAGTGGTTTTCTCCTTGGACTCCCNTTGGGGGTGATCTTGGCCTGGAACAGGGGCAGACTACGCGGACCCGTTGGAGGCTGGGTAGTGATACTGAGAGCTGAGAATTTGCGACGTTCAGACGGGGGTAGAGAGAAGACGTTGTTGATGGGTTTAGGNGGATTGTTGACATCTGAATTTATCGACAGACGAGGGCGCTTATCCAGAGGTGCTTGATTTGAACCGGTAGCGATGTTGAATTGAATGGGGGCTGTGGCAAGGTTCGGCGAGGCGGACGGGCTCGGTAGGATGGCGTGTTGAGCATGAGTATCTTCTGGGACGAAATGACTAGGGCGTGTTGGCTTTATAACTTGCGACAGGTTCGGGCCTGGTACTGGCGAGTTGAGAGGGGGTTGTTGGGGACTTGATATCACCAAGGTGGCGGCAGAAGACTTCCTAGAACTAGACGAGTCGGCCAGATTATCAGCTCGTGACTTCATGTCCTTCTCCGAGGTCGGTGGCGCCCAGCCAGGAAGTCTTGACGCGAGACGCGGATCCAATGTTGCCGACAGAGTCTGTTGAGGAGCAGCTGGCACTGGTGAGGGTTTGTCAATCTTGTTCATCTGCGCGACAGGTGCGACGGGCACTCGGTTGTGCGTCACTGGTTCAAAGATAAGTTGGTTCGGGCTGTCTGGTACGAAAACGACAGGCTGAGTGTGAGGGAAGACTCGCTCGACGGCCTGCATGAGCTGATGCCTGGCCTCTCTGTCAAGGTAGTGGCCGTTGGCCCTCTCACTCTCAGCCACCATGATGCGTATCGACTCAGCCAGAGCCCTGGGTGTGGCCAAGGTAGTCGATGCATGCTTGACACGAGAATGCGTCCAGAAGGGCTCTCGCGCGTCCAGGAGGTCTTGAACAGCATCTGTACTAGCTCCACAGGACTCGTAGGTTGCTACCACCTGTTTCCACCTCTTGTTACCCGACCATGATGCTTCGTCCTGGCAGAGGTCGACGATGCGTTTCATGTGACCAAGGGAGTCTTCGATGGGCCGGTCTGATTGAGTCCAGCCAAACATGACCTTGGCAGCCTGCTGCAAGTCGTCGTCCTTTCGCACCAGGGGAGCTAGTGAACTCGGACTAAGAGGGTCACTGTGCTTTGTCCATGGTGTCGGTCGTCGACGAGGGNNGTCTTGGTTGTCGGTCATGACGTCTCTACTGTCTTCTCGGTGTGCTGGTGGTGACGTCGAACGGTTCGTCGAGTTGGAAGACGTCGAAGGCTCTCGCTTGCGCTTCTTGCCCCANGGCGGTGTCGTATCATACCTCGTAGGCATGATACATCCAAGTGTTCTTGTGCTCGCGTGAACAAAGACCAATTAAGGTTAGAGGTGGGAGAGCTTGCTGCCGTTGCTTTGAGGTTGCTTCGAAATTGCGTTTGTTTGAACTGGACTCTCAATGGCTCGACCTGGTGCTTGGATTGATTTGCACCTTTTCACAGCAAAAGAAGTGGGCGGTAGTTTGGAGAGATGAAGGTGAGCGCCAGAACGTGGTCCAAATCTGCTTGTCCAGGAGTCAATATTTGAGGTGCGTTTGTTTAGTAACACGACCAAATCAGTCGACGGTCGACGCAAGAAAATCAGGGCCTCTGCCGAGTGTTGCAATTCTTTTCGTTTGGTCATTTTGATTAATTCGACTGCACATGGCGGTAGCTCGCAGCTGCTTGCTCGTTCGCATTGCAGTAGCTGTCTGCATAACGTGCATCTCATCACCTTACCTGTCATTTTTCCATCTCCACGTCCTGACCAGTCGTCCACGGCAGCTCTGTAGACTGACGAGAAGAAGGCTTCTTTCTACAGCAAGAGCTGCTATTCGCTCTCACGGCATGCGTCTCAGCGTTCAAAGGGTTCACCGCCTCTGTCCGATCAGGGGCTCAGAGCAGCACATCTTGTCAACTCGAAGACGCGTTGAATAGTCTGAGGAGGAACCGAGTATAGAGCAATCGTGATCAATTTCCGAGGTTGATGTCCTCGGTCAGTTGTGAAACGCGTCCTGTTCCGGCCGCTCGCTTTCGCTTTCTCAGATTTGAGTGAGTCTTGAAAATGCCGCCCATGCCGAGCCTCGGGAGTCGATGTCTGTCGCTTCTGAAACACGAACGCCAAGCCCACAGGATCGCCTTCCATCGACTCTTCCACTCCTCGCCTATTGGAACTCACAGCGCTTGAGCTTGTTTGCTCAATCTGCTTCTTCTCGCATGCTTGCTCGGTTTGTCCGGCCGTAAGTCCTGCTGAAAATCGCCGACGAAGATATAATTTAGCAACTGTCATTTCAGCTACATCCGGTCAACAGGAGAGAAACCGGAGAGAGGCGGCTTCTACTCTTGTCAAACATACTTGAAATACTGTAGCGGAAGGACTGACCACTTGCCGGTCCTTCTTCCTTATTGATCGACCTTTTCGAATGAGCCCCCGCATCTTCATATACCTGTTCCACTACACCGCTCCAGCACAAGTACATGTTGTTATTCATGTTCATCTTCCACCTGCCCGTTTCTACTCCATTTCCACAGGGCTGCTAACATCGTCCTACGACTACGCCAGTGCGGCACAGATAGCCTCTACCAAATTTTTGACATGCACGCCAACCTCGTCCTCGCTTATCACCAACTTGAACTTCCTCCCGTCTTCTCATCTATTATATGCAATAGGGCTTTGCCGAACAGCTGAGAATGCATTTGGAATCCACAGACATGTGCAAACTACCATCACCATAACATACTGCGCTGAGGGGAACCTATGAATCCTCGTCTGCCCTAGCATTCTTGTGGCGTCTTTCGAGACTTCTATCAAACCCTGTTCAAGCGAGCCGTTAAACACCCACGCGAACCACTGTCAGAAAACGAGACTTTTCGGATACCAGGAACCACGTGTGCAGAGCCTCTGTCTCGAGCCATCCTTTCGGCATGCCCGGAGCAGCATCTGTTTTAAGATGTGTTTTATCTCTCCGGGTTTTTGCTTGCAGACTTGAGCCGCTGTCTCTTTTGTTGGTTCAGATCTGCCCGAGTATACGATCGATATTATATCTTGTGCCTTACGTGCTGCAGGCGGACCATGCTGCGAACCGAGCGCCGGTGCGATTCATACGAGCTTCACCTTCTCCATACACAGAAAGAAGATCCCGGTAGCTGAACCACCATTACATGGTAGCGATATTCGCGATGGCCTACTAGACCCCGCCCGGTCCTCTTGAGCTGGAAGACCCAACATCTCTCATTGGTTCATCCGCCAGTATTTGCTAATGTTCATGAATTTGACATTGCGAGTGGCTTGGGGAAAGCGGGCCCATAGATCTGGCATCTGGTAAGTATATACTTGATCGTGTCGCTGCAACATTTCCTTGTTCTCCTACTTGCGTCTGTCGTTACGAGTAGACAGCGTCATGGCAGGCACATTCGACATATCACTTCTTCCCAATGTGCTGGAGTTACAACCCAAGGCACATCTTATGATTGGATTTGGTGTCACATTCATAGTACTGGTCTGGCTATCAATCTGTTTCCGGGTCTATGTTCGACTATTCATGATTCGAGCGTTCGGATGGGACGATGCCATACTCCTTATGTCATCGGTAAGTCTCAGAGATATCGTAGCAAATCCCTCGACCTGACCATGTGTAGNNGTTACATTCTCCTCATTCTGCGCCTGCTTGATACTCGAGGCTAGGTACTGCCGCACTCCAGAAGTAGAAGTAGCCTATCAGACGGCGAATCTGGAAGCAATCTGGATAGTGTTGACAAAGGCATTGGAGGTGCGTGTGTATCAAATCCTGACTGGTGTCATTCAGGCTGACCTGCTCCAGTTCGTCGTCGTTTACAACGCCCTTTACCTTCTCACCACGATTCTCTTCAAAATCAGCCTGGCAATCTTCTTCCTCCGAATCGTCGTAGCAAAATGGCAGCGTCGCTTGATCTACATATCGACCGGGATCTACACTCTTTACAGTATCGTTTTCATCTTTCTGGTCACCTTTCGTTGTGGCAACCCACCGGACCTACTCATTAATGCCTCCAAAGGGAAGTGCATCTCGAATGGCGCGATTATGCCTCTGGTTTATCTGTCTGGTACTCTCAACGCCGCATCTGACGTTGTCTTTGCAACGCTTCCAATCATCGTCCTCTGGAACACTCATATGCCACGTCGGGCAAAAATCTCAGCCGGTGTTCTCTTGAGCATGGGTTGTCTCGGAAGCATTGCGTCAATCATTCGCATCGCCTACCTCGGTGGCCTTTCAGTCGACGCCAGATTCTTCAAACATGCAATAGACGCTGGTCTCCTCTCCGTCGCCGAGCCCGGTCTAGGCATCACAGCGGCATCGCTCTCGGCTTTGCGGCCATTGTTCAAGAGCATGGTCGAGAAAACACTACCGTCTNTTTTTCACACGGGCTACGGCAGGACGAAGCACAGTTTAGCGAGCAACAGCAACAGACACACCAGCCGCTCCCATCGCGCCACACGATCGCACGCGACTTACGTCGATCAGAAGGGCTTTCAAGTATTCGACAACACGGCGTCGAGGACACATACGATCATTGCCAGCCCAAGAATTGAGATGGATGAATTCAGCAATGATGATCATACGTTGAACAGAGCAAGCAGTCAGGGTTCGCTGGTCGAGCAGCACATGTATGAGACTGCGAGGACTTGGGTGCCGCCATATTCAGGCAAGGGTGTGATGATGACGAGGGCGGTAGACGTGACCGGGTAGTTATGATGAGTTTCCACAGTATATAATGCGCAATGAATGTCTTTTCTGCATCGGTGTCCGCGGTGACCACTGCATGTCTCCGCAAGTCGCGTGCATGAATCTCAAGGATTCTATTCACCACCGACAAGGGATGTCTGACGGACGTCCGTTCAGTAAAAGCATCTAAAATTGCTGCAAGCCCCCTCGACTATGTTCTAGGCCTTTGGAGAGCACAGCACGAGTGAGAAACCATTCAGTGGCTGGAGAACACGAGAAGGGTCGTCGTACGCAGCTGCGCTCGTGCTCAAGAAGCCGGGAAGCTGTCAATACGAGCGGGTACCTTTAGCCTTAAATCCTCTGAAGGCAGCAGCTTTAAGCAAACCCCTCTTATGTGCGAGAACCCCATGCTGTTCGACTGTCGTGTGCTTCTCCAAGGGACAAAAGTACTCGTGAAACTCTCTTGCATGCTTGGCTTTTTCTGGAAATCGATCTTGGAACAAGGACCGCAAATAGCGATAACAATGCGTCGCGCCCCTAATGCACTGGCTTCTGGAGCATCAACATTTCTGAACCTCGCGCCTGCAGGTCAGGTTCGACACAAAAGTAGTCGCGAATTCGAGATTTGACGAGCAATGCAGCAGCAAGCAGCAACGAAACAAAAAGTCTCTCCTGAGCTGAACCTCCTGGTCGCGACTTGGCAACATGCATCTGATAAGGGAAAAAATGGCTGGGAAAAATGACAAGAGACAAGCGTGACGGAGGTGGAAAGCGCCTCCCCACGATCAACGCAAACGGGTCTGGTTTCAACCAAACCTTGGACTTTTTCTGCTTGGAGATTTTTACACAGCCTCACTCATGCCAATCCATGCGCGTCATTGAGCGGACTTGTCCGAAATCGAAAGCACAGTCGCAAGAGAAACACTTTCGCAAGTTGGTGTATGAAAGCAGCCACCTACGCTCTATCGAATCCTTCGATGGTGCAATCGGTGTCCTGGGAACATGTTCGATTGGTGGCAGAATCGATCACATTTCTCGAACCTTGGTGTGTGATTGATTGTCACCTCTTGGCCAAGCTCTTCCCTCTCCAGCTCTCAAATAATCCCTCAACGACGCGGAGACGCATCTTGGCAGGACGGCTTGGGGTAGCTCTTGCCGAAATTCGATATCCACCTTTTTTGAGGAGCGTATGGAGATGGTGGGCCGAGAACCTGAGACAACGCGCACACTGCGATACAGTCCCATTGAGCGTCGCAGCGAGACGGTGCTTCAGGATTGAAGACTCAAAACAGATGTCAGCGACATCACGAACAGAAGACAAAGGCTCAAGGTGGTCGATCTACGAATTCAAGGTTGGCGGCTGAACGCCAAGTCGGAGTCATGAATGTGGCAGCCACATGCAGAGCACGAGTCTTGTGAGGCCATGTCAAAGTCAAAGTCAGCTGCCGCCGTCAAGGAAACCCACAATTTACTTCCTTGAGCAAAACCGCTCGCATAAACAGCCCAGCCATGTCATCGGCTGGACATTCAATTGGACCAATTCCAACAGCGTATCTCGAGATACGGTCCATACGCTTGAGCATGATGAAGTGACACGGCCGTCACAAGACGTGCCGTCGCCGAGCCCTGAACTTGACGGGCGCCGCAAACTTGGCAGTCGCTACGTTACGAATCTATAAGATCTACTTCCCCAATGTATCAGGGCTGTGCTTGATGCACGGCTGTGTTTGGTCCGGGACACTTGAATGAAACAAAGCAAATAACCTCCTTTCTCTTCCCCAAGTCCATTCTTCGATACTCCTTCAACGGAGTCTTGTCGACTCCTGCCCCGTCGCTCTCTCTCGGAAACATGTTACAACAACTATTCAAGCACCTGCGCTTGGTCGGTCTGTTGACTGCTGCTGTGGCTGGTTTCCTCGTGGCATTATTGGCGGTCCACCAACTTGTGCTCCCCGTTGTCGGCTGGATCTTCCCTTCCCTGGAATCAACATTCTTTGATCTTGCCGTCTATGGTGGTTATCCGCAACGGAGCTATGTGTCGCACAACTTGACCTCGCCAGACCTACAACAAGTACGATGGGACGATAAATGCGACAACGGCTTCATCTTTATCTCTCCACAGGGTAAATCGGTCGAACACCCTGGACCTATGATCCTGGACGCCAGAGGTAATCTCGTATGGCAGACAGATCAGTACGGACAGGCCATGAACTTGAAAGTCCAGGAATACAAGGGTGAAAAATACCTTACCTTCTGGGCTGGTCTCCGAGGATCGAGCTATGGCTATGGGAACTACTATATGGTGAGTGCATTCAATTGCCTGTTGTCAATGCCCAAGACTAACGCGTCCCTTAGCNTCGACTCCTCGTACCAAGAAAGATACCAAGTCTCGGCTGTCGGCGAGGGCCTCAAGGGCGACCTTCACGAATTCACCCTAACGAAAGATGGCACGGCGCTTATCACAATCTACAATGCATCACAAACCGACATGACTGCAATGCGGAGGCCAGTGGATGGCTGGGTCAACAACAACCTGTTCCAAGAGATCGATGTCGAAACTGGCGAGCTGCTGTTCCAGTGGAATGCGCTAGACCACTTCTCTGTCATGGACTCGTTCTACACGCATCCGCTGGCCGGATACTGGGAGTCGATTCCGTACGATTGGTTCCACATCAACAGTGTCGAAAAGGACGACCACGGCGACTACCTCATTTCATCTCGTCACCTCCACTCTCTAATCAAAGTCAATGGCACCACTGGCGACGTAGTCTGGACTCTCGGAGGCAAGCAAAACACCTTCAAAGACATCTCAGCCGGCGAAGCCACGAGTTTCAGCTGGCAACACGACGGTCGCTGGCTGGATCAGGACCAAGGCACTCTTACCCTTTTCGATAATAGCGATGCCGGCNCCCTCCACCTCGACGCCTCATACTCTACCGCCCGCATGATTCAGATCAGCACGACCGACAACACCGCCAAACTCCTACACAAATACGTCTCGGACCGATACACTCGCGCTGCCTCCCAAGGCTCTGTTCAAGTCCTGCCATCGACAAACACTGTTTTCGTGGGTTGGGGTCACTCGCCAGTCTTCTCAGAATTCGACATTGACGGCACACTGATCTGTGAAGCTCACTATGGCGCACAATACATCTCGCACTACGGGCGTGTAACATCTTACCGCTCGCTCAAGGCTGATTGGGTCGGTGCGCCCGCCGAGCCTCCTAGGGCAAAGATACAGGCTGGACGGCTATACGCCTCCTGGAGCGGCGCTACAGAAGTAGCGACATGGACGTTACAATCTGCCGACTCCTGGAAAGATGCCGAATTTGCCGATGTCGATGTAGTCGACAAGGTCGCCTTTGAAACCTCATTCCTATTACCTGACGGCAACTCAGAGACACGGTATCGCGTTCTTGCTTCGGACGCCGAAGGCAATGCCCTCGAAGTCTCTGAGATTGCGACCGAAGACACGACAACAACAGCCAAGAGTGTATGGAGTGTGTTGCTCCCACTCGGAGGCTGTTTTGGTGTGATAGTCGGCTTCTGGGCTCTGAGGCGCTTCCGAAAGGGAGAGCGTGTTTTGCCCAAGTTCAAGAAGGGGACGAGCAGCTATTCGCACAAGTACAGCCGCTTGTGATCCGAAGCTCCCTATTGTTGTTTCAGCGCCTCCTAACATTCTTGTATATACCTCTTTTTCCTCCATACCTTTGGGTAATTGGACATTCTTGGACATGTAAATACATTTGTCCGTTTTTCACTTTTCTCTTTTGATCTCTGGTTTCACTCTGTGACTTTTCCCTTTGCGTTGACAGTACTGATATGTCAAATTAGTTTCTCTGTCTAGTGTTTGCCGGTCCTGTATCATTGCCACGAAGTTTACCAATACTTCAACGACCGGGCTGAGCTCACCTCAAACTCTTGCAGGTCGACCACACCGGCACATGGCTTTAGACTGGTTTACGATCATGATGGCAATGAGCATCAGCAAGCCAAGTTGAGCACAGGGCCTTCAACAGCACACACCGACACAGCCAAAACCCATTCACGTTGCAGTGTTGCAGAGTTGGTCAGATATTACCAATATATGAATTCGTCTATCGTCCTAACAAGTGCTGAGCCAAGCGGCTTGCCCTGGCCCGTTCCCCTACGAGTCCCTCTAGGTACTCTTTGTATTATTCTCATTCTCGACGACAAAGTAGTTTGCGGCAATGGGCTTACCAACCTGTGCCTCCAGTGCCTTGACCGAGAAATTCATTCTCGCAAACGAAGTCTCGTCTTTATAGCTCTCCATCGCAGCAGCATCAGGTTTCCAACCCTCGGGTTGCTCAAACAGATACACCACATAGTTATGCGGTTCATCTCCTTGGGGCGGCTGAGGACCTTCGTATTCGGCCACTGGGACCGAAAAGTTTTGGAGTTGTTGGCGGGGNGCAACAGCGTGAACATTGTATTCGAACCAGTGGAGGCGGGTGGTGCGGTTGGGACCGATGCCGGGAACAAGAGAAGCAAAGTCTGTGGTGGCAGGCAAAGCGAAGAAGGGTAGGTTTAGGTCTACCATTGTGAAGATGTAGGTCTTGTCTTGGGGGTTTCCTGGGTGTTTCTTTACGTTGCGGTTGTTGATTTTGGGGTGAGGGGCGTAGAGAGCGGGTTGGCCTGCATCGGCGACNTGTTTTGGTGTGGTGTTAGTGGCTTTTGATATGAGAATTAGAAGGTGCAAGAGAGACTTACCAGCTTGATCGATCATTTCGCCGGGTTGCACGACATTCTTGCCAAAGGCAAGCCCCAGGGTGTTAGGGACCTGAGGTTCGGAGCCTGCTGGTGTAGCAGCGGTTGCGAGCTGAACACCAGCGGCAGCAATACCGAGCAAAAGTTGTGAGGGCTTCATGATTCTAATTCGATATATTGAGAGTAAGATGTGTTTCTTTGGTAAACAGATCGAGAGCTTCAAGGCTCTTTATATAAACCATGGATCTTGCTGATCAACGGCATAGACGGTAAGGCAAAGGTCTGGACCCGCAATCTTCTGTTCACGTTGCTGGGAGCATGCAAGATGCCCTTTAATATCGAAAACATTGTTTCAAGCTCTGATATCACTATTTGCGGAAGCGTTAGCGGCTATCGCGCTGCTTCCATGCCTAGCTCTCTGTAAGTGCCTGTTGCAACTCGATCTACCAATGGTGCGAGGTATGGCAGACACGAAGCGGTTTACCAAGACAACGCTCCCCCTGTTCGGCAGTTCAACGACCTCCTTACCCGTCAGAACGATAGCATCATCATCCCTGTCGATATCCGCATTTCAAAACATCTGGATGACGCCTTTGGGCTCTTGGGTAAACGCAAAGAGATGACGAGGACGATGTGGCTGGATGGAGGGTGAGGGCCTCGGTTCGGTGTTTAGCTATCTCCGCTGTCTTTCTCTCTGCTTGGGTCACCCTGTTCAACACTTTGAATAATCGACAACGATCAAGTATGCACTCCTATACCGGAATGAGCGGTCCTTGAGCTCGCTTAAAGTCTCTGATACGGATTTGTGCATGCTTGGAGCCATAAATATCGGCTGCTAGTGCTGAGTCACTCACTCAAGGTTTAATGAATCCGACCCGCGTCCCTAAATGACGAGGTAGTGAGAATTCGACACTGAGTCCACCGGTTGCCAAAGATCGACTGTTTGGCATGGTGGCAGCTTGTTCGGCTGGTAGTATAATTGAGTAGAGGAAAAGAACGCAGATGTATGGTATGGGGCACAGTTTGTATTTTCTCTCTATGGAGTCATTTATACTGCTGTATTAGATGCACTGCTTTGCGCTCATTGGCTATAGGAACCATCGACAAAGGGACTCATATAGAACAGATGGTGCAGCAAACTCACCAGCGAAGGCTCGTCACGCTATGGTGGTTCTATGGTTGAACATCACAAGCAGCACTTGCAACGGATGCTTCAGATAGCTGGCGCAAGCAAACTTCAGCTCGGCGAGCGTCTCGGCCTCAGTGAATCAGGCAGCTGCTGTGGATGGGGTGTGCGCTATTCAGAGTGCTAACAGACGCGAGTTGAAACGCGCTGCTGTCAAGTCAAGTCGGGCTGCTTATGCTCAGATGGCCAGGAATGATCCTAGGGAGGACGTATGCATGGGGTGGTCTTCTTGTCGCGTCATTCAGTAAGGTCTGTTTCTGCCTCCTCCACGTTCACGCTCACCACCACCTCCGCGACCCGAGCGAGCATATTCGGGGACTCTCTCGCCTCGTCTCCATTCGCCGTGGGGAACGCCTTGTGGGCCAAAGGCTCTGTCTCCTTGAAATTGACCTCTTCCTGGCCTGGGTGGACGGCCGTTCTCGCCGCGCGGTGGTGGACCTCCTCGACCAGATGTACCTCTGACGGCAGGTGTGGCAGGGGGCAGAGGAGCGACAGAGCCGTCAGCCAAGGGAGGGAAGACGGCGCACGAGATGTAGTCGCCAATGACGAAGCGGGCGTCTGCCAGCGTCTTTTGCGCGTCGCCATCCATGCGTCCTAGACCAGCAGGGTCGTTCTCTTGATCATAGTCGTGGCCCTGTCCGAGGATGACACTACCCAGCTCTTTCGATAGCCATCGTCCTGGAGCATCTGAAGCGCCCGACGGCGGAACACTACGCGTGTCGGGAAAGACCAGACGGTAGCCAATGCGGGTGCCGACGGATGGTGACGGAAGCAAACTCGGTAAGGCGGTGGTGAGGAGGGTGGTCAGTTCTGCAAGAGTGCACGAGGGCCAGGTGTAGATCTGCAGACTCGACTGCTGCAACCATGAGGGCGGCGGCACCGTCGAGAACTCGTTGGGCGAGTGGAAGCCATTGGATCGGTAGTAGAGTCGCAGCAGGAAGGGCGTCGTCGTCTGTCGGTCGATCTTCTGGTCTGGGGTGGGTTGGAGCGCCATTGTGAGGAGGACGACGATGTTGCGATGATGGAATAGCTATGATGGCTGTTGACAGCTCCAAAAGTTGCGCCTGTACACTTGTCTTGGCAGCATCATCGGCTGTCGCGACTTCCACTTCCGCCTCGCTGGCCCCGCCGACTCTTCAACTCTCCGCTCATATGCACTTTCACTCGAATTATCACTGCATCTCCTGATTGTCCATCCAGTCCAACGCTGTTGACTGTTTCCGTCGTCCATGACGACCTGGTCTCACCGCCAGTGACATCCCATGCCAGTGACATACTTTGCCATCTGTACGTAAGCTTTTCGACCACCGAGTCTGGACGACCCGTTCTGCCTCCCGAGATTCAACGGCCTCTGCTTTGCGTCTTTCTCGAATAACACGTACCGCATGCTTGATAGAACTTTGCCGTGTGCCGCTCTCCATTCGGCGTCCCTGATGCTTGCTGCTCAAGTGTCTCCCTGGCCAATACCCTTTCCTCCGATTATGCTTTGCATTCGGACATACCAATAACCTGTAGGTATTGCGCCGAAGAGACATCTCTCAATTCTCAACACTCTGCTTCACTTCTTCGGCACTCTGTCAAACGGTGTGCCCGTTGGTCTCCCTATGCTAATCCTTAGTCCCTCCGTTTTGGCCGTTGGACATTCAATATATGGGGGCTCCTGACTGAAACACTTTAGCTGTGCTTGTCCTCAGTATGCACAGTATCCATATTAAACGAGTGCATCTTCTCCTCTAATCTCTTCTCCGTGCTATCTCTATATTCTTCTCCGACTGTGTGTTACTTGTTACTGGCTTTTACTGTTCTTCCACACCAACCTTTATTCTCTAATAACTATTCACCATGCACGCTGCCACCTTCCTTCTCCCCATCCTTGCCGTTCTGGCACAGGCTTCTCCTCAATCTGCACCCAAGACCAATGATTTCGCTGCAATGCCTGGTGCTGGCAAGGGCCAGGCTCAGGCCAGGGAGCATCTTCGAAGGCTGCAGGTCAACCTATCAATGCCTCCATGTACGTCGTGTATATATCATGCTAGTAACTCGCACTAAGCCGATACAGGGCTTCCATCAACAGCACCATGCCTGCATCTTCTACCTTCAGCTCATCTATGGCTGCTTCGATGATTGCCTCTTCGGCCGGCTCTTCTGCTCTTGCAAAGAGCTCCGGCTCTGTCAAGTCGGCTCCCGGTCCAGTGACCCACAAGCCTTCGACTACCCACATGCCTTCATCCGTTGCTCAGAAGGTATCTTCAAAGAAGGCCTCTGTCTCTTCCAAGAAGGGTTCTGTGTCATCCAAGGTCTCCTCCAAGAAGGTCTCCGCCTCATCCAAGCATTCCTCTGTGAAAGCTTCAGTCTCATCCAAGCACTCCTCTGTCAAGGCCTCAGTCTCCTCGAAGCACTCTTCCGTCAAGGCCTCCGTCTCGTCCAAGCATTCTTCCGTCAAGGCCTCTGTCTCCGCCAAGAAGCCCGCCTCCACGCTGAAGACCACCACCAAGCCCAAGTCTAGCTCCAAGAAGCCTGCTCCCCAACCTCAGTCGACAAAGAAGACTGGCAGTTCCAAGAAGCCTGTGTCAACTGGCAAAGCTGCTGGAAAGTCTGAGACCAAGAAGGCATCGGAGACTAAGCATGCTGCATCTACTCAGCACGCTTAGATGAGTGCTTGTGTTCATGCTGTGAGGATAAAATGGATATATGGACATGGTTAATGAGCTATAAGAAGCGATAATAGTTACGAAGCTGTTGATATTTCTGCAATGGTCATGTTCCGCAACAACCAACATCGGAGTATAAATGGCTACCCTGTCTCTTTGTGGTGTTCTCTGTATCTTGTGTATTGCTGTTTGCTTGTGCAATACGTTGCTCTTTGCTTCCATGCGAAACTTTTCGGACCTCGTCCGTACGTTTTGGCTACCGAATTCACAAGTTTATCTTTGAGGTTTGTATGAACAAGTTTACGTGTCGCTTGTCGATGGTGACTATGGTACTCCAAACAATGAGTACACATGAAGCTGTATGGACGACTGCGTTTGGTGGCCCTGTAGTATGCCTCTGTATGATCGTCCTGCCGCAATGATGGTTTCCGAGTTCTGTGGCCTTGCAAACTTCTTGATATGCTTAACGCTGATGCCTCAGTGAAGAGTATGCATGTATCTTGAGTGTTCTGCAGTCCTTGTATACCATGGTATCTTTGAGCCACTGTTTTAACGCATGCCCTGCGCAATGCCCTCTTTTCCTTCTCCATATCGATCGCTTCTTTCTCTTTTCCGCTTGGTTGTCCCGTGCTCGCATCTCATTGCGTCTTTTGATGCTCCCTAGGCGCTGTTCACTATCGTTGGTCTTCTCCGATTCCGCTTTTCCTCATGCGTGACAATGGTGTTCGTCTTTACTCTGCAGCCCTCTCTTGAAAGTGCGGTATTCTGCTCCCAGTCGTGTAGAGAGAGCGGTGCGGGAATTGGCGTCAAGAACAGAGTACTCGCGATGTTCAATTGCGACTGTTATTTCTATGTCTTATGTGTGGGTTTTGTCTGCAGTAGTGGAAGGTGCGCGATGCAAGCGGTTGACATTGACGGCTATGGAGGGTTAAGCGGAATCGCCAATGAAGGATGGAGTGACAGTAATGAGTGCGATGGTTCCTTCTCGTCGTGGAGGCTCGAGGCCAGGATGAACTGGTCGTAAGGGCTCGAGACCAGCAGGTCGGACTGGTCGAGGTGTCGGATGGTGAGTCGTTCTTACTCTATTCTGTGGTCGCATCAGAAGGTAGCAGCGGTAGTGGATGGCGTCCACAAGTAATGTTGTTGGATCATGTTCCTGATTAAGCCAATTGGCCACTACAGTGAGCCGCCTGCTGTTGAGTCTACCGGCAGTGGTTGTTGTCAGCAAAAACTAGCACAAAGGGCCTTGCGAATTGGAAACTCTTCGCAATCCTAGAGAAACAAGACTATCTCAACAGTGCAAGACGTCTGCTGCCCAGAGCGAGTTTGATGGGACGACATGAGAAGTCGCTCAGACAACCAGCATTCTACGTATGTCCATGGTTGCAGTGGCCGATGATCGAGCGTTTGCGCAGGCACAGATGTACGCTCGCAACTGCCTCCTCCGGAGATACAAGACCACCACCGGGAAGTGGCCGTGTGTTGCTTGCAACGAATTTACTCTTTGCACCACTAGCTGCAGGAGAGGCGGATGCATTGTGATCCAATCTCATGCTTTGGCTCCGATGAGAAGAATCTGCTCGTCAAGATCCGCTCGTCAAGAAACAAAGAGCTCGGGGCTGGACGAGTCTGTTACTCAGAGCCGTCTACGGAGCATCTGCCGCGCTACCGGGATGACACGCCGAGCCACCGCATTCTCTGCAAAGCGATACGAACAGGAGGATCCAAATTATGGCAATCCAGAAGGGTTTTCGTAACGGCCTCGGGTTCACGCAGACCGACGGGTGCAATAGGAGAATCAAGAATACCATCAGGTAACGATATCGGTTGACATGCCGGCAAGGCAGTCCGCATCCGCGAACATGTCATAGTTGATTATTGGGTGATGGATTTGGTCCACGCAAGGATGCCTCATCGGCGATGTGGCCCGCCTCCGCAAGCAAGTCATACAGTGCTTGCAACTCGGGTTTAACTCCGAATATCGGCCGTCACATGCAGTGTTTCTATCGGCTTGTTTGAGTCGTATACATATGTCACATTGGTCCTATTTGGGGGCGTTTATGAACATACAGGGGTTGTAAATCGTCCATGTCTTTGAACTTTTTAATGCTTTGGTGAGACTTTGACATTTCAACCATGCTTGTAGAGTATCCGGATACCATGTCTGTTGGAGATACACTTGTCCACATTGTGACGCAAGTGAAGAAGAGATGGGAGGCTGTGCTGATGGAGACGCGAGAACTTTGCCTTTGTGTACTTTGATATATTTGTTTGCCAGCGAACGTGAAGCGAAGCATGTTCGGACTGTGTCAGGCTTTCGAGGGATCAAACTTCCGGTAGATCTTGCGCCTGACCTTGCGGTTGAGCGGGTGGCCAGTTCCGAGCGACTCTTCTCTCTTTGCACCAATCTCCGAATGGCTTCCAGATGGCTTCCTTTTCAGCAGGCTTAAGGCTGGCGGCAAGACCACTCGTGCTAGTCGTGACGAAGACCTTGGCGCCTTGATAACCATCCTCTCCAACATCAGCGATACGGCCCATGTTTTCCTTTTCATCCTGCCAGCCCCAATGGAACTCGCATTTGCTGGGGTTCTTGCCATGCCGATGGCGGAAAATAGCCTCCCAGATACCCTTGCCGACAATGCAGACGCACTCGGGACGCCATTTACGACATTTTTCTTCCAGAACAGGGGCACCATCACTCATCTCGACCTTGCTGAGTTCGGCAGCATCTTTGGTGGGTCGCTCTACGATGTTAGTATTACCAAGAAGGTATCGAGATGGCAGTTCGACGTCTTGGTCCGGTCGTAGTCGTTCATCAGTGCAGCCACTTGAGTGAAGGAGCTTCCAGAATTGGTTTGAAGGATGTGCGTATGCGTGCCCCTGTGCTGCAGTGCGTATGCCGGGATTGGTGCCCACGAAGACCGCTATTAGGTCTGGAGCGAGGATGTCGGTGAGGGGGCTAAGATGTTGATACTTAGATGGTGGCGCATACTTGCTTGGCGCCTTACGTNNTTCTTCGATGACTTTGTGGTAACAGGTGCAGGCTTTGGTTCCTCAGCCGATTGATCAGAATTGGTATTGTCCTCTTCTGAATTCGTCGTCAGTGGTGTCGGACGTNGCTCGTGGCCGTAAGACGCGCGTTGGGGCGACAGTGGTTGTAGATGCACTCGACCCTTCGTGAGCATACTGTTGCAGCATTTCTTTGAAGTTGGCTCCCGACATGACTGCAGGGAGGGGGTGTGAGATGGAAATAAAAAGTTATGTGCAAGTTGCGGTTTTGGGTTCGTGGCCGTGATGTCATGAAAGCGGAGTTCATACTCCGAGTACATGGTATTCAAAAGTCGAGTGCAACATGCCACGTTCGTGTGTCTCCGACTCTCCGGTGCATGCAAAGACAATCCGAGAACGATGCGTCGGTGTCAACGGTGATCTACAGAATTCCTGTTTGTAAGGTCGTGACAGCGCCCAGTCGCACCAATCCAGATGGCAGCACGAATGTAAGATCGCAGAAAGTGTTCTACTGACCTGCGAACAGAAAGACTTTAGCATCGTGGGTGGTTCGAGGGCTTATCGAATCCTTCGAATCTCGATGTGTGTCACGTCGAGGCATCTAGGCTTTGAGCGGTACATTTGCGAAGTCTCTTTCAATCTAGCTGCACCCTTTCCCTCAAGATCGGAGTGCACTCCAAGTGTCAAGCACATTTTAGCGTCGACTAAATTGCCCTTTGACATCTACTTGATTGACTGTCCATGTTCAGCTCTTGCCAAAGTACAGTGCATGTCATTCTTGCTTTCTATCAATTTTAGTCTTCGAGCATTGAAGGCGTTGTCTGAACATCCTGATGCAAGTCAACAATCTCAACCGATCACTCCTCGAGTGTTTGAGGAAGTATTGCGAAAGAGCTCAGCACCTACGATTCCAAGTCATGCTACAGTATGTAGAAGCAACAAACGACTACGGAGCACCTGCCATAATCAATGGGGAGCAGGCGAGGCATCCGACAGATACGGAGTTCCTCCCGGAGAGCTTTTAGCCCTCGACCCCTCTGCCTGTTCAGTCCTAGTCTACACTATGTGGTTCGAACGAGCTCTTCGCCTTCTTCTGTCATGTAAGTATTTTGAGTGTCCAGACCTGTGAAGAAGGGTTGTGATCAGTCAGCTTTGGAAGTCGCGTCTTCTGCAACATCGTCGAGGATTTCTTGATAACCTTGACCATGTGCGTCACGCTGCTCCTGCCCTCTATGGTCTGATTCTCTTTTGCTCCTCTCCGCTCTCCAGTCGTCGTTATCGGAGTACATGGTGTTGTACACATGCCCATCAACCCTCCCACTTCAGATCATTTCCTACGGCGGAACCAGGTCCGCCTTTACACAGTCCAGACGAGTTCAATCGGTAACGCTCGATCTCAAGGTGTCTTCTCAGGTCTAGGTCGTCGCGTCGCTGACGCTTCGAGAGCCAAGCTCCGACACACCCAGCGTGTTATTACAATACTGCGGGGCCAACTCCGTGGTAAAAAGCCGGATCTTAGAGCAAGGCTCGGTTTCTCCTGGATAGTTCGCATAATACCACCATCGTTCAATGCCTCAGGACAGAGACAAACAACGTGGGAAAACCACTGTTGTCGATGGGGAAACGCCTGGTTCTTCTGGCAGTCATCAGAATGCACCCAGGAAACTCACCGCTGTCGCCTGTAGTGACTGTCGCAAACGGAAGCGCAAGGTACTTGGCAATCCTCGCCCAACGATTTTACTCGTGTTGCCAGAGTTGCTGACAAGTGTTCAATTCCAGTGCAACGGCGAGCGGCCTTCATGTTCTGCTTGTCAGACCAGAGGTCTGTCATGCGCGTATGATGTCGTCGAGGGTGCAACACGAACCGAAGATTTGAAACAANAGGTCTCGTCGCTTTCGCTGAGAGTAAGGAATCTCGAGTTGTTTGTCAACAAGTTGAGGTATAGCACCGACAATGAAGCGACGGCAATCCTCGCCCAGCTTAGACTTGGAGACACGATCGACAGCATCCTTGGCGTCGACATGGCCGACGGCATTTCGGACATGGGTGACGGAGAGCAGTCAATAGAGCAGTATGTTTTGTGTGCGCGCGATGATGTTGTGCTTCTTGCAAGTCTCTGGCTGACAATTGAACAGANNGCGTTGCCGACACTCAAAAGCGTGTCGACATTTGGCATTGGACTTGCTCACAACCCAGCAGGTCCATCTCTGCTCACCAGCGTTCCCCTATACGACTCGTCGCTTTCGGAGCGGAGTGCCAGTCTTGCAACCGGCAGTCCTGGCTTGGTGGACGGAGCCAAACGAGAAACGAGTCTACCACGAACTGAATATTCGGCTTCTCCCTGGGCACCTTCGTTATTCGTTGAGATTGACTCGCAACACTTGTTGTTTGAGGGCGACCCGTACCTGGACATGCAAAGTCCCGGGCAAAATTCGTCCTTGATGCTCGATGGCAATGCTTCAGACTCGACTTACCTTGCAGGCGACCACAAGAAGTTATGGATCGATCCCTCCCTTTCTTCCACAGCAGACCCGAGTTCAGGCCCAGGCTCGGTCGCATTGGACAGGCACACAAAGATGCTCGACGGCCACAGAACAAAGCGGGAAGTGTTGAACAACGAAGCCCGTCCTGGAGGTGATAGCATCACCATCTCGTCGAACCTGTTCAGCCCTGTTGGAACTGCCCCAATGTCGCTGCCCCTCACCCCCGAGTCGCTTGGTGTGGACTTGACAGCTCCCGTATGGGCAGTCACCTCCATGTATGTTAATGACCGTGTCGACATGATGTCCAGTGTTTACGTCGACTTTATCGACGAAGCCAAAAGACACATCATCTCCGGTGTCGCTCCAGATCGTTTGTTCGGACTTTTTCCAGATGTGGAAGCCCTTGTGAGCGAGCCTGCTTTCCAAAGGGCTTCGTTGCTATCGCAGTGGACCGCAAGACTTGCTAATAGCTTTGGCATACCGTCCCTGCCATGTCGCATGGCCGTTATGTGGCTCCAGTGGCTCCTCATGCGATGGATTGTCCACCCGATTCCGGCAACATATCTCGCCATTCCAGACTGGTATAGACCGACACCATACCAGATGTTCGTTCCGCATCCTGTTTACATCGACTTCCATATCTGGCCAAGAGTTCGAGATGCAATCATCCAGCGTGTCGATCTACAACGTCAACCACTGTACTGGTACTCCGAGGCAGCTACCACTGTCGACTGCAACTGGCTTTGTGGTGAACAAGAAGCTGTGACCTACGACATCAACGCTAGGTTGACACTCTCAACACCGTTCGTCCAGCACCTGATGGACCTCGACAATTGGACTGTTGGGCCTTGTATTCGGAAGCACATCCCAGATGCATGCACTGTTGTCAAGATCAAATACGGTCCCGTGTAAGAGAGAGAGGAGCAGAAGAAAAATTCAGGAGGACATCAGCATGAAAAAGGTGTACATACCATGACACGATCGCCGGCTTGTAAATGGGCAACGCTGTTGACCAACCGTCGAAAAAGATCACCCCTGTCCCGGCGAGGGCTTATTTCTCAGATCAACAACATTCGAGGAGAAATTTGTCCAAGGACTCGACGCTGCAGGACTCCATATCGACCATCCTATCAAGCATCAATGTGAGGTTGGAAAAAGTTGTGCAGCTGGCGCCAACGACGACGACAACAAAACCCCGGGCCGACGATGATCGGGCCGTGAGCCCGCTTCCGAAGAGCCCCTACCAACGTGCCTGCAAAACATCAGCCACGGGTGTCCATCAACACATTCGACAGGAGCGTACGACTACTACTGCAAGCTCACCTTCGACAAGACTTCCAAACGCGAAAAGGCCAGTTGCTAGCATGATAGAAAATTAGCGATGAGGAATAATGAATCAGGGCTTACGAAAGGCATGGCTGGTCACAAGAGCCATAGACATCACAAAAACTGCCACAGGCTTCAGAAACGTCAAAGACCCAGCCCTGAACTCTGTCAGACGTGATCATGAGGGAACAGTGTTGTTATTATGGTTACGTATCTCTTTATTGTTCTTGCGGCTGACAGCGGCCGACCTTGGCACTTCGAACGAGTCGAAGGAACGGTGTCTCTCGCTTTGTCGTGAGACTGTATGCTCACCTGGTCGACTGGACTCTGCTATGTACCTTGAGGAGTGCGATCAGTAGCCGCGCCCTTGTCTTCCCGGGCTTAAAACTCATTGCAAGAGCATCGAGGTAAGATCCGCTTGTTCGCCTAATCATTGGCGTTCAGGAACAGGTCCAGCGCTATCGATGCCCTCTCCACGAAGCAAGCGTCAACCAAGTCGATGAAAGAGAAAGAAGCTCATGAGGAATCCATATTCATGGAGGTGGGTCCGGGTTAAGTATTTGTCTAGGGCGAGAGCACAAGAGTCCGTGTTTGCCTTCATCGTTGGCCCCTGTAGCCGCTTTAGCTGCTATAGAAAGTATCACCAACAATGCCCACTCATTTGCTCCATATACTGATCCTCTTATTACCGTATAAGCGTCTAGTTGGAAGGAGCACAGGTGGGAGATTGCTATGAGTAGTCTGTAGTCGTATAACCATCATCGAATTAATTGAGCAAGTATGTCGTCGCGACAGCATGAAGACAGTGAATAAAACACACAGCACGCATAACCCTCTCCTTTGGTCTAAATCGCTCTATCTATCTGCAAGCATTTACTCGAGTAGCGAGCGATTCACACAAGGTCTTTTTCGCATGATATACTGTCAGTGAACTCTATGTAGGGTCAGACTAGACACACCCATAGCTCCAGTAGTTCTTTCCCCGTTATGTAGGACAAGAAAAAAAGCTTCGGCAGAGAGGAAAACATCGCGTTCTTTTTTGCTTCCGCCTCTTTACACCACAGACATGCTTTGTTTTTGTACTCGGCATCTGACTGCTAAGACCATGTATCACACATGGCGCCTTCCTGATTATTGCGACAACCACAATATGGAAGTCACGAATTTGCTGGTCGCTCCTTCCTCTGCGGGTTTGAGGGTCGCTCCTTCTTCTTGAGATTTGAGTCGCTCCTTCCTTCTCGAATTTCATGAGTCGCTTCTTCCTCTTCGAATCTGCTGGTCCGTCCTTCCTCCTCAAGTTCCTTGCTCGTTCCTTCCTCCTCGGGTTTCCTGGTCGTTCCTTCCTCCATCGATCCACGACAGCCTCGGTCGCTCCTTCCTCTTCGAACTTGTGTCATTCCTTC